TTGCGGGGGATGGCGTAAGCCACCTTGTTTGGGCCACAGCGCCTCGAGGTCGCCACAACAAGAGACCAAGTGCGACTTCGATAAAGTACTTCGACAAGTTGTGTCAAGAATACAACAACGCCTCTGCTCTATACTATTCGTGAAAGCACTCGAGGAACTCCTCCCATAAATTCGTGAATAAACAAAATGTACCGAAAGCAAAGTGAGAACAGAATGCAAGCAGTACTGAGCAGTGAATGCGAATGCGGTTGCGACGATGGAGCGGGATACAACGTGAATATATCATGATACAAAACAAAGTCCGTGAAGGTCAAGAAAAGTCCAGTCAGATAATGCGGTTGGCCCTCCCTCCTCTGCCCTCTTCGCCACCCTAAGCCTCGGCCTCTAAGAAAATGTCCTTCAACTGTTCGGGGTCGATGCTGATGATGATGACAATGATGTACGAGGATGGTGCATAAGAATATACGAGCCGCCAGCTCGGCAAACCGATGGTCACTGCATATTATGGCCAGGACCGCATAAGGCATAGAATTGGTGGGCATAAAGTACGATCATGGTGTAAATCTCGTCGAAAGTACGGGTGGCAAAAACGATAGGCATGTGGGTTATTGACGAGCTGGAAAGACCATGAGTCTCTCGACTAGCTTCGGGGTTTCGAACGCTGGCCTCGAAGTATTGGCGGGTGGCGTATGGGGGCCTAATCCGCGGAGCGTAACAGCTTCTTCACCCGAGCTTTAATGGAGGGACAGCTGACGACACGCTTGCGTGCAGGAGCAGCAGAGGTGCAATTGGATGTCTGGCGAAGATCCTCGTACATATCGAATCTGTCGCGAGGGGATTGGCCGAAGAGGGCGAATGAGTTGGGGGTACAGGTGGCGGATGGGAAGAAGGAAACGGGCTTCGAGCCTGAGCTCGAGGTGGCGATGGGGAGACCGGACATCTCGAGTCTTCAAAGCTTCACGGCTAATAATGTGGGTATGTCGGGTGGCGAGGCTCAGAATGGCAGTATTAATAGGGTGAGTGGTACGTACGGTGGTAGGTGAGTTCTGGAGCTGCGATGGGTCTCGATAGAATCCATGAGTTCTTATATCCTAGATATTCAAGTTTCGAGTCACTAGGAAGCTCAGAGAGTGTCCTCGTAATGCGGCGCCGTTGAAAGATGGCGGTGTAACCGTGTGCGCCATCTTACGGATCGCCACTCATCAACCCAAGTGACCCAATTCCGGCAATGCGGAGGCGCAGACCTGAGAACCCGCCTAGTACAGTAAGCTGGCAGAACCGTTTCGAGCACTTCAGAGGTTTTTACACTCATTACTAGAGTCCTGAGACCTTCTTATTGCCTGAGTGCTCGAAAACCAGGACAGAGACAGAAACAATATTGAAAGCTAGATTTGGCACGCAGAACGCGTCGCGGGACGCGTTCCAAGCGGGGTTTCAACCTCGGAATCGCCCGGGTACAAAGATCCTGAGTTTTTTTCTCTCGCCTGCATCAGTCGTTCGTCTCGCACACGGAGTCGACAGGGCTCTCCAGTCAAGGTGAGCTTCGTTCTTTCTCTCTCTGCTTTCTCTTGCTCTATTCTCCTGGTGATACGGTAACGGTGATGACAGAATTATTCACACTGTAAGAAGGATGGTGTTTTGACTTACGCCATCCGGTATGATTTATTCTTCTACAACGGTAACTGAGTTACCCGTACACTTTTCTTGCTCTTGCTTTGTTTTCTCTAAGATAGAGCTGGACAGGAACTGATACCATCTTCATTCATGCAGGTCGTGCAACTGTGGTGGTGATCCGCGTTATCAAATTGGCTGGGTTGATGTTCTGTATATCTCGCTTTTCATGTCCCTCCTATGCGGTGGTGCTTCATTATGGAATACATTGGATCGAGAATATCGTTCTACACTGTGAGAATGACATGCCAACATATACAAACTCACGCCAGTTTTCGACACGACAAATGGACCGCATCTCTACAACCTCAATCTACCACCATATCCGACTGTTGCGGGGTCTCATCTCCCTCAAAAGCGTCTGCCGGGATCTGTCCCTGCGCCTCTGTCAACGCACCCTTAAGAATGTACACAAACGGAGCATTCTTGACGGGCGGTGGGGTCGACTGATAGCCAATGAAGAGCGTACACCGAGAGCATCGCCATCTGTACTCTTTTTCATGGCCACCTTGTCTGTATGAAACCGACCTGTGAGCGTTCGTTCCTGTAGTGAGAAACGGCTTGGAAACCCGGAAACTTACCGCTCGACGAGAACAGGGTCGCTCGGTTGGGCGTTCACTGCGAGAGTAGAGTAAGTTACGTCGGTCAATCTTGCCCGGAGGCGAACATTCAAATATGCAACGGCAACGACAACGACGGGCCCGACGGTCTGTCAACTCCTCCGAGATGGCATGGACAGAGTTTCGACAGACAAGCGAATGCGGTGCGGATGGTGTCTAGTGAGAAAGTTGAATTGAAGGTTTTGCTCACGTTTGAAAACTCGGGCGCGCTGGTCGCCCTCGTCCTTTGATCGGATGATGATAGCCCCATCAGTCTTGCGGATGGGAAGAAGTGAGAGGCTCTTGTCTATAACAAGCTAGTGGGAGGTGAGAGAGACCGAGTGGACGACTGCGAACAGAAAGAGGATGGGTTCTGACAACGAATTCGCCACAGAGACAATCTAGGGAGTGATGAGGTTCGGGCGGTGCGGTCAGAGAGGGAGTTCACGCGGAAGGATCAAGATGAGATGACGGACAATAGACCCGGAGAGCAGCGGCAGATGACGCGGTCGGTTGAGCTGCAATGGAAAGATGGAAAGTTGAGAAGGGGACCGCGATGGGCCTGAATCGCGCTGCTCACCGTCTGTTGAAGATGAGATGGCAGAGCGACTGATGACCTTGGGCATGACAGGCAATAGTTAAAGATGAAACGCGGTGACCAGGACGTTCGACGACGGAAATCGGAGGAGGAAAGAGGCCAAGGAGCGGGAAGCGTCGAGGGAGCGAAGGGGGAGAGAGCGGGGAAGGTGGCAATCGTCGGACAATTAGAAGGTTTGGAGAGAACGCTCGGAGCGAATGGCCAAGTCCCAAAATTGGCGCCCTCGCTCGCGTGGCGGCGGAATCAATGGCATCTCCGGCCGTCACTCTCTTTATTATCCTCTCTCTCACCCAGCTCAACAAGACGCCCGTCCCCCTTCCCCCATCCCATGGCAGAGAAGGATGCAACGGCTCGCCTCAGGAGGGCCGTTCAAGGTTGGTCGATTTTTGTCTTCTCAGAGAACTCGTCAACTTACCCCTGAGCGCACAGAGAACAACCTCTTTCTCGTAAAGAGACTCATACAACGTATAGATATGCGAAATCCTGACCCAGGCCCAAAGCGCTACACATCACTTGCTTGGGCGGCCGTTCTCGGGAATGAGGAGACGTTCGAATATTTACTCAACGCCGGACACGATGACCAGGAGCTCAGCAGAGTGTGTTATTTCCCCGCATCGACCGTTCGCAGTTTCTAACCCCCCGTCGTGTGGCACAGGATTCCGAGAATAACACTATCCTCATCATCCTCGCCGACCTCGCACCCTCCCCCACAAGCTCCTACGCAAAGACAGACCCCGACTTCATGGATGCCACACTGAGGATGGCAAGACTGTACTATGACCGATACCCATTCATCCTCGACTGGTCTAATTCCCAAGGGAGGACAGCTTTGCACACAGCGGCCTTGAAAGGAAACGAGGAACTTGTGCGGGTGCGTATTTTGCAGAATCAATTTCCTGTCAGTTCTAATAACAGTGCATACAGATGTTATGTGATCTTGAAGCAGATGTTGACCTGTCAGACAACCAGGGCAATACCCCTTTACATTAGTACGTTCGGCTTATGCCTTGACTTCTTCTTGCGTAATTAACAAAGTGATCTTCTGCAGTGCGAGTTCATGGGGCCATAGTCTTGTGCGCCTAGATCTTATTCGTCTGCTTCATGTTACTCACCAATTTGTAGATCGTCCAACTCCTCATTGAGCGTGGATGCCAGTACGCGGCTCGGAATAACGAAGGCTGCACTCCATCCGATTATGCTTATTCGTGCGTCCCTTTTCTCACGCATGATGGGGTCGAGATCTCACAGTTTGCACCAGATTCTACATCCGCGAAACCTTGCAAGAGACTGCACGGGCACAATACGAGCTCAACAAGAAGGCACGCCGAGTATTTGCGCAGGCGGCTGCCAGAGGAACGGAATGGAGTGGATTCGATACCCTCCCTCCTGCCAAGGCTGTCGACATCAGAGGAGGTAGCGTCGCACGTATGCGCAGCGGCTCGGGAGGCAGTCGAACGACATCGACTGACGACAGTGGAGATTTGGACAGCCTTCCGTCCGGGAAATCCTATAATGGACAGAACTCAGGTTCCTTACAATCACAGGCCTCTCAACCACTGTCGTCATCCTCGTACCTAATGCCTGCGTCAAATCAGCCGAGTTCTTCCAGTGCCTTCTCGCTCGTCGGACTTCCTTCACATTCGGCATCGTCTCTCGGCATTCCAACGAGTGCGGCATCTGCACTCTCCCCCATAGCGAACCGTATGCGCGAGCAGGACGCCAGCGCGATGGAGAAATATATGAGACGAAATCGGAGCGGGAGCGCGTCCACGGAGGTTAAGTCTCAGGGGTCGGGGTCTGGCTCTGCCGATCCGTCATCTGCAGGTCCGTCAGCCAACGGGGACGATATCTCATCGCTACCACTCCCCGGTACCGTCACCCCACGACGTCGTTTACGACCTTCCATGTCTGCATCACAGCTCCGAAGTAGTCCTAAACCACCATTCGCCGTGAACGGCTCGCAGGAGTCGCGAAATCGGTCTGGGACGAACCCTCCGCTTCGCTCGAAACCGTCATTTTCACCTCCTACCGAACGCACCCCTCTTCCTGCTTCACCATCTCGTTCGACGACGCAGCCCCGTCCTTCTCTATCGAATTCAAGCAGACCTCAGGATTTCACAGGTCCTCCATCCGCCTACGCCCAATTCCCTTTCCCAGAGGCTCGTCCCGAGTCGGACACGGCATCGACCCCAAGCACAAGTAGCACGACGACTACACGTCGATTACCCTTCAACCTCCTCTCCTCCAAGCAATCCTCGCAGCAGTCGTCACCATCTCAGGGCCAATCGTCGTCGAGTGGAGATTTGCCAAGTCCCGGTATACATCGTCGGGGAGGTTCGCTGCAGTCATTGCGTTAAGAGTCATATCTTGGACTGTCGTCGTCGGCACATAATATCGATAGCATGCATGTATACCGCTCTGTATCAGTTTAGTCACAGTCGTCAGTCGTCGTACTCGGACTTGTTTGTGCTTCTTCGTCTTGTTGTTTGTCATTGCACGTCGTTTATTGTGTTCAGCACGTATTTATTCCCCATCACCTGTCTCATTCATGGACGTAAGCCAGGCGATGCATATATATATGTACCATCCCATGGTCCTCACTCTTGTGCCCATTGCGGTCGTCCCTGCAGACTTTCTGGATGAAGAGATGAGCTAAGATTGGCGGATAAGGCGAGCGTGGCGGCGGCTCGGGAGGCTCGAAGGCTCGAAAGCCCTTGGTGAAAGGAAAGAGCCGAATGCCGATCATCCGTTGAGTGTAATAGTGAGTGCCACCCACGAACCCGTGGCCGCAACTCGCTCTGTCCTCGTTTACTCTCCTGCGTCTTCCCGCCTGCCCTCGGCCTACATATAACCAACCTCAGGCGCTACCAGCTGGCAGTCGTCGTCCACCATGTCTTTCCCCACCAACGAGGACGCTGACCCCGACCCCACCACTCAGATGGCCTGGCCAGGTGCTCGCAGTAAACGGAATGAGTCGAAACAGCGCGATCGGTCTGCGTCGGTACACAATAGCAGGGAGCGCGCACAACGGACACCAGCTGCTACTGCCAATCTTCCCCCTGCGGACGATGCTACCAAGCGTCGCCTATCGACGATGGGGCTGTTTAATCTCAGTATCTCTATGGCTGGAGCTCAGATTGCTTGGTCTGTGGAACTTGGGTGAGTGGCCTCCTCGGATTCTGTAGCTATACTGGTGCTAAGAGGACATCGGAAGTTATGGGACACCATTTCTATTGTCGCTTGGGTTGTCCGAACAGATTACCAGTTTGGTGTGGTTGGCTGGTCCAATCTCTGGCTTGGTTGCACAACCCGTCATAGGTATGCAGAATCGAGTCTTGACGGATGTCCGACGCTACTGAACTACGTTCATAGGTGCTATCTCCGATTCCTCTACGTCCAAATATCGTCGGAGATACTGGGTCGTCCTCTCCACAGTTGTACTCGTCGTATCCATGCTCTCCCTCGCGTTCTGTCAAGCCATTGCAGCATTCTTCGTGGACATCTTCCATGGTGGCGCTGGAGACTGGGACCCTCAACGGAACAAGGCAGTGGGTATACTCCTATCTTTTGCCTCTCACCATCACGATGATGACGGCAATTATTCAACGGGACACTTTCTAGGTATCCGACTCCGCAATCTGGCTCGCCATCGTCGCTTTCTACCTGCTCGACTTTGCCCTCAACGCCCTGCAAGCTTCCCTTCGCAACCTCTTATTGGACGTAACACCTTCAGATCAACTCAGTGCCGGTAATGCATGGCACGGCCGGATGACCCACGCAGGAAATATCGTCGGTTTCGGTTTCGGTACGTTCCCAATCTCAGACATGGCGAATATTCGAACGAATTTTAATCTCGCTCTCTACATGTAGGTTTCCTGCCACTTGCCCAGATGCCACTACTTCGGCTTCTGGGTGGAGACCAGTTCCGCAAGTTCTGCGTTGTTGCGATTGTCATCTTAGTGGCCACCGTGTGGATAACGTGTTTCACGCAGACGGAGAAGGAACGTCCGGCGACCAACAAATCACAGGGGTATATATCTCTTCATTCGGGTCCATCTTCGGTATGATGGTCGGGGCTGATGTGAATTATCCAGGAAAATGACAGACGTGTTAAACAACATCTATGTTGCGATTGTGAAGCTGCCGAAGCCTATTCGAAGGGTGTGTTACGTGCAGGTGTTCGCGTTTATGGGATGGTGAGTCGTCGTGCCATAGTCCGCTACTAGTCGGATGCTAATAATGATCACATACAGGTTCCCATTCTTGTTCTATTCGTAAGTAGCGATGAGTTGTACATACCCACATATTGTTTCTGAGACGGATCTGTACAGGACCACCTACGTCGGTCAAGTCATGGCGTACGAACAGGGGGTTGACCCAGACAAGGATCTAGCTACGCGAACCGGAGAGTTCGCCATGCTCATATACAGCCTTGGTGCGATCTGGTCCATGCTCTCTTCCATATCCCTCCATGCTTACCATCTCTTTCAACAGTCGCCGTCGCTGCTGGTACCCTTCTTCCGCATCTTGCAAGACGCGATCACCGTATTCTCGAGCACGCCGTAGGAGAAGACGAAGACGAAGAGATGAACGCACTGAGGCGGACAGTTCGTCAATGGCAAGCAGAGGCCGCACGCCAGGGGAAGCCTTTGCGGCTACCGTACATGCCTTTCTTGTTGCGCAATATCTGGACTGGAGCACTGCTGTTGTTCACGCTCATCACGTTCTCTACGTTCTTCATCACGAAGGTTTGGCAGGTGAGTAAAGGATCTTGCCCCGTTGCGATTATGGCTGTCTAATGAGGTGTCTCTCTTGTAGGCTATCGTGGCAATCAGTCTTGTTGGAATCTGCTGGGCCGTCGCTTGCTGGGTTCCATTCGCTATCATCATGGAGGTATAACATCTCGCTTCTTTCGGTGTTCGTTGACATACTCATTCGTGACTTGTGTCTAGTTCCTCAAGGAGCTCGATGAGGCTGCTGTTCTACCTTCCGAGAGGGCTGTATCTCCATCACGGCCTCTGCACACCCGTGTTTCTTCGACACCGGACCTGTTGAGCCGCACGGCCGCTACAGAGCGTCAACCATTACTTCGCAGCCAGACAGTCGTCAACCAACCCACCGAAGCAAGTGAACCAGTCGCCGGTGGCACTATCCTCGGCATCCACAACCTTGCCATCGTCTTCCCACAATTCATCGTACGTACTCCTTCGCGCAACTTTGCTTATCGTATCTCGTGCTCAAGCTGATATGCACCCGTTATAATTAGGTGGCCCTTGTCGCAAGTGCGATCTTCCGAGCAGTCGACGCGGACGTTGACAACGATCCAGCAAACCATCATACGTACCTGGGCAAGAACGGAGTGGCCTGGGTACTTCGGTTTGGCGGCCTGTGTACTCTAGTATGTCTCCTTACGTCTCATCTATCTCACCTCGCGCCGAACTTGACTTTTTCTTTTTTTCCATTCATCGTAAAGTTCGGAGCTGCTATCTGTCGCATGGTGCCTCCGACGCGCACGGAGAAGGAGATGCGACGCTTAATCGGCGAGATGAATGCGTTGAAGAAGGAGCCGAATCCTTAAACCAGGACCTCCAGGACCCGCTTCGCTGCCGCACGGTTGCACGGACACTGTTCTACGTCTATTTTGTCTTCCTCGTTTTCCATTGGGCAACAGCTGCTACAGACTGGTGGATGCGCACGAATGATATATCTGTACCATGAAATTTGCTCGGTTCCGTTCATTGTTTGTACTGTACTATATTAATTTGCACATGACTATCCTTCTCCTGCTATTCGAGCCGCTGCTACGTTTATATATACCACATGGTACGGTACAAGTCTGTGCCCCTCTGATCGTTTTTGGGAGTTCAGGTTGTTGTTTTCTGTGGTGCCTAGAACTAGCTGACCATGATACACATTGCGTAATCCCAGTCTTCGGTCTGTTGAGTGGCGATAAGGCGACACGGAATGGGTGTAACTGCCGGTTCTTTGCCCTTCGTGAAGAACCTTTCGAAGAGTGTGGTATCTGGGCACAAGTTTGAGTATCGAACGTCCGATCGAGGAGAGAAATGAAACGCTTCTTACACGAAGTTATACCGTTTTTGTGGAAAAGGCGGACTGAGAGGGCGTTGTCCGCGAAAGAAAGGAGAGCGTCGACGGTCCTGAGTCGGTTTCCTAGAGCTTCCCATTCGGAGCGGTCGTCGCCTTTGCCACAGATGATAGCACAGGCGGCGCTACCTGAACTCAGCCTGGATGTTTCCCAGTGGACCATCCCGTTAGCTTGGACGATATCGCCTACGGATCTCCTTGATCAGTTTTGGGCGAGACACCAGAAAGGAAAGGAAATTCGTCGGACCTTGCTGGAAGGAGGGCTTCAGTGTGATCGAGACCTGCTCCCCATCCTCGTCAACGGTACTCCCACGACCTGTGTGGTAAAGAACTTGTTTCTCCACCAGAGCACCTTTGGGAATTTCTTTTACGACGAGGAACAGAGCTGGTACGGAGACGTCCGAATGCTAACGATCGTCCGCGATAGGATGAGTCTGAGGATATCTATACATAGGAGATATGAATGGGCAGGATGCTCACGATCATCTGGTGCGCCATGACCACCGGCGCAATGTCGCACTTTTCTACCAGCCAGTAGATTGCAGACTGACCGTGTCCTTCCCATCCGGCGCCTGAGCTGTTTTTCAGAGCTGTAACGATCCTGTTGACGTGCTGCGAACAGAGGGCAGTCTCGAGCGGGAGGGACGGAGGCGAGGGCAGGGAGAGAGAACTTGGAATAAGACCAATCTGGCCCGATATGAAGATTCGTTCATCAACCTACAATGTGTTTATGATGAGGTATTATTCGGGATGAGAGATGATGCTCCTTACAGTGATGGATTGGGAGTATGGTCCAATATTCGCTGGTGCCCAGTAGCTGAGACCTTGTACGTGGAGGGACTGTCTGTCTGCTGGACTGCTCTCGATATACGCTAAACAGTCGAGTCTGAGGCGTGTACCAGGAGGGAGATCGACAGCTACGCAAGCTCGCGCAGGGGGGCTGACTCCAAAGAAGGTCGAGTAGACCGCGTTGATGGGCGCGAACAAGTCCATTGAAGAGATGAAGATGTTGATGATGGCGAGGTTGGAGAGTAATAGGGTATGTTCCTCCAATCGTCCTGAGATCTGTTAGTACGACATTCTCAGGAGATGATTATGGATGGAAATTACTGTGGAGCATCTGAAAACATTCTCGAACTTCGTCCTCCACAGAGGGGCCCTGTTCTGGAGTAGTGTTCTCCCGTTGAATATCGGCCAAGGCCAACCAGTTTCCGTCCCGCCTGACGCTGGGACCAAGTGGTACTGTTCTTGCCTCAGTTTTCAAATCGGGTAGCCGTTCTTGTTCCTCTGAATGTCTTGAAGAAGAGATGAGGGCCTTTTCGACATCAGAAAATTCGGCATCCAGCAAGTCTGGGACTGCAGCGCTAACGGTAGCAATGTCTTTGCGGTCTAAACGTGCGCTTTTGATTCGAAGGAAAGCGACTGTGGCAAAGTCACTGTCGGAATGGATGACTGTTTCCGTCTCCAGTCTGTATTGCGCGAGTTGTCAGGCTTGTTGGTCTTTCGTCATAAATTAGACGGTGCTTACAAGGTTATTCGGTACTTGAATAGAGGACAATCTAACGTCAGTGTTTCGTATTCTCCGCCTTCCCCGCAGACGTGGGAGCCATAGAGGGTGTTCTGGGTAAAAATAGTTAGGTGAGGTAGGGATGAAGGAAATATGGTGTGTGGCGTGTCGTACAAGCTTTGTGAGCGTTGGCTGCATTTGAGCTAGGGTTTTTCCTAGATGCTTGGTAGTGAGACCAATGCCTGCGACCTTGATGATGATGGCCTCCATCCCAGCTTCTACCATCTCGGAGAGTAGTTCAGACTGATCCCTCTGCCAGAGGTAACACAAGGGGGTGAGACCGAGTCGTCGGCATCTAGAGCAAAAGTCAAAATAATATAACTAGAAGAAAGGCTATCAAGAGACCTACACATGTTCTACTCGAACTCGTTGGTAGCTAGAAAGGATCGCACCTACGGATACACCTTGGACGTCTGGATGTTCTGACTACAGGACACCACACGGTCAATCGTCCGATTGTAAGTATTGATGATCGGGCAAGCTGACTTTACTTTGACTTGAGCCAGAAGGGCATATAGGTCCTCTGTCTCGTCATCCTTATTCACCGGAGGGTCAGACGCATTTCGGCCACCATATTCTGCTCCTTGCTCGACAGCCGTGCCTACGATGACTCTGCGGAAGAGAGGAACGTCCAAGGCTTGAGCCACGAATTTGATCGCATCTTGACCGACAGTCTGATAGAGATACGAGTCCAGTTCCTCTAGAGAGCATTTACTGAGAGACATATCAGAGCTACCAGGTAAAAACAATACCTTTGCCTTGCTCTGGGCCAAGCGTTGCAGCCGCCACAAGCTCATGTCCGTGACGAGCACAATGAACAAGATTGTAGCAGCTATCTTTTCCACCACTGAGTAACGCAACGTACTTCATCAGAGCCGAAAAGAGTAGGAACAAGCAGAGGATTGAGCTAGAAAAGGGGTAGTTTGATGATTGTGGCCCAGGTTTTCACGCAAGTCCAAGTTCTGTTGTGTTCGGCGTCTTCCGAGCCTCCTCTTCCCCAAATTCCCATATATTCCCCTCCGAGTCAAAGTTCGGACGCCTTCATACCCTCTGAGTCCTCACGATCATAGTATTCTTCCCCCGATACAGACGTTATAATCTCTATAAATGCCCACCGTTTCCGTAGACAAGGAGGATCTCTGGGAGAGATTAGGCCAGAAATTCAGTCTGTCACCGTTCTATGCCTCGAAGATTTACATATTCTCATCGCACCTATATCATCAGCTACGGAGGCCTTTGATCATCTATGCTTTGAGTTTGGCATTGAGCTTGATGAGGATGTGAGGTCTCAATAGTGAGCTGGTTATGACATTCTCATCGTGTCTTGTCGTTAGACCACAGAAGAGGTAGAAGAGGCCATTAAGAAGGGTCTGCCAGCAGAACGTCCTGTGCGTATAATCCCGCTCTGTACTGCTCGAAGCATATTGACTTATACGTATGAATACTCACAGCAACTCAAAATCGAGATCCCTGCGAACAGGTTAGCCGAGTCAAGTGTGGCCCAAATCCTTGATACTCATCCCGTTCTGTAGGTATGACTTGCTCTGCATTGAGGGGATTGCAAGGGCCCTACGGGTGTTCCTTGGAAAAGATAAAGCACCACATTATCGGCTTGTCAATCCGTCAGGTGGCGAAGCGAATATTCTACAGGTCCCTGTCTCGAAAGAAGTGCGTTATGCGGTTTCATATACATCTGAGATTATTCTCAGCCATCTTGTGTCCTTTGCTCCAGACGCAACAAATCCGACCATACTTTGCTTCTGCTATCCTCCGCAATGTCAAGTTCACGCAAAGATCCTACGAATCTTTCATCGATCTTCAAGACAAGCTTCACCAGAACATCTGCAGGAAACGCCAGCTTGTGGCTATCGGCACCCATGACATGGACACCGTGACCACACCCTTCAGGTATGAAGCGAAGAACCCGAAGGACATCAAGTTCGCACCTCTCAACAAAACGCAGGAGTACACTGCTGAGGAGCTCATGATGGTCTACGAAGTGAGTGGGAGCTAACTCTTGTCGCCCTGTTCCATAACTTAGGCTTGACAAATGCAGTCTGACAAAAACATCGGCCGGTACCTTCACATCGTCCGCGATTCTCCCGTCTATCCCATCATCTACGATGCCGAAGACCGTGTGCTATCCTTCCCGCCTATCATCAACTCAGAGCACAGCAAGATCACGTTAAACACGCGCAATATCTTTATTGATGTCACCGCAACGGATTTGACGAAACTGAACATCGTCTGTAGTATCGTCGCTACGATGTTCTCTGAATACTGCGAGGAGCCGTTCACGTACGCTTGTTCTCTCGCTGTTCTGACGAAGCCCTCGAACTCAGTATACATATTCACAGAATTGAACCCGTAAAGATTGTATATCCCGATGGCAAAGTACGCATCACGCCCGAGCTCGAGCCTCGACAAATGTTGGCCCACACGTCCTACATCAACTCATGTACGGGTCTCAAACTGTCAACGCCTGCGACCAAGGATTTGCTAGAGCGCATGTCCTTACCAACGGAGGCATCGACCACCAACCCCGACGAGCTTCTTGTCAGCGTCCCCGCCACACGACCGGATATCCTTCACGAGTGCGACCTCATGGAGGATGCTGCCATTGCATATGGTTTCAACAACCTCCCAGACACTTTCCCCGCCACCAGTACGGTAGCCCAACCGTTAGCTGTGAGCAAGCTCAGCGACATCATCCGTCACGAGTGGGCATACGCCGGCTGGGTCGAGGTTTTACCTCTTATTTTGGTTGGTCCAAGTCCTCTTTGATATCTTACTCCTCCCACTTACCGATACTCACCGTCATCCCGTACGTTTAGTGCTCGCACGAAGAGAATTTCGAATTTCTCAACCTCAAAGATGACAACGAGACCGCGGTCAAGATCGGTAATCCCAAGACGCTCGAGTTCCAGGTCGTGCGCACGTCACTCCTACCCGGTCTCCTCAAGACCATTCGCGAGAACAGGTCGCATGCTCTACCCATGAAGATCTTTGAAACTTCAGACGTCGTGTTCAAGGACCGCAAACGGGAACGCCAGGCGCGCAACGTCCGACACGCGGCCGCGGTGTGGTGCAACAAGACTGCAGGGTTTGAGGTCATACATGGATTGTTAGACAGGGCGATGCAGATGCTGGAAGTGCCGAAGATTGCGAGCACGGATAAAAAGGCGCCGACAGGGTACTATATCAAGGAGAGATCTGGTCAGTGTTCATCCCTTCTGCGTGGACACTGTGGTCACAACGATTGTTTGCGTCTAACACTTCTCCTACTTCACACACTTCGTCAGACCCAACCTTCTTCCCAGGCCGTGCTGCATCCATTTACTATCGTGCCCCTCTCAAAGACTCCAAACAGCACCACGGCGGAAGCACGCTGGAACATATCAAGGACGACATCAAATCCGCTCTGCATCCCCTTCATCACCACCACGCCTCAGATGTCGAGATTGGAAAATTGGGCATCTTGCACCCTGAGGTACTGGAGAAGTTCGAGATCGGATACCCGTGCTCTGCGCTCGAGTTCACACTGGAGCCGTTCAAGAAGAAGATGTCGGCGATGTGGACGAACGATGAGTAGTTAATTCGGAGGCGAGCAGGGGGAAACGCACACTCGTGATGGCTTATGGTGGGCACGCGCGAATGACGATTTCTGTTGTAGGTTCAAGTTGGCAGTGGATAGACTCGCAGATAGACTGTGCTAAACAGTAAGCGGAAAAGCGGAATGTATCGTGTAATTTCGTTGTTGTAATTGAATTGCAGACGTCGCCACTGAACTTCCCCGAGTCGATACTACAGCATGTGCCGTAATGCTCGAAAAGAGGTCGTGCGAAGTCTTATTCGCCCCTAACCCTGTGTGGCTTCAAGGCTACTCTCCGAGCGTCCCCAGCCAGTCATGCCCCTCCCAGAGCACTTCGACACCATGGATTCTGGGATACCTGTCTTCTCACCTACTATGTCGAATGAGCCTAACCCTCAATTTGATCCTGAACTATCATACGCGTCTCACAAGCGCCGCAGATCTTCGGGTTCAGAGATGATGCCAGGCTATTCACTCCCTCAACCAGCTCCAACCTACCCGCCCTCGCAGCCTGGGCCGTTTGGTTTTTTGCACCGTTCATCCGGGGGATACGATCCGCCATCGGATGGTGGACCTTCATTCGAATCTTATAGGCTTCCTGGCCCCTCGGAGGCAGGCCCCTCAGAGATTCCGGCCCAACAAATCCCATCCGACCCGTTCTCGTACCCCGATCCAGATGATACCGATCCTTTCTTTTCGTCGGTCAGTGTGCACCCTTTTTGCATGCTTCACGACATCAGAGCGCTAGCTTCGAACAGAGCTAACTACAGTCAATCACCGCACTATGTAGATCACTGGTGATCGACCCCCTCCTGACCCGGCGGTTCGCGCTCGTAAACTGCTCGCCCTCGCTCATGCGACTCGAGACAGTCTCCTTGCAGCAGAACAAACCGCCTTGCGACGCATCAAGGAATTTCAAGTACTGCACGATATCACGGTAGACGAGCTGGAGGAGATTCGAGTGAAGAAGAGGGGTGCTATATTGCAGGTGGTTAGCGTTCAGAGGTCGCTAGAGGCGAGAGGCATACCTGTACCTCCTGAGCCTTATAGGCCACAGAGCAGTACTATGGGAAATGCCATGGCTCAAGACACTGGCACTAGTAGCGGTACTGGTGCGCGTGCTATGACTCCGTCTTATAATTATTCGTCTAGCCCCTCTGAATCTTCTCAGATGTCTTCTTGATTGTAAGCTGTTTTGTCCCATCGATCATTCGACTGCTGCTTTGGGTAGGGTAGCTCCCTCGACCTCGTTTCGTTGAGTGTTCAAGCAGATAATCACTTTACTCTTTCCAACTCCACGTAGTCAGTCTAACGAAGTATTTATTACATGTGCAGTGTTGCTAGCTGGGTATAGGGACGGGGATTCTTCGTACAACATTCAGCCAAAACAGGACGTGGATGCTGAATACATTTAGGTTACAACACGGTGACAGGTACATTCCGCATCAGCCTTGAAAAGTGTCATTCAACCAGGAAATAACCTTCCCGTACGCTTCGCCCTTGCCGCCATTTTTCACCTGAAAGTCACAAAGGAAATCAATATGCACTCCGTTCTTCTCCACTAACCAACTGAAGTCTTTGACATTTGGCTTCAACCGCGACATCGAGAACTCCTCGATCGGATCCTTCAAACACTCGACTTCTCCCGCTGTGCTCATGACCCTCTTCACCTTACCATCCAGCCCATGCCACCACGCCTCATCGGACTTGATAGGCTCGAACCATTGCTCCTGTCCTGTGGGGATGCCCGGCGTCGCGAGATCGGCCATGAACTTGAGAGAGCTGTGATTTATATTGTCCTTTTTATCGTTTTCTTTGAATGAGAGGTATTCTTGGCCAAAGGCCACCCATGGGGAAATGAGGAGGACACCGGCAAGTGGTGAAGAGAGAGTAGGAGGTGGAGTGATGTCAGGCAAAGGATGGAGAGTGTGAGATAAGAACTGAAGGATCAGGTTGCCGCCAGCGGAATCGCCTGTGAGGATGATATTCGACGGCGATGTTCCCTTGGAGAGGACATGTGTTACTGCTGCATTAATTTGACGGAGTTGGGTAGGGAACGAAGAGAACGGCGTCAGAGCTATTGCGAGGAGCGCTTGTGCGTTAGCGTGCAGTTCAAGGCAAACAAATCGTCAACTTCGCTCACAATATGCGAGGAAGATTATACCGGTGGGCTTCCCGGATCTCTCGAGTTCAGCCTTGACAGCCTTCAAGAATCCAAGGTGTTGATCTGGATTAGCAGGGAAGCAATAGCCTCCACCTATATGGGCATCGTTGAATCATTAGCGCCGACATTCAATGATGATAATTGTTGAATACCAACTCACCATGTGAGTAGATCAAAACTCTGTCGTAATTTCGTGGCCCAACCCAATGCAGCTTTCCCTCGCCTTCGACCTCATCCGTCAGGTTCTCCAGCTTATTGCTCTTTACCCATGCATCATACACCTGCGTCGAATTCTGTGCTCCGAAAAAGGCCAGCATCTGACGAATATTCCAGGGACGATAGGCCATGTAACGCATGGCCGAGTCATAAGCAACGCGGCCGACAGACCGACCCTTGTTTTCTGATTTGAAAAGACCAGCAAGTACAACGAATGCTGATCATTTGTGTCGGAATCAGTAGGAGGACGAGAAGAGAGTGTATGGGACTGGGACTCACGCAGTGGAAGTAGGTCCTTCACCATCTGAAAGCGCTCTCGGAGCGTAAGAGGCTTAGTGGGGGGAGGACTAGTAGACATGGTGGGACGACGATCTGAGGGGATACCTACTCGTCCAGTAGCTACTGCTTTTAAAGTACCACTCCTGTGTACATATTACCTTCTATTACGTCGGGTTTAGCCAGAGAACAGTGTGTGTTCGAGCGAAGACGGAGCATGAGAAAAGCTCTTAGCAAATCCACGACTAGTAGCACGGTGGCACGACCTAGCAGAGATTCGAGTCGGATTTACACTCGGGAAGGAAAGATAGACCCAAGAATTCTGAATAGCATGCTCCATGGGCTACAATATAGTGTCCTGGTGACATATCTGATGATTGGAAAGCGTCTACCGAGCGAAACTCCGAGGATAACTGGCGTTGCAGGAAGTATGAAGCAAGCTTAGGACCGAAGATGACAGGGGCCCAAACGGCATCGGAGAGGGGTCGAAGCCCGAAACCTAACAGACTCGGCCATGAGTTCTGCTGAACGATCAGCAGCAGCTTGCAATTGTGCGATAATGGTGCAGGTGCACACAAAAAGAGAAGTCAACAAATCGTGCGGATGGGAACGAAGCAGGGCATGTTACGGCTTGAGAACCCGGATTTTGGCATACATATCGGCTCTGGGCGCCGAGCACGTGGTTACCCAGCAGATGGCCGCCAGTGCGCGGTGCGTACCTTCCTGGCCTTCTCTGAGTTCTTGACCTTCACAGACAACCGCAGTCTCATCATATCTCAATACTCACCCACCAATCTATATTTCCATGCTGACCAGCTAAAACTGAGTGCGTTCGCTCAACAATAATTGCATGAGCGACTGCCACCAACTTGGCGAAGTGTAGTGTTCTCCGCGGAGGCAACTGCGTTATTACTTGCGCTTGCCCCTCATCAGAAGAAGGCTAGACTTACAGCACATGTTGTGTGTGAGCTTCTATCTTCTTGATGTCCTCTGTTGGTGTTGTTTTTTACGACTGGTCCTAGCCATGTCGTGGTGTGTGCTGCTAGATATGACCCTCATTCGAAGATGAACCTCGATTTCTAGAGGCATTCATACCGTCAGATGGCTCATGACCGACACTCAAAAACTTCTGGCACGCCCGTGTTAATCAAGAGAAGCTGTTTGAGTCGATATTACCTGTCCAGAACTGATTGATCATCACGATACTCTCACAGGTCAGCGCTGAAACACTACCGCATGATCCTGGAGGGCTCATCGGCCGCGGGGCAGAATGTTCCGAGTCTATAAGGTGAGATAACACTCCTCATTGTCTAACTTTCTCGTCATTATACCTCCAGCCAAGTTCTTCCCTGTCTCCCGGTAGTGCGGATGTCGAACGCCACCGAGAATCCTATCATTCTCGACATATCGTCGAGCTATGGGGCGTTGCTTGTAGGTTCCTTGCTCTCGTGCGTGATCTGGGGAATGTCATGTATGCAGACGTAAGTGTGATCAGCAGACTGTCGGCTCTTCAGAGATTAACCTCCGGAATGCTAGATTTCTTTATTTCATGAAGTAAGTTGCTACTCCACGGGTCAATGCCAATGTCGCAGTTTGCTGGATATCCTTTCTAGCTACGAGTCGGATTCGTGGTATATGAAGATTCTGGTCAGTGTTCATGTCCATTGGGATGTCCTACTATGTCACTCAATATATGTACCCTCCCAGGTCATGACTCTATGGTAGTTGAATCCCCTTGTCAACCATAGGCCCACTATTGATTATGATGCTGACCGTAGGTGTCTTGATACCTCTAACGAGATCCTCTGCATCAAGTCTTGTAAGTGACAGAGATACCATCGATCTTTTTCTACCCCTTTCTCATCCTGTTGCGAATGCTATGATCGATTAGTGTGGCCGGTCCTCGTCCTGAACTACGGAAAAATTGAAGGGCTTAAGATAATACAGAAGTAGGTCGGGTTAGATGTGTTCATTCGGTTATCTATGTCTGATCGTAACACACAGGGAGCTCATGGTGTGTATCAGCATAATTTCGTTCGGGTCATTCAAGCTGACTGAGGGCTACCGCGCCTATTTACTCCAGCACCATGTTTGGGTAGTTGTAAGAAATATTCTGATCGATGGTCTCTGGTGCATTTCACTGACTACATTCTCTCCACGTACACAGGGTATTCTGTCTACCACTGTGCAGGCTTACTTCCTGCGCCGTATTTATATATGTATGTACGGTTGCTTCGTATCATTGGACCTCTCTTAAAACTACAGCACACACTGTCGCAGTTAGCGGTCGTAAGAGACCATGGTTATGGTTTTGTTCCTTGCTGGTGAGTTGCTTTGTTATTACGACTATGCTCTCAGACATACACTGACGTACCATGTCCTTCACGATAAGGGCTTCCTCGCTTCGTGGCAATTCAGTGAGCAGAGTCCTATTAGTCTCTCGCAAGAACACCTTTTGACCTCTGTGATCTGCAGTTGGAGCTATTCGTAAGTTCTTCTACTTGTTTATCTATCCAGAGGTATATCTTAACCTGAAACGACTCTTGTTTCAGCCTATGATTACTTTTCGTCTGTGATATATTTTCTCCTTTTTTTGGTCAAGCTCTTATGGGATCTACGTATGCAGGCTGGGGACTACACAACTCGCAGAGCTATCCACGCAAAAGATGGTTGTACGTGCTCAACTTATTCTGTGTTATTTCCGAAAATAACACCCTCGATGTATAGGGCCTCGCCGTCTCAAATCGTGCCTGTAGCGCCTTCGTGGATATCTGCATCAGCATATCCATGACATGGCTTCTCACCCGAAGACCAGCCCCCAGGTTCGAACGGTACGTACCCAATTTTCTTTTTAAAAAACATAGCGTTCGTCTGTTGTGTATGCTTGTGTTTATGGTCCCTCTCCCATGACAGCACTAGAAGAACGATCTACCGCCTCGTCTTGATCACGATAAACAGCGGCGTATGGACCGCCGTATCCGCCATCCTCGTCCTCGCACCCGTCAGTCCTCCCTTTCCTTCCCTCCCTTCCCGCTCAGCAACCAATCATTCATCACGCTACTCCATATTCTCATCTCACACCGCACTCACACTTACACCAGATGGCCGCCATGCCCTCAACGCTCTACTACACAATGTTCGAGCTCCCAATCGGCTCCCTCTACTTCAGCACCCTCCTCGCCAACCTAAACTCCCGACGCTACGTCCTCGGCGACGGCGGGATCTGGGCCACCCGCACCATCGCACACACGCAGACGGAGACGACTTCGGGCTCAGGGTCTGGTGGTGCAGGTGCAGGCGTCGAAGGGGCGGTGAGGATGATCCCGGTCGATACGGGGAGGAGGGGGAGTAGGGGTTTGGGTTTGGGTTTGGGTTTTGGAGGGAGGGCTGCTGTTACTGTTCAGGGGAGGAGAGCGGAGGAATTGGAGGGGGAGGGGAGGAGGGGGGTTTTGACACATCATGTACGTCCTGTCTTCCTGCTCAGTTCGCTTTCGATGCTCGCTCGAACGTGCGCGCCTGGACTTTTGAAAGGATTCAATCGAGTTTTGATGCTGATATGGGTTATTTGTGTGTGGATAGGATGCGGGTATCATGATCAAGGTCGATACGGACGTCCAGCGGGATGTGGACGGTGCAGAATCCGAACTCGAAATGGACGATCATCCACGGATGACTTCGAAGGTGAGCCTCCGCTCCCGTACATCCTTCAACTGCCCTCCCTTCTTTCTCCCTTTTGTCCACATTGTATGTCTGACCCAATATCATTTCGTAGGGACAAGATGACTACGTGTAAGATTTAAACCGTTAGAATCCGAGTTTCGATTATGTATGTTTGTAGGCATGCCAGTGGTTGAGAACAATGAAATATCGATATGTGGCCTTGTATGACCGCCCGTCACGGTCGCAAGACCCCTCAGGGCCGTGTATTACTTACATAGTACCAAGCCGGGCCCCGGGTTCTCCCTCGCCACACCCGTTGAACCTCGCTTGTCGGAGGCCCTCGTTTCGCTTCAAGTTCTCGGTCGACGCCAAGCGTACAGACTCCACAAAACCAAGTAGACTTACGCTGAGTCGCCGACGACCATTCTACAGGACTTCAAATACATCTGAGTCTATCATCATGTCGACTCTGACACCTCACCTATTCACCGCACGAGAGCGCTCAACGGGGAGAAGGTGCCACACATCAGTGGCACAAAGGCTCTTTCGGCACACAATTCAGCCATCACACCAGTCCAGTCGCATAAATCAGCCATCACTTTCACTTTCTCGTTCTCTTTATCTTCATACTGTGCATCTCTTCTGATTCTAAATCTTTCCCCAAAAAACTAAACAAAAAACCGAGCCAAAAAGATGTACGTGCACTCAGAAACAAAACGAAAAAATGCGGTATATAAAGTCGAGGCGTGATGTCTTCGGGTCGGGATAGCCATGAGTAGTCAGGTCAGTCAGTTAGGGTGTGATGGTTTGGTGTGATTGGGATTGGGATTGGAGGGCAGTAAGTAAAGGCAGTAAAGCAAAGAAAAGGTAGGTGTGAATAGTGAATTTCATTGCGTAGGTCATTAAGCGGCGTAGGACGTGAGTGTACTTTGTTGTTGGTAGTTGGTTAGCTAGTAGGTTGATTGGTTAGTCAGTAATCGAGAGTTCTGGTGTTCTGCTGTAGAGGTGTAGAGATGTAGCTGTAGCTGTAGATCGCACTAGTCGCATGTAGATGTTACGTATAAACAAAGGATGCAAGTATGCAAAGAGGATAAAGATGCAAGGTTTAAAAAAATGAGTTTAAGTGTTAAAAAAGCCATGGAGAGAAACGAAGCGAGCAAGGGCAGCGGTGGGCCAATAGATAAGAATACGACACAGTTAGCGGGCAACCCGAGGAAGACGAACTGAATCCCGGAAAGTAAAAAGAAAAGTAGAAAAGAAAAGAGAAAAAAAGAGGTCGGGAGGAGAACGATGAATTGTGCCCAGGGTAGTAAGATCCAAAGGTCGAAAGCGTAATGCAACACGACGAAAGGGAAGAAATGATGATATATAGAGCACGCAAGCAAGGATTGAACGGTAAAGCCCAAGTATGGATACAATGGAAGGTCAAAGACTCAAAGCAATGAGACATGTCGAGCGTGAAAGCCGCCAGCGGGATCATGAAGATGGACCCTGCTCCAACTCGTATTTCTCGCTCATCATGGCCTCCTTCTCCGTGTCCGGCTGTGGTGACCGCGAGCGTGACGGTAACCGGACCTTCGACCGCCACTCCTTCACCCATGTCCACCGCGAGACCCGTTCGTCAGAGTCGCTCACTGTAGCGGCCGGTGTCAGCCAAGCCTTGAGATGATTACGGCCGAGGATGGGTGCGAGCGAGAGGAAAGAGAGGAAGACGAGCTTGAGGATGATTTCGGGCGATGCGAGAATGGAAGACATCGTCTGCGGGGTGTGTGAGGGCGAAGATGCCACGGTCTGAAGAATGTCTCCAATCTAAAATATAGTTAGCAACCGGATCCGCCGGGAAGTTCAAAGCGCGTAAAATTCATACCTGACAGGTGACGGCATTCCACGGGAGGGAGCCAATAAAAGTCCCGAGCAGGATATCGGTCAAAGAGACGCCGCAAACCCCGCAGGCGATGTTGATCCCTGACCATGGCACGACGCCGACGAGGCGAAGGATGGAGAGACGGACCCATGCTGGCGACTTTGAGCGAGTGCCGATCTCAGCCTGAGGATCCGACTCGAACGCGCTTCGGGCGAGTGCTAGCGGCCGTGGGAAGAAGCGAGTGAGGATGGGGGCGAGAGGGGTGGCGAGGAGAGACGCAAATATGGAACCGATGGTGGTGAGGAATGTGAGGAGGAGTGTGGCCCAGAAGGGAGAGAAGAGGGCTCCTGCGAGGACGTTCTGGATTGGTAAACACGATTATGTCAGCACGAGGATGGGCTCGATCACGGCGGACATTGCAGAAGCGGGATAGCGAGAGATCGAGGATTGACAGAGCGATGTAGTGCACCAACGCAAGCACCGTCGGGTAGTGCGTTCAGAGGAGCGATCTACACCGCTGTGCTCCACACGCCTGCGGAAAGGCTGGGGGAGGACAGGGGACAGGGGCAAAGGCGGAAGAGGTACGTCAGAGGAAAGGAGACTTACCCAGAGGACAGCACCGGGTATGGAGAAAGCGTGCATCCAAATGCAAATGACGGAGACGACAGCAACGATGTGGGCTACGCTGCCTGGGCCGCTCTGTGAGTAAGCATGTAGCTCCTTGCCCAGCTGTGCGAGATCGGAGAGGGTCTGAGGCAATGAGATGGTGGAATTTGGCAGCGACCAGAGGGAGAAGACGACGATTGCGGTGGAGAGTGGAAACATAATAAGAACAAAGAGGATGGGGGTATGAACCTGTGACGAAAGCGGTGATGAGCCGTGCAGGAAGCGCGCAGGTGTGTATGTGGTACGTACAGACGGAGAGCCCTGCCACCATGCGTGTGAGGATAATCGTAATGGTAGGCGGTCGGGAGTATCAGACAAGGACGTCCGTGAGTCTGTTAGTGGGAGAACAGAGTCGGTGGAAGAGCGTGGGGACGAGGGCGCGGAGGACGCGTCTGAGTGGGGAGAGTTGAGCGCGGTGCGGACCAAGTCAACGCCGCGGTTGAACATATTCGACAGGGAGGATGACTCTGGGAGGGGTTCGGACGCCTTGTGTGTCTTTTCTGTTACATGGGGAGGGGGCGTAAAGGGGACGGGGCATTCGACGAAAGAGTTGGGTTTCTGTCGTGTGCCGAGGGTGTGGATGGTGAGTGCCGGGCGGAGGTTCGTGCAGGACGAGGCGCGTTCCCTGTTGGGTGGCGAGGCGGCCTGGGGGGAGAGCAACTGGGCAGACATGGACGGATGAAAGTGGTGGGAGGGAGAGGGAGAGGAGGGAGAACTCGCCGTCGTGCGGCGGCTAAGTAGGAGAAGAGAAAAGACCTCGCTAAGCTGCCGATCCACGCCGCGTCCTCGGCTCACGTAACACTCCCTGACTCAACGGACGGCCGGCGCTTCTGACACCCACACAGCCGCCCCGTCCACAGTCTCATCCATACACCATGGCCGAAGCCCTCCAGCAGCTCATCCTCGACTCCCTCGACACACACGGCTCCATCTCAGACACTCGTACCCTCGTCATCCCCGGCTCTAACCAGCCAGCAACCTCCAACGATGCCCAGATCACCATCCTCGGCGCACTCAACTCGCTCGACAGCAGGCAGGTAATCCACCACGGCTACCTTTTTAACCCACTTCGCTTCATCCTCATTCACATCCCCTCTCTCAGATGATCAAGTATGAAACACATGAAGTCCTTTCACATGTCCTTACACCGGAAGGCTCTCAGATCGCACAACAAGGATCTCATGAGGCCCGCGTATGGACTGTCCTCCCTGCTAAAGATGAAGGAAATCCCGTAAATCCTGCCGAACTCAAAAAGCTCGTGGGCGATGAGACCGCAAAGGTCGGTCAGGGTCGTGCCTTCAAGAACGGCTGGATCGCAAAGGAGCGCGATGGTCTGGTTAAGATCGTACGTCCGGACTTCAGTACGATACACTCTGTTGCTCATGTATGTTATTTTATCGCAAAGAAATCGTCAATAGAGGATGTTACCCAGAACGATCTCCGTGAAGTCCAGTCTTCCGGTACGCTCAAGCAGGGAGAGAAGGTTCTCGCCGATCTTAGGAAACGTAAACTTATCGTGCAAAAGTCAGATTTCATTCGTGCGCCACAGTACTCGTTCTGATTTTCCCTCTTCTTTTTCAGAAAGGGACAATGGTTCACCGTCTACAAGGGCGACAACTTCAGCACTTCCACCGCTAAGCCAGAGACAGATCTGACCGTGGACATGCTCACATCGTAAGAAAAAATCGACGCCCATTCATCTCGTTATCGATTCTCAATTCGGTCTATAGCGGAAAGTGGAAGACGTCGACGTTCAAAAAGTACAATTTCGAAGCCGAAGGCATCCCCACAAATGGCGGCGCATTACACCCACTCCTCAAAGTCCGCGAAGAAATGCGCAACATTTTCCTCGAAATGGGGTAAGCCACGCCAATCAACATGCTCAGCCTCCCAAACTGACTCATACGTGACTCTCCACCACCCCAGCTTCGCCGAAATGCCAACATCCTCCTTCGTCGAATCCGGCTTCTGGTGCTTCGACGCCCTCTTCGTCCCGCAACAACATCCCGCCCGCGAAGTCCAAGACACCTTCTACCTCTCCGACCCCGCCTCCTCCCTCTCGCCCCCAAAAGACTACTACGAGCGCGTCTCAACCATGCACGTCCACGGCGGACACGGTTCCTCAGGCTACCGCGCCCCCTGGTCCGACGCCGAGTCGCACAAACTCCTCTTACGAACGCACACGACCGCTTCTTCCGCGAACATGTTGTACAAGCTGGCCGCGAGGTGTAGAGGGGAGGTCAAGGCCGGCGACGATGGAGAAGATTTCGACTGGGGAGGGACGGCGGGACGGGTGGAGAGGAAAGAAGGATTGGAGGACAATGATGATGGGTTCAGGCCGGCGAAGTTGTTCAGTATCGATAGGGTGTTCAGGAACGAGACTATGGACGCGACGCATTTGGCGGAGTTCCATCAGGTGGAGGGCGTCGTTGCTGACAGAGGACTGACGCTCGCGGATCTCATCGGTGCGTGAAACTTATCTTTGCTTTGACTCATCTATTCGCGAGAGCCTCCCCTCCTCCGCGGCGACTAGTACGCTTTTGTGCGTTTTGTTGTTGGTGGCGTTTGCGGTTTGGTAAGACGGATGTGTTGTGGGATATGGACATGGGATGTGAACGCTCCGAGTCGATCGACTCCTCCAGAATAGACCAGAACGATCTATTCTCTCTGTCTTTCTCAGCCATCAGTGCCACCAACCACCTCCTGACTCTTGAACTCTGATCTCCTTGCTCTCTCTCGCGTCTTTGCCCTTCTGACTTCTGATGTTGATACACAATCGTCTATACAGGCTTCATGCGCGTGTTCTTCAAGAAGATGGGCATCACGAACCTCCGCTTCAAGCCGGCGTATAATCCGTATACTGAGGTGAGCGAGCCCGAGCCTAATCTCCCCGCATTCCCATTCCTCTCCTTTTGGCTTTTCTCTTTATCTCTCTACCATCTCCATCATTTCCTACCATCTCCGTCCGTGCCCATTTAAGGTTCTCTGTGTTACTTTCTCCACTTCCGGTTCCTTCCGTATATTGTTTTTATTTTTCCATCTTTATTCCCCCTCTCATCCGCATCGTCCCCTCGTCGCCTTGTTTTCCCGTCTTGCCTCTTGCGTCATATCACCCTCGTACGATCCAAAAATCCCCTGTGCGAGCGTGCCGATCGGCCGCTCACACATACGGGTGAGGATGATGATGACGCTGCAACGCTTCGACTTCTCGTTGCTCGTCGTCGTCACATCGTTTCTTTCTACGTTTTGGCTTGGCTTGGCTTTTTCCTTCCTGTCCCCCCGTTTCGCTTTCACTGCTCTCCCCTCCGAGAGCGATAGGGAGAGCCCTCGATGCGGGTAATCATGATGCCTGCCGTGTCTCCATCTGCTATTCTCCGCCCTCCTTTCCTCCCTCCCATCCCGTCCGTCCATCCACGCATCAAATCCGAACTCCGCCCGAATTGTATCATCCCATCAAACTCGCACGATCCCCCAATCCCCAATCGCTCGTTTCGGAAGATTCCGACGGATTTGGGCTTCTCATTCGCTCGATGGACCCTCGTGTTCTGATTTCGTCTTCGCCTGATTCTGATACTTCACTTTACTTTGCTCGCTTCTTGCTTTATTTGATTTATTCTTCGCATCACACCGCATCCACTTTTACTGCGTGATACTGATACTGATACTGATACTGATCCCTCCCTCCCTCCATTTTTCTTTCTTCTTTTCTCGTGCCTTTTGCTGATCACAAACCCCAACACTCAACCCTCAACCCTCCAACCGCACAGCCCTCCCTCGAGATCTTCGCCTACCACGACGAACTCGCGAAATGGGTCGAGGTGGGCAACAGCGGGATGTTCCGGCCTGAGATGTTGGCCCCCATGGGGTTCCCGAAGGACGTGCATGTGCATGGGTGGGGGATTAGCTTGGAGAGGCCGACGATGATTCGGTGCGTCCTTTTTCTCCCATCCAACATATGTCTATGGGATGGGATTGATTGCTGATGCTGATACCTCTTTTTTTTTTCTGCGTGTTATGCGACTCGTCGTATCTATCACTATCACGGCCCCTTCTGACCTCGATGCGATGCGGTGTGGTTTTCTTGGTGCTTGATGCTTGGCTGGATGGATAGGTACGGGATCAACAATATCCGGAACCTCGTCGGGCATAAGGTGCCCATCGAGAGCGTCGAAAAATCGGCGGCGGTCAGGTTCTGATAACATACGTCCTGTCCTATCGCGGTCGGGGTGGGGATTTCGGGCGGTCAGGGTGGGTATTTCGGGCGGTCCGATGGTGATTTCTATTGGTGCCCTCGGAATGAGTTGGTTGTAGAAAAGGGAAGTAAGGGCAGAATATTCAATTGTTGTTGGAACAGGTATAATAGAGTAGAATGGGCTGCGTATACGATTATGAGATGTACTGCTTGTGTGTAGTAGAGAACGAGGGATGGCCGGTCACGGTAGTATCGCATAACTGTACTGTACTCTGCATCGCTAAAGCGAAGCAATATCGCCTTTGAACGTTCTTGACTGGTATCAGTGTTGCGAAGAAATTCCTGAAGCCATGGCGAACGACTCGCTTTAGAAGCTTCAAACGATAGTGCGACATCGACTACATTTCGACAGGGGATGTCGACAGCGAAGTGTGGCGATCGCTGCTACTGACTGTAAAATGCGGGCACCAATCAGAATTGGTGTGGCCCACGTAAGTTACGCGCTTCGGGGTACCGGTTAATCCCGGTCCAATGAGATGGATGGGCAAGGGATGTGATTGGTTGACGGGTATGCACCCTATCGTGTCAATGCGACTCAACGTCAACTGGAGAACTCATCGTTGACAGTCAGTACATACCATGCTTTAGTATTCGAATATTGAGGACCAGCATCGCATGATCTCGAAAGACTCTGTACATTATCGAGTATGTATTACTCAACCATCCTAACATCCCGTCCTCTCTGCTCGCCAGAGTGGTTCATCTTCCTGAGGCTGCCCGAATGCTGAGTGCTCTATAGCAACGCAACGTACTCGAGCTTGAACGTTTGAACTTCCTTCGATCTTCGACTCCTCCATGTCCATGTCAATCCACTATACTTCTACACAGTAGATTCGATTCTCCCGCCTTCACCAGGCAACACAGCACAAATTACACTATATACCTTTGCCCCCTCGCAAACCAGAGCACCCATGGAAAATACTGATAACAACACCGTACCGAGGAGAGATCAACCTCTCCAGCTCTCAAACTTCAACCCCATACAATTCCCCGGCGCGCCCTCAATCCCCTCAAAGCCCAACCTCTCATAAAACCTCCTCGCGCCCTCATTCTTCGGATCTAATCCTAACCATACACCCTCTAGCTTCCTCCCCTCCTTCTTCCCCTCTCCGCTCCCATCTCCACTCCCACCCGCATTCCCACCACCATGTCCTGCTACAGGGACATCCCCATGTCCTGCGACAGGCACCCTCCCCCCCTCATCATACCCCAACCCCCTCAACCACCCCACCGCAAACCCAACCAACCGCTTCCCCCATCCCTTCCTCTGCACTTCCGGCAATAAATCAATATGCATATGCGCAGGGCTAAATTTAACGCAGGCTTCCGGTGCGGATTCGGGTGAATGGAGGAGTTTGATGTAGCGGGTATCTGCTTCTTTGCGTTCCGGTAACGACGACGGTGGGGAAGAAGAAGAGGGGGACGGTGATAGTGGGTAGCGTAACCGGAGAGGTGGGTACCACGTCTTTTCCGCCTCTTCCTCGAATTTACGTGTATCGCTCGCACCGAGTATATACCCCACCACTCTCTCTTCCCTCCTCTCTCCTCTTCCTTTTCCTTGTCCCTCTCCTTTTCCTCCTCCCTCTCCCTGTCCCTGTCCCTGTCCCTCTCCCTCAGCACTCTCATCCCCAGTATCAACCAACACGAACCCCCACGCCCACTCCCCCACGTTCACATACGGCAGCGCATAAACCAGCCCAGGCAGCTCGCCGTACGCGTGCATAGCTTCGGCGGAGGAGCCTGCGGAACCTGTGAGGAGACAGATAGAGGAGAGGGAGGGGGCGTCGGAGGGGGTGGCGGGGCGGATGAGGAGGGGCATTTTTTTGGGGGGTTGGCGTTGGGTTGGTTGGTTGGTTGGTTAGTTGGGTTGAGGTTGGTGATGGATGAATTCCTGAGGGGAGAGGGACTGTTTGGTAAGGGTCGAACGTTGAGCGTTGAGGTCGATGAGGAAGATAAGGAGGGACGAGGACGGGAGCGGCGGCAGGCCTAGGTACGATATCTGGATCGGTATTGGCTGTCGGGATCTGATATATGATAAGTAAGTCAGGGAATTTGGAATTCAATAAGTAATCCAATTCGAGAGACGAATACTTTGGACCTGGGGTACAATACCCGTTTTCGATGTACTTGGACGAGGTGCGAATCGTAAGTACTCGATACTCGAGTGTTTATTGTGGCAGATGTGACGATGACAGGGGCACAAGTAGAAGGCAGAGGTATGACGCGAAAGCAGAAAATTCCTATTTTGGACCGGGCCGGGTACGCGTACATGGACTCTGATTGGCTCACTACTTCGCATCTCCTCCGTCACCTCCTGGTGCGAGCACTGTTCATGATTCCGAACATCGTTGTTATATTCGGTAGGCGGGAGTAGAGGAAAGGAAGGGAGAGAACGCACTCATAGCGAAGAGAACGAGGACGATGTAGACCCAGTATTTCTGTATGAAACTCTTCTCAGGCGGAGGCTTGACGGGCTCGCCTTGAGCCGAGAGTGGCGGAGGTGTGCGCAGCTCGGGTCTAAGTACGCACGCAACGGCAGTTAAGTTCAAGTCCAGAACGAAAGCAGTGAGAGTGAGACGTACAGAGGAGGGAGAGTCGGCGTCGACGCTGTGATGGTTACATTACGCGGCGCCCAGACGGCAGCAGTCGTCTCATCTTTCGGTAGTGTCGGACATGCGCCGTCGTGAGGCGTAGGAGAAACGAAGTAGTCTAGAGCATATGGTTTGCCAGCGTTTGTGAGATGAATGACGAAGGACTCCTCGGTGCTTGTCGGCAGGAAGCACTATTTAGATATACGTGGAACGCCGCCATATGGATGTGAGCACGAGATGCGTATGCGAACGGAGGCCCGAAGGGTTTGCACACGCACTGCTTTCACGGAAGAGACGTCCCAGGGCGCGTCTGGATCGGCAGGCGCGAATGCGACTTGGTAGAGCGCGTCGTGGAGAGGCTGGGCGATGGAGGCGAAGGCCTGGAGGTCGTCGTCGAGGTGTTGTGCGGCCTCGAATGAGGATTGGCCGAAGGGGTCGAGTGAGAGCGTGCCGCGTTCAAAGAAGTTCTTGTCGTCGAGGGAAGGGTGGAAGAGCCGGTGTAATACGCGCAATTGCTCAGCAGATACGAAGACGGTGAGAGCGAGGACGGAGAGGAGCCGAGAAGCGGACGTCATCGTGGTTGAGAGCAATGAACGGTCTGGTTCGGGAGAGAGCAGATCTGGAATCCAGGCGTAGCGCGGCCGGTCGCGTGACTTGGGCTGGCTCGACCAATCAGCGAGAGCGTGCTGAGGAGAGTTGTTGCAGAGAGCTGCGAGACGTGTACATGAGATATTTGTGCTGAAACCATCGTAGCGTTTTGTCGAATGAAACGTTTCCTGCAGAGAAATGAACGAAAGCGTTGGAGGAGATGTGAAGCGTTCGATGGAGTCGACCAATGAGCGGAGGACGTGGTCCAGCCCGGTCTCGCCGCCCAATGCGGCCCTCGCAGACGACCATTGGCTGCTGGACATAGTGGATTACATAAGTGACGCGGGGCTGCCATTGGCTGTTGGGGTGATAGCAGTCGGCTCTGGACTCATCTCGCCTTGGTTCGCAACTCGTTCGAAGTCTGGCCAGCGTTCCCGTCCAATCCCTGTCAGCTCTCTTCCCAGCCCCTTCCACTGCCCGTTCGCATATAAACCGGGGGATGTCTGCCCAGATGGGTTCCCCCCACTTCGCCCCCCCTCTCACAACACTTGCTCCCCCCGCTAACTCACTCATCCCGCACTTCACTCACAATGACCGTCATGGACATTCAGATCACCCAAATCAAGCCAGAGCCTCACACGCTCCCCACTCCACCATACTCCCCTTCTCCCGAGCAGCGCGCCGTCGCTTCCTCATCCGTCGTCCTCCTCAGCGACCTCCAGTCGTTCTACCAATCCCGTTCCGTATGGGTCCACCGCACTCGTGCAGCCCTCGAGCTCGCTCTCGTCTCGCAGGGTAGAGCCGCGCTCCCCGCGCCTATCCCCGCACTCGCACTCGCTGCTCCCCAACCCCTCCAGCCCACGCCACCCACTTCCGACGATGAGCACGAGCACGAACACGAACTATCAGACCCTCGCGTTAAAGCCGAGCCCTCTTCCCCGCCACCGATCGGCAGATCAAGCGCACAGTCTCGCTGGCTCCAGCGCAAGAAGAGCTTCAAGCTCAAGCTGGAGGGCATCCAGCCCTCGCCCCTCGCACGCCGCAAGCGTTCGAGACGCAACCCAAACGCGCCTTCTGCGCACGAGACAAGCACCCGCCTTCTCGACCTTTTCGGGCAGCTCATGGAGGCACGCATGGAAAGTTGCAACCGCGTCCATCGGCTGGTGCAGCAAGCACACCGGCCAGACGCCGTTTACTGCTGATGTCGACGTTGCTCTGCTATTCGTAAGTGCCGAGACTCGCCCAGTACGACGACGTAGGACACCTGCTGACCCTTGCCTTGTCCTCATAGGTCGCTTTTCTTGTCATACCCACGACGCCCTCGCCCAGTCCAGACTGTGGCCGCCGACGCACGATCTGGATTGGGCCAGACAGGCGCTGATGCTGTGTGGGACCTCGTTTCGTGTATTGGAGGGGCGAGATGGGGATGGTCTGCCTGTCTTGCATTTATATTATTGATTTCGTCATATACGCCTCGTTCGCTCTCGATGTACTTGTACCCGTTCTCGTTGCAATCGACTTGTTCGATGTTTTCGCTTTCCTTCCCACGCTGCGTGAACCAATGAGTGACGGTCTTTCCACCGACCAAGCTGCCGGCGCCGGCTGAAAGCGGGGCTGCGAGCGGAGAGGCGTCCGGCAGTCAGCGCAATGTGGCATCACGCATTTCGGCTGTCTCACTCACTGCTCGCTATCTCTCCACTTTCTCAGCTTGTCTGCCCTTCCCCTTTTGCCACCCAGCCCACCACGTACACTCTCTCCTGCCTATGTCTGCTCGGTATGCTCCCCTTCCGAACCCTCAGTCCGACATGAACTCAAATACCGAGATGGAGGCCGCCTTTGACGACTCGGATGACGAAGATCAGCCCCTCGCCGCTCAGGAAACACGTCCTCTCAACCCACAGCCGTCCCATCCCTCAACACCAGGACCAGGGCCAGGCCCGGCCACCTACGACTTTGAGAACTTTGACTACGCAAGCTTCCCTCCACCGGGCTCGCCCCCAGGGCCCTCGACGAGAGCATTCTCGAACGATTGGGGCAACTCGAACGGTCTCATTCCTTCCACGTCAAACATTGATGCATCGTCGTACGGTCCCCGCAGCACTTGGTGGAGACGCAAGGCGGCGTCTGTCCTGCCGGCGTCGTATGTCAGGAGATGGGGCCTTGATTATGAGCATCCCCAGGGCGTCGTGGGCGGTGGTACGAACAACGATGGCGTGTTCGCCAATGTGACCGCCAAGCCCTCTCGGCCCATGCAAATTCGTGAAGGTCAGTCCACTGTCATCACCCTTTTTCTTCGACAGCGCAGTGGACTGAGTGCGACTGCGATCCCAGGCGACGAGATCTTCGTCGTCCCCGAAGATGCCCAGAAAGAAGTCCCTCCATCCTACTCATCAGCCCAAGCCGACTCCGTCCCTCCTTACTGGGAAACGACCGTCCACGCCCCGTCCTCACCCGGTGCCTTCGGCGAAATGATCATCGACGCTCTACCCACAGGCTCCCTCTTCTCCTTCCTCTGGAACATGCTCGTCTCGATATCCTTCCAATTCGTAGGTTTCCTCCTCACCTATCTCCTGCACACAACGCACGCCGCCCGATTCGGTTCCCGCGCCGGTCTCGGCGTCACACTCATTCAATACGGGTTCGCCCTCCGTGGGGCGTCGTCGGGCAGTGGCAGTGGCAGTGGTGGTGGAGACGATGCGAATGCGGACAGTTGGGGTGGGTGGAGTTTCAGGGGCGCGCAGGGACAGGGTGCGGGTGATGTGGCGGACCCGAAACCGACGTTTGATACGTTGGCGGAGGCGGAGGAGTATTATAGGAATAGGAATGTGACGATGGTGGATGGGGTGCCGACGAGTACGAGCACTGGGATGGTCGATCCTGGGACGCAGATGGCGATGGACCAGATGACGATGGTCAGCGATGCGACGACGGATTGGATCTCGTTCTTCCTCATGACTATCGGTGAGCATCCAGCTTTTCATCTCATGATTATGTGCAGAAGTGACTTAACGATTGTGCTCTGTGTAGGATGGTTCATTTTATTGACATCTGTGCTGGGCTTCTGGCGTGTCAAGCGCTGGGAAAGCAACATCATTGCTTCGCAGCGCGAGAATGCAGGGCCAGGAACCGCCGCCGACGCTCAACAACAATCTCAAGCCATCGCTTCCTCCCTCCAACGCGTCTTCGGTCTCCCCCGCCGACAAGATATCTCCGAGATGTTGCGCACCGGGCTCGGGTTCTCTTCCCGACGGAGAGACGGAGGAGAAGACAGCAGCAGCAGCAGCAATGCGCGCGGTGGATTCGACCTCGGGATCGAGATCGACGAGGAGGATGCGAGGCGTGGGCATGAGGAGGAGGAGGTGGACGAGGCGAGGGAGAGGGAGATATTGGAGAGGGAGAGGGAGGAGATGTTGCAGATGTATGCGCATGATCCGGAGAGACAGAGACAGCTTGTGCAGAGCTTTAGAGACGACGATCAGTTGTTGGCGAATATGAGGGCGGCGGGGATGCTTTGATTTTTTTTTTCGAACTCCTTCTGCCTTCTCCCTTCGTATTTTACTCTCTCGTTCGTTCGTTCGTTTTTTCAGTCGGTTGTATTGTGCTGCTGTTTATTCTCTCTCTCTTTCGTCTGTGTATACATGCGCTCTCCCTCCCGCTTGGGGATGATTCAGATTCTAGACGATATACGTCGGTGTCGATAAGGTGTGTTATTGACGATATCTATAACTCAACCCTCGACGATCTGCACCTTCTCATCTCTTCTCATCTCATCTCATCTCCCTCGGGACTAAATCCAGCCCCATCATCGGACATCCCTTCACTATTTGTCTCATCCCCTCATCTTTCACCTGGCGCCTCCATCCACGTCACCTACATAATCCATTGAGACACACACTTGCACCCTCCCTTGACCTTCCACTATCATAACCCTACATAGATACACACATACATACACACAACCAGTCGAAAGAAGATTCAAGAGTAGCAGTCCCCCCGTTCTCGTCAGTGTACAATTAGTCTTAGTCTTACTTATTCACGATTCACGCTTCGCTTTACAGTCGTCACAGTTGAAAAATCCGTTACTTAACCTACTTATACCGCTCTCTCCCTCTCTTCCCTCCTCTACCTCCCTGTGCTCTATCTCTTTCACGGGCCGTTACAACATCTCAACTTGCAACTTGTGGACCCTCTCTGTCTCGTCTCGCCGATCCTAGCCACTCATTCACTTTTTTTTATTCTTCTCCGTTCAATTTATCTGCTTCGTTGAGGCTCGCATTGTGATCGTGTCTGTCTGCGTGTCTCAAGTAAGCTATTAATATCGTTTGTTGTTATAATCATAATATTAATATCTGCTGGTGGCCCCCGAAATCCTGATTGGGTGCCACAGTAGTTTGATAGGGGCTGGCGTCGGAAGTTCGTGTGGCGCCGGAAGTTCTAGGAAGGCGATTGGTTGAGGCCTGCTCCAGCTCGAACGGACTTCAAGTTGTTCACCGACGAGAATGGCACTTCGGTTTCTTGTTCTTGTAGTCTCGCTGGGGTGATAAGCCTTGTATTGCATGAACTGCTGTGGTGCTCCGTCCCTGTCCCTTGTTCTTCATGTCCTGCCCAGCGCTCAGTAGGCTACATACTGGGCTCGTTGTGAGCTATTCTGCTTTTCTTCTCGATGCACATCGTTCTCTTGGTGCTCAAGTTCCTCCCGACCGCGGTGATACCTAGTCCTTCATCGGGCGTATTTTTGTCCGTCATCGACCCTGTGCCTCCCATCTATCAGTAGCAGGATGGACAGTTTTGGCATCCTTCCCATTGATTCCTATATCTGCCCTCGGCGTTTCTCATGCATCTGTCCCGCTCGACTTGACTGGAAGATGTCAATCCTCCCGAGCGGGAAGGAGGAGTTCCTTGTAGGTCTCCCTAGCATCGTTGTTATAGCGAAGGAGCACCTCCCTCCTCGCCGACTCGGACTCGCCGACTCGGACTCGCCGACTTTACACCATCATGTCTCGAGCTCAGGCTGTCGACGGTGCTGCCCTCACTGGCCCCGCTACGTTCTTAGAACGCTTACAGGTCGTGAAGGACGCCTTGTTACTTCGTGAGTGTCCATCGCATGCCTTCTCTTGTCCTGCAGAGATCATATAACGACAGCGACTTGTCTTGGTATCCACCCCATCTTCAGCTTTCGTCATCTTCGTCGGTCTGTTCAGACCAGAGAACAAAGCCCGTCCGTTCGCTCGCGCCGTATACGATATCACGATCCGCTATATCGCGCATCGCGGCTGGAACATTCGGCAGTGGCTCTTTTTTCTTGGGGCACGGAACTCGACGGAGGTGTATGATGCGTGGGCGCGGAAGAATAAAATGGAGAATTTGACGGATGAGTTTGGGCTCGAGGGTGAGGAAGGAGGAGGGGCGAAGCTGCATTGGGTTGGAGCGCGGAGTTATGAGAGGGTGTTGATTTACTGCCATGGTGAGCGTTTGAGTCGTCAGTAATGAAGCATTATGGGATACTCACGGCGGGTTCAATAAGGTGGAGCGTTCTGTCTTCCTGCTAATCAGGACCAGCACCTTGGTTTCTTGAGTGCTGTGAAGCGTGAACTCGAGAAAGCGGGAAAACCGACCGGAGTCGTCTTCCTTCCATATTGTCAGTACCTCCACTTCACTCCAACCATATCTCCTTCAGCCTCTCATATTTTTCTCTACGACAGCTCTCGCGCCGTTCGTGCCGTTCCCTGCCCAACTTCGTCAAATCAACGCGGTGGTAATTCACCTGTTAGCTAAAGGAGCATCCCCATCGAACATCATCCTCGTAGGCGATTCCGCCGGCGGGAACCTGACTCTCCAGTTCCTATCGCACACCCTGCATCCCCTCCCTGGCATCCCCGCACCTCCGACCCTCTCCACCCCACTCGCAGGCGCTCTCCTCATCTCCCCCTGGGTAACCTTCGGGACCGACTACCCCTCCTTCAAAGAAAACGACACAGTCGACAACATCAATCAATGCACTCTCGACTACATGGCCGGTCTCGTGACGCCGGGGGTACCCCCAGGCCAGGAGCAGTGGTTCGAGCCTATCAAGTCCGATGAGACGTGGTGGCACGGGCTGGATGGGAAGGTGAGGAGGGTGATGTGCACGGTTGGGGAGTTCGAGTGTTTGAAGGATCCGATTGAAGAGTTTTCGATGACGCGGTTGAAACCGAATGTCAAGGATTTTAGTTGGTTGGTGGAGAAGAATGGGACGCATATTGATTTTCTGTGTGATTTTCAGGTGAAGGAGGGTGGGAGGGGCGAGCCGTATTGGAGGGTTATCTCTTGGTTGACGGACACTTTCCAGGGTTGAGGATGGGCGCTTTTATCACTGCGTTGAGGCTGTATGTAGTTAGCTTTTGAACTTGTGCAACCGAGGACAGCTCCCCTTGCGCTGACAGGCGTGAATCATGGTACAAGACACAGTATAAAGGAGCATCCATTATGGGACAATGAGTATAAACATGAACATAGGTAGGAACATAAGCGGGGTAACTGCATAGCATTTATAAAATTCAAAACGGAGAACAAATCTCAAGGGATGGTCATGTCATAAAAGAAGAAGACAACAATAGAAGGAAGTACACTCTCGGGCTCCGTCGAGACAGTCCGTGCATCCCGTTAACGAACTTACAACCACTGAGACTTGTCCCAGGAGGGATCCTGGAGGAACGCGCAGAGTACCTTGCTCCCAGTCTGGGCGAGCACGCAATAAGCGACAATGCATGACGATAGACGACGAGAAGGAATTCAGCCACCTCATTCATATGCCGAACCCACTCTACGAGCATGTTCGTAGAAAGATGAAAACGCACCTGAAGCAATGGGTGGCCAGCGACCACGCTCAAGAACCTCTCGAGACCCTCTCGCCTGGCCTCGATGACTTCGTCCGAGAAGCGGTTGGTGAACACCTTGCCAGGAAGAGGAGGAATGTTCACGCGGCTAGATTCACGCTCGAGGATGTCGCGGAAGGCTTCAAAGTCGGAATATCGTCGGCGAACCAGAGAATGACGCAGCTTGAAAGCAGGGATGTTTGTCTAGCAGGGTGTACAATATGTTGAGCACAAGTACGATGACGCCGGAGCCACTGTCGACCATACGCACCTTGCACACGATCTCGTAATCAGTGTACATCTTCCTCCCAAAGCCTGTGTATCATTCATAAGCCTAGCTCCACTTGAAATGGATTGTATCATGAGCGGACGTACCGTGGGTTTGTGGGTTTCTAACTTCAATCTCGAGGAAGCTCTCCGGGACACTGTACATCTCCTCGATCTAGGTAAACTCAACATCTGACGCCTGATAACCTACTTGCTTTACATTGCGCACCGTTTGACCGCGACCAGAGAGCAGTGGTTCCTCGAAGGCGCTGCTCCGTGCAAAGGGGGATACAGTCGTCATCGTGAGCGGGGGTGGTGGGTGTGAGGTAGCTGTATCGACTGCTATAGGCGCCGCAGGTGGTGGCCAGTCCCTGCGAGAGATAGTCAATATAATGGATGGTTAGTTTCCGTGGTCATGTTGGGTGTATGCAACAGGACAACGACTGGGGAAATACTGACCAAACGGAAGGTCTACCAGTTAAACTTCGTCAAAGCTGCTCTTAGTTCGTCTGAGAAGAGCGAATACAGTCAGAGATACGCCACAGGTCACTGCTGTGCCTCTCTCGCGTGGCGCGCACGTGTATACAATAGGAAGGGCTAGCCACAGTCCCGGTTTCGATGTCAGTTTTTGTACTCGATCTCTCATATCGACTGGAGCGATATATTCTTATGAGCTACCTTCTCATCGCATACCGTGAACTCTCTTCTTGAACTGTCACTCTTGGTATCTTCGCATGTTCTCCAGGGCTTACTCCAGACTCGAATGACCGTCGCGGTGTGCTCTATTCAAAGATCTCGGTTCATCAGTGCCCACACATCTAGTCAACCTAAACGGGATGCTATATTCACCTTTTCCTGCGAACATCTCACGACGAGTAGAAGGGTAAATCTTACAAATTCGAACGAGATATGGACCCGCCTTGTGCTTCGTCAGTGCAGGAGGTTGGCCCTTTACCCACCATGGATAGAACCTTAATTTCTTAAGCTTCTTGAAGTTTGTGAAATGCTCTCAGTAGTCTTCCTAGCCTGGGTGGGCACGGTCACGTCGATCGATTTTCCTCACCTCTCTGAACCCCCCTCATCGTATGAGCGTCTGAAGGTGCTCAAAGACCTGCTATTTCTGCGCAAGCTACAGTTGGCATTTTCCCCACCATCGCAGAATGAACTTACTTATACTCCCGTACAGCCTTCGCCCTCATGATCGTTCCGTTCAAAGATGAAAGTAGGGGACGTTCATGGCGACGACCTGCCTACGACTCTTCCGTCCACTATATCGCATCGTGTTCATGGAATCTTGGTCAGAATCTTTCCATCCTTGGTACCGACTAGACGGAGGTTTACGATGCCTGGACCCGAGAGAGGTAGGCAGATAACATCGGGGACGCCATAGGCTAAGGTGCGAAGCTACATTGTGTGGGCCCCAGGTGCCACGACCGTGTGTTGCTTTGAATGCATGGCAAGTAGTACAGGCGCATGCTTTCCGCATACTATCTTGAACCCCGTATTGATGGATTCCAATTTTGGCAGGTGGTGGGGTTGTTTACCTGCACATCCTAATCAGCATCTGGATTTTCTCTCCGGCATTCAAACTACATTCGAACGCGCTAAAACTCCGGTCGGAGTAGCCATGTTAGCGTGTTGTGCGTGTATCGATTACTTGGTTCAACTACACGAAGTATGTACTGCTTCCGAGATCCTGGCGAGGTGGCGCTCACACCGTCTTCGCCATTTCCGGCAGAACTCCGTCAGGTCACTGCAGCTGTTAATCATTGACTCGTCAAAGGGGTCTCTCCGTCCAGGCTGATCATAGGAGGAGATTCAGCTGGTGGCGATCTGGTTCTCCTGCTTTTGTCTCATTCTCTTCACCCGTTTCCCCTCCTGACTGTTCGTCACCACTCGCCGACGTACTACTTGTCTCTCAGTGGGCATCGTTCCGCATGGACTGGCCATCATTAAAGAGTAACGATGAAAAAGACACTCTCAGGCTTCGGATGTAGCCTGGTGGAAAGGACTAGATGTCTTGGTGACGATGACGATGAACACTGTGGGAGGGGTAGTGTCTTCGAGATCCCATAGAGGAGTTCGCCGAAGACAAGGCTTGAAACGAACATCAAGGCTCTCACTTGTTTGGTGGAGAAGAATGGGGTGCACATAAAATTTTTCTATAACATTATTGTTGATGAGCGCGAGCGGAACATTGTAGATCAAGATGCCATGTCATGGTGACAGGATACTTTCAGTGAACCCTGAGCTGGCAGTGTCTACTCTTGTGTTATCGTACATGATTCATTGTCGATCTATTGCTCAACATCTACCAATCCGCAGATAATCCTGTGTCGTCCATCGGCTAGTCCTTCTATAAACCGTGTGTGAGGTCTTTCTCCGTTTCCGTCAAATGTAGTCTAATTCTATAAAGGTCCAGACGTTAACATAGAACCACGACCAAGAAATGAGTACATACTATGAAGTCACGAGTCTGTCCAAAGTATTTGTCCAGAGTGCGATATCTGTTGCCTCCGATGCAAGCATCACAGAGGCACCTTCCTGTGAAAGGCCGTAGATGCTTTCTTGCAACGCAGAGCTTGTCGCTTCGCCCCGATGGACATCCGCCAATATCGCTGTCGGCACCAGGTGGAGTGTTTCGTTGAGTACGTCCATCGCATAACTATCAGAGAAACCAGCCGCAAGGTTGTGTATGATGGTCGCAGTTGCTCCAACAACCAGTATAGCGTCCGCTTTGGGCAAAGAACCTCTCGGTCGAGATGAACCCTGGTGGTCGGTTTGCACAGGAATACCCGTCTGGTACTCGATATCGTTGCGGTCAAACTGTTGGACAGCTTGTGGAGAGGAAATGACGCGAACTCTCCAACCACGGACGTGTGCATGGGCAATGAGGGCGCTCAAGATGTGCGTCGATATTCCATGGCGTCCGTCACAGACGAACAGGTAAATCATCTTGGTGGCTTCAGATGTCGCGATGCGTGCAGGCCTGCCCGGCACTACAGGCCGACCTCCGTAGACACGCCCTGAAGCCCTGTAAATAGCTATTGAGCGCTCGTTGACCTTTCTCTGAAAGAAAAGCTATTCTTACTGAATAGCGTCAATAGCGTCCAAAGATGTCATCCAGGGGAACGAATTGAGCTTGCCACTGCCAGAACCAGCTGCATGTGGCTCAAAGCCATGTCTTCCTAGCAGAACGGCGATGCCTCGGTCATAAAGCGCACGAACACTCTCTTGAAATGGACGGCGACTGGCAAGACTGGTGTTGACGAAAGGGAGAATGGCTGTCGGTATCGACGTAGTCTCGATCTGTGTTAAAACGTCCATGGGCCCATTGAGCATGAGACGACGACGGGCAAGCCGATTTATGGTGTTGAATGTCGCTGGGGCTATGATAATTGCGTCGGGCTGTGTGTGTGCCGTCTGTTCGTTGACGATGTCATCGTCGGAGATTCCGAAATATCTAGCAGCGCGGGGAGTGAGGCTGGTTCGAACGTCCCAGCCGTGCTGTCGAGCAAGCGAGACAAGCTGTCGGAAGAGTGGCGCGGGGCCTGCAGCGCACACGATGATCCTCAAAACCTTGGCCATACTACACACGCAAGAGAGTGAGCTCGGTTTGTAGAAACAAGGATGATAACAAGTAGCCTTTGCCTGCTAAGCCAATTTGGGACAACGTCCAGAAGAGTGCCGAGGGTGGCGAAGGTTGTGAGGAATGCTTGTAGATTGTGAGCGTAGGAAGCAAAAATGGAGATAAGATAATTAGTCTGCAAGGTTCAACTGAACAAGAGCAGGGTCTGGTGAAGGTTATGAAATGAACATTCTCTAGATGTGCGCTGAAATATGACTCGGAGTTTATTTGATCGTTCAGAGAACTCCGCCTTTCACTGCCTCTGCTAAGGGGTTTATCATGACAATCAGCGTTTCATAGTATACGCGTGTCCTTGCTTTCAGCCGAAGCGTTATAAATCGTCATCACGGGAAGGCACAAAGGTCCTAGAGGCCCTAGGCTGTGATACAAAGCAACGTCAATAAAGAAAGGTATATGTCATGGAAATGATATAGATGGAATATCTGATAAATATGACACGGGGACACCCTCAGGGATGTGCAACGAACGAGGAAGAATGTAAGGAGCAATATAATGCTCTGACTTCCGCGGCCTGCGCCTGCTTCTCATCCGGCAGATAATTCCATATTAGGACAGGAGCGGGTCGGACGCTCTTTTCCAGCTCTTTCCTGGCTCGGTTCAAGAGATGCCGACAAAATCGGTCATGCTACGAGGAAGGGTCAGCATTGACCACCAAAAGGAGCGACACGGTTGATTCCCACCTCGATCCGGACATGGGGTTGAAGAAGAACATATGACACTTGAAAGTGAAACAGGAGTTGCCCGAGGTCGTGCGCCAGTTGCATGCAAGTCCAGCTTGGACCCTGCGTTATGGGAAGGTCATCACGGGCTGCGGCCGATATCAAGGGAGAAAACATCGACGCCAAGGCCTGACGAGCATCGTCTCGCACAGACTCGAAAGAAGGGCAAGAATGATGACACTCATCACCCATGCATGCATGCAAAGCGAAGTGATGACCCGTCTATGGAAAGGTTTTCTGTTCGTCAGACCCTTGCTTATGATACATTGAGGCTAGGACTCACTACTGCCATAGCCTCCGTCTGATAACCCACTACCTTACACAGATAATCGTGGTATGCGCGAAGCAGCTCAAGGACAGACGGTCCTTCGTTGTTGTTGTGATTTTGAACAGCCAATAAGACCTATACGTGACTGACGTGAGAAGTTGGTTCGGAATACTGTTCCATATGGGAACTCACAGCGATAATCCAGTCTTGCACACTGTCCACACAAGACTGGCGCAGCCGCTGAGGAATACTTATGTTAGCTGATGACAACAACAGAGGTAAGTCTGAAAGACTCACGTCGTGAAGTCGAGCCACGAGCTCAAACTCTAGTCCGGCGTTACCGGGGTGATATAGAATGAGCTTCATTCTTTTCAACTCTGACAGAGAGTTTGGTGCGGAAGGATCGGGTACAAGATCCAGATATCTGCGGCGCCCAGACCTAAATGATGTTAGAATATCAGCATGACATGATTATTCGAAAGGAGACAAAGGCGTCCAGACCTCAGATCCAGCGAATTACGGTAGTCCTGACGGATCCACAGAAAGTTCGTTTCAGACCGAGAGCGAGACGATGGATTTAGTTGACCCAAACTCCATGCAGCCCGCTTTTGACGCTCGGTCTGGAAGTGAGAGCCCAATAGCTGGATGTCCAACCAGGATGTCGACGTAGTTACGTCTCCAACGGGTTCCATTAACGTGAAGTCGATGATCAAATCCGTTTTCAAGCTGGCGGGAGCTGCATTGGCACTTGTTGGATCTTGTGCGTCCAGATCCTCACGAAGGACAGCTAAAAGCCCGACGACAAGGTCCTGGCCACCGTCCGCTATCACAAACGATTGCGTGGCGGCGAAGACTGTGGTGTTGTTGTCATGCAAAGTGGCGATACGCAAAGCAAAATGGGCCACGCAGTCTTCGAGTGCGCTACTCTTGCGGTACGGCAATACAGCCGCTTCGCAGATGCACTTGTACCAGAATTGAGCAACTCTGTGCTCGGGATCGGGAAGGCTAATAACAGTAGATAATTAGATTGAGATCATTAAGGGCCGACGATGCCGACGTACTCTTCATTATCGTCTACGATGCCAACGCGGCATCTCGCACACAGCAGTCCACCTAGCCTCCTGGAGTTTAACCTAGCAGCCAAACGAGCCGTGGGAGATCGCGCGTATGGACTAGCCCGACTTGGACCTCCAATATCTGGAATAAAGACGGGTCAGAGCGGTTAGATAATTTCGGAGTAAGTTAGTAAGATTTACCTGAAGGGTAAAAATACATTAAACTCCCCTCGTGGGAATAGGGTGACCCTGTTACAGAGGCTGGATATGGTTGTGGCGGTATGATGAGTCGTTCCATCGATGGGCGACCCCCTCTAAGTCGTATGGGGTCTGATTCTGCGCTACGACTAAAATAAAACCAAAAACAATACATTGTTACGACTGCAAGAGACAAAACAGGGGACGAGTCAAACCTCCTGCTGCGAAGCCCTAGGCTCGCCTCCCGCAGTGCCCTCGACACTTGGTGATACATAGGTTCCTCTGATTGCGGAAGACGATCATAGACGATGGCACAATACCGTTGGCCGTTTGTAAAGCGGAAAGCCCAGGTAAACTTAGAAAGTAGGCCTGGAGTCACGAGATTAGAGATAGATCCTAAAACAGGTATACTAACAGCACACGTAGACCAACCGACCTCCTTGGTATATCCGAATCTCGTAGTCCTCAGCAATTTCTGTATAGGCATCCTCTGTTGTACCCGAGTAATTGAGGGTAGAGGGAAATGTGCCGAAAATCAGTCATCCATCAGGATAATAAAAAATTAGTTGATCCTCACCTTCGCGGAACCGATGTCTACTCTCGTCCAACCATCGGAATTCTTTTTCATCAAGTTTGACCACAAATCGACTTCCAACCACGATATCGGGAGATGCTGGGGGCCAGCCCAGAATGCCATTAGTGTTGATAGAAGTTGAGACATATTCCTGCCAATCGCGTGCAGATGTATACGCCATTGTGCTGCGCGACCACGTTCGAAGTCGAGGGAGAAAGAGGAAGGGAGAGAGAGAGGGACAACACCAATGACTCGGGTGTCCTAGGATTTAATGCTGTACATTTGCATAGCTTGCCCGGTCCTGAAACGATCTGTGTAGAATGATCTAAGTGATTACTCCCCCGGCAGGAGCCTTGCTATGCTTCCATGTGTTGGAGCCAGGAGATGGGAAGGCAGCTGCACGAGGTATCTTCATGGGCGCTTGTGAGATCATGATCCAGCGCATCACATCATCCTAGCAGTGAAGGACTGAGGAAATGATAGCATTCCCAGTATCGTGGAAGCAAGTAATTCGTCGTGCGACCAGTGAGTAAATAAATGATTACAATGTCCAGAGTAGCAGACCAAGGGAGGCCAATAGAATCTAAAGGAGAGTAATACTTTAAGATAATGCGAACTAAACACCCAACCTGAGAAAAGCGAATATTCTCAATACATCGACACGACTGGAGATGGAAGGAAACACACCTCCTCTTGCTGTGCTCATAGACAAGATAGGAAATCGACACGGAAGGAATGACCTTATGGAGGGTATACGTGAGCAAATTAACTCCACCAGCGCTGATCCGGAGACTGACCTTGGCTAATGTGGGCAGTAACCCGCGATAGAACCCACGCCAACCATCTCGCTCGTATGTTTTCAAAATCACATCCCTGATGCCAGTATATCTCTGAGGATGCCCAGGCGACCCAGAGGCCTGCAATCGTGTGCGAACGAGGTTCATAGGATAGACGCTCGTGGCCCCAACGCTTCCGGAGACGCTGCCGAAAGCCAATAAGGCGAGAACTCCCGGTTCCTCTTTGCCTGTAGATCGCAGGTAGGCCAATTTAAGCGCTTCGAAGGTGCTCATGTCGATGGCGGAATAGCTGGTGGATCGTGGGCATGAGTCGGCCGTATCAAATGTGTAAGAAAAGCACGAACGGAAATACACCAATCAAGCCGATCTGGGGGAAAAGGTGTACATCGTGAGATTCAAAAAGAGGTCAATCCAGCTGGGAAATGTCGTACACCAAGTCCTCTGTAATAGGCCCGAAATCCACCAAGACCCCAGAGGCGTTTGGCAGCAGAAGCCAGAGTCCTGCGGGGCTCTCCGGTGCTACTCATCATCTGGGTCTGTTGCGAAAACAAATCAGTCCATATATAGCCGGAAGAACAGCTCGTGCGATGATATACCTTCAGTGTTTCGATGGGATATATGCCTGCGTGTCAGGGAGGTAAGAGTGTGGCTTGAGGTATAAGCCCACTCAATCAGGGGCACGCACTGAGTTGACTAGCAATTCCACCCATTCCACCACTAAGAAACCTTGATGTCCCACTTATGTCTCTAGGATCATCTACAAAGTCGACGTATCGTGCGAACATCCGTTTCTAGAGCAGAGCTTCAACGCGAGCAAGGAAGTTAACCTCAACGACAAGACGAACGGAGGTTTCATAGGTATAGAACTTGATGGCGGATTCGGGAAAGATCTTAGCGACCGATAATCCGTTTCCGACCCAGAAAGCCAGAACGCCCCCTTCAGCGTATATCCGTGCGATAGCATTTGCAATAGCCTTCGTTCCCTGTACTGGTGACGCGGAGGAAAGTGCAGTCCCTCCCAGATCTGGCGGTCGAGTGATAAGGAAAATCTTCAACCTGTCGAAGGGCGCAGTGCACGTTCGCGACACTGTCCCATTAGCGTGAATAAGGCGGCCATAACAGTAGAAAATATAATGCCCACCTGCGCCGGCGATTCCACCTGCCAGAAGGAACCTGAGCGCTGTGCTTTTCAGCCACGAATGATGGTCCTCCTCAGGCTCATCATCCACAAAGAGTTCGTCCTCCTCGTCGCCATCGAATCCTTCCTGGTCGTGGTCTATTGGCGTCGCCGCAGCGTCAACGAGAGGAGAGGACTGCGGTCTTGCATCTGGTGGTTTGTCCTCTGCGCTGAGGCTGACGTCCCCTGGAATTTTGGCGTATCAGCACGAGTGATGACAATAGAACGATTGTACTCACCTTCCATGGTCACTCTGGCAGCCCCTCTGCCGTCATCTCCAAGGAACTTCTTAACTTCATAATACTGGTATATCTCTGCTGGCGATACCTTCCGCGGGAGGAGTAGCAAGAAGTCCCGAAACTCGCGAAAGCTGATGGAATGTGAATGTGGAGATGAAGTCAACGATGCCATGAAGTCGGATAATGTGGAGGGTTCTAAAGGAATTCCTGTAGCCATAATAAAGGCGATGTTCAATCACGATTTCCATGTCTATGTAGCGCACAGAGCACACCTGCTTTCTGGAGTGCGAGGCGTAGTTCCTCGGGGTCAAGGTGGCCATTACCGTCGAGATCGAGTTCATCGTGAAACACCCTCCAAAGCTCTATATAGCGTGAGATGCGTATTATCAGAGGACAACGCTAAAGTAACGCACTCACCAACCTCCTTATCCTGAGCATAAGTCACGAACTGCTTCCACGGTATCCGCCCTGGCGTCTCGTTGCCGCAACTGCCTGCCAACTCCTGCTCATACATATTTCGTATCTTCTTCGCGCGCTCAGGCGTGAGCGACGCGTAGTCCTTGACTATCGACGAGCCGCTAGCATTTGGGTCTTCATGGTCTGGTGAGTGTGGTTCCAGGGGTGGTAGTCTCAGCCAAAGTTCGCGTAAGCGCGCTTTCCTATTGGCCCTGCCTTCCTGCTCGCGAAACTCAACGAGACTGTGAGGAAGTGGATGGTATGGAGTAGAGTCCGATTTCAATCGAGGGACAAATGGTCGGTCTTGAGAGCCTGACAGAGTATCATCGTAGAGATTCCGGGAGGAAGGTCCCTTCTCAGAGGGATTGGACATGAGAAGACGGAGATCAAGTGCAGAACGAGCGACGCCGTGAGAGGGAGATTTGAGACAAAGTTTCTAATTGAATAAGTGCTTGTTTTCCGCGACGGAAGGCCGTCCTAGTGTTGCATCATGTAGATACAGGTTAGCGAGGATGAGGGGAGGTCGAGAGTGCGATGTTCTGCAGACGCACACAACAACTTCCGGTAATGACCATGACCAATTCGAGTAAGTATCGGTCACCGCTTGACGGACTAAAGACGCGTCAAGCACCATTAATGAAGAGTAATATCCATGCAGTCTAAGGGTAGTATATTTAATTAAGCAGGAAACGTATGAACTGTGCTGTGTATCATCAACCCGACATGTATGTTACATCCCAGTGGTTTTATTCGTAGTGAAGCGCTTTCTGAAGACCAATGAGATCCATCGGCCAATCCCGACGATTGTATTCCGCACCATATTCCAGCAAGATCTCTCGGACGTACTGTCTTCACGACGCCTCAACCTGTTCAACGCGTCGCTCGACAGAGAGTGCATAGCGATGGGAGAAGGAAGAGAAGGTTCGGCCTTGTGTGGCTCCAAGTCTTCACTCGATTCGACAACCTTGAGGAAGCTTTTCCACCTCTTGTAAACGGGCAGAGTCCATGACGATTCCGTCCTCTCGTGAGCAAAAGATGACTCTATTGAGGTAGCCGCCTCCGACGATGAGGCAAGGGAGTTCTTGTCCTTGAGGTCCGCGGTCACGATGGGGTGGCCCACCAAATGCTCGTGAGAACTTTGGATGCGCGGTAGTGGAGGGTCAGGATAGATCTATGAGTAGATGAGTCAATAAACAGCAAAATGAGAGTGGAATCCTGGCTAACCATACGGTATGGACTATGCTCATTCAACCCGCCAGCGGAAGAAGGCATCCAAGACTTGGGACGATTGGATGGCAGTGGAGGTGTCGGTGGGTGGTACAGCTGGGGGAATCCCTATAAGCACATGTCTATGCAGTTTAACCTGATCCACACACCTGAGGAAGCGAGGGCTTTCGCATCTTGTCGACAAAGGTCGAGTCGGTTGATGACGATGTGTATATGGAAGACCACGCTGTTGAGCCAATGGTCTAATTCCGACCGATAATGGTCAGTCATGAACGTACACGATATCAGATCTTGAATTGCTCACCACTTTGAAGACTGGTTTGTTCTCCTCTGCCGCATTGGCGATTGAGCCTTTCCGTGACACAGACGGTGTCGGTTGGTTGAAAGCTTGATCGATGATATCCTTCCAATTGTCGGGAAGCTGTCATGAGTGAAGGCGGGGTCCAGTTTAAGCATTCGTGAGCACAGAAAATCAGAAAATAACGTACCGGAGGCATACTGCTCTCCCCACCAACTTCGATATTCCCACTCTCCACTCCATCCTGCGAAGCAAGACCTTGACGTGGTGATAGAGGAGGTGAAGGGATGTACTTCGGAACTGGCTTGCGCCAACCCTTCACGACAGGGCTTTTGACACTTGCCGAGGAAAGCATCCGTCTAGGTCTCCAATTGAATAATAGAGATTGCAGGAGGTGAGGAGTTTAGGAATCAGGCAGGGAGGGACCGTAAGGTCACAATGCAAGGGATGCGGTCCTGAACCAGCTGGAGAGGAAGAAGGCGTGGGGTTTTATAGTATTGTGACCCATGTTGGCACCATGAGACCAATCGAACTGACACAAAGAACAAAGGCAAAAAGGGAAGTGAAAGGAGTCTGCGCCACAGTTGCGAACACGCTAGAGACAGGCGGCTCGGTGGCACTTTAGGTAACAAAGCACTGGAAAGCAATCGAGAATCTTGCGGGAGACAATTGCGTCCTGATAGTCAAGCACAGGAGAAAACAACGGCGGGCAAGATCATAGCATCGGACGCGAAAACCCAGGTGGTTCACACTCCCCGGTTGCGCGTATCGTGCGTTTCACAGAGCTAGAAAACCATCAAAGCAAGATTGCCAGCTACCGGAGACAGCGCTCCCCTGTTTGATTTTCTGTCCAGAGAACAAACAAGACTGTCTGTAGTAGCATGGGTGTGATAAAACGCGTTGTTGACTCGGCTGTGAGTGACGCACACAACAATCTGACCGCAACTTGCCGTACCAAACGGTGCCACAACGTCTGGCTGTGGCCATCATCATGATTCATCTCCTTTGAGGCGCTGCAGTCATGTTCAAGCCTCAGCATACCCATCCATTCACACTAGCGGAAGTCGTTCTTCTTGACCCATTCACCATCACAGAAGGTATCCTGTCTCTCCTCTTCCATGACCTAATCACGAACAAACTAAATGACACGACCCCTCAATCCTAGAGATTGCCCGCCTTCAGAACTCTCTCCAGCATCTTAGAGAAACTCAAGATCAGCTTAGGGAGCACATACAGGGCTCATCCACACCTGATCCTGATTTTTTGCAGGCTATCGGGGAGAATGAAGTTGTCATGTACGTGGACGTTCGATTGTGGCCCACGAATATCACACTTAATAGCTATCGGTGTCACAGAGGAGCGCAAGAAGAACGTATCCTTATTCTGAGACGAGCTCTGGTACAAAAGGGCGTAATATCCGAGTCTACGAGCCACTACGATGTACTGTCCCCACATCCACAGACACAGGCATCACCCCCTGCAGCTGCAAATCGGGATGCGCCACCCACACAAACGGGAGAGGAAGAGGAAGGGATCATTCTGTAATTTCTCGGCCTCTTTGATGCCAAGTCTCTATTGCGATCACACGATAATGATCTTGTACACACACATGTATTACAGCGCTTTCGAGGCAAGGTCCTCTTTCGACAACAGATAAAATACAGCTACAACACATTGAAGTCTTGGAGCGCAGGAGCACACGGAACAAGAAATACGAAAATTTATGCATAAGGGAGTACAAACATACGGTGGGTTATTGGTCTGCGGAATCAGTGCCGTCTGCGAGCAGCCTTGGGTTTCGGTGTTTGGGCTTGAGCGGGTGCGGTGTCCTATGCAATGGCTAGCATCCGCGAACTCGAGTAAACCGATTCGTACAACTCACCTTCTTTCCTGCACCTCCGTTTTGACGAGTGTTCGGTTTCTGTAAAGATGTCAATGACCTGTACTTGCCCTGCCGTAGGCAGATATGGGGTTATGGGTCTACCTGGCGCCTGGTTGATCGCTCGCCGTCCTGCTCGCTCTCTTGTTTCTTCTGCGGTCGATCACGCTTTCCCAACGCGAAGGGCACATCATCATCATCCTCTGCATCAGATATTTCGTCGTCGTCTTCATCTTGGGCAGTTATCCTAGAGAAAACTGGACGAGCGGTGGGGCCAGCATTGACGGGGCGTGCTAGAGGAGCGTCACGCATCGGCGCAGGAGGCGGTCGAGCTTGGATGGGACGAGTTTGGGCCGGCGTCCTCACTGAAGGTTGGGCTTGGTACTGAATGCGAGACGGAACGAATGTAACAGGCTGGTCATTCTCGGCCTGTATGAATGTCCAAATATGTTTTGAGTGAAAGCTCTGCAGAGCAGACCAAAGTCAGGCGCACCGGTCCGTCACTATCAGGGGCCTGAGATGCTGGAAGCTCTGGAGCAACGGAGCCTATATCTAGGACGGAAAGGTCGTGCTCTTCCGAGAGCTTGTTCTGGACCATGTTCTTCAGTATCCTGAGCACAACAAGGAAAGTGAATAGCGAAAGATAGCCAAAAGACCAACCTCGTTCAAACGGCGAGCAAGACTCTTTTCCAAAAATGCAATCTTCGATTCCAGATCGGATATTTTGTTACCCATCTGTGGACACGAAAAAAATCAGTAAAAGGCAGACTATGAGAAGATCACCAAGGTACTGTACCCGTTTCAACTCGTTCTGCTTCTCCAAAATCTTGTTTTTGTAGCATGTCTCCGTCACTTCTTCAATGATACGAGCAAACGACTTCTCGGTGTCGGTAAGATCACCACTGTGATATCTCTCGGACAAGGTTTGCGAACGAGCCTCCAGTTCGACTTTCGCTCGGGTAAGTGACTCTACTCGGGTCGACATACTCTCCATTTCGGCGTAACGAGTTGAAGCTGACTCCTCCGCGACCTCCTTCAGCCTCGTGACGTCGGCAAGCTGGATTTGCGCCGAAGAGAGCTGCTCCCGCAACTTAGTGGTTTCTACTGATGCTCTGATCACCTCCTGCTCTGCATGTGTGGCCTGTGCGCGTGAATCGACCAATTGAGACTGATGTTTGTCGCGCTCTTTCTCCAAACGAGTCTCAAGATCCTCCTGCTGGCGCTTCAAAGAGTTCTGGGCCTCGTGAAGGCTGCGTTGCAGCGAAGCTACCTTGGACTCCAGATCGCTGTTGACGCGAATGAACCTTTCTTTCTCGCCTGCGAGTATAGACTGTACAGCACTATCAATTAGGCACACTGTGAGTAGAGGAAACATAACATACTGCGTGCTGTTTCTCGGAGGTTGCCAAGCGCTCCTACGTCGAAGACAAGTCGTGAGCATTCTTGATAACAGAAAACGTCACGAAACCTACCTGCAAGTCTCCATTCGTCTCTTTGACAAGACGTAAAGTAGTTGACTGGTCCTCATAGCGCTCTTGCAGAACCTGCATGCGAACCTGAAGCTGTTGCATTCTAGATCCAGAAGAGAGTGAGCGACATCGCACAAGTATCATGTGTTGATATTTACTGTTCTCTACACGTGCCACCTTCTGCTCGAGCATCATCCAGTTGATGTTGAAGAGCCTTCAGATTCTCTTCTCGAGCCGCTAAATCGGCCGAAGCTTGCCCTTTCGCTGTGAGAGCAGCTTCGAGGCGAGTCTTCACGACGTCGAACTCGCCTCGGAGATCTACGATGGATTGGTTGCGTGCGGTGTTCTCTCCGTCCAGCTGAGTGCATCTAAACCGGAGAAGCTTGAGTAGAAGGCCCAACGACGAGGCATACATTGTTGGCGATGATTCACCTCGTTTTGAGTTGCTCGATAGTACCCGTCATCTGATCGATGGTCCTTCGGCAAACCTGCTCCTCAGCTTTCAAGTGATCAATCTCCGTCAAGCGTTCGTTAGAAATAGCCGCAACGGTCGCCCATCTAAATGCATAGTAAGCGGCAGTCTCGCATGAGATACAACCGCAAATACTTACTCGTCTTCGGCCTTCTTGAGAAGATGGAGTCGGTGGTCCTTGTCTTCAACGAGCGCCTGCAAGCTCGCGCACCTTGTGGATAACATATTAGAAGGATACGAGGTGGAAGGGATGCAATGCGTACTTATGTTGGAGTTTTTGAGTCTGGTCTGTCAGTTCCTCCCGCTGTCCTTCAAGTGTTCCCAGCTGTCCGAGCCTTGAAGGATGTATGAGGGCTATCTTTACGATGACAAGAGGACTGGTACGTACTTCTCTTCTTGCAGCTTACACTGTGTCTCCAGAGTAGCGCAAGTGTGCAAGGCGTCGGCTAACTCACTCTGCGAGTTCCTCAAGGACTCTGATTGTTTGTTGATGGTGTCTCCTACGGGAGAAGAACGTAAATAAATGTATATATTAAGTTTGAAAGATACGAGACCATACCAGCATGTAAAAGGTTGTCTGTGGAACGCTTGAGTAAGGCAGCGTCGGTGACGCGAATGCCCTCGAGTTCCCGTACACGGTCTCGCTCCTCGCAAAGTTGAGATGACATGTCGGTGAGCTGATCTCGGAGGAGATCATTGGCCTGACGAGCTACATATATGTCCAATCTTGTTGGTATATGCGAGGAGAAAAGTGAAGAGCGACACGCATACATTGGGTATATTCCATTCGCAGATCCGCAATTGGGGCCATTATCTCTTTGTGCAGGGCAAAATCCCCGTTTCCATCAAAAAGCGCTTCGAACTCTGAAATAATATGGGACATGAGACACGAGTGTACACTATCATCCACCAGACAAATGGACATACGAGTCATGCTTTCCTGGACGGTAGGGCGTAGTTCTTGCACGTCCAGAAGAGAAGACCGAGCTTGCTCTGCAAAAGCAAACGCTTTATCGTGATCGTGCTTCAAGGACTTGAGGGCGTCTCCCATTTCCTGTACACTGTAACGAAAATGAATATATGCACCACGAAGTGAAAGAAACCACGAACCTTTTGGAGCTGGCATCGAGAGTTGCTTTCGCTGTAGCTTTGATGCGCTCGATCGTCTCTCTTTTGTCGGAATGGGCGATGTCCAGTTCGTTCCGGAGGCGATCAGTTTCCTTACTCTGCAACTACCATGAGTGAAAGTAGACGTAGTAACCGAAGCAATGTACACATACCTTTTCTTCCATTTCGCGTTTGAGCTGCTTGAGTTCATCGAGTTTCCTGACGATATCATGCACCTCAGAATACGACTCAGTTCCAGAGACCTCCGCTGCGCTAGCTTGAGTCAAGCCAATACTAGAAGATCGAGCACGAGTGTCATCCCGAGAAATTCTTGCAGTCGAAGGTCTACCACGAGCAGGAGCGAAGACGAGTTGTTCTGAGGAGATGCTGCCAGTGGTCGGACGGTTTTCTGCGAAAACATCCTTCAGTTCCAGATTCGTACTTGCCATAGAGCTGAGACGGACCAGCACCAGGAGCGTCTGTGTCATTATCCATATATATGGGGTCCATCAATGATCCTGAGGATCTGCCTGACACGCCGTTACTGAGCGCGGGACTGAGCACAGAGGTTCGAGGTCTGATCGTAGGTGACTCCTTTCTCGAGAGGAAAGGAGCGCGCCCTTGGGTCTGGTGAGAGCGAGGATGAGCAAAAGGTCTCAAGGGAGCAAGATGAGCAGCTGGTTCCGGAGAATGGGGCAAGGATTCGTAGGCTATGTCGGGCACATGAGCTTGCGAAAGGAGGCGGTGTTGCGAGCTAATAGAGCGGGCCGAATTTGCTGAATTGGTCGTACGGCTGTTGGGGTTTCTCCCGAATATGAATCCTTCGTGGCTCTGAGCGAGTTCTGCATGAGTGTCGATATTGTCCTGTTCGACCTTGAAGCGAGTACCAAAGAAAGCCCCTGAGGTCGCGTTCCTAGGCCGCTCGGAGCTGCCATCGCGAGGACGTCCAGATACAGAGCCAAGAAACGAGATATTTTGCGACTGGAGGTTCATTCTGCTACCAAGAACAAGCTGTTTACGATGGAGTCGCCGACTGTCGCCCACAGCGACGATGAGGTAAGAGGACAGGAGAGGCGACGCGACGCGCGTCGAGTCACGCTGGCGAAGCATGATCCCACGTGCGCGACAGGCTGAGTCTGAAAGTCAGCCGGATATGGCAATTCGAGTGGTCCTTGAGAGTTGGCCGCCACACGCGTCTGCGAACAGCACTCCTTGTCATTGACAGTCATCTTCACCCATGGCGCCTGTTCCAGCTGGCGCAGCTCTGCTTTTCCATCCGAAAAAGAACGCGAAAAGACCTATAGCGCCTCCCCGTTCCGTTTCTCCCAATAAGCCTGCGGCTCCTAAGCCCAAACCTGTCGCACCCGTCGTCGATGATGACGCCCCACCGCCACTCCCAGACGGGCCATACACAGAGTTCAAGCTCGTTTCGTCCGCTCTCAATGGCTGGAAGTACGATGTCATGAAGTTCGACTCGCGAAAGCCGGTCGACGTCTTTACCTGGCAGGCCCCGGTCAAGCTTAATCGCAAAGACCTTCGCCGACAAAATCCTAACGCAGAACCTGACGAATCGGAGTCTCGAGCGGTAGGGCCAATGCTTGGCCCAGATGGGAAGGCGGTTATCGGCATGGATGGTCGGATGGTTATGGTAGATGCAGAGGGAAAGCCTATCCATCCTGGCCAGCCCTCGATGCCCGCCAAGGATAAGCCTAAGGACGGTGTCCAGAAGAGGAAGAAGCCTCCGAAGAAGACGAAGCAGGTATTCAAGATACCAGAAGCTACGAGGCAGTTGAGGAGAGAGGAGAGATATCCCTGGGTTATGGAGGATGGAATTGGTAGAGAGACGTGGGTGGGAAGCATGGAGGAGGCGAGCAAGTCTGAAACCCACGCTTTCTTTATGCCTGCCCAGAACAATACGTTCAAGTTCGTCCCAGCGCACCGCTGGTATAAGTTCCAGAAAAAACCATCACACTACATCCCGACCTTAGAGGAGGCGGAGGCAGCGGTGAGCGTTCTTCTGATGTGTTCCAGCGCCAACGTTCTAAACTATGACTGCCGGTGAAGATGGCGGCCAGGAATAAGAACAAAGATCCCTCTCTCTGGTTGAAGCAGAAGCGTGGTGGTCAAGCCCCATCTGCCGCCACTGCCGCCATGTTCAAGGCCGAGAGCGATGGATCGAATGATCTCTCGCAAAACTTCGCTCCAAATGGCCGTCGGTTGCGGACAGTACGCAGGGAGGACGAATTATTCGGTGATGACGATGATGAGGGTGGAGCTCGTAGGAGGCGGGCAGACGGTGCAGATGCAGACTTCGAGGAGATTCCTTACCACGAGGAATTCGCGGACGATGAAGAAAAGATGGGCGTAGAGGAAGAGGAGGACGAGGTAGAGAAGGAGATGGAGGTAAATCGTCATCCGTCCCAACGTTATGACATAAAATCAATCTTACACCCTCTAGGAACGGCTTCAACGGGAATACATGAGCGCAAACAAACAACGTGACGGTCACGTCGATGAGGACGCCGACGACGAAGACGATGAGGAGACTAGCACGGCGAAGGCTATGCGTAAACTCCTGACCAAACGAGACAAGAACGCAGCATATGATTCTGACGAAGAGAAGAATCCATATGCTAGTTCCGTACGTTTATTTCCGGCCATTTATGATCATCGCTCAACCTGACATTCTGCTGTCAAACAGGAGGAAGAGGAGGAGGATGAACAGGTCATTTCAAATGAGCCGGCCGTCCAGTCACACCTCACTACTAGACCATCTCGACCGCAGACCCCCTCTCAGACGAAACCATCTCAGCCAGGTCTTCCCACTACCACCACATCCTCTTCAACTGATCCAAATGCTCGTGCCAAATCACCTACCGTCGGCTCTCCGGTGTCCGACCACGGCGGTCACTCGGTCGTCGCGAAACGCGCCACTAGCCCCAAGATGCCCAAACCAAAGTCCGTCAACGGGATCCCTCGGGCCACCAGCCCACTCGCGCAAGCCCGCCCACCAGTCGCCAATGGATCCTCGGCGAAGATGATCAAACCTGCATCGCCTTCATCTTCCAGTCCTGCCGCAAGTTCTCCAAAGGTGGGCAATAAGCGCAAGGCGACGGACGACACTGGCGATTCATCCGCACCTGTTCCGTCGACGTCGAACGAGGGTGGTCAACCAAAGCCTAAGAAGCGCAAGCCCGCCGGCCCAGCAATCGACGCCAACGGCAATCTAATCGAGCTCACCGACGAGATGGTTCTCGACTGGTTGAGGAAGACGCCTAATGTGAAGACGAGGGACTGTATCGCGTACTTCACTCCGTATCTGCACAACGAGGAGCAGAAGCAGAATTTCACCGCGCTCATCAAGACCGTTGCCTCTTTGAAAAATGGTGTTTTGGTGTTGAAAAGCGTCTACAGGAACGGGGGAAGGCGGAGTAATGGATCGTCTCCTGCATCGACACCCATGGACCTTGCCTGATCGCCCTATATAATCGCTTTTGACATCGTTTGTTGTTCGTCTATGCATTCCATACTCTTCCTTTCCGCCTCGCTGAACGTTTTGTCGGTTGAGTGTACTGATATATATCCTGTGTTATCTATGGAAATGATTGATGTAGCCCAGATGGGCCATCCTGTTTTGTGTAATTGTGGCATGAACAATGTTGCACTGGTAGTTCGAGATCTTACCATACTCTGCTACTTGCTTGAAAGAACTTTATAAGCGGGAGGTACCCATATGTTCGTAGACGGGCTGACTGACATATGCTCTCTCGTTCTCCCGACATTCGAGTCGATGCGTACTTACGAAGCTCACACCGACTTGAGCGGGACTGGAGCTGGTATCGATGTTTTGCGAAGAACAAGGCAGGTCTTGAAAACTATGCTAAACTGCGACTTTCTATTCCTGAGGTCTGTTCTTTGTTCTTCCTCTTGACTATTGAGCGCCGCTGATCGTTCATATGTCGGTATTTAGACAGCCTGCAACATCTAACTGAGGTGCATAACATTCTTCAAAAGCTCTCAATGTCATCACGTTGTAAAACTCTCAGCTCTAACGCCTGCGACATCAAGTCTGCGATTCACTGAGATATAGAACACATTATGTTTCTGGTATATTTCATGGAGTTTCCGCCAAAACTTGGACCGCAACCGCGAATGTACACCAAACGATTCTGACGAAATAACAATGCGGCGACGAAGAAACTTAATCGAACTACTACTCGAACTCAAATCACTACTCAGCCAAACACATCCTGCATGATGGCTCCAATAAGTCTGTCCTTATCTCCAGGTAACGGGGCTATTGGCATAAGCTGCCTGCCCACAACAGCGGGACCCTTCACGAACCTCTCCCTTGCCTTCGCAAGGAGTGTCACCGTCTCCATCCCTAACTGAACGTTCTCCTCCAACGTCAACGATTCGGGGCGCATGCAGAGGGCTTTATAAGCGTCCCCCAGCTGAGACTTGTCGAGGTTGAACCTTTGCCATAAGACGATCTTTTCGACGGGTGCGATAGAAAGGGAACAGAGCGATTTGGCGGCCAACAAGCGAAGGGATTCTAGCTCCCAGCGGGTGCCAAGCTCGAGGATGGAGGTCCATTCTTCTACGGACATGGTCTTCGTCTCACCCAAGACCCTGTTATCATAAATGGACAGGAAAAGAGATCAGATGAGCCCCAACGTGGACGCTGTTATATACGATGATTGTGCTTACGGTGGGTATATGATCCACAGAAAGCGTTCAAATTCGAGAGCGGTGATATGACCAAGGTTTATCGGTTTCGTGTCAGATGATGGATCGACGCTGGCTGCCTTCATCCATCGAGGGCGGACAGAGTGCATGGCTAACACGGACTTATGTATCTTGAAGAGAACGCCCTGGATCTAGTAAATATAAAACAAAGGTTCCCCCACCCCAAGTCTATCAGCTTCCCTTACCGAAAGATCTTATAGTCCAAGGGGAGTCACATGAAGACTCACCAAGAACGTCATATTCCCATCCGCGAAATAGTACCTCTCATGTCTCCTTCCTGTCGGCCGTGCCAGCGGCTCAGGCTTAAGTAGCATAGAAAAAGGCGTACTCTGAGTCGAACACCCGAACGTGAACTGCCCTGTGTTGAGACCAATAGTAGAGGACGGTGGTGAGGACGGTGGTGTTCCCGATTTTGTGAAGTCCGGCTTCACAGGCAGACTGGGATTATCCTTCGTCTTCTCCAGCGCTATCTTCGAAGTCCTGGCGGTGAAAAGAAAAGTTAGCAGCCAGAGAGCATTCGCGAGAAGAGTCATCACGATCGTTGACACAATGATGTTACAGTCGAGGACATACCTGCTATCGCTCAAGCTTGCGCTGCTGGAAGAAGTTCCCAATCCCACAAGGACAGAGTCAGCAGACTCGGTAGACAAAGATACATCGTATTCAGGCTCAGGGGAGGACATAACAGAAATAGAGTGTTGGGTATGATTGACCAGGGGGGTGGGAGCTGGCAGCAACATTGGCACTGGAAGACGAGCTCTTATACCTCGAGACGTTGATACTCTTCAAATACCTTTGACGCCTTCAAGAGATCCGAAAGGAGGAGCAAACAAAGAGTAGGCGATGAAACAAAGACGTTTCATCGCAGAAGACTTTTCGTCGCAAAAGGTGGGCGAAAGGCTTCATCACGAAAGGCTTTTTATCGCTAAAAAACTTTTCATCGCAAAAGACTTCGTCAAAGGCAGTCAGGCATATGATCCTCGCCTGCCAGGTTGAAATCTCGTGTACTCTGCCTTTGGGAGACTAGTCAGTGGCGCAACTACGTGCGAGAAGCGGCGAAGTTCGCGAAGTTGAAAACACGACGCGACGCGACACGCGTTGACGTCACTGTTTGTGACTGCACGCGTTTTCCGTCCAAGGGCACACATAATGTATAGGGTGCATTTTATGAGGAGGCCTTGTGTGTATATGTAGATAGCTCCGTACTTTATACTCTATCTTGTTGGCGTACGGTGAAAAGCCTCTTGGTGGGGCTGAATCCTCCACTATATTCTGAAGTCGTGACGTGAGGGCCATGAGTCAGTAAAACTGGAGTTTTGCAATGCCTCTCGACAGAACGCGTGCAGGAAAGACTCGCAGAGCCTATTGGTGAGAAATAAGTAGACGACGACAACGTTCTCCAAAACCCAAGCGTCGGCACTGGGTATCCCGAGTCGAAAAAGCGCTACCTTGGCGCCATTGTGCAAAGAACAGAAAGGAAATAACAAAGAAGACCGAATAATAATGAAAGGTCTTCCAGACAAAGGAGCCGATAGAGGAGCTAATAAAGCAGGCAGCAGCGACAGAGCAACGGCTATGTACAAATCGAGGCCTCAACCCGAAGTCCAGCACAAAGAGACGATAACGAAGCAGAAGACCGATCCGACCCACAGTTCGACGCCCACGACATTTACACAGCTCGCGTCCCCGTCGCTTATTAGACCACAGTCGACTCCGCAGTCTTGTTCGTGTTTCCGTTGTGCGACTGACCGAGCACCGGTCCCTGTCCTGCACCTGGAGGGAAGACGTTCTGAGAGGAACCCGGTCTTGAGTTCGGCTGTTGCTGCTGCTGCTGCTGCAGAGGTGGTTGATGAGAGGGAGGCGGAGGGCCACTTTGCGGTGGCGGGATGGACGAGCCGGGTGGAGGAGGGAAATGGCCCGGAACCATGCCAGGTGGAGGTGGGCCCTGACCGTACATGACTGGATGAGGACCACCTGGGCCAAAGGGAGGGGGTGGTACGCCCTGACGGATGCTGTCCAGCTCGTGACGTAGCATTTCGATTTCCCGATTCATGTCTTGATGGCTGTGTTTGAGCTGGACGATGAAGTCGATAGCTGGAAGGACCCGAAAAGGGTAAATGAGATGGTTCGTGGGATTAATGAGGATAAACAGACTTGCCTTTGCTCAGAATCTCCCACTTACTGGCCTTCATCCCGCGATCTGCCGGTAACTGATCCCTCAGTTCGTCAAACAAATCCTTCATCTCCTTTCTCCTCTTCCTCTCTGCTAGTTTATGTGAGACTCGTAGCTCTGGGGATCGCGAGTACGGTGTGTTTCCTTGGTCCTTCCCAGATGACAATGGGTTCGCATTGGAAGACGAAGCGGACTCTCCCTCGCCTACATCCGTGTCCCCTGTCCCCGCAGCACCGTCTCCTGCCTTGGCACCTCGCGAAGGCGGCCTTGACCTCGAGCGCAGCACACGAGCTGTGGTAGAGTTGGGTGGCATTGACGATGGGAGGTTGGTCGGCACAGACATTCGACGGTCGGCGTTAAAAGCTAACGAGGGGACCATTCCGATGGGAGGCATGGTATTTGGGTCAAATGGTCGCCCTGACGCGTCTACCTCGCCAGGCATAGGTGGTTGTTGATCGGAAGAAGGGTGCCACGCGAAAGACGAAGGTCCACCAGGTGTTCGACCGTGTGGAGATTCCGTGGAGAAGGCAGGAGAGCCATAACTCATAGAGGGACTAGAGAACATGGATGAGCTAGAATCTCTGCGTTCGCCTCCCCACCATTGCGGAGGAGGAGGAGCACCTTGTGCTGCACGGGCGTCCATAGAATGGCGACGGTCGTAGATGCTCAATTGGGCGACGCCTCGGGAGTCTATTGTGGAGCCTCGTCGTTTGGCAGCTGGTCCGTCGAGCGGTGCGTTCATGCTTGGAACGCCAGGCCCAACGAGTTGTGGGTCAATGTCTTCTGGTGAAGTCATCGACACGCCTCTGTCATGCGACATTTTGCGTTTGAGACCGTGCGGTTGTGAACGGGGCGACCCAGGCTCACGGGCATGAGGATGGCCACCTTGACCGATCGCTGGTTGGAGCCACATCTCGGTGAGGACTCCAATCTCAGCAAAAGGCGATCCAGTGCAAGGCAACTCACCGGGACCGTTCTCCTGACTCGCAGAGCCTTCTCCCGGCCCTTGCCCAACGTTCGGCGGTCGAGGATCGACATTCATGTGGTCTAGGTCCATGTGTTTAGCGCCCAATAGGGACGAGAAGGAAGTTGAATGAACGCGTGCACACGCTTGATGAAACTCACCTTCTGTTGAGTGATGGACGGGAGTATTGGAGGAGCTGCCAGCTGGATCAGAAGGTTCTCTCCGTGAGGAGCTGTTCGGTAAGGGACTACGGTCGAAACCGTCAGACAATGACGAACATACGCATAAAAGCTCGGAAAGGATCATACTGGTTTGGGGCTGAGGAAAAAGAAACCGAGAGTATAAGCGTACACAGGGACGGAGATCAATTGACGGGTCGCGAAAGACGGCATTGGATGAATGCAGAAAGAGCTGACATACCAGTAGAGGATGGGTTCGAGCGCGAAAGGTGAAGAGAAGGGTCTGTGATAGAGCCTCTGCGCTGACTCTGGAGATACTCGAGTGGAGCGAGTGGTGGAACGGACATGTTGCCAAACGAGGGGGGCTTGTTTGACGTATTCTCGGGGGCCTTTGCCGAGTCTGAGGAAGCGGGCTGACCGTTGTGGGGATGGGAGGGCGAGGCCCTGTCTTTGTCGGGCATTTTGTGCGCGCAATAAATGTGGGGTGTCGGTGTGGTGGCCGTGCAGCGCGTCGGGAGAGATGTTGTCGTTGGATGGGAGTGCGAGAGAGAGGAGGACACGGCGTTAGCGACTGGCGAACGCTAGAATTGATTGAGTGGCCCGGGAAAATGCCGGCTGCAAGTACTCTCAACCACGTGCGAGCCATCCCATTTATCCTTATTAGGCCTCCCACAAATCAGAATATTCCGTCGTTGCCTTCACACTCCTTGCAGTAAATACATCGTCCGCTGTCAATTGTCCTCTTACGTCCTACGTAGCTACATCAATCATCCCAGTCCATCCTCAATCCAGCATCCACCACCGCCCCCCGCTCCGTCCCAGCCCATCCCGACCCTACTCCAACCTTCTGGCTGTTCTTCGTCTGTCGACCCTTACCTCTACCCTTAACATCCGTCTCAGCCACTCGGACCATGTATCGAACCCACGGTTCGTAATCCAGAAAAATGCTCGCAGAACATAACGTCAACTCTCCCTCTCGTATTGTTCTCCTCAGAGCATCCTGTATTCGAGCACTATGCGCTTTCGGGCAATCAAGGGCTATCGCTCCGGTCAGGCTCTCGGAGTATCCGGACCTCCGCCTCTGCAAGTCGACCAGACTGTCTGTCATCTGAACGTCTGTCCTGTAGAACTCTGAGAGCACTGGGAGCCTGAGGCTTGACGTGGCATCGAAGGTACCGTCGTACCGGACCTGGTCATCAGCATGGCCTTCACGCGAGTCATAGTCGTACGGTCGTGATAGTAGGATGTGCGCGTCCGAAAATGAAAGTCTCTCGCTCTCCTCTCGGAAGACCTCCAGAGCCTGGGCGACGTTCAGAGATTCGATATCCGCGGTTGATGGTCGTAACAAGATATCGTCGAAGAGGCTCTCCCTTTCGAGGTCCGCGTCCGCTTCAATCGCGCGCCAGGAACGAATGGACGTGCTGGGGAGCATGGATTGGCATTGGTTGATAGACTGACGAATGTCGACGCCAAGAGATTGACTGGAAGACACGGTGTTGTTCGGCTGGTCTCGAGGTCGAAATGACCGCAAACGAAGAAAATCTAGACATTGCTCGTCGCTTAAAAGATGTCCTTCTGTGGCGCAGAGGGTTCGGAGATATGATGCGGCCAGAGGACGATCCGGAAGACTGAAGGTTATCGTCGTTTGCAGAGGGAGATCTTGCCTGGGTACAGAGCTGAGATCTAGACACAAAACGTCAAATTATAAATACGCCAGACACTCGTTATTCTCGTAACACCTTCACATACCGTTGCAAGTCATGATCACAGGCCGCTTGCAATCTTTTATGAAGTTGATCGCAGCCGTCCAGAACGCACCATCCTCCCTGAAGATCACGTCCACTTCCTCGAAAAGGATAACAGATTGGCGAAAAGAAGCACTGTGAGGAGAATCGACGGCGGGAAGAGGTTCACTTTCGTTCGTCTGGTCGGGCGAACTCTCTTTTCTGCGTAGGCGTTTGAGTTTGGGTTTGACGCTTGAATGAGCTTGATGCGTCTGCTGAACAAGATGATTCTTGCCCACGTCGCCGATCAACCTATCCAGGTGAACACCACCTCGCTTGCCAATACCAGGATAGACCTCAAAGACTTCGTATCCCAGCTCCTCCGCGCATGCAAATACAGCAGCCGTCTTCCCACTGCCAGATGGACCATGCAGCAGTATCGTGTTGTGGATGGTGCTTCCGAATCGATTTGGCCTGGTAGCGGTTGAACGATCCGCCGTAGGCAGACACAAAGCCTCGGACTCAGAATCATCGTCCCCATACGCGACAATAAAGTCTTCCCCGTCGATATTGCGTTCCACTTCCCTGAGTATACGTGGTTGTTTGGAAGCCTTCGATCTACCGCCGGTCGACTTCCGTTTGCGGTTCCCTTGGCTGCTAGTCTGAGAGCCACCGGGTGTAGAGGTGGGAGTGTTTTCGAGATGAAGGCGCAGGGCGCTCATCCAGTCTCGGAGGTAACGCGCGTGTTCTTCGTTCCCTAAAACCTCGTCCGCACATCGAGGGCGCCATTTCTCAGTCCACGACAACTGAGATCCGTCTAAAGCTCGCGAGTCTGGAGGCTCTTGTGACAGGTCGGAGAAACGGGAGATAGCACGGTTGAAGAGGCGGTGAGAAGCAGGCAGAGTCTCGAAAAATCGCTTCCTATCCTCGAGTGACTCGGCAGGGGGCGCTAATTCCGGTTCAGAAGAAGGTCGGTCGGGTTCGGATGGATGTGAAGAGAATGATAGGTGGGATGGCGCGTCGGGAGAAGCCAAAGCGGCGGATGGATGAATAGGCTTCGTCTCTAAATGACTAGATGACAACTTCGAGGTAATGAACTTGGTTTGTGGTCCACGGACGTGCTGGGTGATGAGTCCTGGAAGACTAGAGGACGTGGAAGCTGTTGGGTTGTGGGATAGTTTGAGCTTTTTGCGGACATGGATATCAGGTCGCTCGGGGACCGTTGGTTTGGCCGCTCGAAATAGGGGATGAAGTTTGGGAGGATCGGGGCGCACGGGGGAGCTATCAACCACAATAGGCGCATCTTCAGAACCGTCTCCTTTAGGGAAAGAGGGGGTAGGCGGTGATGGTAACGGAGCTGGCGGAGAGCTGGGAACGTCATCTATGTCGATGAATTCTGTAACATGTTTCACGTCTTCCTCGTGTAGCGGACTAGAGCTCTCCTGCTCTAGATTTACGGAAGACAGAGGGATGGGCGTTGTTGGCGGGACTTCTGCCAAAGTACAGAATCAGCTTAGTAATCGTCTAAATATATGTTCCAAACGCACCATCGTCGTCTGTTTGCTGGTCAAATACGGAAGCGGGAGTCAAGGGGGGTGGTTGCGTAGGAGGTGGAGATGGTAGACTCTCGGCGGCGTCGACGTCGGCTGAAACGGGATCCTGAGACATAACATCCACATCAGATGACGTGGCTGTCTCCGCAGAGTCTAGCGGTTCATCGGGTTGAATAGTTTGGGGTTTCTTTGGTAGGAAATTGTCGAAGAGTGTCGACTGTTTCCCGGTTCCTTTCGCCTGCCATTTGAACATCATTGAAGAGCCTGACGCAATGAATAAGAAGGGCGTACGGTGGTGTCCTTGGACTTAGACTTCCTCCCCTGCTTCTTCGGTTCTGCCATAGTGTGCGCGGTATAATAGATAGAGAGGGAGATCAAGGACTCGGGGGTTGCTCGGGGGAGACGTGAACGTAAGGCGGAAGGCAGTCATTAGAATTTAAAACACGGTCGGACGCGTCGTGTCACGTTCACGTTAGACGCGTCGGTCACGGCTTCCTGTTGGTCTCCCACGATCGGTGTCGGCGTTTCTTCCTTGAACTTCCTTCTCTCTCCGAAACCACTTTATACTCCGGCGCAAAGTACGCAGCTCTGTCCTTAGCATAGAAGATAAAAGTATGGGTGTAACAGCGTATGCCTGCTTTTACTTGAGCTGGTTTCAAGTCGGATAACTTACTCTGCTTGTTAGACTAGCACGATGGATAAACGCCCCTATGACGGGGATCGACCTCATTCACCAAAATATCCGCGCAAATCACAACGTATGCGACCCTTGTTTTCTCTTATATCAGCACACACTTACATTCTGTAGCTCTATAGGGCGTTTGGCGTGGCACCTGGCGCCTAGAAGTGAGGTCTTACAGATCCACATTGACTGCACCGTCCGGCATGCCTCCACCCTCAGAACGCACAATGTGCGCTCTCACCATGAACGATAATGTCTTTGTCCTGCTGGATGACCCATTCGCACCATCGCGAGGCGAATTTCTTATGTCTATTGCTCAAGATCCTTCTCAGCCTGCTCAGCACGTTGAAGATCCACCACACTACCGGAGCACTTTCCTTACATTACGACCACCTGGTGCTCTCGAGCAACTCCTTGCCTTATTGCGAGCACGGTGGATATCGACGCGGCAGTCTGCTCCGGGCGCGTCGCAGAACCGGAAACCACCTGGGCCACAGTTGATCATAGAGGGCCACATCTTTGCGATAGGTAACGATTGGATTGTACGCGCTGGTAATGTCGTGCTCGCTGGTGGTACTATCAAAGGCATGATTCTAGAGGTGCGTGCTATACAACGTAATTCTTTTCGGTCCGTATTGATATCCATCCATAGGCTGAGTACGTCCCAGTCCCTACCATGAGCTCCCAACACCCAGATAGCAATACTTCCGGCGACCTCCTATCCAATCTCTTACTCTCAGTCCTTCCCAACGTACGAGATGCCAAGACGGTAGCTGTGACTATCAGCGACTCCCAGTGGGAAGATGTACTATGGGATCGAGAGGCGGAAGAAAATGCGGAACAAGAGTTGGAGAGGGAGAGAGAAAAGGAGAAGGGCCCCGATGATATCTTTGTTGTGGGTGATGAAGATCTTCCGACGCACAGAAAGGGCGACTGGACGGGCGTCGATAGGGATCGACGGTCTGCCTACCTAATCATAGGTGCTCTGAAGTCGGAGGGTCTCGTCTGACTTTTGCGTTTACGTCGGTCCGTATCACCCTTATTGAGCTTGAATTATTGCAACACTGCTATGCTGCCCACCACGACGCTCTGGTTTTTCAGATAGCGGGGTTGATGGTCAGAATCCCTGTCGCGATCGGATGGGGTGATATTCCCGGCGTGAGTGGGAAGAACAGCTGATGGCATGATGGCGGCGATGGGCCGTGCAAACGAGTCGCACAAAGGGTCACTTCAGAGCCCTGATGTTTGCCTTGTTAACAAAGCATGCTTTTGAGATAATTCGGTAAACAAGTGCCATGGTTCAAACGTTCAGTCGCCGTAGTCGAGTCCGTGTGTCCATCGTATACGTGCCCCTGCATTCCGCATTGATTGATGTGGCACCGACGGAATCGTTCCCGAGGCAGAACGCACTGCTTTGTTTCAACGATCTCAACCACCGTCAAACTACCGTCATGGGCTCATGGACAACTCGTGGCCAAGCCCCTCCAAGCACTGCCCAAGGAACAGCGTCAAATTAATACAAATGGCTGTCATAGGTTTATTAGAGTCTTAGCGCTCGGTCGTGGGCAATTGTAAGGCGGCAGAGTGACCCGACTCTTGCGCCCGAGCAACGAGGACCGAACGCTTTCAGGTCTGTCTGTCCCTCCTTTCCTTGATTCACTTGTTTACCTTCTACTAGCTACTAGCCATATAATCGTATGTCTGACGGTGGAGAGAGCCCGACTAACCAGCCCCCACCCGCGTACGAGGTTTCACAGCATGAATTCGACAACAAGATATCCCGCGCTGTAGAGGAATCTCTCTCGACAGCTGTCTCTAATGTTCGCGTAGTCGACGACGATGGATGGCCAGTCTATGATCCTAGTGCTTTTGAGGCGGTCGCCGCCAGCTACGAGCGCGAGGGTGCTGCATCCTCATCGACTGCATCGGAAGCAGAGCGCTCTTCGTCGAGAGCGGGATCTCACGATGATAAGAAGATGCCGCCGCTGCAGCTGCCCATGGTGAAGCCTCTGCGCATCAGGAATCGCGCTCCCAGTGCTGGAACTCAGGCTTCAGAGGCAGAGCGACTTGAGTCTCGTTCCCGCTCACCAGCGGCGCGTTACAGACATGCCTCTAGTCCACTACCGCCCAACCATCACTCATCGTCTCCCACTCTATCCGACCTTGAGGCCCCTCCACCGTTCACTCCCGTCGCTCGCCACCCAAATGGTGTGCCCTTTGATGGTCTCACCCGTCTACAATACATACCAGGAGACTCAAGGCCGTCTTCGCCATTCTACTCACCCGAGCCGAGGCATTCCCTCCCACCGCTTTCGCCCCCTTCCCCACAACCGTCCACCCTTACATATCAATCCCCTCCTCCTCCGCACCGTCGCCCAGTGCAACGCCGCATCCGACAATCCAATGAATATCTCAAGGATGTCAATGGACCACGAACATCGCGTCTGGACTTCGATCCTCGTACGGCATACGGCAGGGACTCCCACGAAGCACCCCACACGCAGACTCCTGCACAGAACTTTTCTGCGGCAGACCTGTACCCGTATGTTATCCACCTCCACAATTTGACACATCCAGCAAATACTGACTGACCGTTTCCAGACATGCTGTGGCGTCACATCTCAAGCCCATCTCCACGCCCTCTAGTAGGCCCCAAACCGAGTTTCACCCGTCTTCTCCGTGAGTACCGCAGTGCTGCCCTGTGTGTTCATCGTGGACTATGCGTGCTCATACTGCCTTCGGTCAGACCGGCCCCTTCGATGTTTCGGTCCTCGCGGGATGCTGCGTCCACATATTCGTCTTTTCAACGGCCAGAAAGCTATGTCGGGAATCAAGAGATCATGACCGTGATACGCCCCGGCTCAACACATCATTCTCAATCACCACCTATCCCAAACCAACCTCAATCTCAGCTCCAAAGCCCGTCGTTCAACCGCCCTGCTTTTCCCCGGGAGCACAGTGTTCCTGCGGCACACAGCCCTCCGTCTGCTCAGTGGGGTCGCTACGCCCCCAGCGAAGCTGAGTTGATAAAAGAGTTGTATCGTTCCCGAGGGTAGCTTGGGTCATTGGGCGTGGATATCTTGGTGTTGTAGGTTTATGACTGGGTGTGGTGCTTCATTTTTTACTCCCTGTGGTGGCCGTGTTCACGCTAGTCGAGTTGTATCGTTTCGTTTGTTGTCATCCGTACTGCATACCTTACAGGTTCTAGTTGCTTCATTCGTGTATCCCTCTTCATGTGGTACGCTGTATAACAGTTTTTATCTCAGTGCTTGTATTCCTAGCTACTCGTAATTTGCAAGAGCCACGGCAAGGCGTCGTCATGTGACGGCTTCGGACGTATCCAGGCGGCGTCGCGTCCGCCAGCTTGGGTTTGTGCCTCGGTCTCCGAGAGCATCGAAACTTGACAAGCAAGCGACCAAGACAGCACCGACGACGAGATGGCAACGCCAACACCACCAGCCAGTCGTCCCTCTCTCTCTCGGTCTGCGTCCTCGAAGGACAACATGTCCCAATCTTCTGCCGCCTCCAAGCCATCATCGACACCGACAGGGAAGCCTGCAGACTACGTCTACTTCGACCGCACCAGCGCCGGTTTCTCAGACGATGCTGTTCCCCGTGCCAAGGCCGCACAACTCAAGCTTGAACACTTCTACAAGGTTGCTGTTGATGCTGCCATTGAGAGGAATACTAGGTCAGTCTTGCTACGAGTCGGCTGGATCTATTGGAGCAGTTTGAGTGATTGTGCTTGCTGTGGAATAGACGTGTCGAGCTTGAGCGGAGGCTGCAAGCGGATACACTGATGTCTGACGACCGAAAGCAGCGGCAGTTGGTCCAGCATGGAAAGAAAGAGTCTACGTTCTTGCGACTGCGAAGAACGAAGCTTGGGCTGGACGATTTCAGGACTGTCAAGGTCATTGGTAAAGGTGCCTTCGGAGAGGTATGTGCTCATTAGTTCGTTGCCCCTGATGGTTTACGTGGTAACAACTTGTGTGCATATAGGTTCGCTTGGTACAGAAAACGGATACAGGCAAAATCTATGCCATGAAGACGTTGAAGAAAGAGGAGATGTTGAAGAAAGACCAGGTGCGTTCGCCGTCATCGATGTATGCCGACGCAATACGTGCTCACTCGACCCTCTTTTCTCAGCTTGCGCACGTACGCGCAGAGCGTGATGTCCTTGCCGAGTCGAACTCTGCATGGGTCGTGCAACTCTATTATTCGTTCCAGGATCCTGCCTACCTATACCTCATCATGGAGTTCCTTCCCGGTGGTGATCTCATGACCATGCTCATCAAATACGACACATTTTCTGAAGATGTCTCCCGGTTCTACATGGCCGAATGTGTCCTTGCCATCGAGGCCGTCCACAACCTCGGTTTCATTCACCGGTCCGCACCTATATCCTGTCTTTTGTGCATTTATGACTGATGAGCAATTGGTCCAACAGAGACATCAAGCCTGACAACATCCTGATCGACAAGGACGGCCACATCAAACTTTCCGATTTCGGTCTTTCTACCGGCTTCCACAAAAACCACGACTCGAGCTATTACCAAAGACTTCTCGATCAAGCCAACGGCACAACGTCGCCACAATCCGCCACTCAGGCTGCACGGAACAGCGTCATGGTCAATGCTATTCATCTCACCATGACCAGCAAAGACCAGATCGCGACATGGAAGGCAAACCGACGAAAGCTTGTACGTACCCTCTGTTCTCTTTACTCAAGGACATCACAGTTGCTGACAACGCCGTATCCAGGCTTACTCAACAGTCGGAACGCCTGACTACATCGCACCTGAGATCTTCCTCCAACAAGGTTACGGTAACGAGTGTGATTGGTGGTCCTTGGGTGCTATCATGTTCGAGTGTCTCGTCGGATACCCTCCTTTCTGCTCTGAGACGACGCACGAGACATACCAAAAAATTATTCAGTGGCAATACCACCTCGTCATCCCAGACGATGTCCACCTGAGTCGTGAGGCCGAAGACCTCATCCGACGGTTTGTCTCCTTTCTTAAAAGTCACCCATACACCTCAGATCGTAACTGAAAAAAAAAATGCCCCCTCTGTTGGCATTTAGACTCATCACATCCCCCGACCGCCGTCTCGCCGTCGATCAAATCAAGGCGCACCCCTTCTTCTACGGCGTCGACTGGGCCATGATCCGACAGATCGACGCACCCTTCGTCCCTCGGTTACGGTCCATCACCGATACGTCTTACTTCCCGACGGACGAGCTCGAGCAGGCCCCCGAAGAGCCTGCGGGCACCGATACGAGCGGCGCGAACAAGGACCTGGCGTTCTTGGGGTTCGTCACCCTCTCCCTCCATATAATTTAGTGATGTGACATTAGATTGACGATGGTTCCGATGCACAGATACACCTTCAAGCGATTCACGATGTCGTCTCAGGCGTTCTAGTCGCCTGGCCCATCCGTACCGTTCAGGACCACTATCCTTCATCCAACGCAACGCGGCAGCGGGTCTGCATCTGCATTTCGGATGTCGACGGCATTTCGGTGGTTAGTGGTGCTCGCTCGGCGCATGATAAAGAGGAGTCGAAGAGGATTCAGGGCAAGGGCCGCGGCAATTCCATATTTCGTGCAACCCCGTTAATCTACAAGCAATACCTTTATACCCCCCCAGGACTGTCCGTGGTTTAGAAAAGTCCTCTCCATCATCGCCAACCCATATCAATTGTAACATACGTATCTTCCTTGTTTCTTTCGAGGTCTTCTTTTTGTTATATATACAAAGGAGGTTATTTTTCGTGCCCCGTGCGTGGCTTTCGCACTTGCAATACCTCATCGTTTGAGCTTGAGTGGACTTGCAACCGTTGGCCATCGTTCCGGGTAGATGTGAATACGACGAAATAGCATAAGATAAACGCACGAGAATCTGGTAGTACCAGGGCGTAGTAGCTAGGAAATAGCAACATACGGCAGAACGTGGGCATATTAATTCTGTGCGAGGCATACATATATCGTGGCAAACATAAGGTAAAATACAACGGTCCAACCGAGTACCTGGACTCCAACCTGACTGGAAACGTTTCGTAGTAATGTGAACAGTATTGGTCTGCTGTAGAACGGTCGATCTTCATTTACTTCGAACTCGTAATTGTGGCCTCATCTGTCATAGACAACCAAAATAAATGAATGAGTGAAGTCCACGACCAACAACCACACGGAAAAAGAACAAGGATGAGAGAGGCACGTACCATCTCCAAAAAGATAGGCAACAGCTCCGGCACCTTCTTCAGCTCCGGAGGCTTCAACGCATCCTGCTGCTGCCTCTGCCTCTGCTTCTGTTTCTTCCCCTTATTCGCACTCGCCGGCCTCTTCGAACTCGCCACCGAAGCCGATACAGACCCTCTCCTCTGCCTACTACCACCGTTATTGTTATTACTGCTCTGAGGAGAAGGCGCCTTCGGCGGTGGAAAACGGTGATTATTGTTCGGATCGGATAGTTTGGACGACCCGGGTGGTGTCGGCGGCGGAGGGAGCGGTTTGTCTGCGTTCATCGACATGGAATTCATACGCGCCAGTCGCATCGCGTCTTTCGGCAGCGGTGGGACAGGCGGTGGCACATCGACACTGTGCCTCACCACGCCTGAAGGTGACGAGCCCCCGGAATGACCGTTGGCGGAGAAAGTCATGGAGCGGGATTTGCGTAGTGGGAGGGAGAGTAATCTCGGTCGGGAGCTTTTCCGTGATAGAGATTCTTGTCTGGATGATGATGATCCCGATTGCTGTGATTGTGGTGGGGGACGGGATGGTCTAGAACCGGGTGTCGATGTCGATGAAGCGGGGGCGGTCATGGGCATAGGCGGCTGCGATGGGGTTCTCGTAGTATGCACCATAGTCCTCGATCTTGTCATCCCCCTCGGTGCCTCTTCGCTCTCCTCCTCCTCATCATCATCGTCGTCATCGTCGTCCTCCTCGTCGCTATCGTCTGTCGCAGACTCATACTCCGAACTCTCATAACTATCCTCATCCGTCTCCTCCGCCGCCACATCCTCCGCATCCCCACGCATCAACTCCCCCATACTAAAGTCCTGTATGAAACCCTGCACAAACGCCTGCGCCGCCTCGTCCTCCGCGCTCGCTTCCTGCGCCGCACCCCCCCTCGAATTCTCGAACCTCCTCCGTATCTTGCTCTCGTACGCCAGCTTCGACTTGTAATGATACAGCGCCACGGTGTCCACCTCGGCCAGGATCGCCTTGCGCTCGTCGCCCGCGTGCGGGAGTAGAAATTCGAGCGAGATCGGAGAGCCGAGGCCTTCGCGGATGACGGTGAGGAAGAGCTCGACCCAGCGCATGAGGTCGTTGAAGAGGTTTTCGCCTTTGGAGTGCACTTTGTGCACGAAGTGGTAGAAGGACTGTTCGTGCCGTTGGATGAGGTCGATGAACGTCTGCACGGTCCGTTGCGGGTCGACTTGGCTGACTGGGGGTACAGAGGTCATTTGTCAAACGACGATGAGATATTTGGAAAAAGTTGGGGGAGGGACTTACTGTCTTCGGCAGACTCGACGGTCCGAATGAGATCGTTGATGAAGTTCTGCATATCGCCTAATGAATCTGCAATACTAGCGGCGCGATATACCTGCGCAAGCGGCGCATAAAAAATCGTGATGATATCCTTGAGAATATCCGACGTCACTCCCTGTTCGCATAACCTCAATCAATTCACTGCACCCGACCCAAAATAAATAGAAAAAGTGACTCTCACCTCGAACATGAGCTCGATAAGCTGTTCCTTCTCTCTCAGCCGAGCATACAACTTCGCAAGAATACTAAGATCCTCGAACAGCCAGGCATCCTCGTCCGGAGGCCCATCGTCGTCATCCGAATCCGCAAGCGACTCTCGATACCTCAAATACTCCCTATGCGCTCTATGAGACCGTCCTACGCGTTGCATCTGAGCCCGGTTGAGTGCCGGCTCTTCACCAGAACGAAGAACGGCGGCAAGAACATGGATCTTGCCCTCGGCTGCTCGTCTAGACATGAGTAAACTTACCCACGGAGGTTCTACAAGACGGAAAGACTGACCAGCGTCGAACTTGTAGATTTCCTGGATCTCCCGAGGTGCGTAGACGTATTGTCGGACTTTCTCGCAGATGATGGCATCTTCGACTTTCTCCTGTACGGCTTCGATGTCCATCTCGAGAGCTTTGACCTCTTCGTTCAGTGAGCTCGTGAACATTCTAGAGACATGTTAAAGGGCATCAGCTTCTCAACAACAACAACTCGGAACAGTTGCTCGTACCGTTGGAGTAAACTCCGGCCACCGAACGGTTGAGCTAGGAATAAGTCCAATACAGCTACACGCAGGTCCCCATCAGTCATTGCTGTTGTGTTTGAAGTAAAGGCGAGAGAATCTCACTCCTGATCATGCCGACAGGGTTACTAATCTTCAAAGCGGTCTTGAGCATGAAGTACGGCATGAGTCCATGAATGCGCTTGAGACCAGCCAAAGTCTCCGAGGCGTCGTCTGCGGCTACAAAATGTTGAAAGACGGTAGAAGCCAACCTAGACCGATTCGATCGTGATCAGTTCGGTCGACAGAGGTTCAGAATTCGCGGGATGCAGACTGACGATATTCGGGCCCACTCGAGCACTGCCTGGAAATCTGGAGGAAGATCGCGCACATCTTCCGTCGACTTTATTATCCCAAACATCCGCGTCAAGCCATCTTAAAAGGATCGTGAGCTTTGGATGCACACAGAGAAACAGATGTGTGCGGCACCTTGTCCCATGATGTCGCCCTTGACGCCCTTGACCGACTCTCGTAATGAATCAACGCGTTCCGCAACCTCCTTTGCGAAATGTTTCCTCCCATCATCCCTGACCCGATCCGCCTCCTCCCTCCGCTGCGCATCCACCAACTCCTCGTGGCTGAGCATAGTAGGGCCCGAGAGCAAAAATGACTGGAGCACAGGAGACGATGCGATTGTAGACGATGACATGAGCGAATGGAGGTACGCTCGCAGCGTAAGCCGATTCTTTTCCCTTGTAAGCCGACTGGACTGAGACAGCGCGTTCGTAGGCGACTGAGGCAGGGAATCCGAGCTAGGACTGAATGGGATCTCATCGGATGGACGACTGGGAGAGGGGCTGAGGGGCTGTGAGGCGGCAGGGGCATTGACAAACGTGCGATCCTTCACTGGGGGTGGACGGATATTCTCTTCTGGGTGTACCTTCCGTAACTATCGCGAGACGTTTGAGCCGAGTTAAGATGAGTAGACGGGGTAAGAGGCTGACCTCGTCAGCTAGTGTCCTGAAATCGCCATACCGGCGTGAGACGAAGACGTCTGGTTGGCGGGCGCGACGGGTACGGATGATGAATTCCTGTTGGAGGTTATCTCGAGCTGTACACATCTTCGTATGGCCGACATACCTCATGCACGCGGCTCCGCATCCGCCCCTTTTCGACCACCGTCCTGACGCAGACTACGTTCACCTCGAACACATCGTGCAGCTTTCCTATTCTCCTAGCGCGTTTCCGCGCAAGAAGCTCTATACGGTCGAGATCTGACTGCTTGAGACGGACGACCTGCTCGGGCTCGGAGAGCTTGAGTGCGTAATTGACGAAGAGAGAGAAGTGGCGTTCGAGTTTGGCTAGGATATTGGGCTGCTTTGGTTGATCGGATGTTTCAGAGTCGTCGTCGAGAGGGGCGAGAGGATACAGGTTACGGGCTACGAGCGAGGCAACGAACGGCTGGACCTTCTCTGGGAAGAAGTCCTTCGGTGCGCCGGCGAGAAAAGGAAATGTGAGGACGAATTGGCGAAAGAAATAGCGGAGGAAGGGAAGCTCGATGATCGGACCGTCCTTAGGAGGAGGCGTGAACGGTGGCCCAAGATACGAGAGGGTGGAAATATTTGGAGAAGGTGTGGATGCGATGCCTTCAAGCTCGCGTTGAAACTGGAGTTGGATGAGCGTCTTCTTGAGATAATGTGCACGGATGGGGGTAAGAGTCGTTGGATCTGGCTCAGACTCGGATTGTGCTGGAGAGGATACAGGTTCGATTATAGGTGCAGTGGGAGTCGGTGCGAGAGATTCAGAAAGAGTAGGTTCTTCAGAGACTTCAGCCATGGTTCCAGAGGATGAAAGCACGAAGCCAGCAAGGACCGAGGACAATTAGAGGTCGGAGAGCGGTAGAGGAAAGAGTCAGCAGCGGTATCCTTGTTCCAGTGCCGCACAAATCCGGCCGCTGTGGCGATGACGTCGCTTCCCCTAATGGCGGGACCGGCAAATAGGAGAACAAACATAGAAATTTAGAGAGAAAATATACAGTGGGCTCAGGATACAAAAAAAGCGTAGGTTTGTGATACATGGAAGACAAATCACTGAATCGTACATCACGGCACATAGACAGCTTTTCCCTGGTACGTCCGTCCGTTCTCATCCAACAGCTTCTTCAAACGTGCCGCCACACCCCGGACGCCATCTCTGCAATCCTCCATTCCCTGCCAGTTCCCCGCCACGGTCCAGCACTCTGAGCATGCCTTGGACGCCTCGTTCACCGTCTCGTGCTCAAGGACACCCCTCGCGTGCAACGCCACCAAGACGTCCACCAGCCTGTTCAGTCCAACACTCCACGATCCCATCCCGCCCGCGCTGTTCATCGTGCAATCCGTTACGAGATAGGACGAGGACAGTCCGAGGCATTGTCTCAAGACGGCTTGGTCTATGGTCCCAGACTGTCGATTCATGGCGGCCAGCGAGTTGATTACGAACGCTCCGAAGTTCGTTGGAGGCTTCATCTCCGTTTCTGGGTCTGTTGCAGCTGCCTGCTGTTCGACACCGCTTCTATTCAGAGCAGAGTTCGGTTCCCTGATGTATGGTGGAACAGACCTCGGTGCCGGTTGCCATCTCTGTGGCCACGCTTTTTTCTAACAATACAATGTCGCCGACGATTTTGGAAAGAGACTAAAAATTCAGCTAGGACTGTTAGCAAGCGCACCCGCAGCAGTGGTCGATGCCAGTACGCACGTATATGGTGGGGAGTACCTCCGCTATGGACGCGAGCTGATCGTGAATGTAGCTTGCATACAGAGCAGAGGAAGACAAGAAGATAGCGTAGAGTCAGGGGACTAGCAAGAGGCAAGATCGGGGTAAGTACAGTGGGTATGTGTCAATGCTCCTGTAGGTCGAGATGAAGTGCGTAAACACTTAGGCCGGAAGCAGTATGAACTACTTGGGGTCATAGGTGACATCAAACAGGTTCCACTCTGGCTGTCATAGCAGAGCAAACTGACGGAGCTTGCGATAGTCTTTCCGTGAAAGGGTTCGCATGTGAGCAAAGTGGCCCGTAGAAAATCTCGAGGAAAGAGCAGACGCGCGCGTGATTGGCTGCTTGAGTTCAATCAACATTCATCGTCCGGCATCGGGCGGACGGACCACGCGAGCGGCGACTTGAGAGGCAGGGATCCTCCTTCCGACTCCGGCTCGTTTAAGTCCTCGAGCTCGATGTCCTTCCTCGGCCAGTTCAACAAGGTCTTGCAGTCCCTCTCCCCGCCTCCACTCACTCTTCTCGAGGAGTATGATGGACCAGAGTATCCTTTCGCCAAATACCTCGCGTTTCGGCCAGGACGTATGTTGTAACTCCTATATTTCTTGCCAGATAGCCACTCACCACTGCCTCTACATCAGTTTTGAAAACCGAGGCCTTCATCCTCGCCGGTGTACTCTTCTACGTCTTGTTCTTCTTCCTCGGGAAGCGCAACAATGAGCAACGGGTCAATGCATGGTACGCCTCTTCGTCTAGTCCATCCCATCCCTTCCGTTCCCCCCGTCAGCCTCCTGACTCACCCATACGTTCTACCCATCACCAGGTGCGACGCCCACGCGTCCCTCTACGAGAAACAATTCTCCAAACCCGCAGCCGGTGGCGTCACCCAAGACGGATACTCCGACTTTTTCCTCTTCTCCACCGGCAGACGCCTCGTCGCCTCCCTCCACACCGTCTTCACCCTCCGTCCTCGTCACGACCTCTCCCAGACCCTCTACCAAGTCATCCGTGAGCTCGTTCAGCTCACTTGGGTGCCCCAGGACGAGATCCAGTTGGACTTCAAGCTGCATCCGGATGTGGTCCTTCCGGGCTTTGTATGGGCTTTGGTCAGCAAGAACGAGTTGACTTCGATTCAGAAGGAGAGGTGGGACTTGGTGAGTATTCTCTTCCCTTTGTTTAGAACGTCGCGCAGGAACGATATCTAACGCGTACATGTAGACTTGGACGCGCTCTTCTGAGAATCCGGCTCTGCCTCAATGGGCCTCCGTCATGACCGGTACGCGTCTTAGTCCCGTATCAACCGTCATCCAACGTCCATTATCTGAGACCGCTCTCTCTACAGAATTCGCCGACGTAACCGAGAACCTCCTCAAACTAGGCGAACCAGTCTTCAAAGCCCTCCGCGATCCCGCCATCCAACCCTACTTCCGTTCTCTCTCCGTAAGCCTGCTTCCTTCCTCCTTCTCCCTTCCTCTCAACCTAACCTAACCTAACCGAAACGCGAAAACAAACGAACACCCATAGGTAACCGACCTCCCCCGCGAACACCCCGACTCCCTCAAACACGAAAAACACGTCATCCTCTCCCTACACTCCCTCCCCTCCTCCTCCGCCCACCTCTCCCTTCCCCTCATCACAGCCCTCTTCCAATTCGTCGACGCTTTACCGCGCACGAACCTCCGCCCGGAGACGAAGAAGAAGCTGGCGGCGAAGAGGGAGGAGTTTTTGAAGGAGCTGAAGGAGGAGAGGGAGAAGCCGAAGAGGGAGGAGGCGTTGGAGGCTAAGGCGGCGGCGAAGAAGAAGGCGGAGGATGAGAGGATGGCGAAGTTGACGGCGGCGGAGCAGCAGAAGGTTCGTGTTTTTCTGTTTTTTTCTTCTTGTTTTTTTTTGGTTGGAGTGGTGGCTGAGTGAGTGGAAGGTCGAACGAGTTACTCACGCAACTCCGTTTTTTGTCGTCATATTCTAGCTCCTCGAGCGCGACCGTAAAAAGGCGATGCGCAAACAGGGTAAAATGTCCGTCCGGAAGAGCTGAAGTGGACTGCCCGTACGAAACCTCAGCGTCGAGCGTCCTGCCGAATGCACTTGTCTTGTCCCGAAAGGACTTTATCTATGTATTTAAAATAAAAGCTTCTGCTGTGGTATTGTATGGAGTCGATGGCCCGCAATCGCATTGACAAGAGACTTGCATGTTCACTCCTCCCGAATGGAGGTGGTCGGGCGGGAATGTCTGACTTATCTCAAGGGAACGACTGTCTTCCCGTCCTAAGTTTAACGGTCTGACTGGCTCAGTGAATGGATTTACACCGAGGCCTCACTCAAGAATGCGTCTATGACTTCATCAATCAACGTGCATGATACCATACCAAGGAGCGCGTTTAAATTATTGGTTGCAAGGGAAGGTCTTCTGTGGATTTGTGAAGCCATGTAAGTATATGAAGTCCGAGACATCGCGCAGCGAACGGAGCGGCGAATCGAACTAGAAGTCCACAGTCAGGGCACGATGCATACGAATAAACGTAAGTAGTATATGTCCATGAGCGATTGATCGCATCCAGGATTCAATAGTCAATCCTGTCCGACCTGAAAAGTGGTCGACGTCTGTGGCGTTTCTCACTTTCCTTTGAGTCGAAGTTTCGTCACCCTTCCATCAGCTATGCACGATACACGATGCAGCGGCGTATACGGAAGGGGAAAGTCGCTATCCAGTGGCTTTTAAAGTACCCGTTCGACGGTTAATTTCTATCATGGTGCATGGCTTGAAGGAGCTATGTAGCTTATGTCGGAGTCGGAGCAAAATGAAAAGCCTAACCAAAACTATAATATAAGTGAGAAAAGCGACACGAATGGAGAAAGCGCACGACATGCCGGCGCACGTCATATTAATATATCCCAATGATACCCGTGGTGCATCGGCCAAGGATCCTGTCGAGAATCGAGATGGTCTGAAGGTCTGAATTAACCCCATCGTAGTCCGTCCCCATCTACACACATGCACATAACTCGTCACCATATCCCGAAGAAAACCTTCCACCATGGCCGACCGACGCCCTGTAGACTTTTCTCCACGCCCTCGACGAGCCTCTCGTAATGATGCGGCATAGACTTTGGCTTCAGCACGTTTTCCGGTGTGGGATACTATAGGGTAGAAACACGAACACAAAACCATAAATAAATGACCGATTCAGTAAACAAGCCCATGGGTCCGGGTCACACTTGCACACAATAGGAAGATACAGCAGAAACGGTAACGTAGATGAACCGAGGCAGAGCCAGTAAAGCAAGGAATGAAAGGAAAGGGGTGTATGCACACCGAACAACCAACGCATGCATGTACAACGTACCTTCTTCATCCACCGATTCTCCTGCAACGCCTTCGCAGCCTCGACCGCCGCCGGCCGCGACGCGAGGTTCGGGTGCTCAGCAAGCGATTCGAGGAACGTCTTGAGCTGCATGTTGGGCCGGATGGGATCTGCGGGCCAGTTTGTGGCGATCCGGCGGAGTTGGGAGGAGAGTGCGGAGCCGGGGGCGGACATGGTGGCGAAAAAGTTGTGGTGATATGACGCGTGAGTATGTGCGTGTATGTGTGTGTGTATTCTGTGGGAAATATGTTGGTGTTGGGCGTAAGGGATGTGGACTGGTTGGAGGGGACGAGATGGGTGGCGGAGACTCGGAGGCGTTCGAGGTGAAGGCACGCGGCTCTGGATTTGACAGGAATTTGAAACTGTAGCTGTTCCGTTGGTGACCTCATTCCGAGCACCCGGCTCAGATCGGGGCCACGACGCACCCAGCCACAGACCAAGTAAAACACAAAAAAGCTCGAATGATTGAGCATCATTATACTGGTACATATCCATAGGTACAAGGAAGAAGCCGTGAGATGGGGTATAATACAGAAGATACAGCAAAGCAAATTCAACGGTGATGTTCCCGAAAAAAAAGTCCCACTCGCCACAACGTAGAACTACGACATCTCCCCCTCAAGAACGATTGGCGGAGGCCTCGGGCTCACAGGGATCTCTTCCCCACTCTCATCCTCCACCTTGATCTTAACCACACTCTCCACCTCCCCGACCGTAGTCCCCTCCGTCACCTGCGCCTCAGGCAGCTCCGCCTTCTTCCCCCTCGGCTTCAGACCCCCAGGCCACCTCGCTCCCCAGCTCTCAAAGAACTTCAACAACCAACCCGGCTTAAAAACCGATCCCGTCTCCACAGGTCCGACATCTTCTTCTTCCTCCTCTCCCTCCTCCGGTAACCCCTCCTCCTCTTCCGCCTCGCTCTCCGTCCTTCCTAACGCATCCACCAATCTCTCCTCTCCGCTAAGGGTCCACTGCAACCTATTGAACCTCCCATGCGCCCCATGCGATCCCTGCGGCAACCTCGACCCCCTCCCTCCCACCACCGCTCCCGTCCCATTCGCCCCATTCACTCCAGCACCAGTCGCATGCACATGATTCGTCCCGAACACCTTGTCCCGCATAGCGATCACGTTCCTCCGCTGTGGCGCGACCGAATGCCACAGATCCTGCACCCTGAACTGTTCCGCTTCGTACGAGAGCGCGTGAGTCTCCTGTAGCATCGTCGACGTCCGCGCGCGGATGAGCTCGATCTCGCCGATCAGTTTGCTGCGGTGTTCGATGGAGGTGAGCAGGGCTTGGTGCGATTCGTAGTCGGAGCGCATGCGGGCGTTGGTGGAGGAGAGGCGGCTTGTGAGGACCTGTGATGTTATGTAGAATGTCAGAAAACCACGGAGCTGCTGGTGGGGAGGGAGGGAGGGAGGGAGGGAAGGAGGGAGGGAGCAACGGACCTGGAGGACGGCGATGACGCCTTCGAGGTGCTGATCTCGTCTTCGCATGATGAGCAATTGTCCACAGAGATCCACGTCGATCTTCATCCTATCCACCGGCAACACGCGCAAAGCCTTCAACCTCGACGCGTCGTCGAAACTTCTCCGTCTACAAAGCAAAAACAAAACAAGTGAGCCTCAGCACCCCTTTGTTGATCCCCCAACAAGAAAACCTAACGATACACATACCTCGTCAACACCTGCCCCTCATAAGGCTTATAACTCAACACCGACATATCATCCCTACTATACCCCTCTTCCACACTCCCCACAACCCTCAAACTTTCCCTCTCCTCGATACTCGTCCTCCTCGTCCCCGTCCCCGTCCCCGTCCCCGTCCCCGCCCCCGTCCCGTCATCCTGCGTGATCCCCCTCCTCGCGCTCAACGGGTCCGACCAGCTCGTGACCCGACTCTGATACGTCGGTTTCGCACGCGGCCGTTTGTGGTTGAATTCGGACAGACGGCGATCGTAGTCGGAGAGGTTCGTGGCTGAGCCTCCGTCGACGGTGAGGGAGCTCGTGTTGAGGTAGAAACCTTGTTGGGCTGTGAAGAAGGGAGGTTGTTCGGTGTGAGGAAGACAAGGATTAGGATGTGTGAGAATGGTGGTGGGGGAGATGGAAGGACGTACAGGCGGGGGAAGCTTGGCCACTACTGAGCAGTTCTTCCTCTTCTCCATCCTCTCTGAGCAGTATCGTCAGAAGCGTCAACATTGACAACAATAGCGACAGACAAACCTCGAGACTACCACTTCTGGGACGGGTGGAGATTGATTACCGACCCAAAAAGTGTCCCCTGTGACGCTGGGCTTGCTCCCGTGTCCATGTCGCGCACTGAGATCCACGCTCTGCTTCTTACGGTTCAACCTACCAAATACCGTCAATACGCATTAGGAAATCACGAACAAGCAACAACCCACCCAGTCCACGACTCGATCTTCCGCTGCACTCTCCTCCCCGTCCACCCCCTTGACTCACTCTCATCCTCGGTCGACCTCCCATCCGACCTCTCATTCCTCTCCTTATCTCTCTCCCTCTCCTTCTCATCGTCCTTCTCTCTCTCCACCTCAAACATAACCCTCTCCGACCTCTTCTTCTCCAACTGCGCCAACCGTCCCGACCACAAATACCTCAAGCTCGCCGCCCCATCCTTCCCACTCGCCTGCACGATCCTCACAAACTGTTCCATATCCCCCGTCGCAATCGGCACGTCGTTCCTCGACGACGACGAGTCCCTCAACACCGGCTGCCCACCATACCCGCTGTACCCATACCCGTAGCCGTAGCCATACCCATCCTTCGAGGCGTTGCTGCCAGAGCCCCCATAAGACGAACTATGTCCGTGTCCGTGCCCATGATGTCCATGTCCATGCCCACCGATACTCCCGATCCCCCCACCCACCACTGAACTCGTGCTCGTCCTCAGATCCGTCGTGAAGTCGTCCAGCTTATTGAGCAACACCCTATGCACCTTATACGACTCCGACTGTCTGAACTTCGTATACGCGGCGTCGATGGCCTCGATCGTTTCCTGGGTCAGGTAAGGCAGTGGTTTCGGTTTGGAGGGGGAGTTGGCGGTGGTGCTGGATGGGGAGGTTGAGGTGTGAGGATGAGGCGGAGAGGCGTTGGTGAGGGAGGCAGTGATGGCGGTGTTGATGGATGTGTTGAAGAGGCGTGCGGAGGGGAGGTTGAGAAGCGCTTGCACGAAGATATGCGGTTCGATGAATGGGTCTTTGGGAAAGAGCTGGGAGAGCGTTTTGGTATATGTTCAGTGACTCGTCCTTTCCGGTAGGGACGGAGACCGTGTAGGAGAGGGAGGGGGGGAAGGGTGGCAATGCTGATGATGTTTGCGGAACGTACCTGCCCGTAACCAAGAGCGTAGAGTTTGTTGCGGATACAGGCGACGAGACTGAGGAGAGCGGAAACGATGGTTGGATCTGCGACCCTCTCCATGGGCTAGATGAGCCCATCCGGAGAGTACGAAATCAGTAATGTTGAAATGAAGCATTGACGATTGAGCAGGCCCACAAAGGGGCTCGCGGGGCGAACTGTCCCGAGCAAGCATCGCCACCGCCGGCGGAAGCAGATGGGCGGGGTGGAAAGGAAAAAGTATAAAGAGGACCCGACAGAGGAGAATCCACGCACCTCGACTCCGAGACATGGTTCTCCTATCTCCGCGATCCATCGCTGGATCCCGTTCACCGTAACATCGCACAACAAACCGTTGCGCTCTTCCGGGGACAGGTCGAATTTGCCGAAGATCGAAAGGCCGGCTTGGACGAGCTTCACGAGCTCTAGTGTCGTCGCGCCGAAGAGCTCGGTGGATCTGAGTTTGTCGGGGAGGTTGTACATGCCGATGAAGCGGTCTTTGGTCGTATCGCTAAATGATGTGGATTAGAATGGGCCAAGAGATGGGAAGTAGGGCACCGCGCAAAGTTCGACATTGTCATACCTGGGCTCTTCCAAGGTCAGAGCAGTCCTTCCCGCACATCCCATGCGAAGAAGGTTGATGTTGGTATATAGACGTTCCCGGGCTTCGAGGAAAGAGCCGCTTGGGACGTGGACGATGGTGTAGTCCGAACGGAAGTTGGCAAGGGAGGTGACCATGAGGGTTCCGTGCACAGTCTAGGTCCAAATATCAGCAATGAGGAGTCGTCAAGAATCTGGGAGCGAGGCATACCTCCTTAGGACGAGCACCGGACTGGCGCAGCTCGCGAATGACCTTGTCCCATTCTGCCTGTGTTTCGACCACAGAAAGGCTGTAGCACGGGCTTAGAGCAGTAACGGTGATCTAGAGACAAAGATCAGGAGCAGGGTGGGAAAGACGGAGATAGGAAGCACACTTTGTGCTCTGGATCGCCTGTGTATACAGCCAGCGTTACAACTGGCGCTATTCGCTCTGTGACCCTACGACGGATTAGTCAAGTAGGCAAACCACGAACGAGAGGGAAATACCATTTCTCAACGGCATGTATCTGATAGCCTTCAATCTCCAGTTGCTCCTGCACTATCTCGAACTTGCAGTTGAATCCTAACCACTCGGCGCCAGTGTCCTTAGGAGGGTGGAGCAGAGAAGGAGAAAGGGAAATGGAGAGGGAAGCGGAACGAGAACGGATGATCTTTGTGGAGGAGTTCTTGACTTTGGTAGACTTGGGCGATCCTGTCGGGCTAGCATGCGCTAGAGAGGGAGGACGAGGTTCACGCACTGTGGGCATCAACAGCCTCGGTCTCGCGGAGGGTATAGAGAGCAGCGGACTCGGTGGAGGGGCCACGCCCGGCGTTGCGGGCTGCGACGACGCCCTCTGTGCGAGTGGAGGGACATTGGGCGAAGAGAGCAGGGGCAAGGCCGTTGCAGACGAGCGGGCCTTCATGGCGGTGTGGCCCAGAAGCAGCAGCGACGGATAGCAGAGGAAGTGTGGCACTGTTGCCCGTTGGTTGCCCGAGACGACGTCCGGGGCCGCCGGATCTACAGGCACCCACGTGGCACACGTGGGATGCTCGATTCAGAGATCCAGCAGCTTGGCAAACGTCACTCGCAGCATCGATCGTTGCCCTTGTAGCCGATGTGTGGCCGACCTCCTGGAGACAGCAATACCGGACGGGCCCCGATTCCGCGAGCTTTGTGTATATTTTATGCAGGAAAAGCAGGCGGGGATAGTGTCGAGAGCGAGGGAAAGGGTCGCGTGGAATAGGTCGGGGAGGAAATGACGTTAGTGAGTCAGACGAGGGAACATCGTCGCGCGAGACGCCGCAGACTGGATCAGGATCGGGGCCGGCTGGCGCGATGGCCCCCTCAAGACTGAAATGCTGCCTTCGATGCTTATAGCGCTCGCCACTCTCTCTGCTACCTTCACTACACCTCCCATGGTCGATGAACACGACGCCCACAGCGAACGCTCCCCGACGCCCACGCTGCGTCCACCGTCGCCGAGTGCTGCCCGCTCCGTTGTGCCCCGCGATGGCCCCTCTCGCCCTGCTGCACATCGGGGCCACAGCCCTCCTGAACGGCAGCGGAGACCTCCTCCTTCGCGCTCTGTGAATGTTGAGCTAGCACCAGTGCCTGGCCCGAGCACGATCAGACATCCTCCATCCCGTCCCTCTCGATCCACTCCCCCCAGATCGGAACTACCACCTACCTCATCCTGCACACCTTCCAATGCTTCGTCAAATACTCCTACCCTACCTCCCCTACCACCTCCTTCTCCGCCTCCAGTCCCCATGCACAACCGTCTCCGCCCCGTCCTCCGCTGTCCGGCCTGCTCTTCGTCTCTTCTCGTCTCGCCCATAACTCTGCTCTGTGGCCACACCGTTTGCAGAGGCCATCTGCCCCTCAGACAGTCTTCAGCTCCCCATCCACCGTTAATTTGCCCCGTAACCGGTTGCGCTTCCTCCACCACCGCTCCACTCGCACCCAACATTCATCCTACCTCTCATGTCACTTTCTTCCCCGCCACCGCAAACGCCGTCGACCCTTCCGCACGCGCATTTGCTAACATAGTTGCAACCTCCTCCACAGACGTCACTGTCAGCAGACTTCTCGCCAGTCTTTCTCACACAAGCGAGCAGCCCAACGCTCGTCAGTTTATCCACCCCCACGAGGATGATAGCGAGGACTCGGATGACGACAGAGGCCCTGAACACGAAGATCCTTCGCTCTCGTCATTCGCGTTACCATCCTCCTCCAACACCTCGAGTTTTCTTACTCCATCCACTTCTGGCCTTCCCCCGGCTCATCCCGCCACACCACAAACCCGTCCTTCTCTTCCGCCATATTCTTCAGAACCAACCAGAGAATGCTCTCACAGTCCAAATGACCGTCCTCGGAAACGCCGTCGAAGAAGACGGTCTTCTACTGGCTCGCCAGAGGGTCCTCAGGAACGTCCCGGAGAATTCGAGAAAGAACTGATGGGTGACCTCAGTTGCGAGATTTGTTTCGCGTTGTTTTATCAACCGGTTACGACTCCGTGTCAACATGTGCGTCAACGCTCCCAGCGCCTTGTGTTTTCTGACGTACTGACCCAACTATCACAGACATTTTGCGCCAAATGTCTCCAGAGGTCTCTGGACCACAGCAGCCAGTGCCCACTGTGTCGACAAGACCTTTCAGGTTTTACCTATTTTCAGGATCACCCGTTCAACCAAACCGTCCTGAAAATCGGTCAGCGCCCTTCCATTTTCCCGTTCAGTCCCTCTCGTCTGACGTCACTTGTCCAGTTCTGGAGGCATTTCCGGACGTGTATGCAGAACGAGGTAGACTCTTAGACGAAGAGGCCCGGATCGCGCGCCTCGATACACCGATATTCGTCGGCCAACTCTCCTTTCCGGGCATGTCCGTCATCCTCCATTTTTTTGAGCCACGGTACGCGTCCCCGAGGGCTCTCTATCGCCGCTCTTAGCTCCACTTTTGACTTTGCATCTTGGCTGACGTTTTGCGCTTGTTTTCCTTTTTGAATTTCATTCTTGATGGCCGCAGGTATCGATTGATGCTGCGACGGTGTTTGGCGTCTCCGACACCGTGCTTTGGCATGATCATGCCTTCGCGGAGCACATCACAAAGCACCAGCAACGACTATGGGACCATGCTCGAGATTCGAAGCGTAAGGATGTTGGCGGATGGTCGTAGCTTGATCGAGACATGGGGCACGCATCGATTTCGCATTATGGAGCGAGGGACGTTGGACGGCTACATGCTTGGAAGGGTCGAGCGGTAAGAGACTTTTTTAGGCCGCTTTCTGCATAGACCTTACCAAGTTCACTCCTGACGTACCTTCCATTCTTTTGTGGCATTATGGCCATCAGGATCGACGACTTTCCACGGGATCTGGGCGATTCCGAAGCCAGCCTGACAGCCGTCCTGAACGACGCCGAGTCATCCTCGCTTGCCTCTAACCCATCTTCCTTGAGATCGGGCCCACAGCCTCCTCCCCCGCCAGAAAATCTGCGGATCGCTTCTGTCTTCCAGAGAGCGCGCCAGACGGTCCCGAACAACGAGGCGCTCATGGAGTTTTGTCGGAATTTCGTGGACCAGTTGCAGGCTGGCGCTGCGCCGTGGGTCGTCCAGAGATTGAATAATACGTATGGCCCGATGCCTACGGATCCGAGCAACTTTAGTTTTTGGATGGCTTTGGTGAGTCCCCCCCTCTCTTGCGTATGACATATTATATAGGGCCTGAAGCTTATACGCGGTCTGGTTTAGGTCTTGCCCATCGACGAGATCGAAAAGTCGAAATTGCTGCCTATTAAGTCGCCACGGCTTCGGTTGCGGTTAGTCGTGTATTGGATAGAGCAGCTCAAGAGCAACTGGTCGGTGCTATTTTCAGACTACTTATCTTCGCGAAATGAAAGCTTACGCTTGTTATTCAGGTGGTTTACGAGCGGATGTATCATCTGCTAGCATCGGCTTCAACGTCACCGTCTTCCAGCTATCTCTACCTTCATATTTTCCTGTCTACCACCATATCTGGCATCGTGTCTCCCATACATCCTGTATCTCGTAGCTTGCGTATAATATCCCATGGATCCGACCCATTTTGTCTCTTATACTCGTTCTTCTCTTCTTTTATTGCAATCGGGGGCAGTGGACATCCATCTTTGTTCCCGATCTTCTATTATCTTTCCTTGGGGTGACGGGCTCTATCTTTAATCTCAATATTCTGTCGTCTTGCGGTCGTCGGTCGACCCCTCGTCCTCAAAACGCCCTTTTTTGTCATCTGCCAGTGTACCGCTACCGCTCACTTCTTTCACCCACTCACCCGTTCGTTCACTCCATCCCTCTGGCCCATATAAACCCACTGGCATAACCACGTCAGTATCTATATATGCATTATATTATTCGACCGTTTCATGCGGTTTTGCTTTTCTTTCCTTCACCCACCCACCCACCCACTCTTACCCATCGCCGCATTCTTCCTTACTACTAACTACTTATTCTACTGTGTACCTGCCACCCACGTCGGCAGCCTGCACTGCACTGCGCCACCTGTCCTCTCTTCATTCATTTCACACTTCATAAGCATCTTCGATTTTTGTTTGTGTATCTTTGGATGCCGTCGTCGAAGGCCATAGGACACACGACACAAATACAATACAAGTAACAACGCGCCACGTTGCTTGTCAGTGCCTGCTACCGCCCCGGATCCCACACCCACCCGCTCTATCGTTTGTCTGCACGTAGTACACTTTTAAATTTTGAATTTCTACACTGCCAGTGCCTGTCAATGATCCAGACTCTATAGAGTAAAAATACCCATCGTCTACGCATCCAGCACATCACTCCCCCGCGCATCGGAGAGAGTGACTCTCTCCATCGTTCATAGAAATGCACTTCGATAATATATGGATACGTATACTGCATCTACATATTGGTTATTCCTTCCTTGCTCGAGCACTGGTAGTACAGTAATAAGTACATCTACATTCAAGCTGTTGTATCCTATGTTTGATGATCTCACCAACCGACCCGACCTCGATCTCTGCCAGAACACCATGTCCGACTCGACCACCGAGCCAGTTAACGTTGCAATTATTGGAAGGAACTTGGCAGCCTGAGGTTCGGACTATTACTTATGGTCCTGTACCTGCTTGCGGCGTGCGAGTCTCTATATTCACACGACTGTCAAACCCTACCCCCTGCCCGTCCCATACAGTACTCATGACCATATAAGTGCACGGTCATCCAAGAACCAAACCTGTGGGATCGCTCCATAGCTGCGCCACAGTATACAGTAGGAGATGAACTCTCTTGACATCCGACCGTTCCAAGTTCAACAGCCCGAGTCAAGTGTGGCGCACACAGTGGCATCAAGTGGCGAAAGATCCATCAACCTACTTACCCGAGTCATCATCTGCATCAACGCTCGTAAAAGATACATACATACATACATGCATCCGTGCTCCTCGCATCGCATGATTCGCACCGCCCGGCGGCAACCCCACCAAGCGAGCAAGAATCTGAACTCCATTCCAAATCACGATCCCATCACCGCGATGCCGATGTTGATGTTGATGAAGAACCTTGAAGAACTCACTCTGGTAAGGAAGCTCCTTTCAACTCCTTGGAACTCCTTCAACAGGGTCCAAACATCCACTTCATCCCCGGGTCTGAATGCGTCTAACTTACTAGTGTCGTCGATCTCCGAGGAAGTACCTTCGACCATGACCGAATGTATAGCGGCCGCGATGAACTGCTGGTCGACTGGTCCATCGATGCTGATGGCGTTGGCGTTGGCGAAGCAGTTGGCGCAAAGGTGACTGACTGACATGCAGTACGTACTTCGCGGCCGCCAATTATTGCAAGCGCTTTCGCACGCTACCCGACAGTCCGACATCGGCGAAGACGAAGACGAGAGGATCATATGCAGCCGACGCAGGGGACAGAACCGTGCGTCCATGCAGTAGCTGGCGAGGATGCTGGTTTCGGGTTCGAACAAATACATACAATTGTGATCATGTGCTTTGGAACGGAGAGAATACATTCGTGAGGCCTTCTGATAGTCTATATGGTGTATACGGTGTGCGAGCAGCTATGGTAGCAAGTACAACGACGACAAGGAACAGCGCAGAAAACGACGCACGCACAACACAACACGTAGGGCACTCGAACAACAACAATGACTCGGACAACACAAAAATATATATGCGGTTTCTTCTTCTTCGTCTACTATTCATCTTCATTCGTCGTACACCCCAGGACCGATCCATACGTTAGTGGTATTTAAAGAGCAGCCATGTTCGTCACTGGCCAAGAGCTGTGGTGGTTGCAAAGGGGAGGCAGACGTCAGCAATCGGAAGAGTAGGATGCAGGATGACGAGGACACCCACTATCCCTCAGATGACCGCTTGTAGCCATACTTGGCAGCGAAAGCATCGAGCTCTTTGGGTCCCCGTGAGCCGTAAGGGTATGGCACAGGCTTGGGACGTTGTCCGCTCTTGCCATCGATCCAGTGCAGGATGGGCGTGAAGATCTACACCCGCCAAGTCGTGTCAGTCACCTTACTCTGAAGGTATTGACGACGCGACGAACCTTCCAAGCAACATCGAGCTCATCGTCACGAACAAAGTTGGAGTGATCACCCTTGAGGGCGTCGAGGATGAGGGCTTCGTATGCCTCTGGGATCTTCGTCTCGGTGAACCGTCTCTTGTAAGTCAGGTCCATCTCTGTCGGGAGCGCGCGGGTATAAAGTCCGGGAGTCTTGGTATTGAGTTTGAGGTAGACGGCTTCGGAGGGTTGGATGCGGAGGACGAGTTCGTTGCGGGAGATGTCTTTGAAGATGCCCTGGGTGACATCCTTGAACTGCATGCGAACCTCGACCTTCGCCTCGTTCAAGGCTGAACACGATGAGAATAAAATTTACATCGAGGATGATAGTCGGAAACAAAGATGAAACGTTCCTCAGCGCGTTGGTCCGGCAGAAATGTGTGAGAGCGGGTGAGAGTACGCACCCTTTCCAGCCTTGAGAATGAAAGGCACACCCTCCCACCGTGGGTTGTGAATCCAGAGCGTGGTGGCAGCGAACGTAGGGCATACGGAGTTGTGCGGGACCGTGTCGTCGTCGAGGTATCCGGGCTTGCCGTTGGCGGCGACATATTGGCCCAAAAGCGTATCCGAACGCTCGATTGGCGGGATCGCGCGGAGAACTTTGACCTGCGGCCGGTGAGAACGGTGTACACGCATGAGAGGGACTGAGATGCTCACCTTCTCGTCACGAATGTCCTCTGCAGAGAAGGAGACAGGTCGCTCCATAGTCAAGATACTCAAAACCTGCAAAAGATCTGGAATGTTTCCGTTCACGAACCTGCCGTTGGGATTGGCGATAGACACTCACGGTTCTGCAAGACATCACGGATCATACCAAACTCATCGAAGTAACCACCACGACCTTCTGTTCCGAAAGGCTCCTTGAACGTGATCTGGACGTTGCTGACGGAGTTCTTGTCCCAAGCAGCACCCATAGCCACATTAGCGAAACGGAGGACGAGCAAGTTCTTGACCATCTCCTTCCCAAGGTAGTGATCGATACGGAACGTCTCATCCTCGGTCCAGTGCTCCTTGAGTGCGCTGAGAAGCTCTCTGCACGACTCGAGGTCCTTTCCGAAAGGCTTCTCGACGATGATGCGGTTGATGCCCTTCTTGCTATAACAGTTTTTCTTGCAGTGAGCAGCGACGGGGATGAAGACGGATGGTGGGAGTGCGAGGTAGAAGAGACGATGGCGCTCCTCTCCTTCGTAGCCAGACTCGATCTGCGCGATGTGCTTCTCGAGATTTTGGAAAGATGCATCGTCCTCGTAACCACCGGAGACGTAGGTGCTGAGTTTCTTGAATTCGTCTATCTTCTTGGAGATCTCCTCGTTGTTGTCTGCGTTCTTGATGTACGATGTTGCGCGTTTGTGGAATTCTGCCTCGTCCATCTTTGTGCGCGCATAGCCTACTATTTTGACGTCTCTTGGGAGGAAACCATCGCGATAGAGACCGAATAGAGCCGGGAAAGTCTATATAGTTTTCAGATAAGCATAAGAATTACCTCTGCATAGTACATCGCATCGAACCTTTTTCTTTGCGAGATCGCCGGAGGCACCGAACACTGCAGAGAGTGGTGAGCGGGATAAAGATGACGGAATAGGGGAACTTGCGCACCGATGATGACCGTGTTATCCTTGAGTTCATGATTCTCGCTTTGCATCGATGGGATAACGCCAGCCATGATTCAGATAGAGGGATATAGAGAGAAATAAGAGAAGAAATAAGTATGTCGGTGGGTGGTCTGCGGGAGAGGGTGGATGGGTCTACGCAACTCTCTTATTTAGCTGACTGACGAAGGTCCCACTCTCATCCACCGCTCGGCCGACCGCCCGGGCCGGACGCATCAGTGGTGACGATTGGTCAATGCGCGCTTGCTGCCTCTCTTCTCCCGACAAGGACAGTTCCAATGGCCAACGACCAGAGTGCTCTCCCACCCTGCCCGGACGATGCCCTCCACGACCTCAGAGAGCTCGTATCTATCACACCGTCTACGAAAGATGCCTCAGACGTGCACATACGCGCAGGCGCACTCTTCGCCCGCCTCAAAGCGCTCAACCGAGCGGCGAACAGCGCCACACGCAACCACAAGCAGGCCACCGCGGACGCTCGCCATGACATGGACCAGACCCACTTGGGTCTCCAGAACTTGCAATACGAGAAACGACACCTGGAACGTGAGATCGAGAAATGTCGACAATTCGCGTACGCCCATTCGCTCGTTCTCTCGCTTTCTGACCCTCTGTGTCTCACGAATCTTCCCTCGCCACAGTTCGATTTACCAGGACATCCCCATGTATACCATTGACGAATTCGTGGTTCGGGCACCACCCGAGGCCCATTCGCAGGACGTGATGTCTAATCATCACCAGCTGATGCTGAACAGACTCAGCTTTGAGCTCGTTGAACGCCAGAGGTCAGTCTCACCAGCAACGTGCCCGAATGGGCGTTCACGTTATTCATGTGCGATTCTCACCGTCGTCCGCTCCGCTCGCTCCCATTAGGTTAGACCGTAGAGTGAAGGAACTCACACAGCAGAAAGAAGAGCTCCTGAAAGAGAGCAAGGCCAATGCCGCCACCGCAGACAGCGTGAAGGCACAGATCGACTTGCTCGTCAAGGTACGTACAGTCATTTCCTCGGTCGGTGTGGCGTAGCGTCACACGCTTACCGCGTTTTGGCCTTGTTCTATACGACAGTCCGCTATGGATATCCGGAAAAAGGTCGATGAACTCATCCCGTCCACCCCGATGGAATCCTCACCTTCAACACCTGCGGGTTCGCAAAGTTGATCAGGGCTTTTTGTATTGTACATTGAAATAACTTATCAGCTTCATCTTCTCGATTGCGCCTTTCCCCCCACTTGATCGCTTGTAACATCATAAAAAGCATGCTATTCCACACGACACGGTCGCCCATTATATGAGTACATAGAGGAGAAAACTCGGCGATACCGATCATAACTAAACAGAGATGAAAGAGACGATGCGAAACATGGGGTAGAGGGTGGTTGATCAAGCTACGGGTGATATGCAGGAAGCCAATGAGATTTACATACAAGCAGAAAACATGTGTCCAAATAACAGAGAGAACGGGAGAGCGAGATGAGGGGATCAGGAAGGGGAGAGAAGGCTGAGGGGACAGTATGAACGCCTCCCGAGGGGTGTGGATTCTATATAATTACAGTGAGAACGGTTGGATCAGGTAGATGGGGGCTTAGGAAATGCAAGGATGGGGCGAAACTAACAAAGGATGTGAGATCGTGAGCAGACGTGACGGGTCAGAGATTAGAGGAACGAGAGTCAGCGGTCATGCCTCCATCTCATCCCCGCTGATGCTCCCAATGTCACTCATCTCCGCGTCTGGCTCCTCTTCCTCACCACCAGCAGCATTATCCGCAGCCTCCTTCGTAGCAAACCGCTGCACATACTCTAGAGCGCAGCAGGAAAATACGCCAGAGAACGATGAGAACACTCTGAACAGACATAAGGTGCGGGACGGCGGCTTACCTTTCACCTTGGCATCGTACTCCTTCGGATGGCGCATAAGCAGAGCTGCCGCCTCACCGTTCAGAGGGTCATTCGGGTTTGGGTACCGCAGCAGTTGAGGAAGGAAAGTCTCGAAGATGTTCATCATATCTAGGTTTAATGATCAAACCAAGGAGAGGGATAAGTCGAAACGTCCAGGGTCTTCTGCGTGGGAAGGGGTGAGAGATGATGACTCCGTTCGTACCAAACATAGGCGACCACGTCTGATTGATAACGTCGAGGCAGACAGAGCCGCTCCTGCAAGGGTACGAAATACAGTCGTAGATCGTCAGACATTGACCACGCGGGAGAGTGCGGAGTAGGAGTGAGCGTACAGTTCGTCGATGTTAGGATGAAAGATCTTGTTCATGAATCCGATGCTGGGTGACTTGAACGGGTACTGGTCTGGGAGCTCGACGTGGATCTTCCAGACACCACCAGCGAAGGGAGCTGCGATAACAATGAAGTGGTGTGATTGCGTGCGGTGATTAGCTCGTGCTCGTGCTCGTGCGATGGCGTTCACAACGCGGGACGTACTCTCTGGGGGTCCATAGAAGCGAACGTAGAACTCCTGCATATTGTCATTGACCAAGCTGACCTCCAGATCAGACATCATCCTAGAGCAGAAAAAGAGCATTCATGATCAGCATACGAAGCGTGGTGGAGGTGCGTGAGTGGCCGACCGCACTTACATCTTCATGACATCGGTTTCGATGCGGCGTTTGGGGTTAGCGCTGTAGAGACGACGACAGCATTATCAGGATCTGTTCCAAAGCAGCAGATGAAAGGGCGACATATCATCGTAGGGTTTCGTTGGGGTATGTAGGCGAGGCAGGCGGACTGAGTTCGAAGCGAGGTGGTGGTAGGGGCAAGGGTGATGTAGCGAGCAGCTACAGCACCAGTAGTGCTAGCGTTTCAACCCGGGCTGTGTAATCTAATCTTATCACGGAAGTATCCTCTGCCATGATTCCGAGGTTTCCGATCGCACGTTATTGTTTCTCCACGTTACAGGGGCCACATTTGGGCCACAACCAATTTCTGCTGTCTGAAAGAGCCAGAATACATAACACAAGACCCGTCGACCATAAAACAACAACCAGTGCATTTTAACGTGTGCCTACGTATACATTAGTTTCGATACCTGACATCCACCCGTTCAGGTCCAGCCATCGCTTTATTGACGAACCTGTCGCCATTCCGGCTTCGATGCCTCTCAACGACGATACTAGGTCCTTAATAATACGACCACTCCTCCACGACACAGTACGCATCATTCGGAGAACAAGGCCACGACCTTCCCCGACTATTACTATACCCATCCTGACGCGGCGGGTTGGCAGCAGCCATGTCCCCGCCCGCATAGTCATTCTTCCCCAACGCTCGCCACGCCATCAACATCGCTGCAAAGCCACCCACCCACATACGCCAGCCCACGGAAGCACAAGAACGAAGTTAGCGATGATGTAATTTTGATCATTGCAGAGGCGCTGAAAGGGAGGTAGATGGGTGAAGGTTGAACGCTCACCGAAAAACAAAAACCCAAACGCGGCGATGAGCGTCAACTCTTCCTGCCGCTGGTCGAGCAAGTCCCCGCTCCTCCGATGATGTGCTATGATACTAAAGTTCAAAGTAAAAGCGTCAGCCGGCCGGCGGGTAACGGTGATGCAGACGACAAAGTATAGACAGTGTGATGTGGTAATGGGCGTGATATGAGCCGATTGCGCAATGGGGTACCTGTGGGCGTGTGAAGAGAACGAGGATGGGATGGGATCAAAGAATGGAGAGAAAGCAACTCACAAGACCATCAGGGAGGCGATGGCCAGGAAGGCCACGGAGGTTTGCGTGAGGGTGAAGGAAACTGCGCGCCCGGCGAATGACGAGGACGAGACAAAGGACACGATAAGGGAAGCAACGTTGTTTTAATTCTCAGTGTTCATATTCACGCGTTTACGCTCACGTTCGAGGCGGAGAGAGTTGAGAGGAGGGGGGAATGATCCGGTGCGATAGAGAACAATGGTGAGAGGTACAGTAGGATTAGGGACACGTACGCATGCTATGAGGAATCAGCTTCATGAGAGTCCATCCGGAGAATGCAGCGCCGCCCGCTTCAGGAAAGAACAACCTCTAAAGTTCAGCTCCTGGGATCACGGAAGAAGGACAAGGCGGCAAGTTGGAAAATTTTACCTAGGACGAGTGATTGCGCGAGACGCTCACGGAACAAGGTCATCTGAAAGACGGGATAATACTCAAAAGACAGAAGAGGGTAAGAAGAGTAGTGTGGGTTTGGGGGTTCAGCAGTGAAGAGCGCGGAATTCTGGGAGACTTTGCTTTATCAAGCCCATCTGGCCATGAAGCAAAAGGCCAGGTAGACATGAGGCAAACACGCGTCTTGTGACGCAAAGATATTATAATAGGGCGGGCAGGATAACGTGCGTTTGGCTTTGGAATTAGATGTGATCATTCCATGGTGTGTCAGCCTACGAACAGAGATCCACGACTTCGGCATGCTGCTGCAGCTGGTCTGTCAGCGCAGCCGCGGTCACGGTTTCATAATCCAAGAAAAAACGCAGAACGCACAGTGTATGAGGCTTTTGTACATTTGAGGGAACGCAAAGTCCGAGAGAGATGGATGAGAATGAAAATACAAACAGAGAAGGCCCAGCTCTATACCACCTGACTGAAAAAGCGCCTAATATTGGGAGCTCTGGACAGTACCAGGAATCTGTTGCACCGTCGCAGGAGCGCCATTCACTCCAGGCTGAATGACCAAGCTGTGTCCTGGCATCTGCTGTACGACTTGGCCATTGATGTTGTATGGGTAGCCCTGCACTTGCTGTGGTGCGTACTGCGGGTATGCTCCGTTGGCTTGAGGGAATCCTTGGTATTCGTGGAACCATGGTAGTTCGTTGATGTCTTCGCTCCATGCATAGGCACGTCCTAGTCCTCGGGCCTTGTTCGCCAGAGTGATGACGAAGAGGAATGTAAGAAGGACTAGAAGCAATGATCAGCCAGTCAAACAGCCAGTGGAAGGAGCCGGTAAGCATGAATGCAAAGAACGTACTGAGACAGAACATTGCCCATGAAAATGCTTCGATGACCTTGGACTCATAGCAGTATTGCTGAGCATTGACTGTGCAGAAGAAGGTATCATCAGAGTGTATGTGGCGTTACTGAAGCGAGATCTACGCACATGTTCCACCGTTCTTAGCCTGTGTGGTCTGGCCTGACAAAGCAAAGCATTCTATGGGACCGATTACATCCCTATACCACAAGCATGGAACGGAGATGAGTGTGAACAATCATAGCTTGTAATGAAGTACGCACGATTGCCACGTGGCCAGAGCTTTCATGCACGGTCGTCAGCGAATACCAGCAGCGGGAGGAAGAAACATGAAGAAAGACTCACTCAGCCAAAGAATACCCAAGAGAAGGAATATAAACGCTTCAATCCGTGGTTGTGAATGTATAACCCTGCGAAACACATCTCCGCTCAGAACGAAAGACGAATGGGCCACAACCGATCGAAGTCACTCACAGCAGAATGAGCACGAATATCGTGACAGACGGGCACACAAGAGAGTATATCGTAAAGTCATCTGAGCGAATGATGCGATAAGTTGTCTCGTGAGGACCATGGGGAGTATACGATAACACGAAGTGAATGAGCGCACGATGCAGATTGGGAAGGAACACGCTCGCGAGCTGGGCCGCGATTCCTAGGACTGTTCCCGTAAGCGCAAACAATGCGACTGCAATAAGTATGTCCGGTCAGCCTCCATGTCTTCCATATTGCAAGATCGAGATGAGAGCTCTAGGGCTTGCTCACTGTAAGTGTAAAGCCGGATGTTTCTGAACAGAAGGGTCATGATTGTGGGTGGCACAGGGGTACAAAGCAAGACAGTGAACTTCAAGGAGACGCAGCAGCACTGGTGAGACGGTGGAATGGATAAAAATTGGTCGTGAGGTTTAATAAGAGCGTGAAGTCGTAAACAAGCGTCAGCAAAGCAATGAGGCTGGCGTGCAAGCCGAGGGCAAGGAGCACTTGCCCGAAGAGCCGCCAACTTTGTTCAAGTTTCAACCGTCACAGGGTGGTCACCATTCCGTCACGATGTGACCGACGTCGAACGGGGGATGTTTGGATGATGTCGATGAGGTTGACTATATTTATATTTATTACTGAGGTGATATCTGGGACTCACACAGAACAGGAATGAGACCGAGGGGTGGTCGCGGTGGAGTGGTCCAACCAGACGTGAAAGGGAAGCGGATCCAACCTCTAGTTTCTTCCGGAGTCTCCTCAGAAAGCTTCCACACTTCGGAACCAAACTGGTACACACCCGCCAAATCTATACAACTGCCTCATCATTCGTAACCTTCAAATAAGGCTAGCGTAATAGGGAAGCGTATACAGGTCTAATGCAGGTTACAAAGGAGCAGGCAGCTACAAATAATCACCATCGTGACAGGGTAAGTACGTGTACAGTAGCGCAGCTATAGCTAGGTTTAGGTATCGCAGGTTAGACGTTAAAAGTCGTAAAACGAGCGACAAGGATAAATGAACGATGGGATACATAAGAGATAATAGCACAAACAGAGCCCATCTCGAGAATCAAAAGAGCCTCGAGTACCCAGAAAAATAACATTAAAAAAATACCCATCGTCAATGCCCTTCATAATAAAAAAGCGTACACCATCCCATCGTCAAGATGGACGTTCATCTTGTTCTTGTGTTTCGCAGCGAGAGGCGATCATCTTCTAGGCGAAACATCGCGGCGCCAATAATCCGCATCCTGCTTCGTCCTCGACCGACTACTGTCCCCCCTCTGCACTCGATCCCTCCCAGACCGACCACTGTCTCCCCTCTGCACCCGATCCCTCCCACGATCCTGACTCCGCTCACTAGGTCTCCTCGCCGCCGACGAAGGCTGCTGCTGCTGCTGTTGCTGCTGCTGTTTCGCCTTATCCATATAAACATAGTACACAGGAGCGTCCGAGTTCTCCCGCTTATGAGTCGGCCTCGTCGTAGCCTTCTCCGTCGTCGTCCTGCGTGAATTGGACGGCATGATCGCAGCGGAAGGTTTCGTGACGGAGCGCTGACGGGATGTGACGGGAGCGGGAAGTCTCCCGCTGGCGGTGCGTTTGGGTTGGGACGAGGCGAACCAGTTGACGCCGGTGACGGGAACGAGCCAGATCTGACGGGTGCCTTTGAAGTAATGCCTCAAGGCGAGTCCGAAGAGGAGGAGCCCAAAGCCCCAGACTGTTGTGAAGTGATGTGACGGAGAGGGTTAGGGATGTTCTGATGTGAAAGCAAAGTGAGGGCTGCGTACTTAAAACCACGTTGAACAAGGCAAACGCCTCGAGGACTCGGTATTGGGCGTGATATGTCTCGGTTGTAACTATAGAAAATGAGACTCCCGCTCCCGCTGAAAATTTTGGAGATGAGACTTACATCCGGGAACATCGACGGGGGTGTCCGTATCCGAAACAAAACATTCTACATCCGCGTCCTCAGAGTCGGAGGATGCGAGGAAGGCCCCAAGAGCTGTACTTTCCACATGAATAACAATCGGAGCGGTGATGGTGGTAATAGACTCACCGAGCCAGAAAGTGCCTGCGAGGCCCAAACAGGCCAATTCCAGTCTCGTGGAAACGGGATTCATGTTCTTCCGGATACTGAACATCAAGCTACAAACACAAGTTTTAGCCTTTGTATACGCTTTGAAGAAGCGTCAGGAACACTGACACCGTGAATATGACCACGAGACTGGCACACGACACGAAGATCGCAAAAGGGACGAAACGAGCTGTGATAGGCCACAATTCAGTCGGGACCGTCGGGGGCTCTGCTACAGCTTTACTCACTGAGATCGGAGGCGCTCAAGATAGCCTGGAAGTGCGCCGCGATAGCCAAGCAAACGATGCTCCACAACAAAACAAGGACTAGAAAACAGACAAACAGACCGACCGACCAACTCATGAGCACAGCACTTTTGACAAACAACAGCGACGATCTTACTCACCGTATACGCAAGCTCTGACGAGCAAGAAGGGCGATGGGATAGAACGGAACATAGCGAAAAAGTTCTGCATTCCGTGGAGGGGTGGGTTCTGCTGCCCCTTACCCCGCGCTTGAGACCTCATAACAGGATTCGAACGAGCGAGCGCGGGTCGTTATTCAAAGGCTATGAAGGTCGCTTGAATCGCGAGGCGGGCTGCAGGAGCGGGCGTGATGGGGGCGCAAGATGCGAGCCTCGAGCCTCGAGGAGGGCATGGGTAGCTGCAGTATTTATGCATTCCAGGGCCTCACCGGGGGAATCGGACCACAGTCGGGTTGAGGAATGCAGGATCTGGACAGGCCATGGGAGACCGGACAACGTGGAGGGGGGCGAGTGACAAGAGAAAAAAAAGACAGCAAAGTGTTATGGCAAGAGTTGCCTCGAGGCTTGATGTTGTCGCAGATTCCCTAAAATACAGGGCATCGCCGAGACTCCGGAGGAAGTGTGTCTTCCAATGAGAACAGTCAGCTGTGGAGCTGTGGGATTGTTCATGCGACCAGCTCGTGTGCAGAGATACAGGTGTACTTACACACAGGGGCTTTAGATGAAAGCCTGTAGAAGCTGAAGAAGAGCTGAACGAGTGAAGGCGCGTAATGTACTGATGCTTATCAAGCACGTTCATGGGCGATCTACGCCACACGGTGAAAAGCAAACCTTGCAGCTGGGTAGGATGACCACAGATGACCGTCAGCACACACAGTCGTACGCGGGAACCATCGAATCCTATCTATATTTGTCCGGATGATGCTCAGCTGTGCGGGTAGAAGATAGCATCGACAAGAATAAGCGTTGTGTACCCGCAATAGTACAACGCCACACCAGACTAGCCGTGCGCCCGCAATCTTTGAGACACACAGATACCGGAGCCTGCGCGAGCTTGTGTCACCGATTACAGCGGGCTTACGACACCCCAATAACAATGTACAGGTCATGCATTATAGAAGGAAGTGGTAGACATATTACAGTAAGAGAAGGCCATCGGTCCAGCAAGGCAAGGGCTAAAGCTAGTAAAGCATGTACAACTAATGGGAGAGAGGCTGGGATTCTAATAAGATACTATCATGAGACAGGTGGTGATACAGATGCGAATGTACAAGGGGTTCTGCTTTGGCTTTGACTTGGTACAAGCGACGGTGCGACGACGATAGGACTATGTGACAGAGAGCGAGGTTACGATGCAACGGACGAACTATAAATCTATACGACACGACGATCAGTTGCTCCTGATGAAGCGAGGAGCGGACTCCATGTCGTGGATAACATGCTCGCTTGGGGGAGGATTGTGCAGGGAGAGGAGGGAGGCGGTGTTGTCGCCAGTGCTTAAGACATTACGGATGGACTGTTCCGACATGTGACAGATCTGCAGGGAAGGGAAGGAGAAAGTGTGAGGAGCGGACGCAAGGGATTAGGTGATGAATCAGTGCTTACGCGACTGTAACCGCCGGGCTGCAGCGTATTACGAGCGCGAGCGATGATGTTGTGGATGGCATCGTACGAGTATCTTCTCCTGTGGGCGGCACAAGCGCTCAGTCAGTCATGGCGCCACTCCGAGACATCAAAACAAGAGACTCACAAGATACTGTCGAGCTCGCGGCGGGTACGGGGTATGAACACAATGTCTGCTCCTGTGAGATAGCGGGCCAAGGCCTGGTATGATGCACATTGAGCGGTGAGGGCTTCGTTCAACGAAGCATGCTCGACGTCCCAGCCACTGTGGCTTTCACTGCGGCGAAAACGGCGTTAGAAGGAATAGCGGGGACAATGGAGAGATGCCACGTACGTGACTTGAGAGTGGGCGATAGCTTCAGGAGTGTGAGGGGCCAAGAAGCGATCCATGATAGTTGAGATTGAGTACGAGTGGGGTATGCGGGGGATGGAAGAGTTCGTTGGGAGCTGAGGGCGCTGCAGGGGATGGTGCGAGGGCCTTATAGAGAGTCTGGGTAGAGGCTATGACAGAGCGGTACAGCAGAGGTAGCGTGGAAGGCAAGGAAGGCTGACGCCAAGGGGTGTTGTTGATGAAGCGAGAAGAGAACGAACGTGAAGGAAAGCACAAGAGACGAGCTTATTATACGCGAGCGGCACTGACTCTCGCGTCCACGTTTGTTCATCCGGCTACTTTTCTCCCCTCGGCTTCTCCCGCCGCGCTTATTGCCGCCACTCCCGCCACCGCCGCTGACTCCTATGAAATTTTCTTCGCGGCGCTCAAGTTTTTTTTTTGTGTTCAGAATTTGGCCGAGGACCGTCTACTGTAGCTCCGGCAGCCGGTCCATTGTTGTACAGACTCCTATCGTAGTTGTATCAGTACACCGGTACTTACGATCCAAGTGATGTAACTGTGGCCCACGGTGGCTTCGCGAAGTCCATGAGTCAGAACATAAGAACAACTCCAGACTGGGCAGCGGGCAACTGTGCCGCCTAATGAAGAGATAGCCACCACCAAGCTTGGCTTGGACGACGAGCCTGAGACGAGCTGAGACGAGCCAAGACTCGGCGAATCGAGGACTTCACTGCATCATGAGCCGCCCATTGCACTGGACAGCGATGGGAAGGCTTGGGTGAGCCGCCTAGAGCGGAATCGTGGAAGCGAAAAAGGTTCATGAGAGCGTAGGAAAGTTGTAGAAAGGCGCGCAAGAGACGCGTTTGAAGTTTGAACGTTTGAACCTGTTTGAACCATTTCGACACGCACGTGCGTGGCGTACAGAGGCCCTTGCTGCTTGTAATGCTCCCCTCTTCTCTCTATTTCTGTTCTTGTCTTCGATGGCACACGACCTGAACACTATCTGCATGCCGCTTCCATGATCTCTCTCACCCATTTTCTCATCTTTTCTCTCTTTTTTCCGGGTGCATTTCTTGCGCCGACGCAGGCCCCACTCACTACGCGTGAGTTGCCAAGAATCACCGTTTGGACTCCTCGTTTCTCTGTTGACGAGCCTGAGCACATCCACACGATAGCGGCGCGGCGTGCACTTCGCGGTCGCTTTCTCCATGTCACTGACATCCATCCCGACGCACACTACGTTACCGGGTCGTCTGAGTCGTCTGCGTGCCACAGGAAGAAACCCAAGAAGGAGAAAGCGCGGGCAGGGAAATACGGGACACCACAGTGCGCTCTCTGCCCATCCTTTTGTCTACTATGTAGATGGATATGATATGTTGTTGACGGCCTGTGCAGCAGCGATTGCGACTCGCCGCTACGGTTGACCAATCACACGCTAGACTTTCTCGAGAAGAATTGGGCATCGGAAATAGATTTCGTCATCTGTGCGTCTCTGTCTTGTGCTTCACGACCCCTCGATTCGTTCCATTCGTTCTAAGCGCGCAGTCCTTTCGTCTCTCGTTCAGGGACTGGAGACAATGCTAGGTGAGCGTACTTACTACCGGTCTCTTGGGCCAAGGCTTCCCCCGTTGACGACATGTTCAAGACACGACAACGATCGGAAGCTTCCCCGGACGTTAAACGAGATATACGACCTGAATCGGGCGGTGGCGAGACGGATGGAAGAGATCTTTTTGTCGAGGGGGATACCAGTTGTGCCGAGCTTGGGTGAGTCTCAGCGCATAACGAGGTCTTCGGTTTGCTGATATTTCGCGTGTAGGGAACAACGACATTTGGCGTAGGTGTCGTGGAAGCAGCATAACTCCTTTGACTCTCATGCTGACGAACTTATGTTGACAGCACATGTAACTATCGAATTAGTTGACCTAACTCTACTATACCGATCTAACTCTCTATAAACCCAGAATATTCTCATGCCAGGTGAGTTCATCGTTCATGCTGGAAAGGTGAGGCTCTGATACTTCCATCGTAGGACCCAACAACATCATTAGTCAATTCTCATCGTGAGTCTCTGACCTCTTGCTGTCTTCCGATCGCTAAGACAGCGTATGAAGAATATGGAGGAATTTCGTCCCTTTCGCATCCTATCAGGTCTTTCAACGCGGAGCATACTATTCTACGGAGGTCATACCCAATCAAGTGGCCGCCATCAGCCTAAACACATTATATTTCTATGACTCGAATAAAGGTCTGCACAGAGTCATAACCGGTCGTGCTCCCCCAACATCCTCACAACTTTTCGTACATACAGCGGTCGGCGGATGTGAATTCGGTGATCGAGACGACCCCGGAAATCTTCAACTGGACTGGCTAGAAGTACAGCTCGAGACGTATCGTGAGAGAGGGATGCAAGTGAGGGGTGTTCATTCTGGTGACTTCATGTCCCGTCCTTTACAATCGACTGTGCGTTCTAGGTCTGGCTTACAGGTCACGTACCTCCATCTTCTGGAAATTACTTCCCCGAGTGTGTGAGTGTGTTTACGCATCCGAAAAGTCTTTTGTTACCGCTGATCTTTTCTCCTTGAAGCATGTCCGCTATGCGGAACTCTCGTTGAGGTTTCAAGATACGATTTTGGGCCACATCTACGGGGTGAGTGTTGAAAAGATGCTGGTTTGAACAAAACACTCATCTTGTGTTCGAATCATCCGCGTATAGCACATGAACAACGATCATGTGCGTGAAGGTTTCCGTTGTTGCATGTTCTGATATTCGGTACTGATTGATCGCCATAGTTCTTTTTCGTAGAGGCGGACGACCTGCAATTCCCTCCATCATCCAAGAGCGATGCACGCAAGCCCGGAACGTTCGCACATGATGAATTATATGAAAATCTCATTGAAGACTTTGCGACTCTGCCTCAGTCGCCGAAGAAGACGAACTACGACAACTACGGGGTCGTCAACGTCTCGCCTTCTGTTGTGCCCAATCCATATCTTCCTTCTTTCAGGATCTTCTCGTACAATGTGACAGAGGCTGAGCGAGCTGAGGAGATAAAGGCGGAGAGTCTGAAGAAGAAGACGAAGAAGGATCGGAAGCCAGGGCACAATCACGGCGCTGACGAGCGGGACAAGCTCTGCAAGGAAGCCGAATATCAGGAAAGCTGGCGATGTCAACTTCGAGAACCTTGGCATTCTGATGCCGCAGCACCGAGCAGACGGAATACGCTCTGGACGCCGCTGGGGTACGCGCAGGTACGGCCGGCCCTGTGTGCGAATCACGAAACTGTCAGACTGACTGTCAGGTTGATTTAATTAGTACTACATCCCGGAGCGACAGCTGGTGAACAGGACACATCGGCCCAAGTTCAAGCTGGAGTACTTGACGTACGAGCTCGAGGCACTTCACGCGCAGGACGTATCGGAGAGCGGGAAATACGAGTACCCAGTGCCTCTGCGGCATCTGCCCCATGCGGTGCGCCAGGGGAAGGGGGCGAAGTACGCGCCGTACGGGCTGAGGGACCTGACGGTGTCGTCGTGGGTGGGGCTTGCGTCGCGGCTGGGGGGCAGGAAGGAGAAGAAGCTTCGTAGACGGTTTCGGAAATACATGTACCAGGACTGAGGGTGTATTATAGCACGAAAGGGGGATAGAGGGCCCGGGCCGGGGGACGGCGGGAGAATAAATGGATGTGGAATGATGTCGGGGTTGCCTTGACCACGGAGTGTTTCTCTACTTACCGCCTGCTTTGTTCTTGAATTCGTCGCCGCCGCCGTCGCCGCCGTAGACCGACCGGGAAGCTGCCATCGCGCGCCGCTTACCCGCCCCTTTTGCTGCCCCCGCCACTGCACCTTCTTCTCTTTTCTTCTCCTCCATCGCCTGCAGCCTCGCCTGCCCGCTCTTTCGCCTCTTTCTCATCCTACTCGACGTCGCCCGGCTGGCCCGCCTAGACCTTCTACTGTCCTTACCTTTTCACTTGTCTCTCTAATCTGCATGGCCGCCGTGAACATCCACATGATGGCGAACGTTCCCCTCGACTACCTCCCCCTCGACGCCCACTCCAGCTCCAACTCCGTCTCCTCCTCCGCCCCCAATTCCCGCCCCCACTCGTCCCAGGGCGGCCTCATCCGCTCCTCCGCCAACATGGGCCCGCTATCTGCCGAAGACCTCTATCGCGCCTCTTACCAGCTTGGGCGGTCCTCCCAGATCGTCAACGATCACGCGCGCACCTCTTCCCACTCCTCCGCCTACTCCCTCCCCTCGACAGACATCACGTCTCCCGCCGACTCTCCACCGAACCACAACCTGCACCATCCGTCCTTGAAGGGCCATATCCGCGCATCCCACATCCGCGCGCGCGCCGCAGCCTCCCCCTACCCCCGGGATGCAGAGAGCGTCCACTCGTCCTCCAGCGAGACAGAAGACATCTCCCTCTTTCTCGCCGCAAACTCGCCAGCCGACTACCACGCCATGTTCTCTGGCGGCCACCACCTCCTCCCCACCCACGAACCGATGCAGACCGCTGGCGCTTTCGGTCGCATGACCCTCAGTCCGGATCACACCCTCGAGAAGCTGGCCGCCAACGTGCGGGCCGCGACGACGACGAGTGCATCGGACAGGGCGAAACAGATCTTCGTGCAGGCTTGGTGCGTTTTTCATTATCATTCCACGAGTTGCTCGCATTCACACTCAAACGTGTCGCAGGTTGACGGCGAACTATGCGCCGTACCCTGATGGCAATGTTCCGCGGCAGGGCCTCTATTTTTCGTACAGGAGAGTCTGCGATCAGTATGGGATTCCTCACATCAACACGGCCACGCTTGGAAAAGCGATCAGACTCTGTTTCCCCACGATCAAGACGAGGCGGCTGGGTGTGCGAGGGAATAGCAAATATCATTGTGCGTGGATGCGATCTTTCTTTTATTGTCCTCCTGATGCGATCTCACTACTTGATCCATACAAACAATCAGACTGTGGCATTCGGCCCGCGACCTCGGCGGAGGCGGAGTGGCTGCAGGACTACATCCGCAAGTCGAACAACACCGCCGCGCAGCAGTCGGTGAACGCGGCGCGACTGGCGAACGAGCAGGCGGGTGCGTCGAATCGCGGCGAGGACGGGTCAGACGGGGACGAGGACGACGAGAGCGAGGGCGCAAGCTCGGGTAATGTGTCAAAGCGGAACTCGCTGGTGCTGAACAATGGGGTGAAGAGCCCGATGCTCTACGCGGAGGACCTCGCGGACAAGACCCCGACGGCATCGTCCCTGCTCTCCCACGCCCAGGCCGCCCCCCGCGACTTCCCCGCCCACGCCACCATCCGCCGCCATCCCGGTCAGGAAGCGTCCTTGCCCGTTCAGGCCCACTCCGTCGGCCCGACGCCCTCGTACCTCTCGCCCCAGCAGCCCAGCTCCGTGCGCCACCTCCCGCACTTCCCCTCCATCGACGACGCCGTCGGCTCAAATTCAGCCTCCCCTCACGGCATCGCCGCGCGCGAGGTCTGGGGTTGGTTCTTGGATCATCTCGATTCCCTCCTCGAGAGCGTCAGGTTCTTCCGCTTTGATCAGTTCGAGATGCACGTCCGCACGTTCTGGTCCAACCTCGGCGGCAACCACCGTGAAGTTGTGCATGCTCCCGCCATCGCAGGCTTGATGGCGAAGGGAGATGCCATTGTTTATGATGTACGTCTCACCCCAAGTCTCCTTTGTCCTCCCTTGTCGCTCAACATGTCCTGCGCCACACAGGAAATTCTTGAGGTTCTGCGATCCCAGCTTCTCTCCTCGATTCCATCCGCCGCCTTGACCAGTCTGCGACAGCTGGCGGACAAAATGGAAAAGATCCTTTTGGTATCTCTCGAAAATTACGGTAACACCTTTGTCGAACCCAAGGTCGAATTGGGCGCACGCTTTGGCCACCTCGTTTGTACGTCATACCTACCTACCTTCTTCCATTGCCGAACGCTGAACCCTCTTCTAGTGCGCTTCTTGGATATTTATCAAGTCACGCAGGCCCTTAATACTGTTCTCACCAATCAGAAGCAGCTCAGCGAGATGCGCCGGTCATGGGAGAAGATCGACTTTGAGTCCGTCCGCAATCAGTCCGCTCTCGTCTGCAACTGCCGACACGAAGATCTCGTGCAACTACTCGAAGTCGAGTTCCGGAGCCTGATGGAGAGTCTCACGAAGAGCGCAGAGCCCGTTCGAGACGTCATGGCCTGGGCGGACAAGTGCTGCGAGAGGCTGATGGGCGGTCACGGAGGCCCTGACGACAGGAGCACGATGAGCTCCAGGAGCATCTTGATTCGGTGGGGCTATGTGACGAGCCAGGTCATGAGGGATTTGGTGAGTCCAATCCGGTTGATTGGTATCTTTGACCGCTCTCTCACCCCTTCCTTCCAGACTATTCGCAGCGATCCAACTTTCGGAGCGTTCCAGATCCTCAAGCTGTTCTTGGAGTGCGTGAATCTCTCTCGTTTCCTAACAATGACATCTACTAATATAACACGAACAGTGACTGGATCGCCTTGAATGTACTGCGTAACGTCGCACTCTCCACCACATCCGTCGCCGCCTCCGTGGAGCCCGTGATGCAACAACAGTTCTTCACGCTCTCACCCATGGTCGGCCAAGAAAACTTCGGTAGCAGTCTTGATACTCGCTCACAGCATCCCATGATGAACCACACACCCACAACCTCCAGCATGCTTGCGGCGTTGCAACAGGATTCGTTCTCGGCCAACCTCGACGGGACATCGTACGGTCACGAACCGTTCGGCTTGCAGGCCTTCATGGATACCTCTACCGCTCCAGATGACCACCTCGGCAGCGTGCACGCTGGCCTCGCTTTCACCGACTATGCTCCCGGAAATAACCACACGTTCGACGTTGCGGCATTTACTCCTCAGGACTTGGGTATCGGCTCGGCACCTGGATCGAGCAACGGGGACCACGAGCAAGCTGAATTGGAAGGTGTGAAGTCTGAGGACGCAGGGTCTGCTTGATCGCAATCGGGATACCACTGGACTTATCTATTCGTGTTTTCTTCTGCTTTCATTCATGGGTTGTTTTCGGCATCGGTGTGTGATCTGTTGTGCGTCCGGATTTACCTTACAATTCAGTGCGGCCTAATTATTTTCAAGTATTCTTAGTCCCCCTCCTTCTTTTTCCATCCGTATTGTTAAACCACTTCGCTTTCCAGTCTACGACTTATTTATACAGCTTTTATGTTCGTCGATCGCTTGCTTCGATTGCTGCCTGCCTCCTCCCCGTCCCTCTCATTCGAACACCGTTCTGTATTGACTCTTTCTCCTCCTCCCTCTCCCTCTCTATCTCTACTTATTCTCCTATCGCGCTGATCGCTTTCTGCAATGACGTTTTGTCTTTATGGTCTGGCTTGTCCCACCCCGCTTCTGAACAAAGTAACCATTGATACCTCTCTCGCTTGATTTAACTCCCTCCGGATGGAGACTCTGAGAGCGCTTACCCCCTTCTTTCGTCGTACCATCTTGCCGTCGATTTCATTCAGTACATACAGCAGCCAGAGATAGCATCCGCACGATGCTTCATTGAACGTAAATATCGTGTAGTATGTATTCCACGACGCTGCCCCACAGCTCAACCACGATACTTTTTCCCCTCATCTGTGTTCGGCGCACGACCTCTAGGCGTTGTCTCCGTCAAGCGCGTGCAAGATCAAAAATATCGTTGAGTGAGGAGGGGACTTGAGATTTCCGTATTAATTTTCCAATGAAGGCAAAGATCACATAGTTATAAATCGACTCGACAGTCCGTGCCACGGTACGAACGCACAGCAAGCAAGCGAGTTACTATGCCTCTGCCTCTGCCTCTGCCTCAGCTTCCGCTTCCGCCTCCGCTTCTGCCTCCTGCTCCTGCACCTCCTCCAACTTCTGGTCCACCGCCGCCTCTGGCAGAGACGTCGAGATCTCGTCGGCGACAGCAGGCGTGGGCGCAGGCTCGGGTGGCTTCTCGCCGTCTCCGTTCGGTGGCTCGATGGAGGCAGACGCGGGTGTTGAGGACGTCGTGCCGCCGTTCTTGCCCTGAGTGATGCGCTTAATGTCGGCTTCGGCTTTCGCGATGGCCTCGGCGGTGACGCGAGCCTGGTTCGCCTCGAACCATGCTTTTTTCGTCTTGAGGTCTTCGATGACGCGGGAGATGTCCGTGGAGTTTGCAGGGGGTGGGATGGAGAGGGAGAGGAGGGCGGAGAGGGTGGCGAGGGGGATGTTGACGTTGGTCGCAGTGGCGGGGGCGCTACCGTTGGCGGATGGGTCGGGAGTGGTGGAACCGCTGACGGCGGCTTTGGGACCGCCTTTCTTTCCCTTCTTTCCCTTGCCACCGACGAAGTAAGATTCCTCCTCTGCGCCCTTCTTCTTCTTCAGCACCATGCCATCGCCCGGACCCTCCTCGACCTTCCGGATGTCCAGCTTCGGCTCGTTCTCCAGGCTCTTCGCCAAAGACGACGCACTGGACGCGGTCGAAGGCTTTCCCGAGAAATAGTCGATGAGCGTCTGACAGTCCTCGATCTGGACCTGGAACGCAGGCTGCTCTGCCTCCTCCCTCAACCTCGTCGCCAACTCCTTCTTCTTCTCCTCTTCCTCCAACGCCCGCTGCGCACGAGCCCTCTCCGCCCTCCTCGCCCGATCCTCATTCACCTTCGCCCAGTACTTATCGTTCGCCTCCCGATACCGCTGCGCCGACTCGCGCTTCTCATTATAGAGCGTGTCGAGCTGTGCCTGCAGCGCGTTCCGCTCGTCAAAAAGCTTGTTCCGGCTCGCGAACACCTCGTCCGACTCCTTCTTCATCTCGTCCAGCTCGGCCTTGATAGCGTCGTACCGGTCAGAGACGGCCTTGGACTCGGGGTCGTCGAGTTGTGCACGGAGCGCGTCCGCTTTGGCTTTGTCGGCGTCGATGGACTCGAGCTCGGCTTGGAAACCTTCGACGGTTTTGCGGGAACGGCGGGTTTGGCTGATTTCTTGGAGAGCGCGCTTTTCGTCCGCGAGCTTCATGCTGCCGGATTCGACTTGCTTCTCCAGGTTCCTGGTTGCGAGCGGCGCGTGTGTATCAAGTCAGAATTGAGAGAAAGAAGAAAGGGCAGATGGGGTGGGGACCTACTTGATGTGTGCATCAATTTCAGCGACCGTTTTGAACGGGGTCTTTCCCCTAGCGGTTTGGAGGTCCTTGGACTACACGACGGAAAGTCAGCGCGTCAGTCAGATTGAAAGTTCGAATGGTCGTACCTTCTTTTGGATGTTCTCTTGAATGGCCTTCAATTGGTCAAAGACCTTACCCCGAGCCTGCTTGTTCGTCGACTGCTGACCACGAATACCGTCGAGCTCAGTACGGAGAGCATTACGCCTGTCGTTACCAGTGCCAGACTTGCTGACGAGACCTATCTTGTCCTTGACTGCACCCTAGAGTGTAACGAACGCGCAAGACGAGTGAGGCACGGTTCGTGGAAGGCAGAACATGGTATGCGGGGGACAGAAGAGAAGCACGCACGACTTTGAGCTGGAGGGCATCAATCTCGGACTTGATGCGTGCTTGTTCGGCGTCATAGACAGCCTTGTCAGGTCTCGAAGAACCGCCGACGGTGGCAGCAGCGTCCTCCTTCGCCACGTCTCCATTCGACTTGGTTACAGCGGGAGCGGGTGCAGCTGAGCCGTTCTGCTTGCCATTTGGTTTCTTTGCGGCAGGAGCAGCTTTAGTTTTTGGGGCGGACATGATATAGAACGAGAGAAACCAAGAGGGGGTGTGGCGAAAGGAGCGGGGGTGGGAGAACGCGACGAGTCGAGTGGGCAATACGTGGAACGAGTTGGGCGCGTCGCTGGCGTTCGTCCAATCTTTTCCGTTCCATCCCACACCTGCCCCTTTCGTCAGCTACAACACGTAACATCAATGTCTTCGCCACTCTACACACTTTGCTGCCCAACAAGGGACATGTTCACGCAGAGCATCAGAACGTCAAACAAAGAGTACCCAGGAATGTGCAAAAACAAAAACAGTGATACGGTCAGAACACGATCGCCTGGTCCAGCTTCGCCACCTCCTTACAGCACTCCTCGTACAGCTCCCGGTAATCATCGTCCTTCTCGCTCTTCTCGCCCTCCTTCCGCTTCCCCGCCCTCTTCGAGTCCGGACACACCATCACGCAGCTCGTCGGTCGCTTCGTCGAGCTCGCGTGGCCCAGCTCCTCCTTCGAGCTCACGAAGACGTATGGTATTTGTGCTTCTTCGCTCATCACCGGCAGGTGCGAAATGATGTCGATCGGTGTGATGTCTGCTGCGAGTATGAGCAGCCTGTGGAAATGGAAAGCGTCAACATAATAGAAAGAAAATGTTGAATTATTCGAGACAAACCCTCTCTCGCCCTTACGGATCCCCTTCGCCACCTCCTTCACCCCGCGCTTGACCTGACGCGCTTTCGACGCTGCAAACATGCAATCCAGTCAAACCTCCATGTTTCCTGATTTGAAGAACGAAGATATCACACGTACCTTTCTTGATCGTTTTGTGTAGCTTCTTCAAGAGCTTTTTCTGCGCTAATGGGTGCGCTATTGGCGAGAGGTCCTCGACGTTGATCACGACCTCTTCCTTCTCCTTTTTGGACGATTTTGTTGGGCTCTGGAACGACAATGATGCGGAGTATTAGTGATAAAAACGCAAGACTCGCAATGCAGGGCGACGGACCTGAGCGTCGGCCATCTCGACATCCTCGGCCTCAACCTTCTTCTTTTCAGACTTGTCTTTGGCCATTTTTCAAGTAGAGAACAGACGTGGACAGCGTGTCAAAATATAAACCAGAGAACGAAAAGAAACAGAAAACCGAGAAGTAGCGGAGGGAGAGAGTACAAGCAGTGGTGGAGGTGAAGAACCTCGCAAACTTGCGGCCAAGTTCGTCATTTCAAATTGTCCTCAGCTCGATCAGGCCTGTGTGGCGTAAGACTGGCCTCTTGCATTTACTGTCTCTCTCCACAAACCTGAAGTCCGAGGCTTTCGCTGAATATTATGACTACTAGTCCACCTAACTCGGCTAGTCGTCTTCAGACTTTGCAATGGATATCGGAAGAATACCACAGTATGCTGCTGCCTGATCTCACATCCTCAGGATCTGCCTCTCATACATGCTCCAGGTCTCAATGGAGCACACTGTGACATCCTTACATCCCCACCAACACCTCTCGAATTCTCCCGTCTAGTCCACATCTCACGTCCCGTTCTGATCCAGGGTAGTCCTTCTTCTTCTACCTCTCTCTCAACTCTGAGCTCAGATCAATAAAACGCTCCTAACCGCGAACACTCCGCATCTTTCTCCCTTTTAGGCTGCTCCCTCACCGACCCATCCAACTGGTCGAACTCCTCTCTTATCACCCTGATGGGTGCTCGCCCCATCTCTGTGGCCGTGACTCCGGACGGGTTCGCGGATGCGGTGACGAAGGATGATCATGGGAAGAGTTGGTTCGTCGAGCCTTGTGTGGAGAAGATGTCGATGGCTGAATTCCTGGGAAAGCTGGAGGACCGTGAGTTTGACTCTCTCGATACATAATTTCCCTCGTTTCGATTCCTTGGAAAGAAAGAAGATATAAAGCGGTCGCCGCAAGTACTGTGTCTATGAACTTAGAACCTACGTGTGGCGCGCCACATACTCCATCCTTGCCATTGATATCCTTCTCCTTACTCTATACATTTCCACAAAACTTATGCAGGCAGAAGTCCCTCTCTCTGACCCATTTAATTCCTCACCTTCGTTCATCACAGCCAACAGCAAAGAGATACACTACCTCCAAAGCCAAAACGGCAACCTCTACTCGAGCGCTTACTTCGAAGAGTATCCCTCGAACTCAGCCTCGGAATTCGACCCTCTGCGACCGCTCGTTCCTCCCGACATTGAATGGTGTAGCGAAGCTTTGGGTATGTACAGCAGGCTTACCAGTCGCTCCTACCCACTCAGAACTGGATACTAATCAGACCGGGTGTATGTATGCATCGTATTTCAGATAGAAGGCCGGATGCGGTGAATCTGTGGATCGGGACTGGGTCGAGCGTGACTAGTATACATAGCGGTCAGTCCATGTTCCTTTTTTTTCTTCTCTCGGTTTTGAATGTATCTCACTCAGAACGTATATCGTGACCCCCAGATCCGTACGAGAACGTGTATCACGTCGTCCGCGGGAGCAAGACATTCACCCTCCTCCCGCCCACCGAGGGCTGGTGTCTCCGCGGTAAGCAAGACCCGTCACGTACGGTACATATCCCTTCTTGTCGAAGTCCAACTTACGATAGCGTCTTCAACACCCTGTACATGCGATTATTACCCTCAGAGCGTCTATACCCACACGCGACCTACGCCCGCGCCTCTCCCTCTCCTCTCACCTCAGCCTCAGCCTCAGCACTCAAACTCACGCCCTCGCCACCGGGGACGTGTCCGCCCGTCCGCTGGTCCTCTATCACACACCCTCACCTCCCTCCGTTTCCTTCATCCAACACCCCCATATCCTCGACTAACAACACTAACACCGCCAACGGCAATACCAAAACCGAAACAGAAAGAGAAAGAGAATCCGAAATCCGCACCCTCCCACCAACAGCTCACCCCCTCAGCATAACAGTCCACGCCGGCGAAACGCTCTATCTCCCCGCAGGGTGGTGGCACCACGTCCGACAGTCCGTTCACAACGACGATGACGATGATTTTCTCGTTGCTAATGAGAGTGAGAGAAAGGGTGAGAGCGAGAGCGAGATCACGGTGGCGCTTAATTGGTGGTTTGATATTGAAGGGAGAGGCGCGAGTTGGGTTTGGTTGGGGTTGTTGAGGGGTGGTGGGGAGGTTCCATGGGCGGATGAAAGCTCCGACGAGGACAAGCATGGGGTGAAATAGGATTGATAGGGACGAGGCGTAAGGTCTTGCGTATTTAGGTCTAATTTGGACGACAACACTCACTGCAATGACTATCGAACCATGATCAGTCAAATCTCCCTGACCCACACCAGAACGCAGAACGCAGAACGTCTTCGTAAATTGGCATCGTATTCAATTGATTATTTCCACCGGGCTATGTGCGAATCGGAATATAAACTGATTATAAGTACACTAGGTACAGAACTTCTGAACTACGCAAAGCGAAACGGGTCGGGTTCTGGGTTCTGCAAAGGAATGTTAGGGACTTTAAGTGGTCGGCGTCAACAAGTAAGTATCAGTATGAATATTACGACTACAACTTGGAAGGCAGCAATCGCGGGTAAGTAGGGTATCGATCAACTATGTAAGTAAGTACTTCGGGGGTGCTATTATAATAGCGTAAGTAATATGTCAGTAGACCCGCAGAGGGGGAGTGCAGGGTTGGGAAGGCTGAGGGGAGGGAGAGGGAGCGTCGCAGAAGCTCATTAAATAAGTGTATAGTACGACGTTTGCGAGAGCGAAGCAAGTGGAGCGAACAATGTATGTATGTGCAAGGGAATGTGAATGCGATGTATGTACGAGAAGGCATGTAGACACAGTCTATGGGACATGAATGCTGAATGTTGGATGGAGAAGGAATGTTGAGCTGTGAGTGGAGTCATTTACTGTATGTGTGTGTGCGATATAAGGTAGGCGATATGTCGAATGCAGGGCGTTTAAGGTGTTCGATCCACGGACAGCGGGTGAGGTGAAGAGCAATGAGCATGCGTATGCCTTGAAAACCGGAAACTGGGAGCAAGCTGAGAATCAAGATCAGAACTGGTTGTGCAAACAAGATGAATGCGTAACCGAAAATGTGAATGAAGACGGAGCGTGGTGTGGTGAAACGGATGAAGGCGAGTCGATGATTGATATAAGCGAGCGTGCAAGCAAGAGAAGAGGTGTATATAGGGATAGGGATACAACCGGTGCGAGAAAAGCATCCGTAATGGTGAATTGATGGATGGTGCAAAGAACGATAAAATGCAATGGAATGTGGAAAGCGAGAACAAGGAGAGGCATGGATTCATGGTTCATGGTCTATGAAAAATCTGCTAGCAAAGCAATGTAGAAAGCAAGAAAAGAACGGAATTTCGGAGACGCAGACCTTTTTGACGACCATGCATCAATTACTGTTCTGCCTCTGCCACCTGTCCCTCCTCCATCTCTCCGGCTCGAACGTCCAGATCATCACTCAGAACGACACGATGGCCGAGTCCACTCAGCCTCCTCTCCAGTTTCGGGTCGCTCGCCTGATCCGGATCCTCTGACAGCGAAGCCCGCCTTGCCCGCTCGGCTTTCCTCTCCTTGCCCGACGATCTGCCAGCCTTCTCTCGGTGTCTCATGATCATCGTAGCGACGAGTTGTGGCATGGTGTATACGCGTGCCGGTGAGGGTGGAGGACTCATATTTTGTGATGGGACGGGAACGGGTACGGAGGCATCCACAGACGTGCGCTGCGATTTGGGTTTCAGCACCTGGATAGACAGCGGTTTTGGTTCGGATGATGGGGGTGAATCGGCGTCTGGGCGAAAAAAATGAACGTAGAGCGTTAGGATCAAGCGAAAAACGGAGACAAGAGGGACTCGCGCCTAACCTGCATCAAGTTCTGGTGATGTTGACGAAGCACAAGGCTCGTCCAAGGACTCAGGCGAACACCCGAGTCCTACCAGATACTCCCACAACTTATCCGCCAGTAGACGTTCCTGCACTTCAAGCAAATGAGCCCTATCTCCCTCCACCTTCGCTCCGAACACCTCCATATCTACATCCATAGCCTCATCCTCCGATAAGCGAGACGCGTACTCTCTGAGATTGATGCGCGAGACGATGCTGCGATGCACAGCCGCTACGAACTGGACGTCGGCGACTACGCGCTTGCTCTTTTTCGAGCGTTTTGCTGTCGGCTTCAGCGTGGTCGGCAGACTGCTGCTGCGGGGGCGAGTGAGTGCCGGGGACGGTGCAGGGCTTCCAGTCGCAGTCACGATGGGCGTGCTTGTGCCGTGAGACATCGAGGTGAGAGGAGTGACGCATCGTTTCCGTTGTATTTGCTCAGTTACGCTACGAAGTGCCCTCCGTTTGTGACCTGTGGTGGATTGAGTGCCAGTCTCTGAGGTGCACGAACGGGCGTCGTCGTCGTCACCGACGTCAGTGTCCATGCAGTCGCTCGGGAAAGGTATGATGCTAGTTTGCGTTATGCCCACATCGCTATTGGTGCCGGTCACAGATACGATGGCCGGAGAGAGAGCGACGGTGGCAGAGGCCTTCGATTTGGGCCCCTTGAGTGAGAAACGACCGCCGTTATGGCGCTTGAGACTAGCGAGCAGGGATGACGAGCGAGAACGATTGTGCGACGAGCCCTTATTAGAGTTGGTGCTATCTCCCAGAGGAGAAGGGGACGATGAAGTATTAGGCCTGCGATACTCGGCAGAGGTACGAAGGAAAGACTGGAGCTGCATGATCGTTGGATGACTATTATGAAGGAGCACAAAGGGATGGTGGTAGATTTGCAGGGGTGAACGGCGTCCTGCGTGACTTGCAGCAGCGACGGATTATCGGCGACGACGTTGAGAACAGTGACGAACAGATGGGGACAGCGGGAACAGTGGGGACGAGCAGACAAGAAAGGGTGACAACAGCCACCGAAGGTCGCCGTCAATTCTACCGGTGATGGCATCGCCCGGAAAGGAAATGACGCGCTCTCGACGCGTCGCGCCCCTGTTCTCTCTTACTCTCACGTTGACACCTGACACCAACCTTCACCTCATCCTCCTCGCCGCACACCACGATGCCTCCAAAACGTAAAGCCCCGCCCACTGATCCAGTCGACGAACAACCACCGAAACGTCGAACTCGGTCTCAGGCTTCTGTCGATGTGATCGCAGCGAAACCTGCCGTTCAGCTAAAGCGAACCACTCGCGGTGGCCGGAATGCCCCTGCTGCTCCTTCAGAACCTTCGAAACCACCAGCTGCTTCTCGTAGAAAGGCCATGGGTGCTAAAAGCTCTCGTATAGCCAAACAAGATCCGGATAGTGCTTCTGACGCTCAGCAGACAGACGAAGATGAGGACGAGCCCCAGGAATCTGATGGTCCCCCTCCTCCACGCAGGACGCGTACTACTCGAAAGGCTCCCGAAGTCGTACCAGAACTACCAAAGAAGCCAGTCACTGCTCGTAGGACGCGTAAAGTTACGGCCGCCTCTTCCAACGAGAAGGATGACGAGGATGGAGAAGAAGACACCGCACCAGAACCACCTGTCACCAAAAGACGTCGAGGCCGTCCACCTACCGCTCGTGCTGCTGCGTCAGAACCGCCCAAGAAGTCGGCTGCAACTCGCAGGACCCGCAAGGCCGCAGACAAACCTGACATCGAGGACGAGGATGCAAACGACGACGCGGACCAAGCTAGTGACGAAGAGGTCAAACCAGACTCTGTTGTGGAACAGCCTTTCACCAAACCACGTCGAGGTCGCCCACCCAAGGCTTCTGCTGCTCCCTCAAAGCCCCCCAAGAAACCGGTGACTGCTCGGAGGACGCACAATGTCGCAAGCAAACTCGACGTCGACGACGAGGATGAGGACGTGGTCCCCCAACCTGCTGACGCGGAGGACGATGAAGACGAACTGCAGGGTCCTGTCTTAAAGGAAACCATCAACAAGAAACGCCCGGGTCGTCCCCGCAAGACAGCTACCTCGACTGTAGCTCCATCGAAACGGCGAACTGCTTCTGGACAAAATGGCAAACGGACGAGTAATTCCGAAAACGACGATGAGCACCAGGTTGATTCATCGAATGCTCAAGAGGTTGAAGAGGAGGATGATGAACTACTATTGTCGCCCAAGCGCCCGAGACAACCCCGGACCGTCCTCGAGGCTGTCGAACTCCCTCCCCGTTCCCGCGGCTCTGCGAATCCTCCCATGCGCTTTGGCCCACCCAGCCGCTCTGCTAAAAGGTCTGCGAAGCCACGTAAACCATCGCCCTCGCCACCTCGATCACCCTCTCCAGAGTTACATGTTGCCCCGCGTTCACCGTCACCGCCTCTCGTCATATTTCCTGCCCCTTCAGTCGATCCCCCTATCACTCCCCGAAAGCCAAAGAATCAGACGGTTCCAACTCCTCAGGCATCCCCTTCTCGTCGTCCTCATGGTCTTCCCGACCATCTTCATTCCTGTCTCAATGCTCAGAAACGTGCTATACTGGCTGCTCTACGGGCCCCACCGCCTCCAGAGTCTGATCGCGACGCCGAGTATCCTCCTGCGAATGACTTGGCAGCTCAACAGTTGCAAGCTTTGCTGTCCGGAACCGTCGACCGCGGAGAGGGCAACAGTTGTCTCATAGTAGGCCCTCGTGGAAGTGGCAAAACACGCGTGAGTACGACTGGCTCCCTATTTGGAAATCGCCGCTGAGCTCTTGAACGTTCTCATCGCTCTTTAGATTGTCGACGACGCAATAGCCAACCTATCTCAGGAGCCTATTCTCATTCACCTTTCTGGACATGTTCACACCAACGATCGTCTCGCCATACGCGAGATCGCTAGACAAGTCTCAAAGCAGACAGGGAAATCGTTCGAGACGGGCTCGGATGAGAACGAAGAAGATGATGGTCCTTTTGGCGACACAGTTCAGGAGCTGACTTTGCCCCCACCATCACATCTTCCTAGTCTTATTTCATCTCTACCGACCCTTGCTCGCCCAACTATCGTCGTCCTCGACGCCTTCGACCTATTCGCCCTCCACGGCCGTCAAGCGCTACTTTACTGCCTCCTTGACACAGCACAGAGCTGCCGTGTGGGCCATGGAACGCACGGGATCGCGATCGTTGGCGTATCCACTCGCGTTGACACGATCAATCTCCTCGAGAAGCGTGTTAAGAGTCGATTCTCGGGGAGAATGCTGAGGACTGCGGGGCCTTCCACCGTCGCGGAGTGGAACGATATCGCAGAGAAGGTACTGCGCGTGTCTGTGGATGGAGGTATCTCTGAAGAGTTCTCAGAGATGTGGTCGAACGCTATAGATGGGTTTTTGGCGGAGCGGACGGTCAAGTCGTTGTTGTCCGAGACTTTTGGGATTACTAGGGACGTTAGGATGTTGGGTCAGATATTGGTTGGTCATATTTCTGTGCGACGGAGTTGGCGTTTACTGATTGTTTCTGTAGACGAACATAATCCTCGAGTTGTCACCCAAGTCACCTTTCCCTACGGCGAATCATCTCTCTTCCGCAATCGCAGCACAAAGAGGTCCACCTGAATACCCATTCCTCTCATGTAAGCTCTAATCGACCTAAGCCTCTTGAGAATAATCATAACTGATCTATGTGCGATCCAGCCTTACCATACCCCTCAACCTGCCTACTCATTTCTGCCATCCACGCGCGCACATGTGGCCACGAACAATTCACGTTCGAGATGTTGCACGACGCCGTGAGCAATCAGATACGGATCTCGAAGGCTGCACGGGTCGAGGCTATCGGTATGTTGCCTTGTAGTCGGTCCGTTCTCATGACAGTAAGTCCATTCAGTCTTAAGCCCCTATTTCCCATACCTCGCCTTGCACTAGCCTCGCCCTCCCTCCATTCCTCCCTGTTCGTTCCTACCATGCCGTTTCTTCGTGGTCCATGTACTGACTATCCGTTCGTCTTCTTCATCAATGATTGACGCTTCTTCCTCGTTCATCCATTTCACGCCGTTATTCACATGTATGCACGCACGAACAGGCATTCGATCACCTCATTGCCACGAACGTGTTTGCGCCATGTCCTGTTCCTGCATCCAACAACCCCGGACGGGAGTTCATGAAGTATAGATGCATGGTGGAGTGGGATGATGTGAAGAGGGCGGTGGATGCGAAGGGGCAGACGAATCTGAAGAAGTGGTTCACGAAGCCAACCTAACCTGGACTGCTGAGTTCAGATTCTATTCTCTGTTTTTGTCCGTGGATTTTGTACAATATACTTACACAGGATCAAATGTATCAGTATCTCTGAAGTCATGATTTTCAAGAGCGTTTGCGTCAGCGGCACGCAACGGCGCCTATAACATCATTCGGGCCCGGTATGATGGACCACTTCAAAGCGTTAGATAGACGACTAAAAATAGCGCCTCATCTGACGTCAATTTCACATTTCCGTTCACCTCAACCACTATTGCTAATTTAGGGTTAACTGTCACCACCCGGGCCCCTTTCAGCATCGAATTCGCGCAACACGGATACAGCGGATCGGAGAACTCTCCGGTTGGCGACCATCGATAAGCCAGAGCTCGACGGCTCGACTTCGTGCAAGACAAGCTCACAAGACGCAGACAGCACACAGTACTAGTTCACGCAAGGATCAGAGTACAAGAGCACAGGTATTTGGTTTACTTCATGCGACTATATAACAATACATTCCGTTTAAATTGTGAAGTCCGTGACGACGACGCGCTTAGTACTCCTGGGCGACAGTCTCCTGGAGCTGCTGCTTGGCTGTAAAATGGACGATGGAACAATAGTGAGTGAAGTGTAAACAAGGTGGAGACGATGATGAGACAAGAACGTACCCTGGCGCTTGGCCTTCTCCTTGTCGACGTAGTCGAGACCCTTGGTCTCAACGAGACGGTCAACGAAGGCACCGGCGAAACCAGCGCTGGAAGGAACAAGGACGGGTCAAAATCGAGCAGAACCATAACACCGACGAGAGGACATACAGGAGCTCGGTGGCCTCAGCGTGCGAAGCGGGCTTGCCGTTGGCAGCCAAGTGCTTCTCCCAGGCCTTAGCAGCCTAGACGAGAGGACAATGGTGTGAGCGATCGTTCGTGGATGAACAGATGGGTGATGTAGATGGAAAGCTTACCTCGTAGGAGGCAGCGCCGGCAATGAGCTCGTGAGAGAGCTCGGCCTTGTGGGGGGCGTTGGTGGCCTGGTCGTAAGAGGAGGCCTCGTCAGAGCTTTCGTGGAACCAACCCATTGTAGATATGTGTGAGAGTGAAGTGGAGTGGTAGTGGTGAAGAAGAGAGAGATGGGGAAAGACGTTGGCCAGGGATGGGCTGGTTTATATACTCTCCCAGCGGGAGGCACATGCTGGTCATGGAAGTCTCCGAGAGACAGTCGCCACTGGTCGCCACCCCCTGTCACGCAGGAATCATCGCATCTGCATCATCGCAATTGGGGCAAAGCCGCCCCCGGCGCACCCTAGATCTTCTCGTATCCACGCGTCATTGCGCAATCGATGTGCAAGAGCATGCGCCAGGTCCGACTGCCAGGTCTCGTAATATTTTTGGAAACCTGAGGAGCAGGCAACCCAGGGCGATGATGTTGGATGCGTCGGTGCTGTGCCACTTCGAATTCGTTGAATGAAGGGGAAGAAGTTCTCCAACGATGTGCTGCGGATCGACGTCAGGCTGTGTCTCCTGCGAAGTACAGTATTACAGAGTCTACAAGAAATATACTCAGGTATTAGACCTTATATGTTTCAAGTTTACTTGAAACTCGTTGGCGGAAGATCTGTCCGATCCGCCAATGAGATTTCGCGAAAAATTCCAAGTTTTCACTAACATATAAGCCCTATTGAGAGCTCAACTGTCTGAGTTCGTTTGGCTGAGCGGCTAGGGCTCCGACAATAAGTCGGGAGTTATTAACAGCTGTAAAAAAGTGCTGTTAATAACTGTTTATAACTTGTTATTAACAACCCTCCCGATACGGTGCTATATGGATCTGTAAAAAAGTGTAAGAAATCCTTCTGTCTGGACGAGTAGATACGCGTTCAGGGAGGACTCTTTCGACTTCCTGACCAACTCCTGACGTTGTATTCCATCCTCTGTGACCCCTAAGCCGGCCTAGACATGACTTTACCCTAACCTATTCCCACGACGTTGACTGCCAGCCACAGCTTCCGAGTCTACGGTGGGTGTTCTCGCCAACGGCCTCATATTCCATGAGTGTATGTGCTGTAGAACTTGTTCTGGGAGTTCAAATAGTAACCAGAGACACTCAAAAGAACCGCTAGTGCTTCGAAAGCCCTCCAGGTCAGTCGAAACTGGCAGCTCCTGAGGGAAAATATAATATTTAAATTAATTTAAATATTGTGTTTTAAACTGTTTTTAACACCTGTAAAAAAGTCCCTCGAGGGCCGCCAAGTTACTAACACAGGGTACCATTGGCTCAGGACTTTTTGTCGGAGCCCTATGAGCGGCGCACTTGCCCTAGATACAGCCTGTGATGGGTATCTCCGAATCGCGTTACCACCATCCAGAGTGATGCTTCACATCTCCGCCCTAGATGTGAAGCAGATAAGTGTCGGGCGGCGGTCAGCCAAGTGATTTTACCCTATTATTAGGTCACTGTGCTTTCTGCGGATATTCGCAGAAAATACAGAGCCATAAAGAGCAGTCAAAAGAGCCGCTGTAGCCCCATCCGGAGTCGGAAAAGCCCCTGTCCGGAGTGATGTCATTCGGAACTGAACGAAGTTCCTATGGCTATGCGTGTAACCTGAGGGCGGTACGCGATGGAAGGGTGATGCAAGGATTCCACGGGAAGAGAGTTCCTTGAAGCTGCCAGAATCGAATCAATGTGCGCCCTCGAAACTGCGAGAACATTCTGCATATCTACGCTAGCGCAAACAGCCGCAGATCACGAATCCAAGAGGGTGTAAAGAGGCAATGTATCGCAAGCATGAATATTCGTCATGGGGGACAGGTATCATGCATTCGTGAGATAATGACACGACAGGGGCCACTCTTGATCGCCACATAGTACTTCAACATACTTTCGCCACACCTTGGCAATCCTTGGCCAAACAGGCGCCTCCGCTAGAATCCCCACTGTGAGGCCCTCTTCGCACCAAACAAGTAGACTAACGTTTGGCTCATGTAGAGACCGACAGTAATACCAGTCGTGACCGCAATCATGGCACCACCAATATCTATCCCGTTCCCGTTCGTCATCATCCCTCCTTGCGAAAGGCCTGACTGAAACGAGAAAAAATCAGAGATGATCAGTTATCTTCTCGATATCAGCTTATGAGCCACAAAAATACTCACTGGGACCAAAAACAAAACACCAGTGATCATAGCTGTGAACGCGGTCCCCCGCTTCGCCCTTCCATAGATCGTCCCAAGAACGCCCACGGAGACCGCCCCTATGGCAGAAACGATGTCCGCTCTGTCGTGTATATACACAGTCGTAAGCTTGTTCGCCGTCCATGCCACACACGCGATGAACACCATAGCTAGTAATTCCGCATCCACCGGCTGCAGGTTCGCCAACGAACTCAGCAGTGCGAACAATGGCACGATGAACAGTTGTGTCCACCAAGGGAACGGTTGGAGGTACCACGAGAAATCTGGTGAACGCAGACATCCGTCGACGACATGTTCGGAGGGGACCCAGGTCGCATTCATGATCTCGAATTCGCCGATAAGAGGTTGGGTGCTGTTCCAGATGGTGCTGTTTGTGGTGGTGAAGCGACCGGAGTAAGACTTGGTATCATCCACTGCAGCAGCAAGGTCATCAAGGCGGGAACGAGCTTTTGGATCGAAGAGGAGGTAGAAGTCGGAGCCTATCTGGAGGCCGAAGCCGAGGAAGAGGGTATAGGTAAGGGCGTAGACCATTTTGACGGATCCGCAGAGGATGTTTTTAGATGCGAGCTCCAGTGAGCTGCTCACTAGTGACAGAATAAGTTCGGATGATACGAAGTCCGGAACAAGGAAAGAACTCACGAATGAGAAACCCGGGCAAGATCGCGACTATGCCGGCGGAGGCGATCGCATCGTAGCAGAATATGTCCGATCGAATGCTGCTCAATCCGCGAGCAACGAACGAGATCAGAATAGTCATCGTGATCCTGCATAGCCGAATCAGCATTAAACGACGAGGCTAACACCGCTATAGACACTCACTCAAACACGTTCGCGTACACTTGGCTCTTCTGCACTACGGTCAATTGCAGTGCGCAAAGGATGAGTGACCCAACGCCAGCAATCCACATGTCGATGAATGATCCACCGAATGCGAGTGGGCAGATCAAGGCAGAAAGCCAAAATGCGAAGAAACATCGAGCCCATTTCTTGTATGCTGGTTTCCCGTCCATCAGCTCGTCAAGACGCCTGATTCCTTCTCGGGCCCCTATCTCGTCATGTAGGACCTTACGATAGATTTGATGGACTTCGTGCAGGTTCCCGAGGGCGAGTGAGGTTGGCTGCGTGATGTGAGATGATAAGGTTAAATATGATCACCGGGAAAGCTAGAATATATTTCTTACCTGGCGCATCAAAAATGTTTCCGTCGTCTTGGACTGTTCGTCTGTGAATGACATGAGGAAAACGGCAGGTAGATGTATACATTCTACGTTCAGTTCGAGTGTGCGAGACATCTCCCGTAGCTGGTTCTCGATGCGATGTGATGGCGCTCCAAACATCATGAGTGACTTCGCGAGTTTGATGAGGAATCTCTGTCGGGAGTGGACAGCTGTCGAGTTACACTTTAGATCTTGAAAGAGTTGAACCATCTTTGAGAAATGACGTACTGGTAACGTGGATATGGATAGTGCGATGTTCATCGAGGGCTTTATTCTGAGCCCCCACGGATAGGTCGTAAACGTCGACGTTTCCTCTCTCCTGTTTTCTCCTCTCGCGCCTCTTCTTCCTCGCCAATGCTCTTGGATCTTCCATCGGTGCTGAAACCGCATTACCGTCCACCGGTCCCCACCAAGATCCTTCCCTCCTTTTCAGTATCTCACCCTCGCCATTGCCTATAACGACAGTCTCGCCGCTTCCCCTTCGACCAGACTCAAGGTCCTCCAAGGTAGATGGGCGAGAATCCTGCAAGAAGCCGAACCAACCAAGATTCGGCCGTTCTGCCTTCAAGTCGTGCACGTCGACTTCCATCTCCTCGCTCCCTCTCCGAATATCATCATCCTGCACACCGGAAAATCCAAGACCAAGACCCGGACCCCTGACAGATCTCTCCGCATCCTCATCTCGACCTGCACGAGACTTCCGTTTGCGTATCTCCAATGCCATCGGATATCTGGCCGTCTGCACGTTTGGTATCGCCATAGGTTGCATAAGTAGCGGAGATTGGTACTGAGCATCGGTACCAGTGTGGTCGTAGTATTGTTCATTTTGGTTTCGGATGGGGGTTTGCCCATGTGAGGATCGAACGTGTGGGCTTGCGACGGGTGGAGGGGTGGCGAGCTCGGAAAATTGAGTTGGAAGGTTGGGAGGTTGTGGCGAGCTAAAGCTGAAGGCGGGGTTCCATTCTATTTGGTTCGAAGTGTCGTTCGTAGTGGGTGGTATGCGAGTGCTTGCCGATGAAGTGGCCGAGTGATGGTGACCCGCTGTGGCGCGGAATGACATGATGAATACAACGGCCTTGACGAGACGGTATGGACTGGGTCGAGCAGGCCTGCTCAACGGAGCCCTGTATGGGCTGAGGCCGGTCCTGAAGCAAAAAAAGAGTGAGAGGAAAAAATGTCTATAGAAGACATCAATGCGTCGTTCAGATATCCATGGGGTGAGACCACATCGGGAGGCGAAACTGACGGTCTGAAACCTTGTTCGATCCAAGTTTCACCCCGAGTGCGGTGACTGTCTGAGACCGAGTAGCACATGAATTGACACAAAAGTAGTAAAACGTAGATCACAGCTTAGCTAGAGTCCTAGGGCTCGAAGCTATGTCCACCGCTTCCTCCCACAAGTCCTCGACGGCTTCCCAATAACGTTCGGGGTCTGTTCTAGCATGAGCGACATGCCCACTCTCCTCGAACTGGATCATATGCACTCTGATCCCTTCCGCTCGGGCTCCCTCAGCATGCGCATCGATACAGGCCGCACTAGAGATCTTGTCATTGGTAGAGTACACGTACAACCGTGGGGTTGTCGTCGACGTCCACGGAAGGAAGTCGGGTGTGTTTAGTGTAGCGAGAGCTGATGACCATGGATCCGGCTCGCGGGCGATCATCCTGGATCCGACTGCGTAGAGATACAAGGATGAGATGAAGAGCATAGCCATCGACCTCTGTAACGAGTTCTGTATGGGCGAGGCATAGCCGCCATTGGCAGAGGCGAGAGTGATATCACCTGGCGAAGAGTCAAAGACGATTGCGGAAGGCGCGGGGTAGGAGCGCGGCATACGCGTCAGTGACATGGAGACTTCAGCCAGTGTCCATGCCCCACCTGCAGACAAGTAAGATAGGTTATGTGTCATTGTACAATACACGGGCTGTCCGGACGTACCAATAGAAAAGACATGCACGAGAACTCGGGGAGGGGATTGATCGCTGCGCGCCAAAGCATCGCGGATACGTTGTGCCGGAAGGCGTGCAGAATCTTGCTGATGGGCTCCAATGAGTTGAATGGCATGATGCGTCATGTCAAGGTGTGCACGTACCCTTGCCTGGGCCGTCTTCGTGTACCACATCGGGTCGATGGAAATAACGAGTTGGGCACTGCCTGGAAAGATACGCTGGTAGGCCTCTGTATAATACTTTACGTGCCTTTCCACAGCGCCAACTGCGTGTCAGATTCAAGGCATAGGTCGAGTCGGCACAGTGTGTTCACGTCGAAGTTAGACAAGAGTATAAACCCCATGAACAGATGATAATCAGGCTACAGACGTGGCAAAAACGTGATTCAGATGTCGATAATATGGTGCAAAAAATCAGCCAAGCTTACGATGGATTTGACGGATCGTCCGCCTGTCTTTGCTTGGGAGACATGATGGAAGTCGTGAGTGCGACCGAGAGTCAAGAGTGGAGATGTCCCGAGACCACAGTCTAGCAGAAGTCGAAGAGCATTTAAATATGCCTGATAGCCCTATGGCTGTCATGTCAGAAGTCTGTTCCTGGATGCTATGGATGTGTATCTCAACGTGCGGCAAGATGGAGGAGGCATTTGGAGGCGTCAATCTCGTAATCTAGGACGAGGGTCAACCACAATAAGGATTAATATCGTCTGACAACGAGCATAGATGACAGCCCGTCAACTACACAAATTCACAACCTGGCCAGATTTGTCCAAGTCAACTGAGAGTAGAGCATTGTGCTTCAATATGTCCTCGTCGAGCATCATGAAAGGCAGAAACAGGATGTGGGGAAGACCCAACACATTGCCACTGTGGCCCAATGAGCGTAGCGCGGAACGTGGCGTCGTGACGTTGTGGGCGCCAACTTTGTTGCTAGACTCTGTTCCGGCCACCTTCACTCTCCAGCTGCCCACTTCATCTAAACACCCTTCTCCATCTGCTGCATGCATTTCGAACGGAATGCCACCACCACAAACACCCAAACCGGGTCTATCTGACCGCTACTTTGAGGAAGAACTCTCTATAGATTATGTGAATCATGCGTATGTGCTCTATAGCATCTCTAAGAATTTACCCCGCATTTATCATTTCATCACACTCCTGTTTTGCTATGCAGTCATATGAAAGCTTTCTCGGAGGCTCTACAAGCCGACGATAACTCCCTGGTACCAGACCCCATCCCTTCACCGACACACAGCTCTCGTCCAAGCACACCGGCTCTCTCTTCTCACCATCACCATCCTGCTCGAATCCGGAAGGTTTCTGCGCTTTCAGACTTTGCTCCTGTGAATGTGAAGGTCAAGAAGTGAGGATTCCTATCATTCAAACGTCACGTTTACTGTCTAACGTTTTCAATTCAGGCGAAGACGAGGTGCTGACCGGGGAGTAGAGAGGAAACAGGAATGGTTGTATCTGCTCGTTCGTTGGCCCTTGCTGGTACGTACTCACCCATAATACGCTGTGTTTACTTCTCATTGGTGATGGTTCCGATAGTTCTTCATATTTCTTTTCATTGCATGCGAGTTCGGCTTCTACGTCATCATCCGTCAAATGGTCAATGCCAAAGAATGGCTCTCTGCCTGTATGCCTCATTATATCTTCTTCTCTTACCCAACACTCATGATGATTCTGAAGGGCGAGGGCGCAAGGGACTTCTGAGAGCACGTCTAAGGGCTGCCAAGTCTTATGAGGTGAGGTTCGAAGCGTAACGGTGCATGTTTGGCTCTGACAGTGTTAGGCTCTAGGAATGGAAGGACTCTGCTGCTGTCTTGGACGACTACTTGAAGTTCAATGAATGGAAACGCATCGACGAAGATGTCTATTATGACTGGAGACTTGTTCGGAAGGTAAGCCAACGTTTCCATGACGAAACGAAGTATCTTCTGGCTCACTCTATCTTATAGGTTAAACGTTCCTTGAAAACACTGCGTGAGAAGGGCGATGCTAGAGGTGTGCTTGGTGTCCTCGAGACGTGTATGAGGACAAATTTTGCAGGAGTAGAGTCCGCCAGGTATGTCCATATTGACTTCACCGAGATCATATATATACGTGCTCACTGTAGTACAGATTGTACAGCGAAGTATGTGTTCATATATTGCCTCCCTTTCTTTGGCTCAACGTTATGCGTAGACTTACTACGGGACCAAAGATCTCATCGAATGTTCGCAAGCCTTTTACTCACGAAATAGATATCTTACTGACACGCTTACTTGTCCTATCCATAGCTTATTTCTCGGAGCAAGAGCTTTCACTCGAGTTCATTCGTAAGAGCTCTGTACTATCCATCGAAGAGAAGAAGAGGTTCTGGAAGAGCGTAAATACTAATCTCGGGTAAGTTGAGGCCTCACTCGTCCAAGCGAACTCGAAACTCATCTGGCCTCCAGCTTAACTGCATTGTGTCTATCGGGGGGTGCATCCTTTGGCTACTGTGAGCGTCTATGATCCACTCACCTCCCATACTCGAATCGAACCGTCCTTATCCCCTGTCAGATCACTTCGGCGTCGTCAAGGCGTTCCTCGACGCAGGCCTTCTTCCCCGTGTCATCACTGGCACTTCGGCTGGCGGTCTGGTCGCCGCTTTGGTCTGCACTCGCACCGACGAAGAACTCAAACTTCTCCTTCGGCCAGAACTCGCCCACAAGATCTCAGCATGCTCGGAGCCCTTCAAAGTCTGGTTCAACAGGTTTTTGAAGACTGGCGCAAGGTTTGATAGCGTGCAATGGGCTAGCAAGGTTCGACTTTCCGATCTTCCTACTCCGAATCATACTCATTAAATAGCCCTTGGCGTGGACAGGCTTGTTTCTTCACTCGAGGCTCGATGACTTTCCGCGAAGCGTACATCAGGACTGGCCGTGTACTTAATGTCTCTGTCATCCCTGCTGATAGACACTCGTGAGTCTGGCTAGTTCACTTTTCACAATGTCATCCATTTACGCCGATGAACGTAGTCCAACAAAGTTATTGAACTATATTACGGCTCCGGACACTATAATATGGACGGCTCTTCTAGCTTCGGCGGCCGTACCTGGCATTCTTAATCCTGGTATGCAGACACATATCAGCTTGACCAAGCATTGAACTGATTTCGTCCGTAGTCGTATTAATGCAGAAGCTCAAGGACGGCCGAGTCGTTCCTTGGAGTTGGGGCAGCAAGTTCAAAGACGGTTCGCTGAGGTACGTGAGTATCACGAGGTTTATCGTTAGCAGATCTGACACTGCGCGGACAGAGTTGATATCCCTGTCCAAGCGTTGAATCTGTACTTCAACGGTAAGACTATCTGTTCACCTGACGCTTGCGTGTGTTGCTTACTTGTATTGTCCTCAGTTACACATCCGGTTGTCTCGCAAGTAAATCCTCATGTCCACCTCTTCTTCTTTGCCCCCCGTGGATCCGCCGGGAAGCCTGTGGCACATCGGAAAGGCAAAGGTACGCTCCACATACTTTTTGGGCCCCGATATTTGCTTGACATACCCGTCGATAGGCTGGAGAGGGAACTTCTTGCTTTCTGCGGCAGAACAGTGGCTCAAATTGGAGCTCACGAAGAACTTCAAGGTATGCTTATCCAACATTTTCCGGACTATTTTGCTGGTTACTGATTATCATGATCCTTCCTAGCTTATTCGCGACCTCGAGTTATTACCGCAATTACTGGGTCAAGATTGGTCAAGTGTTTTCCTCCAAAAGTTCGAAGGAGCAGTCACGTTAGTATTTTCATCCTTGTAGCCGGGAGATGTACTGACAGAATATCCAGTATTTGGCCCAGGACTCGCATCATGGACTGGTTCAGGATCCTGAGCGACCCGGATCCACCAGAATTGGCACGTATGTTGCAAGTAGGGCAGGTTGTGACCTGGCCCAAGGTGATCATCCCTATACACCGCATGAACTACAGTTTCTCATCCTGATCATTTTCTTTACTACCAGCTCCACATGATCGAGAACCGTCTACGCCTCGAAAGACAAATATATCTTGGCCGCCAAGAGGTCCGTCGAGCTCAGCAGGGCCGCATCAAGAATCCAACACCTCTACCACCTCTTACGAACGGCCAAAGTCGACATAATCCTATCGATGTGGAGTCTGCTGTTCCCACTCCGACCAACCCAGAAATGCCTCTATCCCTCGACACGGACGCCGAGTCGGCATTCGCTAACGGGACTCATTGGTTCTACAAACGAGGACATGCTCCATCTCCTGGCACTTCAGGAACGTCGACCGCGAAGGAAGATACGGCTCAATCTCGGAACCAGAGCCCTAACTCTCGTAGAGATCCTCTGCGCTCTCCCGTAACCAGACGGAAGTGGGCAGCCGAGGTCGTCCATACGGAATCTGGAGATGCAGATGGCTATGAGGATGAAGATAGCGGGAATGGTGCAACGGACGATGTATCGACTTCACCGCCGAAGGCTGGGTCATCACATGCAAGAGCGCGAACAGAGCCTGGAGGTTCCTTCTTCCACCGTTTGAGGACACAATCGATAACTAGCCTTACCGTGCCTTCTCCGTTCGCTAGTCTGCGTAGGAAGAGCGGATCAGTCCACACAGTTACGCCAACTGCAGAACAGACTTTCGCTTTTAATGCAGACCCTTCATGGAGTACTGACAGCTCGTCTGGAGATGATCTATCGTTAGAGGAGCAGAGACATATTCACCATCCGTCTGCGGTGTATCCGCCAAATGATTGGCCGAGTGTTGGGGGCCAAGATGGGGAGTCGCCAGGGGACGACGACGCGTTTTAGCTAATCAAGCTATCGTAGTTTGCTCTTTGTATAATCCAGCATAATGCACATATGTATTCCTAGTTGTTAATCGTTTATAGCTGTGTTTATCGGACTGCTATGTTTAGTTCCCTCATTTGTGTGGCGAGGCGTGTATTTCGTGTGGCGCAGACGCGTCCTCACGTGCTCGTGACACGCTAATTTGCGTGGGGAAACACGCGTACGGTCCCGCGAGAGTCAGGAATCTATATAGTTGCTCTCCACCACAATCAACTGTAGGCCCCAAGGATAGCTTCTCACAATCACAATCATGTCTGGTGGAAATCGCCTTCAAGTCACTGCAGATGATATGCCCGGTACGCTTGACACTCCTCGAAGCCCCTCAAGGAACGCAAGCAATGATCGTGAAGCTCGTCTCGCTGCTCTCGAGCGTAGGCTGCATACTCTGCCAACAGTCACATCAACTTCACCGGCGTCCACTGGAACTGGAGGTGCAGCAGCAGCTGCTGCAGAGTCAGCTCCCATCCCACTTCCTACCTTTGTGCCATTCGATGCGGACCATGAGAAACGACAGGAGTTCAGGAGGCTTGTCGATCCTGGGATAATGAGACCCAACTCGAAGGAGGTGGCGATTGCCTCATTGCGTGTAATACTCCATTTCTTTTGACCTGTTTAGACCTTACATTCATTGAATGACTCATATCCCACGTTGCACGTTACAGACGCTGACAACTATGGTGAGACACGGGCGTTAGTTTTCGGGTGGCGAGCATAGGCATCCTAACATTGCACGTCACATTTCTAGGCAGAAAACATCCTCAAAAACCCAACGAACCCAAAATTCAAACAGTTTAAGCCCACGAATACCATGATTCAGAGAACATTGATCACGCCGAAAGGCGCATTGGAATACGCTATCGCTGTCAGTGCCACCCTCCAGCTTTCCACTCCTGCGTTTCCTCACTTTTCCGTTTAGCTTCTCTAACCAGAGTCAGGCTCGGAGATGCTAATCACACTATATTTATTACTACTTTCAGCTCGGATTCCGCCCAGAGGTTGAGAACTTCCAACCCTACTACCGCTTCCACGACAGGTTCCTGAACGATCTACGCATTGGTGCTGCTATCATCAAAGAGATGATGCAAGCAGAGGTCGAGAAGCAAGAGCGCGAAGAGCACAAAAGAGATGTGCTGAAAGCGGAGGAGGCAGCTCGAGTTGCGAATGTATGTCTTTCACTCCTTCAGCTTGCTATCTGGCCATTGTTGGCGGTGCTGATTTGATCATTACTCGTTGTCCATCGTTCAGACAAAGAAAGCAATCTTAGATGATCGCAAATCCCAGATATTACGTGCCCAACGAGAGAGCGAAAGACTGAGGCGGCAGCAAGAGCGAAGACCGCCTCAACCTGCTTCCCCTCGAATTGAACAAGACTCTGAAGATGAGTAGAGCATGCAACGCAGTCGCTAAACCACGGACTTCCCAATCATCTCATGAATCTGTATGCTGTACTATCTCATTCCACTCATGCTATATCCTTTTGTCATCCTCTTGTCATTCTCAATCAATACATTGTGGACTCTAAATTCCAGCTCAATATTCTGTAAACGTATGGTCTTGTCATGATACAATCATTGCACAACCGCGACAAGCCAACAAAGCATTCAATATCAACAAATAAGATAGAAGCACAAGCACTGTAGTACTCTAGAACCGTGGTCCAAATCCGTAAGCAAACAAAATGTACAGAGAAAGCAACGAAGAAAGCAAAACATTCCGGACTCCCTGCCCACGCACTCGAATAATAATCATCAACTATCACTGGAAAGAAAACCTCGTACGATCTAACTTCCCTACAGGTCGACCCGGCGCACCACTATTCGAAGTTGTCGAAGGCGGCAACGGGAATTCGGATAAGGCGCTCATTGACAGTCGCGAAACAGGCTCGTTAGCTGGCGTCGAACCTAAACACGAAAGATCAGAAACATTGCTTTGCATTACAGCGTTGAAGAAGACAGAACTAACCAGACGGAAGGTCAAACATCCTCGCTTTCTCCAACACAAGACTCTCCCTCCTCCGTGGCGCCAATCTCGGCGATTCCACGCCCGACTCAGACAGGTCCGATCCAGTTCTTTGACCATGCGATCTCGAGCGATGCAGAACAGGAGGATCCTCATTCACCGGCGAGAGTAGCGAGTTCTGAGCCACGGAGGGTGGCTGCCGTGCAGACGACACCCTGCGTAGCGAGCTCGTCGTCTGTACTCGAATATCGCTCATCCGTCGCGTGGGCTGGACCATCTCCCAAGCCGGCTCAGCAGGAGGGCCACTGGCTTGAGATACTGGCCTACGAGAGGGTGAAGCGGGTGAAGCTATTCGGGATGGAAGTGGAGGAAGAGCGAATTGGGGTGGAGGTCCTGATGAAGGTGGGAGGGGAGGAAGTCCTGCGGAGACGAACGCGGGCATAGGAGGAACAGGTGGGAGGCCAGCTGGTCGCTTCATGGCAGCACGGAGTGGCTCTGCCGATGTCTTGGGATATGTCCTTGAACCTGTTGGAGAATTCCTTTTCGATCCTTCGGGTGAACTAGGCCCAACGTCCACGAAAGAAACCGAACGAAGGCTCGGGGTCCTGAACGCTTCGTTGTGAAGTTGCCGGTGGGTCTTCTTAGCGTACACGGGCATCGTCAAGAACAAATGACCAGTCTTGGCGATTTCATTGTGCAGCTGCCGATGGGTCTTTCTTGACGGAGCATGATGTTCTTTGAGACCGTTGGAGCCAGATACCTCCACACGCGGGACTGTGTGGGCTTTCTGGGCTGGTGTACGTGGGACAGTGAGTGGAGCCTGAGTGTCATGAACGCCGACCGAAGGCCAAAGCTCGAAGTGAGGGTAGACGGGAGGATCTGTAGGTCGACGATTAGTATTTAGAGCTCCTATGAGTCTGATGATTACGGACATAGTTGAATAGCAGGATACCGCGCAGGAAGCTGAACAGAGAGCAAAAGTGGTGTCTCCGACTTCGGAGTCGACCCTGAGCGATAAATGTCAAAGTGTGGATAGACGGCGGGATCTGGAAAAATAGTGGGCATTGGATACGTCGAACGAAAGCCACTTCGAAGACGAGGAAACGTACAGATATCGAAGTGAGGATAGCAAACTCGCAGCGTGCTCTGAACCACACGCCACGAGCCAGATATCGAACCGTCGCAGACTTCACCAGCGTAGATCTCGAAATGAGGATACGCAGCGGGGTCTACGTCAAGATAGAAGTTAGGAATGCTCAATGAAATGCTGATCAGGAGAACGCACAGATCGCAAAGCGGGGGTACATCGCGGGAAGCGTGACACGACCGTTGTCCTGACGGGACAGACTGCCATCGCATACTTCACCAGCATAGATCTCGAAGTATGGATACACAGCAGGGTCTGGGACACAATAAAGATGAGCACACCTCGCAAATCAATGCATATGAAGGATGGACTCACAGAGAGCAAAGCGGGGATACGTCGCGGGAAGAGTGGTGACATTGTGATCAAGCTCAGACAAACGACCATCACAGCATTCGCCAGCATAAATTTCGAAGTAGGGATAGACCGCGGGATCTACCACCAAAACGCTCAATATATGCTCGAGGATCATCAATGAAGGAGGACGTACAGATGTTGAAGTGAGGATATGTCGAAGGAAGCACGCTACGACCAAGGTTCACAGCCCGAAGGCTGGATTGTGGTACAGGGTGCGTTCCACCAGGGATGGGAGCGTAGAGCGTAATCGCAGGGTACACCGAAGGGTCTAAAGATGCATTGTGAGCATGTAAGTTCAGCGGTACGTAAGATCCATAAATGATGGACGCACAGAGGTCAAAGCAGGGGTATGCGGGGCGCACACGCACGCTGCGTTGAGGGTAGTACTCGGCATCATCGAACCGGCGTCCAGGCGGGTCTAACAGTACTAATGTCAGTCGAGGAAACCTGTTCGGCGAGACAAAGCGATTGCGTACATATCTCAAGCTGGGGAGTCGTCGTTCGGCTAGGGGAAGACTTCTTCATGCCGCTGCGAGCCACAGTAGGATACGGTGTAACATAAGGATAGGCGGCAGGATCTGAAACCTCCAGTCAGCAACCGGTCTTGAGCGTAAATTATAGTAGAGGGCACATACAGATTTCCATCATCGGGTACTGCGCCGGAAGCTTCACGTTCACTGGGGAGGTGACATCGAGGCCCATGCGTGGATAGATGTTGTACACGTTCTCGGGATATCCAGCAGGGTCTGCGATTGGTATGTGAGTAAGAGGAATCGTTTTGGAATGAAAAGTTTGACCAACGTACAAATGTCGAAGTGAGGGTAAGCAGACCGGAGCTGCGTCGAAACAGATACTTTCGACTGCGGCGCCGACGAGGTAGATGGAGGTCTTACACCAACCGCGGGGTAGATCACAATGTCCGGGTACGCAAATGAAGGCATATTGAACTCGAAGACGTCTCCCACAGAGACGGATGGATAGATGACGAGGTGAGGATAGACGCCTGGATCTATAACAAAGAAAAGAGTCAGTAATTGCGCATGAGCATTTTCAGATGTGAGTAATACGAACAGATATTGAACGCGGGATATCTGGGACGAAGTTGTATTGAGACCGGTTCGAGAGGGTACTGCGCTAGGATGAGATGACCAGGATAGATCTCGAAGTTCGGGTAGACCGTCGGATCTGTGTTACAAGGTATATAAGAAAGGACTGAAAAGATGAAGCAGATATGGTACATACAGATGTCGAGAGAAGGATACTGTCTCGGTAGCGTGATAGACATCGACGAGTGGTGACTGTCATCGAACGTCGTGACATGTCCTGGATATATCTCAAAGTTCGGGTACGCGGTGCGATCTAGAGATACAATAATTCAGGGATTGTCGTCACAGATAACGACGAGGAACTCACAGATCGCGAAGTTCGGGTATTCAACACTCAAGATGACAGACTGAAGGTCGTGCAAGGAATACTCATTCGGCGAAACCTCGACGCTCATATCCATATGAGAGGCAGCCGTAGCTAAACAACATTATATGAGAAATGTTGTTCATAGGGTTATGAAGAGAAGGGTATAGCTCACAAGGTGCAGATGTGGAAGGTGTTTCTGCATCAGCTTTGGGTGCCCTCGCAGGAGAGCGGAGGTTGAAAAAGGGGTGACTATCATTACCTTAGAGAAACGAGCGTCAGTGACGCTATCGACGAACACACCGAAACGAGAGTACTTACCAGATTTTAAAGATCTACCGGCGGAAGGACTCTTCGGACGCGAAGAGAAACTCTTCATGCTCATCACTTTAGGTACGGCCAATAAAGACACTGCTGCAGCTGACGCAACATCATTATTGACAGCAACGGTCTGTCCCTCGTAATGAGGGGCACCGAGCTGCCAGGCAGCGGTCTGGACTTGTGGCTCTTCGACCACACGTTCGATCTCAAGCGAGCGTGTCGGGGGCGGCGTGGCGCGTCTTCGCGTCGACTCTTCCCCGCTCGTCCCGGAGGATGTAGATATCCTAACGACGGGAGGCGGTGGTTGAGGACGTTCCAACGGCCATACATGCGGCCAGGCGACTTCTGCGCTCGGTCTGAAGTACGGGGAGACAATTCCGGAGGGTCCTAAAGGAGGCATATTCGCGTCAAACGCACGGTGACCGGCATCAGGGGTCGGGATGTGTTCTGGCATGAAAGGCGACGGCGGGTAGGACGACGGAGCGCCCCAAGAGGTCGCCGTCGAGGGTGTCACCGGCCGACTCCATCCACCACGCTCGCCCAGATCGGGAGAGAGTTGAGCGTGGTGATTGGCGTTTACATTCAGATGCGCAGGCGACGGTGGGTAGGATGGTGGTCCCCACGACGTCGCAGTCGACGGAGTAACGGGTCGACTCCAGTCGGCGCGCTCGCCAAGATCGAGAGAGGGAGCGCGATGATCTGGGTGAGAATACGCAGGAGATGCGGGCCAAGACGACGGACCCCAAGAAGTGGCCGTCGACGGAGTGGCGGGTCGACTCGACATGGCCCTGTATGCAATATCGACCGACGGAGGTCGGGATATGCTCAAGGGCGACGGAGGGTAATCCAGCGGCGGACCCCAACTAGTTGCGGTAGAAGGGGTGGGCGGAACGTCCTCTAACATCCGCAAAGCGATGTCGGGCGACGGGAGGCGAGAGACAAATGAGTACAGGGACTCATAGTCGTCATCGGGGCCGAATGAGGTGGCGTAGGAGGGGCTCAGGAGAACCGAGCCCTCCATGCGCCGATCGAGGTGCACAGACGGTACGCGCGACCAAGAAACGGGTGAATCGAGGTCATCGTGGTCGGGAGGTCCCAGGGACGAGACCGACCAGGCATAGTCATCGAGGTTGAGAGGGCGCTCACCATCACCTTCGACAGTAGAAACAGAAGGTGTATCGACTAACACTACGGCATTGGGCATGTGGACTGGGTCGAGGCTGATTTGGCCATTGGCAGCCAAAGGTGTGGGCGCAACGGAAGAGCTTGCACGCCAGGACTTGACACGGGATCGCAAAGGAGTGGTTGGAGGCTCCTCTTCTTGCACGATGGGTGGAAGAGCATTTTCAGAAGGCGGAACTGTAGCTGAAATAGCTGAGGCAGACTCCAAGCGGTCCAACAGTGACAACTTCCTAGGGACATGGCGCTGAATGGCTGTTCGCGTCTGCTGCGGCACATACGCCGACTCTTCATCCCCGAGAAGGTCATCGGGGTGCGTGGTTTTGCTTTCGTCGCGCCAGTGGGAGAGCGAAGGCGCAATAGAAGCCGTGACGTCATGGCTTGTTCTACGAGAGGATGCCAGCCACGCGTCATACCAGCGCGCTTTGTCGAGGTCAATGTCAAACTCAATCCGACCGCAGACGGGCAACTGCTGAATCTGGAGCACAGGCGAGCGAGCCTCGAAGAGGTGATTCCACAGAATGGGCCAAGTCTCATCAGAGATGCGTGGGATCATGGAGAGGTTATTCTCAGGCATTCCAAGATAAAGGCAAAGTCCCGTTGTGCTCGGGAAATTGAACTCGCGAGCGATGACGGTCAATTGAGCGTACATCTGGAAGTCAATTAGAAAAGTAATGAGAGACTACTGGGATGAACTTACTGTCGGAAACAACGGCAACAAAACACCTTGGGAGAGTCGACCCGGGGGTCCGGAAGACAAGGTATGCCCGAGCTGACCGTGCTCTCTGGCTATCGAGGCTGGTGGAGTGACGATCACCAACCATTTCGACTGTGGACGTGGCCCAGCGCGCTCGCGAGACTCGCGAAGACCTGTGTTGTGGTACGAGAGAGTAGAAACGCGGCGAGGAAGTGGAGGCTGAGACGGAGGGGTATCGTAGTCTGCGGGAGGGGCATGGGATGCAGGATATTGAGCTGTCGACGCTGACTCAAAGAAGTTGAGGTCGGTATCTGGAGGCGTCGGGATCTGAGCGCTGCGGGGGAGATCGTACGGGGAAGGTTTGTGAAAGAGGGAGGTAGTGAGGTGGGACATCCTTAGCGTAGGTTCTAACGACTGTAGTATGGGGCTTTGAAGGAGTGGAAGACGTAGGAGCTGACTAGCAGCTGTGAATGGCGGTGGGGAGGAAAGAAGGGGACCCGAGAGCACACTAAGCGGATGGCTGGGTATTTTGAGGATGAGAGCGCTGCGTGAGCGAATGATGATCAGGCAGGAAAATCAAAGGACTCACAGTGGTCTATCTCCAGGGAAACCGCAGAACGAAATGCTGACGAAGAGAAAGGCCTGCCTTCTTGAGCAACTCCCAATAAAATACCTCAGCGAACGATGAAAGACGAAAGGCAGACGCTGCGGGAAGCCTCTCACCACAGCTCGACTGCAGGAAAGAGGTTAGAGCTCCACAGGGGACCGCGCATTGATATCTCCATGCACCGGTCCCTCGGCGCGCTCCCACGTGGACAGCGTTGCCTTGCCAGTTCGCCGCTTCGAGTCTTGGCTTCTTGGCTTCTTGGCTTCGTTCACCGATCGTGAATGTGCCTTTGAATCCCTCCTGCACCGTAGACAAAGAGGATGCACGGAATTTACAGCTGTTTTGAAATAATATACGACTGAGCACTCCTCGTCTCAGCCTCTATCTTCGCAATCGCTACATCAAACAGAACCAGTACATCATCGTACGTCATCTTCACCGAAAGTCGAATATTCTGATGCTCGACCAAATCAACAAACCCCACCAAAAGCTCACGCATCGTCCCCGACACGTATTTCCGTACAACCTCTTCCACCGGGGAAATAATCGCAAAATCCATATCGAAAAACATGAACGGGGCCATCGCAGTCCGGGAATTATGCACACTTCTGAGCGTCGAGTGGCCAAATGCGTCCTGGATGATCTCGAGCCAGTCTTGCTGGTCATCCAGGGACAAGTCCTGATCTCGCAGGACCAATGGGTGGATGTGCTTCATGATGGCGTAAGCAGTGACCCATATGATGGACTCAAGGTCATGGTGAATGCCGTGCGGTGGAATCTTGACCTTGGTCTTTCCTTGTCGCATCGACCAGGCCAGGAGCTCGATTGCCATAAACTGAGTTGTTCCCTATATTGACGAGTACGGAGCGAGTGAGCGTAGAGTCACTAGGAATGACGAGGCCGGACGTGATAGCGCACACTCACGGCTATGGTGGTTGCGTGATGAACTGTGCTAGGCTTTGTCGGTGATGCAAGTTCAGTATTGCACTCCACGGTAGACGTATTATCCAAACGAGCAAGTTCCAAGTCGCAAAGAAAACCTTCCCCGTCAGGCGGTGGAGAAGTAGACTTGTTGAGAAGGATCTAATACAACGCAGTCAATAAACCTGTAGAGGGGTAACTATACCCACATGACAAGCAATGCCAGCGCACATTACCGGCAGAAATATCGCAGTGCAAAATTCCCTGTTTCGTCAAAAACTGATGAGCTAGAAGTTAGCCAGGTCGAAGTAAGTAGTAGTTGATAGGTAGAGAGAATGATATCCTGCGTACCGAGGGTGGCAGCCCGCAAGGCTTTGAGAAGCTGCAGCTCGGACTCGTAGTCCCATAGTGGTTGGCCGACTGATTCCAAGAGAAGCCGATGCAGATAGTGTTCGACACCGCGTTCATCGGGCTCGTATCCTCGAAGATTGTACACCGTGATGGGTTTGTCGTCGTTAGAAACCGGAAAGAGAACGTCTCTCCCATCGAAAAACTTCGCAAGGCCTGGATGATCTCCTTTCACCGATCTGTATATATATGACTCCGGTGTCCTTCGCTGAGTATGCCACGCATTCTTTAGGATGAAGATATCGCCAGAAGGTTGTCCGCTCTTCGAGTCGACCTGTTGAACGGCCCATACGCTAGTCCGTCGGCCGGTATAAGGGACAGAAGCCCAATACGGTGCGCCGACGGTCTGCCAGAGACGAGTGTCATTGCCACCGAGGGAGAGTCGATAGACGGGAACCTTGCTTTCGGAATCGTCGATAACCTGCACAGTTGGATCATGTCCTATGCCTTCCTCCGATAGGACGCAAGTCACACTTCGGATGACTTTGATAAACGTGCGCATGCCGTTGTTGTCGACCTTCCAGCTGTCCGTGTCCCACAGGTATGTCTCTGGAGAGAGGGAGACGCCGTCGCAATCGAAGATGCCAGCATGGAATACGTTTCCAGAAATCATCAGACCGATGGAGAAGAGGTTGAATGGACGTGCGGCCATATGGATGCGAGCGTAGTTGACCGACTGGTAGAGAATCTTCGAGATGCTATCGTCGTGGGTACCTGTAGTATCTTCCTCGTAGTTGGTGTCTAAGTGGCCAAATACGTCGCTCAAGGAGGCTAGGCAATCAGGACGATTGAGGCCAGAGAGTGTTGCTCTCGGTGAAATAATCGAGAAGTCGGGTATCAGTGTAGGGTAATCGAAGTCAAACACAGTCTTATTGCCGGCCAACTGTCTCTCGTCAAGGATCTGGCGAGGGAGAGGAAGATTGGGAATGGGCGGTACACTAGATAGATCCTGGAAGTCGCGTATGTAGTTCATGATGTGACGCTACAGGGACAATCGTATAGTTCGTAAGCATAAGTGCAGAATTCAGGAGACAGTATTTTCGGCTCACCCAAGGCTCGTACATCTCGCTTTTGCATCGTATGCCGTTTCGAATGGAGTCATTCCCGATCTTCATAAGTGTTCGGATGTGCTCTTCGTTGTCTCGCTCGAAGTTCTCCATGCACGCATCGACGAAGGAGTCTGCTACGTCCTGGATGCGGAGACGCTCGAGGACTCTGCGGTCATTATACCAGACTTTGTCGACGAGGTTGCGTTTCACCGCCTTTTCGCTAGTATTGGTTGCGCGTTCGTCCATGTTTGTATTCTTCGAGAGAGAGCTACGGCCTGACTCCTCCTAGAAAAAGTCTGTCCCTGCGCCTTGCGAGTCCGAGTCAGATCTAATGTTGAGAGAAAGAGCTTGATGGTATGCTGGAGCGATAAGAGTCGGACATGACGAAGGCAAAGAGCAAACCGCTTCGCAGGCAGATGAAAAGTTGACCGTTGGAACCAACGTTCGAATGCCGCCACGAACCGAAGCGCCGGCGCACAGATATGATGCCAGGGGGCGCGTGTGGCGTTGACGCGTACCGCGACTTACTCTGCGCGTCCAACACCGAAATTCTTTGTACCATCATCTTCAAGCCAGACCAATGGATCAGAAACTCTCTCAGTTCAACGCTCTTAGTCAGAAAGACAAAGGCCCAGCATACCTCTCTCTCCTTTCCGATATCTACGCCAACCCATCCTCTTCCGACATCGCAAGCAACATCCATACATTCGTTGACTATGTCCTGAACCACGAGACCGCAGGTGTCATCGTCGGTCGACAAGTCTTCTCCGAGCTCGTCAAGAATCTTGGCGAGGGGGCTATCCCAGACACCGAGCTTCGAAAGCGAGTCGTAGAGGACGTCTTGGCCACACTCCAGCCACGCATTGCTAGCTATGAAGAACAGGTGGGTGGCGCTGGTCATCACTAGCAGCAGCAGGTCGAGGATTGCGGCTCAATCGATCTTACAGGTCAACAGCCTGAAGTTCCAGCTGGCCGATCTACTTGAGGCTGAAGAGGAATGGAATGAAGCCGCTCGTGTACTCATGGGAATATCACTCGAAGGCCAACGGTACGATTGTGGCCCATCATCTGCGTCGCAGCCCTGACATATCTTGACTCCACACACTTGCACGGAAACAGGACACCAGACGAGGACAAACTTCGTGTCTACATCCGTATTGTGCGTCTCCTACTAGAAGAAGAAGAATCTGTTACCGCCGAGAGCTACTACAACCGCGCCGCATCCCTCATCCACTCCACCAGCGATAGAGAAACACTCCTCGCATATAAGCTCTGTCAGGCCAGGATCGGTGACTACAGCCGTAAATTCATTGAAGCCGCCACTCGATATCATGAACTCAGCTTCGTTGGTGAGATCGACGAAGATGAGCGGAGACACATGCTGTACGCTCCTTCTTCTTGACCCTTTGTTCCTGACTTCACCCAAGCTCACTGCTTATACGTTCCCCCATAGCTCAGCAGCGGTAACTTGTTCCGTCCTAGGACCCGCAGGTCCCCAGCGCTCCCGTATCCTCGCCTCCCTCTATCGTGACGAACGAACATCCGACCTCCCAACCTACAACATCCTCTCCAAAATGTTCCTCGACCATATCCTACGCCCCTCTGAAGTCAAAGAATTCGAGAAAACACTCAAACCACATCAACTCGCCAAAATCTCACTCTCCACGAACGACAGACTAGCATCTGCTATCCAAGGTGACGACGAACTTTCGGGCGACAATGTCAGCACCCGGACGGGACCATCTACTGTTCTCGATCGTGCTGTGATGGAACATAATGTCCTCGCGAGCTCAAAGATCTATAATAATATCACATTCAGAGGGCTCGGAGCGCTGCTGGACTTGACACCGGGGGCTGCAGAGACTATGGCGCGAAAGATGATCGAGCAAGGACGACTGAAGGGCCACATCGATCAGGTGGACAAGTTGATTTGGTTCGAGGCGGGCAAGGAAGAGGACGATGCGCAGGGCAAAGCCGGTGGACTGGGTGACGTTGAACAAGTTACGGAAGACACTGGTGCACCGTTCACGAAACGTTGGGATCTGCAAATTCGTACGACAGCCGCCAGCGTAAGTCCAAATGCACCGGACCGAAAGTTCGTCCCTCGTGGCTCACGATATTTTCCTACAGGTTGAGACGATGGTACAGCACCTGGTGGAGAAAGGACTCGTGGTGACAGCAAAAGCGTGAGATGAATGATGCATATACATATAATTTGTAGTTCGAAATGCAGTACGACGAGGGCAACGACTATGAAGCCGGATAAATCAGTACATAGCAAGATCAGAGGGACCACCGTACGATGTGTGCAAAGTACAAATTGCAAGATGATAAGAACGAACAAGTCCTGGGTAAAACATCACTGAGGCGCGATACTGTCCGTCTTTCGACGCTTCTTAGCCCGCTCGCGCTTGGTCTCGAGCTCGTGCCACTCTCCTTCGAGATCGGCAAGCCTACCAAGTGAAAGATTAGTAAAGGTCATAGTATACGAAGATGAATCATGGAGAGCCTACCCGACTGGAATAGCTTCTCGTGGCTCCTCGTCCTTGAAGTATGGTGATTCGAGAGCCTGTGCGGCCGTAATACGTCTTCCAGGATCATAATCCAAAAGCTTTTCTGCAAGGAAGATAGCCTCCGGTGATAACCATCTATGTTCAACTGATTAGTCATTATGATTAGTCCTTGGTGTATAAGACGCCCACCTGCGAAACATATCTCGAAAGTGGTTCTCAATAATCTCCTTCGGCTTGACGAGCTCGTACCACGGCATATCCACGAGTCCATGCCATCGTTGAACTGTCGGGGTACCAAAGATTCTGAAGATGACCTCCAGCTGATGAATTTCATGTTCGCCTTGAAACACGGGCTTCTTCGTGAACAGTTCTAACATGATGCATCTACTCCATCATCAGCAACTGCCACCCTCACGAAGAATAGCTTGACGTACCCGGCACTCCACATATCTACCTCAGGCCCATAAACGGTCGTGCCCAAGAGCAGTTCAGGCGGACGATACCAAAGGGTGATGACACGGTTCGTATAATCCATCTGGCGCCGCTTCTGGTAAAACCTAGCAAGTCCAAAATCGCCCAACTTGAGCTCTCCGCGACTGTTGACGAGTATATTCGAGCCCTTGATATCGCGATGGATGACACCCTTGTGATGCAGATATGCGAGCCCGGCGAGCATCTGACGACAGAGCGACTTGAGATGAGCGTCGGTGAAGAAAAATTGGGTCTGTGACAGGATGCCAGTCAAGTCATGGTCCATGTACTCGAACACCATGTATACAGAGCCTACGGAAGAATGATGTACTGTTAGTCGACTACAAAACCATTGAAGACACCGAGACGAATGGATCGTACCGTTTGACACCATCATCTCGTGAAGTTGGACTACATTGTCGTGACGCAGGGACTGAAGGAGTTTGATCTCGCGCATGGCAGTAACAGGAAAACCGTCCTTTTCGGTCTCCATGCGTATTCGCTTCAAGGCGACATGGAAGCCATTCAGGGCGTTACGAGCTTTGTACACCTTGCCAAACGTCCCCTCACCAACCTGGCTAACGATACTGTACAATTCCTCTTGTGATTCCTTCGGAGACGTAGCCGCACTTGTCCGGTCCACCTTCGATACGCGAGACTGTGCCTCTTGGGGTGTCTTTGCTGGAGCTTTCGTTTTCGTGACCACCGAATGAGGTTGCTCTGTCTGGGGCGTCGGCAAAGATGGCGGAGGACCGGATGCTGGTGATGGCACGCTCGTTTGTTCTTGCGAAGGACGAGCCATTTCGGGAGTGACCAGAGGGCTGGTCGAAGTGACAAGCGGCGAAGGGGGTAACGGGAGAGGCTCGCGTCGTAGCGACTTGCTTGCACGAGCTGCTGGCAGAGGTTCGCGAGGCGTTGGCAGACCTTGTGGGGGAACGAAAACGGGGTCACGAGAAGGCAGACTCGGGCTCACTGTCGTCGAGGAGGATGCGGGGAGGAATATAGGTGGAAGAGGGAGGGCTGGAGGAGCTGGTGGTCGATATGTCTGAGGGCGTGGTGGGAGCTCATAAGTGTGCTGAGTCGTGGGGGCTACTTGTGGTGAGGGAGAGGGATGTTCGAAAGACCCTGCAGGAGGAAGGTAGTGGGGTGGTGGGCGAGCAGCAGGAACAGGTGCTGGAGGAGGGCTCTTCTTGACATCTGGCTCGTCATCGTCTCCTGGAAAGAATCGCTTTACCGCAGAGCTCGCTTGCCCGATAGGTCTGAAACCTGCCAGTTTTATTGCAGCAGCTGAGGGAATGGTTGGTCGAGTCGTCTCAGGTACAACTGTAGATTGCGATGTTTTGGAAGAGGAAGGTGGTTGTGAGGCAGGGGGTGGTATCGCGGCGGGAGGCGGCTTAGGTGCAGAAACCTACATAATACGAGACAACGTTGACTAAATGAAAAACACGAATCAGTGAAGGGGCACGAACCTCGACGGGACGGCCATTTATTTGTGCAGTCTTCCCATTCTGCTTGCGAGGCAACGCATCACTGGCAGGAGCGCTCTTCGCTTCGACGGAAGGCTCGACTGAAGCTGGTGTCGATGCCTCCGGGACAGGCACGGGCCCTGTTAGTCGATGCACAGGTTTTGAAGACGACTCTACAGGGCTCATACTCATGCTTCGCGTGCGACTTCTGCTCCTAGTTGAGGTAGACATCGATGATAGACTACGGTCTCGACGTCGTCCTCGACTGGCACGACTTCGGTGTGATGACGCGGGAGAGCGCGAGCGCCTATCGTGGCGATCATGATTCCTATAGGACGAAGGACGGTCACCAGCAGCAGTAGAATCTCGCCGTCGTCGTTTGGGAGATCTCGAGCGTGAGCGGGATGGCGGACGAGATGAATGCCGTGAGCGAAAAGTCTCTGCCGGTGACCGTGACCGAGATGGAGAGCGAGCGGGTTGATTGACGGTTGGATCTGTCGGCTCCCCGTCACGACGCTGCCAACTGGGTAAAGCAGACAGCGAAAGCAACGTCAACGACAATGAAGAATCGAAGAAACAGAAGACAGACACACTTATTCAAACCATCTGGATCGCCCCGTGGCCAATCGTCCCGCTGCCAGCCATCGTCCTGCTTCCAATCTCTCGTCTGTTGCTGATTATAATTTTTCTGCTGATTATTATTATTATTATTTCGATTTTTCTTCCCTTTATTCCGATGCTGCTGTTGCTGCTGGTTTCGACGTTGGCCCTGATTGCGTGGGTTCTGGTTATTGGTGCGAGAGCTAGATTGCCAGGATTCGGACGGCTGCCATTGACGATCGTCTTGCCAGTCGTTCCTACGTCTTCCGTCGTTCGGATATCTGTCGCCCTGCCGCGAATGCTCCCAATAGTCGCCGCCCCTCGAGCTTTGACCGTTATTACCGTTCCTCTGCCATCCTCGACTTGGGCGTCGGTCGTCGCGATAGCCTTCTCCTTTGTCCTGCCAATGTCGTTGTTCGGGCACCCAATTGTTGGGGTCGACGTAGGTTGGCGATGGGCCATAGGAGGCAGGTTCTGACCACTCTCTCCCGCCGGAGGCGTAACGGACCTCGTTATGACCACCGTTTGACCATCCGCCATTTCTTCGTGGTGGAGGGTTGTCGAATTCTGGTGGGTACATGTTGTCGGGGTGGCCGTCATACGAATCGTGGTGAGGGAGCATGGGGCCTTGTGAGGGCCAGTCATCATTCTCCGCGCGATCCCAACTTGAAGAGCTCTCAAGCCTCATGTCATACGGTGGTGGTGCCCTCGTCGACGTGCTGTATGTTGAAGGGTGATAAGAAAAGTGGTGAGATGGGCTGAACGTATGCGGGGGAGCATCCACTCGTGAGACTAACAGCAGCGCCTCATCTTCACCCCCGCTCATTCGCTGACCCCGAGGCCGGTGGTAAGGATGCATGCGGACGAAACAATGCCACAGAAGAGCGACGAAGGAGATTGAACAAGAGAGACGTGACGCCTGCCGCGAGATGGTGGTTGTGGGAGGAGTTGACGGAGAGTGTCCAAGAAGCGCTGTGGCCTGGCGCGCTCTTCACTTGAGGCTTGTATTAGACGGACACGGCACCGTCTTGCTCGCTCTGCTCACTCGACCCGAAACACAATCAACAAAACAAAGATCCAGTTGACAACGTTGAGCAAGGCAAAGATAGCAAAAAAAAGTTATAATGGTGACTGTGAGCATGACATGTACGACCACGACAAAAAATGATGGAAAAGAATATACTTACATAACCACTGGCCAAAAGGCGCGCTAGACAGCAATCGTCGAAAGAATGCTCAATATCAGCTCCTCTGGTCGTCGCTGACCGCAACAGCATTCGCAGTAGAGGAGAGTAGTGAAGCGATGTCCGGTATGGGGTCGAAGAAGGGTCAAGAGTTGGCGAAGAACGGCCGACGCGTCCTCGTAGGGTGCCACACACGACTATCCCTGTCAGGGGCCCAGTTATCCTCCATTATCCCTACACTCCTCCTCTAAGCCATGTACAGAACAATGTGACGTGCCAACTTGGAACTATGAGATGACGAGTTGGAGACGGAACTCGAAGGAAACCCTTGCAAGTGTCGCGAATACCCTTGCCTTAGTCATTTCCAAATTAGTACTCGCCACACATTGGTCGCTGAGTTCTCGCAGCGAACAGCGCGAATACATGGAAGGCAATTCCTATCGTACACATCGCTACAAAATACAGGCCAGAGAAGTACAAGAAATGCAATTATAACAATGACGAGAAACTGATTATTGGTAGCGACAACCTTCCTCATCCTCATCTTCTGAATCCCTTGTCGTGTCTCTCAAAGCCAAACTGTAGTGAAGAAACAGACTTCCCAGGTCCATTGATCTTGATGATGATTCTTGATTCCGCTTCAAGATAGCCTCCGCATCTTTCGTCCTGGAGAATACACTATTCCTTTGAACAGGAGAGAACAACTACAAGAGGAAGATGTGAGCGGACTGCTTGAACGGCGCCACAACAGAGAGATGTACACCCACCTTCACAGTCGTATCTATCCCACTCACAGCCACTACCGGCAGATGAGGGTGGCCTTCGATGACGTTCACAACATGCTGATCTCCTTCGTATATCCCATGAAGAGCTCCAGTCGCCTTCCGCCACACGAAGAAGTTTCCGTCGTCCGACCCAGAGACGACGTAAGAGTCATCGGGACCAAGGAAGTTCACTAAAAGTCGAATACCGATCAGTTGGATTTAGAGAATCAGAAGTGAAATCCATGAGCGTACCATCCTTGACGGTTTCCTCGTTGCATGCTCCGGCGAATCGGCGGCGAGGGTAGATGATAGGAACGTTGTCATACCCAGCTCCCATACCCCTCAAGAGACCCCATTTCTCCATATCTTCTACCTCCTCAGTGAACTCATCGTCGTCTGAATGATCTCCAGACTCGTCGGAATCCTCGGCAGCATCGTCAACAAACGATGCATCGTCGTCCTCTTCCTGATCGACGTCATGCATATCGGTGTCTTCGAGAAGATCCCCGTCCGCATCCAGATCAGCAAGTTCTGCGAGTAGCTCTACCTTTCGTCGTTTCGCGTTCGGAGGGACGATACTACCATTAGGTGAATGGACGGCTGATTCCCGGGGTTCTTCTTCGGCATCGTCTTGCGTGGAATATAGATAGACCGCATCGGAGTTATACGCTGCACAATGATTAGTTGCTGTGACCTCAATGATAAACAGAGCCTCTAGACTCACAAAGAAGGACCTGCTATACAGTCAGCAACAGTGATTTGGGACAAGAGTGAGAGTGAACTGAACCTCATGGCTATTGGTAGATGTCATGCGAGCGCCAGTGATGTGCTCGCGGCCTTTCTGCTCTCCGCTACCTCTCGAGCGACGCCCAAATCTCCGCACGCAAGTCGTGACATCCTCCTTGTTGGGGGGTATGCCCCACTCCTCTCTAAGAAACCGTCCAGAATGTCGCCTGTCGAATAAATACCCCTGGAGAGGCGTCAGTCTCTCTAAAAGTAGAGGAGAAGGTGAACCACGAACATATGGCGATTCTCCGGCCACAACGATCTGGTATGGTCGCAACGGAGATAGAGCAAGAGTGGACATCTCTCGATGTAATTTCACGAGGGGCGGAGGGCATCCAGAAGAACATCGATGAGGGACACGCAAGTCGTGTTGTCGAACGGTACCGTCCTGACCGATTACCATGAGTCAAGCAGGAATGAATAGCGGGACAAGAACAGTGAACACATACCTCGCCGACTGTCATGAACAGATCAGAACTTTCTTCTGTCACTACGCGTTTCGTCCGGCCTTTGTGACATCGAAAGACGCGAAGGCAACAGTCGTGATAATGTGTCTCTGAACTGCCCATGGGATCTGCTTGGCTAACAGCGCCCGCTGTGTCGAAGACCCGCACTTGGCGATCTCCTGCTACGGTTACACTGTGTCGAGCAACTCGCCTTAATTCCTGACATCAAGGAGACGAACGGTGACGTATATCACGCACATTCGAGTAGATCCAGGCAGCATTTGGGCGTTGAAGATGTTAGCTGTATGTCCAGTGTTGATCACGCTTTGACAGACATATGGGTATGCAGTGGTAGTATTACTCTCGTCCAGCCTCCATAAACGAACACTGGGGACAAACCAGTCAACGTGCTGTAGATAAAGCCATAATAGCAGAGCATACGTGGTATCGTCGCCTCCTGAAAGGAGTAACTTTCCATCTTCAGCCCAAGAGAGCGCGTTAACACATCTGTCGTAGATGGTGAATAAACCAGCGCCGTACAGACAATGCATTTGAGGCTGACCCTGTATGACCCTTGAGTACATTCACCCTATCAAGCGGAGATTCATAAGTGCTGGAAAGTAGTTCTCTTCTCCAGCGCTGTGAGAGAGCAACGGTCGGAGGAAGAGATGACAAGGTCCTGGTCGACTTGTAGCGACGACGTTCCGAGAAGAGGGGGGTTTCACCCTCGTGAGTATCACCCAAGTCTACCATACTAGAATCATGTGTCTCTGTGGTATATCGGATGACAGCTGTATCAAGGACAGACAACAGTGATACCGAGTAGAATGATGTTTTTGCACGTTTTGAGGAGCAGGACAAGGATTGCAGATTGGTGTTCAGTTGTCTCACGGCACTTCCATACGAGCAACTTCAAATTACGTCACGAGTAACCGGAGCCTATGCGAACATTCATCCGAATTCTACGCATTTCGGAGGCTTGTTCGCTCTTCGCAATTGCTCATGGTCTGTATGTATGCTGCAATTTTATTCGGGATTATCTACTTTCTTTCTCGAGTGTAATTTCAAAGAAGCCAGGCTAAGGCTATCGAATATTATAAAGTCATGAACTCCTATCGTACATAAACATCATCAATCCAGTCCATCGGAACACATGAGCAAGCCGAATCCCAACAATGTCGCAGGCAGCAGGGAGGGCGAGGTGGAAGTGCAGATACGGGGGCCGAGAGGGTGTTATTGGCCAATCTACGCAGACGTGGCGAAGCCAACGGCGTCCCTGCCAAGGTCGTATACGGTGAAGTAGCGGCGGAGGAAGACATCACCTGAGAGAATGGTTAGGATCGCCATAAGGGTTGACTGCATACACAGACATACCAATAATCCAGAGCGAACCGCCGGGAAGGTTGATATCGAGGCCAGTGAAGGCAGAGATACACGTGCCCTGGACCTCGAGGACGTAGTCCGTGCCCTTCAACGGGTAGGGCTTCTCGTTGAAGTAGAAGGTAAGGTCGGGGAGATCAGGAACCTTGGCGCAGTCGACGGTGTACTGGCCGTTCCACGACTTCTTGGCACCGATTTGCGTGTTCAGCATCTCCGCAACGTCGGTGGGAAGGGCAATCAGGGAGGTACCTATAGTAAGCCGTGAGCCATTGTACCAAGAGCTTTGTTGTGTAGCAATACTCACCAGTGTCGATGGCAGCACCGGTGTTCTCAAGCTCCAGGTCATCGTCACCAAACGAAACCTTCTCAAGCTCAACCTCCCAGTAAGCCTTGCGACGAACAGGGGCGTAGTCGATCTTGCCGGAATAGGCGCTGGGGTCAATACCACCGAAGATAGCCTCACCGCCGTCGTCCTCAGACGAGCCCAAACGGAAGGAGAACACCGGCTCGGAGATGATACCCTGGTTGACCAACTCGTAGAACACAGGGGTGATGTGGTTCACGGCGATAGTGTCGTAAGCAAGACCGAGGATACCATCGAACCTGCAGTTCAGGTATGTTAGTCTCTGTGACATTGTTCGGAGACGTATTACTTACTTGCCGAAGGCAAAAGCAAGACCAGGCTCCTTGGTGGCCTCAGCGAAGTCGACGCTGGACAAGGACATGTCACCGAAAACGATGTCGTCATTCGAAACAAAGCCTTCCATCGAGCCTGAGCCGTACTGGATGGAAAACTCGGTGCCATTTGCCTTGTATGAGGACGAGGCGGACGAGTCATACTTTGTGTGGAGGAAGCAGGCGATGGAAGTGCACTGGCTGCTTGGCACCCATAGATTGCTTGAACCGGTGTCCAAGATGACCTTGAACTGATGGGGTTGTCAACGTCGTCAATTCCGATGAATGTTATGCAACAGTAGATATAGAACGCACAGTCTGAGGAGGAGTACCGATGTCAATCTCGGTGTAGTACTGGGCGTTCATGAAGTCTGCGCAGACATGTGATCAGCACGAATGACGCGGCCACCAGCGCCGTAGAGTACTCACTGGTGAGAGGCACGCCATGACCGCCGTTAGCAATGATCGACTCCTCTTGGGTCCAGAAGAGATCATCGTCGCTCTGTCCTGGGCGCGAGAAGCGCATACGACCAGCGGCGTCGGCAGAGCCAGCGAGAGGCATCTGAGCTGGGGCTTGTGCGCCATACTTCTCGGCGAGATAAGCACTCTCGAGATGTTGGTTGCTCGCTACCTGGGGCAGCTTCTTGAGTTTGAGCTTGTGGATGCCGCTAGCTGAGACGACATATGGCAGAAGAAGTAGGAGGCCGAGTGATGAGGAGAGCATGATGGGAAGACGGACGAAGACCGAGCTGGGCAACAGCAACGAGTCCCGCAACCGTTGACGTACTTATCCTCCTGCGGGGTCGGCCGGATTCCGGAGCCGAAAGCGGCAATAACCTTCTCTCACGGCCCGAACTGGTTCGACCACTCAGGCGCGTCTGTGGCGTGCAAGCGGCGTGTCTCCATCATGTCAAGAACAACAACGCGGTCAACACATAGTGAGCTATCCGTCGACGACGAGCTCGATAGCCTCGAGAAATTGCTCGTTGCACAGACTGTATACGAGTTTGGTCGCGGTGCATGGCCAACTATTGCTCAGCTTCTTACTGAACACCCCAGCCTCGTTCGACCCAAGGGATCGTTTACTCCTCGCGTCAGCCTCTTTGTATCCTTCTTATCGTCTGTGCCCAAATATGCTTATCTCTGGGCTCCTCTAGTCATGCCAGGCAATCCATTCTCGTCTTATGGAGGAAGCTGGCCTCGAATGGTGAGCTTGCGCCACTCTCCCGAAGTGTCTGCCTCTGCTCAAGTAGGTTCTTCACAGCTCCGAGGCAGATAATATTGCGCGTCGTGGTCAGACTACTTCTCGTAGTATCTTGAGAGGAAATGGTAGTCATTTTTTTCCCACAGGACCGTCGAATTTGAAACTTGCACAGCGTCTCTACGCAGTGCGCTTACGAGAGCTCAAAGACAGGATCGCCGCAGAAGAGGCAAAATTTCGGTCAGTGCGCTTTGCTCACCGTTGAGATTCATGGCGAACTCATTTTCCTCTGATTTCACAGAAACGTCGAAGCGGAAATTTTGGCTATTAGGTCCGGTGCATGGGACGACAAGATCAAGGCTAAACTTGGTCTCGTTACAGAGTCTCCTGCCGCAGAGGCAGCGCCGGCTGAGCCCGAGCCAGTGTGTTCAGAGTTCTTCGAACAATACTATGCCTCGTGCTGACTCTTTTTCTATAGGCGAAGGAAGACGTCATTGATCTTGTACAACCATCTGAGTCTCACGAGGAAGATATTCGAGAGCTAAGCGTCGAAGAGCTCCCACCACCATCAAGGTCCCCAGTTCCGCAGGTGAGAACTATCACGGCCCTCCTATATTCATCTTTCTTCGTAGACTTCAAATCTCTTACATCTGTCTTTACAGAACGAAGATGAGGAGCGTGCAGAGCATGTTCAACCTGTCGTTGAGAGCGAAAAGTCCATCGAGCAGGACACGCATATTTCAGAAGCTCCCTCCCCCGAAGACGATGCAGCAGTCGAATCCGTAATTGACGCACCTCATTACTCTCCGAGTCCACCTCCACAAACACCTGCTCCGACGTCGCCAAGTCCTGACGTCGAGCCACAAAAGGCAGAGACGCCAGCCGTCACTGCCCTCGAAGGCGAAGACGAAGATGAAGACATGCAAATCGCCAGCGATGAGGAGAAGGATGATGAAGGAGCCCAACCTGGTCAGTTTTTTTCTTCATGTGGACTCACCCGAGCATCACTAAGAAGCTTCATAGAAACGATGGTCCATGAGGCATCTCGTGAGGACGTTTCAATGGATGACGAGGTGCAAGAGGTGCATTCCCCTGAATCTCCTAAGGAGGCCAGTGAAAGAGCCTCGCCCATACCATCACCAGAGGACGAGGCAGCATCTCCAGAGGCTGAGACTCCCCGAGCAGAACAGGTAGCGTCGCCTGACAAAACGCTGTCGCAAACACCCACACCACGAAACACCGCCCCCTCTCCGGACGCTGAAGAGAAGGTCATGACGCCAGCCGCGGAAACCGATGAGGCTGAGTCGCCACGCAAAAGCCCCAGTCCTGTTGTGGAGACAGCACAGCCATCCAACGAGCCCTCTGTCGAACCTGAAGAGTCTCGCTCGAACGGTGGGTATCACTAATTATGTACAACTTTCTCCTGGATTCTCATGCTTTATCGCAGCCAAACGCAAGGCATCAGAAGTTGAAGTTGCGCCATCCGAGTCTGCCCGGGACAAGAAACGAGCTCGTGACGGATCTCAGCCAGACGGGGAAGAGGAAGCAGGTGATACATACCTCCTTTGCTCTCTACACAACTTTTCTGATCGTCATTCAGGTCCAAGCACAAGTCCATCCAAGCGACGCCCACAGCGCCTTGGGACCGAAGCCACACAGTCTTCAAAAAGGTTCCAAAGTGTCATCGGAATGATTCATTCGCAGATATCGCAACATCGCAATGGCAACATCTTCCACAACCCTATCAAGCCTTCTGAGGCACCTGATTACCAGGACATCGTACTTCGTCCTATGGATTTGAAGACAATTAAGACAAGGATCAAGGAAGGCGCGATTACGAACTCGCTAGAGTTTCAACGCGATGTCTACCTTATGTTTGCCAACTCGATGATGTATAACCGTCCTGATTCGGACATCTACACGATGGCGGAAGAGGTATGTCTTGTTCTTGTTTTCTCAGATGCAACGGACAACTGAGAGTCCGGACTGGATAGATGATGCTGGAGAGCGAAATTCAGATCAATGAGTTCAGACAGACGGAAGGGATAATCAGAAGCGGGCACCACCGACTGTAATCGACGCCGAAGAAAGACATGCGCCGCTCCGGTGAGCTAGGTGTGGCGTTCATGCTTTGTATGCCTATTCCTACTTGAGCTCTTGACTATATATGCGACTATGCCGTATTTCATTGTGCGTTAGCGGAAGCCGACCAGTTGCGACGCGCCGGACGTAACGCGAGAATGAACGCCTTAGCTGATAGCTATAGTAAGCAGGCCTCAGGTCTGTATTAGTGTGGTGAGGTACAGTCACGACGAGGCACACAGAGCTGAGCGGTCTACATACGTCCGCGAGAGAACGCCACTTGCTCTCACCATTGCAGACAACAAGGAACAACCACAGGATGAGGCGGCCGCTTCTTTCATTGACAACACTTGCGACCATCAAAGTGAGGTCCCCCCTAACTCTGCTCGGCATCATGCGTCTCACGAGCTCACGCCAGCCGGACTAACGTGTTTGATGTGATGATGCATCAAACACACCGCCGTACTGAGCTGTACTCCTTGCTGCTCGCTGACACGCCGACTCGAGTTTGGGATTTAGACGATCGGTGAGCATGGAGAAACAGCTCTTGATGCCCTAATACCCGTTCGTTAGGCTACCATCCCGCCGCCTAATGATTCGATAGCGACGCCCTCTCTTTCCAGTCTCCCTCTCTCCATATCCTCCTCCCCCTTTCCTTCCCGGATCAACGAGCTGGCTTCGTGCTGGGTTTCCGTGTACCATTATCTCTTTTACTAGAGGCTAGCCCTCGTCACAGCACAGGCTGTCCGTTTTTACTTCATTGCATGGCTATTTCCAGAGCTCAGAGCGTGGATCCTCCAGTCGTCATCGAGTTTCTTGATCATCCTAACTTGTGAGTTCCTTTCCTCTCGTCAGGCTCGGACTATGTCATTCTGATGTATCTATCCCTCCAGTCGACAAATCTCTATATTCTTTCTGGGCTGGGTTTTCTGGAGCAGCATGCACCACGTCCTACATTCGCAGTTGCTGCACAGCTTTCTGAAAGGAGCCGTGACGCTGTTTCGCCCCAAACAGCCCGTCACTGATAGACGAAGTACATCAGCAGACGCTGGACACTCCTTTACCCGATATGGAGAGAAAGACGATGGTGTTTTGACGCTCAGGAAACAAGAACATGAAGGACTCAAGTTCCTGTTGTCTTTCTGTTTCACCGTTTCTTGTCTCTCGCAGTTCTTCTCTTTACTTTCTCAAGATGAGGACCAAAGCACATGCGGTACGAATGGCGTTTCAATTCCAGTGTATTTTAGCCCTGTTTTGATGATTGCTTTCTAGCTCTTGTGGTTGCGTTTGGCGATATTTTTTCCGAGGGTGGACGTGTCGTGGGCCTCCTGGTTCTCAACCTAGAATTGAGACGGAAGGTTGACAGGCAATGGGAGTCCTATGCATTCTGGACGGGGTTATTTGTTGCTTCAGGTCAGTGTTTGTTCTTAACCGACCAAATTCACAGTCTGGCCTTGAAAATATCATTAATATACGTATCTTTGCAGTCTTGACTCTGGCGAACGTTTTGACCAGCACAGGTGTTACGAGGTGAGCATCATGGTCTACACACCGCAAGGGAAGGAATCACTAATCGAGCATCGATGATAGTGGAGTCTCCCAGTTTGGTATATTCTTGTGTACTACGAGACAGTGAGTCTTAGTCCATACAGCTTTACAGGAGTGCCGTTTCTCATGGTAGTGCAGCACCTTGGCCACGTCGATTCTCACGACTCTCGTTGACGTTGCCCTCGAACTTTACGCTTCGATACGAATATTCGCTTTGCTCAAGCCCCCTAGATTTCGTTGGAAGACCGCATCTGACGTATGGATACTGAGGGCCCTCAGTCTTCTATCTCTTGATTTATTGGTCGTGGTCCCGAACGCTGTGGCGACGAACGTTCTCGCAGCATTCGTTCCATTTAGTCTTGGTTCATTATGTGTTCTTGGTTCGTGACCTTCTTTCATAGACAGCCAGTCACTGGTACTTACATCCGTGTTGTCCGTTTTCAGCCGCTTTCAACCAGCCAGAAATGTCACCTCTCTCCGCAAGCCGACCCTCCCTTTCCTTCCGGCCTGTCATACCTCCCGGACGGCCTTCTCCCGCACCTTCCGTCCGTTCATTGAACGCTTTCGCTCCAGTCCTCAATATCGGCCCGCCTCCAATCAGTGGCTCTCGCATCAACGCTCCTCTTCCTAGCCTTCCCGTCTCTCGAGGACCTTCCCGGCGTCATCGATATCGCGACAGCCAACAATCCCCCGCACCGAACAGTGTCAGCGAGGCTCGCATCGAGTCTGTCGTTCGCCAAGACGTGTCCCGTTCCGCCGTCGCCGTTCCAGTCCAATTCCCATCCAGGAGCAGTAGTAACAGCACCACCCGCAGCATCGTCAACCTCAACTTCGATCGTGGTCCATCCGAACCACAGGCCCGGCCCATGCCAGGGAAACATCAAGTCTCCAAGAAGATCCTACCCACCCAAGCTCAAGTTGGGAACGCAATCGAACGACTCCCGACGCACCCTATGGGTCCAAGAGCATTGACGGCCCGTCCCCGTCCCAAGATCACCGTCCATATCGCAACACCTCTGCCGTCACCGTATTCGCCTCCTGAACTAGAAGAAACGTCACGTTCGAGTATGTATCCTCGTTCAAGCTCGGGCAGGAGTCCTGGATCCATTCAGACCATATTCGGGTCCGATATCATTCGTGCGTCATTACAAGGTCCCGGGAGGAGGGACCGTGACCGGTATCACCATGGACAAGGGGGCGGAGGAGGCGGAGGAAGAGACGATGGATCAAGCCCACCAAAGTCTTCCTCTACCACCACTGTCACGCACGCACATCATTTACATAGCGGAAGACCGCCATCAAGCGGACAATCTACTCGGACGTCGTTCGCTTCGCCACGTCGCTCGACGAGACGTTATTCGTGGGCGACAATGGGCAGGCGAGAGAGCTTGAATATGCCAAGTGTAGCCTTGCCCCCGGTCCCCGGTATGCCGATTGTTTTGGAAGGGGAAGGCGCGACGGTGCAGAATCCTGCGGTCGTGACGCCCACGTTTGGACAGTTTTTCGCTCAGGTTCGAAGGCCGGAGGATGTGGGTGTAGATGACGGGAAGGTCACCGGTAGAGAGTCAATGAGGAGCCGATCGAATACTGAGCCATCTGTTTATTCGGCTTCGCCGAGTAAGGCACCGTCATATCTCGAATCGTCACGTCCATAATGATCGCCATTGTTTATTTATCCCATCGCTCGCCGTCTGTAGTATTTATTCATCGTAGTGTATCGCTCGCTAGTCGACCAATAATCTTGATCTGTGAGGTTGTGTGGTTGTGTTTGCTCATGGATCATCCAAAGCTTCTGCAATCAACGTCTTTGCGATTTCCACGTTTACTTGTAAGGAGCATCCCATATGAATGCAATAACACATCAGAGAAACCTTGTATATTGCCACTCGACCTGCTACATAGCTCGCCGACCGGTATATAAAACCCCTGAACCACAAAGAACCACGGAAGGAACGACCTACATAATACAATACGTATTACAATGAACCACACTTCACCCCTTTGGCGCTATCGATACGTGTAAGATCGGACCAACTCCAGCTCAGCAGAAACAAAACAACATAAAAAGAGACCCGCAAACACCACAGGGATGAAAACAGTGACAAAAGATAAGTAAAACTCGAAAAAACCAAACCACGATAAAGGATAAAGAACAGAGAAAGACAGGTGGAGATCAAAACGGTGTGGACCGAAAGAATTCGTTGAAAATAGGCAAGAGTCGTGAGCGAAGACAGGCCTAATACGGCGAATTGACGATGCCCGAACGACTCCCGTGGATGGCTGGAGCAAGCGAAGTACGGGTAGGTTTCTTGAGTGCCTTCTTGTTGACCGAGAGGACGTCGTTCTGCAGCGCGACGATCTATAAAGAAAATTAGATGTCAATCAAGGTTGTGGAAGAGCAGAAGGAGACGTACGATCTCCTTGTCGTCGCCGAAGCGGAAGTTGTCCTGGACTACGAGGTCTTCGTACCTGTCAACGAAGGTGAGCGTCAGAATAGTCATTGTAGAAACGGAGGTGGAAGAGAGCTTAAAAGAGGACTGACTTCTTGATCTCGTATTTGTCCATCTGGCCCTTCTTGACCTTCGCAAAGTCCCAAGCAATAATATACTGTCCCGTCGACGTCACAATCGCGTTCTCTTCTGCGTTCTCTCCAATATTGAACCTAGCACATAGGAAGAAGAAAACAAGTCAGCGGTCAACATTACATCGTCCACCAAGGAGCAATAGTGAAACAACCACATACCTCGCAGGCGTCAACGAAATGGTATGATTCATATACGCAACATGCTCCGACCTCAACTGCAACCTCCTCGGCTGCGGCTTCGCATCCGCCGGGAAACTCCTATCGAAGCCCAAACTGCCCTCATACCTCCCGCTCCCAATCAACGTATCAATCAACAACAAATACGTCCTCGTCGTCGCCACGATCCACCTCCCGTCCCTCGTCACATCGATCCCGACGATCGGATCGCCCAGCGGCGGCAGCGCCGTCTTCGCATTCTTCCCAATCGCGTCGAACAGCCGGATATCGCCCTTCTCGCTCGCGACGGCGAGCTTGCCCGAGCCCGTCGTCGTCACGCCGGAGAACTTGTTCTTCGAGACGTATTGCTTGAACTGGCTCTGCACGAGTTTGTTCCCCGAGACGCGGGGGTCGATCCGGAAGAGGGAGTTGTGCGAGGTTCCGACGAGGGTGTGTTCGGCCGTCGTTTGTGCGAGTTTGTTGTCTGGCGCGATCGCGTTCACGGAGAGGTTCTCGTCTACTTTCCATTGTTCGACGATCTTGCCGCGTTCGAGGTCGAGGGAGTAGAGCGAGTTGGGGTCGTTAGGGTTCATGACTACCATCTTGCTGTCTTGCTCGTGCAGCATGATCTGTCGAATGAACAAGAACAATGAGTATTTATGTGACATGCTTTGTGAGAGGAAAGAGGAGAGGACGTACATGTGAAGGATTGAACGACTTGCCCTTCGTATCAGTGATACTGCTAATGGTACCATAATAGCCGACGGTATGGTCGTTCTTGCGATTGAACACGCCTATAGAGTTGCCTCGAAGAACATAGGACCTGTCTCCCCTGTACCCAACCGTCAGTTGGGAGTTACGACCTGGTGCCATCCTCGGCGCATCACTATCTTCTGGCCCCTCTTGGTCTTCATCCTCCTCTTCTTCTTTTGGGCGTGTAAGTCCCTCTGTATAAGATGCGAACAATACGGAGTGAACGCGTACCTTCAAGTTCCCCAGCGACTGCGTCCTCGTCCTCTTCTTCGTCCTCGTCCTCCACATCCTTCATCTCCACATCCTCAACAATCGACTCCTGGAAATATATCTGCTCGTCCGGCTATAAACACAACCACAATCGGAATTTAGCCACCTCCTCATAACGTCTCCATACAGGTAGAAAACACGGTAAACCCTCACCTTCGCCTTCTCCCAAGGCGTCTGATGCATCGTCTCCCACATCCTTACCACAAACTGCGCCCTAAACGACTGATACGCCTCCTCCGACAAAAACCTAAAACACCAACACGTCATCCTCCCCTGCCCCTGCCCCTCTCCCTCCCCCTCCCCCTCTCCCTGCCCCTCCACGACACTCATATTACTCCACGTCAACGCCGTGATCTGATTCGCCCACCGCACCATCATATCCTCCGTCATCTTATGCCCAAGAATCTGATTCCCCTCCTCGTCCGTCGCGCAGAGATAATACTCCAACACGCCACCTCCACCCGTACCCCGCGGCTGGACGATCTTCGCGGACACTTCGGCCGCATGGAGCACGAATTCGCCGTTTGTGACGTCCCAGAACCAGAGCGAGGCGGCTTCGTCGGCGAGTTCGGCGCCGTCGAGGGTGGGTTCAGAGGGGGGTTGGGATTGGGATTGAGGCTGGGATGGGGATTGAGAGGCGGTGGGGGAGGCGGGAGGAGGTGAGGATGGTGAGGGGGGTGAGGGGTCGGGGTCGGGTTTGACGGTCAGGTTTTCCATGGCGCCTGTGAGGGAGTCTTCGTCCTTTGAGGTTGTTTTCTTCCTTGAAGTTCCCTTGGCCTTCGCCTTTGTCTTTCCCTTAGCTTTCGGTGACTCGGGACTACATTATCGCCATAATTTAAACATTAGAATCATTCTCACCCTAGAGCAGGAAGAAGGATAAAAAAGGAACGCACCTCCAAATAAACTCCGCCAAATCGGCATCACTCGTCCCCTCCGCGCTCTTCTTATACTTCCTCTCATACATCGCGCGATACATGCACGTCTCGAACAACGCCCGCGTCGGCTCGTTCGTCCCCGTCGCATCGAACTCGTACAGCTCGTCGTCACCGCCTTGCATGTCGCGCCAGATGAAGGTCGGTTCGCCGTCGTTTTCGGATGTGCGGAATTGGAGCTCGTGGCTGATTAGGAAGGAACGTTCTTCGTCGGCTGGAGGAGGGATGTGGGGATAGAGTATGGAAAATGGAGCATAGATCATGGAGAGTAGAAGGATGTGTGTAGTGAGGAATCAGTAAGTCGTGAGTGAGATGTAAAGAGGAATAGGCGTACTTTCTTCCTCGCCTTCAAAGAGCTCTTCGTCGCCTTCTTCGTATACTCTCGTAATAACAAGCTGAAAATGATGTTCGACAGAAGGTACCCGTCGAACCGTCGCCATTGCATCATTATATCTGCAATAGCAAAACAATAGATCGTCCAGTCAGTTCTTGAGCAGATCTATCCATGGAAGAATGCAGTGCAAGGAATGTAATGGCAGCGTACATGCACTCTCGGTCGGAACGTATCGTCCCAGCACGAATGAGGTAGAGTTGTCCACTAGATATCTTCACGACTTCTGAGGCCTCGGTGTCCTCTGAGCAAATAACACGATCGCGGGGGCAAGAGTTAGCATGGATTAAATGACCGAAAGAAGAGATGTCAATATGACGATACTTACGCCACACCTTGCCTATCACTGATTTTCGAGTCTCGGTCAGCCTGTGGACAGTAGCTCTCTTAGCACTAAGTTTGACTCACAGTTCCTGAAGATGTTCATCGTGCAGTTTGGTAGTAGGAAGGATAAGAGGTGAAGAGAAAGAAAGAAAGCGGTGAATGGACAAAAAGGGGAAAGCAGTGGCGAAAGGGTCATGTGACACCTGTAAAACGCGTGACGTCACACCCCAAGGAACAGCAAGGAACACGTCCATTTGTTTGAGTCCGTTCCTGTTCTACTTTCTTGTTGTTCCTGCTCCTTCTCGTCCACACATCATGACACCACCCGGAGCGTTCACTGCTTCCACATCGAGTGGTAGGCCTTTGACTTTTATCATACGCTCTACTATGGATTAATCTAGGGAAACGAACGGCACAGATAGTGGACGATCGACTGCCACGCTCGGTTCAAGCCAGAACTCGCCACAAATGCGAAACCGTTCCCTGAGTCCTTTGGCTTCGCAGAGAGGAGCGGAGGTATGTATATATTTTTCATTGGACACCCCAATCTGTACAGTTGAACTAATGGCCAAACCAGCCTTTCAACAACCCCTCTGCTAGTAACTCCACTGGGATGTTCTCCCAGGCAGCCCACCGCAGCCTCGTACCCTTCCAGCCCAACACACCCGCCTCTGCCACATTTAGCGCCTGCAATTGGCCCAAATGGAAAGAGGTGGTGAGGGGTCGCCGCACGAGGGAACCTGTTGGCCTGTGGTGTGATGTATTTGGGTGTGTATTACCTTGCTTACAAGGTCCTTCGCACCGCCGTAATTATGACGTCGGGCTCCCGTTTCAACAAGTACAAACAGCTTACGTACATCTTTTGTCTCGTGCCCCTGTCCGTTTGGCCTCTCCTTGCTCAGAAACTAACCATCGAACGCGTGTTTTTCTTCTGTCCGACTCTCTTTAAACACCTTTCCTGATGGTCAGCATACGACACTGTTGCTGGTTGATCTACCTCGTGCTGCTCTTGACGCCGCTATGTTCACTTTGCGTTTTGCAGGGCACCAAATACTTCACTCGTACCACATCATCGCTCGCACTCCCTTGCCTCACGTCGCGGCCACAACACTGGTCATCACATTGCCCACCACTGCTTTCTGTTCCTGTCCAATTTTTGCAACCGATCATCTTTGTCTAGAACTGGTGCTGCGTGTGCTTGCAGAAATAGGTCGTCGTCGAAGTCTCTCAGAAAACGAACTGTGGCCCTTCCTGTGCTCCTCGATAGTGCGAGTCGGAGCGACATAGAGATTGAACAACGATAGCCCGCATCTCGGAGGAGTTCAGATGTCCACTGTGACATAGAGAATGGTTTGCCTCTGTGCTCAGTGGTCTGTGAAGGTACTGTACTTTTTCGCGCACATGTTCACGCCACCGCCCCTCGGCCGTTGCCGAGATGACATAATCCGTTCGCGTCCCGGTTCGCAAGCAGACCGGGACAAGGGACAATGTTCGTGAACATCGACGCTTTTTCAGGAATACGACCTTTCATAACTGCTCAACAGCCATTCATCCTCTGCATTTGGGTGGAAGAGCTCACCCAGTAGTAAAATCTAGCCCAAAGTGTGCCGTGGGGGCCTTCCTGAGGTCAATTTAGGAGCCTAAGAATATATTCGCATTTTCGTTAAATTTTCGTCAAATTTTGGTTTGTCCCATTTACAAGTTCAGTGCACGTCAATGGGGTGGGACTGTCCCGCGGCACAAGTTCGTTCGCGGCTCCCATGGGACACGGGACACGAACTTGTGCGCGAAAAACTACAGTATACACAGCGGTCATCGGAAACTGTCGCCGCACCACCCTCCTCATGCGCCGCCCTCCTCGTCTGTATCTTACGATTGACCCGTGTACGTATCTCGAACGTTCGTGACAGAGGCTCGATCGGCAGCATGTGCCGTTCTTGGTATGTACCGCTCGTGGTCTTCTTCATACCGCCATGACATTGATACTGGACATATAAAAGGAGTCTGTTTGTACGGGAAGGTAGGGATGATGGGTGTTCTCGTCTCTCCCGCTCCTGGAGTCGCCGAGGAAGAGGCTCCTGAGGAAAGACAACGATCCATTCCCTCCTCTCAAGGCCGCACACGTAGCTTAGGTCGGTTTGGGATGTGCGTCGATGAGTTGTTTTTGGTTGTTACTCAGGATATGGTTTGCCTCCGTTCGATGTCAATCAGACCGGTTGTTCTTTATCAGGAATTTCGAGTTGTCCAGCCGCGGAGAGTTTTCATGGATCCTTCTATTAATGCTGTGTATATGTATTGTATTATGACGGTCTGCATGTTCTTTTCCTGGTGTGTTTCTGGCATTTGAGGAGATGGAACACATTCGTTTGCTTGGGCCCCTTCATAAAACAAGACAGCGCGTTACCACACATGCACCAAGAGGCCCGAGCGCCGCTCAACCGAAACTTGTATTGTGAACTGCCTGGTAAAAAAAATAGAAATCGTGCCACCCTCCCCTCCAAGCGAGGTTGCTGCAGACGAAGTCTGCGCTCCCCCAGTAAGTATCATGACTTGGGCGCCCACAAATCGTACAGCTCCTTATCCGCAGGGTCAAAGCACGTCACCAGCGTAGGATCTCCTCGGATTGTAATTTTATATACCCAACTACAGCAGCCGTGTCAGTCAATGTGCGCACGCACCGAGTGACAAAGGGGGATGACGAAGTGTGTATCTATTCTGGCTGTTTTGATCTTATTCTTGTAGTTCACGCTGCAGGAGATCATAATGGACCAATGGGTCAGGATGCACACGCTACCGTAAAAGAGGCAGAATTCTCTCGCTCCTCGGTGATTTGTGAATGGTCCGACACTTGCGCCACTTCGTGTTTGCTCTTTGCCTCTAGTGAGTTCCCATCGGCGGCGAACCGGTCTGCTGTAAGCTTGGGCTTTAGAAGCCTTGCAGCGAGGAAGATGAAGAGGACGATGTTCTTGCCAACTTGTTGTACTGTGCTCAGACTGAGCCAGCACTGCTGTTTCGCTTTGCATCCGAGAAGAGGATGTGGCCGAATTCCGCAAGAGTTTCCCCACTGATCGACGCGGGTTAGTGCCGGCGGATAAGATGCTCCCACGGCCATCTCGGAGGGGTTCAATGTGAGACGCGCGCAAGGCACGCCGATTGCCCAGTTTATTGCTGCCAACCTCGATGAGCGCCATAACATCCCATCGCACGATGCAGCCCGTCGTGCTCTCCTCATCTTACTATAGTACCCCCATCTACTCTACCTCCATCCCATTTCTCCTACTCCCGTAGGTCTCCGTCACCGCCATGGTCCTGTCCGCGCTACCATGCGCAACTAGTAGCACTCACAGGCTCCTCACCCTGGCCTCCGTGCTTGCTTTCCTGGCTGCTGTTGCCCCCACCGTATCGGCAGCAAGCCACGGCGACATCCCATGTCCCGCTGACCCATTCGCGGATCCTAGAAATGACCCTTGTAATGGCTTGCGCTATATCGCCTCGAACGCACTTACCGCCGTTGCTTTCAGTGAGTATCTCCTCGTGCCTCGACGAAATGTGCGCTGACGGTGTTTTCCATCTTTTCAGCTTTGATCGTCCTCTCAGGTCTCATACAAGTGTACAGCATGTTCAGATGGGGCGCAAAATGGATGCTGTGCATGGTCATCGGCGAATTCGGTGCGCACACCCTTCTCGTTCTCCGTGATGCGCCTTACTGAATATTCGGGATGGTGCTTGTACTTCTGCAGCATTTGCTCTTGGTATCGGTTGTCGATTCGGTCTCACGCTCCAACCCGACTCGAAAGCAATATATATCGTCGAATATCTCTTTGTCGTCCTCTCGGTAAGCGCCCACCCTTCATCATTCCTCCCTTCCGCCACCATCCCTCCCTTTCTCCGCCTCCTTTGAATCCCTCAATCTCTCCCCGCCGCGGCAACTCCTTTTGTATCATGAATACCCACATCCGTACTGACATCCATTCCTCCCGCCCCGCCCATCTCATCTCATCTCGTCGACGCCACAGCCCTGCGCCTTCATCGCAGCAGACTACATCCTCCTCGGCCGTCTAGCCCGCCACCTCCACTGCGAACACCACCTCTTCGTCCCCGCCAACCGCGTCATGGCCATCTTCCTCACCTCCGACGTAATAACCTTCCTCATCCAAGCCGCGGGAGGCGGCATCTCCATCGGCGCCAACGACACGAAAGGCGCAAAACTAGGCTCGAACGTCTTTCTCGCAGGACTCGCGATCCAGCTCCTTTCGTTCTTACTGTTCACGTGCCTCTTTATCGTTTTTGTGTGGAGGGTGAGGAAATACGAGAGGGAGGTGTGGGGGATGGATGGGGGGAGGAAGTGGTGGAGGGATTGGAGGGCGCTGGCTGTGGCTGTTGCGTTTAGTTGTGTCGGGATCCTCATCCGTTCAGTTTACCGTACAGTCGAACTCTCCCAAGGTTTCGAAGGCGCGATCGCCACCAATGAAGGTTTCTTCTACGGACTCGATACCCTCCCGCTCTGGATCGCAGTCGTCGTATATTGTCCGTTCTGGCCGGGGAGGTTCATCCCCACGTTCTCGTCCGTGTCCGTGTCCGCGCCTGCGCCTATGCTGGTGAACGACGAGGAACGCGAGGGGAGGGAGAGTAGTGGGACTGTACGGGTTGAGAACGAGAATGAGGAGAAGGGGAAGGGAGAGGAGGGGTCGAGAGAAGGCGGGGTGGTTTGATTTTGATTTTGATGTCTGAGCGTGAGTTTTGGGGGGTTCGTGTGCTCGTGTGCTCGTGAATTACAGTATTCGGGCTGGGTAACGGTTGTCTAGATGGTTTTGCGTGATACTTTACGAATTGCATGGATATTTGGGATATACTTATACGACTATCTTTTTGACTCTGCCCTCACTGTCGCATATGACATGCTTTGTTGTAGGACCTAGCCTCTGTCATTACCACGCATTACATGGCATTTCTTGGCACATTACCTCCAGTCCTTATCCGGTCAACTGCAAAGAAGAGTCGCTACAGTCCGTTGTCCACGGTGGTGATTCGACGTCATATAGCTACAAGGATATAAAATCTCTCGGACCAACAAACCAAACCGATCCAAAGAGACTAAGAACGCGAGCAGGGGCGATAACTTATAATTAACAGAGGCGATATCATGATGGTGATATGGATGTGGAAAAGAGGGTTTAGAGGTATAGATACATAAGGGAGGATGATAATTATACAAGAGTGTGTCAGTGTGCGATCAAAACCAGTTGCGGCGGATGCGTTCTATATAGACAATTACGATGGAGGACATGACGGGTGTAAGAGAGAGATGTTATGAACAAATAGAGAGACAAAAAAGGTATTGATCATGAGGTGAGTGGTGGACATGACAAACAAACCGAACAAACAAAGAAAAGTGAAAATCGTAACCCGAAACCGAAACCGAAACCAAGAACGAACTCAATGCTCATACCCGGGTCCTCGACCGCAACAGAAATCACAACCGATTCCCAATCCCAGGCCGTCCCCGAATCGTCGCCCCAGCAGACCCGCCGCTGACACTCTGCCCCTGCCCTTGCCCCTGTCCATGTCCTTGCGCATTTCCTTGACCATGCCCCTGTCCCTGTGCCCTCTCCCTCTCCCTCGACGCCAACCTCTTCTGCAAATCGCTCCGACTAGGATTCGGAGCCACAGACCCCGACCCCGTCGAATCCCTTACACCACCCTGCGTCTGAGTTCTCGTCTCGTTTATGATCGACCCTGAACCCGATCCCGAACCCGTCGAGCTCATCGAATCCACAACCGCAATCGCCACCACCGACGCACCCTCCAAACTCGTCGCGCTACCCCGTCCAGGTCCAAGTCCAAGTCCAAGTCCGTGTCCAAGTGCAGGCGATGCAGCCCTCCCCGCACTCGTATTCGTATGCCCGCTCCTGACCGACCCAGACGCCGAGCTCGCGCTCAGACCCCTCCCATGCCCATGTCCCTGTGATATCGGAGGCAACCTCGTCCTCAATTCATCGACGCACAGTTTATGCAGCTCGTCCAGCCCAAGATATCGCGCTTCGTCCCGGAGAGCGACGAGGAGTTCGAGACGGGCGGTGGTGTATGTATTGAGTTGGACGGCGTGTGGGAGGGCTGGAGTCGTTAGCTGGGGTTGATGGTCTGTGCCGGATGATGTGGAGGGGAGGGGAGGGGTGCGGAGGTAGGTGAGGATGTGATCGTACCTAGAAGAAAGGAAAGACGAAGGTATGGTTAGAACAGTGTGTGGAAGAGGTGAATGGGATAGAGAAAATGGCGAGATTAAACTCACGTCGCGCTGGGCCGATCGAGGAATATATGGATGTTGTATGAAGTCTGGGGGAGCAGACCCGAGGCGGTGAGGTGATTCTGGAACAAGGAGTTGAAGGCCGTATCCCCGTCTTCTTCTTCCAGATCCGCATCACTGGCCAGTTCCGTCGCGTCATCTGCACCATGCCCATGTCCATTTCCATTTCCATTTCCATCCACACTGGTGTGCGTACTATACTGCGACTCACTTCTCACCGACCTCCCAGTCGACTCCCTCACCATCTGGAACCGCGAAGGCGAGCGGAAGAGCGAGGAGAGATAGGTAGAGAGATGGGAAGGACGGGAGAGGAGCGTCGTGAGCGTCGTTCGGTGTGTGGCCGTGCATGTCTCGAGCGTGACGATCACTTTGGACTTGTCGATCGCGTGGGAGGGTACGGTGGAGAGGAGGATGGCGTTGAATGGGGGTGCGGGATGGGTCATGGCGAGATGAGCTGGGAGGGGAGGGACGGGCGGGAAGGAGGAGAGGATCGGAGAGGTGGCTGAGTGTTTCATAGCCGGGCGCGAAGGAGGATGTTGTGCTTGTACTTGAGCTCTTGACGGTGCTGAGGATGCTGAAGCAGCTGCAGTCGGAGCAAGTGCAGGTGGTGGAGGTGGAGGTCGACTAGGCGGCGAAGTTCTAGTTCGCGGGGGCAGATCCTTAATCGAACCCAGAGCAGACGTGCTCTTCGAGAGCGGAAGCGGTGGTAATGGAGGACTCTCAGGCTGAGAACTACTGCTATTACGACGCCTTGTAGCAACTCGAATACTACTACCGTTCACTTCACTCTGAGACTGAGACTGCGAATGGTGGTCACTTTGAGAATGGTGAACGTGGATCTCTTCCGACTCGCTTTCCTCCTCCTCGATGAGGTCTTCTTCAGGACCAGACTCGTAATCGGGTGTCACCCCAGAACCGGCTAGAGCCTCTTGAGGGGTTCTCACAACCAATGCGCCAGTGCCCAGTGCCCCACTCCTGGAATAGTTCCCCAGCAGGCCGAGGTCATGGGCGAGTTTGGGTTCAGAGATGCGGACGGGCTTGCTGGCGGCATAGGGGCCAACATGGGATCCATTGGAGGATGTACGGGAGAGCCAGCTGGACAGAGAGGGACGTCTACCGTGGCCGTGGCCATGTCCATGCGCATGGGCTGAGGTCTTGAGTGGGGGAGTAGGAGACATGGGTGGAGAACGAGAAGGGACGTAGTAACTCTGGGCAGGCGGTGAGAGGGAGCGGGGGAGGGAGTAGGAGACTGGAGGGGGAGATTTCGGCGGAAGAGAGTTGGCGGTAGATAACTTTGTGCGGTGCGTGGGCTGCATGCTGCAAGCGCGTGCGGGAGGGCGTACAACTGTGATCAGCGCACTGTGCGCGGCGGTGCTGGAGATCGTGGTGGTGGTAAAGCAGAGAAGAGCAGAGAGAAGGCAAAGGCGGCTGGGCGGGCTGTCCACTTATTATAATAAAGGCGGCCATTGCGCGAAAGACACGAAAAGTGTATTGTCGCCAGACACGGAAGGTCGAAACAAACGCTTTTTGTCTTGCGTCCTTTGCCTGCCTTACCCGGCCTTCCCACGAGTCAATCCTTGTTGTTCTGCGCCGGAGAGCCGGGCCTCGTGTTTTGGCCGTGCTGCCGTTTGAATAATATATCGAGGTACAGGTATGGAGGAGACCACGACGGCGAAGTACGTGCACTCGCTCGCGTTTGCTCTACACCCGATATCGCCAGCTCTCGCGGCATGCCACGCATCCAGAGCACGCCTCCTACGTCCCCCGACCCTTCACTCAGACTCAGCACGCCGTTCCTACCCACCCTCGTCATGTCCCCGCTGTGGCATCTTTCTCCTTGACGGAACAGGCCAAGTACGATCGGTACATTCATCCACGAGTACAAGGAAGAGGAAGAGGAATGGAAAGGGATCTAGTTCGTCTTCTGCTGGGCGGTTCAGCGAAATTACCTGCTCCTCGTGCGGTCATGTCGAACGAACGCCTCGGCCTGTGGGCAATGCAGCGCTCTTCCCTAAAGTGAGACGGAGAGCACCGTCTGCTGCTAGTGGATTTGATTCTGCCCGTACAATCGCACCGATACCGCAATCATCACGACCGACTGCAGCGGCGATCGCAGTATCAAACCCTCCTCTCATGCATACCTCTTCTCCCTCTCCCTCTACCCCTTCCCACCAACAACCACCTCCATCAATCCCACCACCACCACCACCATCAACAACACATACCCGCCCCCAGAGCTCAACGCCACAACCACCTCAACCACCACCACCACCGCCACCAACAACAACAACAAAGAAAGCCCGAGCGAAGAAGAGATCCGGTCTTCAGGAATTATTGGCCCGGAACAAAGAGAAGCAGACAGGAAACAAGGAGGGTGATGGACCAGGATCTGGGCTGGCTTCGTTCTTGAGTAGTCTCTGAGTAGCTGGGATCCTATGTCTATGTATAACCATTTATTTTGGAACGGCATACAAAATGTACTGGAATCGTGGGATGAAGGTTATGGATCATTGTAAGTTTAACCTCCCTTCATCGACTTGTTCACCCTGGACACAACAACGAGCACCACAACACACGCAAGATCGAAAAGTAAAAGACAAGCGCAAAAGTTGTCATTTCGAACTAAGTTACTACTACTGCTGCAACTCATGTGCAAGGGGACGTTGACAGCCTTATAGCTAACTACATGTTGTTGTTGTTGTACAAAGTAAGTAACCAAACGACCGACGACCGAACGCAACCCTCCACCAGTCTATGAGTCGGTGAGAGAGCGAGGAGGTAGAGAGGTGGTCGGTGAGGCAGAAAGCGACGACGAGGAACGGATGGTGAAAACGCATCGACAAAGAACTCGGGCAGGACAGGGCAGGGAAATGTTCCAACGCAGCGGTGATTGAGTCACGGACAAGGACATTTGAGGGAGTAAAAAGAGAAGGAGAAAAAGAAGATTCCGGTACAGCGCATACGTATCCATCCGATGAGACTTGGGAAGAGAAGCGGGGCATGTATCGAAAGGGGAGGGCATATAAAGAACAAGAAAAATGACGGGGGCGTGATAGAACGGTGTGAATGCGCGAGTTATATCGCGCTTGGAGGGAAGGAGATCAGTCTGGAGAGGAGCGAGAAAGGGTCGATATGCATAGGCGAAAGAGAAAGGTTAATAGTACAAAGGGGAAACAGCGCGAGCCAGGGTCTTTGGGACAAAAATAGAAAACAGGAGGACAGAGACATCAAGAGGCAGGGAGCACGTCAAATGACAGCGAGGTAGATCACTGCTTCCTGATCTTCTCCTCAGAGTACGGGTTGACGCTGTATACCTTGATGACGGGTGGGCTCTTGGTCAGATCAGCAGTGACGATAACCTGGAGAGACAAGTTATATGAGCAAACACATAGAGGATGGATATCGAATATATAAGGACGTACCGGAACTGTCATCAACTCATTGATCTCCTGAATCTTGTGTCCAGCCGCGGAAGTCTTCAATCCCTCAAACTCAGGCATCACCTTCGCCTTGCTTAACATCCTCTGCTTCGACTCCTCCTCCGACTCGAGCGTCTCCTTATTGTCCCTACCCAACACGATCTCATCATCACCATCGTCCTCGTCGAACAGCGCCTGCTCGTCATGGACACCGCGAGAAGCGACCTCCATCTTCAAAGCATGCTGCTCCGCAGTCTGCTTGACCTTCTTCAGATGCTCGTCGTCGCTGTTCTCCGCAAGCCAGCTGATGACATCGCGATCGGACCAGTAGATCTGGAGGGCGTGCGAGTGCTCATCATAGACGTGGTTGTCGATCGGCATCTGGTCCACGTGCACACGCTTCTCGATACCGAACTCGGGAATGAGAACATCGAACGCGGCATCGAGCACGCCGACAACCTTGGCTTGACGAACGACGGGTCCGTAACGAGTTGTAAGATCCGAGATCAAGACGCAGAGGTACAAGTGGGCGGACTGCTCCTGAGCGAGCTTCGCCGAGTCCCTCTTGATGTTGCACTGCTGGGTGACCTTCGCCACCGCGTCGCGGTCCATGGTGAACTTAGTGTCGGCTCCAGCACCCTGCAGAACGGCCTCCAACTGGCGGTGGACCAACACATCGGCGTAGCGACGAATGGGAGAAGTGAAATGGGTGTAGAGCGGAACGTTGAGTGCATAATGATGGTATTTCGCGATGTCGAGCATGCCGGCACAGAAGTACTTGGCGGTATGGGTGGCCTTGTACGAGAGGAGCTGGAGGAGACGGCGAGCCGTGGGGTCTTCGATGGAGTTGAAAGAGCGCATGATAGCACCCGAAGAAGAGACGTCCATCGTGTAGCCGAGGCGAGCGGCACGTTCAGCGAGCATGTTCTAGTATAATGGCCCAATTAGCAAGATGTATAAAGTTGGATTGAATGTGTTCACGAACGAGTCTACGCTCCATGGGAATGTCATGACGCCTGAGAAGGGCCTGCTCGGGAAGGTTAACAGCAATTTGTTGAGCAACAGTGCAGTTGGTCAACAGCATGAACTGTGAGAATCAACCAGCTAGTCAGAAAAGAGCAGTTGAAAGAAATGTGAATAGACAAACCTCCTCCACAAGCTCATGAGCGTCGAAACGAGCATACTGCGAGCAGTCGATAGGGAGACCATCTGCCCCGAGCTTGAAGGTAAGGCGAGGCGACTCAAGAGCAAGAGCGCCGTTTTCGAAACGACGAGTGCGCAGCTCTTTGGCGAGATCGTTCAAAGCCTTGATATCGTGCTCGATGGCCGAAGCGTCGTGCTCAGGAATAACGACGACATCACCCAAAGGCTTGCCCTCAATCACGTCCTGAGCATTGTTGTACGTGAGCTTGGCGGCGGACCTATAGCACATTCAAATCAGCGCATGTAGTGAAGAGGAACGAGGACAAACGTACTTGATAATGGTCTTGCCGAACCACTTCTTGGTGACCCGCGCGTCCTTAGTCATGGTCAGGACAACGGAGAACGCCAGGCGATCGACTCCGGGGACAAGACTGCATAACTCTTCGCTCAACGCAGGCGGAAGCATAGAGACAGCGCGTTGAACGAGGTAAACACTGGTGGCACGCTTACGAGCATCGCGGTCGAGAGCGGTGTTGGGCTTGACAAAGTGAGTGACATCGGCGATGTGGATACCGACGTCGTATGTGCCATCCTCGTTGAGAGAGACAGACAAAGCGTCATCGAGATCCTTGGCAGTGTCGGGGTCGATGGTAAAAATGCGCTCCTTACGGAGGTCCTTGCGAACCTCGACTTCCCTTTCGGGAATGCTAATACCACGTTCATTAGCATGGTACGCAAAGAAGACAGACCATGACTGACCTCCAGGGCATTGGCGGCAGGCACTTCATGACGCTCTCGGAGAAGTCCTCGTTGGGGAAGTTGCAGTCCTTGAGCAGAGCGCTGGTCTCGACCTCAATGTCACCGATAGGACCGAGTTCCTCGACCAACGTTCCGAAAGGATGCAGAGAACTGATGGGCTATTGGACAACATATGAGACGTGTGTGACTGGGGAGGCATATTGAAAACGTACGTGGCGCTTGATGCAAGCAACAAACAGCTTGTTGACGTAGGCATCGGAGTTCTGAACGAAGTCGGGAGGTGCTTGCTCGGTAGGGATAGCGATCAGCGGTACACGCTTGTCCGTAGGCTTGAACCAGACAATCTTGGGGCGTTCAATAGCCCTGCGGGGTTCATCGCCCTTGTCACCTTCCCTCTCGCGACGCTCCGCCTCCTGCTTCTCCTTCGTAGCAGCAGAAGAGGGGCGCAAGAGACCCAGAGTACCCGAGAACAATTGGCCGGGCATACGCTCTACGACCGCTACGACGTGGCCAGCGAACTGGGGCTTGACTTCGTCCGTCACTCTGGATAAAAGGTGTGTCAGAACTGGGACCATGACGAGTGTGGTGAAGACTTACTCTTCGTCTTCGAACAGCGTCAGGGCCTGACCCTCAACCTCGACATCGTCCTTCTTCTTGTCGTTCTTCCTGTTTGCGGCCGTCTTCGTCTCATACGCGGCATTCTCTTCCTTTTTCCTCTTCTTCTCCTCCTTCTCCTTCTTCGTCCCCCAGACCTCATCGACGTCGAGCAACTCTACGGCGACGATATCACCCTCAAGGGCACGGTTACGATCCTTAGATCCGCAAATATAAATGTCGGCATCCAAAACCTCTGTCGAGACATACGCGTCGGACCGGTTACGCTTGTTGACGCGCAAGATACCAACGACGAGCTTGCCCGTCGCGAGGAGCGGGGGCAGAGATGCCTGAGGAAGATAGGGAGCAAAAAGCGACTTGCGCTGAGGTTGGTTAGATTGCTGCTGGAGTTGGGACTGGAATTGTTGCTGTTGCTGCTGAAGAATGTTAATGCCGCCGAGACCGAGACCCATCATGTTGGCCGCCATCATGTTGGGCAGCATGTTAGGGAAGCTGAACGAGGGCATCTTCTGGTGGTGGCCGCCCGCAGCAGCGCGGAACTGCTGAAGACTCTGCAACTGCGCCTGAGCTTGTGCGAGATCGGCGGTGAACGCGTTACCCTGTTGAATGCCACCAACGCCGCCGTCTGGAGGGATAAGAGGGTAACTTCAGTGTGTGCCTGGCGAAAAGTGAAGTGAATAGAACACGTACTAAGCCTCCAACTGGAGTCAGCCCTAGAAGCCTGGCGGGAGTGGCCACCAAACCCGGGGGGAGGCGCGAACCCGTCTTCGAAGCCATCAGGCAAACCGTTGAAGCTGATGGAGCCCATACCAGGCTGTCCGCCGCTCTTGTTGACAACATTGACGCTGTGCCTCCTGCCGTGTCCGCGAGGAAGGCCTTGGGGCTGGCCGTCGAGCCCAAGGTTGACGTTGCCCAAGCCAAGTTGGCCCATGAGACCCTGCTGGCTGCCAATGCTCCCCATGGCACCGGTGTTCATGCCCATGGGGACGGTGCTGTGAACGCGACGATGAGCGGCCGCGCGGTTGGGAACAAGTCCGGGCGTCTGGAAGGACATGACTTGGTTCGAGGCGAGCTGCTGCTGGTAAAGAGCCTGTTGCTGGCGCTGAAGATTCTCGATCTCGTTCTGGATGGCGATCTGAAAGGACATTGTTAAGCGCATATCTTTACGGAAGAAATCCGAATGGTACGCAACCTGTTCCGCCATGATACCTCTAATTTCACCGCCGCTCTCGGTGCGCCTATGGCCCTGTTCCTGCTCGCCGAAGTTTTGGAAATTCGGCTGCTGTTGCTGCTGTTGCTGCTGAGGGAACTGGAAGTTCGCGTCCTCCTCGCTGATAGCAGGGCCCATAGGAGAGTTCGAGCTTGTGCGACGGCGAGCACCGAACATGAAGTTCGGCGCGAGCTGGGGACGGCCAGAGGGACCCAAGATATCACTCTGCTGCTGTTGATGCTGTTGCTCCTGTTGCTGAGCAGCCAAAGCGGCGAAACGCGGAGCGGTGAAGTTCTGGGACTGCGAGCGAGGATGATGGCCTTGGGTGCTATAAACATTCTCAGCGATCTCACCCTCCTCATACCCTCCGTTGTGCTCTTCGACGTCTTCCATCATGGACCCGAGGTGAGGGGCGAAGTTGTTGAAGCTGCTCGAGAGACCAGCTGTGCCGAGCGAAGCGGCCTTGCGGTGACGGGGTGGAGGCTCTTGAGCACTCTGGGCAGGAAACATGGCGGCTCCAGGTTGGAAAACAGGGGCGTTGACCGGGAGGGAAGAACCGGACGAGCTAGTAGAGATGGAGTTGTTGCTCGGCATGCTGCCGGACAGGCCGAAGGACTGGGTAGGAGGTGACGTGGAGGTCTTCAAGTCGGCTATGACGCGCTGAAGAGAGGACAGCGCGTCGCTCGATTCTGCGGAGGGGAGACCTGAGGTAGGGGACTGCGAGGCGGAGCCGTTCCCGCCCTGGCGGTTACCTTGCGCGGAGGACGTAGACTTGCGGTGAACGTTACGGTTTGCACCACCACCGCCACCACCTGGAGGCTTACCGCGCTGCTGCTGCTGCTGGTCGTTCCTCTTGTTGTCCTTCTTGCCGGAGGACTCGTTTCCGGAATCGGCAGCGCCGCTCTGGGGTTTTCTGTTGGAGGACTGGGAGTTGGGTCTGTTAGGGGTTCCTTGGGAGGCCGGACCGCCAGTGGGAGGTTTGGAGACGGATGGGTTTCGACGAGGAGCATTACGGTTGTTTGCCGAGCCGTTGGAGGCGGGGCGTTTGTCGTCCTTCTTGGGCGCGTTTTGTCGTTGGGATGTGTCGTCGGTCATTTCGTTCGTAAGACAGCGATTGTGCAAAGAGTGGGTTTGGGTGTGTTTTTCGACTGTTTTTCGGCTTTATTTGTTTCTTGAGAGACTGTTAAAAACGATGGAAGACTGGGACGAGACACGAGGCGTGATTAGTAGGTTGCACAGGAGGGGCTGCGCGCGGCCGGTTAGGAACGGAGGCTACCTGAGAGTTGGAAGGGTGGCTGGCGTTGTGGATGTGGACGGCTTTGCCCTGTAGGGCCTGTGGGGGGTGTACGGAGTGGTTGCCTGGGGTAGGCGTGGAAGGATAACTTTGCTTATCGTCGTCAAGAGCGAAGAGGCGAAGCAAGCCGCCGTCCGTCTCCACCGTCAATCATTTTGTCGCGTTCCGCCGTTCTCACGCCCCTCGCCTACCCCTTACAGTAACACGACCTTTTGTCCTGCTCACACTAGTGTTTTTACATACATGGGTATTGCTCAGGCACTCGCTAGCTCTCTATGTACGTAGCGTAAAAAGCCGTCCATTTTTGAGCGTAAAGTAGAATGTATCTAGCCCACTCGCAGACCCGCCCTCCTCGCAATTACGGCTTGCCCAACCTCGCAATGATCGCGCTCGTGTACTCCTTCGTCGACGACTTGCCACCGAGATCACCAGTGATGGTCTTACCCTCAGCGATGGTCTAACACAGCAATTGTCAGTAACCCGTGTATAAGCTGTCAACTCCATACAAGCTTACCGTCAAGGCGGCCTTCTCAATGGTATCGGCGTGCTGGTTGAGGTTCATATGCCTGCAAGCGCAAGTCAGGACGTGTCCTCTTCGACCTCTAGGGAAACACATACCTCAACATCATCAGCGAGGAGAGCAAGAGCGCGGTGGGGTTGGCAAGGCCCTTGCCTGATTGAGACGGGCTATATTAGTGTTATTCGGGTATGACTGACACGAACAACGTACCAGCGATGTCGGGTGCCGAACCATGGACTGCCTCGAAGATGGATGCATCCTACAAGACGTGTTAGTGACAGTAGCACGTACACCGTAAATAACCGTCTTACCCGTCCGATGTTACCCGAAGGCGTCAGTCCGAGACCACCAATCAAGCCTGCGCACATGTCGGAAAGAATATCACCGTACAAGTTGGGCATGACCATGACCCGGTCGGCGTAAGGCGCAGGGTTTTGCGTGATCTACTTTTGGCGTCAGCCTCTTTGCCCAAAAAATTAATTGCCGGAAAGGCTCGGGAGGAAGCGAACCTGGAGGCAGACACGGTCAAGCAAGTCCTCGTCGTAGGTGACTTCAGGGAAGTCATTGGCGACTTGACGGCAAGCAGACAAGAACATGCCGTCAGACATTTTCCTAGTTGGCCGGTCAGTTTGGCGTAGCAATCAATGTCATGACTTGTGCACATACATGATGTTCGCCTTGTGCACGGCGGTAACACGCTTCCTGCCGCTGCCCTGAGCGTAGTGGAACGCATAACGTGCAACACGCTCAGACGCCTCCCAAGTGATGAGCTTGATGGACTGCACAACACCGTCGACAATCTGTATACAACAGACTGGTCAAAAACGCGTCCTATCGAACTCAATAGTAGGAACTATGATCCACCTCGTGCTCGATACCAGAATACTCTCCCTCAGTGTTCTCACGAATGAGCACAGTGTTGACATCGTCATAGGGAGTCTTGAAACCCTTGATGGAGACGCAAGGTCGGACGTTGGCGAACAAGTTGAAGGTTCGGCGAAGAGTCAAGTTGAGCGAGACGTGTCCCTTGCCGACTGTGACGGTACTCAACACGAGAACGGGTTATCTAGGAAGCGGACGATGGAACGTACTGGGGGTAGCCAATGGACCTGATACGAGTTAGGTGAGGGGAATCATGTTGAGCGAGAACGAGGAGACGTACCTTTGAGCGCCACAGTGTTCTTCTTCACAGAGTTGATGGCTGCGTCCGGAATCACGGTCTTGCCACCCTTCAGGATGGGGGCCACGCTGACTTCTTCCCATTGAATTGGGACCTAAAGAGAACAAACGAGATGTAGCTCCTTGCACCACTTTAAGAGCTGAATACACGTACACCGGCAGCATCATAGATGGTCTTCACGGATTCACTAATTTCGGGTCCAATGCCTACGGGACGTTTAGCTATTTGCTTCAACTCCTTTAGTTCAGAGGCAATTGCGCACCGTCTCCGGGAATCAGAGTGACCGTATATTTGCCCTATAGACCGCAGATATGTTACTTCACGCTTAGGTTGTTATACGAGTCTGGTACTCACGTTACTGCCCTTTTGACCTGCAAAAGCAGCGGTAGGTGCCGCAGAGGCATACCGTCTAAGAGACTGGATGGAGTCTACTTGTAAGTCTAGGTTCCGACCAGGTTAGTGTAGCGCTGTCTGACCTGGTTGAAAGCAACGCGCTGAGTGGCGCCAGCGAGAGAGCGAGAGGCAAGCATAGCGAGGAGAGTACGTAGGGACGGCGAAGGGATGCTGCAAAGCTGAAGGAGAAAAGTGAGGTTGACCGGAAGCTTGCCGGAGACTGACGGATCGTTCAACCGGGACCATCCTTCGCCGTCGCCGGGTCCAACTTATGCCCTCGCCACACTACTTTTGCAATCCGTCTATGTATGTCCAGAGAACGTAGCAAACCGTGTCCGAGTAGAAGAACCAAAGCGCGGGGAAATTACAGGTAGTGTACAAGATATCGGAATCCTTGACTGTTTAAGTATGTCACAAAAATCATCGAACATCATCAATCTGGCCGAGCCTGGCCCCTCCAACCCTCCAGAGCCCTGCTGAGATCTGAGAGTTGTTGTGGCCCCATGGGGCATAGCAGCGTACTTATCATCCGCTGAGCAGACCATTCAGCTGCTCCCGGTACTTCTCCATCTCTCTCTCGGCCGCCTCCTCGTCCAATGCGTCTTGTGTTGACTGCGCGCCACACCTACATCAGCATGCAACCCTCTAACCTCGAAGGAAAGGATACTCACAGGAAGCTCGGTCTGCACGCTGCCTGCCTGGCCTAACTTGCCGTCGGTGAGATCGAAGAGAACCTTATCGACTTCCGCGTCCGCTTCCTCTTCAAGCTCTTCGTCGTCATCCATCTCGAGAACATCCTCCAACATATCATCCATGATCCCGGCCTAAGACGTCCCATGAGCATTGTAACGAACGCCAGCAGTAGTAGTAGACAACAGCGCACCTTGGTCATCTCCATGCTCATCTCCCGCATGGTCTGGCTGATTTGAGGAAGCTTGATCAAGCTATTCGACAACTTCATGATCTCCGTAGACTTCTGCAACGAGCCCGTAACCTTCGACATAGCTATCCACGACACCTCGGCGTAAGAAACCCAGTCCAGAGTAATAAGTCACTGAAGACGCACCCAATTGTTGCTGCAACTGCGTGCCTATCGAGTTCAACCTCGCCTTGCTCACCGACATCCTATCCTTCTGCTTATTGCTCCGCACCACCTCCCTCGCCAATATCCTCGCAGACTTCGTGTCCCCCTTCTTCGCGAGCTGTTTCAGCGTGTTTCGCGCCTTGTTCGTCTCCACGTCAAGCTTCAGGATCACAGCACGCAATGAGAAACACGAACATAAGGACGAGTTAGATATTTAGTGACAAACGGGGCATCAGGGGGTAGAGCCCAACCTGCCTCATTTCTCGATCGAGTATTCGGCTTTCATGTCGTAGTTTCGTCTGCCATGCTCGCACTTTCTCTTCTGCAGTTGGACCGTACAGAAATCGGTTGATTGATTGCATGTAGAGGGGATCTGGGATAAGGTGGTAGAGGTACAAATGTGAATACGATTGAGTCCGCGCCGTGGACCCCTGGACTTGGCGTTGTGGCACGGTAACCGTTTGCGGACCCGACTTGCGGTGCCACAGACTCGGAGCCCGTTACTCAAAAGCTGTTACTGTAAGTTCTCCCTTACTCTTTCTCGAATTTGAGGGTGTTGCGCATCGAATGCCAGAGCAAAAAGATGGTCTACGTGGACTTATGCCTGATTTTTTTTTCTGAGTGTTGCGGTTCAGGTGCGCTGACTGGCAGAGAACAGAAATAAACATAACAAAAAGGACGAGGTCAACCAACGAGAACGGCGAAGACATGAAAAGGCATTATAGAAAGACATAAACCGACCACCATCGTACATCACAAAACACACTCAAAAACACCAATCTAGTATGGGTACACACAAAGAACATCACAAAACGGTCGTCGACTTGATATACAGAAAATAAGACAAGGCTCTGCCACCATCTACGGAGGAGGCCCACCACGAATCTCGTTCACCAAATTCTCCCAATAATTCCAGTCTGACCCGTCCAACATCGGCATCGCCGTGGGGTCGACACCAGGAGCTGTAGCGGTAGGGCCAAACCACCCGGTAAGATCACTATTCCCGAATCCTTGTCCACCCCACGGCAAACCCACCAATCCCGTCACACCGTCCACGCCCGAACCTCCAACACCAGGACCCCCGCTCACCGCACCGCTGCTGACAGAGTTATACCACGCATCCAACAAATTCTGTGCCGCTCCTGACTCGTCGTCCATCGATGGACTACCTGACTTCGACGTCTCATGTCCTTCGCTCGGCGCAGATTGTTGTTGAATGCGCTGAATAGCAGGCTGCTGCTGGTAGAAAGTGGCAGCCTTGGGCGATGTCACGTCCGCGGCCATGCGGGGAGATACCGTGGAAGTGTTGACATGGAGTGATGGGTACGACGGGGAGCCTATGGAGAAACCGAGAGGGCCCTTGGATCCTGACGGTGTTTGCATGTTCAGCAGAAGGTGGGCATCGCCCACAGGGCCTGGTGGGTGTGAAATACCGTTCTCGTGTGGAATACCATTAGTCCCCGCTTCCTCCTCTGCTTGTGAAGCTTTCATCTTCAGAAACTCGATGATTTTCAGCTCTCTCCGCGTAGTCTCGTCCATCTCCCGCAGTCCTTCGTGTTCCTTCAGGAAGAAGTCCAGTATCGCGTGCATGGTTTCCGCCTGTCGGCCTCGGGGTTCGAGGACGAGGTAGATGCCGCTGATCATGGCGCCCTGGAACTCCCTATACGCACTGTGCAACGAATCCGCGAGGTCGTTCGAAACCGTCTTCCTGAACGCTTGCCGAATCTCGAAATCTTTCTGCGCAGATTCGAAACATGCCTTGCGCGAGCGAAGGTAACGATCGGACGTGAGGCGTCGGAGGAGGTACGGCCGATGAAGACTAATGCGGACGAAGAGGACTTCGGTGATGAGGAGGAAACGATGAGATGGGATACAAGGAATAGTTTCGTCCATAGAGGTATCGGGTTGTAGAGAGAAATGTGGAGGAAGGGCATGTACGAATTTGATGAGCTCATCGTCGAGCGCTAGAACTTCCGAATAGTGACTGTGTTGTCGGACCTGCTGGAAATGGTGTACTATACGCCCAATGATCTCTGCAAGCGTATGCCGGAGGATGACGAAAGACATGCGTGTAGGTGTTGTGAGCGGCGGAGGGTTACGAATGTCAGAAAGGGAAATCTCGTCTTCGACGTTGGATGGTGGCTTGGTTGATGTGTATGCATCCTGAATAGCATTCGGCCGTCCCAGGACGAGAGCATAAGAGCGGTCTGCATGATATAGGTATGCCCTGTGAGCGAGATCATCAGTACGAAGCTGGAGGTAAGCTCTTTATTATCCCTACCATATCCGTCGTCGGTATTCGACTTGTGCAGGCTCCATACCCTGAAACCGGGATCAGCCCACAATGCAATAATTATGGAGATATTTTCTGCGCACCATGTCTGCTCCGTCTCTGTGTAGACCAAGGGCTTGTGCGGTCCGCACAGCTGCACCCAATTGACTCCAGACTTCAGTGATACGACGATCGAACGTCAGGAATCGAGCACTCTATCCTAGAGTTAGACATTTGCGAGCGATGCGTGCAAAGCCTACTGACCAAAAGCCGTGTGAGGACCATGTCCAGAGAATCTGGCTGTATGGCAGCTGCTATCAAGACGGACCGGCGGGCTGCGAAGAGTGTCAGCGATGGAGACGGCCCAATGTCACTGTCCACTGACATGCCCAATAGTATCGGAGAGAGGTGAGCCGTCGACTTCTAGCATCTCCAGCTATGTTCTCGGGTGCTAACCGCACAGCAATGGCGAGGACAACGAAAAGGAGGGGAAGGAAGCGAACGTCGTTCGGATGCGCAGCTACACCATTTTCTACCAGCGAAGCATACGACTGTCGGAAGTCTCGTTCTGATATGGGATATCGTGTCCAATTTCTGCGTGAATGAACCAGCGCAGGGTCAGTAATTACCACTTGCGACGAAAGGAGATGACGTACACTGTGTCGAAGTAGTAGTCCACAAGCACACCCATAAACCGCTGTGGAGGGAGCTCCTGGACGAGCTCTGTAATTTTATGTGGGGAGACCCCACAGTCTTGTATCAAGGTCTTCAGATTATCTGCAGCTGTTGGTTCCGAGTCCTGGCGAACCGAGTCGATGATAGAGTTGGCTGCGACGATCGCCTTTCCGTCAAGAGTGTCGGGATACAGGAGATTTCCGTTCGCATTGCTCATACTTCGACCTCGACCTCCAGCATCGGGCGTAGACACTACTTGTTGCAGCTGTGCAGATATCAGTTGAACAGAGTTTGAGAGAAGACAAAGAAATGCATTCACTTGTTCCAATACCGAAGCTGGTGCAACACTGCCCGACGCGCTGTTCCCATACCATCTTCCGCTCTGGAACGAACCGCCGTGTGGATCTTGTTCTGGAGAGTTTGAATGACCATCGTCGGCCTGGCTTGGGGACCTCGAGCGTTGGTGGTCACGAATGCTGCTCAGGGGCGAAAGTCCATTGAGAGTCGAAGCATACTGAGGGAGCGCAGTCTCGATGATGTGCTCGAGCCTTGCCAGACGAAGGTGTATATCCTGGTCCGGCTTTCCTGGGGTATAGGCCTTGCACAGTTCGGGAACCTTACGGGCGACGCACTATGGAGGTATTCGGGTCAGGAAACGTTCGGACGAGGCACGGAGAAAAATGACATACATGGGAGCATGGTATCTGGCGATCACACTGCAAGATGAACGGGAAAGATTAGATTTCGTCGGCCAAAGGAGAGAGATAAACTCGGCGCTTGCCTTTTGCTTGCGTCGATGACACTCCCCACAGGAATAGCTGTGAAAGTGCTCAGCCAAATACAAATGGTACAGTATTCCTGGCCAGACTCACCTCACTCTTGTCCTCGATTTCTTGTTGGCGCCGCTCGAGTCGTCGTCATCTTCTGTTTTCTTTCGTTTCATCGAGCCCTCTGGCGAGGGGGCGGCCGCGGGCTTCATGACTCGAGTGAGGCAAGAAATATGAGACAAAGAACGCGAATTGCAAAGTGTTATATCTGGTCAGGCCAGGGCCGATTACTGTGCATGGCGCGCCAAAATAGTTGCGGCGCGTGACTCCCGTGTCGTTTCATAACTCTCTCCTTCTCCTCGTCATGCCGCACGACGCCATGGGCTCATCATGGCAGAACCTCAAACTCTCTATCGAAAGGCCATACAAAGACGATCAGGGCAATCCTCTCGCTGTCGTCCAAGACATCCTCCCGACCGGAGAATACATATACGAACCGTGCGTGTCCCGCGTTCTTGCCCCTGTTCGCCACATCTCACATATGCATCAGTCAAGAGAGTCCTGGCGCGAAGCTGGGCGACAATCTCAAGCGTATTTTTCTCGAAAGAGGGTATGACTTCTTCGAGCAGGACGATGAGGAGCGAATGGCCAACAAGGATGCGACGAAGGAGAAGGTGAAAGAGGTGAAGGACGCGATGAAGTCTGGCGAGGATACTCACGCCTCGGACATAAAGCCGATGTCTCTCGAAGAACTGAACAACATGCGTATGGAATTACTCCCTCAGCTACAGTAAGTCCGATCCTCTGCGTTCCATCTTATCCCCTGAGAGAGCCTGAGTCTCGTTTAGGACCGCTGTTGGTGAGATAACTCAGGCTAGCGACGTTCTCTCTCTCCTACTCTCTTCATCCGGTACCACACGCGCGCCTAGCTTGGTATCCTCTGTCTTCAGTCAGCCTGAAGTCCCTGCTCCCTCTGCTACCTCTTCTTTGCCTCGTGGGGTTCTCAATGCAACGTCGGTGAATAAACCGCCTCCCATCCCTTCTATCCAATCTTTCGATGCGCAATTGGTTCTCGGAGGTAAGGACGAAGCGCTCAGGAAGGCTTCTGACCTCTTCAAGTCCGCTGCCGACAGCGTTGAGAGAGGCAGGCAATTCAACGAACGCTACTGGATGGACGCCTTGAAAATCAGACGGAAGAACTGGTCTCTTGTGCCCGCTCCTCTGCCTTGGGACGGTGCGTCTATGAGGAGGAATTCGGACAAAACATCGAAGGATTTCTTGGTATCCTATGGACTCGAGACTTGTATGTATATTATTTACCTTTCTTGCAATTCAGACAAACCTGTTCATGCGCCCGACAGCATCATCCGTCTTTCGCCGTAGAGCCATCGCACAGATGGCATCTTATGACACTAGCCAAGGACCTATTATCTTCCCTCATCGTCGAAAAGTGTGTCTACGGGTATCTCTAGCATCTCTGGGCATCACAGGAACCCGAACAGTATCACACAACTCCCTAAAAGCTGAAGATGAATCTTCTCTGGACGGGCTTCTGCGTAGTGCTCAACGCGAAGCCATCGAAGAAGAGATATTTGCTCTTCTCATAGAGGACTCAGGCAAGCTACCCACGACGTCGGTAAGAGTATCTGAGCGTTTGATCGTGGTGGAGGCCACAGATTTGTCAGAGCTGCAGTTTGAACTGGTTCGTTACGACTTTCCACTGTTATATATCTCATCATTAATCTGAACATTCTTTCCAGGTGGACAAAGACGCACCCTCGCCTTCACAATCCACCTCAAATCCAGCAGCTGAAGCCCAATGTGACCTCATATACTCCCTATTACACGCACTCCTGCTAGGCTTCCACTCATACCGAAAAAAGCGCTACCTCTCCGGCCTCTCCACCCGCCCCTCGGATATCGTGAATTACCCACCACCACAGATGCTTCAACCCATCGTCGATCTCCTCCAATACCAACTCTTCTGCGAGCGCATCCACACCGAGATGAGTCATGTCGTGAACGGCCTACGAAAAGCTGGTATTACCACAAGCTTCCACTTCGACCCCGTAGGCGAGAACGGCGAAGATTTGGTACGGTCGTTGAGTGAACGAGGATCATGTCAGGTCGGAGGCCAGGCTCTCATTCGAATAGACAACAGGCAAGTTGTACTATATTAACCTCGATAAACCTTCTGCGCCCACGCTGACTTTCGTTTTCCTCCTATAGACGAACGCTCCGTTTCACATTCCGCTCACCTTCGACCTTGACCGCACACCTAGCACAAGCCATCCTCACCATATCCGCCATTCCACATCTCATCCAGCTCCTTCGTGACGAGACCGAACAATGTCTCCTACAGCGAATATGCGATGTCGGTACGGGTCTGTCGGAACACAAGAACGGGACGTGGTTCGTTTCTTCGGATGGTCCTGAGATGGGTCGTGCTGTGGGGAAGTGGGACGGCTGTGTATTGTCAGTCTACAGTAACCTGTCTCCATATTTTGTTGGAACTGACGAGGACGTGCTACAGAAACTTCACGACATCGTTCGGGGCGGAGTCTACCATTCTATGTTCCGTTTCTCGACTATATCGAATCAAGGGACAAGCAAAGGTGCATAGAGAAGAGTTTGATACGGCCGGGCCCACATCACTGTTTGCATGGGTTGACGATGTAATTCAGAAAGCTCTTACGGGCCGCTGAGAATATGACAGGCATCGTGTCGACGAGTGAAGCCTTGCGGTCACAGATCGTACGAAAGGATGTGGTGCATGAGGGCATGGTATGCACTAATCATAGTTTTGAGGACCATATATGCAAAGCATGAAAAAGCGTAGGGGGCCGCGCAAAGCGGATGAAAGAGACAACGACAAACACCCGAGAATGGAACCGAGAGGATAACAGAAGCAGAACGTCTACTCCTCGTCCTCCTCGTCCTCCTCGATGGCCTCTCCACCAGCCTTGAAGGCCTCGATCTTCTTCTCGATGTTCTCCTTGCGCTGGGCGTAAGTAAGGCGGTGAGTCTTGAACTTCAAGCTCTCGGCCTTCCAGTCCTTCTCCTTCTCGGTGGGCTTGAACGCTGGGTCCTCACGGATGGCAGCGTAGGCATTCTGGAAGATCTCCTCGATGTCCTCAGAGCCGACACCATCAGCGAGGTAAGTAGAGAACTGCTTCTTGAAGCTAAAAGTAGGACATCAGATAGGCAAGAACCGAATGAGATATCCACACCACGTACCGCTCGTCATCTTCCTCCTCCAGACTCTCCATGTACTCAGCGACGTGTCCACCGAAGATGTACTTCTTGAGGGTCTCAGCATCAAGCTCCTTGCTCTCTGGGTCGAAGCCGGGGAAACGCTTCTCGTTGTGGGGAATGAAGATACCGCCGTCGCTGGCACCCTTGAGGGCACCGAAGACACGCGAACCTGTCGATGTGCGCTTGAGACCGACATCGAGGTAGCACTTGAATGGCCGGGGAGCATCCTCGTCGTCCAAAGCCTCGATCAGGGAGATAGTGCCGTCTGGCTCAGCAACACCCTCGTACTTGTCAGCGAGACCGATTTGGTTCAAGGCGCGGCGAGCGACGAGGAGACCAGTTGCGTAGGCTGTGATAGATGTTAATGGGAGATCTTCACTAGAGAGCGCTCCCTGACGCACCAGCAGTCCAGTTTGTCAAGCCGTGGTTGATCCCATAGCGGGGAAGTTCTTTTGAGCGCGCAGCGGCGAGAACGAAGTCACCCTGGAGGCGGGCGTAGACAATTTGGCAAATGACCTCCCTGTTCGTGAACCGGACGACGAGGCGGTACTTGGGGGCATTGCTGGATGAAATTTAGGTCCCAGTACGAGTGCGAAGATGTGAGAGGTACTCACTACTTGTTCTTAGCTTGCGATACGAGACGCTTGCGGGCATAGTCTACAACGAGATGAGCCAAAGCAGAACCACTGGTGGTAGAATGAGCACGCACAATCGGTCTTTCCCTCTCTCCGGCGACGGTACTTGACCTGGTAACGGGAGAAGTAGGCGTCGGACTTGACCTTTTTGACGAACGGCATCTAGGAGACGGGGAGGTACAAAGTTGGGTGAGCAGTCATCCGAAGTGGGTTCGGCCAATCCATTCGAAAATGGCCGTTTTCGCTGGTGAAAGCGCAGAGATACCGCATAGACGTCTCTGGCATCTCACCAGCATAGCGACATAGAATATACATACCTTGAGGAGGGCGGAGAGGGGACTGGCTTGGGTACGTCGGGAGACGATGACCTCGAGAACTTGTCCGGCGCCCTGTTCGTGTAGGGTTAGGGTTTAGCGCGTGGGGTTTGGGTTACCGTAGCATTGCCACGCGTCCGAGTCTGAATCGCCCTTTGCCTCTGTACGGCTTGCTTCTTCCGCATTTCTCACTCTTGAGCGACTCATCATGGACCCATACTCCGCGCAGAACTACTACCAGCAATACTACCAGCAGCAAAATGCTCAGGCTGGATCGTCCTCCGACGTCAACCCTTACCACCAGCCTTATCAAGGACCAGTGTACTCGAACCCATCCGGGTCGTCTTCCCACAATGCACCCGTCCCAGCGAACGCCTACGAATACGACGTCGGCATTCTCGCCCAACAGAGTGTCTATGTGCCAGGTGCGATGCTAGACAAGCGTGGTGGAGCTGGTGGTAAGCTGGCGAAGGGCGGCAAGAGGGTCACTGTCCTGCGTAAAGGTGGAGGAAAGGAGTGGGAGGACCAGACTCTGTTGGAATGGAATCCTGGTGCGTTGGTTTTCTTCAAGCCACTCCACCTCTTAGCTGACTCTGGGTGTATTACAGCATGGTTCCGCTTGTTTGTTGGTGATTTGAGTAATGATGTCTCAGACGATGTCCTCGCGAATGCGTTCAACAAATACACCTCTTTCCAGAAGGCGCGTGTTATCAGGGACAGATTGAGCCAGAAGGTGCGTTGATTTGTCTTTGCTTGTATTTTTATCTGCTGACGAGCCTTGTAGGCTAAGTACGGCTTCGTTGCGTTCTCTGACCCCGAAGACTTCCTGAAAGCCTGGAAGGAAATGGACGGTGAGTTGGACTTCTAACGCCTTTCTATACCGTGCTTATCGGATATCTTCATACAGGCAAATATGTCGGTAACCGTCCCATCAAACTCAAGAAGGCTGAGCAGGCTGCTGTGCGTCCCGTAGAAATCGGCCATCGCAAGGCTCGCAAGCTCGAGTCCGACCTGAAGAAGAACAGGAAGAAGCCATACTAGACGGTTTCTGCTCCTCTGGTGACTAGGCGGAGTTGTTGAGAGGTCGAGGTGGCTTGTTGTACGTTACCATTTTGTTGTCGTGAGGGCTGGACTGAAAGACATGCGTTCTTTACAACAAGATAAAATATGCTCATATGGGGATAATCCGGTTAGTATTGTTTTCGTATGCGATGAATATGTATTATGCTTGCCTTTTCTTCTGCAGCCCCTTTGACCTCGCGGATTTCTCCCGTCCCCACCCGCAATGCTGCAGCATGGTAAACCCGTATTTTTGGCATTCCGTCAACATAGCCTCTTCTTCGCCGAGGTCAAATGCCGCGAGGGTTCTGATTTATCTTATGCACTGTTCATGTATAAACCTTCCCCTCTCCCATTGGCCTACGATGTTTAATCCTTCGCCTGAACTCTCATCTCGGCCGTCTTTCACCTCACTTCGTCATCATCTCCAACTCCAACTCCGTCGCCAATGTCCATGAACGTTTGACTCATCCTAAACAAATCACTTCGCCTTCTAGCTGCCCACTATTCAAACTCACCTTCAAGCTGCCTCCACTCGCACGCGGTGTGCATCTCCGCCCCCGTCCATCTTTCCCAAACCCGGTTCTCCACGCCGTGTTCCGCGCTTGTCCACTCCACGAATGGAACATGTGTTCTGCTTTCTGAATGCGATTTCTTGATCCTTCGTGACACTTGGGTCCATCGAGTAACTCAGAACGCCCATAAACAGACTTTTGCACCGCCTGCGAGATGGCACGAGGCTTGTCCAATCCTTCTTTTTGTGAGGGAATTCCTGTACATGTGTTGTGGGGCTTTCGGACGAATGTCATCTGTTTTGTATCTATGTGCATCAATCATGCTTCCGTTATATACGGTCTGAGTATGACTGGAAGTATGACGTCCTGCGTCTTCTCCCGAGGGCCGATTCAAAGAAAGTTTACTTCCGTGCACATAGTATAAGTAAAGCGGGGTTGTTGATGGTTGGTTGGATCTGCAACTCTGCATTCTAACCCTACGACCCTGCTACGACTTGAAGCTTGACGACCCAACCTCTACGACTTTTCTGTCCTGCTAGTCCTCTACGCCTATCGCCATCATCGACATGAAATCCATCTTCGCCGCTGTGTTCTTGTTCGTCGTCTCTGCGCTCGCGCAGGGTATCAGTGTCGCTATTCCCGCCGAGGGGGATACCCTCATGGCTGGTCAATCGACCGATGTCGAATTGGACTTTCCTGTATGTCCGCACCCACCCTCATCTACGTAGCCATCTATTGCGGTCGATGCTGACTAGTGAATTGTGTCTTGCAGAACTCATTGACTGGAGTCGAACACGTCTCGGTCGTGATTTCCTATGTCGCATGCTCGTGCGTTCTGCCTTTCTCCGATCTGATCGCATTCACTTCCGGACTCAGGACTGTATAATGTATCTGATCGCTGATTGAATCCGTCTCGACCTTTCTGCTATACTTAGTGTCACGCCTTGTAGCAATAATGCGAGTATTACGATGGGGAGTACGTTGTACGCTGGTAACTACACGCCTATAATCGGGGGCGATCCCGCGAAGGTATGTCAAGATATATTCTACCTCGCTTCCACCGTAATATGCTTTTCCAACGCTGACGAACGTTTTGTTTTTGCATGTAGCCGCCCAATCAGAACATCGTTCGTCCTCCACCTACTCGTCATATTCACTTACAGGACATTGATGATTGAATGTAATATCACACAGAGCGTCACCCTCCCTTCCGGAATGGCAGGTGGACAGACTTTATTGAACGTTGCGCATTTTTACCTTCTTGGCGTACGTTCCCCTCTTCCCCCCGCCCTTTTCTTCATTGCGGCCCATCCACCTCTAACTGGACTTGTGCACAGGCTTCCGCGACACCGATTCTGGAGTACGCCAACGTTACTGTGAACCTGGATAACTCGACATCCACGAGCAATGCAGCCCGCTTCATTCGTGGTCGTGAGGCTCCGAAGCTTGGTTGATGCGTTAAACATCATTGTGATGGAATAATGGCTGGTTGTGTGTTTGGAGAACAAAGGGAGTACTGTTATTTTGACTGTGTGCGATTATTGTGGGAAATGTGATGGACTTACGAACTGTACCTTGAACCGTTATCCTTTTTGTGATTGTTGTAATCTTGTCTCCAATTTGTATTCCCTATATCTTGCGTACTATTGTGTCAATTACCATAGCCGCCATTTGTGCTACTCGTCAAAACCAAGGAACAGTAGACCGCTTGAACGGGGCCCGCCACATCCGCCACACTGCTTTGTGGCATAATTTACTATTATTTGGTGCCTGAACCTGTGCACGGAATCGCGATTCACGACTGAGCTGGGAGCCCACCGCGCATTGTATTTATACCTCTCTTTCTCTCTTCCTCCTCTATTGCTCTACTTGCTCCCCATGGCGTCCAGCGAACTGCTTCAACAGATTCAAGCTGGAAAGAGACTGAAGAAGTCACAGACGAATGACCGTAGCGCGCCAGCTGTCGATAAACCTAAAGGTGGGGGTGGTGGAGGCGGAATCTCCCTAGCAGGCGGAGGTGGTGGTGGTGGTGGTGGAGGAGGAGGAGGAGGCGGAGGTGGTGGTGGTGGTATGGCAGCTGCTATGGCAGGTGGAGGCCCTCCCCAACTCGGTGGTCTGTTTGCTGGAGGTATGCCGAAGCTCAAGCCTGCAGCGAACAATCTAGGTGCGTTTATATGAATGTGTATGTGGTCGTGATATTTATCTCTGACATCGCGAACAGGAAAACCTCCAACGCTGGGCAAACCACCGTCGATACCCAACAGAAACGGACCATCCCCCAAACCCCCAGCGCCATCAGCACCGGCACCACCTGCGCCTCCAAACCGAGCGCCGCCCAGGAAGCCTACTGCTCCTGCACCTCCGCCTCCCCCAGCAGCGCCGCACCTGCCTTCTCGTGCGCCACCGCCGCCTCCTGGGCCACCCTCGGGTGGTGCTGCACCTCCGCCGCCCCGTCGACCCGTCCCTCCTCCGCGAGCCTCGAGCCCTGAGAAGAGACCGCCGCCAGCCATCCCGCCCCGCACCGGTTCGCCCCAGACTCGTCCGGTATCTGCAGCCATTCCCGCTCGAGCAGTTCCTGCCATCCCATCCCGGAACAGTCTCCAGCCTCCCGCACCCCCTGCTCGCAAGGCTCCTCCTCCCCCGACTCTTCCAGGCCGTGCTCCTCCACCCCCTCCACCAGCCAGACCACACTCAGTCGCGCCTATACCCCCAGCTCGTTCACAGTCTGCTGCTCCTGCCCCCCCTGCGCGTTCTGTACCAGCCCCACCCAGTCGTAAACTTCCGTCTGCGAATGGCAATGCTCCTTCTGCGCCAACACCGCCCCCTGCCCCTCTTGCTCCTCCACCACCACCGCCCTCCCGTGCAAGGACGGTTTCGGAGGCAGCTCCTCCGAGTCTCGCACCACCATTACCGGCGTCGGCATCACCAGCCAGACGTAGTTTAGCACCCCCACCGCCGCCGGGAGCTCCGTCCTTGAGGAACAGAACCACGTCTGCTTCCCTGCCGCCAAGCAGACATGTCTCGACTCCGCCGGTCAACGGGACGGCTCCCACGGCGCCACCGAGCAGAAAGAGTACGTATCCAGCTCATATGTCGTGTGCTACCAGATTCCTGACTTTGTTATCTTTCATTTTGCAGTCCCTTCACCACCTCCGAACGCGGGAACACACATCTTTCCGACCGACTTTCCCCCGCCTCGGACATTCCAGCGGAGCGTGAAACAGTATGGCGACGGACGCCAGCGAGGCAGTAATTTCGATTTGAACCAGCTATGAGCTTTCGGACACGTCTGCTTGTCGTATAGCATGTAACTTAGCCTCTAGAAATTACGCCCTAATCACAGCGCCACCTCGTACTCATATGCCTACTCTGATGTTCATGTGCGTCTCAACGCAGTGTGATACTGAATCAGCGGACCTGGAAAGAAATGGAGTGATGGGCCTATGCAGTCTTTGATGAACCCAACAGAAATGCTGTGTGTCATACGAACTTATTCGTGCCCGAGCCCGATTCGAAAGCGCTGGCGTTCCAGCTCACAAAGTACTAGTGACACGTCAGTCGAACCTCCCCGTGCCTACATAAGACGCGCTGAGCAGACGAGACGTGGCACGCATTACCGCCCGTCCCCCCCTTCCTTCCTCCTTCACCACCACCACCTCGACGACGACAAACACAAGATGCGTTTCTCGTCGTTCGTTTCGTCTGTGTCCGTCTCTGCGCTCTTGCTTGCTTCGAGCGTCCTCGCCGACGATGCCTCGGACGTCATTGATTTGACTTCGTCCAACTTTAAGTCGGTCGTCGACCATGAGCCGCTCATGCTCGTAGAGTTCTTCGCACCCTGGTAGGTTTATCTGTTTCCTCATACGTCGAAGTAATAACCTGACCGTGGATGGTAGGTGTGGACACTGCAAGGCTCTTGCTCCTCACTATGAAGAGGCTGCCACTTCACTGAAGGAGAAGAACGTGAAGCTCGCAAAGGTCAACTGCGTTGACGAAGCAGACCTCTGCCAATCCCACGGCGTTCAGGGATACCCGTACGTTCATTCTTTCTGTAGCTGCCGGTCATATTTCCGTCTAACGTCCTCTCAGCACTCTGAAAGTCTTCCGGAGCGGTGAAGCCACAGACTACACCGGTCCCAGGAAGACCGACGGTATCATCAGCTACATGGTCAAGTAAGTCCCCAAGCTTCCCTCTATCCTCCCGCCCAGTTCTCATGCTAAAATGTTGACGTGTTCACAGACAATCTCTCCCCGCCGTCTCCGACGTAACGTCCTCCAACCTCGAAGAATTCAAGACCGCCGACAAGATCGTCGCCATCGCCTACGTCGCCTCCCCAACCGACGCTCCCGCCTCAGAATTCAGTGCCGCGGCCGAGAAACACCGCGACGACTACCTGTTCGGTCTCTCCACCGACGCCGACGCCTTCAAAGCCGAGGGCGTCACTCCCCCCGCCATCGTCCTCTACCGCTCCTTCGACGACCCGAAGACTCCCTACCCATACCCCATAAAATCCACCACCGTCGACGAGCTCTCTTCCTGGCTGCTCGACCTCTCGATCCCCATCATCGACGAAGTCAACGCGGAGAACTACGCGACGTACTCCCAGAGCTCGAAACCCCTCGCGTACGTCTTCCTCGACCCCTCCGTCGCGGAGAGCAAAGAGGAAACGATCAACTCCATCAAGCCCATCGCGGCCGAATACAAATCGACTCTAAACTTTGTCTGGATCGACGCCGTCAAATTCGGAGACCACGCCAAGGCGCTGAACCTCGTCGAACCCAAGTGGCCGAGCTTCGTCGTGCAGGATATCGGGAAACAGCTGAAGTACCCGCTCGATCAGACGGCGGACCTGAGCGCGGAGGCGGTCAAGGAGCATGTCGCGGCGTTTGTGGAGGGACGGTTGCAGCCGCAGTTGAAGAGTCAGCCGATTCCGGATAGTCAGGATGAGGCGGTGTTCACGCTCGTGGGCAAGCAGTTCGATGAGGTCGTGTTCGACGATTCGAAGGACGTGTTCGTCGAGTTCTACGCCACCTGGTGCGTTTTCTCTTCTGTATCCTATCTCACGTCATAAATTATCCTGACCTGTTTGATCCTACATCTACATTAGGTGCGGTCACTGCAAGCGCCTGAAGCCCACCTGGGACTCCCTCGGCGAACGCTTCGAACACGTCCGCGACAGCCTGCTCATCGCGAAGATGGAAGCAACAGAAAACGACCTGCCCGCCTCCGTACCGTTCCGCGTCGCAGGGTTCCCGACGATCAAGTTCAAGCCTGCCGGCTCGCGCGATTTCATCGATTACGACGGGGACAGGTCGCTCGAGAGCTTGATCGCGTTCGTGGAGGAGAACGCGAAGAACCCGTTGGTGCCGAAGCCGGCGGCGGCGGCGCAGAACGAGACGGTGGAGAGGGAGATACCGGGGGAGGAGGGTGCGCAGCATCATGATGAGTTGTGAGTGACTGTTCGTTCGTGAGGGTGTGTGTGGACGGAGATCGTGAGGGTGTGGTGGATGGGTGGGGTGTGTAATCTGAGGCGGACGATCATGAGGACGTGCGTGGAGGTGGTGGTGGTGGTGGTGCGCTTTGCCCTGTTACAGCCTCCGTGCTGAAAATCGGTGCTTGGAGAGTCATAGTCATAGTAGTTGTTAGCGGATCGTCTCTTGAATTTCGAGCTCTGTAATCTTGTTCGCTTTCGATCGGAACGGCTCGTCGATTATCGTAGTGCACGCTTATCAAAATATTTATTCTCTTTTTTCCTGCTCAATTTCCCTGTGTGCTATACATGTTCGAAGTGGTTGGAGTAACCGGGAAATCACCGAGGACTAGATAAGTATGTTCAGTATGAGGGTGATGAGTCTCACAGTGCGTGGTTTTCCGTTTCCATGCACGAAGGGGTGGATAGTAGTAAGTTATGGCCGGATATACCGAAGTACATTCCTCTACCACGATGATCAGACACTCTTACTCATACGTAGTTCACCACAACCACTAGTCGCAATTCACACCGAAACTTATCGGACCTGAGCGAAAGTGTTCAATGTTTTGCTAGCGGAAAACAACATGATCCATTTCGATGGTTTCGATACAGCAAGGTACACCTTCTTTTGCGGACAACCTTCCCCAGCTACACTCACGTAGAGACCAAAACAAAAAGACAAAGAAAAGAAGAACAGGGGCCGGAAAACAACAGGTAGTGACACAAAGTAGGGTGGGAGGACGGCAACTAAAAAGCGGAGGGAAGAGCAGTTTAGAGCTTGACCTCCTTGAGACCATCCTTCCAGAAGGTGAAGTAGGCTAGAGAAGATGCGAGATTCAGTTAGGTATGGGGATGGGAAGTGGTGAGGAGCGGATAACGTACGGGTGACACCGTCCTCGCGGTAGTTGAGGAGGGCAACCATGCCATCGGGGTTCATGGACTCGCCGGTGTACTATTCACGGGGAGTATGAGTACCGAGAACCAACCAAGAATAGTGAAAAGAGATGAACGTACGAATTCGTAGTCCTTGAAGTTAGCGACGAGCTTTTTGGCGAATGCCTGGGCGCCCTTCTCGAAGGCCTCCACACGGTCGGGGTTCGTCTCGGCGAGCTTGGTCTTGACGGCCTTCATGTAGCCCTACACACAGATGAAATCGACCGCCAAAAGGAGAAAGAACGGGATAAGATGATAATTAGATGAGAACGATCCAGATATGGACAGAACTGTGTGTGTGTAGACGAACCTTGAGGTAAGTAAGGAAGGACTTCTTGTCGAAGGAGGTGGATTGGAGACGGAAGGAGTAGACGACGTTGTTGACCTGGGTGGCACCCTCCTCGAGGGCTTCATCCTGCTCCTCGGCGGACGGGTTGGCGCCTAGTATACAAAGATGGCAAGGAGCAGTGCGGTCAGCTTCGGCGTGAGTGTAGCATACGGATGCTCGCTGGAGACGAACCGATATCGATATCGGCACCGGCCTTGACGGTGGTCAGCTGGCAATCTACCTCATAGACGATGTCGTCGACGAGCTTGCTGAAAAAGTGAAACGGGACGAAAAAAGACAAGTGAGATGGAGCAAAGATTTGTGTGAGAGCGGGGAACATACATGGGGAAGGCATCAGAGAACATCTCATCGTCGGTAAGAACGTCGGAGTACAACAACATGGTGGAGAGTGGATGGGTGGAGAGAGCTGAGAGACGGTGAAGGGGATGGAGAGGCGAAGATGAGGGGGAGAGCGCGAAGCACTTTCAAAAGTTTTGATCCATCTCGAAATCGATCTCCGACACACGTGACCAGGCCCTCACTCTCCGCAAAAAGTCGGTTTGCGCTGTTCGCGAGCTCGATGGACTACCAGCCCGTCCTCGTCCAGAAACACGCAAGGCCAGCGCCCCCGCGGCACAGCGCAGACTCTCGCTACTGGCGACAGTTCAAGCATCCCGTCTTCGTCAAGGAGTACGCCCCAGTCACCTCCGTTCACTTCGCGCCCTCCAAGCCACACCGGTATGCAGTCACCGCCGCCACACGAGTGCAAATATACGCACCGCGCACACAGAAGATCACAAAAACTATCTCGAGATTCAAGGATGTTGCACGGAGTGGGTCCATACGCGCAGACGGAAAGCTGCTCGTAGCCGGCGACGACAGTGGCCTCATACAGGTTTCTTGCTTTCCTTTCGTATCCTGCCTCAGACGCTCACAACTTTTCTACAGATTTTTGACGTCAATTCTCGTGCCATCCTCCGAACACTAGAAGGGCACAAACAACCTGTCCATGTCACCAAATTCTCTTCTCTTGACCAAACCCAGGTCCTCTCATGTTCTGACGACACTACCGTCCGACTATGGGACGTTCCCTCCCAGTCCCCAATAACCATCTTCCAGTCCCATACCGACTACGTCCGTTCCGGACAAGTCTCCACCACTGACCCACATCTCATCCTCACCGGCTCATACGACGGTACCGTCCGATTATTTGACACCCGCACAGGAGAATGCGAGATGCTCATGGGTGCAGTGGGAGACTCGCATGCGGCACACGGCTCTACACCCGTCGAACAGGTCCTCATGTTTCCCTCTGGGACCGTGGCTCTCTCATCTGCCGGGTCAATTCTCCGAGTATGGGATCTCGTCGCTGGTGGTCGATGCACCAGGGCGCTCTCAAATCACCAGAAGACGGTCACTTCGCTCGCGTTCAACTCGAATGCGTCTCGAGTGTTGACTGGTGGGTTGGATCATATGGTGAAAGTGTACGATGTCTCGAATTATAATGTCGTACATACCATGCGGTACCCCGCACCAGTTCTTTGTCTTGCTGTTTCTGTGCGTATCAAATTTCCTCTCTTCCGTACTTCGTCGACCTGACCCTGTTCCTCAGCCTGATGACACGCACATAGCCGCTGGCATGTCCGACGGTACCCTCTCCGTCCGTCGACGCCAGCCAAAAGCCTCAGAAGCCTCAGCCGCAGACGGGCCCTTCTCCGCCGCCTCTCTCCGCGCAGGCACATTCGAGTCTTTCCTCGGAGGTACGATACCCAATCTCGGTCAGCTCCAGATCAAAGACAAGACAAAAGCGAGGCCGGTAGGGGACGTGGATGAGTTCAAGGTGGAGACGAAGAGGAGGAAGAGGCTGAAGGAGTATGATAGGTTGTTGAAGACGTTCAAGTATTCTGCGGCGTTGGACTCTGTGTTGCGCAAGGTGAGTCTGCCTGCTTTCCCTTTCCTTCTTGTCGCGGGTATACAACTGATGCGAAAATTTTCATTGGTAGCAAATCCCACCAACGACGACGTTCGCTCTCATCCAAGAGCTTATCCACCGTGATGGATTGCGCAGTGCACTCGCCGGTCGAGACGACGTTCTTCTCGAGCCAATATTACGCCTCCTTCTGAAACATGTCTCCGACCCACGATTCGGCGAGATGGTATGCGACGTCGCAGGCGTCGTCATCGGTACGTCTCCCTCGTTCGCTTTCGTCTTCGTGACAGTTCCCGAAGTACTAACTCTATCACCATTGCAGAGATGTACACTCCCGTTCTCGGTCAATCACCGCTCATTGACACCCTCTTCCTCCGTCTCCGCAAAAAGGTCGCGGCAGAGCTTCGTTTCCAGAAGGAGCTCGTCAAGGCCAAAGGCGCACTCGACATGGTCTTCGCGACTGCCGCGCTTTCCGTCTCGTAGCTCACTCCCCATCCGTTGTAGACGACTGATTCTGTACGTCTTGCTACATACGTGTAGCATGTGTATCTTATTTCTTGGCGAAAAGTATCCTAGAGGGTCGTATAATGAATCTGGAAAAGTCACCAGTACTATCATCTAGCATCAAACAAAAGATTTGTTGTGGGTATACAGAGGTCCAGACTAGCAACCTTCGAGAAAGTCGACGAGGTGTCCCAAGATCTCTTTTTGTGTCGGTGCGATGTCTTGCCCGTTCGGAGCGCCATCGACGTCCATGCGATCGGGAGGAGTCTCTTCCGTGATATTGTCGCTGTAGACCCGAAGTGTGGCGACGATATCTTTGAAGGAGCGGTTTCGACGGTCCAACATCTGTTTCGCGTGTGCTCGGATCTAAGACAAAGAAGTGACAAGAACGTCAGACTCAACGCACGAAACGAACAAGTATTCGAGGTGAGACTTACCCCATCATCCTCCATCATCACCCACGCCAAAATATAATCCACCATCTGCAGCGTATAAAGCCCTCCATCAAGCCTCCTCAAATACCACACGTCTTCCTCCTCATCCACCTCCTCTCCATTCTCCCTCACCACCTTCTTCTCCGCCTCGATCTCCTTGTCCACGACTTTCAACCGCGAGTGCGCAGACTCGCGCACGTCGAGTAGTTTGTCCGTTTTTTCGTAGTTCGATTCTACGAATTTGGCCAGGAGGCGGATGCGGGAGGGGGAGTCGGAGGGCAGGTTGGAGAAGAGGGAGGAGAGGATGGAGAGGATGTGGGTTGTGTCCTCGGAGGCGGGGGTCGAGGATGATTTTGACTTCTTCGAGGCCTGGAGGAGGCAGAAATTAAGGTGGGAGGTGATGAGACAAGACGAAAAGGGGTTTTTTCCCGGCGAGGTGGCTGGAAGATTTGAGTTAACGCACCTTGCCCATGAGAGCGGAGAACAAATATTTGAGACCCATCGCCTCCACGAAAGTTTCGCAACTCTCGGTACCAGCTTGACCTGACATGGCGTGGTCCAGAGTTTTTATGGACCGCGACCGTGACTGCATCTTCTCTCTATGAAATGCTGGTGTTAGCAGATAATCCGCGAAATGACATGATGGTGAGACACGAACTTCATCATGAGCACCAATAAATCGACACCTTCGCTCTTGAGGAAGAGCTCCTTTATTTCTGGTTCGACCAGTGCAGAACATAGAGCATCGAAGATATTCTCCATGAACTCCGTTTCGTCAGCATCCGCCGGATCTCTGCGCCTGAATTGCTGTACACATGTTATTAGAAGTGTGCAATTATGCTCATTGGAAGGAAGACATACCGAAGCGACCTTAAGTAACACTTCCACTCCATCCTTCTTGCCCAGCTCGAGCCTATTAGGCCGACTGTCCTGCATAAGAATGGAGAGCAGCTCGGCGGCATAGCTGCGATTGTCGTCATGCGCTTTCTCTTGGATTCGCTTCAGCATCCAGCTGAGAAGCGACGTTTTCGAGATGAGGAGCTCTGCGAGTTTGGGTCTGGACCCGACGATGTTCTCGAAGATACCCAGAACATGATATATGCCCTGTCGGTCTGCCTCTTCTGCCTCGTTGAAGCGTGTCATGTTGTCCACCAGGAGTTCCAATATTGAGTTTTCCAGCTGCAGTCATTTCAAGGGGTCCGTCAGTGTTAGCGTGCATGTATACGGTTAGATGGGACGCACCAAAGCATCAATCAATGTTTTCAGAGCTGCCTCGCTATCCTCTCCTTCATCCTCATCCTCGCCTTCGTTGCCAACATCTTCGTCCGTGAGCTCGTGCACGAGTTCGATGATATCCAGAGCGATGTCCGCATTCTCATGGCTAAGAAGACCGACAATAGTTGCTACTTGGCCTGAGCGCACGAGGTCCGGATAAGCCAATGAAGGTACTTGGGCAAGGGGAAGTAACGCCTTGATGGCGCTGTCAAGGTCTGCTTCGGAGTCGATAAACCTAAAAGTGCAAATACAAACAAAGAAACGTTTAGAAAGTTGTGATATGAGAAAAAGATGTTGACCCCCTCACTTCGTAGGATCATCAGGGTATTTCGAACGTTGATCCTGGTTCCTGTTCGCAGCCTTCTCGAACCTCAATAGCAGCTTCCGAATGCCGGTTGCATTCAGCGTCTCCGTCTACCAAATACAGTAAGTCATGCATAGTTCCAAGACAATAGTTAGCGGAGACAACGCACGTCGTCCGGCGCACCTTCGCCCGCATTCTCAAATATGTTGAGGATCTCCTTCTGCTCGCTCGTCAGCCCTCCACCGAAGAACCGTCCCTCATCATCCTCCTCCGTGAAATAGTCCGCGTCTCCACCAGGCGCAAAGTCTCCCGCTCGTTCCTCAGCTTCAGCGTCTTCATCCTCTTCGTCTCGGACATAGGCGCGTTTTGGACCGGACTTCGAGGCGGATGAGGACGCGCCTTTCGGTGGTGGGGGTGGTGCCATGGATGATGGACCCGCTGCACTGGCCATGGAGTCAGAGTCGAACTTCATTTTCTTGAGCATTTCGGGAGTTGGAGCATCTGGCATGCGCCTTTTGTTGCCGCCTGTGGGCAGCTTTGGGACCTGGGGAAATTGGAGGTGGCGAGAGCGCGTTCTTAGCAAAGTCTACAAGATAGATTCTTTAGACATAAGACTCTACCTTGAATAGTTTGTCAATATCCATATTGCTAGAACGTGTAGATGCGCGAGTGTTGCCTGGGTTTGGTAAGAGTAGGGTACAGTATGTAGTACGTTGGGATTGAGAGCACTCAGGCCACAATTGGTGTGGACAGCGAACCGATCAGCCAGCTGCTCGGATCCTACGTCGTGCTTACGTTTATGTTGAAACTAACATCCGGATTGTGCCGAGCGGAGTAACCAACGGTCGCACAAGTTGAACGCCACTTTCGAGACCCTGACCCCATCCGAATCCACCTCAAACCTTTCACAAGGATGAAGAAATGGCTGTATCTCAGTCCAATTGATCTTTGAAAACACCATTTCGATGTAAATGCATACACATCTACCTGAAACACGACGGAGTGCGATCCCTGATAAGTAAGTGGGACTTTCGCCGGATCCTTGCAGGGAATATAATGGATCGGATACGGTCAGCCCCTTCTGTCGTTACCCTCAGTCTGACAGCCGTTTTTTAAAACTTCAGATAAACCCGATAGTCCCTCTGATTCAAGCAGCTCGTCCAGTGGGCTTCCTCGTAGTGAACGACGAGAGAGACTCGGAGCTTAGTGTGAGTACCTGCGCCTGCCTGCGCACAATGAAGGTCTCCATCAGACGTGCAGAGTTAAGCAGCACTTGTAGAATTTTCTCCGTCCTTTATGTTTTTTTAGAGAGCGGACGGATGACTGGCACAAGTTTCGTTAACACCGTCAACTGGTTTGTCCTTTTCGCCCTTCAGGACCACCCTCTTCAGAAGCGTATTCGAACTATCTCAAATCATTGACTTCTATCTCGTATAAAGGACGAATCATCAGGGTCTCTCATTCCCGAGGGTTCCTAGCGTCGATACAATGCTGAACTTGAATCGCACGTTGTTCCTAACGTTCTATGGCTGCTACGAGGAGAACGTACCTCTTGTCTTGTACGTCTCTTCCTCTCACGTTTTGTGATTCTGGATGCGTCTCATCCTGTCTCATCATATCAAACGCACAGGTATGCCGCCGGCACCGGTGCATCGCACACGGCATGCTCAAATATTAGTGCCACTGCCAGGTCCGTCGACCCCTTCGCATTGCTTTGGTATGTTTTTTGGACGAGCTGCTTACCAACTCCTCGACCATCTGCAGCTTGACCAACGCCCAATTGATAATTCTCTGGAACATCACTCTGTCCCTCTACTCTCAATCCCATGTTTCCAACATCATCAACTCTATAAGCTTCAAGTCAGACTGGCCATCCTGCATCGCATGCAGCGTCATCTTCCAATCTATCAAACGCCTGAGCATAAAGGTCCCGGATGCCTATGAAACTGTTTCAACGATTACTGTTCGAATGGCGAGGTCGACAATAGTCAGCCTGGGTTCTTGGTGCCTTCCTTGCTGTTGAATCCTAATGCATCTTTTTGGGAGTGGAACTTGTCGTTTGATGGCGGTGGCGGGGAGTAGAGGCTGATCGCTCTATGTCATTTTCCTAGCGGTGTCTTACTTTTCATGCACACTACCGCCGTGTGTACTAGCCTTGACCGACTTTCCCTGTCGGATCGCTAGACGTCGCTCGAACAACATCTAGGATTCAATCTCGCCTCTGTCGGCAGCCAAGGCCTCTTGTTGTCATTCCAAACTCCTTGTTCGTTCTCGCTCAGCTGAGTTTCCCTTTCGCGTTTGAGCTCCTCGCAATCAGGTCGTTATTCCGTACTATTCCTCCATTATTGGCGTACATTCTCTTGGTCTCATCAAGTATCTCTTCACACGTCTTCAAGCCGGGATGCGCAAGTAGACTACATGTGAGGGTGTATCAAATACACCATATACCACCTCTGTTGTGCATGGGGCTCGACCTCGTCAGCACGAACAGAACGAGGATCTGGGTAGCCAAAACACCCTGTTCTGACGGAACTCTAGCCTGGCATCCGTCACCCATCCTGGTCTTATGACTACTATCAGTGGCCCTATGTTCGGACAAAACCGATGTTCGGACAGTCCGAGAACTCGCCCAATACTGCACTGTTTCGCCCAGTTCAAAGGTCCATAAATCATGTTAAATGGTCTACAGACCATATCCGCAGTCGTTTGGATGCAGTTGTGGCAGCGGGATGTCGAACGGGGAGGGGTCGGTTCGGACACTTTGGCGGGCGCGGCTGTCCGAACATCGATCCCGCTCGTCAAACAACTATCTTCCTCGCATTATTTCTCGTAGAAATTTGTACGGACATGTAGCTAATGTAGAGAGCATATGTTCTGCTGAGTTTCATCTCGAGAGGACTCGAAATGCGGGAGCTAGATTTTTTCTTGTCGGAATTGTCCGAACATAGGGCCAGGGACAGGTTTTTCGAAGCGGCCCATCGAGGCGCTTATCGCTCGACGAGTAGTGGGGCTCATCGAATCTACAGATCTCGGAGAGCTCCCAGCCTGCCATGTACGGTAGCTCGCGAGGGTTGTCCTCGCTATAGATGGCAAGCCCCACCATGACATCAAACTCCCTCGTCGAGCCCACGGCCCCACCTGCTCATCGAGCCCGCTCGTCGAGCGGCTTCGAAAAACCCCTAATGCACCTTCAGCAACTGGTTGAATAAGTACTCTCATTAATGCTGTACTGTAGGGAGAAAATGTAATGGCGAAAAGGAAAAGCAATTACACTAGAAATTCACATAACCAATCAAAGTCTGAAGAAGGACATTGGCAAGCAATAAATTACACATATACATATCATGAAATGACTCGAGCTCAAGCCATTCCTCACGAGCACACCCTCGTGACTCTGCTACATCTCTCGATCGTAACCGGATGCCACCAAGCTCCAGGAAATGGTCTCTTGCATGGGTCCGATATTCATACAGCGAAAGAAAAGCTCGTCTCGTTCTTTAGAGATAGAGCGGAACCCATTTTTGCTATGGTGGACGTTCCGAGTGTGGTGGGCATTCTTTCCGACGAATCTAGAGAAATATTGGCCGCTATTTCCCTGGGTTCGACGCAATCTGTGAGTGTCGGGGGTGGAGCAAATGCCATAGTACCTGTGACTTCAGACACAGTTTGACTTGTCCACCCCCTTCCCATTGCGACGCGAAGGAGGATCATCTGGGGAGAAATCGCCTGTCACCAGCACGCCAACGGTTATCATCAGCATTCAATAGGCCCACAGGTCTGTCACGCAGAGAAAAATAGTCTGTACTCACGCAAAAGGCACCCCACACGAACGCGAATGCCGTCGCGATGGAGTCATTCCTGACGTAGGTCACCAAGAAAGCGATGCCGAGGAGGGTAAATGGCAAGGCGCTTTCGATAAGAATGGCCATAATGTTGGTATACATGGAGGCCATCTCGGGAGATAAGACGGAGCGAACTTGACGACGCATAAAGAGGAGGCGACCACATATCATGGATGTCAATATGATGTTTAGGCTGACGGTGAGCGTGACCCAGGGGACACCGAAGTTTTCAGATTTGCCATCCAGGATAAAGCCGCCGGGAAGACTGCTTTGGACTACAGTGACAATTGCCATAGCTGCTCTTAACATAAGTGTCCATTACTTCACGGACAGAGGGGTGGGATACGACTTACCAGTCGACGCCACATACAGGATGGAAGGGAAAAGGATGATCCATATGTTGGAGCCCCAAATCATGTAGCAGCGGTATAGCTGTAAACGAAGATGATAATGAGGAAGCTGCTTTTGTAGAGCCGCTGACACATAATACTGACCAAGAGTTCATCACCCATGACGTTAGTTGCAACGTCTGCAGCAGAGCCGAGCACATTGAGCCATGCCGTGGTCGTGGCATTAAAATACCCTCCCTGAGTAGGTGGTTTTTCCGTTATCGCTGCTTTGTGGGGAATACTGATAGATGCCAATGAAGGGCTGAGCGCTGAGCTAAACGTTTCAAGTTCGATAAGTTCGGTTATATCGGCGGCAACAGTCGAGCCTGGGGCGCTGCGCTATGTGTGAACTGGTATCAGAACCCTACTTCGAACGTAGGAGTCCTTGAAGAATGGAACACACGTAACCTCTCGTGGGTGATCAGGCTTCCCATCTGTGAACGACGCCTATTTTACCCCAACGCAGAGATCCTACACGTTAGTACCAATCCGCTATGTTCGAAACCAACCGACTCACACTCCGTGGATGGAGACCAAGCGACATGGATGCTTTCCTCGCTATGCTTTCTGACTACGACGTCCTCGCTCCAATGGTACCAACATACATTGTTCCGGGCATTCGAGAGATTCAAGCCTTGGTGGAGAGCTGGGTCAGCCTTGCGCTTTTCGTAGTGGTTGAGAAAAAGGAGAGCGGGGAGTTTGTGGGGATGGCTGCGTTGAAGATAGATATTCCAAAGAATGCGGACGCTGAACTTGGAATATGTCTCGTCAAGAAGTGCTGGGGTCAAGGATATGGGACCGAGATCATGGAATGGCTGGTCGGATATGGATTCAAGGGGATGGCCTTGCACAGGTTCTCCCTTGGTCTCTTCTCCTTCAACAACCGGGCCCTGTCGCTGTATAAGCATTTGTAAGTGAGCCTCTTTTCACACAACTGGCCTCCTAACATCGTTGGGCCAGTGGTTTTACTGTAGAAGGAGTAAAACGCGAAGCTCTTTGGTTCGAGGGAAAAAGGGCTGACATAATGTGGATGGGACTTTTGAAAGCAGAGTACGAAGAGAAGTGTCGAGCGGCACAGGCCTAATATCGCTCTCGGAGGCTCAGGCAAGTGACCCATGTCTTTGCGCTTGTTTATGCTTATTTGTGCTTCAGATTTCAAAGCCGTTGTGGCGTTGTCTAGTGAATGCGTAGTTCCTGTTCTGTTCCAATCCCGCAGTCAACCAATTCGATTGACACTTACGCCGCCTTTCACAGCCTCTCAAACGGCTTAACGTGGTGGTCCCCGGTTGTACCGTGTGTCTGATGAATATCGTTGGAACGGCGAGGTCGACGATAGTTGTCCTCTTGGTGCCTTCGTTGATTCTTAGCCCCGCATTGTCACTTGAGCCTTATGGTGGTAGCAGGTAGCGAGGAGTGAGTACCATCATGTGCGAGGAGGACGAGGTTTCACAAACACTCGTGTACTCGGATTGGTGTCTCAATCCTATTTACCTTTGTAGTCTGTGAAATTCCAAACCCTTGTTTTGGAGATTTTTCGGTCGACGCTCGTGTTACTCTGCGCTCAAGTACGATTATTGTATGTGCCCAGCACTACATCAAAAACCCCAAAATGAAGTAACATCCAGAGTACAACGGTCAGCAAGCTCAGTTCCCTGTGACTCCCAGCGCGCTCCTCAACGAGTCTACCAAGTCCCAAGCGTCCGTATCACCATGCACATCAAACATATTGACACCAAGCAACCCCTTCTGCTTCACAAGGTTCGCTTTCAACCCAAGGCTCTGCATATCATCATACGCAATGACCTGCTTCTGGCTCGCCGACCTCAAGAACGGTGTACTCGAACATGCGTCCCAGTCCCTCACGAACCCACCACATCCGACGTAACTCTTGGGTGACGAGCCTGGAGCGAGACAGAGAGCCCCTTGTTTGACGAGATCGGTGAATTGGATGGAGCCCTGGTCTTGGCCGTCTTCTCCCACCAGACGCACGTTCTTCTTCGCATCCTGAGATAATGTGGAGTTGGTGGGGAAAGTGCCGTTGGAGGGGGAGGAATCGTCTGAGGGGGCGGTACTGTTGTCGAGAGTAGGAGGACCCTGATCCGTAGGACCTTGACCATCTAGTTGACGTTGGCGCAGGCGAGTAGCACTGGACCTGGAGATGTAGCCATAGGAAGGGACGCCGAGGGTCATCTGATTTGCGGGGAAGCCAGCACCCGTCCAAGCTCGGATGGCAGCATCTGCGCTTGCGTCAGGCTGGGTGGAATTGTGGCAAGCGTCACTGAGAGGCGCATCGGGCCCAGGATTGGATGCAGCTGGAGGGAGTAACAGTGGAGTCAACGACGCAGAAGTTGAGAAGAAAATCCGCGAAACTCACCACCCCACACGTCGTAGTTCATGATCAAGATCCAGTCCAACACCTTCGCAAAAGCAGAAACGTCCTTCATAGGTTGTCCATTCTGGTCGACAAAGGGCGTTGTTTGAGTCGCAGCGGTGATACGAGCGGTCGGGGGCAGGGATGATCGAAGAAGCGTTAAGAACTGGAGGAAGTTGGCGGAGTCTTGGGGGCTGACTATGTTTCCGTCGTTACCTCCCTGGCCAGGGTACTCCCAATCAATATCAATCCCGTCGACGTTGAACTGATGGTAGAGGTCTGCGATGTTCTTGACGAAGACATGACGGTTCTGATCGTTCGCCACAGCTTTCGAGAAGTACCTTCAAGCATCATGTCAATTCCTGGTGGCCTCAATGTGACGAGAAAGAAAACAAAACTCACTTGCTTCCCGTCCAGCCACCGATGCTCAACTTGACTTTCTTCCCTTTTCCATGAGCAAGGGAGACCAGTCTCCCTAATAGATCTGGAGCAGAACTCGAGCCGTCCCAACCAAGTCCATAGTTCTGATCCGGTACTGCGAACGCAAAGTCGATCCAGTCAAAACGGGAAAAGTCGATCTTTTCCGGAGGGAAACTGTCCGCGACCCAGTCGGGATAGTAAGTCATGACTAGTGGTCCAGAAACCGGACGTCTGGTCGCGTCGGTAGGAGTGTTGCTGGTATCGTTCGAAGCTAGGCCAGGATCGTCGGTAGAAGTTGGACCAGTAGCAGAGGCAGTGGTAGTAGTGTTTGGTGTCGGATACCAAGCAGACGGGACAACAGCGGGAGGGAGGAAGTAGATAGGCTCGCTGTCGACAGTGGTGGGTGTGCTGCCGGCGGTGACAGTGACCGTGGTCGGGACTGTCTCGGTCTCGAAAACCACTTCAAAGAGGGTCTGTGACCCAGCTCTCTCCTGAACTATTCCAGAGTCTTTGAGAGGAAGAGGAGTACAGTGCACCAAGGGTTGGAGATAAAGCAGGGACGCAGTGGCAAGGGACAGACGAAACATTATATGACAACGTATCAAAGAGAGTGGATTTGTCGTAGACTTTTGGAAGTAATGGACCAGCCGATTGGGAAGAAAGAGAGAATGAGAGCTCTGGGTAGCAATTTACTGTCTTATATACAAACAATTATCGGATGAAGCACTCCTTGTGAGTCCAACCGTAGGCTGACACTGCACCGGGCTGCCAGGCTTGCTCAAGTTCAAGTTGCCTAAGACATTTCATGCACTCTGAGATACGAAGTAAGACGCCTGGGTCTAGACCAATCTGATTTTATGCTAGCAATAACCAGGGAGTATCCAGCAAAAAGAGTGCAAGGAGCTGCAAAACTAAAGGACCTTACAGCATGGAGTCGGATGATGATGGTAGCAGCCTGAGGGCTCATCCCAAGTTGCCACAGTGAAGCGGAGGCCGTGCGAGCGGTGGCGCGTGGCGGTACGTAACCTAAAATCGAGATTGAACTGTCGCAGAAGTTAGAACTCTGCTCATGCCCAATCAGTCCTCCCTTTCGATGCAGGCATCTTTAGTATTTTCTGACTGCATCTTACCTCCACTGATTCTCTCCAGTACATGCCGAACACCTGGGTACAACACTGTAAGGAATAGTTTCGGCTTTGCCGGAAGCCCTGCCGGTGCAGAGTACAGCCAGTCGGCATGAATGGTTCCAACTAGGTCATTGCAAGGCTCGCAAAAGGAAAACTTATCGTCACAAATAGAGTCTGCTTTCTGGTCGTGTACAAAACACTGTCTATCACGAGGCGAAGTTCGCGTCATGCCCGAGTCAGCCCGGCGTTCTCTCGGAGTCTGCTTTCTTCGCCGTGTACCACTCGGACATGGCATCCATGTCGAACAACAAAATCCGCACGAATAGAGGTCGCGCCTGTTCCCTCTCCTGCGAGTACGTCTAGTTCATATGTGCTCTCTAGTTTCCATCGACCAAGACATATCTTTCAGAACGGACACCTCGCACCATCTCATAAGCTCATCTATGTCTCAGACGTGAGTACGGTACTTCTCTTCATAACCGGCGTCCTGTTCTTGATACCTCATTCACCGAGACAGACCACTTGGAACCCCTACTGCTAATGGTTATCAGAACAATGTATCCCCCTCTTCCTCTTTCCGGCCTATAGTACCCCATCCGAAGTGGACTATCGGTACTCCAGAATCGAGAGGCTTTTGGGATGATCTCAAGACTTTCCGTTGGGTCATCGTACCAAGTATGTGTTTTCATCGGTTGGCTCAGGACTGAATGATTTATCTTATATGCTTTTAGCTTCCTCTCTTCGTATGCTGCTCGTTCCAATCGTTCTCCACCTCCAATGGAAGTACATCACCCCGCTGTTCATTGATGACCCACCTCCAAGCCCGTTCGGAGCCATGCTTTTTATATCCCACCCTACCCCGTCCCCGACCGGTAACCCGAGCGATGCTCGCTATCGAAAAGGTTACCTCGATCTTATCTTCATCGCCTATCATGTCGTTTTCTTTTCCTTCCTCCGACAGAGCGTGATTCTGTATCTCTGCCGCCCTTTCGCCCAACATTTCGGGATCCGCAAGGAAGGAAAACTAGCTCGATTTGGCGAACAAGGATATGCTGTCGTCTACTTCGTTATTTCTGGTTTGTGGGGGATACATATCATGTCGCAGCTGCCTACCTGGTGGTACCGCACGGATGCTTTTTGGATTGGTCTGCGTTCCGTTTCTTTAATGGGACAATTACTAGATCTTACTACCCTCTTCAGATTATCCTCATTGGCAGATGAAGCCCAACCTGAAACGCTATTACCTTATGCAGGCTGCATACTGGTGTCAACAGTTCGTCGTGCTCGTCTTGCGCCTCGAGAAACCTAGGAAGGATTATCATGAGCTCGTCGCACACCATTTTGTCACGCTCTGGCTCATTGGGTACGTCTCTGGCCCATCTACCATCGTTCACGCCATTTTTTAATTGTATTTCTCCATAACTAGCTGGAGCTATCTCATCAATCTCACCTATATCGGTAACGCTGTCTACATATCCATGGACATCCCAGATGTCGGCCTTGCTTTCTGCTCCATTCTTAACTACCTACAGCTCGATCGCACCAAGGTCGCATGCTTCGTGGTCTTCATGGGCACTTGGGCCTATTTCCGACACTATCTGAATATCATCATGCTCTGGTCTGTCTACTCTGAGTTTGACCTCATGCCGTGCGTTGTCTTCTCTCAGCTCCACAACATATGGAGGTTGCCCCATGCTGATGATTGAACGTTGGACCTGCGATTTAGTGAGAGCAGCAAACGCTGGGCACCTGAAGATGGCGTGTGGATGGTCTGGTGGATGAAATGGCAGATATTCACGCCTCTCTTCCTCCTTCATTGTCTCAATCTCTTTTGGTTCTACCTCATCCTTCGCATCCTCTATCGGTACGTTCGTGCCTCTTTGATTTATACTCGTCTGCACTCAAAAGTACTGACTTGTACCCCTGAATATACCTTGGATTCCGAATGGGTCCGTGTAGCGCTCTTACCCAGCCCAAAGTCACTGATATCCGTTCAGACGACGAAGATGAGGGCGCCGAGAATGACGGCGAACAGGAGAAAGAGTCCGTGACTTTTGCTTGCGAAACCGGCGAATCGGATTTCGCCACAATTGATTGATTCCAGCCGTTGGACGTTGCAAACTGGTATGGTTGGAAGTTCACTAGTTGATTTAGGGAGAAAGGAAAGTCTGGGAGTCTCGCGTTGTATGCTTGAATTCCAATAGAATTCGCTCGTTGGGTGAAGCACCATAGATACATTGAGCCAGTTGACACCATATACGGCCACTGTCACGGTTGGAAACAGCGTGAAGACTTCTGCGTGTTCGGGGGACCGTATGATATGCATGACTATTCAAACAATATCTTCAATAAACGACAGGCTCCGACGAATCTGCACTTAGCTGAAGGTATGATCAGCTACATCATCCTCGTGTCGCGGCAAGATTCCCATCTATTTCCCTCGCACATCGCCAGATTGAACTAACACATTCACATCTGATCGCCGCTCGATGTCTGGAAGGGAAGAAGTCTGAAGAAGTGCAGAACCCAGATCGCTGCTGACTGGCAGGGTACCGGTGCCCCTCAGAAACGGATCTAATCTAATCTTATCGGCGAGCTCTTGGTGACGTCTCTCAACCGAAGTCGAGCGCGCTGCTTCTTGGTTGGCTGCCTCCAAGTACTTGCCCTCTCGCCGCCACTATATCTCGCATATTGGGGCCAATTGTCACTCACCTTGAAATAAGCTCTTCATATTGTCGGCCGAAATGGCTACATTTGCTGAAGGGCGATGCGCAATGAAAGGGTCGTGTGGGTCCAAGGGATGGTTTGGGAAACCTCTTCCATGTCCCTACGACGGTCCTCCGGAACAAGTGCGCCCCCCATCTTGCGACTCATAGTCTGCATACTCATAGTAGTTAATCTTTGCTCCAGCCAGATGATGAGACTCGCTCTTTGCTGGTCTCTGTCTGCGGGTCCGACTTCGCGGATGGTCCTACCTGCTGCGACGATAGCCAGCTCGAAATTCTTCGTGACAACCTCAACCAAGCAGAGCCTATCCTATCATCATGCCCTGCCTGCCGAAATAACTTCAGGTCTTTCTTCTGCCACTTTACTTGCACGCCAAACCAGGCTTCCTTTGTCAACGTAACATCAACCCAGACGTCTTCGACAGGAAAGACCGCAGTAGCATCCCTCGACTTCTTCGTCGGAGAGGAGCACGGGACGGGTTTCTTCGATAGCTGCAAGAATGTACAGATGGGGGCTGCCAACACGTATGCCATGGACCTCATCGGAGGAGGCGCCAAGGATTATCACGGCTTCTTCAGTTTCTTGGGCGAGGAGAAGGACCTCGGCAGCCCCTTCCAGATCAATTTCCCTACTACCGCGCCACCAGATATCAATCCATATAATCCTCCAGCCAGAAACTGCTGGGACAACGACCTTCTCAGTCGGTGTACGTGTATTGACTGCCCTCAAATATGTCCAGAACTTGCCCCCATTCCTGCACCCGGATCCGGGCCCAGTTGTCACGTCGGTTCCGTGACGTGTCTGTCCTTCGTACTTATCCTCATGTATTCCGCGTGCGTATTCGCCTTCTTCTTCGGATTCAGCATTCAAGCTGTTCTTCGACGTAAGAAGGAGAAGAAATACGACCAAGTATTGTCCGCAGAGACCTCGTCAGATACACCGCTTTCTCCACGAACTCACACCCATGGCCTCATCGGCGCGTCCTCATTGGCCCGTTACGTCGACGGCGAACAATCCAGCGGTCATACCGACACCCGTAGCTTAGGCCGTGGTGTGCAGCTCCTCGACCCCATAGAGACGGTTCAGCCACGGCAGTACCGTCTCAACTCAGTCCTCCGCTCCTTCTTCTACCGCCTCGGTCAAATATCTGCGTCATCTCCGTGGCTCGTCTTGGCAGGCATGTTCACTGTCGTCGGACTGTTGAATATCGGCTGGAAGAACTTCAGTGTGGAAACGGACCCCGTTCGACTCTGGGTGGCGCCCGATTCAGAGAGCAAGGTGCAAAAGGAGTACTTCGACGAGCACTTCGGTCCCTTCTACCGCACGGAGCAGATATTCGCCACCGCTATTCCCGCCACTGTCTCCCACGTTGAGGGCTCCGTCGAGCAGACAAGCACGGAATCGAAGCCACCCGTACTTTCATGGGAAACCCTAAAATTCTGGTTCAAGGTCAACTCCGATATTCGCTCTCTTACTTCTTCACCAAACGGATACCAGCTCTCCGACGTGTGTTTCAAACCCGCAGGACCGAGTGGCGCATGTGTTCTCCAATCCGTCACAGCCTGGTTCGGAGACGACATCGAGAACACCACCCCAGACGACTGGGCTAAGCGCATAGAGAAGTGTGCAAGCACCCCTGTGGACTGTCTTCCGGACTTCCAGCAGCCTTTGGGCCCGAAGTACGTCCTTGGAGGAGTCCCTGATACAGAACACAAATACTTGAATGCGGAAGCTCTGGTGATGACCGTCGTCGTCTCGGACTCTCTGGATCCGGAGGTGCAGGACAAGGCGATGGAATGGGAAAGGACTTTGCGCGAGTACCTTGTCCGACTGAGCGAGAATGCCCCTGGAGAGGTCGGGTTAGAGATCTCCTTCTCTACCGGAGTATCTCTCGAGGAGGAAATCAATAAGAGCACAAACACGGATGTCAAAATCGTCGTCCTCTCGTACCTTGCCATGTTCGTCTACATATCGTTGACGCTCGGGAACGGATTCGCGAACCAGGAGGAGGAAGGCGTTGTATCGTCAATACACAATTGGGCGGTCAATTTCCCGAAATTCTTCACCCGTTCTCACATAACCTCTTCCACCCTCTCGATTGACTCTCGCAATACTCCTCGATTTTTCCCTCGCTTGCCTCGTAAGCTGTTTATCGGATCGAAATTCACCCTCGGCCTCTTTGGTATCTCCCTCGTCATCCTATCCGTCTCGACTTCTATCGGACTGTTCTCCGCACTTGGTGTCAAAGTGACTCTCATCATCGCCGAGGTCATCCCTTTCCTCGTTCTGGCTGTCGGCGTCGACAATGTCTTCATCCTCGTCCACGAACTCGACCGACAAAATATGCTTCACGGTCCAAACGCAGCCCCGCCCGAACAGCCTCTCAATTACGCTTCCGCCACCTCCCCTATATCTCGGCGCTCGCAATTCGAGTCGCATGATGACTCCGTCGATGCTCGGTCAGTGCCGTTGTACTTGTCGCCAGAGGAGCGTGTGGCGAGGACATTAGCTAGGATGGGCCCTTCGATCTTACTGAGCACTATCACGGAGACATTCGCATTTGCGCTGGGGGCTTTAGTACCAATGCCAGCAGTCAGAAACTTTGCTCTGTATGCGGCTGGTAGTGTGCTCTTGAATGCAATTCTGCAAGTCACGGTGTTCATCAGTGCTCTCGTGCTTGATCTGCGACGGGTTGAGGTCGGACATCCACTCATCTTACTGCTGTTACGCCATCCGCTAAATCTTGATTTATGTAGTCGAACAGGGTGGACTGCTTCCCGTGCATCAGGTTGCCCTCTCGAATTCAACTCCTGGAGGCCGCCCCTACAGCAACTAGCATCGGTACACTAGCGCGACTCATTCGCAAATACTATGCTCCGTTCCTTTTGAAGCCTGTCGTCAAAGGCGTGGTGCTAGCTATCTTCAGTGGAATCTTCGTTGCATCCGTGATTTCTATGCAGCATATCGAACTCGGTCTTGGTGAATCATGTGTCCTATCCTCGAGCGTTTGGTTTTTGCTGACATTTTCCTCTCATAGATCAACGGTTGGCTTTACCTTCAGAGTCTTACCTGGTCCCCTACTTCAACAGCCTGGACGCTTACTTAGACGTCGGGCCACCCGTCTACTTCGTCACGCACGATGTTGACGTCACCCACCGAGAAGGCCAACGTAATCTTTGTGGCCGGTTCACAACCTGCCAGGACGGCTCCGTCGCAAACGTTCTCGAGGCCGAACGCAAGAGGCCAGACGTCTCATTCATTTCTGAACCCACAGCGTCATGGATCGACGACTATTTCGCCTGGCTCAACCCCACAAATGATGCTTGCTGTCGTGTCAGGCGACGGGACCCCACAGTTTTCTGTTCAGAACGCGATTCGCCTCGGCTCTGTCGACCATGCTTCGAAGGTCACGAACCAGCCTGGAATATTACGATGAGCGGCTTCCCAGAGGGCGAGGAGTTTATGCAATACATCCAACATTGGCTCGATTCGCCCACGACGGAAGAGTGTCCACTCGCTGGGAAGGCATCGTTTGGTACGGCATTGTCGCTCAGCCCAGACGAGGACAACATCGTGGCGTCACACTTCCGCACCTTCACCAAACCCTTGAAGAACCAGGCCGACTTCATCAATGCCTTTGCTGCCGCACATCGTGTCGCAAATGACCTTTCGGAGCAGACTGGAGCTACCGTGTTCCCATACTCGCTCTTCTTCGTTTTCTTCGACCAATATGCGCACATCGTCTCCATTACGCAAGAGGTCCTAGGCCTTGGCCTCGCCTCGGTTCTGATCATGACAGCGCTCCTGCTTGGGTCGTGGAGGACAGGTACGATCGTTACCGCCGTGGTGGCGTTGACAGTGGTCAATGTTATGGGTGTTATGGGCATCTGGGGTATCAGTCTGAACGCGATCAGTCTCGTCAATTTGGTCATCTCGTTGGGTATCGCGGTCGAGTTTTGTGCACATGTGGCGCGAGCGTTCATGAGCTGTGGCTCTGGTTTGCCGACCGACCATCCTGCGGGGCAAAAGGAGCGGGATGAGAGGATGTGGACGGCGTTGGTGGACGTGGGTCCTTCGGTATGCATGCTTCTTGTTCTCGTTCGGATATCCTCTAATATAATTGTTCATACCGCAGGTCTTATCGGGCATCACGTTCACTAAGCTCATTGGGATGTGCGTCCTGGCGCTTACACGGTCAAAGCTGTTGGAGGTGAGTATCCTCAGTTTAGAGCATTTGTTTGTAAACTTATTGCCTTCGTCCCAAAGATCTACTACTTCCGAATGTGGCTCACACTCATCATTTCTGGAGCACTCCATGGGCTGGTCCTTCTCCCCGTCATCCTCAGTTTGACAGGTGGGCCTGGCTTCCCTCTCCAGGAGGCGGATGAAGAATGGATGTCGAACGCCATCAGAAACGACTATGAATACACGTAAGTGGCCGAAGTTGAACATATAGTGGGACTACACGAATGCTGACCCAGATCATTCAGGCCCTTCCTTGCTGATGATGACTCAGTGCACAGCGATTAGAACCCTTTTCATGTCTTTGTATGACCCTAGGATATTTCTGCGATTTTTGTAATGGAGCAATGGGACCTCGCAAGTCCACATACCGTGTTTTGGACAGACACTAAGTAGTACAAGAGTGAACAAAAAAGAAAGTGTCTGAACACAAGAAGCACTGAGCAACAAACCAGCCCCTACGCATCCTTGACAGGGGGAGGGGACCTCGACCGCGAATCACGAATGTCATCCCTGCTAGGACTTCTCCTTCCCCGACTGTACGACACAGACCGACTTCGACTCCTGCTGTACCTCGAATACGAAGAGTACGACCTCGATCGAGACCTCGGCGTGATCGAACGCGTACGCGAACGACTCGAGCGCACAGAATAACTCGGTGACCTCGTTCTCGACCTTCCTCTTCCATATCCTCCCCTCTCATAACTCGGCGACCTCCTCCTCGGCGGCAACCCTCCAACTCTCCGGATAGGCGAACGCGACCTCGAGCGCGATATAGGTCGGTAAGGACCCCTGTCCCTCGGAGGGAGCCTTCTCCCATAGGGTCGACGGTAGGAGTCGTCAGGACGGCCAAAGGGCCTCCTGGCACCACCGTATCTGGGGGAACGGGAACGAGAGCGAGAGCGAGATAAAGAGCGGGCTCTACCGCGACGAGGGGGTGGAGAGCGGGTACGGGAGCGAGAGCGTGGGCGGACGGGGAGGTCTGAGAGTTCGACTTTGACGATGGATCCGTCGAGTTGACCGCCGTCCATGTGGGAGACGGCTTTGCGCGCAGAGGCAGGCTCTGCGTATTCTAGGGCTGCTTTGCCTCTGTTTTGGCCGGCTGTGAAACAATGAAGCCAGACACGTCAGTCCATGTATTAAGATCCAAAGCTGTAGGACTATTTCCGCACATTTTGGAAAGGTAGGGAGATCAAGTTTCGTGATCGTGCCATAGAAGCCGAAGATGGTTTGAAGGTGGCTTTCGACGACGTTACGCGTCAGGTTGGTGATAACGACGACTTTTGCATCAGAGGAGCCATTCTCCATATCCACGTCCATGTCTCGGGCTGCATCTGGCGAAGGCGAACGTCCTGCCGACATATTGCTTGGGTTGAACGGAGGAGATTGTCGTGGTCGGCGTCAGGATTGGAAGAGCTCGCGTTACAATTCCGTCACGTTCGTTACACTCACCGCCACATCAACCGTGGGGAAATATATGCCTGCGCCACATCGAATCTTAGGAAAGCATTCTTCACCAAGACATCGGGGAGCACAGTCACACCAAGATGTCTTTTTAGAAAATGTAGCGTGTCAATGCTCATAATTTGTATGTATGTATCCATTGAAACCTCCAACCTACACCCAACCAAGTAGAGGGACCAGATATAGTAGGTATAGGTGACCAGTAAAGGAGGCAGACGAAAAACCGTGGATGTACAATACGTAACTTATGATGCATCATGCGTGCCGTGTGGTATGTTTGCGAGACTCGAAGAGGGAAGGGGGAAGGGGAGGAGGAGAAGGTGTAGGATTGAAATGATCGCCATTACGGAAAGTTATGGGTCGTAGGTAAGTGTAGTAGGTCGGTAGCAGAAAGTTGGATAGTTAAATAATCAGCCGGAAGAGATCAGAATCAGAACGAGACTGGGGACTGAGGACCGAGCGAAAAGAGAACTACCAGGAGACCGACCGGATCAAAAGTCTATACTCGACTATGGGACAGCAAGTATGAACACTGACGGACTAGACGACAAACGACGGGACGAGTGAGCGAGTGGGGTGGGGGGAGTGGGGATGACAGTGGGGTAGGGTGGAGATATAGATGTTGAATGGGGGCGGAGAGGGAGAGGAAAGGCGCTATTGGCCTGAAGTGCGAGTGGTACCGTGGAGGGCAGGACGAAGATGGTGGACCTGATGGGGAGGAAGGGGAGGGAAGCGGGGTGGGGCAGTAAGAGACCAATATCGACGAAACGATGTGATCGAATGGAGAATGACAGAGAGGAATGAAGAGATAAAAAAAAAGCGAAAAAGATTTTTAAGGGTTTTATCAAAAGAGAGGACGTTTTTCCGAGTGTTTTTGTGCGGGTTTCGTAGTAGACTAGACGTAGCACGTAGCGCGAGGGTTCAACTAAACCGAACAATCAATGAGAACGAGACGAAAGACGAGGAGAAATAATAATGAGGAGCGAACAGAGAAGCAGAAGTGAAAGACATGATGAGACGAGAAGTGAGAAATGGACCAAGAAGAGGAAGTGATGGGATGGGTAGCGTTATTAGGAGAATGAGATGTCAACTATATGCTGAACGATGAACATTGAACGATGAACGAGAAGAATGGATGAGGCATGGAATGATACTTGAGATCAGTGAAGGGGAATGAGGAGTCAGCATGAAAGGTGACCGCCGTCAGCGCCGGATAGCGCAGAGGCCACCCGTCCGACGACGGCATACGTCAAACAAATAAAGTAGACACCTATGAACAGAGTGGGGCAACGAAGACGAAAAGGAAGCGAACAACGAGACCCAATGCGTACGTACGTACGGAACGAAACGCGAAATGAAACAGGCGTGAACAGAAACAGAGATGAGAAACGAAAACAAGTACATCTCAAGGCCATGAAGATCCGCGTGCATTCTGTATGCGCAACGCGGTATAACAAACTGTCCTTGAATAATGCGGACCGAATGATGATGGATCGATAGATGGTCCTACCAGCCTCTCCTGGTCACGGTGTCGGAACGTTTGTAACGACAGCGAGCCAACGGAGTATGACGAGGGACGAGACTGAGACTGAGACTGAGATGAGAGAGATGGAATGAGACGAGAAGGCCTAGCTCCCTATGGACAAGATAGACGATGTCGTAGGAGACGGGGACGACGGGAGAGGCTGAGCAGGAAAAAATATAGTGCTGGCAAACAAAGTAAAGGAGACTGCTTGAGACTGGAGAGGATTGAAACGGGACCGGGGACAGATGTGCCAGAAGATTGACGGTAAAGACGTGAGAGAACATGAAGAAAGCGAATCAAGCGAGAACATATATGTTGAGCCGTCTATGCGATGTTATATGGATCGCTGTAGCGAGCATGGCCCAGTGGAAAAGAATTGACAGAAGGAAAGGAAATGGAAAGATTACGGGCCATCTGAGCCACGATCCACAGCGCAAGCGTCCACGGCGCGAAGCGTAGTGTTGAGAGTCCAGTCACTCCATCAAGAAGAGCATCAAGCCCTGATCCATGTCGGCTGGTAAGGCGCCATTGACTCTTGGCCAAAAGGTCGTCCGTATGCATGCCCATACCCGTACCTATCCATCGCATGCCAGTGCAGCTCGGGCGGTGTCGGAAGTTTCTGCATGGCCATCCTCGCATCACTGTACAGGTGGCCGAACTGCGACTGCGAGTACGACTGAGAAAGCGAACGGTTATGCTGCTGGCCGTGACCAGGCGCGTAGTTCTCGAGGTACGAGGAGGACGATCGGGTATGGTTGTGCACGTGTGGATGCGACTGAATGGGCTGCGCGGGCGCGCCGTTCGAACTGTTGTCGTACCCCTGGCTGTATTGAGGGTAGATCGGGGGAAGCTGTACCCTGGGTTGTACTTGATACATCGGGTCCCAGATAGGCTGAGGCTGAGGCGGGTAACCCGAAACGTGCATCACGGACGAGAGGAAAGGTGCGACAGGGCCTAAAATGGGCGCAGAAGGCGGAGCCATGGAGGGCTGGACGGCCACGTATTGACTTTGAACGCGATGGTCATCACGACGGATCGGTTCATCTGCCGCAGGACTCCATTTGGCAGGTGGCGGAAGGGTCCTCTCCCGCATCTGCCAGTCGCAGTGCTGAAGCAGCGAAGGCAGCACAATCTCCCTCTGACTGTCCCTAGAGGTGTCACGGACGGAAGTGCGACGTCTCGGGATGTACTCCTCGCGAAGGGGCCCGTCTTCATCCAAATCGATCTCCATGATTTCATGGTTGGAGCTCTCGCCAAGGCCAAGCTTCTCCTTCTTCCGCTCCTCAAGGCCAAGGAAAACAGGCTCGTAATGAGAGTATCCGCAGGACGGGGAACAAGGGTGTGCGACCTTCACGACCGTGACCGCTTCGATAAGATCATCAAGGGTCTTGCGCACGATGGAGTGCGGATTCGAAGAAGGACGAGAGATGGGCTGAGGCTGGGACGAGGTCGAAGAAGAGATGTGGCCAGCCAAAGTATGTTGGAGCCATTTGGACCACGCCTCCGGAGAGACAGAGAGATCATGAGAGAAAACTTCGAGCGCACAGGCCTCGAGGCGGTTGAGCGACTGGATCGGCACGTTGGAGATAGTATGCCTGTGAAGCGGAGCAGGAAAAGTAAGAAGGAATTCACAATCGATGCATTGACGGATGCGAAGAGAAAATAAGAACGCACCAAGTCTTGTTGGAGAATGTATGGTCGTCCAACCACTTATTCGCAAGCATGCATCCAAGCAGGACCAACCTGTACGGAGCTTGCTGTTCGTTATGCATCCGCTCGTGCGGGTGATATCCAAACAGTTCGGCCCTGAAAAGGGTCTCCTTCTGCTGCGCGGAGCTAAACGACACGGGCCCGAAGTAGACCGGGAGGTGAACGATGTACCACACGGCCAAGACGATAGCGGTCGGTTGAAGCAAGGTCGACATGAAAAGAGAGCGAATGGAGCTGGCCAGATACGTGGGTGGAATGCTGGAATGGCGATTGAGCGGCGAATCACTGGAGAAAACAACCTGTCAGCTATAATTTTACGTGTTGATATTAGCAAAAGATGTACGTACCCAGATGCTACGAAACTTGGAGGAAGATCGGTGCCCATTATGCAGGCCTTCCAGACGTACGACGCCATCCACTCTGCAAGAGGGTCCGCGACTTTCTTATAAGCGGTCGTGGCAGAGGGAGGTGCGACAGGGTCCACAACGGCCGGAACTTCGACCGGGTGAGCTGGTGGATGCACATAGGTCGGAGGTAGCGCAAACATCTGAGGCTGGTACGGGACGTTCATGGCGGGATGGTAGACTGTTGCGGAAACAGCACGATCGACGAAGTCACCGAAGGGGGTGACTGGGCCGAGGGGGCTGGACGCAGGACCAACGCCGTCATCGGGCTCGGGGGACGTTCCGTCATAAGTAGGAGAGTACGTAGCAGTCTCAGTGTCCTCGCCGTCGTGGGAGAGACTCTGGTTGCCATCGTGCCCTTGGTGGTGAGGAGGAAGATAATGAGTGTCAAGTGCCATTTGTGGGCCGGGCTGAGAGTCGGGAGAAGAAGCGCTCCACTGGCTCTCGATCTCGTAATCCAGGGAGTTGAAGCTCATCTCATCATCGGCCTCCTCCTCCCAGTCGGGCTGAGGCTGAGCCTGGCTGTGAGAGGGATATTGGTCGGGATGGGAGAAGTGAGCGAAACCGGGCGGAATGCACGCTTGCGCGCGATCACCTTTAATAGCCGACGCGTTGCCCGCGTTGGCCAACCCATTAGGAAAACCCTGGAACTGGGCCGAGGAATGGTGGGTATCGTCCTCTTCCCAGATGCGACGGGGCCTGTCGCTGCGGGAGGAGGAAAGGGCGGAAGGCCACTCCTCGCGGGACCCAAAAGAGGGGAAGTGCCCCGGAGGAGGGCAAGGGAGAGAGAGCGTCAGTTTGTCTGAGCGGGCTTGGTGTTGATGGCCAGGGTAAACGGCGTGCTTGTTGACGGGGTGTGCACGAGCGGTGTCTTGGAATGGAACGGGCACTGGCATCTGCTGTGGGGAGCGTCGAGAAAGGGAGCGAGCGTTCGACCTGGCGGGGCAGTCGCGGTCGAAAACTTGCGGCGAGTGTAGCGATGTGGACGTTGTGGCTCTCGCGAGGCCTGAAGAGAGGGAAGGGTCGTGTAGCGGGTCGTAAAATAGGCGAAAAAGAGACCTGAGGAGTAGAGTGGAAGCCGAGGATAAAAGCTGAGCTTGTTCTGGTGGCGGACGCACAGCGAAGGCGTGCCTTTTGCGATGAACTGGTTCGGTGGGAGATGCTCTCTCTCGCCTCTGGCCTAGTCAGTCAGTGAGTATTGAGCAAGGCTGGCTTGGCTGGCTGGCTGGGACGTCGAGCAGGCTGGAGAAGGAGGTGGTTGAGGGAAGAGACAGAAACAAGCACCGTCCGGCTGTCAGCCACGAACGGATCGCCGCCTCAATCCCTTTTACCGTTTTATTTTCCCGGCCCGTGCCAACCGCCACGCGTCACGTCTCCCTCTCAACCGTTCGCCGTTCTGTTCTCTTGCATAATATTCGCATCGCTTTCGCCTCCATTACTCTTCCCCACTGCACGCCGCCGTCGCCTATCGTCCTCTCTGACTCCCCACAACCGACGACGCTCTCGAATGCAGTCACTTCTCGTCATCGAGCCGCATCCGGATCGCATCTATTACACGGCGGCACCTCGCCGGTGCGCAGTGTCTCCAATCCGAAACACACTCCGAAAGATGGCCCATCTTGATTCTCTTCTCCCATCGCCATCTCCATCGCCGCCTCTCCAAACGGATCCAAACCCTCGACCCCTTGTGCTCCCGATACAGATGTTCTCGACACTTGCTGGGACTCGCCGTCCCCTTTCGCGTGTCACACGCCAGAATCAGCTCCAACCCACACCTCCAACAGTCCTCAACGTTTGCTCATCCCAGGCACACGCGCACCCACATCGCACCGAAGAGTGTGCGCACGATGTTCATTGAACAGGAACTAATCGCCTCTCCATTGGTTCCCTTTGACTCGCTTTTGCAACCTGTGCCCGCAATGAATTTGTCTTGCGGGTTGATAATGAACTACCGGAAATAGCGGCGTCTGTTTCTCTGGATGACGGCGAACGTTCTCCTTCGGTGTGGCAACTCGCTCGGGCTGACTCTGCTTGCTACCGCCACGGTATACGTACCTAAAGGCTTCGACCTCTGGACATCAGCTGTGCTCTCTAAACCTATACAGGTTCTCTTGCTCCTGATACTGCGTCTGAGCTTCAATGCTGCCACACCAATCCTACACTGGCGTTGCTGCGGCAAGATCGTAGTCGACCTCCTGTTCTCAAAGCTCAGCTTTCGGCCACCCCTTTCTCTCTGACTCAGGGACAGTTCCGACCTTCCCATGTCGAGGCATCTGAATCATTTACGGACGCCCGACCCTTGCATACGTGTACCTCGGGATGTGGTGACGCGGCTCTCAAGGGCCAAGGCCGTCTCCTCCTCCTCTGCCGACTTAGCTTATTCTTCACGCACGACGACACAGGCCCAGCCTATCGCATCATCAGCATCATCATCATCTCTTCCAATAGAGCGCTGTGTCATTTACTTATAGGTCAGGATACAGATACATTCACGAGCTTGAGTGAAGCACCATGTACATATGTATGCACGAACGGACCGGAACCCATATCTTCGCCCCTTCTGATTCTGCCATCTCGACTCTTGGACTACGTACATATGCTCACGATAGGACGACTAGGCACAACCCTTCTCACGTTCAAGCACCCAGTGCTCTTTCTCTATTTCCTGGCCGGTCGGTCCAAGATCATCGATTGCGTTTTTTGAATCTCAGTCTTTCGCTAACTTATCTGCTAAGCTAAAGTATTTCTGGAAGGATGCACATATGTCATAGCTTCCCCGGAGAATTATACTAGGTCTGACTTCGGAGAGCGATTGGCTAGGATTGTATAACGAGAGGGATCTGATAACTTTTAGTACATTGATATAGACCGTCGCTTTATCTTGATGCTTGTGGCTTCCGATCCTAGCACCGAAAGACCTGAAATTTGAATGTTGCGTGGGGGGTGCATATAGTTAGTACACCATGTCCAGATCAACCTATTTGCAAGTCGTTCGGTTTGTGGGCTGTGGGAGGCTGAAAGACTCAGTATGTGTAAGCTTGTGGGTCCGCAGGGTGAGGGTAACATCTTGACATGTCAATGTTAGGCTTAAGCATTGTGAAGGACTTGTGGTGGTGTTCACTCCTAGTCCACCAAAATACTTACTGACCAATCGTGAATATTCATGTTCGTACCAGAACAGTTCCCACTCAGGTGGCAAGGTGTGTCTGGAGCGTAGGATGCTTCCGCGTGTTTACCGCGAGCTTTGAACTTCGACGTGTCCGTCTGAGTCCAACATTCAGAGGTTGAGCAGACGACGCTTGTGATATCATCTATCTTAAACCTTCCTGTAAACCTTAGAACGTTCGAAGCCGTAAACAGTAATCAGCAGAATACAAATTTTGAGTACATCCTCAACTTATTCGTCGGTACACTGTCACATTCACTCGATGATCTCCCAGCCGAGCTCCTTGCCAGCCCAAAACGGGACAACGCTCTCCCCTTCCAACGTCCACCTTTCATCCACCACCCTGCCCCCAACTTTCCGAAGTGTCACCTTCGCAGCAGCAGCACCCGCGCCGGAAATTTCCCTCCTGTAGAACCGCCGCCCATACGTGCTCGTGAAGTTTTCGAGGTTGTCGAGGGCACCGAATGACTCGAGAAGATGCGCCGTGAGGGGGAGGAGGATCGGGGATGTGTAGACTCCGGCGGCGCACGAATGTGATGGTGTCGAGATCGACTTTGTGCTCGGCGGGTGTGGCGCAGAATCAGAACCCAGGAAAAAGCGTGGATGACCTTCAAGAATCCGAAACAAAGAAGAGGATGCGTCAGTGCTGGACTAATGAATAAGTGGTACGGACGAAAACGAAACTGACCTTCACGGATGACTTCCCGCAGGGCTTCTCTGTCGTCGGGGAACTTCGCCACAGGTTTACAGAAGTTCCATGATTGACCGGCCCAGTCGTCGACGGTCAGGGTGAGGTGATGCGCGGTGATGGTGCAAGCCACGGTCTCCCCTAGGGATTTGACCGTTTCTACAGCGGCACGGGTCGTTGCGTGCTCGAGCACGATGCGGAGCTTGGGGAATCGGGCGTGCAGTTTGACGAGGTGAGGGAGGAAGGAGGGCTCTGCGTTGATGATATGTATGTTCTGTACTCATATGTGAATAGTGAGATATACGAGCAGGAAGGTGGGCCACGTACTGTCGCTGCATCCGACGGAACTTCGCCGTGAAGATTGAGGACCATGTCGACATCCTCCATGGCTTCGAACACAGGATAATACGCTTCGTACGACTCGATCCCTCCATCGCTATTAGTCGTGACGCCTCTCGGGTACGATTTGACACCTTCAAACCACAGAGATGAGCGGGACGTGCCATAAACGTTGCAGCAACTACTCACCAGCAATACCGGCTTTATTAGCCTTACGAATTTCTTCCGGAGTCAGCTCTGGAGACAGGTAAAGGGTCATCAGGTATTCCACATTCGGGTCGATCTTCTCCAGGCTTGCTTTGTACTCCAACGCCTGATCAGTCGTAGTGATAGGAGGTTTGAGATTGGGCTGAATGGACGAGACTATCTTAGAGGTAGGCCAGAGCAGAGTAGGTCGGCTGTACCATAACGTAGGCTAGATTGAATCCTCCTTTTCTGACGTGAGGAGTAACGAGCGCAGACATCTCTCCCTGCCTGAGATGGACATGGAAGTCCGCTGGAGAAGCTACGGAGATAGTTGTGGTCATTTCTGAAGTATGATCTTCAGATTGTGGGAGTCTCGATAGGGCGACGAAAGAGCTTTTGAGGAAACGGACTGTAGAGGATCAGGAAGAGGTGGGGTGCCACAAAACTGCAAGTTAGATTTCATTTTGTGGCGTCTCGTCGCGACGCGCGATCACGTGGCACACGTTCTCAATGTCGCGTGTTGGTTCAGTTCTCTGCGAATCGACTCGATTCTCTCCTTTCAACGACAACGACAACATATTGGCCGACCGTTACATATCCACGACGGTCGCCGCCCTTCTCCCTGACCCCTCCTTCCCTCCACACTCACATTGAACATGGTTTCTGCTGGCTCGATTACCGTCGCAGGTCTGTCCTTTGTCTTTGTCCTGATACCTAGTGTCAAAGCTCTGAAACGCATCCCCTTTAGTCCGCGTACGGCCGCCCTCGTCATGGGAGGCCGCTCGTCTCCCAGAACCATGCTATGATACAACTATCCGAGGAGATGGCACACTTGCGACCCCCAACAAGTCAGTGTCATCCATGTCTGCCGTCCGTGACATCGTCCAAGTCGTAGACGACCGCATCCTCACCTTCGACCCTGCCGAAACGGATCGAGCAAAGGCCTTTGTCGAGCGTGGATTTGTGCCCCCGGGGACTAAGCGGTATAAGGACAAACGCTTTATGTTTGACCGGGTATTCAGGCATGAGAGTTCGCAGCAGGAGGTGTTCGATGGGACGGCGCGCCCTCTGCTGAACAATTTGTTGGATGGATACAATGCGACTGTGTTCGCTTATGGTGTGCGTGTATTCTCCCGATGTATATTCAGCTACTCTCTCATAGTATTTGGGCCCTTCAGGCGACGGGGTGCGGAAAGACACATACGATCAGTGGCACGGACGCAGACCCTGGCATCATCTATCTCCTCATGGCCGACCTCTTCCAACGCATCGAGGACCGTAGGGACGACTACCACGTAGAAGTCTGCGTCACTTTCCTTGAGATCTATAACGAGGAGATCCGCGACCTCTTGTCAGAACAGGAGGGAGTTGGTCCACGAGGAGGTCTCCAGATCCGCGAGGACAAATCCGTCAAGGTCGTCGGTCTCACAGAGTTAAAGCCCAACACTGCCGAGGAAGTAAAGGAGATCGTCCTCCTGGGCAACTCAAGACGAACCCAATCCCCAACTCACGCCAACGAAACCTCATCCCGTTCGCACGCCGTGCTTCAGGTCCATGTCACCCAGGCTCCTCGTACCGCCTCAATAACGGAGGAGCGTACCGCAGCCACGCTTTCTATTATCGACTTGGCCGGCAGTGAACGGGCTGCTGCTACGTCCAACATGGGTAAACGCATGGTCGAGGGTGCTAACATCAACAAATCCCTCCTCGCCCTCGGAAACTGTATCAATGCTCTTTGCGAGAGCGGCGGCGCAGTACGCCACATCCCTTACCGGAACAGCAAACTCACTCGTCTGCTCAAGTTCTCACTTGGTGGTAACTGCAAGACCGTCATGATCGTCTGTATCGCCCCTACATCTATCCATTTCGACGACACACACAACACTCTACTCTATGCCGAGCGTGCCACAAAGATCAAGACACGCGTTGTAACACGCAACATCCTCAACGTCGACCGACATGTAGGACAATACGTCGAGGCCATCAACAGGCTCAACATCGAAGTCGCCGAGCTCAAGGCCAAACTCGCTGGAAAGATCAGTTCGGATGCCGACGTTATCCGAAGGAAGAAGGCGGAGGCGCAAGCAGAAGTAGATCGCGCGAAGCATGATATTCAGGCCAGAGCTGAGCAAACTCAGTCTTCGATTGCGGACGGCGCGATGTGCAGCGGAAAGCTTGCGTCAGCTCAGATCAAGCTCTCTGCCATTCGTGCCCGTCTCAACCAGCTGGACCAACTCGCTTCCACTTCACAACTATCCTCTGACCTCGAGGCCGAACGTGGTCTACTCAGGTCCCTCGCCGCTCCAGAGGAGGAAGCTACTCGTGCCGACAGCCCTCTGAACCTCCGCCTTCAGCGGTCCAATAATTCTAGCAGTATGTTCGAGGCGATGCTCCGAGCTGTGGCAGAGCGACGGTCTGACAGGCTCGACGAGGTGAGCGTCGACAATGTCCGACTCGATGCTCAGTATCGGAAAGCGGAGATGGAGAAGATCAAAGCGGAGGCGGAACGCGACTCTGTGAAGGACGCGATGAAGTCTCAATCTGATATGCTCGTCAACCTACTCGGCATGGTTGGTAGGTATACCGTCGTACTTCGGGACGCTAGTCGTTCGTTGCGGACGGCTCTGGATGAAGGGCGAGACGGCCTCGAAGGGACTGTTCGTGCCGTATCATCTGCTCTCAAGGATCTTTCGGAACAGAACGACGGAGACTTCCAATCCATGGTCGGGCATTCAACTTCGGCGTACGTTCTTGGCCCTGAAGCTACATCTACTCTCGATAGCTTCAAAGGCCACGTCAGGATAGCCGCCCCTCGCATGTCTACGACTACTGCCCCAGCCCCAGTCACTCAACAGCCGAAATTCAACAACGCTTCTCGTCGGTCGTCCTCCTATGGTGCCCTCGGCATAGCCTCACCAGCACGCAAGGCGCATATCAAATCGCCTCGTAAATCGCTTCGTAACAGTCTCTCTGGTGGACGCCAAAGTTTGTCTGGGATTGGCGCACCGTACCGTCGTCCCGTGGACAAGAAGGAGAAGAAGGGCGTGCAGTGGCGGGATCAGGCAGGACAGGGCGAGCTCGTCGACAACAAGTCTTTCAACGGCCCTTTATCTTCTTCCATGATCGGTTCCAGCAGCAAACCCTCTCCCTCTTCCGCCCGCCCGCCAGACGATGCCGATGTTTTCTCTGCATCTTCGCGTCCTGGGAGTCGTACCGGAGGATCGGAGAGTGACTGGGAGGACGAGAGGACCGAGGACAGTGTCAATTGGAGTTTCGCCGCGTTACCTTCACGCGACATGCCTCCGATGCGCGCCAGTACAGGCTCTTTACGACCCCGCCGACAAAGCCGGTTGGACTCCAGCTTCTTGAAGGCACGAGGGGCGCCGACTTTGGGTAGCCTAGCTGAGGACGACGAGAACGCTGAGGGACCAGCGAGTCCGCGTAGACGTTCAGGGCCGTTGTTGGATCGTAGCTTGAACCCTCAGCCCGAAGAGGCGTCAACGAGCAGTAGCGAAAGTGCCCCCGGAGGTTCACTACACATGCCCAAGGGTACTCGCGAGCGAATTACCCATACAAGTCCCAGACGTCCACCTCCTACACCACGAGCTGTCGGTGGCGGGGCCGTGAAGCCTACACGACGACGGTCGAACATCGGACCGATGCGAAGTGAGAAGATGAGGAGACGTTCGAGCCAGATTCCTCAGCTTTCGCCGCACAACAGGGAAGATGCTGAACCGAGCAAGAATAACGGCGGTGGACCGAAGCGGGTGTCGATGATGGGTGATGGGGATATGTCGGTTAGGAAGTCGCCTGCGAGGAAGCGTATTTCGTTGCTGACCATGGCTTCTCGGGGCATGAAGGCGGGTCGTCCTTCAAGGCTGCCGGGAAATACGTCGGTGTCGAATCTCTCGTTTGGGGACGTTAGTTCCAGCGCGGAGACGAGCTTCAAATCTGGGCCCAAGCCGACGTGGAAGTGATCCTGGATTTGACTTGCCCGTCTTGCTCTGCGACTTTGTTGTGTATACTTGATTCGTGTTCGTGTCCGTGTCCGTGTTCGTGTCTTGATTCTTTGGACCTTATACCCTTACGTGTCTCACAAGAATAATGTGCCGTGTCAGGATCTATCTTCGCCTACGCAGTCCCAGTCTTAGCATTAGTACATCACGATTAGTCGAGGTTTCCTACCCCATGTCATATAGCACGCCTCTGTTCATGATTACATCTTTCCACTATACGCGTCCGAGTCTGTCGTCATTGTATGTTCAACCTGTGCCATGTATACTACTCCATAGTTTCCAATCACATAGACTGTATTTACCAGCCGACGAAGAACTCGGTTTTGTTAAGGAGAATAAATCATGCCTTTTGCCCGCTATTCATCGAGTGAAGGCATCGTGAGGATTCAAGCGCCCGTCATCCTCCTGCCTGTTAGCAGGCACCGGGGCCATACAGCAATCGTGCCCAAAGGCACTTCCAGGGCACAGTAGATGATCCAGTAGAAGAAACGTGGTATGTATTAGTCCATGTAGATCATATAACACGCTTGACCTCGAAGAATGACTAGTAGCAAAAAGACGAAATAAGCAAAAAATACATCAAGTAACGGAAAGTTGATCATGAGAACGGACCTTCAGATAATAAACCTGCCACGCGCAAACTGCGAACAATACAAACGCCTGCAAGATGGACCACCATTTCACGCGTGCGTTTGTCGATTCGGCGGTGTTCCTGTGAGTGCGTTCACGGATGACGATGTATTCCTGCTCATCTTTGACGGCCGTTAGGTGGTTTGCCAAATAACGGATTTCTCGCTCGATCGGCGCCACGGTTTCTATTCATGTGAAGGTCAGTGTGGCGCGGCATGGCATTGGACTTGGAAACCACATACCATCCTCGCCTTCGCCAACATAAATGACTCCGTGTACGTTGAAGCTGAGTATGGCGTTCCTTGGTTCATACTTGCGCGAGAACCTACGAGGAGGGCGCGTCGACGTACCTAACAATCTTGTCCGCAATAGAACTCATTTGATTCGAGAAGCAGTATTCGTGGCGTCCGTCCTTGACTGCTGTGATAGACTGCTCTCCAGTAGACTTCTTGATATCCTTGACCATAGCATGTCCATCCGGATCCGCGATCTAGTATGCGTCAGGAGGAGTGAGAAGGCGAACCTAGCGTGGCGCGCCGCTTTCGTGGACGCAACTCACCCAGAAGTCAATGTCAAGGTGCCCTCCCCCACCGACTTGGTACGTGACGGTCATCTGAACTGATATCAGGCCAAGGCAATGATGATATTCAGGGACTTCCACGGACCTTGTCATTCCGGTGTAAATCCTCAAAGAAACACTCCTTCGTTGAGGCGGACACGTCAATCAAATGAGCGGACGTGAGTGATGCAAGAAGAGGCAACAAAGCAAAGCAGAAAACAAGAATATTCTGGGTCAATCCTCTAGCCATTTTGAAGGGTACCAGGGCCAGTGTAGAGGAAAACAAGCAGAGTCTGTCGTCTCAGACGAGGCAGGTGAAAGAGAGGTTGGAGAGCGGAAGGCGGAGGCGTGGCCGGGGTCCGAAGCCGATTGGAGGATGATGTTCCATCTTGGGCGCCGGGTTCCACTTCTGATCGCTGCACGCGACGCCTCTTGCTTTTCTTCTCTCCACTCCAACAACTCACCCTCAACCACCACAACACACTCTTCACGACTCTACACGATCTACCACAATGGCTGACACTGACAACAACCCCCTCGCCCCAAAGGTCCGTATATTATTCGTCACGTTCGCCATCTGTCCTTTGTTTCGTACTGTGTGGCGCGGTCGACCGGTCGAGATCTGATTCATTTCCTTCTTTCGCGTTTTATTAGCAGGAGGAGGAGGCCGATCCCCATTTCGAGCCCGTTATCAAGCTCACAGAGCAGGTTGAGACCAAGACCAACGAGGAGGATGAGTCTGCGATCTTTAAAATGTGCGTACGCCTCTACCTTTCTCGGCGCGACCCCAGTCGCGATCGGCGGTCATCGTCTCGCATTGACCATCGCAAAATCCAAACCTCTCATCATTTCCCGTATTCTATATTCTATCTCCAGGCGCGCGAAGCTCTTCCGCTTCGATACTAGTTCTTCAGAATGGAAGGAACGCGGTACTGGCGAGGTCAAGCTGCTCAAGCACAAGGAGACGCAGAAGGTCAGGCTGGTGATGAGGCGCGATAAGACGCTCAAAGTTTGCGCGAACCACCTCGGTACGTCCCGTCGACCATTGGTTTTGCTTCAGCAGGAGCTCATCCGTCGATGCTCGTGATCAGTTTCCGGTGAGATGCGCCTCCAGCCCAACATTGGTTCGGACAGAAGTTGGGTCTGGAAGGTTCACGCAGATTACTCGGAGGAGCCGGCCACACCTGAGACCCTTGCCATTCGTTTTGCTAACTCTGACAGTGAGTTTCCCGTTTTAATTCATGGGAGTGTCACTCTTCATACTCAGTGTTCTGACTACTATTTAAGACGCTGGTCAGTTCAAGACCGCGTTCGAAGAGGCTCAGGCCGAGAATGTCAAACTCGCGGGTGGCGCTGCTCCTGCTGCTGAGGAAGCACCCACCACCGACGCACCCGCTGCTGAGCCTGAGACCAAGGCTGAGGAGAAAACCGAGGAGGCAGCTGCCGAGGAGAAGAAAGAAGAGTAGTCTGTGTGAAGTTGTAGTTCGGAATTTTGGGCGCCTTGTACAATCGGTGTGGTGTGGTGGCGCAGCAGTCCCTTCTCATAATTGTTGTTTCAATGACCTTACATTTAGTGTTTTCATACCACCTATATCCTAGAACCAGAACCCCTGTTTGCGAGTAGGTTTGGAGCTTGAGGAATGGTGACATCGTTGTATCATGCATATTTACGCACTACGCAAAAAAAGAAAAATGAGCTCTGAAGTTGAGGTATCCGGTATCCTATCCCATGGCCAATAAAATAGTACAACAGCCCTCAGCACCCAAGCTTATCACTGTCAGTGTACTATACAACCCATGATGCTGCACTTCACAGGTCACAACTCCAGCCTTGGGGTGGCACTGGCATCGACCTCTGCTCTCTCCCATGCCGTCTCGAATAATTTCTGCTCATACACTCGCCAGTACCAAGCAGGATGTTCGCCTCGAACCACTCCTTCATCGATGAGAACATATCGTGTAGACTATAGAACAAGAGGTGGTAATTTTAGTAGTGACAGGCATGTGTGACGACATTCTAGAAGTCCTCACCGTGCCACTGTGAAAAGACACAACAGACATGAGCCTTTCTGTTTCAATCAAAGCATTGGAAAAAGAAGCCACTCACGGTACTTCGAAGTTCGCATCGAGCAGAACTGCCTCCTACAAGATCATGAACGTCCATGATCAGCCACCCTCGTGCACATTTACGTGCGGGTGAAGACAGACAAACGCTTACCATGACGCCCCTCAAACTACGCGCACCACCGCCTCGCTCAGCCGCCTTCAAGCAGATCTCGTCCAATGCCCTCGACGTAAACCGAATCTCTACACCCGAGCGCTCAAAGAGTCTGGTGAATTGATCTACTAGACAGCCCCGGACGTCCGTGAGGATCCGTCGAAGATCGGTAGGTGTAAGAGGGGACAAAGTCGTAATGGAGGGAACACGGGAGACGAATTCCGGGATAAAACTGGACGGGCAGAAGATAATATAATATCAAGTCTTGAGCTGATAAAAGGACTTCAGAACTTTGAAACGACGTACCCGAATTTTACCAAGTCTACGGAAGATGATAGGCTACGGATCAGAGAAGACGAAGATCAGGAGGGTGATAGAACAGATCACTGACCTGTCGGTTCGACAAGTTCGAGTAGATTCGGAGCCTGAGTACGGTTCGGCGTGAAGAATGGAAGAAAACCTGGTGTCTCATCCTTGGATGGTGAGGGCAGATCAGCAGTAAAACCTATCGACTGTAACGGCAACATATGGCATGAGTGGCAGACTCCTTGCTGAGAAAAGACGAGGTACATACGCCTTTGGCCACCCGTCTTTTGATGATACTTTCGAGTCCGACGAAGCTGCCACTTAATATAAATAAGATGTTCGAGGTATTGATATGATAAACCTCAGGCCTTGCTGCGAAGGAATAAACAGTCGGGTCAACACGTCTAGCACCAATAAGTTGAAACTATGAAGTTGGCTCACGAGGTGCAACAGGAGGATTTCTTGACCTCGACCGTCCATCCGAGCTCGCCACGCCAGGTCCATCCACCGAGACCCCCTTCGCCGGGACGGTCACAGTTGATCCTTCAATCATCCTCAAGAGAGCTTGCTGGACGCCCTCGCCACCCACATCTCGTGAACCTTCAGTACCGCTCGATGCACTCTTACGCGCCAGCTTGTCCACCTCGTCGATATAGACTATTCCTTGACTGGTGACTCGGTTCGTCAAGCAGATTCATGACATGGGAGTGACAGGGAAATGTAAGACCTGGCTTGGAAAACGTCTCCATTCGCTGCTTGTACCTGGTGTAAACGTTAGTTAGAGGTCCGGTATGTTCGAATGAGCTGCATACCAAATGTTGGATACAGCTTTCCACATCCTCTCCGACGTCTACAGGATTACATCAGAGGTGATTCGTGGTGACAAAATGAACAAACGCACATCCGGCCTTAGGATGCCCATAAATCCTGTGAGTTGCGTACGGAGCTCATAACGGTACAATACTTACCTGTGTAAATGATGTTGCATCGTTTTCGGAAAACGGCACATCGAGAACCCTAGCAAGGGTTCGGGCTAATAGTGTTTTCCCTGTTGCGGCGTAAATCCACGCGACTTGCCCATGCATGACCGTGTACGGTATGGGACTCACCAGACCCGGTTGGCCCTCTGTCATACGAGGCATACAAGGATGAGCAATTATTTGAGTACGTTTGGAACGATGCAACGTACAAAATCAGTACATTGCTCTTCTCTAATGGAGGAGTCGGAAACTGGTTCACTGGTGGATTTGGCGCGGAGGGTCGAGCGCGTGGACGAATACGCGCAGGCTCGACAACAGCTATAGTCCGGGGGTATGCAGAATAAGAAATAGTTCTGAGACGGGGACAGGTCTGAACATACAGTCGTCTTGAGGTCGCTCCCGCTCACGATGTCGATCACGTTCATCCCAATCGTAGTTACTGTCATCCTCTTGTTCCATATTCCATATATTCTCTCGAACACGATTGTAGTGGTTGTAAACGCTTCTCCACGTCAAGGAGGGCATTGAAAACAGGACAATAGGCACAACTCACGCGACTGATAGAACCTTTTTCGCCTTGTGTTGCCCGATAACATATTGGTCCAAGTAAGAGACCAGCTGCAATACATCACGGCTTTCAGGATCCCGATCACCAGTTGTGGCTAATTAACTCACGTACTTCTCGAGGAGTAGCAATACTCGCCGATGATCTTATATTGTGGAGCGCGTTATTGGGGTCATCTCGAGGTGTGTAGTCGTACCGAGCTTGTGTCCGCACCGAACGAGATAATATACGGATGGGTCGGGAGGCGGAACGCCAAGATGCCATATATGAGGGGAATATCTGGATATTTCGAATTAGAGTCCGTGTTGAAACTAGTCAAGACCTAGGAGGAGTAAATCCTTGACAGAAAGCCAACTTGAACAACGGCGTCGACGACGATGAGGAGCAAACAGTTAGGCCAGCGAAGTTGTATTGTTGGGGCATGTCGCAAAAAGGGCTCCGGGGTTATACCGCCGAACCTGATTCGGACCGCAATAACGTGCGTTATAACGTGCGCTGTAACCGGGTTAGAACGACCCCAGTTCCGTTGGCACGTCCGGCTCGGCGAGATGACGCCTGATAAGATAATAACGCGGGTTATAACGCGTTCATCGTCCGTTACAACGGGCGGTATGTCGGAAAACTGAAATCGGGCCTATAAAGCCGGTAGGTGGCACCGTTCTGCTCCCCGATTAGGCATGCGCGCGTTGACCCACCCAACTCTAAAACACCCTCAAACTCACTCAGATGAACAGTTGCGATGTCGCTCTATGGCCACAACCTACGAAAGTGACCATCCATCCAATAACCCGTGCCCATCCAGCGAGGTTTCGACAAAGGGACCACCATAGCGAAATGTTCATGGATTGCAGGCAGGCCACACCGGCACATCCTGGACAGCGCCTGCTCAGTGGACACGGCCTGATGACAAATCACGTTTAAATTGAAGAACCCTGGTCTCGCTTGTGTGATACCCGCGACTAGCCTCGGAAGTAACCCCCGGATTTACCGGCCGGTATGGCATGCGTTACAACGCGCTTCGAGTCCGGGTAGACCAGTTATACCGCCCCGGGGTGCCGTCCTAGCCGTTTAGGGCAGTATAACGCGTTATAATGCCGATGCCGGTTTTGCGACACAAGCACCGTTCAGCGTCGTCTCGCGCATTGCCGTAAGCTGGCGCGCCTGATGCTGGGCGGAGGCAATTCCAGGAGTCAGACACACTTCTCCTTCGACCATCACTTGCCGTCATACTGTCCCTCGTTCAACTGCTTGCTTGCAACTGGTCCCTGTTTCTTGACCTTGAATTGACTGTTATCTACTGAAAACCTTCGCTGAGGAATCACCATGCCTCGGGATCGCTCTCGTTCTGCTTCTCCACGTGCTCGGGACTCTTACCGGCGAAGAGAGACCTCCAGAGAAAGAGATTATTCTCGCCGAGACAAGAAGCCATCTCGTTATGCGGACGACTCTGACGATGAAAGGGATAGGCGAAAGCGTCAACCTGGCGATAGCAGAGAGCCCGAACGTTCTCCCCGCCGACGTGAGCGGAGTCGTAGCAGAGATGGTGACAGGAAGGAGAAGAAGTACGCTGCCATCCGCTTTTACTACTTCAAACAGCTTACTTACTTGACGACAGGCGCAAGAGAGACAAGTCTGACGAACGTAAGGCTCGAAAGGCTGAAAAGAAGAGGATCAAGGAGGAAGAAGAAGCTCGTCAGATTGCGGAGCTGAGCGTCTACAGTGCGACCGACAACCCCTTCCACGACGTCAATCTTGGACAGCAATTCCGCTGGCACAAGAAGAATGAGAAGGAAAAGAAACAGGGGCTGTCTTTGGCGGAGGCGCAACGGAAGGATGCACTTAGGCGACAGGAGGCCAAGGAAGAGTTGGAGAGGTTGAATAGGCGGCGTGCAGAGCGCGAGGCTGAACAGAGGCTCAGAGAGGAAGAGGAGGTGAGGATGCAGCGCTTTGCGGAGTCAGCGCAGATGGCGGAGTGGGTGGCGAAGGATGGCGACTTTCAGCTGGAACAAGAACGAAGGAGAGCAGCCATCAGGATTAAGGAGAAGCGTGCGAAGGCCATCGACTTTTTGGCTCTCAATCTTCGGTACGTTAATCCCGTGGAGGAAGAGGACGAGGAGCTTGGTATCGATGCCGGGCTGGAGATCGACCTTGACGAGCCTTACAACATTTTCGACGTGAGTACTCCCTGCCTGATACAATCTAGGCCTCCTGACACCTTTGCTCTAGTCGCTTTCTTATGAACAAGTCGAAGAGTTGCACGAAGATATCGAACGGTACCTCACGTTGGAGCAGTCCGACACTAACATTGACTTCTGGACGGTACGGTTACAAATTTCATCAGGCCGCATTCCAAGGCTGACCTCTCCTCTAGAACATGATGGTCGTGTGTAAGGATCGAATTGAACGAATGAAGGACGATAAACGCCTGGGAGTTGAAGCTGCCGCCGCAGTGGAATCAGATATCACTGCACTTCTCCAGGGAAAATCCTATGATCACCTCGTCGCTCTGCAACGGCAAATCCAAGCGAAACTTTCAAGTGGAGAACCTGTAGACACGGACTACTGGGAAGGCTTGCTCAAGAAACTCCTAGTTTGGAAGTCCAAGGTATGTCACGCAATCTTGGTCGTTCTTCTTCAGCTATCTGACGCCCAAGATAGGCGAGACTGAAGAGTCTGCACGAAGTCGTGGTCCGCAATCGCTTGGAACAACTTCGTAAACGTCAACGCGACGAGGCTCTGCAAGCACAAGAAGAACTGTTGAACGGCGTCGCGAACAATGCGGCCCAAGGCAAGGTCCGCGCTCCAGTCGTCGAGGTGGTGAACGAGGCGAAAGCACAGGAACAGCGCGAACCATACAGTCGCTCTATGAGCCCAGCTTTGATCGACATCACAAAGTTGCCATACGAAGAACGTCAAATCGACATTGTTCTCGAGGCCGATGACAAGCGTGCATTGGTAAGTCACATGCAATTTCGTCCTCGTTCCGTCGTCTAAAGCCTCGCCCTAGTTCGAACAACGCCGTGCCGTCGCTGCGTCTCGGTTCATACCCAAGGCACCACAACAACCTGCCGTCGAAGCCGAGAACCTTGAGGCGGCGAGTGGTGCCGACATTGCTTCCGAGGCGTTGTACAGAGCCGAAGCGGAGAAAGACCTGGACGAGGAAGAAGAACTCTTCAATCTCGAGGAGAATATCGTCAATCCCACGACGTATAATTGGGAAGACAAATATCGACCTAGAAAGCCCCGGTACTTCAACCGTGTACACACCGGTTACGAGTGGAACAAATACAACCAGACGCACTACGAGTACGTTGTCGCATTTCGCCTAATACCGTTGTCAATCATGATCACTCATTCATGCACAGCACGGACAACCCACCCCCCAAGGTTGTGCAGGGATACAAGGTAACTTTGTCCCTCCTCTAACATTCGGCGCAGTTTCTGACCGTGCAAACAGTTCAACATCTTCTACCCAGATCTCATCGACAAGTCCAAGGCTCCGACGTACAAAATCGTCAAGGAACCAGGCAACGACGACACGGTTCTTCTACATTTCAGTGCCGGACCGCCCTACGAAGACATTGCGTTCAGGATCGTTAATCGCGAGTGGGAATTCTCGCACAAACGGTTCGTACTCGCCTATCGCCTACCATTCTGGATGTTGTGATGTAAACTGACGATTTGTTGTTCTGCAGTGGGTTCCGGAGCAGCTTTGACCGCGGTTGTTTGTCGCTCTGGTTCAATTTCCGTCGCAATGTGAGTCAATCCTTGGTCGACATCTCGTGCCTGCCATCTCACGCGTTTACTCTCACAGTTCTATCGCAAGTAAAATTGCTGCTTTGGAGTTCGCCTGCGGTCTACCTCTTCTCCATAGCACAGAGGACGTTATTTGCTGCGATTGTGTAACTGTTTGCTGTTACTTGTATGTTATTGGTGTTCCTGCGCAATGATGTTACTCAAAATACTCAAGTTGAGTTTTGGATATATCTTCACACGAGTCCAACGCTGCGCCAAGCAATAGCAAGTTCTCTGTATCGTCGATTCAGTGCTCGAGAAAGCTTGGGCGATCTCATTGCACTGGCGCCAGAGCATGCTGCAGTGAATAACTCATCGTACTCGTCTGACATCCATACCCACTCGCCCCCGTGCCCCCACCCAAGTGATCCGGTAAAGCCACCAACCTCTGACTCCTCAGCACAAGCTCCACCGGATCCAACTCATCGTCGCTCTCATACCCCAGCATATCGAACCTGCCCCAATCAAACGGCACCTGCCAGTCGTTTCCGCCATTATTGGAAGACTCGTCGCGAACGAGTTCTTTCAGCTTCTCGACTTCCTCGGGATGTGAGAGCTGCAGGTCTTTGAGCCATCGTCTGCTTATCATCCATTCTGAGACACCTTTCGGAGGCATTCGCAAGCCAAACTTGGGGGGACCTTCGGTACGTGGTTGACGTGGTCGGCGTGGTGGGTTCTTTGCCTGGGAAGATGCCGATGTAGAGTCGTGGTTAGAAGAGCGGTTAGAGAGAGCGGAGAGGGAATCTTCTGAGTCGAGGACGTTGAAGAAACGAAGAAGCCGGGTGCTTCGCCAAGGTTTTCCACGAATAATGAGCGTCTTTTCTTTGGAGGATGTGGCCACAGCAGTCAATGGGCCGGGTGTGCGTTGTGATGATGAATCGTCCTCCGATTCTTCGGAGGACATGCATTCGAATTGGAGTGCGCCTGTGAATGTCGGATGGGCGAAAACCTCGGCTTTCTGCCGTGCCTCTATGCGATTGTTTAGTTTCTGTGGTATGGTTAGAATTAGCGTCAAGCACGAAGTAGCGGATAGGATTTATGAAGTGAGATGTGTAGAAGGGACACTCACGCCTTTCTTTCTGGCATTTCTCCTGGACTTCATCGCCTTGCTCTCCTCCTTCTCCCTCAGACTCTTTGCAATAGCCTCATCGCTCTGGCCCTTAGCCTTCTGCCTGAACGTCGTGAAAGCCTGATCGAACGCAGAGTCCAATACTTTCTTCGTGAAGTCCTTGTCTAGTACATGCTTGTAATGCCCCCTGTTTGCTTTTATGTCTGCAATGATGCGATTCTTCATGCGAGCGTTGTGTGCCGATTGTTTGGGTGTTTTATCCCAGACGAAGCGGACGGGTTCAGAGTCGCCAAGATGCAGACCTTCAAGATGGGACGGTGGAAGTTCAGAGTCGGGAGAGACTTTCATGCAGCGGTAAATGTGCTTTCTCATGGCGGTCTGAATTCCCAGTACGTGATGCGTTCAGTTATACTATAGAGCGGCCATACTGACAGGAACACGCACCTGAATGGTGTAACACCGGGTATCATGTTTGTTCCGTCGTTTCAAGGGTTTCGTTCTTCCCGCGGACGATCTTGAATCTTCGCTACCTGCACTCTCTTCCTCGCTCTCCGATACTGGTGTCCGTCTCTTCCTCTTCGAGCCAGAAGAGGCGGTTGTGGAATGGGAACGGCTCTGCGACAGTGCGGGCGAAGGTGAGAATTCTGATTCTGCTGGAACATGGGGTATCGAGCTGATAGTGCTATGGTCTAAAGGCGGCGAAGCAAGCTGCATGGGTGTGTTCGGTGCACCAGGCTGAAAAACGAACATTGGATGTGGTGCGGGTGCGGGTACAAGAGCGGGTGAGGGCGTCTGGGTAACAGTGATTGACGGCGAATGTGTGAGCGCGGGAGATGGTCGCGCTTCGATGAGGAGCGAAGAGGGGATCCGAGACGGACCGGCCACGGGGCCTAGAGAGGCGATGTAAGCTCGAAGACATGCGACCTCCTGCCTCGTCTCTGCAAGCTGAGTCTCCACCACGGCTTGACGTTGAGCATACTTGGCCTCTAGCTCTTGTTCCCATGCTATTCTACGTTTGCGTTCGGCTTCGAATGCTTGTTTGGAGGCGTGGAGCGCGCGGAGGATGACTTGTGCACCGTCTGGTCTGCTGCTGGGCATAACGCTAGGCATACCGTTTTCGGGAGAGAAATAGATTGCACTTACCTAGAAGGAATTACAACAGGTGCTTGTACTGTCGGTGGAGGCGGAGGTTCAGAGATGGCAAATTCAAGTTCACTCCTGTGGGGAACATTGACATAAGTTTGCTGCGTCACCGCTGGCGGGCTATCTGTTGATGCCTGCGGCTGCGTGTTGACGAAAGTGGGAGAAGGGCGCGAGCGAGAGTAGGCAATATGTGGGTTGAGCGCATTTGAGAGCTCAGACATGACAGGGCAGGGGAACGGATGGTTGTGGCGAGAGTGACGGTGGCCATGAGAGTTTCTCCGGCCCAGGCGGTTGTTTGAAACAAAAGCTCTTGCACAACAGCCGTCAACAGGTGCAAACACCGCGCGACGCGTCAGCCACAAGTACTAGCAGTTCACGGTGACGCGTACTCACTTTACTTGAACCTTTACTCTCTGTCGACCGCCTCAACTACTCCTTCCTCAACCGAAGATAATGGATGCCAACTTTGCACGCATGCTTGAGGGTGCTGCCGGACGCGGCGGCGGCGGTGGAGGTGGTGCGGAGGCCACGGTGCCAGACAAGTGAGTGCATATTGCTGAACAGTGTGGCGCTTTACTGACCACGAACTAACTTTCCAGTGGAGAAGTCATCCACATATCCTCACTCGCTCTTCTCAAAGTATGCCTAGTAATCTGTCAAAACTATAGGTATACTAATCTAGCGGTGTGATTAGATGTTGAAACACGGTCGTGCGGGAGTGCCTATGGAAGTCATGGGTCTCATGCTCGGCGAATTCGTCGACGAATATACCGTACAAGTTATCGACGTCTTCGCCATGCCTCAGTCTGGAACAACGGTATCTGTCGAGTCCGTGGACCATGTTTTCCAAATGAAAATGGTTGAGATGTTGAAGCAAACAGGAAGGTCAGCTGCTCGTCCACGCCCCTTCTAACATAGACCACGACTTGGCCCTCCTTTTTATCCTGACTCTCCCCCGAGTTTGCGCCGTTTCTGGATATACTAATAAATACGTCTCTATGACGTTGATGATATCAGACCTGAGACCGTCGTGGGCTGGTATCACTCGCATCCAGGCTTCGGATGCTGGTTATCAAGTGTAGATATCAACACACAACAGGTTCGTACGCACTCGCAACCCTCTACCCATTTCCTATCCCCTCTTATCCTAATGCCAATCCCAAACCGAGGTTGATGCCGATACTGATTGAACCTTGATTCGCTCCCGTTCCTGCTCCTGTCTCCCCATTCCTTGAATCCACACCCTCATCATGAAATCCAGTCTTTCGAATCTCTAGACCCCCGTTCGGTCGCAGTTGTCGTAGACCCAATCCAGTCCGTCAAGGGCAAAGTCGTCATCGATGCCTTCCGTCTGATCAATCCACACATGCTTCTCTCCGGTCAAGAACCCCGCCAAACGACGTCGAACATCGGACACATCAACAAACCCTCTATTCAAGCGCTCATCCATGGCCTGAACAGGCATTACTATTCGATAGCGGTGAACTACAGGAAGACGGAGCTGGAGCAGGCCATGCTTATGAACCTGCACAAGAGGAATTGGACGGAGGGCCTGAAGTTGAAGGACTTCAAGAGCCACAAGGAGAACAATGAAAAAGCTATCAAGGTTCGTGGGCGCCACTGCCGTTTCTTCAATCTAAGATATCCCATTTGGAATGGACTGCGAAAGAGGAACAGACTTGCTGACGCTATCCTTCTTGCCTTTATTGACTCCTTCTCCTTGCTGCCCCATCTGCCTCCGCGTGTCCCACGCTCGCCTTACTCTCCGCCCTCCTGACCATGACCCTGCCCAACCTGAACATACCTATTCCTGTCCTCGCTCTCGATCGCTCGGTTCTACCGGAATGAACACGACGCACACGACTCTAACGCACTCCGCGATTAAACAACGAAACAGTCGATGCTTTCGCTCTCAGAAGCGTACAATAAATCTGTACAAGAAGAGTCGACCCTCACACCCGAACAGCTCAAGACGCGACACGTAGGGAAACAGGACCCGAAGCGCCATTTGGAAGAGGCTGTCGAGAAAGCGATGGGCGATCAGGTGGTGCAGAATCTGGGGACGATGTTGCTTGCCGAGTTGTAGTACCACTATCCTCCAAGCATCGATTCCAAGAGCTTTCGCTCCATTAGCCACTAGCCACCAGATCAACTAACGCAAACTCATACGGGCGAAACAATTACTTTCGCGATATGACTTGTGCTTTCTGATCCGGGCTCCTTCACTTCATTGTGATCGTTCACTCGGGGCTGGTGGTGTGTTGTGCGTCAGTAGGCTTCGGTGCGGAAGCTGAGTGCGCAGTTGCGGTTGCGGCGGTTGTTCTTTCATCGTGCATGATGTAGTTTGTATTATTTCGATCCATCTCTCGGTTCTCCTCTTCCATCCGTTTCCGGAACACGACTCGTAACTCTATCTCTGTGAGAGAGTGAGAGCGAGCTAACTTATCGTCGTATCTTTCCGGGGGCCTTACTCACCATTCCCTGTCCCTTGCCCTGAAGCCGCAAGTCCAGCGCTTGCTCGAACAGGAAGATGCAGATCACTGACGTCTCCCGACGAGAATAACTCTCGTTCAGGCCTCTCTATCCGCGTTAGTGTTCCATCCGTTTGAAAGCCCGTAAGATCGAGACTCACTATGATAGCCCTGCTTTCACCCACCGCCCATCTTGCTATACTTGCTGGTGTGTGTGTGTGTGTGCGTGTGTGTGTGACCACGGAACAGTTCGACCAAACATACAGTGAGATATGGCTCATCTCGGTCGACGGTTTTCACAAGGCAAAGTCTTCGTGAGGTAGAATGCACTGTATTTGACGCTAAGATCTAGAGGCTGTGAATGTGGGTGATGTTTTTGGGCTGGCATTGGAGCCGATTCAGGGAGGCTGGCAGCGGGATGCAGTTGCGCTTTGTGATCTTCGTGAGCGTAAGTTCAAGCTCGAGTTTCGTGGTTAATCGTGATCATTTCTGGTCCGTTCGTTCGTTCATTTATTGTGGGCCTGAAGGAGTCTGACTCTGAGGCTAAACTAGCGTGTGTTGTTGATCAATAATTGTTAGGTGGTATGAAAGACTTTGAGTTTGACGCATCATACGGCGTTGTGAACACGAGCGAGCGAGTCTCAGCCCCGAAGTCTGCGCTATTGTGCTGCGCCAATGGAGGCTTCGTACATATAGGAGAATGCAAGTCCAACTTGATGCGGCGGCAGTGCCAATGGGGTGTGCTAAATGGATCCACAGAAAAGACGCGGCTGGTCATCCATACTCGGCAGCGACAGGAGGATGGTGTGTTCACGAGACTCGTAAAATCTGAATCAACAACCCGTCCGAACCTGTTCGAACCTCTGATGATATCGGAGTTCCGTGTATTACGGTGTCGAATATCGAGCGCTGATCAATATTCCTTTCTTCGTCTATCGGAACAGTTCGAACTCGACATGATAGTACCACAATCAGTAAGAGAACGCGAAAACGCAATGTTTGCGCCCTCAGAGCGCATCAGCAGGTCTTTGCTTGGTGCTGCTGAGCCCTGGCGAATCAATTGATCAGGCTGGAGTATTATGGTCCAATGATCATGAGCTCATGACCAGTGACCACCCCGGTGGGTTCGATAGGGGGAAAAAGGTGACAAAGTGGAGAACGTCGAAGAGTCGAATACTTATCGTAATTAAACTAAATTGATGGCCGAGCAAACTTTCGAGGCTTATTTTCTTGTCCACGTTACAGCTGCAGCGGAAAGGTCTGAATCCAAGTGAGTACAGGAGCAGGACTGCGGGAGCGGTTCGTTTCGAGTGAAGTTGCAGTTCACGTTTGGGTTCGGATTGCGGCGAGGTGAGATGAGGTCAGAGACGGAGGTACTGGGCAGGGCGCAAAGCGTGGATGTAGCGACGGGTTAAGAGTCCCCTGGTCACCGCCGTGGTAAGAAAAACGCGAGCAGGAATGTTGGATACTCAAGTAGTACTAAGTAGAGGACAACCCACCCAGTCAGGGGCAAATTTTAAAGCTTAAAGGCTGTCAGAACGGTTTGCCAGTGGATTTAAAGTATCGCAATTGCTGCTCCGTAGGTGAAGTTGGCAGATCCCATGGTTGCAGTGCATGGCCAGACTGGTAACCGATTGTCTATAGCAGAGTATGTGACGGCTGAACGACTTTGAACGAGTACACATGACAAAATGTTGGTGTCACTGGGTCACTAGCACTGGTCGTTGGTGAAGACACCGACATGAAAGGGAGAGGTGGACAACCAAAGCGGCAAAGTGCCATTCAGAACGTCGGTTACAAGGTCGGATCAGACACGACTGCAAGTAATGATAAGTAGCTCATCTTTTGTAGATCATCCTCCACGTATCAAGGAGCTGTACACTGTGTGAGATACGGCCGCATGCACTGTGCAGTGTGCATGCATGCATCCACATAGATTCAGATTCCTGCCAGTGCCCGTAGGAGATCGCCAGAAGGTCATCCCAATGAATCCCAATCCCACTCTCGATGATACTGTATCAATCATCTCTGAGTCGTGTCCATCGCTCGGGCGGTCGTTGGTCACGAAGGAAACAAAACACGGAGGATCGTAGGCCCTCGTAGATCCGTTTGGGTGGCCGTCTTTGATGGGCGCAGAGTATGTAGCATAAATATGATGACAAGCGAGCGATCCGGGCGTGGCGTGGCATAGGATGGACACACGGCGAAAGGAACCAAATCTAATATATTGGATGATGCAAAAACACCATCAGCACGACGCAGAAAGTGGCCAGGGGTCCGTCCGTCCTGCGCCTTTAGGTCTATAGGTCTCCCAAGGTCCGACCGTGAAAAAGAGCCTGACCATGAGGTGTCACTGCTTAGCCTCTCAGGTAGAGCGTGACACTGGATATTGACGCGGACGAACGGTCTAATCTGCAGGATGAAAAATACTATTCTGAGATAGTCTGCAGCACGACAAAGCGCAATACCCATGTCGAAGTGTCCAGAGTAGTGGCTGCACTGCCGCTGCAGGACGCTGATCCCCCAGGTCTCGAGCGGGAAGGGAGAGATTGAGAAGAGTCGTCTTGTCTTGGAGGGCGCAAAGATTAGGAACGGCGACCTGGACTGAGTGCGAACTTGGACCTGTGGCGAACGGTCTGAAACACCTGACTGCTGCAGAAGAGAAGATGCAGCAGATGCGACGATGATGCCACCGTCTACTTATGTATACAGTGGAGGCAAAGGCTGGAGCGCCAGAAAAAGCAATCGTGGAAGCATTCTAGGCCTTTGCCTTTGTGTTGGGGACGTGTTTGGGAGGAACGGCTGGAAGGAGACGGTATGCACTGTGCAAGTTCGCGCGGAAGGCTCCGGAGAGAATGGCCTGAGCTTAGAATATGACGAGATTCAGACTCGAGGTAAAGATGCAGCATGCAGCGGCAAGTATACCGTCACAAAATCGACTTTGTGCCTCGAGGTGAGAAAAAAAGACAACAACAAACAGGTGGCTTGAACGGACGGCTTCCATTGACAAGACGATCAGACGATCAGAATGTAGACACCTTGCGTCTGTCGATCCGTCGAGTCACACGAGACAGATGAGGTCCGAGGAAAGTTATTAGTGAGCAGCGGGTCGGCTGGTGGTGGCCGAAATGATACGGCATATTATGGGTGGACGACGGACGGATGGGTAGAATGTAAAATTGAGTACGAAGCACGCCTCCATTAATCGACACCCACCGCCTCATAATACTTCCATCGAGCGCAGAATGCAGCCAGCTCAGCAGCAGCAACGCACTACCGACGCGGCAGCTCCGGGTCCATCCTATGGAACATCGGCATGATGCCCATCAACTTCGCCCTCTTGATCGCCTTCGCCACCCTCCGCTGGCTGCGCCACGTGAGGTTCGTCTGGGCGCGTTTGCGGACCTTGCCCATCTCGGTGACGAAGGCGGAGAGCAGGGTCGGGTTCATGGCCTCGTAGAGCGGGTCGATGTCGAGCTGGTGGAAGACGTCGCGTTCGCGTGATTCGCGTGCGCCGGGGCCGATGGTGACCATTTTGCGGGGATACCTGCGGAAATCGCCTGTGTCGAGAAAGTCTGCAGGTTTTATGAACTGGGGACGCGTTAGGACGAGGTGACTGTCCGTGAAGAAGAATAGAGGCGTACGTTTGGGGTGTTGTTGCCCTTGCGTTGTTGACGACGGGGTCTGGTGCGGAGCGTCTCACGGTAGTCGGTCACTGTACAAAATGTCAAGAAAATAGCAGGGTATGGTAAGAGGGATATACAGACCACTGAAGGCATCTGAGGAGGGTTTTGCGCGCGTAGGTGCTGCCTCAAGAAGTTGAGTGGTGTCTGCCAACTCGTCATAGGCGCTGGTGTCTGCCTCGATGACGCTCCTTTTACTGGCGAGACGGGAGTTCTGTGAGGTGGATGCATAGGCAGCCTGCAACGAGAATAACGGGCTGCATTTTGCAGGACGGCGTGCGAGGGCGAAGGCGGAGGAGAACATGATAGATATGTTTGTCCGTAGGCGGTCGTTCTGGAAGGAGAGATGTGCACGAGGCCGGGACCCCGGACAGCGCGGGTCGTCGCGAGGCGGCAAGGCGCGCAAGCGAGGCTGAAAGATATCCGGGATTCCCTCTTCACTCTTCTCCTCCAGCCTCAACATCTCCCCCAACGTCGCCCGTGCCCATGCGTCCCTAGCCCGTATCCAACAGTCTCCCTGCGCCTCCTTTTCTTTTTCTCTCTTCTCTACACCGTCCTCGTCGTCCTCGTCGTCGCTCCCGTCGTCGCCCTCATCATCGAATCCTGCCCCCCCACCGTTGCTCGTATGTCCGACAACGGCTCCTCTCGCAGGCAGCTCCCGACCCCCCTCGTATTCACCCCAGAATCTGTCCTTCCCCCTCCCATCCAGCCCTCAAACTCCTCCGCATCCCAGTACAACTCCGGCTACGGCTCAAGCTCAGGCTCAAACACCGTTTCTATGCCCTTCGTCCGGCGCCATGTCACAAGACGGCTCAGGGCTGCAAAGCAGGAGTGCGACAAGGAGCTCCAGCGTGTCACAAACACAATCACCGCCTTCTTCGAAGAGAGGCTCCGGCTAGGTGAGCAGGAGGCCGCCCTCGAGCGCGAGCAGCGCGAACGCGAGCGTGATCGCGAACGGGATCGTGAATGTCCCCCCCAGGACCAGGATGCTCTCCGCGAGGCCTTCGTGCTTCACCAGGATCAACTCAGGTCGGCCGTCCAGTCAGACGATGCGAGCTCAGACGGTGGCTATGAGGCAGAGTATGAAGGTCACCACAGCCGTCAACGTGCGTCCCTCGAAGAAAATCAGAGGCCACCTCTTCTCACACATTGGTCTTCGTCCCCTGGTCTTCTTGCAGCTTCCACTTCTTCCTCCAGCCCAGCCCCCCTCCGTAGGCAGACCACCATCTCGTGGGATAAACCCCCCACGACGGGCGCCTCGTCTGCTAACGGTACTAGCACCGGCAACTCCAGTCCTGCTCCAGCGCCCTCGCACACCCCCGAGCTCAGCACCAGCCCACGCAAGCAGAACGTGCCCATCGCTACTTCGTCATGGAGCTCAGGTGGAATCGCCAGCCGCAGATTGTCTCGCTCAATACACATCCCTATCCGCCCCTCACGTTCCGGTCAGAGCTCCCGATCCACCTCTCGTTCTCGATCACCTCTCCCCCCAAGCAACCACACTAGCTTCGCCGAGTCCCTCACCAACGGATACAACACCGCCAACAGTAACAACAACGGTAATAATAGTAGGGATAACCGCCGATCGTCCCGTATCCTCATCGACGACCCCGTCGACCCCATCATGACCAACCTCTACGAGCTCATATCCGTCGCCACCGACGTCTCCGAGATGTCGGTGGCTCACCTCACCGCGAATCCCAAAACGATAGAGACTATCGTCCAGCGCGTACAGAAGATCGGCCGTGCATGGGATGACCACCCGGACTGGCACGGCCGAAACTGGTACGTCCAGGTCCTGCTCGCCGTCGCTAGTCTCAGTCGTGTGCTCGAGTGGTGGGAGGCGGAGAAACAGTTTTGGAATTTCGACGATAACGACGACGAGCAGGAAGAGGCCCTTCTCTTCGTCACCAAGCCGGCGGACGAACCTGTCCCTGCCCCTGCGCCCACACCGAGGCTGTCCGTGGAGGATGACGGTCGCTTGCGAATGTCCAGAACGACGAGCGTGGGCAAGAGGTCGAGGGACGAGGCGGCTAGTCTTAGGGATTCGACGTTGATGCCACCACCGCCTGATCCTTCTCGGGCAGGTTCGATCAAAACCCTCGACACTGCGGAGTCTGCTAGGGTGCTGGCAACCGAACGTCTGCGTCTCCAGGCGGAGACTGCACAAAGTCGGAATATTGTCCTCGAGCTCAACCTCGATGGCGACCACATATTGTGGGTGAACTATGCGTGGAATGTTGTCGTCGGGTGCGTTTCCCCAGTTCATCTTCTCACCCTTCATTCACTCATATTTTTGTTTGGCCAATATAGCACGGATTGCGAAGAGATCCCAGGGACCCGAATATCCCAGTTGCTCGCTCCACAAGACGTACATGTGTTCCAGGAAGCGAATGCGCATCTTCAGGAAGACGACTCTCACACAGTCGAAGTCAAGTTTCGTCTTCAGATTGAACCTGACGATGAGCGTGATGTCTCGTCGCCTCCCCTGTATCAGCTCATGGACGGTAAAGGCATGGTCATGATTGATCGCGAAGACGGCATGCCTACGCACACGATGTGGTCCATCAAGCCTATCTCTGCGCCAGAACGACTACCTTCACCTTCCATCCATGTCGAAGGGGACGAAGAAACAGCCGACCCCGCCGAGGACGAACTCACCCCCGACGAACGCCAGGATGCGGAAGAACCCTCGACACCTCTTCCCCTCGTCCGCCCCATCAACCTGACCCCCATCCTCTGCCGTATCTGCGAGAATTACGTCGCCCAGTGGTACTTTGAGAAGCACAACGAGACGTGCAGTGAGACGCACAGACTTGAGGCCGAGATTGGGGAGTGCAATGAGTCGATCGGAGAGCTGAGGAATACCATCCGTGATCTGACGGCCGCTATCGACCGTTCTTCGCCGGTGACGACCCCCGAGTATCGTGGCATGCCGATCTTCTCGCCTTCGAGTTCTCCCGGGTCGTCTTCTCCGCTTCAACTCTTCCGTCTCAACAAGATGCAGCGGTTCGGTGTGAAGAAGCTCCAGCGTCGAATTCTGGAGCAGTTGGAGGATATTCTGCAAGTCGCCGTCGAGATCTCCGTGCCGACGTTGAAGGAGGAAGAGTCGAAGGAGCCTATCGAGCGTCAGCGGCTTCTTTCGCCTGGGTCTGAGCGGAAGATCACTCAGGTTCGAAATTGGTCGAAACCTGCGTCGACGCAGGATGCGGCTCTGAACCAGGTCGTGCAGGATGCGGAGCGGGTGATGAGGCAGAAGATCGATACCGTTGTGCGGCTGCAGAATACCATTCGATACTCGGAGAAGGTGAGGCAAGAGTGGGAGGAGAGGGTCGAGCAAGCGCTTGCGCAGTATCGCGATGATGGCGAGGAGGGTGACGGTGCGAGCGATCATGAGGGTGATGCGAGCGGAGACGATGATCATTCGAGTACGACTTCGGAGTACGCTTTCGCTGGGAGCGGCCAGTCTTCAGATCCTACGCCTATGCCTTCGGCGTCTCCAGTTCCTACCGCTGCTTCAGCTTCAGAGACTGGTGATCCAGTCACACTCGCTCCACAGCCGTACGTTCCTCCAACCACTTACCAATGGCAAACCCGCTCCTCCACGCCTTCGTCCGTCTCTTCTCCACTTGCGCTTGCGCAACCTATTCTGGCATCTCCTGGACCGGAGGGGCATCCGCCTCCGATGAGCCTCGACGAGGGCAGCCAGAGAGTTGTCCGTGGTGGTGAATCGTTACAGAACCTCGATCCCAGAATGGTCGTCACGCCTCCACTCTCCCCCTTGGTCACCCCTCTCGACGTCCCCGCATCTCGTCGTTCACACCGACGACACTCCACAGCCGCCAATCCTATCCTCAGCCCCACCGCCGCAATGACCGGTTCCATTGCACCTGGTCCACTCTCTCCACGCATGCCTTCAGCAGCACCTGCGTCACGAACGGCACCGACGTCCATCAAAGACTTTGAGATCATCAAGCCTATCAGCAAGGGTGCTTTCGGCTCCGTGTTCTTAGCGCGCAAGAAGGCGACGGGCGATTACTATGCTATCAAGGTGCTCAAGAAGGCGGACATGATCGCGAAGAATCAGATCACGAACGTCAAGGCGGAGAGGATGATCCTGATGAAGCAGGCAGAGTCGCCGTTCGTCGCGAAGCTGTTCTTCACGTTCCAGAGCAAGGATAACCTGTATCTCGTTATGGAGTACCTGAACGGGGGCGATTGCGCGGCGCTGATTAAGAGTTTGGGGGCTCTGCCGGAGGAGTGGACGAAGAATTATATCGCGGAGGTCGTGCTTGGGTTGGAGTATTTGCATCAGCGGGGGATCGTCCATCGGTAGGCTGCGCTCTTTTCTTCTTTCTTTGGTCTCGGTTGAAAGTTTGTTTCTGACTGCGGACAATGTTGCTCTAGTGATCTCAAACCTGACAATTTGCTAATCGACCAACACGGTCACTTGAAGCTCACAGATTTCGGTCTGAGCAGGATAGGTTTGTTGGGTCGTCAGACCCGTGAAGGTCCTGTGCTTCCTACGGCCGAGAGGGGCGTGCAGCGCGGGCACACGCGGTACAGTCCTCACTCGCGGCCGCCCTCTATGGACTCAGCGTACTTGTCCTCGCCTTTGATTCCCTCCGACCTGATCAGTGGAGGTTCGTACTTCAATAATCCACACCCATCGCCAGTCCCAGCTTCTTCAGTGTCAGTGTACCCCGGTAGGCAAGGGACACCCTCATACCTATCATCCACAGACGACATCAGCATCGGCGAATCGAGCGGCGGCTCCGACTCGTTCCAGGCCATCTCGATGCTCTCGAGACGCAATGTGAACGGGAACGGGCAAGGGGGCATGAACGACAGTCCGCTGCAGAGTTTCGCGACGGAGTTGACGGCGGATTTGAGGAGCCATTATTCGACGCCGGGGAGCGGGACGCCGCCTGGGGATCAGAAGTTTGTGGGCACGCCCGATTATCTCGCCCCAGAGACTATTCTGGGTTTGAGAGGTGACGATGCTGCCGTCGATTGGGTACGTTTTCTAGCTTTCGTTGTTCCTCCTTATTTTTTTTTCTGACGGTGATATTATTGGTTGACAGTGGGCTCTTGGTGTGATCACCTATGAGTTCCTGTATGGTGTTCCTCCTTTCCACGACGAGACCCCCGAGAAGGTGTTCGAGAACGTTCTCTCCGGCCATATCGACTGGATGGAGGAATACGTGGACTACTCTCACGAGGCTCGGGATTTTATGGAGCGACTCCTCACACTTGACCCCGCTAGGCGACTTGGAGCTAATGGTGCCGACGAGGTGAAGAACCACCCCTTCTTTGCCGGCATCGAATGGGACAAGGTGACCACGACCGAAGCGGCGTTCATCCCTCAAGTGACCGACCCAGAATCGACGGACTACTTCGATCCCCGTGGGGCCATCATCCAATTGTTCGACGACGATGACGCGCTACAGGCTGCCGAACCAGGTCATACGGGCGGTCTCGACGTCCTGCATACCGATGCCGTGCCCGTACCAGGCGGCAGCAACAACGGCAGAGGCGGTCGCGAGGCGGGCACGCCCGCGGACGACGACTTTGGGACGTTCAGTTTCAAGAACCTGCCGGTGCTGAAACAGGCCAACGACGACGTGATCCGCAAGCTGAGGACAGACCAGATGGCGCCCATCACGCATACGCTCTCGGACCCCGCTGCGAGCTCGCACACGCGCAAGAGGAGTGTGTCGACGCGGAACAAGAAGGCGCCTTCGAACGTTGTGACGACGTTCGACGGGAAACCGATCACGAACCCTCCGTCGCCCGCGACGTCGACTTCGTCCATCGCGTCTTCGCCTTCGAGGGGCAGTATCCCGCCTTCGACGCCGGGGAGCGCGAACGGTGGTGCCCATGCGCATGCGAGGAAACCGTCGGAGTATGGCGCCGTGGAGAGGTTCAAACTGAATCATATGGACGCGGACGGGAACAGGCGGAATTCGATGCCGAGTAGGCTCAGGACGGCGTCGGTGTCTTCGAGCATGGGTGAGTCGGATATGTCGGTGTGGCCGCCGTCGTCGATGTCGATGGGCAATGCGTCGACGTCGACGCAGTATGGGGACACTGGTGCGAGCACGCCGCCATCGTCGGTGGCGAGCGTGGATCTGAAGAGGTGTCCGGATCCGAACGATCGGTCGGTGACTTGTCTGTTGGCTGAGGATAATCCGATTACGGCGAAGATTATCGAGACTTTGCTTTCGAGGTTGGGGTGTCGTTGCGTTGTTGTGGCGGATGGGAGTGAGGCGATCAGTGTGGCGATGGGTGATATCAGTATGTGTTTTCTTCTGCTAATGGTTGTCGACGGACGAGAACTGATTGTATCACAGAATTCGACTGCATCCTTATGGATCTGCATATGCCCGTCGTGGATGGCGAGAGCGCGGCTCGGTACATCAAAAGCACGAACAACAAGAACACGAGCACGCCCATCATCGCGGTCAGTGCGTACAGCGGGACGGATAACAACGACGCGAGCAACCTGTTCGCGGCATCGCTCTCGAAGCCGCTCCAGAAGGCAAACTTGCTGTCCGTGATGAGGCAGCTCGGTTTCAAGACTTCGACGGCAGCAGAGTCCGCGCATGCGTCGCATGGTGGCACTGCGAAAGCTATCACCGTTCGATGACACGTTTTATGAGTTATGACTTTCTTTTTCTCTCAGTTTTTCTCGTCTCTCGTCTCTCTTCTCTCTCCTTTGGCTTGGTGTTTCCGTCTCGATTTCCACATCGCTCTGCTTTCTTTCGGTTTCCTCATCTTTTATTTCTTCTCGCTCATACACATTGTCAACTCTTCACGCTCTGCATCTTTCCAAACAATCACAGTTTTCACATCTCTCAGTCTCTCCGGCTCTCGTCACACTATGGTCCACGTTTTAGTCACTGCATTCTTTTTCCCTTCCCATCAACTCTTGGTCAAGCCCCACATCACATCCATATTGCCTGCAGGATCGGCCCCATCTATCCTCCGACCGGTACCCTGCCTTCGCCTTCGCCTGCATACATAATCCCTTGATCCTCCCGTTCTAGCAACCGAACCTCCCGTCTTCCCCCTCGCTCTCCAACAGCCACGCGTCCAGATCCGCTCCCCTCACCGTCGCCACCACCCATGCCGAATCAGAACTCTCTTTTTTCAGTTTCTATTATCGCATTTTCACGTTCTCTTCCCTCCGTTTCTTTTCTTTATATGAATCTTTTCCGACCTTCGACGTTCAATACTGAGGCTTATTTCCACCGCTCCCAGCATTTGTACAGTAGATTATCGAACCGCCATTTAGTGTTTGCTGCTTGTACATGCCTGCCCTCACTTTATTCTCGGATTCAATTTCTTTTGTGTTGTTCGTTCGTTCGTGTTTGATGGAAAATCCTGTTCCTGGGTGCATATTATTTCACTGCCGACCTGTGTGCGTGTGCCTGCCAGCCCTTTGCGTGCCTGCATCTCATTAAAGGTTGCCCTAAGTACATCTGCGCGCCCATTTGTAGGTATGCGACGCGATAAGTCCCGTAAAGTGGAAAGCGGCGCGAATTTGATGAAAGGAGATGAAGAAGGATGAGAGCGCTGACGCGCTGCCGGTGATGCGTTTGATCAGCAACGCAAAGCGATCAACTGCAACGTTCTCGACGACCTGCAGTCACGGTTCCGACCCTGATCGGAGGTAGGCGCCGTGGCGGAGGGTTAGGGGCGACGTTCAGTCGTTGCATTGCTGAGCTCTTGTCTCGCTTGCGGCGGCTGCTCAAGTCGAACAAACATACAATGGGCAGAACTCTGACGACGAGTGGATGCGCCAGTTAAGGTATGTGGGCTGGAACAGCGACAAGGTAGGGAGGGAAGGGGAACTGAAGAGGTTGGAGGAATGAGGGAAAGTGGGCGGGCGAATAGACGCCTTGGACCGAAAGAGGCAGTAGGCGGCAGAGTAGACGCCGTTGGGTACGTTCGTTCGCTGCACCGTCTTTTCTTTCTTTCTTCCAACCACCACGACCACTAACCTAACCAAGTTCGTACCCACTTTGCCACCGTCGCATTATCCACATCGACGGCGGCCAGAGCCCAGTCATGCACCGCAATAGCACCAGCCAGCCTTATGACCCACCCGCACAGCTTCCTGGCAGCCTCGTCCCAGGCGTGCCACGCTCCGCAATATACCCACAGGAGAACTCGTCCAGCAGGAGGTCAGACTCGCTCTTCTTCATGCCCTCTCCGTCTACAGCCGGCTCAGCCAGCCAAGACGCCCCATACTCCGTACTCACAAACGGTGCCACTCAAGCCCTCACTCCCAACCGACGACCACAGCAGCCTGTACTCGTCCCGTATACGACGACCGGTCCACCCCCTGACAGGCGAATAGAGCACAGACGGTCTTCGCCTCCGCCTGTTTCCCACCACAGAGCCATATTTGCGTCGAGGACAGCATCCGCACCTTCCCCTTCACTGCCTCTCCCTCCAAAACCGTACTTTGGCTCCCCTCCCCGAGCCTCACCGCCTGCCTTTCCGCACCCTAACAATAATGCGGCAGCGACGCCATCATCGGCTTCTTCTTCATCGCCACTCCCATCGCCCGTTCCGGCACCGAGACTGTCGTTCTACAACCAGGCGATAAACTCGACTTATGCCCATTCGACCGTTCCTCCACCTCCACCCTCCTTTCCAATGCCTACCATCCCTTCCATGCCTTCACCGCCGACTCAGTTTGCCTCACAGCCTTTACCACCGCTACCTCATTCACCGGGTCCTCCGCCTCTTCCTCCGCCCCCTCATGCACGGACATCACCGTCCGCACCTTCGTCCCAAGTCTCCTCTCCGGATCCGATCGACGAAGATAAGGAGTTCGAGATGGCTCTCCAGCTTTCGCAGAAGGAGAGCGATGATCACGCGCAGCGGATGAACAGTCTCGAGGAAGAGGAGCTTGCAATGGCTTTGCAGGAGTCATTGAGGGTCCACGGCGAACCTTCGAGCTACATTTCATCCTCCCAACCATTATCACCGCCCCTCCCACCTCCACAACCACTGCCTCCACTCCCCACTTTCACGCCCACGTCTCCATCACCATCCCTCACCGCTCCGCCCACCGCCACCCAATCACATTCCCGTTCTGTATCCCCCGACAGTCGTCGCCAATCTTCACCGCCTTCGCCACATTTATTGAGCATTCCGACACGGGATTGGTCTAATAATAGGAACGACAGCTTCCTCTCGCTAGCATCCTCACAGTCCCAAACGACACCCCCAGTTCCCGCACCTCCACTGCCGCCTGCGCCCGCCCCAAATCCACAGCAGCAGGTCCTCGACGACGAGGCTCTGGCTCGACAGTTGGCCGCAGAGGAGGAGAGAGAGCTCGCGCTGAAACCGCCGATTGAGGAACCATCCCCACGGGTACATGGTACGCAGCAGCAGCCGTTTTACAATAATGCCGTTTCTATACACACGGGTACGTGGAATAGTCATCATATCTGATGCCCTCCTCGTTCCCCAATTCAATCATCCTCGTGCTTCCTAATCTTCTTTATTCCCGTTGCTTCGGCCGCCCATGACCTCACTCCCCCTTCCCTCGTGCACTCGCTAACTAATTTATTATTATTCTTACCAAAAACATAAACTCCGCTTTCGCCTCGCCACTCCCCCTATGAATGTTTCAGGTCAGCTACCGGTATACACACCAAGCAGCACCGAAGACGGCCAAAGTGATGGTGGCCACCAGTCGCACCATTCCACTGCCTCTTTGCCGTCTCAATACGGTCCTACCAGTTCACCGCTGTCCGCGCCCTCTCCAGGGGTCAACATTCGGCGGTCTTCCAGCGCCGAGGTCGTGCCTGCGCCCAAGACGCTGATGGCACCGAGGAACCATGGACATCGACCGAACTCAATATCTTCATCAATGTTTGCGATGTCGCCTGTGGATGAGGACGAGGACGGGGCCGGGGAACATTCGGGTTCGAGACCGGGGATGGGGAATAATAGTCAGTTCGTGGAGGCGGAGCTGTTGAGAGGCGTCTGTGAGTCTGCCTTTCGTTTCGTTTTTGGTCTCTCGGTTCCTTTGAGGGAAGCTCAAAGTGACGGCCGAATAGCTGACGGACTGGACTGACGGACGTTTTTTGAATCCCTTCCTTCCTTATGACGACGTTCGTTATGATCACAGCGTTCGGCTTCCATCCGCCACCGATAGGTCTGAACCCTATGGTCATGAAAGACCCGATCCCGAACATCATCGCGTTGCCGTATGGGAAGTGCCCGCCGATGCATATCCAGGCGCCGACGTGGCGACATCTGTTGAAGCTCATGGCGCAGCTGAGTTCGACCCGGATCGAGCCTGCGTTGGAGGCGATGGCGATCACGAAACAGGCTTTGAAGCTTCGGACGGTGATTCAGTTCGTTCGCGTGAGTGTTCATTTTCGTCAGTTATTCGAATTATTGCGTGGACTGCAGAGGCGGCAGTTGGTGCTTCGGAGCATGACGAGATGTGGAATGTTAATTTTTGGTTTGTGTCCGTCTATTCTACTTTGTCTCATAGATCCATCAATCCTCCTCCGACTGGCGCACCATCCTCTACCTCACCATCGACCACGCCCCACCCCCCACTCACCCACACGTCTTCAAATACACAAACGGCGACACCTCCACCCTCCCCTTCTCCTACACGCTCTCCTCCCTCCCCGCCCTCCTGCGCGACGGCGACTCTGCCCTTTCCAAAATCTACACCATCCCCCCCACCAACACCACCCCCCTTCCCTCCCTGCCCATCAACCTCCCCTCCATGGCGAACTACCTCCTCAGCGCGCTGGACGATGCGAGACGCAGTCTGGGCGACAGTTCGAGCGGGCTGAGGAAGCTGGCGAAGATGGTCGAGGGGTGTTATCCGCAGGATAGGATGAATGGGGTGGTGAGCAGTGTGGAGGGCGCGGAGGGGAGCGAGAGGGCGGGTGGGAGGGGGGTTGGAGGGTATTTTGGGGTTAGGAAGTTGTTTGGGAGGAAGGGGAATAAGGCCGGGTATAGGAGTGGGAATGCGGATGTTTATGATTTGGTGACGCCGTTTTTGCCGGATGCGGAGTATGGCTAGATGGGAGGGAGAGGGGTGGGCGAGCAAGTGGGTAGATGTGCAGTGGATTTGCTTTATGTGGGTATGTGGTGTGGGATGTGGTGTGGGATAGGGGTCTGTTTGTTCTGCTTTTTGGTTTTGGTTCTAGTTATACCCCGACGATACAGAGGGGGAGTCGTTTGTGAGGAGGCTCTGTGGCTTCCTTTGATACTGATACTATCCACATTTTATCGTGGACGGAGGATGTCGCTCCAGAACGGGTCGTGTTCGTGTTCGTGTCGTTGTAAGACTGGCGAGATGCTTGATTTTGTTCGTGCTCGTGCTCGTGCTTGGTTATTCTGTTCCGTTTGCTTCCTCCCTCACTCTCACTCCTTTTTTTATCTCGTTCCTTCGTTCTGCACATGCCCATGCATTGATTGTTTGGGCCTTGCTCGATCCAAGTATCGTTTTGGTTTTGGTACAGTTTCCCTCTCCTCTCTCCTCTGTTCCCATCTTCTCCTCTTTTCTCGTTTCATTCCGTTTTGTACTCCGTAGCACAGCATGTAGCTTACAGCAAGTCTCAAGACTTTTGGAATATGAACCGCATCGCTATGATTTGGCTATGATTCACCTACATAGCGTTTACTTCAAGGTTCTCCGAGCGCTCGGTGAGTCAGCGATGCTGACGGGTTAATTTAGATATGGCGTATGGAGATATGATTGTAAGCTTTAAGCTGTATAATAGAGAGGAATTGTGCGTGTATGTATCGTATCATCCGTTGGCAGGAGGGTGTGGCGTGGCGTTGATGGATCTGGCAGATGCATGCTACTTACAGTAGGTAGGATGGTATGATGAGTCGGGATCATGATGTCGAGCGTTTGCGTTTATTTGCGACAGTTGTATGGTTGCCGCCGCGGGCGATTTAGTACAGAAGATTGACGACAGATGCGTGAAACGAAACAGAGATGACACGAATTTTGGGTTTGGGAGCTGTGTTGTGTCGCATGCATGGAGAGCGTAAGGTTGCGACGGCAGAAAGGGTCATCGCGCACAGCCTATAGACGATTTCTCTAGAGCTGTTCCCAGAAGAAACCGAGCAGGGAAATAATACGCTGAAGCCCGAGTATGCCACCACAATATATAATGCCAGAGGGAAGTTGAAGTCGAGTCTACCAATACCCCGACAATAGCTTGGCACCGACTGGACGTCGTCTCGATGGCTAGAATGGCCGACGACCATCGAGCTCGCTTCGGGAAGCCGTATCCCAGAGGAATGGATGTTGAGCTCGGTGTCTGGAATCAGAAGAGTCATCGGTGCGCATGGCCCCAAGCAGTGTTAGTTACCACTTACCCCGCAATTGCAACTGATTGTCGGGCGATTCCTCCCATGTGCGTATGCACGGCTGCTACTAACGTCTTACCTCACAATTGACTAGTTGACGTCCACCGTTCCATGGATGGTAAGAAGTTTCCGGCTGGGCAGAACAAGGATGAACGACGTAGACGGCGTCCTCTGAGCACTCTCCTTCCCCTGCCGTCGTCGCTGTCGGTTGTCAGATGTCAATGGAGGAGCCGGTGTGTGGTTTATTTGACGACGGTCTTATCGCGACGCAGGCAGAGAATTCGCGCGAAGGTCGAGCCCCGTTTCCAGGGCTGGACAGACCCGGATCGTGTGGTAATATTGGCACTTGCGAAATGGCCAGTTTTTTTTTGGAGATTTGAATGACGGCGGAGGGTCCGTCGACAGGAGCGGATCGGACGAGTCGGAGCATAAGACGGCGATGAGCTAACCGGTGACGCTTACTGCGGTGTCAAGGTCGCTTCGCCATCTGCATACCGAGCCCTGGATATTATGAGCTGGTAGTGCCGTATAGAGGGCAGATGTGTTCTTGTCTGCGGTGAGAGAACGATGAGGGTCGTGTGGACCTAAAGTCAGGCGTGGGACGATGTGAATTATCAAGGTCTGATCGAAGGACAGAGATGAAAGTTAACCGAGCCGGCGGTACGGCGATGTGGGACGCCTTGGGGATCTTATCAGACAAGGAAAGAGCCGCTCCCCCACCTCGAAATCCCCCTCCTATAGCGCAGTATAAGTATCCGAGGCAAGACGCCCGACCGTCCATGCCCACGGCCTCAGCAACATCATGAACGCCCTCAGGTCTCTTCGCGCCATCGTCCTCGGCCCGCCTCTCGACTATGAGATGGACGGGAGCACGCCGTCCGCACTCGAGCAGGCTGGCGTCCCCGTCTCTTTGGCGGACTGCAGGAATTGCCCGAATCCATGCGAGGAAGGCGAGCACACACCTTGTTCGTCGTCGCCATCGACTTACCGTTAATGCAGGCCACGAAGAGTACCCGGAGAAAATATCGTCGATGATAGACAACACGTCGGACATGCTGGGCTCCGTCAAGCCATACCGCCGCCAGGTGCGCCATTATGGCTCGTGGCGTCAATCAATCGCTCAGTCACTTATCTGATAACTTTGCCTCGAAACTCCGAACCGTCCTCGACGCGTTTAGGTCGTCATCTCCACTGGCAAGTCAGACTGGGCGCGCTCCGTTACAGACGAGAAGGGCTCTCTCGCACACCATCTACAGGCCGTCGACGCCGGCCAGCCCTCTGCGCTCGCCACGTTGCCCATCAGTCTCAGCTCTACGACGCTCAACACACCGTCCACAACGCCCGGAACGACAGCGCCCAGCACACCTGACAAGTCTCTCAAGGACCTCGACGCCTCTTCCGTTGTCTCCTCCATTTCCGGCATATTCAGGGATAACGAAACCACGAAGGTCTCCATCCTCAACGGCAGCCATGATACGCTCTCGCACGACCACACGCTCGAGACCGTGCTCGTCTTCCCGGATTACAAAGTCATTGCCGAGGTCCCACGTTCGCTCAAGGGCGCAAGAGAGCTCTGGGAGCATTCCGTCGACCCTTCCGTCTCCCGTCTCGGTTCATCCTCTTCGCTGCTGCCTGAGGGGAACGAGCTCAAGTCGTGGGTGATCCCGTACTCGTGTGTTATCCTGATCTGTGAGTCGTGGTTTCTTCCATTATCTGATATGATGGATCGGCCCCGTTCCTAATGTTGGCCCTATCATCTGTGTGATTACCGCGGGTTTGGATGTGAAGGTTCCCATAGACGGAGAGATGTTCGTTGTGCGGTCGTGGCTCCCAAACTAGAACACGGTACGTTGTCGGTATAGCTCCCACCTTCCCCATTTCACCACCTCGCCTCTCACATCTCTATGCTCCTTCCCCCTTTGTCCTCCCGGCGCTTCCCAAATTGACCCTCGCTTCCCTTGTCCGGCCATCTCCTGCCTCTAGCTTTCTCCGACTCGCTTCATCGCCAGAAATGGGAAGTCCACACACAGCTCGACTACCTCGAGGGATCGCCACTTGAGGACTTCGACGACTCCGAGGATGATAAGCAGGCGGAGATGCTTCGACGCCTGCAGGAGCTCGAGAACCCAAAGTCAACGCACGAAACGGCGCATGGGCATCCTAAACGAGCGCTCATACTCAAGACGTCACATATAGGTGGCCACAAGTACGCGGGGAACGTCATCGTGAGTTCATCTCGCTATTCAATCATCCGTTTGTTCGCCATCTTCAGCCTTCCTGTTGTCATCATCGCTGCTATCTCGCTCCTCTTACCCCTATCCTCCCTTTGTCCACTTTTATACCGCTTCATACCGCCTATGGCGAACGGCCTACCTTCTTCTAAACAGACTCACCTTCTTCTCGTTTCGAACGCGAGGCTGACCATGGATGTGGCGCGTACTTGTGCATCGATGTGAAACAGATATACATGCCTCAAGGCGCGGGAGTGTGGTACGGTCGCGTGTCGACACACGAAGTCGAGCCCATCGTGAGGAATACGATTCTTGGCGGCAAGATTCTTCCGCCGCTACTTCGCGGTGGCGTCAATTTATCGAGGCCGGACTGTAAACGGCTCAATGACTGGTAGTAGCCCGTGTCTTCCCTAGCATAGCCTCCTCATAATTGGCTTTTTTTGCTGTTTATTTGTTTGTTTTTGGTTCCTTATCTCAGTCGCTCTCCACCTTTTCTTGGTCATCTCTCACTGTTCATATCCTCGCATTCTCAGCCCACGCCTCGCATTCCTTCCTGTCCCGTCTACTTTTACTTAACCATCTTTCGCTCTCCGCATCCAATTCGTCGCACTCGGGACCGCGCTACCCACACTCCACATCTCGCTCTACCCACACTCACATACATTCACCCACTCTACTACTACTTTCATCCTCCGCCGGGCACAGTCTCACTCTACCTTACGTGGTTTCAGGCAGCCTAACACAATACGACCTTTATCTTATAGTTCTCTGTCTCTGTCCCTCTCACGCATTCTCTGTCGCACTCAATAGTCTTCTTTACTTTCGGATTCGTATATATGTACCTTACCTGCCCACATCCTCGCCGGCTAATACATAACTTAATCGCTGGCTCTCGCCGCGCCGTCCATGGTCAGGCTCACAAAATCATACGTGTCCTCTTGTTTATTAGCCCTAACCTACGTTCACCTCATGTCGCATATCGATCGTTTGCGGTACGGTACCACAGACACCCTTCTGTAACGTTACAGTATCCGTACTATCTCATTCGCTCGGTATAAGTACTCTTACATACTTCGCTTCTTATTTTATATTAAATCCATCGTAAGTTACATACGGCCAGTATTTGGGGGGGCAATTGGATAAATCGTGATTGGATGCATGGATTAATCTGTTCAGACGAACCTGACTCTTACACGTAACCAAGTGCGGGGGTGAGCAGAACTCCAGAGTCACGAGCGAAAGTCGTGCGCTGTTGCGGAATTTTGACGACTAAGGATGTGGTAATCCTGGTAGTAATCGCGGCAAATTTCGGTGCGGTCGGATGTATCGTGCCATGTCATTGTCATGCTGCCGCAGCCATTGACACTGACAGTGTGGGGGAAATGAATGCCAGTGGACAGGTCACATACTGGGGGAGCGCTACCTTCGGCAGCAGCCACCTTGCTTGGTAAATAACTTGCACAAGCACTTCTGGTCTGCTCTATACCGCATGTTCTTGAACGGGATTGGGAGTGCTTACGCCGTGCCCGGCGGGCCCAGTCATTGTCAACATTCTGTGATCCAGTCAAGTTGACTCGAGATTCCTCCAAGGCAAAGCAGAGGCCGATGAGCCCAAATGTCAAGGCAGCGAACGGTATGGGCCCTCATTGCGTCCGACGGCAAGTTATCCGTCTAGCGCGAGACTGATTCGTGAACATCAACGTCTGCATTTGAATCGCTGCAGTCACGTCTGAAAGTAGACCCTCTGCGGCGCCACACACCGGTGCCACAAAATAAGTCCGCTGTTTGTCCTTGTTTATTTCCGGGACGATTCTGAGGAATTACGGGGGTAGGAAGGACCTTCAAGCAAGGTAATTCTCGAGCTCATTGGGGTCTGAATCGCCCCGACCGGCGGCCGCTGAATTGGAACGAAATTGGGACGCGTTCTTAGTTCACTTACGGTACTGACTACTAGCCTTCAAAGCCTATATATCGTGCATGACCCGTTCGCTGTCTGTAAGTCTTTAAGGTACTTACTCAAAACTCAAAGACACGGCTAGTAAAGGTCCCCATACCGCGACCTCGCGATCGCTGATTGAATCGGAATAATTTAGAGTTCGAAAGCTGGATCCATTATTGAGAGGCCCGAGGGCATACTTACAGCGAAGTAAAACTGTGCCTTCGGGTCTGACTCGGTCGGGACAATTATAGTTTACCGCAGACGAACGACTCGGAGGAAACTACTAATACTTGAACAAACAGAAAGTGATAAGTTATGAAAGAGCGTCGGGTCGGGTTTGGATTGAACTGCAGTGGCGGTGGCGGGTGGCGTCGAAGGAAAGGTCCGGGTAGGTTCGGGTCCGATCGGAAGGAATTTACGAGGAAAGCCTGAGAGGAAACAGACAACAAAACAGAAAAGTTCATAACTTATGCGTGCGTCTGTCGCGTAAACCGTGTTGGAAGAGACAGCCCCAGATGAAGTGAACAGTCAAGATTCAAGACGAGAGATCGGAAAACAAGTACTCACCTATCCGCAATCACGACATCGTCACAGTAGTCCTTCAGCAGCTCCTTCAAGTTCACGTTCTTTACGAAATGTACTCTACCGCCGCTTTCTTCTCTTTCATGTCGTCGCTCTGAGTATGTCCCCTGGTGGGGCGGCACCATGTGATAAATATTCCGAGGGCGCTTTATCGTCAATTTCGAGGGTGGTTTACTAGCTCACAAGAAAGGAAATAACATGCATGGGCGAACTCATGTAGAAGAACCTGGTACCCTTTAGTAATAGTAGGGACCAGGAACATCATTATATGATTCATCAGTCTTATTGTAACCGCAGACCGTTCAAAGAAAGAAAGAAAAAAAGAAAACAGCCGAGAAAAAGAGAAAAACGAAGGCGCCCATGGCAAGCCATCTGGCGCGAACAGACGAGCCGCAATTGTCTGATGTTCGTGTTGAGTTCAAGTTTACTGTAGTAGTAGTACAAGCGTTGTTTGATTGAGTATCGACGAAACACGAAACACGAATGAAGAACCAGAACCAGAACCGGCGAGTAAGTGTAAGTTTGAAAAAGGAGAACAGCTTTTGATCAGGAGTTTAAAAAGTCACAAGGTAAGATGCGGGATAGACTATAGTTCGATGGCAGGAAAAGGATTGAAAGGAGGAAAGGATCAGTAGATAGCCTGAGAGGGATGAAATATTGGGGTGTCCGCGTCGGTGGGTGGTACTATACGAGGTGAGATGGCGTGGGTGGTTAGCGGCAAGGGGGGAGTGGATGATATGCGAGATGGATGGACAACAACAACAACAACATCGACGACGACGACGACAATACAGAAGGGGAAATGCTTGGGGGAATAAAGTATGTAGGAAGCGCGTTATACATTGCGTTGCATTGCACGGGCGGGCGACCAGACTCTCCATCATCCACTCAACAAAATCAAAAAAAAAAATCGAAAAATCAAAACGCTCAAAAATCAAAAGGCTCACGGAAAAGAAGACCTTAACTTCTGCACGTGTTATACATCCATATCATCATCCAGATATCCCTTCCGCCTCGCATACCGTCCCGCACAACTCGCATCGTCCTCTGCCTCGTCGTCCGTCGTCGGCTCCACGCCCTCCTCATCCACCGCCTGCTCCTCCTCCGGCTCATCCATCGCCAACCGTCCCACCGCGCTCGCGATCACGCTCTCGTTCTCCCCCGAATAAGTGAACCCCCTAAAGTTCTCCTGCACACTGTTCGTCAGCGGCGGACTCGCGCCAGGATCCCGTCCGCCTTTCTTCTTCGTGATATTAATCCCCTGCGGCTGCGGCGGCGCCCCATTCGGAGTGACGGCACCACCACCACCACCACCACCACCACCGATCCCATTCGGTCCAGGACTACGATCGCTGCCCAATGGCCCATTGGGCGTGTAGACCGTGCCGTTCACGGACTGCGAGAGCACCCAATCGCCCGACGGGTCGTCCTCGTCGAGGTCCATCTGCGAGTTGACCTCGCTCACGTCCGCCGAGGTGAACTCCGGATCAAAGTTCGCTGTCGACTCGTCCGATTCGACGACGGGCTTGAAGGGCGGCGTGACTTGTTTCCGAGCGAGCGCGTCCCAGTCGATGGGCTTGAAGAACGGGTGCTCCTTCAGTTGGGCCGTATCGCGCTCGGCGCCCAGACGGTGTTTCGGATTCCTGTTTAGGAGCTGTGTGTGGCGGTGGCGGGGAAGGAATCAGTAAATAAAAAGTGTGGGGTGAGAGAATTTATGTGGGCTTTTTTTAACTCACCCCCTTCACGAACTGTTTCCCATCCTCATTAATGACACCCTTCGGGAACCGAATCTTGCCAAAGCAGATATTCTTATACATCTGCTGCGTGTCTTCTGCGTAAAACGGACTCCAACCACAGCACATCTCGAAGAGCAGCACGCCGAGGGACCAGAAATCGACGAGCTTCGAGTAGCCGTGTTCGTCGAGGAGGACTTCCGGCGCGAGGTACTCCGTCGTCCCACAGAACGTATTCGTGAGCTCGTCCGCCCGGAGATCGGGTTTCGACAGCCCGAAATCACAGAGCGCGACGTGGCCTGTCGCGTCCAGAAGGATGTTCTCTGGTTTCAGGTCCCTGTGCAGCGAAAGACACGTGTGAGTCGGGCACACGCCACAACGATGGTGGTAAAAGACTGACCGGTAGACGATATCGTATTTGTGCAGATGTTCCAGCGCGAGCACGAGCTCCGCAATGTAAAATCTCGCGCGCTCTTCCGAGAAGCGGGTCTCCTTCTGCAAGTGCCAGAAGAGCTCGCCTCCGCTCTTGAAGTCCGTGACGAGATACAGGTCCGAGTCTGTCTGGAAGCTGAACTTGAGTCCGACGAGGAAGGGCGATTCGAGCGAGCGCTGGAGGATCTTGCGCTCTCCGATGGTATGCGCCACCTCTTTCTTGGCGATGATCTCCTTCTTTGACAGCACCTTCATCGCGTAGATCCTCTTCGTGTCCCGCTTCCGTACTTGGAAAACCCGGCCAAAGGTGCCTCGGCCGATGAGCTTGAGGAACTCAAAGTCGCGTGGTGTCAAAGCGCGTTTGGACTGGAATCGGCATCAAGAAGATGTGATTGTAGACAGGACGGGTGTGGGGAAATAAGTGTCAGAGCAGTGATCCGCATTTTCGGCTCAGGGTCAGATGATGACGAAACGGACCTTGCTCTGCTCAAAAGTGACCTGTATACGGACCTCGCCTGTGACGAGTTCGTTCTCGAGCGGCTGGAGCCTGGGTGGACGAGCGCGGGATCAGTCAGAGGGTGTTACGGCGCAAGCAAAGAGAAGGACGGGCGTACTTGTACCATTGGTCTACGGTGTGGTCGTGGACGAGGACGGGTCTGAACTGGACGTTGCCGAGGAAATCGTGCTCTTCATGCGAGCGGTCGTAGATGTTAAAGGCAATCGTAGACTGTTCCGAGGTGACGTCGCTAGGAGGAGGGGCGGAGTGAGATGGGAACGATGGAGGGGTTAGGGGAGATAATGAAAACTCACAAGGAGACCTCGTGTTTCCACACGGGGTTGTGCGCAGACATGCGGCCACCGAGGGCACCAAGTGCCGGAGTGTGAGCGGGGGCGGGCCTCTGTGCGGAGAGGGAGGACTTTGCAGAGTTGGTGGAGGACGAAGAGGCGGTAGAAGCGCCATTGCCGAGGACCTTGCTGCCGATGGCACCGAGGGTGCTGAGGGCGATAGAAGAAGAGGCACGAGAGAGATTTGTGGGGACGCCCTTGACCTCCTTGTCTGTTTCGTCTGTGGGGTCTCTGCTGACAAACTCGTTCTGCTCGAAGACGACGACGACGTATGGGCGTGCGCTGATCGATCTTACGTTGAGACCGCGGGCAGCGATGAGCTTTACGTGTATCTGGCCCTTGGAGGAGGCGGGTGCGGCGGGGGTGTTGCTCAGGTTTGAAGTGGACGCGTGTGCGGAGCCGGAGCGGGTGGAGTTTGAGGAGGCACCGGAAGAGGAGGCAGAGGACTTGACGGAGTGCTGGGAGACCTTCTTTGCGACCTGAGATTTAGCGGGAGGGAGCTGCATGTTGAAGTCTGGTGCATTCAGAGAGAGGTGTGTGGTTGGGAGAGAGGTCCCGAACTGGAGGCTGTTTGCAACCGATGGAGATAGTGGGCCTGCGAGGAGGGGTGAGATCACGTGGAGAAGGAGAATAAGGCGATGGACAGACCGAGAGGAGTGAGGTCACCGGCGGTGTTAGCAGGCGGGGGTTGGAGATACGAGTGCGTCTGGAGGAGATGATGTCTTGAGGGAGGCGCTCCTTGCGTCGTCGACTGCTGCCCGGCCGCAGGGGCCTGGGCCCCCGCTCCAAGGCTCGCATCGAACGGATTCGGCTCCGCCTGGTGTGAGCTTTGCACCGACGCCCTCGGCGTCAGCTGGTCCGCGAACGACGACGGGAAGAATTTGAGCATTGCTGGGGACAACCTGGGGACTGTCGGCGTGCGTTGCGCGCGGTCTCAACCACATCCGAGCCTTATATACGCCATGGAGCCCCTCTCCTCAGGTGGTGCTGCCGTCCCGCCCGTTGCCGGTCAATTTCCCATTCTACGCTTGTTTCTCCAGCTTCGAATCCCCCGCGTCATCCCTCGCCACCCGTCCCCTCTCCTCGCCACCCTCCTCGACAGCACTCTCCACCTCCCTCGACATCGCCCGACGCTGCCCCTCCATCCCCTCGCCCATGAACCGCAGTGCCCGCATCGTCCCCCCCGCCACAAGCCCCACCACCCCCGCCTGGTACGTCGTCCGCAGTGGCAATCGGTCTGTCCGGTCCAATCAGCCTATCGTCCCCCCATCACAGATCAAACACAAGCCTAGCCCGTGAATTTCCCACTTACATACGCCAGCCACCAGCCCCGCCGTGCCCACCCCTGCTCCAATCTCTCTTACGTCTCCGTACCCCGCCCGGTCCAGCAGCTCCTCGAACGTCACCCAGCCCAGTGCTATGAATCCCAGCTTCGCCGCCAGCGACCCCCCGTCGCGCAGCCCCGCGAGCATCATCCGGTAATTCTTCGTTTTGTTGTAGAAGTACCAGCCCTGCACCGTCCGTGGCGGTCGGTGCGCGTTTTCTGCCAGGAATCGGAGCCCCGCCGCTCGTGAGCCTCGCACGCCCCCGATCAACGTCCCCACCACCATCGCCCACCCTGGCACGATATATAGCCGTGGGGGCACAGAGACGTGGATCGAGTACGGTGCGCTCGACGCGTCGGGAGGGGCTGTTGTGCTCGCCATGGTTCGCTTATTGCTTTTTTCGACTCGCGCGTCCGTGCAGTCGTTCGTCGGGTCGCACGGTAAAGAGACCGGAACTATGAGGTCATCTTACTGTATTTAGTCCTAACCCTAGTACCAGTTTTAGACATCTTTGTATACGCTCCCCATGACCGCCCCTCGACGATCAATGAAGTCTTCTCCATCAATTGCGCACCGGTATGCTTGGCTGCTGCGAATGAACGTTCGACGACCAGCTCTCGAAAGGTGGCTTGTGGAGCATCAAACAACACACGCTCGACGATAAACCATCTGCGGAATCGATGGCGAGCCGCACCGTGCCCCATTGAGAGCAACCCTTTTTGTTGAGGCACACCTGCAGAAGAGTAATAGCCCAGAGCGTCGATTAGAGGGGAGGAGGACCTGGGTTCGGCCGAGCAGACGAATGTAACCCGATGAAGTGCTTGAGCGGCGAACTGCACCTCCTTCACTGCTAAAAGACAACTTTGTCTACAGTTGGTATATATTGAAGCTGCCATAAAGCACAAGAACGAGGCATGGACCAATTGTCGAAGAGAGTTAAGGAGTATTGCAACGGTAAGATATTTTATTTTACGCACAATGATATGTGGCCCAGCGCCAGTGGCGACCAACGTTTGTTTGTGTATGCCCTTGTATGCGCCCCGCTTGCGCCTGTTTTGTCCTCGTAAATAAGCACAATCCGTCGTGACCGAACAAACAACGCGTAACGTGAACGCGTCGGGTAGCGCATCCTCCCACCGCGCCCGACGTTCGCAACATTCACCGCAAACGGCGATAAAAACGATTTCATTGGAGAACATGGTCTGGGGGCGAAACATGGCCCGTGCGCTGAGGCAGCTCAAGCGAGCTACGTTTTCGCACGGGTGACGTAAGCCACAGAGAGAGAGCAAGCTGCGATTGTTGACTTGGCTCGCCGCTAGCGCTCATCGTCCACGCCCTTCTCAAGTACTAGTTAGCTCACTACCAAGCCCAACCCTTCACCCCCACGAAATAAGTCAAACTGAATATCGACGAAGATCAAGACATGTTGGCGGCGTCCCAACAACAACCGCCGCCAACGGTCGCGCCCCAACACATGCAGCAGCAGCAAGTCGCACCCCCTCCTGCTGCACCCCCTCCTCCTGTTCATGCTACAGTCCACCCACACGACATGCCCCCGCCGAACTCGTATTACCCCGAGGGGCCGAACGACGTTAATGGCGGCTTGCCGATTAATCTGGATTCGTTGAGGGATGGGCCGCCCGGGAGTAAGCCGTTTTATCCGTATTCGACGCTTATACGGTGAGTTTCCACTACCATGCAAGAGGGGGGAGGGGAAAAGGAAGGAAGGAAGGGATGCTGATTGTGACGGTAGGTATGCGATTAAGGGCTCGCCGAATCAGAAGTTGTTGTTGGAGGATATATATTATGCGATTGAGAGTCGGGTACGTGCCATTCGATTGCTGGCATTGACGATGCGCCACTGAATTCGTCTCGTTTCTAGTTCCCGTACTTCAGGTCAGCGCCATCTGGATGGAAGGTAAGTTTCGTTCGTTCTCGATTTGTGTACATAGAATGGGAGAGGGGCGGGTGGGAGTAGAGCAGCGTCATCATGCAAATGATAAATGAGGTCCGACGCGACTCGCGCTGTTTGACGCTGTTCTGCCATGTTTGTTTTGCCAACCACAATATGCACAAACTTTCGACGCTGGCTCTTCGGCTCCAACCCCACTCCCCTTTTTCTTCTGCCTGGTCCCTCCGTCGTCTGAAATTCATATCATAACTCTGACCTTCTCTTGCTTCACCTCCTTTTATTGAAATTTTTATTTATTTGTTGCCCTCTAGAACTCCGTGCGACACAATCTCTCGCTCAACCCCTGCTTCGAGAAGGTCGCCCGACCACTCACCGACCGCGGCAAAGGCTCCTACTGGACCGTGAACGACAACGTCGACCCCCGCACCGGCGTGCACCGAATACGGAAGAAGAAACCCAAAAGCTCTAGCAACGGCGGTGGGGGTGGTAGTGGCGGCGGCGGCGGCGGCGGCGGTCAGCGGGGACGAGGCAGCCAGGACGACGTGGACGAGTACGCGCCCGACGGTGTGCCGAGTTACGACGATCCGCACGCACAGTACGTTCCTCCACCGCCGCCGCCGCCGATGGAGACGGACGAAACCGGCCAACCGCGTCCTGCTGCTTATCCGCCGCCGTACCCACCGTATGTCTACTCGTAATTCACCCGTTTCCTTTGCATTTGGGTGGGTGTTATCGATGGGCTGACGCGTTTTGTGTTTGTTTGTCTTGTTTGCTTCGCTCGCTTGCGCTTGCTCGGTCTTCCGTTGTGTCGATCTATCCGTCCGTCCGTGTATCCATCCATCCATCTGGTTATCTGCACGTTTCGATACGGCGGGAACACAGATTCGATCCTACCGGCGGCTTCGCGATGATGCCGCCCCCACCACACAGCATCCGATTCATGCCCCCGCCTTTGAACCTGCACCTCGAAGACCTCGACATGGACGAGAACGGCAACGTGGACTGGCACATGGCGTGGATCAACGAGATTCAACAGTTGCAGCATATCACGGCAGAGCAGGAGAAGGCGGGCGCGGACCAGGAATGGTTCAGGATGATGTTTTTTAGAGTGAGGAGCGCGATGATGGTGCCCCCGCCGTTTCCGCCTGGGGATCCGGCTATGGCGCCGCCACCGGGGGAGATGCATCATCCGTCGGCGGGGGTGGGTGGACAGGCGGTGCAGGGGGCGAATGGGGTGTCGGAGGAGGGGTGAGGGTGAGGTTTGGTCTCTTGGACGTTTGGGTTTCTTGGATGAACGCTTTTTTTTTCTTGGTTATGCAGTTCCCCTGCAGTACTCAAGTACTCACTGTTGTGGGCGATTGATTATTGTATCATATCGTCGTGATGACTGTTTGTTGATTGATGCCGTGCATGCATGCAGCTCTTTCTTCTTCTCTTGGTCTACCGTACCTATATTATTTTGTGTAGATTGTACTCATCTCATCGCGGCGGGCGAGCGTAATTTGTGTATGTAGCTTTGGAACCAACCAATCAGTGACTTTGTCTATGTTATGTCCCTGTTTTAACTTTTTCATCGTTCGAATTTGTTCGTGCGGACATACACAAGCACTGGAAGCAGCAATCCAGGTACTCGCGAAGCCGTCATATCTCTCCCCGGTCTGTACAGGCTCGGCCACCACAGCAACGATTGGCGGCTTCGGATAGGCCGAGGAGGAGCGAACGGAATCGGGGATATCTGGATGGATGGTGAGGGAGCGCCGGATTGCCGGGGCCATTGATTAGTGGCCCCCCAGTCAAGTGAAAAGTGCAGTTTGGGTGCTTGGTCAGTCACGCTTTGCGACTCCACTTCCGTTTGCACTCCGTCCCAGTTCGCCTTCGGCTATCCATCCAAGCCTCTTTTCCTTCGCTCCTCCGATTGACGATTGAGGTCTGATTCGTCTTGTCTTCTTACCACCACGATACACCACACATCGCTCGCTCGCTCGCTGCGTAACACCCAGACATCAAGAACCAGAACAAGAGCTTCAGAGAGAAAGAACGAAAGACAGAAAGACAGACATGGCACCAGCAGCGATCTACGATTCCCCCGTCGCAGCAGAGCAGTACCACCCCGCACCCGTCCTCGCGGCCGTGCCAGTCACAGTCAAAGGCGCGGCGCTCGCTATCGGTTCGCTCAGCACGGCTGGGGATGGGAAGTATCAGAGCCTTGTGTCGGATCTGGAGGGGTCGAGGCAGGTGGATAGGCAGATGTTGGATAGGTTGTTGGATGGAGGTAAGTTTTCGATCTCACACTTTCCTCTGCCTCTACGTTTTTTCTCATTCGGAACGGTATGCTCATGCACGCACGCTCTCTCGTCCTGAAACCGACAACGGGGAACAACCTCCCTGCTGAAAATTCTCATAAAATAATCTGTAACACACCGACCAATCGCACACCCCATAATAATAACTATAGCCACCGTGCTCTCCCCGGGAGCCTATTCGTCCGTTCACGTCACGCTCTCCCCACCGGAATACGAAGGCCTGAAACCGAAAATCTCAGAGCTCCTCACACAGCTCCTCGACGGCCTTTCCCCACTCGGAACGCTCCACCTCCTCAACCTGACTTCATCCCTCCTCGACCTGCCCTCCGAGCTCACCCTCGCGGGCTTTAACGTCCTTTCTGCGATTCCGGTCGAAGGGACGGTCATCGCGCAGAAACCGGCACATATACCCGGCGTTGCGTTTTCGCTCAAAACGAAGTCTTCGATGGCCGCCGCCGCTGCTGCCTCTACGACTGCTACGACTACTGCTACTCTCAATTCAAAGACGTCCCCAGCACCGCTCGCCCTTCGACGTCGAATCGACCCCGAGCGCAAGGCGTCAAAGAAAGCGCTCTGGACACTGACCTCCTCCCCCTCCACACCCTCCATCGACGCCAACCAACTCCTCACCGAAGCCGACAAGAAACGTCCCGAGGCATGCGAGCCCGTCTCCAAAGGCTCTGCGGCGAACGGTGGGCCCCGCCGCAAGAAGGCGTGCAAGAACTGCACGTGTGGGCTCGCGGAGCTCGAGGCGGAGGAGCTCAGGTCGAGCAAGGTCGTGATGCTGGATGGGATTGTGGATGGGGAGGCGAAGGAGGTGGAGCGAGAGCAGGCGGAGAGGGAGAGGTTGGCGGGGGCGGCGAGGGCGGCGCCGAAGGCGACGTCGAGCTGTGGGAGTTGTTTTTTGGGGGATGCGTTTAGGTGTGCGAGTTGCCCGTATCTTGGTAAGTTCTTGTTTCGGGTTCATTCTTTGCGCAGCCGTGTTTTTGCTGTTCTTTCTCTTCCTATTCCTCTTCCTGCAGCTTCGCTATTGGTGGTGATCGTGTGATTTGGCTGACATCCTTTTTCTTGGTGTAGGTCTTCCCGCTTTCAAGCCTGGCGAGAAGGTGGAGATTGATTTCGGGATGGATGATATCTGAGCTCACGGCACCGAGTCGCTCCACGCTCTCTCGCCACATAGCCAGGCGAGGCTCGCAACCTTCGTGCCAGCCGTCGACTCTATTCACATGAGTTTAGGCTTTAGGCTTAGGGAAGGGGTTGTATGTATTATCTCTTACCTTCTTAGCGACCATTTTCATGGTCGCACTTCCATCATCTTTCTGTGTGTTGTTAGTTAGTTAGTTAGACTCGCAATTGTGGAGGGAGGGAGGGTAGGTGGTGGAGGCGTTGGGAACGTTGCATTAATTTTTGCTGATTTTTGTTGTACTCTTTTCATCATCTCATCATCATTTATCACCATCATCCATCCATTTCTTCTTTGATTTTTTGTGACACCTTTTATGACCGCCGAGTGGATCGGGATCAGAGATATAAATACTAAGTGAGAAGTTTGGCTCGTATGTGGTTAGTTGGTCGCTGGGCCCTTTTGGCGGATGAGTCCAGTGTTGAGTGCTGAGTGCTCATTTGGTGGTTTAAGAGCAAGAAAAGTAGACATCGATTCGGACGCTGTGGAGAGGGTTTGAGTCGTGTGCCACCTTGACATCCTTGTCGTTCCTTCTGTGGCGGGGCCCATCAATTATTTTGCTCTCCGCGAAGCGCCAGAGCGCGTCGCGAAGACTTGCTCGCGTCTCAACCACAAAGTCGCCGTTCGCTCGCCAGCCGTCTCTTCTCAGGCTCAGGCTCAAGTAATTTTTTTTGACTTGCGTGTCTCTGAGCTCGCGAGTCGCTACCATGGCAGAGTCTAATCCTCTAGAGTCCGGCCTTGCAGGCCCTTCTACAGCTTCTACAAGTAATTCGAATCCTCCTATCGCACCTCCTCCTCCTCCCACCACTTCCACCACGATCCCCCTATCTCGCCCCCTCGGCCCCTGCTCAATCTGTCACTCCCCCTCATCCAAATACACATGCCCCCGCTGCTCAACGCACACCTGCTCCCTGTCCTGCTCCACCGCACACAAATCTGCTACGGGCTGCTCCGGCGAACGCGACAGGGCGAAATACGTGCCGATGAATAAGTATGGGCTCGGGGAATTGATGGATGATTATGTGTATTTGGAGGAGATGGGGAGGAGGGTGGAGGGGTGGGGGAGGGAGATTGGCAGAGGGGGGTATGCGGTCAATGTGGGTGTGAGTGCGGGTATGGGTACGAGAGGTGGTGGTCGGGGACGGGGGTTTGATAGTGGAGGGAGAGGAAGGGGAGGAAGGGGACGAGGCGGAGGGGGAGGTGCGGCACAGAGGACGAAGAGGGATATTTTGAAGATGCAGTTGGAGGCGAGGGATGTCGATGTCGAGATGTTGCCGGCTGGGATGGAGAGACGGTCTTTGAACCAGTCGAGCTGGGATTTCAAGTGTGTTGCATTTAAAATTCCTCGTGCTCATCACTCGTTTATACTCTAATCGACGGTCGGTGCAATTGCATGGTATGGTACGCGCAGAAACAAAACCGCGCTCCTCACCATCGAATTCAAAATCTACCCTCCACCAGACCCGACCGTCAACCCTTCTCACACCCAAGACTCGCCAATACCACTAACCCTCCTCACGCACCGGAACAACATCGACACCCCGCTCCTCGCCCTCCTCCAGTCCCACATCTCTTCCAAATCCAAAAAGAACAACGCGCATCCTCCGTGGCTCGCACCGCTCGTTCTCCCAGACGCGGACGTTCCCGACGCATTCACGCCTCCACAGTTCTATATGGCCGCTCAGAACGATCCGGTCGCTGCGATGCGCGGGATGCAGGGACAGACGCAGTTGCAGATACAGGTGCAGGCGTTTGTTGCGAGCCAGCAGCAGCAGCAACCGAAGACGAAGCGGACGAGGTATCATAGGCTAGATGCGACGCAGAAATTCTCGGCTGTGTTGAAGGGGAAACAGTTTGTCGAGTTTCCGACGGTGGAGGTCTATGAGGACGGCGCGTTCAGAGGGATGCTTGTTGAAGAGCAGCGGATAGTGATGCATACCGGGCCTCAGCAGAGACCGGCGAAGAGGAGGAAGTTGGACGTGCAGGCGGGGAAGAAGGCTATAGTGGGCTTGCTCGGAGGGTATGGAAGTGACGATGATGACGGCGAGGATGTGGTGGAGCCTTTGGTCGGTATCGGAGGTTATGGAGAGGATAGTGACGAGGTGGAAGATGAGCCTGTTGTGAAGGATGGAGGTGATAGCGCAGAACAGGATGCGGAGGGAGAGGAGGACGCTGAGGGCGAGGAAGACGTGGGTCCGGTTGATTACGCTGCCTTGCTGGACATGATGCGACAGCAGGGCGGTTCACATAACGCGGAAGAGGAAGAGGTCGATTGGGGCGAGTCTGGTGATGAAGAGGAGCCAGTTATCGCAAGCTGAAGGGGCCTCGTCGTCTTGATTTATTGAATTGAATTTATACGTCTTGCCTGCGAAGATCGAGCAGACCCTTCATGAAGCGTTGCACTTCGATGACGCTCTCAATATGTGCTTTGAGGGGAAATTCTTGTGTGCCTCGTACGGGCATTGCAGTCTTTACCTCGACCTCCCACAGAGTATCCACGTGAGCAGGGGCGGGTTTCTGAGTCTTTGGGTCTATCTGGAGTATCATTCAGAATCTGAGACATGATGGAATGGAAGGTGTCGATGATCACACCTGTTCTTGCTGAAACATTTGTATCACCAATGCTCCTCGTCTGAACATATATCCTCGTTTGTATATTTGAGAACGTCGACTTGAGTGCGTTGTTAGCTGTCAATTGCATGTTATACAATAAAGAGGAAACCCACGCGTAACCCAGAGCAGATGCGAAGCTGAGCGCATCTCCTACGACCTGAACGATCGCCCAGGGTCTCACTGTCGCCTCTGGATGCACACGGACACTCTCTGGCTTCAGATAAGTATACAATTGCCTAACCAACCAAAACACGCATCAGTCCCCTGAACCTTAGCCCGTCAATGCTTCCTGTTGAACATTCTGACTCCGCAACCTGCGAGCACCCTAAAAAGAAGACAGATGCAGAAGAAACGTACCATCCAGAGTCGGCTTCAAGTAACTCTTTTCGAGCACGCAAGAGGACTGGTTCTTGACCTTGTTCGCGCTGTTGGTGCATGTCTAGAGGCTCAAAGACGATCTCGCGGGAGTGCATTTGTTGGGCAGAGTCGCTGTTCATAGCGATGCGGTTAAGGATGGGTTTGAGATCATTTGGAAAGAATTCGCCAAAGAGAGCGATTTCGAACGCGTAGGAGGACATGATGATGATGGTTGAACGCCACAAACATTCGAACAGGGGCAGCAGTGCCAAAAGCGAGCAGCCAGACGATTCGCGGTGAAACCGGCCCATATGCGGACGTGGCGGGGGAAGCGTGGCAGGAAAAAGCGTGGGAAAGCGGCGCGTGGGAGGGGTGTTGTGGAAACGGCTTGCGGACGTCGTCAGCTCGAGCTCTGTCCGGGCCTCGCAGTTCGTCTCTTCCTTGCTTTCCTTCCTGTCCTTTCTTCAACCAAGCTCTCAGCTTTCCTGTTCCCTCTTGTCCGCCTTCGCACCTTCAGTGTTGTCTAGCCGCGGACACAGGGACTGTTTCGGACACCCTCTTCATCGAAGCACGCCACCAGTCGAAGAACAAAGCGTTCACCAGTGCCCAAGCGTCCTCCCGCCAGGCGGGGTGCCTTTCTCAGGCCGGGGCTTTTCTAGCTTCAGTGTCACTTCATCGCTTTCTTCAAAGCCCTCACTGTCTGCTACGATCAGCAATCCCTCTTCTCTCCCCCACGAACGAAGACCTGTCATGCCTTCTACTTCCACCAAGTACTACAACAGGCCTTCGTTCTTGGCGTCACCCCCAGACTACGCTCTGCCTTCGTGGTCTGATCATGGCCCTTCGAGGGACGTGTATAGGGAGCACAATGGGAGGGAGGGGACCCAAGGCGCCTCGTCTGGCGCAGCCATGCTCGCCATCGCGCACGCGAACACTCGCAACAACATCCCGCGAAGCTTCGGATCTGTCGGGGCGAGGATGTACGCGGCGTCGCAGGATCAGCACGCCAGGGTGCCCTTCCCTGACCCTCCGACTCTGGCTGACATACAGCGGATGGAGCCAGACCTGTCCCCTGCATCCATGCGGCGCCGCGCCTCTGATGTGGATGACCGTCCCTTGCCCCAGGAGTTGATCGATGATGCTATGGGCGACGAGGAATCTGACGTCTCCGTGAGTGTTCTCTTACCTTCCGTTATTCATTTGAATTAGCCCTGACCTCGTTGTGCAGATGTCCCCTCCGTGCTACGTGAGCGGAGACTTCTACCTTGATCGCCCGGTCATTGAAGAGTCGTCTCCCATCATCTTCGGCACGGTCGCACAGGACCAGGTTGCCTTCGGTGGAGCCTCTGCGAAGTCTCTTGGCTGTCCGTCGGCCCTTGAACAGGATATCGCGATGGAAGAGGACAGCCAGTCTTTCTTCGACACGCCAAGCCCGACGGTGGTCAGCCGCGACACGGTCCAAGACCAGAAGCTACAGGAGAATGTGGCTTTGACCGAGTGGGCTGTGTGCTACATGTACGACTACGTGATGACGGGTGAATTGCCCAATGATGACTCCACAAAGTTAGTTGTTCTTCCATGCATATCGCCATCTCTTCGCTGAACATAGCTCGTTTCATCACAGCCGTATCGCAGTCTGGCGCAACTTCAAAGCTTTTGGTGGTGCCGTCGAGCGTGTTTGGAACATCCTTTCGGCGATGTCGCTTCCGCGGTCCGCAGTCTTCCTCGCCCTTTGGTATGCGACCCGCCTTCGCGCCTCTCACCGTACCCCCATCTCGCAGAAGGATGCTGCGCGGTACAGGCTGCGGTCTGCACTCTTGGACAATGGCAGGGCACCCATTGAAGATCGTGTCGTAAGGAGCCTCGTTGTAGGCCTCATGATGGCGGACAAGTGGTTAGATGACCACACCTTCATCCTCAAGACCTGGTAAGTAGTTTTCAGACGTAAATCATCTGTACTGTCGTAGCTGATTTCTGTGTTTGAAAGGCATGAGGTGACGGACATTCCCATGGCTACGCTGCGTAGCATGGAGGCCAACGCGTTGGCCGTTCTCAACTTCAACCTGACGATCAAACCGTCTGTTTGGCAGTTGTGGCTTGGGCATATCGAAGCCTGGCACGTCAATCTGGGGGATGTTTGCTTTACCAGGGAGCATCAGCGTACGACCATAGACAACATCCTAGACGACATCTTCACCTCTTCTCGCCCAAGCGATGATCCTGCCCACCCCGAGCCTCGTTTCCTGCTTGCTCCAAAGCATTCCATCGCCGACCAAGACCAGAACAGTATCTGGGACCTTCGCACGTCTGCGCCCGAGTGTCCTGATCTTCCTGCCCCAGCGGAATGGGTCCCCGAGAAGGATCCGGTCGTATATAGGGCGAAGCCGAGGACGTCCGGCACTGCGCCGGGCATGTACCACGCCAACGGTCTCACCGCCCAAGATATCGCGAACGCAATGGCGGGTGGCGTCCCGGCGACGTTACCGCCTCCTGGCCTACATGGCAAAGTTTCCCGGAACGCGTCGATGATCCATCCGTCATACACGTATGGTGGTTATGGGTACCCCGTCACAAATGTGCGGTGTGCTCCTTCGTGGGGTGCTGCGCCAGTATACTAGTCGATGTTCTGGACTTTCCTTCTCTCTTTCCTTCTGTCTTTCTGGCATGGCCGAATAGCCACCCAGGGGACCGTTATGCCTATCCTTCATCATCTTGTATTTGTGGGCCCCGCGCTCGCGCGGTTCTAGCTCACCAATCATGCATCTCCTGGATACGCCTCTTCTCTCTCTTAGTGGAAACCCTACTAATACACCCTCCTTGGAGTCATTGGGTTGGCGCTGCGCGAACGCGCTTAGATGTGTGGTTCACCTCCTACTGTACGGGCTTGGTAGTCGACTCCTGGAGCTTGTTCATATCTACTATCAGTGATTACTTTTCGGTTCCTCGCAACGAACATTGATACTGTAGTTAGCCTAGTTGACCTCCCCGTCCGTCGTCTCTTGACTTCTTTTCACGTCTGGCCCGCTTTTCGTGATGCGTGTTTTGTGTTTTTCGTCCGGCCGTATCTTACCTATCTCTACCTACTCCTTGACTGCTCTCGGCGCTCTGTGGACTCGGGCATCGGTGTCGGTTGGTGTTTGTATATTTTGGTAATCTAGTGGGGACGGTATGGCTCGGTGTGGCTTATACATACGTTGGACGACGACGATTTAGTACGTTCCTGCAGTAGATACGCGGTCTTACTCTACTCTATGAATGTCAGATCCTCTGGTCGTGTCCATCATATTTCCGTCACCTCCAGCATCCTCCAGCACAGGAGAGGCTGTATGTGTGGCGTTTTGTGTGGCGAGCTGACAAAGCCCGAGCCAGATATAGATTGCGTCACCAGCGCGTCCTTTTGAGAGCGCGCGCGCGAAGCTGCAGCTTTCCAGTAAACCACTGCCTCCGCCTCTACCACAAATCCTCACCTTCCTCCTCACTCTCGTCTCTATCTTTCGCTCTCAGACTTTACGACAACAAAACTGACATTAACGACCACCATGGCTGCCTCCTCTGCCCCCATGGATATCGACGAAGCTACCATCGATGAGGGCCTTTACTCGCGTCAGCTGTAAGTGATCCCGACGCGTCCGTCTGGTGCTTTAGTCTAATATGTCACTACGTTTTTGCTAGTTATGTCCTGGGACATGCGGGTAAGAACTCCTGGATAGTTTGACAATATTGAGATTTGACGAGGATTGTAGCTATGAAGCGGATGGCTGCTTCTAACGTCCTGATCGTCGGCCTGGAGGGCTTGGGCGTCGAAATCGGTGCGCACCACCATGCATATATTCAGCGTGCTATACTCAATCCACCTATCTGGTCTCAGCTAAGAACATCGTTCTTGCTGGTGTCAAGTCCGTTACCATCTTTGACCCCGAACCCGTGCGCATTCAGGACCTCAGTACCCAAGTAAGCCCGTATTCCGTGTGATATGTGTTATGGATTATTTAGCGTTAATTGGGATTACTCCAGTTTTTCTTAAGAGAGGAGGATGTCGGGAAGCCGCGCGCTGCAGTGACTCTTCCTCGTCTTGGCGAGTTGAACGCGTATGTGCCCGTTAGGGATCTCGGCGGCGTCGCGGGTCAGCCAATAACGACGGACCTGGTCAAAGGGTTCCAGGTGTGTATATATCTTCATTACCTTATTACTCATCATCGTGGCATATGAGCTTAAGTCTGTATATCTGCGTGTGTGTGTTTCATTAGGTCGTCGTGCTCGTTAATGCACCGTTGGAGAAGCAGCTCGAGATCAACGACTGGACTCACCAAAATGGCGTTCACTTCATCGCTGCTGAGACTCGTGGCCTTTTTGGGTATGTGTTTTATTATCGACGAGCGTATCGTTTATCGCTTATGAGGCATGCCCGTTAGTTCTGCATTCAACGACTTTGGCCCCAAGTTCACTTGCGTCGACCCTACTGGTGAACAGCCGCTCACCGGGATGATCGTCTCTGTCGATAAGGTATGTCGGGATAGCGTTTTTAAACTGAGATTCATGCTCTGATAAGTATATCAAAGGACAACGAAGGTGTTGTCACTTGCTTGGACGAGACTCGGCACGGACTGGAGGACGGAGACTTTGTTACGTTCACAGAAGTGAAGGGTATGGAGGAGTTGAACGGCTGTGAACCCCGTAAGGTCACCGTCAAGGGTCCTTACACCTTCGCTATCGGCGACACCTCCGGCCTTGGCGACTATAAGACTGGCGGGATCTTCACTCAGGTGAAGATGCCTAAGATCCTTGAATTCGTAAGTCCATTTCCGTCCATACTTTAAATTCACCGGTATGACGCTCAATATTCCTTTCTCAGAAATCCCTGCGCGAGTCTCTGAAGTCTCCAGAGTACTTCGTGACCGACTTCGCCAAGTTCGACCGCCCAGCGACTCTCCATGTTGGTTTCCAGGCCATCTGGCAGTTCTTCGCTCAGCACCAGCGTCTTCCTCGCCCAAGAAATGCCGAAGATGCCAAGGCTGTCGTCGATCTTGCTAAAGCCCTCGATGCTGACGCCGACGAGAAGATCTTGACAGAACTTTCGTACCAGGCGGTCGGCAACATTTCCCCCATTATCGCAGTCTTCGGTGGCTTCGTCGCACAAGAAGTCCTGAAGGCTTGCTCCGCCAAATTCCACCCGATGATCCAGCACATGTACTTTGACTCACTGGAGTCCATGCCCGCCGATGTACCCACAGAAGCTGACTGTCAACCCCTGCAATCCCGCTACGATGCCCAGATCGCCGTGTTTGGGAAGACGTTCCAGCGGAAGATCGAGAATCACAGACAGTTCCTTGTCGGCGCTGGTGCTATCGGTTGTGAGATGTTGAAGAACTGGAGTATGATGGGTTTGGGCTCCGGAGCGGAAGGCATCATCCATGTTACGGACTTGGACACGATCGAGAAGAGTAACTTGAACCGTCAGTTCTTGTTCCGCTCGAAGGATCTGGGCAAGTTTAAGGCTGAGGTTGCTGCTGCTGCGGTGTCGGGTATGAACCCTGCTCTCGAGGGTCATATTCTGAGCAAGCAGGAGCCTGTCGGTCCTGATACTGAAAGTGAGTTTTACTCAATACGCCGCTGAGTATGTTTGTGCTTACATATTGCCATAGATGTTTACGATGGTGAATTCTTCGGTGGTATCGACGGCGTGACCAATGCCCTGGACAACATCAAGGCCCGTGAGTGTTCATTCTGGTCCTCTTGCTTAGTCCCAGGGACTCATCTTGGTGGATAGGTCTTTACATGGATCAGCGCTGTGTGTTCTTCGAAAAACCTTTGCTCGAGTCTGGAACGCTCGGGACGAAGGGTAACACCCAGGTCATCATCCCCCATCTCACGGAGTCGTATGCATCCTCTCAAGATCCTCCAGAAAAGGAGACACCATCATGCACCGTCAAGAACTTCCCGAATGCCATTGCTCACACCATCGAGGTACGTGTTTAGATTGTTCCAGTCCCTGCTGGAAGCGCACTGACGGACAACTTTTCCTCTTTATAGTGGAGTCGTCAAGAGTTCGACAATCTCTTCGTCAAGCCCGCTCAATCCGTCAACCAGTACCTCTCCGAGCCCAACTTCCTTGACAACACTCTCAGGTACTCTGGCCAGCAGAAAGAGCAGACAGAGCAGATTCTCTCCTTCCTTGTGACGAACAAGCCGATCACCTTCGAGGAGTGTGTCGTTTGGGCGCGTCTCCAATTCGAGGACAAGTACAACAATAGCATTCGTCAGCTTCTGTACAGTTTGCCGAAGGATGCTACCACGAGTACCGGCCAGCCGTTCTGGAGCGGACCTAAGCGTGCTCCTGACCCTCTCATCTTCGACTCGAGCGATGTGAGCATTCAGATTATTAGAGATTCGTAGTATATCGTTTTGACAATCATCATTTGATATCGCTAGCCCACGCACCTTTCATACATCATCGCCGCCGCTAACCTGCATGCCTTCAACTACGGCCTCCGTGGTGAGACGGACCCGGCCGTGTTCAAGAAGGTCGCCGACTCTGTCCTCGTTCCTGAGTTCACACCCAGGAGTGGCGTCAAGGTGCAGATCAACGACGCAGAGCCCGTGGACAACAGTGGCGCTGGTACGTAGCTCTGCCTTTCTTCTCATATGATGCCAGGTTTGCTCATATCTGGATCTGAAGACGGTAACGACCCCGTTGACCTTGCGGACCAACTCCCTCCTCCCTCTTCCCTCGCCGGGTATCGTCTGAACCCGGTCGACTTCGAGAAGGACGACGACACGAACCACCATATCGACTTCATCACCGCCGCCTCCAACCTCCGCGCGATGAACTACGGCATCAACCCCGCCGACCGTCACACGACGAAGCAGATCGCGGGCAAGATCATCCCCGCGATCGCCACGACGACGTCGCTCGTCGTTGGCCTCGTCTGTCTCGAGCTGTACAAGGTCATCGACGGCAAGAACAAGCTCGAGGACTACAAGAACGGGTTCGTCAATCTCGCGTTGCCGTTCTTTGGCTTCTCGGAGCCGATCGCGGCGAAGAAGCAGAAGTATGTGGATACGGAGTGGACGCTTTGGGATAGGTTCACGTTTAGGGGCGATCCGACGTTGAAGGAGATTAAGGATTGGTTTGCGAAGGAACACAAGTTGGATATTACGATGGTCAGTCAGGGGGTCAGTATGTTGTGGAGCTCGTTCATTGGGAAGAAGAAGGTACGATTGCATGGACCTTTTACTTGTCATGATCGAGACGTGATGCTGATGACTATGAATAGAGCGAGGAACGTCTCCCGATGAAGTTCAGCAAACTTGTCGAGCATGTTAGCAAGAAACCCGTTCCACCGCACGTGAAGCACTTCATCGTGGAGGTCATGGTCTCCGACGAGGAGGGTGAAGACGTCGAGGTAAGATTTACTGAGTTATTCCTCTTATCGTATGTCGATCCTGACTGTCTTTGCATACAGGTCCCCTTCATCGTTGTCTGGAAATAGATGCGAAGTTAGGCCTTTGTATTCCTGTGAGACGCTCGAGGATCTGTCGTCGTTGTTGTATGCGGAGAGAAGTTACCTGTGATGTCAATGTACAGAGAAGCAAATAATAGAGGTGTATTGTTGATATTCCTGCCTTTCAGTCTGTGTGACCATCGAGAGAGTTCGGGCTACGAATTTGTTCGCAGTTTTGAGTGGCCTCAAACCTTCAAGCCGACGATGTTGCAGGATGTCTTTGAATGTAGCGAAGACTTGATGTATCGTACATAACGCATCATTTATTCCTCTCGACGAAATTATAAATGCATACAAGAAACCCTCCTCGATAGTCCAAGTCCATCATATGCATGTACGCTAGCCCTCATACCCTTTAATCAAGTGTCAGCCAATCATACCGGCGGTGTGGTTAAGGAAGACGATACTCACCTGTACGCATACTCAACCTCGTCAATCCCACCTCCTGACCCAAATGGTCCAGACTCGTCTCTAGGCATCGGCCCCAAATCCTCCTCGCCATCGTCCTCTACGTCTTCAAAGTCCTCACCAAGATTGACCTCATCCAGACCGAACGGTATAACAGGGCGTAAACGCTCTCCGGAAGATGCACGACGGGCGCCCCTTCCTGCGGGGGACTTGGTAAGAACGGCCATGGTCTTAGGGCTCATATGCTACGGGACGAAGAAAGGAATCAGCACTGTGTAGCCAACGAAATGACGAGATATGGCTTACCTCCCAGTTATTCCTATTCTCGTCTGGTTCATCTCGCTCACTCCGGCTCGACTCACGGATTTCACCCTCATCACCCAAGTCCCCAATAGAAACGATACTCTCACTATCACTAATTCCATCCGCGATCTCCGACGCAAACTCAGGAAGCCTGTGCCACGCCGACGTCCCGTGCGCACCTCCTTCTCCAGAGTGCGACTCCGAGTCTGACCAACCAAGGTCAGAAAGATATTCCTCGTATTCCTCCTCGAACGCGATGTCCTCTGTGATGTAAGGGAGGAATATGTGCGGGTCCGGGGCTTGGGCGCGGACAGGGGGGAAGACGTCGGCTTCGACGATGTTGGGGGTGCCGACTGGACGGAGGAGGCCCGAGACTTCGGGACCGGGGTGAAGGCCGTCCATGTTATGGGACATGCTGGCGGAGCGGCGATGAGCGTGGCTTTGTATCTGTGCTACTTGTTGACCGTAGCGACTGCTGTTGTCTGCTCTCCTGTGCGTTGAGTCTCTAGCCAGATCGCGCACGAAAGAGATGACTTACAGAATTTGGTTAGCTGGCGGAGAGCTTGTTCTTGAGCCTGTTATCAGAATATTATTCAGGTGCCACAGATTTTTGATGGAAATATCAGCGAACCTGGCCTTCAGGGACATCGTCTGCCTCGCTCCCCGTTAACCATTCGTCTCGTAGATCAGGCCGACATTGCAAGTATATGGACGTAATGACCTGCATATTCGCTGCGAAAGCAGCGTCAGTGGTCCCTCATACGAACATGACAATTGAAGAGCTCACTCTGCCGCCACTTCCGACCACTAAATGGAACTTGGCTCTTGATGAGCTTCAAGATCTGCAGCTGCAGCATCGGGTGCTGGACCTTTAACATCCTCTTCAAGACCGCTGTGCTCTTGTATTGAACCAGCATCCTGATCCTATGTGCCCGATGCTTGGACAACTTCTGCAATATTTTCACGAAATTGATGGACGAGAAGAAATTGCGCCATGAGAAGTCCGTCAACATATCGATTTCCTCTTCGGTCTTCATACCGTTCGGTAGGGTCCTTGACCGAGTGATGGTTCGTCGTGGTTGAATCATATTCTCCTCCACGCGGGCAGCTTGAGGGTTCTTGGAGAAATTGACGAGGCAATATCGGAAGAAGCTGTTTGAATGAATTCTGTTTGTCAGTGGCAAGTAATGGTAGAGCACAAGACGACGTACTCAAGTTCAGGAATATCGACTTTCGACACCACGACCATCGACATATCCTGCATACCGAACATCTTCATGACTAGCAATAAACAGTTGCTATCGAGCAGCTGCTGTCCCAGGTAGTGAAACTTCATGACATCTGTTTACCATGAATTAGGTCCGCTGTTCTGAATCAAAGAATAAGTTGTGCTCACGAGACACTTTGAGCCACTTCAAGGTCAACAGAAGCATGGCAGAAACCGCTTTGGTGATGATTTCCCGGTGTCGTGCTACGTCAAGGTCTTCCATACTGGGTGGATGCATTGAATTCGGCTGTTCTTGAGCTACGATTGGGTTTCGATGTGAGCATACAGACACTACAACACGAACAACGCAGAACACATACGAGAAGGTACGCCAGGCGGGAAACCACCTGCACCAGCGGACGGTGGTGGGTTGGGCGAGGCGGCCGTAACAATTGCCAAAAGGAGCTTGAGTGCGACGAGGGTCCAGTTACTCAAGATGGGTAGGATTGCACTCTGTAGATAACCAAGTGCGAGTAAGCTATTCGCATACACGACAAACTGAGGGGGCGGTGACACATACATAGATTTGTTCGACCCGCTTCAGCCGCGTCAGATCCTCTTTTCGTTGCTTGGCCAGTCTCTTCTCGTTTCCTGTCTCCGCTGCCTTCATCGCAGCATCCGCCTCTGCAATTTTCGCATCTAAAAGACTGACATCCGGAAGTGCGTCTACCTCTGCATTGAGATCGTCGTCAATCTATATGCACCATAATCCGCTCAGCGTAAACTCGTTCGAAAACCGCGGCTCCAAACCGAACAAACATGTACCACAAACGCACCTGAACACTCTTTCTAGCACTCGCCTGTGTCTGTGCTTGTTCCTGAGTCTGATTCTCCCCATCAGACCTCAGATGATCCAACCCACTCTCCGCCGTGATACATTCCTCCCTAGTCTTCCAAATCTGCCACAACGAAGTACTGACATACATATGTCTATTATAAAGCCTATCAGCCTCCTCGATCGCAAACGGCACTAGCGGTATATCCCTTCCCCTCACCCTCTTCCTCGAGAAAGGGAACAAGAAGGGTCTCGTCGGATCCGTCTGATACTGCTGCTTCTTCGGTTTCGGGGATGGTGGCGGTGGGGGACTGGGTGCGGGAGTCCCAGGCTGTGGGAGTCCCCTGAAACCACCGCCGTTGGATTGCTGTTGTTGCTGTTGCTGCTGAAGTTGCATCTGTTGGAAGTGAGACAGGGAGATGCCGCCAGACATAGAGGATGGGTCTGGATCATCGTGGTGATAATGATGACGGACGGGGATGGGCGTGTAGGCTTCGGCGAGTTTGTTTGTTGGGACGGGAGTGATGGGTCGCGGAGCGTGTATGTTTGAGAAGGAGGAAGTCACGGATGTTGATGATGGGGAACTAAATCCAGAGGTCGGGTTGGAGTTGACGGATAGAGGTGGAAGCGTAGGTGCAGGTGCCGGGTTGGAGAACGTTGGATATTTGATGGAGATCTCTTGGTGAAAGGTTTCGATGTCAAGAGGAGATGATTTGATGGCGACGGCTGTAATGATTGCTAACGTCAGATCTGGGATGTGAGTTAGAAATAGTGTTGCTATATACCTTCGTCGGGGATGGGAGGTAAGCCGGAGAGTTCGCGGGCTAGGCGTTTCACTCGTCCTAGGTCACGAACGCCACCCAAGCAGCAAAGTATCGATTTCCAGAGGACAAGGAGAAGCTATCTAATATGTGAGCAGAGCACGATCGTTGTGTCAATACATTTCAGTAGAAATTGAGCTTACCTTCTTAGTCGGATAGCCCTTCGTACCTCTTTCTCGGATTGCAGAAACGAGGGTATAGAAGTAAACCGGAAGCGGAGGATCAAGACTCACTAGGAGCACAATACTCGATTCAGAGCCCATGACGAGACACAAAACGATGACCATGAAGGAGCCACATACTGAGTTCATCCGCAAAATCTTCATACCCCTTCAATGCCTCGATCAAGTGATACAGCATACCAAGGTACACTGAAATCTCAGTTATAAGCTCCTCCACAAAAACCTCCTTCTCTTCTGGAGAAAGACTGATTCGTGCTGCCTCAGAGTCGCCCATAGTGCTAATAGAAGGGCAGTAAATCGGTCACGGCCGTTCGCTTGAGAAAGAAATGGACCTAGACGCACGTCAGGAACTCATACTTCTGACTCGCATTCCTCATAGCTTCCATAATAAGGCCTAGTCCATTAGCAGAGCGTACGATCTTACAATTCTCGAATATCCAATGAAGTTGATGTTCTGGAGATGTCGTCTCGGCGAAGCTCCCTATAACATTTCCAATTTTGATCAACACATTGCCCCGCCGATCCTATATTGTACGGCGAGAAGAGGGGAACAGGGGGAAAGAGCACACCTTGTAACAGATAAAACAGCCTCCTCGCATTGACGAACCTGATCTCGACAGTCTTATGTTCCAGACCCTCCAACAACATCAGGACATGTGCCTTCTTCTTGCTCGCAGGGGCCTTGATCCATTCTGAATGCCACGCACCCAATAAGATACAACGCCCACACCAGACATGGAATCCGAGTATTCCACCCAACAGCACACCCAAGAGATCATTGTCAGTATGTGCCCACTGGTGCAAAGTGTAGACCACCCACCGCCCGTGAAGGAACCACTTTGCCAGGCCTTCCAGTTCTCATCAATCTGTGGCGTCTCGACAAATGAGTAGAACTCTTCTATTTCGTTGAGAACTGTGTCTTCGTCGTCGTAGCGAAAGTCGTAGTAGGATTGCTGTCCGTGGAAGTTGTGTTCGAACGTCGACATGGCCCCAAATATACGACGAAATTAGGAAAGTCATGAGAACCAAAACAAAGGCATTTCGGTGAGAGAAGATCAGTCAAGATAGTAAGTATGCGTATAGCACACAATGCCTGAAGGAACAGGGGGTACAACATGCCTTTGGTCTAGGGGCAGAACCGACCATGGCCTTGAGCTGGCCCAGCGTAATGGAGTCCAGATCGCCACTCTACACAACAATCAAACACAGTACACAGGACGCCGACATCAGTTAGTCATTGCCAAAATATAGGAGGCGGTGAGCGACAGACCATGTTTATATTGTGGGATACGCAATGCTTTGGATGAAGTTGGACGTTGACAGCGGCTCGAGTTAATGATTACCCCTGCATAGACGCGTTGTTTGAGCGTGTTTATTCTTCCGACCTTTCCTAGTGGTGCCACTGTGGCCCGACTCTAACGACCGTGATTATTGCCCTCCATTACTCCAACACTATTGCGACAAATATATGAGGCATTGATGTCTTCAACCTCCCTATTGTGTACTCATGAAATAGGCTGCCAACCCGACATTGACCCCACAGCACCCCGACCATACGCCTTCTGAATCACTTCACAAGTTCTAAAGCCCTGGTCCAATCGTTGTTATATATTTACTTCGTGTAATTATCCATATTTATTACCTGATTTGAGGACTGCTGGCGGTCGGATTGTCTTTCATACGTAGCCTCGACTGTCTACGTTCAAGTGGGTCAAAAGTGGGTGCTACAACCAGCCACAACGTGATCGAACAATCAAATATTCCCACGGATCTTCAACGCCGCCGTGTTGGTGTGCAACTTTGTTTTGATCATGCTCGACGACTTTGGGAGCGTCAGTGGTGTGCGCATCCCAAACACGGCCATCCCCCCACGGTCGCTTGGCCGACCAAACAGCGGAGAGGTGGCCGTGTCTGTTCTTGCTCGCCGATTTTACTTCTAGTGGCGTCTCTTTGGCCTGTGGTCTTGCTTTCCTTTCTTATTGCATTTTTCGGTCTGGTATCTGCTGTGATCACTATCCCCACATTTACCCTCACGCGTCGTCAAGCTGTCTTTATACACTACTACTCCAATGGCTAAGAGTACGAAGAAAGGAAAGCAAAAAGCTCCCGGACCAGCGCCTCCACCAGCGCCGGTGCAAGCACCGGTGCAGATAACGCGAATGATCGAAGAGGATGAGGAGGACGACTATGGAAGGCAGCTGAGTCCGTGCATCGTTGTTCTTCGGTTCATATCCGCGACCTCTCATAGTGTCTCATCGACAGGTACAATCAATGAAGACCCTACTTGGGGAGCAGGCGGAGGCGGGGGATATGCTAACGAGGACGCCGTCGCGTCAGATGCATGGCCTATGACCACAGCACCTGGAGGTTGGCTCGATGAAGGAGCCACAAATCCTGCTGCACACGAAGCTTGGGGGACCAGTCCTAGGCATATGAACTCACAATGGGGGCCTACTTCGGCCGGTCCTTCGCCCATTCCTCCTGTCGGCTACTTCGCCACCGCTCCCAACTCCCCCGCACAAGTACCCCTTCAAGCTCAACACGGTGCCAAGGCATGGGCAGCTTGGGGTCACGAAGCCGGTATGAAAGGTCCAACTCCAGCCCCCGCTCATCAAACTTTTCAGGCTGCCGCGCCTCCTCGCACGACTCAAGCTAATATACCAGGATGGCAGAGTTGGGGAGCAGAGGTCACTGGCAGGGGGTATAAACCTTCGGCTGCGGCCACTGCGGCCACTGCAGCATATCAGACCAGTCAGCCCCGCGTCGCCTTTGCAGATGGACCTACATTGATACCCCATCGCTCAGACATGTCAGATCACGCCAGAAGCGCCCTCCTCAAGTCCGTTCTCGAACAACAGCTACCTCCGCAGGTTCAACCTCAGCGAAAACAGAGCAAGCGAAACAAGAAGGCGACGACGACTACTACACAATATCAAGATGCCGGTTGGGGACAGCAGCAGGATGATCCATGGGGGTCTCAAGACCAGGGTCCATGGGGCCAGGGGCAACAGACCGGTGATCAGTGGGGTAACGATGACTATGCTCAGCCGCAGAAGGGGCGTCGGAGAGAGAAACAGAGTCACGGTGGGGGGAGGCAGCAACCGCAAAGCGGCTGGGGGGAGGAGGTACAAGGTGGCTGGGGCAAACCGGAAGGGCAAGGAAGATGGGATCAACAGGAAGCGCACGGTGCATGGGCTACGGCGCAGGATGGCCCGTGGGGAGGTGGGGGTCAGGACGATTACGGGAAGAGGGCTGATGAGTGGAATGATTATGACGAGAGCGAGGAATGGGAGAAAGTCGAAGGTGTCGGTGATAATTGGGGCGACTGGAGCGGCGGAGAGCATCAAAGTGAGCTGTTGGATGATCCTGGGCGTCATCGACGCGTGAACAGTCTAGTCCATGCACCTCCACCAAAGAAGTCGGCGACCATGCCATCGCGGACTATGGCTTATGCAGCTCACCACTCACCTGATTTTCTTACTTCTGTGGACCCTGTAGCGGCACAGATCGAGAAACGGGAACGGAAACACAGTGGCACGCACAAGGATCCTCCGGACCTGGACGGAGAAGGTCTGAAACCTTTATCTAGAGCACTATTTGGTCGTCACAGGAAGGCAAGAGACAGGATCAAGTGGTGGTTCCCATCTGACAAAGACCCGAATGTCAAAGCCGTGATTCAGTGGATCAGGGATCCCCAGGTCTCTGAGCAACTTGGTGCATACGGTGTAAGTGATTCGTACCATAGTTTGCTATTCATTCTTCTCAATTTGACTTCAATCACAAGCTCGACCGGTTTCTACGCTCACGAGAACGGGGCGCCTTCTTTGTCAATGCGTCGTATGCTCCTGAAAGTACGGAGCCTGCTGTCGACTGGCTCAGTTGGGACCACATTGTAGAGACTCGGGACCGGATGCTGCAAGAGTTCGTCGGTTATTACGACCCGGCGGAGCATACCCTCCTCTTCGTTCTCCTTCCTTCGAAAACCGGGAATAGCGTCGCGATATGGAGAGAAAAGGTCGAGGTTCCCGCCAACCTGCGTGTATTGCGTGCTCGCGACGTTGAGTTGGCGAAGGCTGCTCTGAAGAAAGACTATCCGGTGACAGTGGATGAATGGTACGTGTTTTCGCCCTATACTCTCTCGGTGGGACACTCACAGTCTTTTCACCTCTGTAGGCCTTCTCCACAACGGACCACTCGCAGTATCTCAGCAGAGTCAGCGCCGAAGAAGAAGAAAAAAGGTTTCTTTCGTCGTCTTTTCAGGCCTCTGTTCAGGATTGAGTGGTAAACCCGCTTCTCACAAACCATTCCACGACTTCGTTGCATGTTGTTTTGCTTATGATATCCCTACCTTATTCTTACGAGCTTCTGCCACATTTATTGCTTTGCTGCCTTCGTCCATGCCCCTATCACGCCGATGTACGTATACTAATGTGTGCTCCGTCTATATTGTACTACCCCTTAGATCTCAGGCTCTTCATCTACTTCTTGCATATTACGCTGTAGCTTTTTCGAATTGCTCTCCATAGCGAGCAAATTATCACGCTTTTGTGGCGCCAGTGACTGCAGGTGGCACTTGGGAAATTACTTGAACTCCGATCGGCCGGCCGTGTGGTTCTTGCTGCGTCAGCTGTGCGGGCAAGTCTTGCAGTGAACTCAGACTACAGCATAATCTCATCTTGATCTTTCTATGACCATGGACGCTCGCGACGACGGAATATCTGCGAGCAAGGCGCTTCCCCCACCGCCTTTGCCGCAAGCTGTCAGTCCGCCGGGGCCTTCCTACGAGACAGCGACCCTCTCAGTAGGGGCACGTCTAGCTGTGTTCACTGCTCTCGCTCTCCCTGTCACACTACTTCCGTTCATAACCTTACGCAGGCAGCTTCTAAGCTTACATCGCAAGACTGACGAGATCAGGGCCGCGACAAATGTTCTTCAGAGGGAGCTGAAGGGTACACTTGTAGAATTGTCGGTGAAGAAAGAGGAGCACTTGCGAATGAAGGAGATGCTTGAGGAAGCCCGACAGAAGCTGGAGGCTACCCGAAGAGATACACACAGGCTACAGTTGTCTCGTTTAGCAGACGAGAAGGAATATCAACGACGGCTACAGGAGATTATGGAGTCTACGAGTTTCACGCAGTGGGTGCCACAGCGATCCACTTCCGTATCATGATCCCTCATCACTCTAGCTCCAATCGGTTTGTCGCAGGTCACAGCTCGCACATCTACGGGAGCTTGGTCCCTCACTCGCTGATATTGCGGCGTTCATGCAGGAGGTGGAGATCCAGCAGGGATATACGTCTCCGAGGAAGCAGGATGGGAGAGGTATTGAGCGGTTGAGGCGAGTCGCTCTTCAGCTGGAGGAGGTGATCAAGGATCCTGGACCAAAGGTTTGAAATATACATCTTCCATTCTGATGGCTCTCTGATATCACGCTTTCAAATTGTATAGGCCCACTAGCAAGTTCAACGAAACCACAATGATCGGGACAGGGGCTCGGTGGCGTACGCGTCGCCACACTATTTTGCCTCCCAACTTGCCTGCCCCTTCATCATCTTTGACTAAACTATCGTGGCGATGGACTGTCTTGTTTGACAGTAAGGATGTCGACAAATAATGATGAGAAGGCACTATATCCTCCGCGAAGAAGCTTTCATCAGCCATTGTAACGGTTTCGTTTGCACAACTTCCCCCACTCACTTGGAATGTACTCAAGAATATGACAATAATAAACGGCCTCCGTGCATTTCTGAATATTTATCGGAAGCGTATAGATGTGTAGCGTGTGGGACAGGTCAATACCCTATATATCGATCCACTATTGTCCAGCCCATCCCTGAAAGCGCTCGAGGGCTGCGGTGAGATGGCCCCGGGCTTAGTCAGCCCTAAGTTACGACGAGAAAGCGCGCGTACGTGCAGGAATGCTCCTCACTACACGCCTTCCGCAATTCCACACACTCCTTCAGCCTCGTTGCCCCAGCACGTTGCTTTTTTTCACACCCAGGCATGCCATTGTTCTGTCTTTGATTCCACTGGGCGCTATACTTTTACTCTGGACCGCTAACACCTCGAAATGTCCGCGCAGGACGACCTACCCACGCCTTCGGTTTCGTCTACAAGCATCGAGTCGGCTGGTACGCTCGGCAGCAAGGACTATAGCTCTCTCGAATCGATTTTTGCTTCGAAAAGATCCCCAGATGGTCCATCGTCAGTTGATGGAGAAGAACAGGCGCTAGACTCAAATGAGGTGCTGGAGTTGCAAGCTTTTAGTGAGCGGAAGGAGTGGATTGTTGAGAAAATCAAGGTACGTCTATTTGTACTCCATCAAGCACCTGGTAAATAACTTGGTTATTTGTGTAGGTTCTCAGCAGCATGCCACCGATAGAACTATTCACAGGCATTGATTCCATCCGGTCGTCCGAGGAGGTGGCACCAGGACTGCCCAGTCGCGCAGAACTTCAGCAGTGGCTCGTCGAACATGACAAGATCGAAAAGGAGACAGAAGTCTTTGACTCTGGAGAGCTCAAGAAATTCAAGAAGTTTACGAAAGGTCCGTTGCCCTAGTTTCCTCCAGCTCAAGCAATGACTCACGCTGGTACACAGCCGTTGCTAAGCGCAACTTATCCCCGGAAGACACTGACCTCATCGAGCTGACGTTGACGACCATATATGAATTCGACAAACTCGTACATCTGCTCCGCGACAGGTCGGAGAACCTGGACCTACTTGGTGTTAGACTTACTTGGGAGGAACAGCGCGCCGCAGCTTGGAAAGAGCGACGATCCATACTCGCCGACCTTCAGACATTTCTTGCTACTCGGGCCAGATGGTCACCTTCCGTCTACGACACAGTCGTGGCCGTCGACCATCCCTTGCCTTTTCGTCGTGACTCTGCCGCCTCCATGGCCTCCGATACTTCGGCATCGTATCCCTCAGGATTCTCGCGTACCGTCCGGTTTAAACTTGCGGAGTCCCTTTCACGGGACGCGGCTTTGTTCTCGACACGAATCTCGTCTCTTCGTCACAGCAGAATCACCGTCGCTGGAAAAGCGTTGGACAAACTGATTGACAGAAGTCGGAAGCCGGTGCCGGATGAGATACTGGACGAACAGGATAGTTTGGAGGACCAAGGGATCAACGAGATGGAGAACATCGGGAAGTTTGTTATGAGCGTAGTCACGCAATGGAGAAAGTGCATCTTATCACATCCGTCCAGTCGTAGTCCGGTAATGCTGACGGCGTTCGTAGGGCTGATGAATTCTACGTCGAGACAACGAAAGATTCTGCCGCTGCCCAGGCACTGCAAGAGGAGATTGAGTCCGCAAAACTGGGCCACCCGGCGGCTCGCCAGGATGCGGCTTTTACGTCTCGAGCAAGTGCCATCACCAAACGATTGCTCTCTAGAGGGAATCCTTTGTCCTCCACCAGCACCCTTCCTAGACCCACCCACAGTCTTTTCACTGAGCAGGCGGCCGCAAACAAGGAAATGGCGCAGTTGCTATCTTCAGAGCTCGGTACTGCCATGGATGCCGGAAGACAGGCGGAGAAGAGTGCTCGAGAGTATCACACACGCTTCGAGGCCGTTAAACGCGTCGAAACATTGTGTGCCACGGCGAAGGAACTCTCGACGAAATATGACTCCATCATCGAACGTTTCATGACTGGTGCTGCCGGAGGTGAAGGTGATGGCTCCCCACCGAATCTGACTACTCCTCAATGCCTCGACCCGACTCGACATTCGTCCTTCCTCGCCCTCTTGCCGAATCTCTTACGCGAGCTCGAAAATGCCAATCAGGAGGCAGAAAGTCTACTACCGAACGCTCGTGCCGCACTACTCGTCACGGATCAATTTCCTACAGATCCTGCTTTCAAACAAGATGCGCTGGCGGCAATCGACAAGTTGGCCTCGCTCAAGACACAAGCTCATGACGCTCGCAACGATATCGAGACCCAAGTCAACCTCCTCCGCGACATGCGCAAAACGTGGGCACTGGCCAGGACGATTTTACAAGAAGTAGAGGCTGTTCGAGGCGAGATAGGCGACGCGATGGAGCATAAACGATGGCGACAACAGTCGGTATCCAATGGAGTCCCCCTTACTCCTGAGAGCCCCTCCTCTCCGCTACTCTCTTCGTCGGTTACTTCCAGCCAGTCGTTGGAACGACTAGACAGCCTCAGCGTCAGGCTTAACCAGGAGGTTCTTCCCCGCGTCTCAGGACTTCCTCCATCGCTCGATCCTGCTGTACGAGTCTACATGGCTGAGCGGTTCGAGGGGTTGACTGCTTTCATGGACCAAATCAAGCAAATGGTCTACCTCTCCGATCGTGTCCAGCAACAGGCATCTGCAATGACCGAAATTCAGGATGCTGCTCACGGTTTCCAGAGAAGATTTGCCGATGTGGAAGGTCGTTTCGAGTCGATGGCGCAATCCGTACTGGCTGCCGACGCGTCCATGGCAGCTTCAGACGTTTCCGAGGATGAGGACCTGACACGGGATGCGCACGAGCTCGAAGCTGAAGTCCAATCCTTCGTCGACGGATTGAGCCACAAAGTGTCCTTCGTGGCCTCACCGCACACTCTTCAAGGCCGATCGCTCCCTGTCAAACGTCGTTTCTCGTTGGCTGGAGAACTCTCAATGGATAGTCTGAAGACGGTTCCACCTCTCGAGATTCCATTCGACCTTGCCGCACTGGACGAGTCTGTTCGCCACGACTCGAACGCTTACGCTCTCAGTCTCATGAGTGGCGTCTCGACGCTACAACGGAAGGCCGAATATCTTCGTGTGGCCCGGATGGCGAAGCTCGTCGATTCCAGCGTGGAGGCTTTGAACAAGGCTATCGATCTCGCTTCAACTGACCTTACTGCACTCCATGACCCTTCTGCCAGATTGCCTGCTTCGAACCCCGCTGAAGATCTATCACAGCTTCTATCGGTGGCGGACAAGATCAAGCACTTCTCTGACGAACGCCGCTCCGAGCTATCCCAGTCGTTCGGTCCTATTCGTGAGCTGATTGTCGATATGGACGCCGCTGCGACTCGCTGCGAGAGTCCATTGGGCCGTAACCTGTTCCAGGCGCGCTCTCGAGACCTCAAGGACGTGGAGTCTAAATTCGAGAAGTGGTTGCAAGAGGTGGATTCTCGGAAGTCTGACATTGCGGAGGCGCAAAGGCTCGCGAGGGAACGATTAGCGGAGGAAGAGCGGTTGCAGGCTGAGAGGGAGAGGCAATTGGCTGAAGAGCAGGCAAGGTTGGAGCGCGAAAGGCTGGAGGCGGAGGAGAAGGATAGGTTGGAACAGGAACGTCTGATTGCGGAGGAGCAAGCACGGTTGGAGAAGGAGCGTGTGGAGGCTGAAGAGAGACAGAAGGAAGCTCAGAGGCTACTCCAAGAAGAAGAGCATGTGCGGATGGAGGCACAACGTGCTGAAGAGAGACGTCTTGAAGCGGAGGAACTGCAACGACTAGCTGAGGAACGGGCGAGAGCTGAGGAAGAGGCGAGGCAAGAGCGAGAACGGCTTCAAACAGAGATTGCTCGTCTTCAAGCGCAAGACCAAGACCATGCCCGGAAATCGGAGGAAGAGATGGCTAGGAGGCAGGCTGTCGAGGCAGAACTGGAAGCGGAGCGATCTCGGAGGTCCATGGATGATGTTAAGGACGACGCGGAAGGTACGGCTCATGATGGCATCGTAAGAGCACAGCTGACGATCAAGTCTGCTTCTCAGACGTCTTTGGTCTGCGTGTCGCACCGGCCACATCTGACGACGCTCTGAGCCAAGAAGACCTTGACCTCCAAGCGCATATTCAGGATCTTCGCCAACGACTTCGCACAATGAGCCTGCATACTCTCGCCCGTCCGTCGGCATCTACTCCGTCTCTTCCATCTCGAGAACAGAGCGATACGGTGTCCACCGAGTTTTTATCTCTTGTTGAAGAAGCCGATGCCCTACCCGCCGTCGCCGCCGCACCATCGGTCGACGTAGAGTTACTCTCTCTGCGGATGGAAGTTCAGGCATCTAAGCAACTAGTCCAGCGATTGGGAGACCTCGCACAGATGGCTCAGGCTGTTCAAGAATGTGATGCTGCTTTGAGCGACCTCCTGGAACACGTTGACAGTTACCCGAGTCCTCCTGGCGTGACGCTCTCGGGTCACATTACCACGACTTCTCTGCCACCAGAAGAACAATTGACTGCCCGGCTTTCCTACACGCACGGACTTGTCGCCGACGTGGATGCTCGCCATGCCGTGGTCGCAGACGATTCACGGGCCACATCAGAGCAGGCGCGCATTCTTCAAACATGGAACGAACTGGAGTACATGGCGTCAGACTTGATCCAAGAGAGGAAGTCGAGACCTGGCAGTGCTATCAGCTCTAGCTCCAGATCCGGGAGAGCCAGTCGTGCGTCAGTTGACAGTTCAAGACCTGATCCTCGCAAGAAGACTAGTCACTTCTCCACGCTGTCCGTCGGCGGCCCTGGCGGCCCTTCACGAGGACGAGGAGGATACTTGAAACCGCCACCTGCCACCTCAAGGAGGATTGTCTCCAATCGCGAGGATAGACCACCCCCGAGGTCTACCAGCAGAGCATCTGTGGCGTCATCGCGCTCAGTGTCTGGTCCAAATGTTGCGGGGATAACTTCGAGACTGACCCAATCCACATTCTCTTCTCGTCAACGGACGACTAGTTTAACCGCATCGGATGCGTCTGCTCCAACCTTGCGTCCAGCAAAACCAAAGCAGCTCTTCCCATCGACCTCGCGACCACGTCTTCAGTCTGGCAACAGCAACCGTGCCGGTTCTCCTACCTTTTCGGAGATCTCTTCAATTACGCGGTCATTTGGTGGACGCCCGTCCCGTTTGTCGTTCTCTCAGCAGTCATCCACATTGCCCCGTGGCCCTCGACTATCCGTTTCGTCGCAGCATCGTAACTCGCCGCCATCAAAAATTCCGAAGCCAAAGAAGAAATATGTCGCGAACCCGAAGAACAAGCTCGATGTCGCCGTAGGGGACGTTGTCAATGCCCTTCCTGTAGAGATCAATATTGAGGTCGTCCAAGAGGGTTGGAAGGACCAGAGCGGGAAGTATTGGATCGGTGGCGACGACCCTAAGCTGTGCTTTTGTCGGATCTTACGCTCTCATACGGTTATGGTTAGAGTGGGAGGCGGGTGGATGGAACTTTCAAAGTTCGTATATTTCGTTGGCTTGTTAGACTGTAGACCGATATTGACTGCGACTCAGATTCATCAAGACGCATTTTGCCGACATGTTTAGACTTCTCCCTATCGAGCACACTTCGCCAAAACTAGGCTCACGAGAGGAGAAATGGATCAGCTCGGCAACTCTTATGGAGGCCCCGGAGATTATTCCTGGCCCACCGCGAGCTCCACAGACGCCAGAGCCTCACGGGACGCCACCACTACTTCCGTCGTTCGCTCTCTCAACACCGAGTGGGAAAAGCCCTCAATCGATGAAGACCACATCTTCGCCAGGCTCCCCTCTGACTCCTCTTCAATTCATGCGACGCGCCGATGGGGAGACTGTACACCCTACGATGCGGCCAGTTACACCTTCAACGCGGCCACCGTCCGCACTGCGTTCTGTTAGAACCACACCTCGGGGACCTTCATGGAGGCCCTAATTGACCTGTCCGTCTAGAACATCATACAAGTATCTCTCCTTTTTGGTTCTGTTTCTTCCTTTTTGGTTCGCCTGCTGGACTTGATTTGCATCCCCCATCTCATTACATTATATATTTACACGCGTTCTTCTGTTCTCCTCTTGCTCCGTACGTGATATTTATGCGCGCCATCTTTTTGCGTGTTGATGTACCAGGGGTTCAATTTCCCTGTATCTACGTTTGTGCCACGATCTCGCATGGACCTTTTTGTACGATCCTATATTGCTCACTCATCACGGTCTGCTCATGCTGCACTGACTTGTCTCCTTCATTCCTTCGTTTACTTCCAACTCAATCCAGACGAACTATATCTTCAAACGAACTATATTTCCAAACTATATCTACCGAACACTAATCTATTAGCATCTTTGTTGTGTCTCGATTCTTACCACATCCTTTGTCTTTCCATCCTAGTACTGTTTTTGTTTTACGAACGTCAATGACTCACGCTGGACGGTTCAGCATTTTCGGCGATTCAGACGTCATCGAAATTGAGCACTCTGGCCACCATACCGCCAGGTACCAGATTGAAACCCATGCGTATATGGTACATTGCAGAGACACGAACAAGAATAAATCATCAAACAGCCTGTAGGCGACCCCTCAAATCTGTACCCAAAAAAAAAAAAATTGCGAGCGTGTCCTGCACGGCCTATCTCGAGCGTTGCTCAATTTTGTGTAGCATGCCAATAATGATGCCTCGTCTCCCTATCAACATCTCTCCAGGACTTGAGCAACGTCCGGCGTATACTGTGCATCCCCGTCTCGGCTCCGTGATAGGCGTGGTCGACGTCCAACATGATCTGTTGAGCGGAACGACGGTCGGCGGGTGCGAAGGGCTGGTTCCATTCGCTGAAGATGAAGGTCTGAGGGACTGGTGAGGTGTGCTGTGTAAAAGATTCATATTTAGGTTTGCGAATGGAGAAGAAGACACATGAAGAAATAGTGCTTACAGCGGTAATCTCGGCGAGTTCGCGTTGTATGGAGAGGCAGAAGCCATCGAGGTCTGTGGCGAGGTTCGTCAGTACCGCTACGAACGCTATGAGCTCTACGTGTCTACGCACCGAGATCGTTCAAGTCGTAGTTGAAGGGGTTCTCGCTATGTTCAAAAATCAGTAACGACTTTCGCTGTGATGCATAAATATTTGAACAACCCACATCTCTTGTCCGATTTCTAAGAAGCCTAGGAATAGGAACGAGGCAAATGCGGTGGCACTGAGGAGAAGACATGGCGTGAGTCAATGAATGTTTCGTCAATTTGAACAGAAGAAGCTCACGGAATAGTCAGCCATTTGAACGAGCTGAACAACTCGAACTAGGGAGGCCAATTCAACGCATTGTATCGAGCAACGTGGACGGTTGGTGTGATGCTTACAGGTAGGAAGAAAAGATATAACCTAGGATACAGAATACGAATCAATCGTCGGATGGTAGCGCTTCTTGATGTGAGAGACCTACCAGAGAGTCATACGAAGATGCGCTTGATATGCGAAAGGAAGGGGAGTGTTCCTGATCCTTTCAAGGTTCATGACTGTTTCTTGCAACGACGTGAGTCCGTTGTTAATAGCCGTCGCCGCAACCTAATGACGATATAGCACAAGTTCAGTTCAGTCATTAGGAATGTGATCGTGAAATTAATTTACCGGGGTCAGGAATCCATTCTTGAGCAACCATGCAAAGTAGCTGGACAAAAACAGCGAGATCTCGAGCGGAACGTTTGACTCAACCGCCACATACTTCTTCTTCCCCGACAAAGTCCTCTTCCCACCCTCGCTCATCGACGACATCTTTCCCCGGACCACCAAGCTGATCAAAGGCTTGAAGATGCGGAGAATGGGGAGATAGTCGTACGCACTTGCTTCCGGTGGATTACGAGCGGGTCGAAGTGGTCGCTCGCACTGAACAGTTGGGAGAACTTTCTCGGGATCGAAATCATCCGTGTTCTTGCTCTTGTTACGAGAGTTTAGTGAGTTTATCCAGGATTTACGGCGATTTTCAGAAGTGCTATGCCCGTTCCCTGTCGGAGCAGAAGTTGTGCGCTGCGCTTGCATTTCCGCGTCTTGTACGTGGGTCACCGGCGTAGGCGGCGGTGCGTCAGAGTCTGCGACCATTTCGGATGCTCTCCAGAGGGGAAGCACTAGTACCGAGGTGAAAAAATAGCATCTGGCTGAGGATTGTGAGAGATACTCACTATCGTCGTCTCCATGCGTCAGAGGAGGGTGTATCGAGTACCGAGGAAGGAAGCAGATCAGCGGGTATAAGTCCTCGTAATAAACTCCAGGCTCGCCGCGCAACATGTGCTGTATGAAACAGTTGTCAGTTCTCATGTCCACCCCCGGGACGTCTATTGAGAAGCTTACTTTAGTCGCAACAGAGAATGCCTGAACAAGATTAACCATCGTTTTCTTCTCAATTACACCTGCTAACACAGAGGTCTTGGGCTTTGGTGCGGCGCCGCCATCCGGAGGCTTCTCGCCATCTTCTAGGCGCTCAAACGGGATGTGATTCCAGATCTTTCAGCCAGTCAAAGAATCAGGAGTCTGAGAGACCGGAATAAGCGTGAAACACATACCATGTGCCCAAGATTTCGCGAGGCTAAGTGGAGTGTGGTCCACGACTTTCTGCCATCTTGGTATCTTCAGTACTGCAACGTCAGTCTATGAAAAACCCATAAGCCTGCAGACAGAAATGCACCTCTCATAAGCTGATGTTGTGCGGAACGAGATCACCAGACCAAGCACTGTTCCAAGCACAGACAGCAGCTGATTCGAAATCGAGAGGGAGTGCGACGTGAAGGTCGACACGCAACATACCACTGCCATTGTCGTTTTTAGCATCTATCGTATGAGTTACGAGACAGCAATGGTATACAGGAGCACTCACTGGTGGCAATGAGAGTGAAGAAGAGTACATCGGGCCATATATCGTTAATGACGGTGGCCTGCAACTTTTTCGAGGACCAGAGGCCCGGGCCTGAGAACAGAGGATTCACGGCCACCATTTTTAGGAGCAAGTTATCCAATACTACCCAAGAGTGAAAGTAGAAGAGAGAAGGAGAGGGAGACTGGGGGGTCGAAGAGCGCGCCGACGATCTTATACTAATATTAATGCTGTGAGCGCTTCATCACAGAGAGCCTGCCAAACACCACGAGGCGGCGAACAAAATCAGCGTTGTCTGATGACACGATGACGAGCCTGGAACCACAGTTCTCTCAGCGGTGGTTCTGCGTGGGTTCATCATGGCGAGTTCGGAGCACAGAGCCATTTCGAGCAGATCGTATGTCGAGCAGCCGGTGTCTTCAACTGACATTCGGACTCGGTTGGTTCGATTCGGCAGATGTACAGAACATGGGGAAATTGGCAATTCTGACAAGAGTCGTCGGGATCAAAAGCAATAAACGTCGAATGCTTCCGTTCCACGTGGACGACGCGTCCGACGCGTCGCGACCACGCCACACGTCGACTCGGTGAGAGCCACAAGACGACTTGCTTTATCCCTTTTCTCTTGCTTTTCTCTTCCCCCTTCCTGTTTATCTGTCATTCGTTTCCATACTGGCACTTGACTCTAATTGCTGCAAAAACGATCAAGCATGGATACTGACCTCAAATGTAACCGTCTGAACTGTCGGAGGGCGCTGAATGACAAGGCAGTGGTGGTAAGCAAGCTCATTGATCAAGTCAACTGATTGTAATAAACTCATATACCGACTGTGATTGCAGACGACTTGTACGTTCGCTGACTCAGTAACTTATTGACCTTGATCATGCGCGAATTAAGCACTGTCGGGTTGTAGGCTCCCATCTTTTCTGTGGTATGTGTTTTCTGCAGAACGATCCAACAATTATCTCAGTTTTCATACCATCCTGTCGATTCCTATTTACAGTCGATTGTGCGAATGAGCTCTTTGGTGCTGCAAGACTTTGCCCAGGTACCAATGTTTAGTGCCAATCGAATCTACAACGTTGCTAATCGGCAGTGTGGTAGCTTGTGAAACTTCCCTTACAGAACCGTGCGTTCCACTTGGCCTGCTGCGTTGGACGATACCCTATAACACCTCTCTTACTGTGCAGAGATGATGTTGTGGTAAGATATCCAATGCTGTCGTTATGGTTCAAGGCACCTGGACTCAGTGCCACTCGGTTTGTATAGGTGTGCTCCCTGCACCCCACCAACGACTACAAGACGGTCAATATATGCGTTCTGTCAACACTCATCCGAGTCGTCACGGCTGACTCTGCTACTAGTCTGTCCTGTCAGGCTTGAATCCGTCGACGATTCTTGAGATATGCAGCCGGTTCGTTCTGTCCAGTCTCGCGTCTTCTCGATGTGGCACCGCTGACTTTGGAATTCCGGGGACTCTAGGGCAGTATCGTTCTGGCAGTATCAGATCCACCAGGAGAAGTGTGCACTCATTGCCATTGCCGTGTGGTCTTTATATCTGACATGCGGTAGTTCATTCCAGCAAGCTGTTCTTCGCAACCTTAACGATAAGATCGCCATCCTCCAGAAACAGCTCGATAATGTTGTACGCGAAGGTAACGTCTTTCACCACCTTTTTTGTCCGTCCCATCTCTGAAATATAACTTGCTTAGCGAACGGAGAGATTAACTTGTTGAGCAACAAAGTCTTAGGTCTTTCCACATTCTAATTGTACATTCGGTCAAATGCCCTTGACAGTTCCATTGACAATCCCACAGAACTCGAGCGCGACGCCGAAGTCGAACGGCGTAAAATCCGGGACATGCAAGATGCCGCTAAAGAACGGGACAAGGAATACCAAAAGCTCAAAGTCACTGACCATTCTTTACCCACCCCGCACATCCCTCTTCTGCCGTCTGCTGCTGATAACTTACTATGTCATCGATGTAACTATAGGGCCAATACGACAAAATCAAGCGCAAAGCCCTCCTAGGACCGAACGGAGCCGGCCCCTCCCTCAACCTCGAAGGCGCCGTCCTCGACGCGACCTCGAATGACCAAACACATAGAAACGGAAACGTCACGCGACCAGCCAGTATGCAGCTCGGACGGGGAAATGTCGACATGGGTGCGGTGATAAGTGGAATGGAGGCGACCGGGGTAACCATATCCTCTTCGTCCGAACGCTAGCGCATCAACTGAATCTGCTCAGATTCAACGCACCCCTATCGCTGTACGCACGAACGCAAATTTCGGAGGTGCCATTGGCGGCGGAGGCTCATGGCCAGGCCCCGGCGGGACGCCTGACCGCACGACTTTCCAGCGCCAGCAATTCAACGCTCCTGGGCATGGTCATGGTCATGCTTACGGTGCCAACGCCGACCGGTCTTTCAAACCACGGACGGTATCCGAACGGTCTGACAGTGTAAACGAAGTAGATAATATGCTAGGAGGGGTGGGTGGTGGAGGAGGAGGAGGAGGAGGAGGGTCGAACCGTGATCGGGACCGTGCACAACTACGTGCACATCCAGACCGGGGAGCATGGGTGGCGAATAGTACCAGTAGCGGCCATACGAGCGTGAGTCACGGACACGCCCAGGCATCGCGTCCTACTCAGCGCAGTAAGCTCATCTCTTAGAGTTCAATTCCCGGGGTATGGTCTAATTGACTTTGCAGTGTTCGCACCTTCGTCGACAACAGGCCGACGTACCGGTGGAGGCTTCAAGCCAGCAGGGATCCACACCCCTCGATGACCGTCCCATCTCTTCTGTTGCGACTACTAGCCTCTTCTCGAAGTCTCAAATTGCTCAGTGCCTGCTTGCTATGTCGAATATCGAATCTCGAACCTTGGACGATGGACTCTCTGTCTTTGCTCAAAAACTAAAAACTGTCTCAGCGCTCAGGAATTATTCCACTGTACATTATATTCAGCGCGATGTATCGGTAGTAGCTCGTCGGATTGTAGTGGGTGCACAAGAGGAGTGGAAGGGCGGTGCCATGATGGTACAGAGAGCTGAAGGAAGATATCATAAGTGTAGATGAGGTTGGAGACAATGAAGATGAAGTCCAGGATGACGACGAGCAAGTGAACACATGCATGCATGAGTGAGCAAAAGAGATGAGAAGAAAGCATCCAGTACGAAGCAGAAGGAGAAGGGTGGGATAAGATCGAAGAAAGTCAATGGCATGAGCAATGGGTGAGGAGCGCGTCCAAGCAGAGACGGAACGAAAGCCAAATATGGCGAAAAGAAAAGAAAGAAAGAAGGGGAAAAAAAATACAAAAACCTCAATCACGTCTAATCTTCCCATTCTTCTCATCGTCCAAATACTGTCCAATCGCCAATATATCCTGCCCCGCCCTCTTTAAATACCCCGCCAACACATCCCTGTCCGCATGCGGCAACAAATCCGCCAACTTATCCACCTGCTTCGCGAACTCCGGATCCCTCGCATATGCAGCACTCCCACTATTATTATTATGAGGCACGTCCGACTCTGAACCTCGCCCACCGAACAGGTTGCTCGGACGCTTCACGTTACTGCTCCTCCTCCTCACGAGCACGGCGGACTTGGGCGGTTCCGCCGAAGGTGCCGGTGGAAGCATGAGCGTCTGCGAACGTTGCATCCGGCCTGGAGCAGCGCGGGGTCCGCCGGGGACTAAAGGTGAGTTTGCGATGACGATTGGTCGAGGGTTGCTGGCGGTATGTGCGTGATGGGCATTATTGGGGTTTGCTTTAGTGAGGAGGACCTTTCCTGCGGACGTGAGACCCTTTTCCTTCTTGTTGAGGCTATAGTTGCGCCCTATAGACGAGAAGAAACCGCCAGAAGGTTTGGGTACTGAGAGAGGGTTGGAACGGCTGGGTAGGGAATGAGAAGCGACGGTCGACAGACGGTGAGTGGATGCTTGGGCGAGAGCGGGGTAGGGTAGAGCAGGTGGAGGGATGTTGGCTGGAGGAAGAGTATCGATAGGTCGTGGAGAGAGGTCGGTGGCAGTATATGAATCTGAACGAAGGGGGAAGGTGGCTTCGGAGGACACCGAGCCGTTGGAGCGATGTCGAGGTTGTTGAGATATGGGTCTGGGCGAGAGTTTGAGAGGGTTTGTGGAAGATGGTACTCGATGGGACGATCCCTTCGATGCTGGTACAGGACAGTCGTAGATAGATCAGAGTTGAACCGTCTGCGCAGATGCTTTGGCGAAGTTGTACTAACCCTTCACTTTCGTAGCCGCCACCCAGTCGCTCAATCCGCAATCATATTTGGCGAGATCGTTGATCTTATCTGCGTAGCCCATGGCACGATCCAATGCTGTGGGTAGCGTGAGCACGTCCTTACCCCACATAGAAGCCGGCCAGTTGGAACGAATCCTCGGTCTAGGAGGACGGGGACCAGAAGCAGGAAGAGCTGAGACAGCCATTGGAGGAGAAGGTGTTGTAGAATTAGAGGGGACGGTCGGAGCCTTGCTCGAGAGAGTGGGTGTCCGCGGTAAAGTCGAAAACCTCTTCAGGTTCGTCAGCGTTCCTTTCATGCCATTGAAAGTCTGTCGTGTCTCGTCCTTGTTTGCCTCCTTCTTGCCCCGGGGTCCATAGCTCACAGGCAAAAACCCAGTAGAAGACGGTGGAGACCGTGCTTCTTCTTCTGAAGACCGAGGACTCGAAGCACCATCAGATAGTGCCTGAGTGAGACTGACCCAACTTCTCTGCGATGGAGAAATCGAAACAAGTTCAGATGGAAGATCATCTGCAGGTTCTACGATGATCGTCGAGGTAGCGACGGGCGGTGGACTTAATGATGAAGCAGAATCAACATCGTTCTCGATCGGTATGATAGCAATGTCAGGCCGGGAGACGAATTCCGTTGCAGGCGACGACTTTGTCGAGGGTGCGAAGGCGCCTTCTCGCACATGACTACTACTAGGGCGATCATTAGACTCCGCAGAGCTGTGAGAATCAAGCCACGTCAAAATTAGCGATAGCGCGTGCTACGCAAACATACGGATTGACTTACTCTGGAGTGTTCGTCACATCTCGGACGGGCTGCCGAGGCGAAGGTTCGGTAGAAGTACCAGAGTCGCGATGAGGAAAGGAGGACGTGGAACGTTTGGATGTCAAGGGAGGCGTAGAGGCAAAATTTCTCGAGGTGATCTCAAGGGCTGTTCGGGATCGGATAGGTGATGGGGACCGCATCCGGGGTGGCCTTGGAGGCGGGGCAGACGATGCATCAATGTTGAACATCGCTCTCGGGGGTGGTGGCAATGGTCCTGCCTTTGAGTGTCGGCCTGGCTCGTAGTACAGATAGGAGGAAGGATCGGCAGACGAGAACGACATCGAGGGAATGGAACGGTCTGCGCCTAGTGTCGGAGAAGGATTTGAATAGGAGGAACTAGACGTGCTATCTCCGCTAAGCGTCCTTTCACCAATGGTGGGCATAGTGAAACGCGCCGGATTTGCGGACATGGGCTCGCTTGCAGGCGGGGCAGAAGGCGCAGCAGTGGGAGCGGTAGGTGTGACTGGTGTTTGGAAAATAGGAGATACCGTCTGTTGAGCGGAGTCGTGACGAGGCTCAGCTTTCGGTAGAGTCCCAACGATCCCAATGTCGCGCGACGAGGACTTGTGATGGAGTGTCTTGTTACCCGTCGGTTTAGACGCCTCTGATGCTGAGCGCTGGTGACCGTCACCGAAGGCGCGATGCTGGCCGTGCGCTCCTTCGTGTCCTACGAGAGGTGTACTGCCAGCGGGAGGGGCAGTCAAGGGTGTAATGATACCGGTGAATGATTCTGGAGACGCGTCCGGGGGCATAACAAGCGCGAGGCCGCGGGAGTTCAGTTCACGTCTTGTCAAAGGTCCGTTTGGTCTATTCTTTGTCTCGTCCGGTCCTTTATTCGAGTTTGATTCCGTCGGACAAGAGGATGATGGTGGGTGAGACTGAAATTCAACGATCTGAACGCGCCTTTTGTCAGAACCACCTTCGGAAAGGTTGCTCGGTCTCCGTTGATGTCCGCTGCGGGACGAAGCGAGGTCAGAAGAGTGATGCTCTGGGCTTGTTTCCTCTTCGAGGGTCTTATGGCTCGTGGCTGGGGACGAGTCGGGAGAGTAGACCGAAACTGAGGATGTAGTGCTTGCAGAACGTGCTCGGGGAATGCGAGGGACAGAGGCTTCGTTTTGAGAGACGGTATATGATGATGGAACGGACTGTCCTGGGAGGTCTGACTGGTAATAGGAGAGGATGATGTCCGTGTCCCGCCGAACAGGGTTGGGACGCGGACCAGGAGCGAGTGCTGGATCGAAGGAAGAGGGTGAGCACGTATGTAAGGAAACAAACATGATCGGCAATGCGGCAGACCTGGACCATATTGCTCGCGGGCAGTCGAGAGTGACTGGATTGTTGTCATGAATAATAGCACAAAATTGGGGAAAAGTAGTATAAGTTATGAATAAAAGGGAGAAGAGGAGGTGGACGACAAGGAAGAGAGCGGATGCAGCTACGACCCATTTCAAGGGCGATGAACGCACAACCTCTGCTTGACAGCTTCCAGTTCCGCGCCCGGCATATCCATGTGGCTGCGCACGCAAGAGGTGTGCGGAATTGCAATCGGGCACACTGCTCGGCGTTCGCTTAGCTCTCGGCTAAGAGGTGGGTAGGGGGGAGTGTTGCACCCGGGGTCCTCTCATGAAGTGATTAGATAATGACGATGTCCTGTGGCGGAAACAGGCAAGTACTGTGGCTCGGACGCCAGTCGACCTTCAAAGAGCGTCCCATGAGTCTGTGACGGATAGAAAGTTGATAATATCGGTAGAGCAAGTATTAAGAATGAATGTGTACACCCAAGAGGATCGAGAGTCAGTGGTATTACGGCCGGTTGCTTTTTGATAGGCCTCTCCGGATTTGCGTGCCACCCGGCGGAGTCCGAAATCGACGTGAATCTACTGGTCGTGCGTTCCGCTCTAGAAATATTTATACAAGATTTTCATATCCTTTCTTATACGCTTCTACACTTAACATGAAAGCTCAGCCATATTTATCTCACTGATATACTTTTCTGGCCAAAAAAAAAGTAGCGGTAACTTATAAACTTGTGCTAGTAGACGCGGCGAACTTCGAATGGTGGCACGGCTGGAAGGCGCCACCGAGCCCGCCAGCAGCGTACGTTTTGAGTACCAGGCTGGTGCTCGACCAATCCAGAAGTAAATTTATTTCAATGATGTCCAAGTATAAATAACGTGGAGCTCAATACATATCATTTTAAGTCTGCAGGAACTGGCTGACATGGGGCCAGTGCAGGACGGTCGTGGTGAGACTCAGTGAGGAAGGCGCATTGTTTTCGGACTCCACTGGGTGGCACACAAATCCCAATATGCCTACCAAAAATCAACTGGCTGCAATACAATGACATGAGTGAGAATCAGTTCTTTGAACGTCGACTAGCGTCCGAGCCACAATACTTGCCAGTTTCCGCCACAGGACATCGTCATTATCTAATCACTTCATGAGAGGACCCCGGGTGCAACACTCCCCCCTACCCACCTCTTAGCCGAGAGCTAAGCGAACGCCGAGCAGTGTGCCCGATTGCAATTCCGCACGCCTCTTGTGCGCACGCGATTGCCCCTTTCGTCTCCTTCCGTCGCCCGAAACGCACACTCACGCTGCCACGAGCTATTACCCAGATCAATATTACAGAAAATACATAGTACATTGCTTTGCCGTCCATACTGTAGAATGCGCCCGTCGTATCCACCTCCGAGTCAAGCTCACCACTCCATCTTCTTCCCCCGTCTCACAGGTGCCACCGGAATCTTCTTCCCCTTGTAGCCAAACCCATCCAGCCATGGCCACACGGCGCTCCTCCGCTCCTCGAACGAGCCAATCGCAGCATCCTTCTGCAGAGTCAGCGCGATATCGTCCAACCCGTTCAACAGACAATGCCTCCTGAATGGATCCGACGTGAACGGAATCGAAGGCTTGCCACTCGCTCTCCTGACCTCCTGTTTCTCGAGATCGACCTCCAACTCCAGTCCGGCCTCGGCATCCTGCGCCAGGTCACGGCACTCTGCCTCCGACAGGGCGATAGGCAGCATACCGTTCTGCATGGTGTTATTACGGAAGATATCCGCAAAGCTGGGCGCAATGATGCAGCGGATACCGAAGTCATTCCTACAAACGATACATTAGTATGCACGCAGACCGCCAAGGAGAATAAAATGCTCACAAGCTCCATGGTGCGTGTTCACGCGAGCTACCGCAGCCAAAGTTCTGACCCGTGCAGACGAGGATCTTCGCTCTGTTGTAAGGAGCGCGGTTGAGAACGAAGTCGGTGTCTGCACCGGTGTATGGATCCTTGCGGAGGGTGAAGAAGAGGGCGTTGGCGAGACCGGTCCGCTTGAGCGTCTTCAAGAACTGCTTGGGGATGATCATGTCGGTGTCGACGTTCTCGATGTGCAGAGGCGCGGCGATACCCTTGACGATGACGAACTTCTCGACACTCGACGGGGCCTCCGCTGGTGGCAGGTCACCTGAAGAGGAGTGGATGGGCGGTACTTCTGGCTCGGGTGAAGGTAGGACGGTCTCGGTGAGGAACTCGAACTCGCTGGTCATCTTCATCTTCTGCGACGCGCCCGTAGCAGCCGCGAGGAACTTGCGGACGTCGGTCAGCTTGCCCGTCATCGCCGCCGCGGCAGCCATAGCAGGACTGAGGAGATGCGTCCGGCCACCAGCGCCCTGTCGTCCCTCGAAGTTACGGTTGCTCGTGCTAGCGCAACGTTCACCGGGTTCAAGCTGGTCGGGGTTCATACCGAGACACATGGAACATCCAGCCTCCCTCCAGTCGAATCCTGCGCGCTTGAATACGACGTCGAGACCTTCCGCCTCGGCGTGCTGCTTGATGACACCGGACCCGGGAACGATCATGGCGTGAACGTTTGGAGCGACCTTCGCGTCGGGACCAGCGGCGAGGACGATCTTCGCAGCGGAGCGCAAGTCCTCGATACGGCTGTTGGTGCACGAACCGATGAAGACCTTGTCGATCGTGACCTCCTCCAAGGGCATACCGGGTGTGAGGCCCATGTACGCCAACGAACGCTCGCAAGAAGCCTTCTTGACGGGGTCGGTGAACGAAACGGGGTTAGGGACAGAACCGGTGATAGGGGCAACATCCTGGGGAGAGGTACCCCATGTAACGGTTGGGACGATGTCTTCCGCGCGGATGACGACCTCGATGTCGAACTTTGCGCCGTCGTCGGTGCTGAGGCTACGCCAGTATGCGACGGCGCGGTCCCAGGCCTCACCCTTGGGAGACAGAGGGCGATTGCGGAGATACTCAAACGTGATGTCGTCAGGAGCGACCATACCGGCACGAGCACCAGCCTCGATGGACATGTTGCAAACGCTCATCCTGGCCTCCATGCTGAACCCACGGAAAACGGATCCGGCGAATTCGATAACGCACCCAGTGCCGCCGGCGGTTCCAATGACGCCGATAATGTGGAGAATAACGTCCTTGGAGGTGACGCCTTCGTGGAGCTCGCCGTCGACGGTGATACGCATGTTCTTGCCCTTCTTTTGCAGAAGCGTTTGGGTAGCGAGCACGTGTTCGACTTCGGAGGTACCAATACCGAAGGCGAGGGAACCAAAGGCACCGTGGGCTGGTACGACAGGGATGAGCTTTCTAGTGAGCAGTCGAAATATTTGACCCGGACGTACTGGATGTATGAGAGTCACCGCATACGCAGGTGATACCAGGCAACTGCAGACATTCAAAAAACTCATGAGGGGAGAGGCAGAAAGAGATTTCCCAATACAAGACCTACGGTAAATCCTTGCTCAGGTCCGATAATGTGGACAATACCTAGACATCGGAGTCAGTTCGACTCCTGTGCCAACTGGAGTCATGATAAACGTACCTTGTCGCCTGTCGGTCATCCCAAAGTATGTCAAGCCAAACTCTTTCACGTTCTCCTCGAGGGCCACACATTGCGCGCGGGAATCGGGCTCAGCGATAAAAGAGCTGACGGTGCTGAAGTTTTTGCGGGAAGCGGTAGGTACGTTGTGATCTACGGTCGCAAGAGTGCAGTCAGGACGGCGAACTGGACGTTTTGCAGTTCGGCTGAAAACATCATGTCAGCTTTGAATGAACCGGGAGGAACCTGGTTCTACGTACAGTCCTTCGAATGCCTGTGGGCTGGTGACTTCGTGCACGAGATGTCTAGAATAATCCTTGAGTAGATGTACACTGTATAAATACGAAATAAACACACCTGTCGATGTAGATCAGGGCCAGTCCATCGTCATTCACGTCGCTAAAAGGAGGAGAAAGATCAGCGCGTTGTTCGTGCCGAAGTAACGGGTCGCACGAGGCATACATACATAACATGGTCGTCCCAAATCTTGTCGTACAAAGTGCGGGGCTTCGCTACTGGCGCTGGCATGGTGAACGCTTGTCGGTAGTGGGGGTGAGACGACTAAGAAACAAGAAGACAAGAGAGACAGAGTCGAGAACGGCGATTAGGGGAAAGTGAAGTGAGTACTGCAAGGTATATAAGGAATCCTCGACGCGCTATTCGTCGCCTCACTCTCAGGGACTCGGCCGATCCGCCATCCGCGCAAGGCCGACCCCACAATCACTTTGCGCATACGTAACAAGCGCCCATTCAAAGTTGCATGGCTTTCATTCCGCTCTGATCCCGAGGCCCCGATTCCCGAATGGCGTCGTGTGCCGAGGCCCATGTACGTCTGCGCGAACATGGGAGGGAAAAGCCGTACATGTGCATCGTATTTTATCTTTATTTCCATGGTCGACGGAAGTAACACCAATGAATACGTCGACTATTCCTGGTGAACGTGACGCTATCCCGCTTTTACAGTGGCGAGGCAATAGCGATCCACCATCCGAAGAATTCAAATGCTGCGACCGTGACCGCGGTCGAGATACACTCTTTTTCTACGCAGTGCAGAGCAGGTGATACGGTTTGCAGTGGCATATTATCCATGCATGACAGTGAGGCTTTCGAGGACAACGAGGACACAAAATGATTACGGACCAATTCGCCGCAAGAGAGAGAAAGAAATATCGGCAAGTCCCGATAGGCAGATGGGAACCAACTGCACAGTTCATCAGCCACAACTTCCCGATTCGGAACACGCACCCGCACGCTCAGAAGTGCCGCCGCCGTCGCCACAGCGTAAGCCGAAGTCCTCGTCGCCGTCAACACCATGGCCAAATCAAAGAAGTGCGTCTTGGCTGCCCGATTCTCTGTCCTTCTGTGTGTAGGACAGATATCTAACGCGTTTCCGCTTTATAGCCATACCAATCACAACCAGAGCAAGAAGGTACATCTGTCTTGACATATTCTTCCAGGTTCACTTTGTTCATGCTTCATGTATCGTGAAGGCCCACAAGAACGGCATTAAAAAGCCCAAGGCCGGCCGCACGACTTCGATGAGGGGTGTACGTCTGCATCAATAATTCCCACTATTTCATGGTGCTGATAAATATTCATCTTTCAGGTTGACGCTAAGGTATATACAGCAGCTCGATCGGGAGGACACTGGGGAATTCTAACGTTTCGTTTGGTCATGGACAGTTCCGTCGCAATGCGCGATTCGCTAGCGCTGGCTCGGTGCGTGCTATCATTCCTCGTATTTGGGACGTGCACTGACTTCCATTATGCATCTGTGATATAGTACAAGGCCCGTCTGGAAGCAAAAACCGCTGCGGCAGCAGCATGATCCCTCGCCAGTCCTGATTTCGGGTTTGAGGGGGCTGGAGGTCGGGTGTACGATCTTCGCGTCATGTATCGCATCTCGTTCGTCGTCCATGTCATGCATATGGTTTATGTCTAGGTCACCACACGAAAAGATAATCTTTCAAAAACACTCCTACTCTCCCTGGCGTGATTATTCGACTGCCCAACAAGATCTCGATACACTATGCGTCAAATACAAGGGGGTCATAAGGCTACATAACCTGGAGTCTGACTTGGGTGGATGGGAGCCCCTCTGGCTCATGAACGATCTGCACTTTGTCTGTCTGGAGTACTCGTCTGCGTCGCTCGCTGTCTTAGAGCCTCGGTCAACCGCAATGCCTGCGACGGATATGTCAACGCCAGGCTCGATGGGGTGAAGAAACGAAACAAACTTACTGCTGCATCTTCCGGAGGCAATGCCCCTTTCGCCATATTATGGCGTCCTGGTCTGAGAACACGCCTGTTCACTCTTTTCGATCCCTCTGACGTCGCCGCAAAGAGCTTCGCGCACTCCTCGTCTGTGGCGACGTGCCCTTCCTGGAGCGAGAAGAACTTGTGGCGCAGGACTGTCTTGATGCGCTCCAGCTGGTGCGTCGTGTACCAGCCATCGCGTTCCTAGCAGCGATGTCAAAACAGAGTAGCAAATCGTCGCGGCTGATGAAAACTCACATTGCAGACTTCCCTGACTTCTTCCGGGTCGTCTACCATGGCTTTGATCATCGGATCTGTGATGTCGCACAGCTGGAAGGCTGCGGTCTCTTTTGAGGGAGTAACGCCGTCGAAGATATGGGATACTCTGGTGAATGAGCGTAAGAATTGCGATATACCTGACGACAGGACGAAATGCTTACCGTCTCTCCGAAAGCTCATCCTCCGTCAAGGGCCGACTGATTGAAGTCAACGAGTACCGGTTTTCCTGCCGACGTGTAATGAGCGAAGGGCGAACGATGGAATGGTTGAGGTTTCGGAAGTATAGCCGTTGGTAACTGCAGACGAAGTCAGCGTCCGCTGGGCAAGAACGGGCAGGACAAGAAACAGGCGTTCACAATCTAGCTTCCTTGTCGAGCCTGGGATCGTAACAGAAGCGGATCATGGTGTCCCTCCAAGGGCCGTCCTGAAAGACGTAGCAGCTGAGGGGAAGGATGACTTTCGAGCTAGTTGAAAGTGCAAATGAGACTAAGTCGTAAAGTTGGCAGTACAGTGTGGGACTCGTACTTGTGAATATCCCTAGCCTCTGCGGGCGTGAATTGGTTGAACAGGGCCTGACGGGTCCATATGGGTCTCTCTTGGAGGAGCTGCAAAAGAATGAGTAGAGACCGATATACATTCGGGAAGTGTCTCACATCTTCCAACTTCTTTAGAAGTTTTTGATCGAACTGGTCTCGAACTTTCTCGCAATGTGCTGGTGCGCGTTTTGGCACCTATGGAAGATCGCCGTTTGAGTCGACTGGTGTCACACAAAGAAAAATGTCTGCTTACCTCTTTCTCGGAGTACAAGATAGAGGCGGGTCCATAGCCTTGCCATCTCATCTTATTGATGAGTCTCTTCTTCTCTTCTCCCGTCTCTTCATCTATTGTAGTCGCAACCACAGACACAGGATTCGCTTTGAAACTGGTATCAACCGTCAACAACTGGTTCGCAAGATGGGACCGGTTTGAATGCGTACTTATAATTCTGCGGTACGCTCTGACGACTGAACAAAGGGGGAGGAAACAGTCGCAGATTACTCTTCTTCTTCGAAGAGGTTGGTGGCGTCCCCCCAGTTTCTCCGGTCAATGCAGGGTCGATGACAATATCCATAGCGTTTGGATCTTCGTCCTTGAGGTAGTCCTCCTTCTCCTCAGGAACCGTGTATGCGCGAATTGCGTCAACTAGAAGTCATACATGTTAGTTGGTAAGTCATGATCAAAAGTAGAAATGAAGCAATACTACCATCCATAGTGCCCATAGCAAGACGTAGTTTCGCCACAGGATCACTCATATCAGGTTGATACTGGAAATCAGCCATGCCTACTCAAGGTTGAGCCACACAACAAGTAAGTCATCATGTGCATACTTACTTCGAAACCTAGCTGTCTTTGGAATGACACCAATCGCTTCCGCCGTATACTCCCCAATCGCGCCGTCCTCGCCTTTCTCTCCCTCCGCCACAGGGGCCCTCTTTCTCTTCCGTTTCACAATTTTCAGAACGATGTTATTCGTAGGGACTATATCTCCAGGAACAGGATGAGAGAACGGATTCCCTGGTCTGAAGTTTAGTTCGAGCAGAGCATCCTGTTTGTTTGCATTTCGTTTGAAGGCCGCATTCACATTAGCCTGACCGCCTAGAGTCTGCAAGATCTGAGGAACAGAGGACGGAGCGACGTAGCCAGGAAACTCGATGGACGAAAAGTAAGTTTTTGGGAGAGGGAGCTCTGGAGCCGATTGTGAAGAAGAGGCGGAGGACGGTCCTGGATCCATTTGAGCCACAGAAACGTAAGGTGAAGGAGGTGTGAACAAGAAAGAGGACGCGTCGATCTCGTTGCGTTCACGCGTTTCGACTGCAGTCACGTTATGTTTGGCTCAGATCTCAAACACGATATTTTTGGGTGCTGTGGCCCACTTTTCTCTTCACTCTCTCGTTCAAGAATCAGTCACGGTATCATGGAAGCTGTCCAACCCAGGGGCTTCCTCTGACTCATTGAAGCTGGGGATACTTTACAAGGTGGCTAAGGTCAGAGTATAAGAAAGTACGTTTCTCGTCTACCTGGTTGGAATCGCGTCTGCTCTGCCTCCGAGAGTCAAGTAATGTGGCATGGTGTGCAGCCTTGCTGAACGAGGCCATACAGTTCCGGGGACTCTCAAGGATAACGAATGGTCATGAGGAAGTTATCACACAAGACGTGGTTGTCATACTGCGGCATTACTTGAGAATCTGTTGTGTGAATGACGAAGGGTAGGTCCAAATTTTCGAAGGCTTGTTGCAGTGTCGGTTCCACACATGGCAATCCTTCGGAGTAGATGAGAAGCGGATGAAGTGCAAGATAGGCGTCGAAAGGTAGATACAACAAGCAAGCAACTACTCGTCTTTTGGTGGTGTTCTCGTCGTCATCGCCATAGTCATCATTTCCTGCATAGCAGACTGACGTGTACAAGTAAATAGGGTCAGAACATCGCAGAGAGGACTGTGAAAATACTGCTCACCTGGGAACTAATGTCGATACCAGCCTTCTCCAGCTCCTGCATCACGCTCTGGACCTCCCTATTAAACTTTCTGTTGCTCGCTAGGCGGAATAATTGAATTGGTGATGGTGGTTTCCCACTGGACAAGTCAATGCCTACAAAGGCATCCACAAGACGTCAGCGCACTTCAGTAAGGTGAGGTTGCAAAAATGACGCACCTGCATCTTCCACAATGTTTGCGAGTCTCACGAGAGCGACAATAGCCTCCGGCTTGTCCTTCAGCTTTTGGTACAGCTCAGTATGCTCAATATGTTTTGTGAGTTCCGGAGGGAGTTCCAGATGCTGGATGCGAGATACTGAGAACTGCCGAGAGGCGCGGGGAAGGGCAATGGTAGGTCTATGGAGGCGCTGGACAGCGAAAGCTCGAGATGCAAGGCGGAAAGTATGAGAGCCAAACATTATCAGAGATAATAACCAAGGAAATCCAAATGGGGGGAGAAACACGTCGACAGACGTATGTTGTGTGGACGGACAAGGCTAGAAATGAGAGCGTCACAGTTGGCGAGCACGGCTCAACGATGATCGACGCGAATTGTGACGGGTTTTGCCGAGACGCGTTCGGCGCGTTCGCGACGCGCCTGACGCGCTCCTCCTTCTACCCTTCCATAGCTATTGGCCGGCGTGGAGAACATTGTGGTACAATTATATCAGGCATGGACGATGATTACTACTCAATAGAATCGATTCTCTCGGAGAACCAGGTAAATGAGCCCATTATCTATGCCACATAGTCATATACCGATCATCCATCATACCTTGCAGAAGATCCAATGCACATTCAAGATAGATATCGAAGGTATGGGACATCTTGCAGGAGGAGATGAAAAAGATGTCAGTGCGGATTGAGCTATATGAGTTGACTATGCCCACTGACGTCCACTTTCAAAGATCAAACAGTTGACAAAGATGCAACTACCTCTATGGATGTCTTGTATGATCGTCACTATGTTCGTTTTCCTCCACTTACTCATCGAAGTAATTCATCCTGAAATGGACCACATCTATATGTTAGGGACTGGGCAGATTGGCATATTCCAACACCCTTCAGTTCGCGTGTCAGAAACGCGTTGAACGCGGAAGCTAAGAGCGTCCGTTTATCTTCGCTCGTAGGCGCAGGAGGTCTGTGGTACGGATTCGGGAGAAGTCTGATGGAGAAAATGTGAGGCTCGAACTTGCATCTGAATATCTTTCTCGACCCTGACTGATGACGGGAGCATAGGCTTCAGGGCGCAGCTGCCGCTGAAATGTCTAGAATACTGACAAAGGTGAGATGTATTGTCGGATGTGGCCCATTTTCCCGTATAGACCTCTGATGCACTACGTATAGGCGTTCCATAGCAGGCTGGTCGAAGTCATAGATCAGGCGCAGCATTTTGGAGCTCTAGGCCCCGCTGGAGGCAGTGGACAATCAGGAGACAGCGCACAAAGCTTCAGAGAAGGTCTTGACGCAACGGAGCGTGAGAGTGAGTATTTCCTGGTTTCGCGCAGACGATATCATGCTGACCAGCAAACATAGTGTTTGCATTGGCCCAAGAGAGCGCAAAACGGACAAAACGGTGGTATGAGACGTCGGACAGAGCAACGAAGTAGCTGGTTGTGATTACAGATGCAGATGTGAGTTGTAGGATATGTGCAGGTGTACGGATAATGACAGTTGCTTGAAAGCTCGAGTGTTCCATAGTTTCACTGTGTCTTCTTCTCATCTGGATTGGAGGTCTCGTCTGGATCAGAGGTCTCGTCTGGATTAGAGACCCCGTCGGATGGAGGTTCCTGCTTTTGTAATTCGTATACAAACCTATGGGCCACAATCAGCTTCAATGTTCGCACATGCGAGTAAAGGATCAGCGACCATTTAATGCTCGCCCACAATCCCAGCTCAATCCCCATGAGTACCAGTACGTGGATGTTCCCGCGTGTGAGAATGGCGAGCACGAGGAATGTCCCGAGGAGAAGTGCCAGGACAAGGTCGACGATGAGGAGGAAAGTCGGATTGAGCGACGAGCCTGGAGTCAATATTGAGGCGATAATTGACTCCACCGCGGTAGCAGGCTGAGCCTCAGCAGCTTCCCCTGTGTCCGTGTCCTGGACGGAGGAAATACTGTCGCTTGAAGGTGGGTTCTCGTCGCTTGAGCCGTCCATAGTAGCCTTTAAGCCTACGCTAGAAATCTGATCTGAACAGGAATATGAAGCTAGTTCGAGGTGTACAGCCTTTCGCTGAGTGTTCCAAGATGAGAACGTACTGATAAAGGTCCTCCGACTTCTCTTCTATCAAGCGTGATAGTGAGCGTTCGAGTTGAAGAAGCGTGGGAACCAGGAAAGAGGTTGAATGTTCAGTGGCACTAGTACTCTATGTGGCGCCTTCGCTAGTCATCTTCTCAAAAAATGTGTGTCATACCCAAAGAACAGATTACAACTACATGGCCAAAAATTCACTCCGAACGTTCAAAGACGTCTCGACCAACCCACGAGAATTGGGTGCTCTTCCGTTCGCTATATCCCCGAGACTCCCCTTGGACTTGATTCCATTCCCAAACAATATCTTGGTCGTCCGAATGGCGACTGAAGGAGCTATTTCTCAAAAGATGCAGTCTATGAGTGAAGGCTGGCGTGCCTTCGAGAGGCTGGGCATTGCTTGGTGAACGTTCAGCTGCTGTGGTAGACGCAGGTTCAAGAGCTGAGGAAATGTCAGATGCTGGCAAAAAGCAGACGATATTAGAGGGGGCCTTAAGGCGTACGTCGATCAAATATTGCTGCCCAATCAAAATAGCGTCGAACAGATTGAATGACCTCCTCTTTCTTGTAGGAACCCGTTTCTTCTTCGCCATCTGCTGGGATTGGCATTGCGATCGGACGGGGTATAATTGGAAGCTTGAGATCATTTAGGCGGGAGTCCATAAGAACAAGTGCTGGTGCATTACTAGGATTCGTGTTAGAAAGAAGGGATGCCAGACCGTGAATCACGTACTTCGAGTTCTGTCTCAGCGAAACGGCACAAGAAAAGGCGTATGCAACCAAGGAGAGATATGCTGGCAGCGTCGGCCTATACTAACAATAAATCATCAAATCATGGCGGGAAAGATTTGAAACCTCACTCCTTAGAGGAGCTATCGTCGAGGAAGTAAGTTGACAAGTCATGCAATACGAGGAGAGATGGGGGCGAGTCTAGAGTTGCGTTGGCAGGATGCGTTAGGTGCTCTTGGGTGTCAGGAACTCGAAGCATAGATAGCATAAACTTCAGGTGTAAAGGTGACGGTATATAACTACGCCAGCACTAGTCAGATTGCAGGTTGGCCTAAGAGACGGAACAAGGCAATGATAACGAACTGTATGTCCACTCTGGACAAAACGTGTGCGACAGCACCATAGCCTCCACACTCGTTTAACCAGTCATCGTTGAGTTCCAGCATTGAACTATACAGTTCCTGACGTGTACGAGAGAAGACGATGATCCTCGTATGTGGTGGCTTGTCAGAGAGGTGCGTGAGGCAGAGATGTATGAGTGCTGAGGCATGAAATGGACCGGTGACGAGGAGGGATTGGAAGTCTGGCAGGACTGGGCTGGGCAAAGGGAAGAAACTGGACATGTCGTCCCAAAGTCATGCATAGTTGATTAGTTAACTAGAAGAGTGTCAGACACAGTAACACAATCAGACGAGGTGGTTGATGTGGCGCACAAAGATGGTGTCGCCACTTCTATATACTTCTCCGATACGCGTCCTTTCGGAAGCAGCCGCCGTCTTCTAGCGTCTTCTCTCCCTTCAACTGCATTCGCCGTGCAGGATATTGGCGTTTGTGCTAATGCATCCGTTCGCGACTTATGTTTTGCGAAGCTACTACAAAGCAACAGGATGGAATGAAGACAACCTCTATGCCAACATCACGCGGTCCTCCAATGGTGCGTACGCTTTCACTGTACTGCTGAGCCGGACAACTCATATATTCAACAGCCATACTTGACTTCACTGTTCCAAGGGGATTGCATTTCTCAATATCGAAATCGCCAAACCCGTTGTTCAAGACAACGTACTCCATGAATGCTTTGCCCTCGCTGAATGGCTCAGTTGGCTACATCTTTACTACCTGTGACCTCGACGTCAAGGGATCGAAGGACGTCCGTTTCAAGGACTTGATCGACCGCTTCAGAGTGTTCGACCAACCGCGGAGACCAGAGGGAAAGGAGGAGGTCTTTTTGGCAGGAGAGAGAATGGATCTTCGCGGTATGTTTCTTCACCGGTCTCACGTTGCGTGCTACTGAAACGACAGGTGACTTCAGACTACCTTCTCTATGGTCGGTTGTACATTCCTACCGGTCGTCTCGATGCATTATATTCGACAAGGATATCTGCCACCCTCCAAGGACTTGTTGCCGCTATATCAGATCCTCGCGCTGATTACAGCCATTCACGAGGCCTTCGTACTGGCGCATCCCCCAGCAACATAATGTTCAGTCTTCAGCACGACACTGGACGCTGGTGTACGGAGTATACGTATAGCGCGGAGGACAGTATGGTCGGTGTGCGCACTCTATACAATTTTGGGAGATTAGGTGCTCCATTGGACTCCCTTGATGAAGGAGAAAAGACCGGAGACTCTTCAAAGATGAAGAGAATAGACGAAGAGGAGGCCATGGAAGGGGGACTCAAGGGCCGAATATCTGCAGGGGCGGAAGTCTACTTCAGTGCTAAGGAAAAGAGTGCCGGAGGTAGGTTCTCCTTCGTCACTTCATATAGTCTTCGTTGACGCCAACTTTTTAACAGTGAGCACCGGCATTCGCTTTACCACACTTCCGGACGCGACACCACCGTCATTCTTGCTAACACCAGAATCCTCTTCATCTGCGTCTTCTCTGCACCACGTTCCTCAAACGCCCTTTGTACAACCTCCAACAACAATCACTGCATTATTCAACCCAATGATGGGACATATATCTGGCGCATATGCCGCTCGGGTGTCCCGCGACCTTTCTCTCTGCTCACGATTTGACTTCAATGTCTACAGTTACGAGAGCGAGTGGACCGTCGGCACGGAGTGGTGGCTCCGGAGGTCGAAGCACAGAACAGCACTTTCTGGCGACAACGATCATGTTGATGTAGCTATTCCTGAGGCTCCGTGGCCAGTCGACGAGGTAACAGGTGTGGTTAAGGCCCGAGCCTCAACATCGAACGTGGGTTTTGCCCTATGACTTTATTTCCTTTTAAATTGCATCTTGATAATTGTTTTTATTATAGGATGTCGCTCTTATGTGGGAGGGTCGGCTGCAGAACATCCTCATCAGCCTCGGTGTTGTATCTAACCTCTCCAGTGGATCGAAGCCGATAAAGTCGCTAGGCCTTGAGGTTTCCTACTTCAGCTCAGGATAGTCTCTTTTCACTGCACTGGAATACCACGAAACTTCACATACTGGCAGTACCATGGCGTTCATCTTTCGAACTGTAACATAATCTCGGCCTATTTGGATTGGAGTGTAGACATCGATCCTTTGTGGCGTTAGACGGCGATGGATCTATAGTACTTTCCCGTTGGCCTGAATTTTGGCATTTAACGTGGGACATGGCGATACCATCTCTCCGATGCACCCGTAAACTTTCAAGCTCCTTGTTAAGCCCATTTCGCACATCAAAAATCAACCGTGACCACATACGATTCGTCGTTGCCGCAACCATTAGACATTAGTACTTATGAGTGTGAACCGATGTAGGGATAAATAATTCGAACGTGAACATAGCGGTAGAGGCATAAGCTAGATCGAGAAAGCAAAAGTAAATACAGCAGGAAAACACGATGGGGCCTACAGCGAAAGGTATTCCTCCATGAGCAAAATGCAATATTTGATCGACATTTTAATCTGACCCTCGCCAGTGAGATTAGATTAGATTTCGTGTCTGAGTGGCACCAGCCTTTCAGCAGTGATCTGCAGCGGTTCTGTACTTATTCTCTTCCATCCTTCACCATGACTGAAGCCGAAGTCAAGGAAAAGAAGAACAAGCCCAAAAAGCGCTTCGTTGGCTCCAAAAGCTCGAAGCCGTCGAAGGCCGGTGTACATCCCGTCATTGCCAACCAAATTCCCCAGGAAATTATCACCGATCCTCTTCTCAACGCGGCCATAAAGCAGCTTCCGTCCAATTACTCGTTCGAGATACACAAAACCATCCACCATGTACGCAAAAACAATGCGACCATGGTTGCTCTCCAAATGCCGGAAGGGTTGCAGATGTTTGCATGCACGATCGCTGATATCATCGAACGGTTCGTCCGTTTTCACTGCGGGCCACAAATACTAAAACGCTCAATTCTTGTCAAAGCTTCACAGATGCGCTCACTGTGATCATGGGAGATGTTACATATGGCGCATGTTGTATCGATGACTATACCGCCGTCGCTCTGGGATGCGATATGCTCGTCCACTATGGTCACAGCTGTCTAGGTCAGCGAAGCTCAAAGACTTGCCATTCTTCCATCCTCTTGACACTTAGACAGTCCCCATGGACCAAACTACCATAAAGACACTATATGTGTTCGTCGAGATTGCCATCGATTCCACCCATCTTGCGCGGTCTATACGTCTCAACTTCCCATCAGATCGCCGCCGCTTTCACGAGACTTTACTCGACTCCGAAGACTCAGACAGTCGCATACCGGCTGGTCGACAACTTGGTCAAGCACGGCACCTTCGAATAGAGGGATCAGATAGCTCTTCGACCGTCCCGTCTGGTTCATCCTCTTCGCACAATGTAGCCTCGTCTCCAGAGCCCACTCGCCTCGCTCTTGTTTCGACCATCCAGTTTGTCGCGGCCCTGCAGCAACTGAAGGAGGATCTGACTTCGGAGTCTCCGGAGGACTTCTCTCATGTGTTGCCTAAGGGCTTGATTGAGGATGGCACCGTTGATAGTGAAGCCAAAGCCGGCACACATCAAGTCAGGCCCTGGACCGGAAAGTATGACGCTACAATACCACGATCGAAACCCCTGTCCCCGGGCGAGATACTTGGTTGTACGGCCCCTAGGTTGGGAGATTCTGACGCGCTCATGTATGTCCTCATACAGTGTCTCTCTAAATGCTGATACCGACGCCTCAATTCTTCACATAGATATCTGGGCGACGGTCGGTTTCACTTAGAATCTATCATGATCATGAATCCAACAGTGCCCGCTTTTCGGTACGATCCTTACTCCAAGAAGCTCACCCGAGAATACTACTCGCACCAAGAGATGAAATCTATCCGGGATGACGCTGTGCAGATCGCTAGGAAGAGCATCGATTCGCTGGCTCATCATAAGTCGTCAGCGTCAGTATCGTCTACCTTGGAGCCAGAAGATCCCATGTGGGGAGTCATCCTTGGTACTCTGGGTCGACAAGGTAGCTTCAAGCAGCTACAGGTCCGTCCATGCCCTTAGATCGTTTGAAAGTCAATCGCTAAACTGCTAACCCCATTTCTTGTTCTAGGCGATCACCGCCCAGCTCACTCAATCCCGCACACCCATCCCTTACATCCCAATCCTCCTCTCCGAACTCTCACCTGCCAAACTCGCACTCTTCAACCCACACATTTCCACCTTCGTACAGACCTCCTGTCCTCGTCTCTCCATCGATTGGGGCTACGCTTTCGAACGCCCTCTACTCAGTCCCTACGAAACGGCTGTCGCGGTGGGCAAAGCCATTGGTTGGATGGATTCTCAGAATGATGGAGAGAATGCAGGGAAGAGCGATGGTGTGTATCCTATGGATTTCTACGCCGCTGGGACGCCATGGGCTGTTTCGCGCACGACAGCATCGTTCTAGTCTATTTTACACATGGACGATCGCTGGAAGATGTACTAGTGCTGGTGTAAGTTGCGAAGAAATAGGAGATGTATGTCCACAGATACTATGGCATCGTCCATTATCATGATCCACAAGGATAAAAAGTATGAAATATCGAGCTGAAAGAAAAGGAAGGGCAGAATCAATGGCGATTAGGCTTGCAACCGGGCGGCAGAGCCGGCCCTGGAGACGCAGTGAAACAGTTATCAAAGAATCTTTCCAGATGTTGAGGTTCCATGGGCCCGCTGACCGAAGCTATGCCTGCCATTGATGAGAATTTTCATTAGATCTTTCAAGCAGCTTTAGTCCAGCAGCGAAACAACTTTTACCTGGAAAATGCCCTGCAAACACCCCGGGCCTCATTATCACCCAGAGATTATCGGCGGCCAACTCCCTGCCTAGCAAGTCCGCAACATTAGGCTGCGGTTGTGCTAACACCCTCGTCGCCCTATCGCTATTCTGCGTCAACGATAGGTCTGGCTCCTCACGCATTGTAGAACATATTCCCGCCGCTTTCAATGCGAGCTGCGTCCGATTTTGCATGACACTCGTATATCGCAGGGCACATTGGGCAACGACGTTATATGGGGCGAGTTCTTGAAGAAGACGGCAAGCAAAAGCAATCCATTCTGAGAGTTCCTCATTTTCGTGATTTTGAGGGTCGGACAGGATGGCGACGGTAAATACGACTGTGTAGAAAAAGAGGGATGTGCGATTGTGAGTAAAATGATGCTTCAAGGTGGGAGATGTAATTACTAGCGGCGTGCACGGCAGACCCAGAGATGGCCCACCAGCGCTGCTGCGTGCGAGGAATCTGTGTTCGAAAGACGTAGGCCATGGATAAAAGGCGTTTACTATGAGAGCACCCAAAAGGACATGTTAGCGACGAAAGGTTCCGTGCTGAAGCGTTTTTTGACCTACCATAACATCAAGCATACTGTCCTTGCGTGTCGATGAAATGCATTCAATTTGATACCCATCTCGTCTCCGCCAGCGCTCTCTTCTGGCCGGATGAAGAGGAATGGTCGCTAGACACAACAGTTAGAGTCATACATGTAGTAGGCGTAGTATTTTCACTACCAGTAATGTCAGTCGAGAGAAGTAAATCTCGATGCTCAGGATTTGATGCTGTGATATTCGTCAGAGTTGTCGTGGGATTAGTAGAAGAAACGTATGTACCTGAAACGAAAGGTAAGGCCGGGCGGCTGCGACTTGTGACGACTGGTATTTTAGAGAGTTCGGAATGTCCCAATCGAAACCACGAAGCTTGTCTTCGTAGTCCATCACGGTGCGATACGTAGGAAGATGGGCTCCGAAACACTCGTCACACATGCGCCCGACCAGCTGGGAGAAGCGCGAGTGAAAGTGAAGATACACTGTCAAAGGAACAACGCATCAATACCAAGTAAACATGGACCGTGATTGAGAAGGGGCAAAACTGACTGGAGTCAGTCGGCTCTTCTATAGGCTTTGCGTTTAGCGGCGATATGTCGAGAATCTGAGACTGATCAAGATTCATAGGAAGCTCCGCATCGCAATGCTGAATTTGACATACGTATGGTTAGAAAAACAGCAATACATAACAAAAACAAGCCCTTACTAGCTCGGAGATGATGTATGGGCACCCAAACTGAAAGGCTTGGAATCTGTCAAGACAAGGTCAAAAAACTCGAGACTCAAGTAAGAAAGTAGGCATACCTATCTGCGATGAACAAGCACCCTACCACCAAGAAACACCACTTGAATATCAGTGCAAGAAAATGTACCAAGAGTGTAATACTCACACCAAACACGTCTCCTCAACTCGGCGTCTCGTGGTCGCATGTGCCAGACATTCAACCCGTCTCGATGCATACCCACTACGATTGAACTTTTTGTATCAATACCTGCACATGATATAAAAAATGAAGGTCGACGGACAGGTTTGCGCCATCCTAATACCAAGGCCTGCATATCAAGGATTCAGTCTTAACCAGTTTGTACTATCTTGCGCTGATTCGGTACATGGTGGAGCTCACATAGTATATAGTAGCTCTCGCCTACTTTGCCTTCGTTCTGTACCAGGTCATCGGTGAATGACATCTTGTCTCACCAGAGAAAAGAAACACGAACCCATTGATAGATTGCATATAATAGAACCATCTGTATGCGCTCTATCGAGGACACCGGCGGATCTGGAGCTGTGAGCATAACCGATCGCACAAAGACGAGTAGTTTTTGTTCGAGAACATGTCGACCTGGTTCATATTCCGCGAATATCTCCTTCTGAAGAGTAGCAAAACATAAGAATATTTCTGGAGAAGGCTTGAGCATCAAGGTCTAATGTCACCTACATCATCATCACTTTCCGGAAGGAACTGTAGCGCTAAAGCACAGACTATCGCCACACAAGACGAATACTCGATACTCGGTGGTATAGGTGCACCAGCCTGAAACGTGCGATAGCAAAGTTCGAATGATGGTCTGTTGATGACAGGCCAGATCCAGTGGACCGAACTGTGGTCGAAATAGTGGGATATAAGGAAGGACATAATCTTCTCACTGGGGAAGTTGTTGCGCAAATCAAAAAGGGACGCAGAACCAGTCGTAGGCAACATACGACGTGCCTGCAGAAAGGATAGGTGAGACGACGGCAGTCTAGAACTAGGGTAGATGCCTACACTTGCAAATAGATCACAATCTGGTGAGTCGAACGAATGGGAATGTAACGGTGTAGCGTCCGATATCTGTGAAAGTTGGCCAAGCGCCGTCGCTGCAACTCCTACAGCTTCCTCTGTCATTTCGCAGCTTTCTGCGGAGAGGTCTGTGACCACACCAGATGCGTAGCGCGCTTGTACAGAGTGTAAAAGCGAGTTTAGTCCAGCTACCGCGGTAGGATCTAGGCTGTTTAGTGTGTGTGAGATGATGCTTTCTAGTTCAAGTACACGTTCATTGACTTCGCCAGGTGGAAGGGCAAATGGACTAGGAGTTTCCGTTGGTTGTAGCTTGACAGGGCTTTCTCTGAGATTTCCGTTAGCGACAAACTCTTTACGGAAGTATATTGAGATGATGAATGCTCACGAGTTTCTCGCATTCTTCTTGGGTTCTTGATATGTGCAGGATTTGGCAGCGCCTCGGCTGACGCTAAAGAATATCGTCCATGGACCTTGCGATAGACATTGAAAAGGAGTGACGTAGGACCTACCATCTTGAACAAGGTTGACCACGGTCACACTATCATCTCTCTAATATGAGTGGCAGCGAACCAGACGGATCTGGGAGCCTCGGCTTAGTAGCGCACCTGTTGTTTCCTCCTATGACAAGCTAACAGCATCCACCAGGAGTCAATCTATACAGTCAGATGGCGAAAATGAAGGCCGCACGCACGTTCGCAACTCCTACGAATTCGAGCAACAGATACAATTAAATTCTGCTAAGACCACAGTTACTGAACGATATGGGCGACTCACAAGACCGTTCTGTTACGCTTCCTCTTTGACCGATTCGATTCCGAACCAGTTTCGGCGATAGGGGTTTCGTGGGGAGAAGATGTGACCGTTGAGCTGCTCGCCTCGTTGGCAATGCCCTCTGTTATCACCGACGTCGGTGTTACATTCTCAGTGCTAATGCATGAGCTCGAGCTGGACCCAAGTGCTAATGGAAATTCGGGGGACTCCATAAGACGTGCAAAGTTCAAGAAAGCCGCCGCCGACGTTGACGTTGTGGAGAGCTTTACTACAACGCACAGTCTCTGTAATCACTGCAGCGACGGCGCTGCGACTCAGAAAGGATGGTTCCAAAAAGACGGCTCGGCACAACCCGGTTCCGATGTTATCGGGACACTTGTGCCACTGTGGCCCTCCATGCTTCTCAGTGATCCTTCAAACCAACTTCAAACCACTCTTGACTTGCCAACAATAATGGATTATCACTGAGATACCCGGAGTCGTACATTAATGCGGGGAAAAAAGTGTCGATGACATGGTATATCAAAACTTCCAGACCTGCCCCGGTTTAAATCCCAGCTCAGCCAATACACCACCCACCGCGCCCTGCGAGTAATTACGACCGTACGGGCCAGCGATCGCTGTAATCATTCTGTTGAGCGTATAATTAGCCATAGAATCCAATAGAGTAACGTTAATAAACGTACGGTTCTGGTCCACACACAAGAACTACAACATTCTTCTGTTGGAAGTTGTTTTCCTTGACAGGATAGCCCCAAAGGAATCGCTTCCACCACGGACCAGCGGACGAGTCGGACGATTGTCCAAGAAAGCGTTCGATGCCACTCTTGTTGATCTGAGTGACTTGAAGATCGTATGCCGGTGCTATCTGCCCCTCCATCGAATCGACGAAGAGGCCGATCCGAAGACGTTCTGGATGTTCTTTGGCTACGTCAAGGAGAGGTTGTAGCAGTTCCGGTGGTGGAAGTTCTGCAGGGATTTTCGAGGAGTGCAACAGTGTAAACCGCGTATGGGATGGTTTGGCAGAGTCCCGGAGGAGCTCGTAGTGCAACAATTGATAGAAGGGCGAGAAGCCGGTTCCGCCTGATATCTTCCGGTTCTTGAGCGTTGGAGCAAAAGTACTTGAAACAGGAGACGATACGCACCATAACCACCTCATCAAATGTTTCACGGAGGTGGCGGAAAGTAGTCAACGGGCCTCGAATTTCGACAGTGTCGCCGACGCGTTTAGAATGCAGCCACTTTCCTACTTCACCTCTAGGATACTTCTTAATCCAAAATCTCATGTTCCCATTCTCATCAATGCCCTCGAGTGGAGTATAAGGGCGTTCCACTTGGATATCGTCATCTTTGATGAAGATCGACCAAATGGGGTTGAGCAAGGTAGCATCCGACGACCGAGGAAGCGATGTGCGGGGGATGTTCAAGACGATAATTTTTGCATTTGGACCAGCAGACTCGGTGGCGGTGAGGGTGACTGGCGTAAAATGTGATGCAGAGATGGGAGTGCCGCTAGATGTAGGTGCCGAGCGAGATTTTGAAGGCCAGAGAAAGTACGCAGCAACGACGCCGGTAACAGCAGTGAGCGTCAACACAGTTGGTGCTCGAGAAGTCTGCTGCGATGTGGCCTTCTCTGAAGTAGGAGTAGAAAGGCGGCGTAGCCGAGGGACGTGGGAGGCTCGTGCATACAGATTCGTAGTACGTGACCTTCCACAACGAAGCAGGCGTGAGCTATACATATTCCATAGAGTCCGAGGCGTTGAGTGCCAAATCGGGTCGCACTGGAAGCCTTTGCACAACAGAACCAAATAAACGAAAGCGGTGGCGTTCGACGAAGTCCGTGTTGGTTTGCTTCTCAGTACTCTCAACAGCCTCTACTCCAACAGCATCTTGCTATACCCAGACATCCTATTACTATTCATCGCCACTACAGCAATGGTCTACATCCATCCTATCTTTCTCGCCAGCCCTTTCACTCTTTTCGGCACGAGGAAACCCGACAATTTCTACGCCGACGTTCCTTCAACTAGCGCGACAGCCACCTCCTTCCTTGACATACTCACTCCAGACGCACCCGCCAGCTTTATGAATCATCTACTTCATGACGCCCATCTAGAATCTTCTGCTCTTTCTGCTCTTCAGCTTCGCTCAGAAGTCGAGACCGTCAGCCTTCTCAGTCGAGCTCATGTATCCTTCTCTCACGTCCCGACCTCCGCGTCTCTTGCTGGACTTGGTATCTCCTTCGAGAGCATGTCCTCTCCTCATCTGGCCTCACTCGATTCTTCTACTCGCTCTCCCGAAGCTCTCGGTTCCTCGTTCCTTTCACTGGATGGTTCGTCTCCGCTCTTTCCCTCGCCTATGGGACATCCCATGCTCGGCGGTCAGCTCTGGACTCCTGATGCCAGGCCTCCGCTATCAATTCTGTCCCAAGAACTATTGGGCAACCCAATCACGCAGAAGGCTGACATGGATCTTTCGACTTCATATACTTCTCCAGCGTCTTTCATGTCCCTCGACTTTGCGAGCTCCGTGATTGGTCTATTCCCAGATTTTACTGCGTACGATACCGCCGCACTCGCCGCGGAAACCGCTATCCTTGTGCTTCCGCCCCACTTGTCCTCGATCACCCCACGGGATCAGATCCACATCTATAGTTCAGCACATTCTCAACACAGCGATATTTCGCGTTCGAACGGGCCCGAGCATTCCATGCTCGACATCATCGATGCCTTCCCGCGAGTTGACAGCCTCGAACCTTGAAGAACTGAGGTCCGACGCTTCTTGCTCCTTTCAAGCCCCTACGTCAACCATAATCGCTTGGGTTGGTAGCTGGGATATATTTGGGATATGTGGAGGAATGCAAGGAATCGACGTATTTGTGTAAGATCACGACGGTGAGACATGTGTCAGTCTAAACGAATTTTAATTATGGTACTCATCAAGGACTTTGCCTTCGCTCCATAGAATAACTCTTACTATCGTGGGCCTGTTAGTAGGAGATCATGTGCAAGGAGAATGTCGCAGAGGGGCACTTTAGGGCAGCGACATGAGATTTATGGTTCTGGGACGACCATAGCCTATTCTGAGGTAGGTAGCTCATGATCCTGGCCTGAATGACCCGTGCTCATCCTCACAGCACAGCGTTTGGTGCTCGTTGAGCCACTAGGCTCATGGGCGACTGCGAATGTCACCCCAGTACACAACTGATCCTCCGGGACGTGATGGGTACATGTTGATCTGTCTGCAGACCACAGGTGGTATGTGCATGTTCTTCTTCTGCTTGGAGCACATCTGATATCCTTGCGTGTAGGTTGGGCATCCGAGCGTTTATAAATTGATTTATTGATATTAAGACATAAGCTTCAGTCTTCAATGAAATGTGGGTGTTACCTATGATAGATTTGAGTGAGACGTCCGCAAACTTCGCTCGAGTGGTCGAAGTTAGGACGAGTAGAGAGGAGCCATAGTGGTACCGGGAGTATGGCGGGCGTCAGCCGATGACGTTGAATCGTACCTCGTGGCACCACGTCGTTGCCTTGGTCTTCTCCCCCGTTTTACCTTCAAACGCAACCCTATTTGCACCTCCGTTGCGAACTTGAGCAGGTCACTCGTGAAAGCACTCTTGAGTCTTGACGAACGATGCATGTCAGCTGACCGTGAACTGGGTCCTGCATTCAATAGGCGCGGATTATTTGCTTCTGGTTGTACTTCAAGCTAGTCTACAATAAATATCTTGCAGGGGACCGAGTGGAACGCTCGTGGCGAGAGTGGCTGGACGCATGGACATGTTCTTGACCCTGCTGCGAGACGTCGAGGGCAGTCTTCCGATGGACTCCACGAGCAAGACCCTCATCTCGCCTACAGGCGATGAACGAATAACCCGGCGCTTCTCGATTACTTCCGCTTAGCGAGGGTATATAACTCAGTTGCTTTGCTTCCGATCTGAGCATCCGTCGCCCACACTCCCTTCTTTAACACTTCGCGACTCGTCTCTCAACCACACTTCTCACGATGTTCACTGTCCTCGCACCTGTCTTCCTCGCCGCCTCCGTGTTGGCTTCACCCGCACTCATAACGCGCCAGACGCCTGCTGGCTGTCAGAGCTTCCCCACCGACGGTGCTTGGAATGTAGACAACTTCACCCTCTCTGCCTTGCTCGAGGACGACACCCAGAAGCCTCTTGCTCTCAGCGGCAATGATACCACTTTCACGCTTGCCGTGCGTTGGTTCTCCTGCTTGTTCAAAGAAATTGTGCTGATCTTCTTCTATCTTGAAGACGACCGAGAGCATCTCAAGCCCCCAGGGTACCAACTTCACCATGGTCTCATCCGCCGTGACCGCTCCTGTTATGAGCAACAACGACGTCGCGAAAGCCGCAAACACAGTCACGGACGGCGGATTCTTGACGTTCGCTACGTCACAGGACGACTCGGCGTCTGCTGTTGATTCATACTGCGAACTCGTGCGTTCATCTCATTCGTCCACGGGGCCTTAACACTAAGTTAAATCTCTATTAGTATAACACCGACCCCAATGGAAGCATCTACCCCTATCCCCTCCTCGCTGTCAACGGTTACGCAGACGGTTTCTCCCTCTGCGATTCTACCAACGACAGCCAGGTCAACGTCGTCTTCAACGCGTCTCAGGATGCCTCCAGCACCGGTTACGACTACAGCACGTGTGTTCCGGTCCACCTCCTCATGGTCCAGGACGAACAGTAGATCGCGGGATTACGCCATGATTTTCAGTTTTGCTTTCGATTGGCTCGCTTGCTTCATACGGTCGCGTTCCAGACATTTTCTGCAGAACTTTCGAACTTTCAAACCTTAGGACCCATTGCTTTCAGTGTCCGTCCGTCATACCATCTTCCACTCTTTTGCGATCTGTCGTACGATACTACTTCTCTTTATTCATTCTGGACTTCCGTGTTGTTGAATGTACCAAGACTGCTCGAATTAGGAGCGTACGCGGGAAGTGTGTATCACACTCAATCTCCTCGGTTGTACGCTCTATCCATGGCAATGGAAACACGGTTACCGACTGAATCGATCAGGCGTCACCGTGGCCTTACGAGTCCTCAACCGAGTGTTGGCGTTCAATTTCGACAACTTACAGCGGTTTGCAGAATCGTAGTCGCACCCAGATTTCTCGCGGAGAAGCCTGTGCTCCACTCGGAGCTGTCTCCGGCAATTCCGACGGGCCACTCTACACGGGGCCACAGTGCTCGTCCTCGAGCCAGCCTCGATGCTGCCACTTAAATATTGGGTTTTAGGACTGTGAGTGTGTCAACAACACACTAGAATCACTTGTACGATTTTTGAGACGGAGATATCTCGAAACATTGCTTTACAGTGGAGGGTGGCCCACCGCCAGAGGACGGTGGTCGTGGCGCTCACAACCTGTTATGGGAGTCGGTTGCGTCAGAAGAAGCCGCAAGCCCCATCGCAGAAAAAAGCGACTGCGACTACGATTCTGCAAATTGCTCTAAACGTACCGATGCTAGCATTTACATAAGAGAATCGAAGGGCGAGAGTTCAGAGTTGATGTGCAACCATCAAGAGTGATATTGGGATCATTTTACGACCACACAGACGTTGGACGTTCAAGGGTTTTAGTAAGTAGCAGTCCTAGTGATAATGCGCAGAACAAGAAGAGTGGCGCAACTTGAAGCTTCGACGCCAATCAGCCTTGACTCGGACTCTGTGCAAACTTTCGCTCTCTCTATATTTCCCTCCATATAATGCGCTTCACAATTAGCGATATTCCCTCCCGTGCGCCATACACGCAGCTATAACGACTGCACATGATACCATACCCATACGAATCCCGGAGGGTTAAATTTCCGGAGAGATTTCTTGGCGTCGAAGCTGAGACACGCGGCTGCGAGGAGGAAGAGGAAGGGGTCGGGAGCGAGTTTGCGAGACTTAAGGCGTTTGTCGTCAACGGCGATGATGACTAGTAGGGGAGTGATCGATACCGACGTGGACCAGCAGCTGTAGGTAAACGACCTTGCACCGGATGTGGAGACGGCGTCGGAGTGGGGGACGGGAAATGTGGCGAGGTTTGGCAAGGGTAAGAATGCTAGGGTTGAGCTGAGGCCATGCTAGCATGTTGAGTAGCCACAGTGACAAGGTCGGGTCAGGCTTGGGGGCGGACGTTCCAGAGTAAGTATATGGCTATCGGGGAAATCTGGTTGACAACCTGGAAGGGTAGGAACGGAGCGCTCAGCGCCCGCTGCCTCGAGCTTTCGCGCCTCGTTCATTTCCTCCATGACCTCAAGACTAGGCATCTCGAAGCCGCAGCGATGGTCTCCTCTATCATGATGGTCGCCTGTAGGTCGTTGTGCAGGACTTTCCGTTAACTGATGAGAAAAGAGCATGCCGTTCAGACGGTCTGAGCAGGAGAAATGGTGCCCACAGACGAGTCTAGGAGCAACGGTGGCCCCAAAGAGGAGGAGGAGAAAACTGACGGGGAGATGAGGGCGTTGTAGCATCAGAGTTGAGGAAACCGGGTGGCATAGAAGAGCCCTTAGAGTCCTCATGCTATGCGCATTACAGGCGTCCGCATAATAGAGGTTTGAAGCCTCCAAGGCTGAACTTCACCATTCATCTCGTGCGACTTGATGAGAAGTTCTCAGTGTGTGATGGTTGTCGACGCAGCGCGTTCACCGTCGGTTGAGTCGAAAACGAAGGTAGAGTCCTGCTCGATGTCTTGAGGGGTTTTCTCAAGGGGTTCCACTGCACCCATTGAATCGGTGAGAGTACAGTCCATACCGAAGACGGCCGCATCAGCGCTAAACGAGGTAGAAAGCATGACGTGGCAGGAGGGTGTGCCATGAACAAGGCTTCGCGGCCGAGGGTACAATATGGTCACAGGCAATGGAGGTTGAAAATTAGTGACTCGCCATGAGGCGCACTTCTTGCGATACGACTCGGGGAGTACTTCCAAGCCCAGCCAACCCTCTCTGTAACAAATGTAACAAGAGGCTCTCAAGTCTCAGGTCTAGGTAAATTTGAATCGTACGTCGACGGGATACATGAGTGTCGAGCGTCGAAGTATTTCTGCAGAGGTAGTGCGAATATATAGAGCAAGGAGTCCTGAGTGGAATGTCCAAGATGCTTCGCAAAGCGAGGAAATACTGTAACTTACTTGGGCTGACGGGCAAGTCAGAGCCTGAGGCTCGTCCGCGCATGATAACCTTATTCGACCATTTTGTCCACGATGGCGGGCACGGCCGTTTTACAGGCTAGTGATTAACTGAGCAGTCCAAGGAAAGAAGAGAAGGAATCATATGTCTCAGCAGGGAGGTTTGGAAAGCTCGTCATGCGCGCCTTCGGAGTCTCGTCTTCCGCAAAACAGGCGCAGCGGAAGGATGACTTGCAATTGCTGCCAGGTTAGCCGACGAATGAAGATCAAGCGACCTGCTCGGAATGATGTCAACGAGACAAGAAGCGAGTGCCGCAAGTGCCGCAGTAGTCCAAGCGCAAAGCAACTTAGAGCAGTTCAGCGACGGTTGAGTGGCGAAGAAACTTAAAGTGAACTTGGGGAAACGGCCGCGGCCACGTTCGGTTGAAAATGACGTCACATAAGACACGACTTCGCAAGTTGTTCCTTGTCACCAGTCGGTCCCTCTGCTTGTAGTGGACGAGGATCTCCCAGGATGAAACACGGATTTATCTCAAGGCACGAGGGATTCTTCGGGCTTTTGCTATGGACAGATTGTGGGGCCGGACTTTGGAAGTACCCCGCATGAGCATCCGGACTGCTTCTTCCTCACACCCCACGGGGAACACACCACAAAGCCCTCGTGTCATGGGACCACACGTTTGTTTTTTCAGCCCATAGCGCAATATTGAAACATATAAAAGATATGGGAGTCTCTCTGTACGCTCTACGCGTGACTTCTTAGCGCTTCTTACAGTCCTCTTGACTTCAGTTCGACTCCAGTGGATTTTCAGGCAACCGATACACAAGGTATGGTTTGACGGTACCGCGTCTCTGATATGTCTCATGACCCGACACTACATGATCATTCCTTTGGTAGGCAATCGAGAGAGGCGAGCCGTTCCGCTCTCACCGTAGCGCGCATCTATAATACGTTCGTAGCAGATTCTTATGCTTCGTGAGCCCCACTCATCATCACAGCTCCCTAGACCTTCTAGTTTAACGTTCCACGACATGGCCAACATTAACGAGAAGAAACTACAGTCCGAGAACAAGCATGTTGAAAACGTCGAGGCTGAGGCGCTGTCGCCCGATTTTGAGCAGGAGATTATCTCTTATGCCCCTCGCCTGCGAGGAAGATCCTTGACGATGATGCTGGCCTTCGTGGCTGGTACAGGTTTTACTCTGTTCGGGTGCGTATCATGACCTCCCTACCGCTACTAACCACAAGCGACTGAACCATCTTGTATAGGTACGATCAGGGTGTCATGAGCGCCCTTCTGACCGCCCCACAATGGGAAAAGGTCTTTCCCCAGACTGTCACATCGGACGAACACCCAAACCATGCTACTCTTCAGAGCTTCATTGTAGCTATCTACGTGCGGCTGTTTCGATATTTTCAGGAAATCGAACGGCACTTACCCCCTCACAGGAGATAGGCTGTCTCATTGGCGCTCTCTCAAACCTTTGGGTTGGAGACAAATTGGGCAGACGGAAGACTATCTTTGTCGGCGGAGTCATCATGATTATCGGTGCCATATTGCAGGCTTCATCGTTCAGTTATGCTCAGATGGTAGTGGCACGAATTGTCACGGGCTTTGGGAATGGTCTTAACGTAGGTCACCTACTTGTCTCACCCTCAGCCTTCGATGCTCACATTATCAGCATCCAGACCTCAACTGTACCCGCATATCACGCTGAATGTAGTGCCGCGGAACACCGAGGCGCCTACATTATGATAGAGGGAAGCTTGATCACTTTCGGTATCATGGTTTCGTGAGTACTCGTTCATCTCGCACCTCAAGTAAATTTGACGCTGACATCTTCTCTTAACTTTAGATATGTAAGCTCGTGTCTTTCTTGTTGGAGCCGCTTTATGTTAATTCCTGAACTCAATCCGGAAGTGGATAGACTTTGCGCTGTTCTGGGCCGGTAACTCGTCTGCACAATGGAGGGTCCCCATTGCACTCCAAATCTTCTTCGCCCTCGTTCTTATCTTCGGCGTCACCCTTTTACCAGAGTCGCCGCGATGGCTGGTCAGTTTTCATCTCGCATACTTTCGTTTCCTTCTTGCTGATGGGCTTTCCATATAGGTCAAGCATGGACGTGACGCAGAAGCACTCGCCGTGATCTCAGCTTTAGACGACAAACCTCATGATGATGCAGAGGTCCGGCGTGTGTACCACGGTATTCGCGAAGCTATCATGATTGAAGGTGACGACAGTGGAAAGACGAGTATGAGCGAGCTTTTCCACAATGGACCGAGCCAGAACTTCCGTCGCGCAGCGCTCGGAGTCATCGTACAGTGCTTCCAGCAAATTACCGGTAGATAGTTCTCCAGCTCTTTTTCTCTCTCTCTGAACACGTCTAATCGCCTGTGTGATGTAGGTATCAATCTAATTACTTACTACGCTGTAAGATCCGATTTCCTTGTGTCGCCACTTCCATCACTGATCTAGAGCCCCGCACAGACACTCCTCTTCGAACGTCTCGGTCTGGACGACGTCAAGTCTCGTATCATCGCAGCATGTAATGGTACCGAGTATTTCATGGCTAGCATTATCGCCATTTTCCTCATCGACCGCGTGGGCCGTCGCCCACTCATGCTATGGGCTGCCCTCGGGCAATGCCTCACCATGGTCCTGCTGGCCATCCTCGGGGCTGTCGACAATTCGGCGACACAGATTGTGTCTGCTGTGCTTCTGTTCGTCTTCAATTCATTCTTTGCGGTTGGATGGTTGGGAATGACTTGGCTATACGTGAGTCTCACCACTGTGGCTCAGCGCCGACTCGACGCTGACCCCCGACTTCTTATGTCAACAGCCTGCTGAAATCGTTGGCCTCCGTATTCGTGCACCAGCTAACAGTCTAAGCACGTAGGTCTCCATGTCATTTCATGCTCGTTATTTCCTTGCCTCATCATCCCCTCGTATTCCATGTCATCCCGGGGAAAGCGCCATGAATTGGACTGCCAATTTTTTGGTGGTCATGATCACCGGCCCATCCTTTCAAAATATCGGTTTCTACACCTATGTCGGCGAGTGTTACGATCTCACTCTTAATTTCCCTTGCAAGGAACTGACACCTCACCCCTTTCCCCACAGTTTTTGCCGTGCTGAACGCCTTTATCATCCCCATTGTGTACCTTTTTTTCCCAGAAACTGCTGGGCGTTCATTAGAAGGTAAAACTCCTCTGTGCTGCGTTGAATCTGACCTTTCGCGCCAGTCCTACGGCTGACCAGTACAATCCCTCCTACTAGATATGGACCTTATTTTCGCTATTGCATATCGTGAGGGCGTTTCTCCGGTAGGAGTATCGCTCCGCAAAGACCTCCCTATTGCTGGAACACCAGAGGCCGATGAGATTCTGGGTATCAAGCGCACCACGCCACAGAACGAGAAGGAGCCCACCGCTACGCCACAATCGGATTGAGACAAAGGGGGCGTAACATTATCATGAATTTTCTTATGACAGCGATGTGTGTGTGTGTTAGATATATCTTGTACAATTAGATCGTATGCTCTCTTATCTGAACATGTTTTGTTTTGAGTTGACCGGTCATCTTTGGAGGGTTGCGCCACAGCGCCACTCTCCTGGCCCGGCATCTGCCGGCCTTTGTCGATTCACCGTTCTCACCAAGCACTCGGCCGCGGGGAAGTGTCTGCCACGGAACCAACTTGGAACCAACACAGAACTGATACCGGGACCACTTTGAACACTCGCTCTCGCCACCTCTGCAACATGGCGAATGTACGTCTCCGACCGGACCGGCGCGTTGTGTTCAAGGTATGTGTTCGAACGTGACAAAGGGCAGTGCAGTTTCAGTAATTGTTCACCGTTAACACAAGGTAAGGCTGGTTCTGAATAAGTATATAGTGTCTAGTACTTACCGTAATCTCTCCACCAATACATTGAATTATCCTTCCAACACTACATTACTGATCATGTCATTGCCCCTATCTTATCACCTTGCACTCAGATTTTTGGACTTTACCCACCAATATGGTTTATTTCCTTGTTTTTTGAGGCATGGGCGGCTCGACGCTGCTCATCTACATACGTATGGTACACTGTGTTCTACAACTCGTCTACAACACGATTGTGGGGCTCCGTTACTCAGCCCAAAAGATCACCTCCTTCGACAGAGCAAGCCCAAATACATGGATGACCGAAAGTAAAGCCTGTCGCATCGACACCTGACGCCACAGTGATGACTAAATGGGCCTTGTTCAGCACGATGGAGAAAAATACGAGAGAAAAATATGAGTGAGCACAAAGGTACACACTTTCGTCACAGGAGTTACTGATATCTGTGCGCCTTGAAGGGATAACGAAGCAAGGACATTGCTCAGGTCTTCTAATGGAGGGATTGGTGGGCTGAAGATGTCTATTATACTGTATGCATCAGTAACTGCATCACAAAAAAAACACGAGAAAGCCTCTTGCCGGCTGAAGGATCTGCGGGCTCATTGGTAGAGTGCTCTGGATGAGCAAATGAGACGTATCTGGTTTTCTCCAGAAGGGGCTTGCAGGTTTCTATAGGGTGCCAAGTATATTCTTCCTGTGGATAAAGAATAAAACGAGGCTTCAGTTGCTTTCAGGAAACGGTGGTAATGTACGTACTGGATCTGCGAGGTAGGATGGTGCGTATTCGCCCTTGTATCGCATCTTCTGGCAGCTCTGGATGTAGAAGCCTACCTTGTCGTCAATACACACAGCCAAGCGCTCCGGAAAAGGTAGTGCTGACCCATATAGAGATATCCCATATGTTTCGCACCAGCTTCACGAATCTCCCGCGCCAACGATGCCTCCCTAAGAGCACTGATCTTGCCACCAATGTTAGCATGGCCGCTGGTACCTGAAAGATGAAAAGCCTTACTTTCCCGAGAGAGAACTTCTCGAAACGTTTCTCCCACATGAAGTACACGCTAGAGACGCAATTCGGAAGGATATCGATGACACCCATCGCAATCAACTCGCCATCTAGACGATAAAGCTGCAAGGCAGAGGCCGCTGAGAAACTATGGATCCAAGGACAGGAAAGATTTACAAACTTGGTGATGCGCGCCGTAGTGTGTTGGTAAGTGACTTGGTGGTGGTGACGAGTACGGAATCTCTTCCCTCTAAATCAAAGTGTTATAGCTCAGTGAAATCTCCGTTGAGATCGAAGTGAGGGGGCGACATACAACGAGTGGCGTGTCCACGAGAAATCTCCGAAACCCAGAGGGTTTTGTCTCATCCTTCTTGTGGATATGCTTTTCGTATGACTGGAACAGCGCGAACTTTTCCTCGGTAAAGCTTGAGGGTTCAATCGTTACCTGCGTAGTAGCAACCCTTTTGTTACTTAAACGTGATCAAAAAAAGAGATTCAAGACGGCCAATACCTCGAATTTATGAGCTGGGTCGATCCCATCAGTGATGAATGAGGTCTCCGAAGCATGTACGAGTGAGACGAAGGACGCCGGCGGAGATTTGTTCGGTGGTTTATTAGGCGTCTTAGTCGACGAGTTACCACTAAATAACTCAAAACATCAGCTGCTTGGTGAAGGGCCCTGTTTGATGCATGAGGCCTACACTGAGGTACCCACAGCATCCGTGCCATTATCGTCCTCGCCATAGATGATGTGTTTGTTCCATCTGAACAAACCCGCCAGACGTCAGTTCAAGTCGCCACAGCGAGCAAACAGTGCCACTGCATCACCTACCGATTCAAGAGCTTCCTCTGACTTTTCGAAGGCTTGAACTCAAGAGCATCCAGCCTGAGAATCAAATATAAGGCTGTTAATTTTCTATGCGATGAAAATGCTGCTTGATTTGCCTACCGGATAGTATATTGAGGACAGCAACTCCTCTTCAGATCAGGTTTATAGCAATATTCCCCGGACCTCCTCCAGCCCCGATCGATCATCTTCTGGTACACCTACAGGGCCGCAAATGAAGACACCATCATAAGGGTCATGCGTAATGATCACTTGAGATTTCTCCAAACGAAGGACCTACGTCGCAGGACAACTGAATCGGTGTCAAAGCAGCGGTGTGGTAGCTCGTCTCTTCTTCGCTTCTCTCACCTTGAGGACTGCAATATCCACAGGTGGACTGATATGGTCCATGAGGATATACAATAGACAGTATACTGGACATGTTAATAGTGTTCGCGGTCGAGCTCGTTAGTGGCTGGTGAGACAGATCTGGTGGCGTGAGGGCAAACCGGCGGCAAGATGAACTTGACGATGCCTCAACAAAAGCCGGCCGTTTCCGGTATTCGCTGTCCAGGGTGACACGAATTTGTGGCGCGAATTGAAGGAGTGACACTGATGTGGCGTCTGTTCCGAAGCTGAATGAAAGAAATATCCAGAAGGTATACGAGACGGTACAACATACATATTATCATGGGGATTACTAGTTATACACGTGAGTGCGATAGGTAGGTCAAAGCAAGTGTATATCCAAGACACAACGAGTGATCCAGACGGAGAAACATGTAGACGATACCATGGCCATTGAAAAAAAACGATCCTCGATAAAGAGTGAAGGAGGCATGTAGGAAAGGAAGAGAAAAATGCAAGCAGAGTAAATACCCATGGCTGTACCATCAGATAGACAAAATAGAAACAACGGAAGAAAGAGACACGAATGCGACGACAAGCTAACCCCACCCATCCCACCTCCCGAACCGTCTAAACTCTTGTAACACACAATCTCGACTCTCCTTCTTCTCCTTCTCGCCCTCTCTCCCCTTGCCCTTGTCGGCCCTTGTCGTGAACGACGACCCACTAGTCGATCTCGGTCTTGGGGTGTGCATAGACCTGATACTAGGTGGTGAGAGGGGTCTCGAAGCAGACGAGGGTGATGACGATAGACTGGCTCCAGAAGGTGTCGAGGACGAAGACGCAGTAGATGCGTTTGGAAGCGACAAACGATACCATCCGCCCGTGTATGTCAGTGCGATGAGCTGATGCTCTACAGCTCCGGAACCAGACGCCACACCACCGTCCGGTGTGGTGTGATGCACTATCCATCCAACGGCGCATTTCTCCTCCTCTGTGTCTGTTTCAGACGGTTGTCTCGGCGATGTCTGTTGCGATAGTGAGATGTGCGCCGACTGCGTTGGTATCCGAAACTGTGCGTAAGACCATTCAGAGTCGAAGTATCTCGGGAGAGGGAGGTACGATGTTAATGAGGAAAGGGTAGATTGTCGATTCCTGCACGGTCAATGAAAGCATTTTGAGGGACAGACGGTCAATATAAGATGATCAAATGTAACTTACGAAGTCCCAGGCCCGACATTAGAGAGAGCGAAGACATGTATCGTCCCCTTGTCACTCCACACACAGATCTGCGTTTCATCCGGTCTGAACGCAACCCCATAGATCTCCGCCTGATCCGACCCTCTCCTAAACTCCCTCAGCTGCTTCCCCGTCGCCGTATCCCATATTCTCACCAACGTCCCCCTCAACGACGTCGTGGCCAATAACCTGCCAGAAGGCGGAACGGAGAGCGTCGTAAGCGCAGTATTATGGGCCACAATGATAGAGTGCGGGAGTTTGGTTGGTACATGTTGTGATGGCGGTTTAGTCTTGGCCTTGGCCTTGGATCCGGAAGGGCGGGAGTAAGAGGAAGGGGATGTATCCGGAGGGGGCCCGACGGGTTCTGGTGGACGGCACGGGGGTAGATGAATGAGTTGTACGTGGCCCGTTTGGCGACCTGGGACTGCGAGGAGGGTGGCGTAGGCCCCGGTTGCGATGGCGAGCAGACCTTGGTGAACGAGACGGGGTAGTGCGTCAGTCGTCTGTGGAACAAGTATACCACAGGGATGAAGTCGTCAATGAGGAAGACGACTACCGCTGTGTCTATATGACCATCACTCCGTCCATCGAGAGGCTAGGAACGCTGGAATGGGAAACAAAGAGAACCTCGACTCACCTTTGGGATTATCGCAAGTGTCCCATTCCCCATACCTAGTTACCACCTCTCCTACTTCAAACGCAACTACCCGTCTCCGTAGAGCAACAGCAAGCCAACCTCTCCGACACGCAACCCCACGGACCTTCTCCCTGAACTCCAGTTCAGCCACCTCCTGTCCTGAAGGCTCATCCCACAGAATGACCTTATTTGGCGGATATCGTGGACTTCGCCCGCCACCCAAAAGAAATAAGAGAGATGATGAATGGAGAGGTACGGCCGCTGCGAGCGTTCCGCCTGTTACTTCTATTGAAAGTGTGCGACCAAGTATCAGACATTCCGCGTCCTTGTGTGAATGTGTATAATATGAGCTGCATTTACCTCGTTTGCGAATCAGTTCTAGAGGACATGATCTATACACTGCGAATCCCGCAGGCGTCGTAGTCGTGAACACATTGCAATCGGCATCAAACTGGACGTTAAAGAGCTGGACAGGGTTCGTTGCGGTGATGGAGTGACGGGCTAGGTTCATTGGGCCTGCGAGCCTTCCGTTGCAGATAGTGGAAGCAGAGAGTCAACCAGGCGACTCTACTAGTAGTAAGCAGCAACGGATAGTAGGTAATAAGTAGAGGAAGCTCGTGGTAATCGTGGTGGTGGCCCAGAGGCAGCAAGTAAGGCAGCGTCGCGTGAGGCGCGAGATTGGCGCGAGTGGCCTGAATGAGTTGATTGACTTCATTGTGGCGCCGAGTCACACCATCACCCTTCGTCAACCGCGTCACATCTTAAATCACACGGATATCACAAAGGGCGACAGGAAAAGGATTGTTAGTTTCAGAGGCAGGTGAGCAGAAAAGGAGTGAGAATGCATATTGTGGAGGATATCAAGCATGATGTGTGTAAGTACGAGCGTACAACAACAGGGGGTGTACATCGGCTACTTTACAAAGTTTATATGGAGCACAGGGGAGAGAACGTAGTATCCCGGATATTGGGATACGAAGACCGAAGCATTGACTACCGAACAATTGAAGAAAGCGAAGAAAGCGTGTGCGGATGAGATCTCCGTTGATGGAGCGAGTTGTTTGTGATTCCCCTAAAGCCCCTATCCCACGACTCCATCAGCGTGCACGGCCATACCCAACCGCATCCACCTGTCCTCTAGTCGGAGTATTGAATGCGTTCATGGGCATCGTCGCAAACTGCGAGTGCGTCGGCGCTGCCTGCGACCTGGGTGTAGCAGCACTAGCGGCGCTGACGTTCCAAGTCTTGGGGGGCCTCAGATCGACGCCCGCGAGCTGCTGCCTCGCGAGCTTGAACTCCTGCTCCTCCATCTTATTCTGGGCGACCAACGCCGCCTTCACTTCTGCCTGACGTTGGATCTCCGCCTCCGACTCGTCGGAGAGATAGTCAGTGAAGCCACCATCGGAGGTGACGGTGCCTTCGCTGCTACTGTGTCCGCTCTCGGACATCGAGTCGCTCTTCCCACTGCTCCCGCTTCCGCCACCGGTCGATCCCCCAGACACACTCAAAGCCGCAAAATCCTTCTTGATATCAATACTGGATCGTTTAGGTTGCGGGCGCGTACCGCTGATAGTATCTCTACGTTCGGTGGTGCGGGTAACGGTAACAGTGGCGACGGCGGCAGGTGGGCTGTTAGTGCGGTTGGAAGAGGCAGCGTCGTTCGTCGATGCCCTACGACGTAATGAAGGTGAACTATCGAGCGAAGAACGAGTAGAAGTCGCTTTTGACACCGAGGGTCTGCGATCTGAGCCGCGATGGGGAGGAGTGGTATCTAGCTCAACATGTCGACGTAACGGAGACGGTGTACCCGGGGAATCGCCACCACGCTTCTCGGCATGGTCGAGGCTGGACTGCCTTCTAGCGTGGGTCATTTCAACGGTAACCTGGGTCGGAGAGCCGTCCTTGGCGGAAGATGTACGTGTCGAGGTTGAAAGAGAAACATTGGATTCCTTCGGACTGCCGCCTGATCGGGACTTGATAGGTATGGACAACGGCTGAGTCGTCTTCGATGGTGTCACTGTGGCGCGGGTGGGCACGATGCCAGCACTCGATTTACGATCCATGGGTGGTAGGGCTGGGGTTTTTGTGGAGAGGGATGCGTGGGTAGAAGAGGGGCTGTGCCTCAACGAGGGCGGCTGGTTGATGTTGTCAAGAACGGTCTTGATCTCGGGTGGGACGGCGATATGGTGGACGACAGAAACGGCAGGCCAATCAGCGGGAGGGATCAATCGAACTTCTGAGGTGGTGTTAGGAGGACGACAGCAGCCTGGCCAGCCCGGGTTTTGATAACCGGACAGCTTGGGTGGCGGGTCCATGCGAGCGAACTACAATCGATGAGCAACTTGTCGAGGCCTCAGAGGAATAGAGGTTACCTTGCAGTATCCGCACCCGTTGAACGTTTGAACTACGCGAGACGCATAGGGGAAGAGGTGAATAGAAGTGTGATAGGTAGGAGCTAGTGGCGGTACCTTCGGCATTCTTGAGATATACGATGTCGCCTTTCGGATGGAGCGCGACATTATGGCAGATATCCTGCTTATGCGGGCACCTGGAAGACAGATTGGATGAGATTGGGGGCATGAGTGCCGGCTGTGCAAGTTTGACTCGCCTTGCATCCCTGGGCTTGAACACCTTGCACATGGGGCAGACACCCGTGGCGTGGTCGATGGAACCGGCAGCGTAACACATAGTGCAGAGTGGTGCTAGGTGTGGGGGGCGACAGTGGGTGTAAGAAGGGAAGATAGAACTAGGGCCGGGCCAAGGGAGGGGATATAAAGGCGTTTGTCACAAGCTGGAGAGAATGAGCGCGGAGAAGGCATTCGTATAGATCCGACATGTGGTTCCTTGGACTGATCGGTTCGTTCGGTTCAGGCGGTCTGGGGCTGCGTGCGATAGCGCGAGTTAGCTCGTCTTGCACAGCGATCTTTGCTCGACGTCGACGATGACGGGCTCTGGAGGGGATGCGGGACTGGTTGGTAGCTCGAGGCAACTGTTGGGAGTAGCGAAGGCATGTGTTGCGGTTTCGAGAGCCATGCAGCCTTGCCTTGAGGCCGGCCGCATCCCCTTGCAATAATTTTTGGGCCACAGTTCGTTCGCCGGGCCTCGGCCCGCCCCCGCTTGGCACCGTCAGAGGCGGTGCTCTCCGTGGGCCATCCATCCAGCTCTGCTCCAGCTCGACATTGACCTCCTCTTCGTCCTCTCCTCTTCCGTCTCTACTTTGCTATCATATCATGGGTAAATCACAGAGCAAGCTTTCTCCGGAACAGCTCGCCGACCTCCAGAAGAACACATACTGTGCGTATCTCTATTTACTTTCGTCGATATCCCTCAGCCCACAATATCTTTGTCTCCCGCTCGCTCAGTCGACAAGCGAGAACTACAGCAATGGTCCGTGAGCTGTCATCTCTTTCAGCCCAGCTCACCAACACCTCACTTTCTCCAGGTACAAGGGCTTCCTGAAGGACTGTCCCTCTGGTCAGCTCGACAAGACAGAGTTCAGTCGGATATATAAGCAATTCTTCCCATTCGGCGACCCGGCAGAGTTCGCAGACTATGTCTTCGATGTCTTCGATGAGAACAAGAATGGCACCATTGACTTTAAGGAGTTCATCTGTGCCCTCTCGGTCACATCAAGAGGCCGGCTAGACGAGAAGCTCAAATGTGCGTACGCCCTCCGTCCATTCATTCTCTCTGGACCTTCCTTTCGATCATTGACGTCGAGACCTCGTATAACGTCTGACTCTGGTTCCATGTATGGGTCTTGCGTCGCGCAGGGGCGTTCCAGCTGTACGACATCGACAAAGACGGAACAATAACCTATCAGGAGATGCTCCAGATCGTACAGTCAATATACAAGATGACCGGTCAAATGGTCAAACTTCCCGCGGACGAGGATACTCCAGAAAAGGCACGCATCCAACCCAGATCACAGAAATCATAACGCCTCCCCTTGTACTCCGTCAGCCTGCCCCCATATGTTCTAAACGTCCTCGTCTGTTCGTTTAGCGCGTAGACAAGATCTTCAAGAATATGGACAGGGACAAGGACGCCAGGCTGACGTATGATGAGTTCGTCGAGGGCAGCAAGCAGGACCCGACGATTGTTCAGGTACGAGTTTGTCTTACCTCCAATCATGTCTCAACAAATGCCCTATTCGGCTGCGCGTGTGCTGTGTCCACGCAGCGCCACAACTATCGTCATCCTTGGCCTTGGCCTCGCGCCACTCACTACCGGCTCATCTCCTGTCTTCATTTTCACTCTTCTAGGCGCTATCGCTCTATGACGGTCTCGTATAGTCTTCCACCGCATCGCCTTCGATCTGGATGAACTGCTTCCAAGCCTCTCCTGTTCAGCCACCGAAGGCTATATCCAACCACCCCAACTGCCACAGTCATCCTTCTTCTAGATCTTCGTCGATAACTCGATGATACTCGATTATAACCGGTATCAATCCCTTCATCATTTCCCGCTTTGAACGGTTCTCTCCCATGCGTATCCTTCTTGAATCTCGAGCTCGGAAAACGGACGAGTGTTTTGCTGTGTGTGTGGTGTCTTGTTGAAAGAAGAATAAATAAAGGATTTTGTTTTGTAGTTAAACCCGCGTCACCGTCTTTGTTGTTCTTGTAGCTGTACGATCGATCTCCCATGCTTTGTCTCCCTCCTTTCGTCTTCTGACTTTTTTTTACCTTTTGAGCGCCGCAGTGATCAGTGTTCAAGTTTTCTTCCCGCCACCTCTCGTTACCGTTCTCTCTGTCGAGCTTTTCTTACAATGGAATCTGGAACATTCCTCTTCTCTCCCGTCCCGCTGTGCCTTTAGAGTTCGAAGGACCACACACGCTCACTCCGATTGCTATCACGATCATGAAATTTACATCACCGTCCGGTCTTGAGAACGATGAAGGTCCAGTGGCGCTACGCTCTAGCGCTGACGTACCGGAGAGTATTGCAGTCAGATTAGTACAGAACACACACAGGCGCCAGCTCGAGCGCTTGTCTCGTTCGAGTGCTTGTGCTTGCCCGGTTCGAACTTACGGCATCACATGGGGTTCGGATTGGGCTTTCTCGAATCTCTCGAATCTGTATCGGTTTGCGAACTCGTTACTGTTTGTGCGATGCTCAGGCGGAGTGGCTCTGACGCGTCGAAGGCCTTTTAGTGTGTACTCTAATATGTATGTAAAGGACGCGGTCTAGGGATGACAGGAGGAAGAATTTGAGAGGCGGAGCCGAAGGAGAAGAAGAGGAAGGTTTCGAAAGAGTGGGAGCATGAGGTGTTGGCGTCACGGTTCCGTGGAGCAAATAGGACCGTCATCGGTTGTGTGGCGATTGACGGTAGAGTAGTAGATAGTTCGACCACGGACTATGTTCTGGCAACTTGACTTCGCCGAGCCTGAAGTCAAGATAACCACGGTTCCGAAGGTGCCACTTCAGCACTCTCGACAAGATGATGATCAAAAAATCCTTTCATAAATTATTTTACCAAATTCCAACGACCTTTACACACTCTCTATACCTTCGAGCACGCTCCCACTCACGGTCATAGCCTCCCATACTTCCTCAACACTCTCGTCTCGACGTCCTCGCCCGCCCACTTGTAAAGCCCTTCAGCGAACTCGAGGTTATCCTTCTCCGCCTTGAACAGTTTGTTGTAGTCTTGTGGTTGGCCGGCGCTGGGCATCGCGGTATTAAAGGGTGTTGCGGCCATGTCCTTGCTTGCGTCGGCAGCTAGGTGAGCAGATAGAGTTGGTTGTCAGAGTTGTGACCGGCGAAGTGGGTGGGTGACGGAGGGGGAAGAGACGAGAGACGCCGGGTGCAGTTTGGTGGCGGAGCAAGGTAAGGTACTATAGTAGTGCTTACAGTTATCGCCACCGAGGATGATTCGGTAAAGACCGTTGAGACCGAGGAAGTTGAGGAAGTACCATGAGAGGGAGGAGACCCATCGTACGTCCATGTCTGGCGTTTCGATACCGCGCTGAAGCATGGACTTGAAGCCGAGCGTAAGTGGGAATGGCAGCTTGACTGTTGACCACGTCCAGTATCACCAGCCGTCAGAAAGTCTCGTACTGCACAGCATAAAAAGTGATGACAGGGGAGTAGAAATACGCACTTAACACGAAACCCTGGAAGAAAAAGTTGATCCAGCCCATAATGACCATCTGCGGCACCATCATCACCATTTGTGTCTTCATGCCCGACATCATACCGTCCATAGCTGCTGGGTCGGATAACGGGTTCGGAGGAGCAGCGGGTGCACCGTCGCCCTTAGGATTGGGAGGCCCGTCTTTCAGGTAGCTGCCGTCGGCGAGGGCTTTGGAGAGGGATGAGGAGATGGAGTGGTAGTAGGTGGGTGGAATTGGGGAGTGTGTGGTTGTAGCACGGAGGATCTGGGCACGGGCAAGAGCGCGTCTGAGGTGCGTTGGAGACCAAAGACGAACGGAGTGAATGGTCAGTCGCGGTTCTGAGTTGTAGGGAACAAGATGTACGGAAAGACTGACTGTTCGCGGATGGCTGCTAGTGGGAGCTTTTTTGGTGGTGTTTGCAGGAGAAGAACGACATAGTGTCGTAGGATACCGACCAATATCTAAACCAAGGTCTCACTTCCTGCGTTTCACAGCACAAGCAACATACGCGTACCATGACAAGCGTGATTGGGAAAAGTACCCAGTCACGAATCTGGGGGTCGAGGTAGAGTGACATCCTGCCAGCAAGCCCAAGTCAGTATAACAACCAAGTCTGAAAAGAAAGCAAACGTACGCGGCCATGGTGAATGCCGTCTACAGTCGGAGTGAAAGCCAAGTGTTGAGTTAGACGCGAGTGATGTGGCCCTTCGCCTTCGTGGCCAGGGGCGGGGAATGCCGCCACACGATCGAAGCTCGGAACCGATCCCATCTTGTGAACAAGTCAGAACTTTGAACTGCTTTGAGCCCCTCGTCGCCACAAAATACCCTACCCTCCGTTTCTCTTTCTTACCACCACCCAAGAGCATGGCACACTTTTCTAGGCATCTTCAATTTTTGGTCGGCTCGTCGAGCGATGCATCGGACGATAGACGCGCTATAGACGAGTGGTCGAGGTGTGTGGTGTACCTTACAATGCCACATCGAGGTTTCTGACTTGTGGCTTCATAGGATCGCATCATCGAGCAAGGGTGAGTGGAGTGTTATAGCCTTGAGGTGCCTTCTTTAGTGCTCAAGCTATTTTCAGGAGAATTTGAAGACCTTGGAGAGGCCAGCGAGCAGGTCGCAATCGACACGGTCCTTGACGTTTATACCTCCACATCGAGAAACGGCATTTCGGTTCAGGATCCAATGCTGTCGAAAATACATGCGTAAGCACCGTCAAACTCTTTCACTTTGCCCATTGTTGATATCTTTATAATCGCATTTGTTTTTCAAGACTTCCTCATGCTTCGACACTCCTTGAATCTATACACTCCGTCCTAGCATCATCACGCCCTCCAGATGATATATCAGCCGAACTATTGGACATGGTTGGATATGACCACATTGAGCTTGTTATGGAGATGCTGGAGAAACGATCTCTGGTCGCGTCCGAGGTATGTCTCAATTCTAGAGGTCGTAGAAGTGATAACCACACTTATAATTCTTTACGTAGCTGGCTTCCTTCATTCGCGGGGATATTACAGTCGAGCCTTCCGTGCATTCACAAGCACATGGGGGCTGGATGGTACTCAATAAAGAGCGTAAGTTTAGCCATCGTACAATTAACCCAAGCTCATTAATTGCTTCGGTCTGCCACAGAGGACAGTAATGTTCCTATGAGTCTTGCTCCTGAAGAAGCACGGAGACGTATGGAAGAACAATTCCGCGCTAATGCTGAGCGACCTCTTTTCACTGGAAATGCAGTACGCTCCGTTCCTTGGGCTCAGGTTATTGGTGTGGGACAGGCTAATATTTGGGCCACAGCTCCCGCCACCTGAAGTTCTACCACATGTCTACAGCTCGTCAGGCATGGCTCAAGGCAATATTCTCTCGCATCTTGGTAGCAAATATATGCTGCCTATGGGTACCACTCGGCATGCCGAAGAAGTGAGACCCATTCTTGCGTCAATGTAAGCGCATATATTGACGGGGACCGGCTGCTGCATGTAGTATTACGACGAAGTGGTCATTCCTCCCGCCAAAGCTGTTCCTCCACGGGTGACGGAGAGGCTGGTTTTTGTGAACGAGCTAGATCCGTTGCCCAGAGGATGTTTCCCGGTAAGCTCCGTCTCTCTTGGGCAGTGGCACCATCGGGCTGAGACAGTGACAAGGGTTACACTTCGTTGAACAGGATACAGTCGATCGTATATCCTACCGCATATCGCTCTAACGAGAATATGCTTGTTTGTGGTAAGTACGAACCCGTTCTATCTGTTCTAGAGTAAAGTTGACGCTTGGTTGGTCAGCTCCAACTGGTGCGGTAAGAGCGACAATCTACAAGAGAGTGGATGACGTTCACTGACTAAAGCATCATGCAGGGTAAAACTGACGTGGCGATGCTTGCCATCCTGCGTATTCTGGACCAGCATCGCAAGGAATCTTCGACATTACCTATCGCACAGACCATCAACAAAGACGACTTCAAGATCATCTACGTGTAAGTCATTCTAACTTGACAATATCATCCTGATCCACGAGCCAGACTAACGAATGACTACCTTCCAGTGCACCCATGAAAGCTCTTGCATCCGAAATCGTCCGCAAGATGGGCAAGCGTCTGCAATGGCTGGGCATCAAGGTCAGAGAACTGACAGGAGACATGCAACTCACCAAGGCGGAGATCGCAGAGACGCAATTGATTGTCACGACACCTGAGAAATGGGATGTAGTCACTAGGAAGCCTACAGGAGAAGGGGAGATTGCATCGGTATGTACTGCAATTTTCCGCTTTACCCTCCTCATCGGTTCAGTGGTGTCGAGTGTTCAAATCTTCTGGATATACTTCTTGGTAGAAAGTCAAGCTGCTGATTATTGATGAAGTTCATCTGCTGAATGAAGAGCGTGGTGCTGTTATCGAGACAATCGTTGCAAGGACTCTGAGACAGGTACGTTAATCTTCGATCACGGATTGCTCAAAATTAAAGCTGACACTGGCATAGGTCGAGTCCAGCCAATCGGTCATCCGCATCGTTGGTCTTAGTGCCACTCTTCCAAATTATATCGATGTGGCCGATTTTCTCAGGTTTCGCCCTCAGTCCTCGCTCACATCTCACCCCAACTGACATGAATCTCCCAGTGTCTCTCGCCAAACCGGGCTCTTCTATTTCGACTCTTCCTTCCGCCCAGTCCCACTCGAACAACACTTCATCGGCGTAAAAGGCAAACCAAACTCCCCCCTATCCCGGAAAAACCTCGACCGCGTCACGTTCGAAAAGGTTGCGGAGCTAGTAAAACAAGGCCACCAGGTCATGGTCTTCGTTCACGCACGTAAAGAGACCGTGAAGACCGCTTTAGCCCTCAAAGAGGCGGCCTTTATGGAGGGAGCCCTGGAAGATTTTAGTTGCGAGGAACATCCTCAGTTTATGTTCTTCAGGAGAGATATCGCAATGTCGAGGAATAAGGAGATGAAGCAGTTGTTTGATAATGGGTTTGGGATCCATCATGCGGGGATGTTGAGGTCGGATAGGAATATGATGGAGAGGATGTTCGAGGCGAGGGCTATCAAGGTATGGTCCTTACATCTGCTATGTTTCGTACAGTTCTATCTGATCAGGTCAAATAGGTGCTTTGCTGTACTGCAACCCTCGCGTGGGGTGTCAACTTGCCTGCACATGCTGGTAAGCTCATTCCGAACGCAGTCTCGAATTTATTCAATTAAGATCTTGTGCCTCAGTCGTCATCAAGGGAACCCAAGTATACGACAGTTCGAAGGGTGCCTTCACCGACTTGTCCGTGCTGGATGTTCTCCAGGTTTTCGGTCGAGCCGGTCGTCCAGGTCTCGAAACAAGTGGAGAGGGATACATCTGTACGACAGACGACAAGCTGACGCATTATCTTGACGCGGTGACCTCCCAGGTATGTTTACTATACATCTCTATCAGATTCGCACAGCTGATAACTCGCACAGAACCCGATTGAGTCTCAGTATGCCAATTTTTTTCTGAGCACCAGTAAGGATGTGCGGCACTAGCTGATACTTTTTTTTGTCTAGGTTCACGCGTGGTATCATCGATTCTATGAACGCCGAAATCGCACTTGGGACCGTGGCAAATGTGAACGAAGGCGTGAAATGGCTGGGATACACATATCTGTTCGTCCGAATGCGGAAAAATCCCTTCCAATACGGTATGCTTCTTTCTTCCTGCCAAGGTATCAAGGTTCTGTTGGTTGGTTGACGACTTTTGTCTCGCAGGTATGGCCAGAGATGAAGTAGTGAACGACCCTTACCTCGGATCTAAGCGCAACAGCCTCGTAAAGGACGCCGCTAAACAACTAATGAAAGCACGCATGATCAACTACGACGAGATAACTGGAGCTTTCACCATCACCGACTTGGGAAGGATCGCGGCTAAGTATTATATTCGGCATGCGTCGATTGAGATTTTCAACGAGAGGTTCCGGCCTAAGATGAGTGAGGCCGATGTACTGGGTATGTTGAGCATGAGTACAGAGGTGGGTGTTCACAGGCATTTAACCGAAAGACTTCTTTACCTAATACTTGGTTCAGTTTGACCAGATCCAGGTCAGAGACACAGAGCTGAAGGAGCTGGAGGCGATGACGCATGACATTCCCTGTGACATCGAGGTGAGTGTCGTCTACAATCACACATTCGGTGTAACTCTGACTAACTTTGGTCTTCAGCGCAAAACCAGCCCGAGCCGCATACGAGTGACCGAGTCTGGTTACGGAAAGGGGAAAGAGTCAAGTCCACAGAGGGGACCCGATATAGACAGTCACGGAAAGGTCAACATCCTCCTCCAAGGCTATATCTCCAGGATCTACGTCGAGGACTTTGCTCTCGTCTCCGACTCTGCATATGTGGCCCAGAATGCCGGACGTATCGTTCGCGCTCTCCTTGAGATCGCCATCAGTCGGAAGTGGGCCAATGCCAGTACGGTCCTCATGGGCATGAGCAAGGCCATCGAGAAACGACTGTGGCCGTTCGATCAGCCTCTCAAGCAGTTTCAGCTCAAACCCGATATCTTCTACGGCCTGGAGCGATGGGCGGATCACTACTCTGTGGCTGAGCTCGCTGCGATGACTGCCGAGGAATTGGGCAAGCTCGTACATCTCAACGCAATACAGGGACAAGCAATGCTCGATGCTGCAAAGCAGTTCCCGACCGTAGAAATCACGTACAATCTACGACCACTAGGGCCCGACGTCCTCAAGATCGCCGTCCGAGTCACTCGTGCGTTTAATTGGAGCACGAAGTTACATGGATCCGTCGAGCCATTCTGGCTTTGGGTCGAAGACGAAGAGGGTGCCACGATACTGCAACTCTCACATCTACTGTTCCGGTCGGCCACGGAGTATTTGGATTTGGCGTTCGTGATCGCTATTCCGAACGGCAAGCCTCCTCCTTCGGTCACCATCCGATTTGTCTCAGATCGGTGGATGGGTGCGGAGGACGAGATTCTAGTACCACTCGACGCACTAAAGATGCCGGTTTACTCGAACAGTCATACGCCACGACTAGACATCCCTTTCCTCAACCTCTCCGTCCTCAGCCCCGTCTTGGCTCCCCTGCTATCGTCTCGCTTGCGCAGTTTCAACGCCATAGAGACGCAGACGTTCTGGTCGTTGGTCAATACCCGCGTGCATGCCCTGTTGTGCTCACCGACAGGCTCAGGTAAAACTACCCTGGCACAAATCACTATCTGGTAAGCTATGTAACTTTTCAGGCTGGTTGATTTCTTGACCGGATCTGTTCGTTCCCCAGGGAGACGTTAGCTCGTTCACCAAATAACGTCTATGTCTTGGTGGTCGTACCCCGAGGCAGCCTCGTATCAGAGTGGATATCCGAGATGCGAGAAGTCACCAGAGCTATGGGATTTTCGATCAACTTCGTCACTGGTTCAAACGTACTTTCCCCTCCAAAGGGAAAGACCATTCGCGTTACAACGCCGCCACACCTCTTATCCGGTCTCAGCCATATAGGAGCCACGACCCCACTGTCTGGGCTACGTCTAGTGGTCTGCGATAACCTTGAACAACTCGATCCTGCCTATGAGCTCGCTGTCTCCCTCCTAATCCACGCCACCCAAACCTCGCCCACCCGCTTCATCGGCATCTCCAACTCTCTAAACGACTCCGCAGACCTAGCAGCATGGCTGCACGTCGACCCGTACGCCCTGCATAGTTTCCGACCACGAGACCGGGACCAGTCTCTAAGCGTCCACACACAAACATTCACCATCCCACAGTCCGCCGCTCTCTTCAAAGCAATGGCCAAACCCGCCCATGCCGCGATCCAATCCATTCCTGGTGGTTCAGCCATAGTGTTCGTACCTTCGAAGGGACAGTGTCGCATGGTAGCCCTGGATATCATCACGCGATGTACGCTCGATACGGAGGCAGAGGGCGGGTACCTCCCTCTTGACGTTTCTCAGGAATACCTCGAGTCAATCACGGCCAGGCTGCAGGATCGTTCGCTGGGAGACTTCGTGGCAAAAGGCGTAGGCATCTTCCATGAAGGAATCTCCAGACCCGATCGGACGTTGATATTGGAGTTATACGTGGAGGGTATTGTCCGTGTCCTTCTCGTCCCGAGAGAGGCGTGTTGGACGTTGCCAGTACGTGCGAGGGTTGTGGTGGTTATGGGAACTCAATATTATCACCTCGAGCGCGATGGGACGGATCGGCAATTGAGAGATTATGATCTTCAGGAGCTCGTGAGGATGCAGGGACGAGCAGTGAGTCATGGGGAGACGGGACGGTTCTTCTTATTCTGTCAGGCGGAGGATAAGGACACGTATAATCGATTCTTGGAGGATGGGTTGCCGTTGGAGTCGAGGCTCAGTACCAGCGGCGGTGAACAAGTTGGCGAGGGCGACAAGACAGACGAGCTGAAGAGGTGGTACAGGCAGCAGAGAGGTAATGGGGCGATTCGGAATAAGTTGGACGCCGTCCAGGCGCTGTCCTTCACTTTCCTGGCGCGGCGACTTGTAACAAATCCTGCCTATTATGACGCGGAGGGTACGAAGAATGAAGCACTTTCGAGGCTTGTGGATAGGCTGGAGGAGGTGGGAGAGGGAGGAGGCGAAGGATCAAGACAATAATAGCATTAGCAATAACGAGGACTCTTATACATCTACACTGTAATACAACCCTGCATGTGCACAAGATCTATGTATAGAGCTGGTTCAGGATTTATTGCTTTCTAGCACCCAAGGCTGAGCTACCTCAGACGAGGAACTTCTTCAGGTTCTGTAACCTGTCGGAGGCAGCTCTCAAGGTATCGAGGTCCTTGCAGAAGGCGAAACGACCGAAACGTTCTCCGATGTTTGTATGTTCCTCGCAGTAGAACTAATAGTTTGTTAAGCAAAATATTTCGGGTAACCGGTGGAATGTGCTCACTTCGCTGACCGGGATGGAGGATACACCGACTTCCATGGCGATGAACCAGCAGGCTCTGTGACAGAAAGTTTAGCGGACTCGGTGCATGAAAGTGTCGCGTTTAAACGCACTTGAAGTCACGTCCCCTGCCTTGCACACTCGGCGGGAAGGGGTAGTCTTCAGGGAACTTAACGTCCGAAATATCCTATGTGAAGAAGTTAGCACTAATAATACTGCGACGATAGAGCAAAGTATTAGCGTACTAGTAGGATGAAGTAGGTCCCTTCAGGCAACGTGAACTTCATGCCGAGCTTCCTGAACGCATCGACAATAACGTCTCGCCTCTCTTCATACTCCTGTACCTGCTTCTCCCAGTATCCATTCTTGCTCGCCTGTTCGAGACCAGAGGCAGCGGCTTCTTGCAGGGGAGAATTCGAGCAGAAGACGATGCGGGTGGAGGCAGCGAGGGTGGGTTGGATGATGCTTTGGGGACCGATGAGCCAGCCGATACGCCAGCCAGTTGCGGCAAAGGATTCTAGGCAGGAATGTAGTTTCAGGCTTTGATGGTCGGCGGTTCCATGAGAAAGAGGAAACTTACTGCCGGCAGAACCCACGGTGACCGTCCGCTCCCACATTCCCGGAAGTGTGGCAATCCGGACGTGGTCCTTCTTGTCGAAGACAAGGCAATCGTACTGGATGCCCGGTCATTGAGCACATATGTCATGTATTCAGTTAAGAAAGTGTACGCACCACTTCATCGGACATGACTAGAAGATTGAACTCTTTCGCGATGTCTGCGATCTTCTCAAGCTCTGCTCGGGTGAAAACCTTGCCGACCGGGTTGTGCGGTGTGTTGACAATGATCATCTTCGTTCGTGGTGTGATGGCACGCCTAAATTTGCAGCATAAACGGCCGCATCCCGCCGCAGAAAGATGGGCTCACACACCTGAGCTCAGCGAAGTCAATCTTCCAGTCATCACTAGTCGAGTTTTCCTTAGAATGTGCGGGTGGGTGCAAGGGAACGTAGACCGGCTTTCCTCCGTTGAAGGTCACAGATGGAAGGTATTGATCGAAGAAAGGCTCAAAGAGGATGACCTCATCCCCTTGCTCCAAGAACGCAGTGAACACGGAGTATTGGCCTGGGCATCAACTCATGAGCAATGCTTCACTACCAGAATCAGGTTCACAGCACACCTTCGTTGGCACCACTTGTGACCAGGATTTCCTGTTCAACATCCAGCTCTTTGCCAAACGCTTCGCTATAGTGGGCCTTGATCGCTTGCCGTAAGCGAATACGACCCTTCGGGTGAGAGTAGTGGTTGGGTGCGACAGTGTTAAGGGCTTCTTCTGCAGCTCTGGTGACCCACGTCGGTGGAGCAAAGTTCATGTAGCCTTGTCCAAGGTTTATACAGTCACCAGGCAAGTTGGCAGCGCTGTGATCGCTCACGGTGAATATTCCGGAGGCGACCAGATAGACTGGAGTATGACTCACTTGAAGATGGACCATACATCCTGTGCCAATGCACGACCTTCTCTCAGCCGCGATGAGAACAGAACGGGACCTCTGGGAGGCTCATGGGGGTTTTGGGCTGTAGACATTGTGGCGAAGAGTCTGGAAGAGCGAAGGAAGGAAGATGGACGACTTGTCAGCAAAGTCCGCAACATTCCCTGCTCGGTCGGCTTTTTAGATGATACAAGATGGTATACTGCCCGACTTACCACTGATGCCGCCAAGATAGTGAGCAGAAGGAAGGGGACGAGATGATCGTCTGCCGATTGGGAGGTCAACAAGTGGCGAATTGGTGGACGCTGATGACGAGGACTTGCGCAAGAGGATTTAAAGGGGATTTGAGAGCGCTTGCAGAACGTCGGAGGCAAGTTTCCTGGCTACCTTCCGAGCCGTAATCGGGCCTTCCGATACATCATGCATCAGATAGGACGGCTTCAGCGAACTTTCGGTTCAAAAAGATAGAGGTACACAGCAGCAGATAGCTAACACCGTAGTTTCATGTCCTTTATACTATGTTTGCGGTGTTGAATACTGTATATCGCCGCATAGATGTCATGGAGAACGTCAGTGTCTACCTCTATCCTCCGTTCTTATATACACCACTGGCCGGCTCGGATCATGACTTCGTTCTGCAGATATCGCCTCTGACTTGCACCCAAATGGGATGGAATCCGTTATAATATGAAATTTAGCAGGATACTCACTCCGGCCTTTGCCGTTACAGTCTTCCAAACCATGCCCAGCGCTGCAGGGCGTTTTGGGACCTCGTCAGACCAACATTGTTTATATAAACTGCCCTTTCGGGCCCTACCCTGGTCCCTTTAGCTATCAGTAATAGAAACTATATTGATGGACTTTGGATGCTAATCTGACGGTAAACTCGCGCAGGGCTCCGCTACGCTCCGCCCCGCGTACTAAAAAAACCTTGAAGTTTACCAGTCGTTCTGTGTTCTGGGGGCCGAAGGGAAGGAAATACTCTACTTCAGGATTATGCCTCTCCTGATGTACATCGGGCTATATCCCACATAGAATGTGGCACCGGGACATGCAATATTGTCTATATTATACTATATACTAGTACACTGACAACTGGAACGAAGATGCCGACCTCTGTGGACCGCCTGCCCACCCTCCTTGCCGGGGCGATCCACAGATGTTGGCCTCTTTTCCAATCGAGTCATGCAGATGCAGTATTTATTCAAGTAGGGGTGTATTGGGAATGCACGAACATCGGCCTTATTTATGAGCTCGAGACGACGAGAGTGGAGGAGGATGGAAGGCCGGCCGGCCGTGTGGCCAATTGCAACGTGTGGCAAGCACGCGAGTAGTGCGGTCTGGGCGCATGGGAAGTGCCGATCGGAACGAGACTAACTATGTCTGGCTGTTTGACGAAAATTAGCTGCTAACAGACCTTGTCCCCTAAAGGGACCAGGAATATTTTAAAAAATAGCCATTTTCAAGCCCGATGTGATCAAGGCAACCCATCCTTGTGTCCCATGTATGGGCCCATCAGGACCATCTCAAGGCTCGGAGTATTTGTTTTGTTTGGTCGATCCCTCCCCTGTACGCTTGCTGTCCTTTGTCCGAGATCCATAGGACGTTGACGGGCTGCCACGCTGGTAGATACCTGTCGATGTTCCCCGCTCAAAATCGAGGTGACGGTGTCGTCTATTCTTGTCTATCGCCCAATAACACGTGTACCACTAGGACACTCGCTCGCCACATTGACGCAGCCACTTACTCAGTTATTGCTCCGATACCTCTCTATTATTGTCACGATATCTCTCATGGTTTGTTCTTGTATCTTTCTGCGTGGTAGCGATGAGAGTCGCGTGGCGCATGTCGACATTCTCCGCGGCGCCCAAGACTTACCATGCAGGCTGGGCGACGCAGTTGATCTTCTGCTTCATGACCTCCGAACAATGTGGGTGAGTGAGACAGAATGGACAAGAGGAGAAATAGCATTGATTCACGTTGACTTGGGTTTATGCGAGATTTAACGTCCGTACCGCTCGAGGCACATAGCCGCTACCATGTATATATAACTCCGTAAGTACCGCTTTCTGACCACACTCGTCTTTCTCCTCGGGCTGCGCTCGTGGTTAGATCGACGATAGCAGAGGGCACACAGTGGTTGCATAACTCCGTCGATGTTCTCAGATGGGGTTTGAAGCGTGCATCCGCAGTCTTCATTTGAGTTAAGTAACTCTCGATGCGTATTATTACTGCAGCGATAGGAAGGGCGACATGAGTGACATGAACGTAGACAGACCTAGGTTACGTGAAGTCAGGCTTGTAGGCTTACAATAGTAGCTTTCCTCCTATCTTCGCTTTACCTAGAACTCAAACTCCTGTGAAGGTGATCAGCGTTAAAGCCGCGTGAACAATGGTACTAGAATTCTCACATTCAAACCTGAGGAGAAATACTCCTCCATATTATCTTTCTGTAGCGGCTGAAAGTCTTCCTCCTCCGACCAGTACTCTGAAGAGCTCCCAAGCGATATTTCCGACGGTACATAATCGCCGTCGTCGTAGTCGTCACTCCCATCAGAGGACGAGTCAGACAACTCGTCCATCAAAATGGCGAGGAATGTGGATGTTTCATCTTCGTACCCGCCATTGACGATTCGTGCGACAGCTTCCTCGTTGCCTTCCGCGTTTGCTCTCGGTGATTCCTCGTCTTCCGCATTCTCCAACTCATCGGTCAAATGTATTGACTCCGTCTCATCAATGAGACCACCTACAAACAGAGACTGATCGTGTTCAAAGTTCGCTTTCAAGGAATTCGAAGTCTCGATGATCCCGACCGAGTCGGCAAGGGTCCAAAAGGTAGGGAGCTCGGCCACCGCTGAAGAGCGACGAGGGGGAAATAACGCCGGAAGGTGGAGGAAGAAGTTCAGAGATGAGTCCAGCCGTCTACATCCCTCGAGAACAAGCGGCGACGAACGCATGCCTGTAACGAGACCTCGAAGGCCTTCGTCATCGATATCATCGTGGATATGGGCTGGCGATACCCACATGTCAACCCATTTGAGGGTGGGATGGTGATGGAGCGAAAGGAAGGGGATGGCAGTGGATAGTGGTGCGATGAAATGCTCGAGTGATGGACAAAAGTCGATGAGAGGCTGAAAGTGATCGTGTCGCCATAAAGTCTCCCAGTGCCATGCGTGGCGTGACCCGCTGGCGACTTCATCATAATCCGGCTCGTTTGTCTTGTCTGCGAGATGAAGGTAGCGTAGATGGTCGCCTGTTAGCGACAGAATGACAAGAATCTGTGCAGAAATGTCTCTATAATTGTATTGCTCGTATGGAATCCTCTGTGGTGGCCTCACTAAACATATCGTGAGCGACAGGATTTGAGGGTTGACGAATGACTCAATGATGTTCGAAAGGACCTTGGCGCCATTTTGGGACCATACAAAGAGAGATAATTGACGCAGGGCAGGGAGGTGAAGAGATTGTGAGGTAGTTAAATCAGCGGTCTGCCTTGCCGAGGTATTGGGGAACGATAACGTAAGGGACGTGAGGTTGTTGACGCTCGACAACGCTTTGAAGAGTCTACGATGCTCCTCTGTAGACCCTGCGCAGTCTATGCTAAGTTGTAGATCGGACAGCTGGGCTGAGGAATGGGATACCCAGAGCTGCCAAAGAGGCAATGCACAGCCCGAGAAGTCATCAATGGTGATTTTCAAGCTTTTCAACCAAAGACAGCGAGTGATGATTTCGTCGAGATATCGCTGGGCCACGCGGACACCGTCGACTGGAATGAGAGCTTGAACTGATATGCTGCGTACTAGTGGGCAGAAAACGGTCGGATTGGCGGCCAGAGTTGAATAAAATGCCGGGAGTTCTGTAAGAGAGTTAAACTCGATACGGGCGTACAAAAAACGCAGAGCGATTTCGCGCCACCCGTGGCAGACCTCAGTAAGAGCTCGCGCAGTTCGTCGCGAGTTTCTCCAAGTAGACAGCGGCCCCCAGCCATATGAGACGTTTATCTCGGCTTTGTCGATGAAGGTTGCTAAGGCGAAGATGTTCTCCAATATCTCTATCGGAACCTCGACAGATGTGGTGAGTGCTCTAGGGGAGCGACCCTGGTCGATTCTGTCTTCGAGTAAACCAGCGACGTCAGAAGAAGGTTGAAAGGACGCTGGCCAACAATGTAGGCGTCAGTGATCATGTTCTGACCGGATCAGTCTTCTGGAGCGCTCACTCACTATGCATAATGGACAAAGGCTCGCGCTTTACACGGAGAGTCATGCTGTGAGTATTGGAAGCCATCGGAATTTGAAGAAGTTAATTCGTAATCAGACTATCTTTGTCGGCGGTTTGTGTAGAGCGAGGATGTTGGAAGTGATGAAGATAGGCGGTCTGCCTTTCTGTCTCGCTTTCGCAGACACCAGCGCGTAATAGTACGACAGAAACATAAATTTCAAAGAGACAGGGTGGGGAAACCGGGCATTGCCGCGCCACCTTCCGATCCCATCTCAGGCTGGATGAACGTCGTAGCGGCGGAGGAAACCACCTTAGCCAGTACTCGTACATCCAAGACTCACAGCGTGGACCGTACCAGGGAGATCGCTACTTGCACACAATACAAGAACTTGATTCTGCCGGCTTATCAATCTTGCTTGCCTTCCAACTTACTTCGGAATATCTTCAACCTTGCCTACTCGTCCTTGCTCTCCGTCTTCCCATAATTCCAATTTTGTCATCGGAGAGTATGGTTGATCATCACTTACTCAAACTCAAGGTGGTGATACCGTCTAATCTTGCGTATCGCAGAATAACACGTGTATGACGTTTGGTTCTGTCAAACTTGCCACCCACAGTTCATGGCATAGATGAAACCATCGCTCAGCTCCTGGACCTCGCTGCTCCTCGCTATCGCTCAGGAGTACACCTTCTATCTTTCTGCATGGTCGTCGTGTGAATCTCGTGGTTCTTCTTGGCATTTTTGCGGTGTTCAAGGCTTGTCATGCACGCTGGAGTCGTTCTTCAACACATTGGCGGGCTTGGGGCATTGTAGTAAGCGGTAGGTGAGTGAGACGGATTGGACGAGAGGGGAAATAGTGTTCGCTGACCTTCTCCGCTTTTAGCGATTCTCGACGACCGGTTCATACAACATTCACTGCCCATCTGGCCCGAAGCATATAATCTTTGTCACATTTAGCCTCATATCGCCTCCTGACCGAGCTCAACATCGACGGGTACCCATCCTCCATCTGCGATAATAGATCGAAGCCAACAGCGAGCACACAATGACTACACTGTAATTCGTAATGTCCGATTGTGTTTGAGGCTTTCGAAACGAGCTCTTCGATGCGCGGTTGGACTGCTATTTTAGGATCCGACACACGACCGACGAGCGTCCGGTAATGGCTGGTACTGGTTGAAGCTCGGATGTCTTCACTGTATCAGTATTGGTTGGGACGTCATATGTGCATCTCTGGTCTTCGTACTGTTAGGCAGTTGGGGACGGATCTCTACTCAATTGTCCCGAACTTATCGAGTCTGATTCCCCGTAACGCTCTATTTGCAGCTTGCGCCTTCTAGCGCCTCATCCATTGGTCGCTTCCACATGCTCGACTTTCTCAACCACTTGCATATCCTCGGCTCACCGATTCACGTATGTCAGCCTATTCGTCGAGCCGCATGACGATTAGACACTGCGAGGTCCACAGAAGATGGGGTATTGGTCCGATCTAAAATAGGGATGCCCTCCGTATTAAAACCTGGGCTGCTGTGCGCAATGTTTCGGTGTTCCTCCTCCTACGTTCTGTGGCAGAAATTGTAGTCGCCGCCATGGGATACAATCACTCTTTCATCCGCCCTCGCCACACTTCTCCATCTGCCGCCGACCTTCTACTGAAAGCCCAGGAGCAGCGGATCTATGTACGGCAGTTTTGGATCTTCATCGCTTCAGTGATCGCCGTATTGGCTTTCTTCCACTGGACATCTGTGCTCTGGTCGCTGATATGGGGGCCTACGACCACCGCTCACCACACATCGGAGAAAGAGAAGTACGAACCGGAGGTGGAGAAGCAGATTCGGGTGGGGAGACGTTCTTGGCGGCACTTGCCTGCTGCGACTGCTTCTGCCTTTAGGATCATCGCGTTTCGATGGACCATCCCTATCGGTTTCAAAGCTGTTTCATCGGTTTCGGAGTTGGTCTTCATCATTTCCTATATTGTGGCCCTTCTTGTATGGCTGTTGGTTAACAGTGCGTTGTTGTTTTCCATCTATGTTGGCCGTCTCCTGACAGATGTCCTTAGCGCGAGATCTTACGACTATGTTTTGGGAGGATCGCGCAGCTCATCTCGCCTCCAGTAATCTTGCACTCGTGGTCGCCTTGGCAGGGAAGAACAATATCATCTCTTGTCCGTCCTTTCTAAGTACTTCGCTTCGTTTCACGTACTCACACTGTCTTTCCTCGTGTGTCAGTTTTTACCGGAGTCGGACATGAAAAGCTCAATGTGCTCCACCGTGCGGCGGCGCGTACTTGTCTCATCCTTCTGTGGATGCATGCTATTGCACATGTCGCCTCTGGGTAAGTTCGGCGACTCTCTTACCCTGCACACTTTTGATCTCGCCCGACAGCCTTCCCGAAATCTTTGATTTCACGCATGATTGGATGATATTCGGTGTCATTGGTACGTTCTATCTCGCCTTGCGCGGGCCAGGTTGTGGCTGATTTTTATCGCCATGCTATTGCCCAGGCTTGACTGCCTTCACAATGGCCACCATTCTTTCCATTCGCCCGATTCGTCAGACGGCTTTTGAATTCTTCTTGATTTCACATATTATCTTTATTGCGTAAGCTCATTCACCGATATCACCGTGCTCAAGGCCTTCTGACCTTTCTTCTTAGCATCTTCTTGATTTTCGGTGTACTCCACACCAGAGCTGTCGAGTACGTGCTATATCTTCCTCTAATCTCTCAACTGCGAACGGAAATTAATCGGGACTCCTATAGCTTCGATGACTATATTTGGCCCGCCCTCATTCTCTGGGCAGTTGACCGCTCTGCGCGCCTGGTGCGCGTCGTTTGGAATGGTCGGGTCTGGTACGGCTTCTCCCAACCCTCTTGTGAAGCTACCGTCGAGCTCCTTTCCAAGGACACCATTCGTCTCACAATGCGCCGTAACATCTCGTGGAAGCCTGGACAACATGCATATGTTATTCTGCCCACCGTTAGCTCTCTGCCCACCGAGGCGCATCCGTTCACGATTGCCAGCATCCCTGATAATGTGGACGGAACGCAAAGCGAGAAGGAGAAGGACGTGGTGTTTATTATTAGAGGAAGGGATGGCTTCACGGGGAGATTGAGGGAGCATGCTTCTAAGAGCGGAGTGTGCACCGTGTCCGCGATGCTGGATGGGCCGTACGGGTGCCCGCCTGATCTGAAGATGTTCTCGACCTCCGTTTTGATTGCGGGTATGTTCTGGAATGCATGAGTGCCGTGACATCTTCTGACTGTATGTATAGGTGGATCTGGGGTCTCATATACCTTACCACTACTTATGGAAACTATCCGGTAAGCACCCCTCGTAAATACACCCCAGGATCTCATAGTGACATGACGATAGTCTTGCCGCAGCACGAAAGTCCGCCACTCGCCGCTTAGTCTTTGTTTGGGCTATTCGTGACTCGAGTGAGTTCTCTCCACTTCTCGTTACATGATCTTCGTCGATACTTATCACTCCTTTGTGCAGGTCACATCGCCTGGATATCATCGCTCATCTCAAAGGCCCTTACCGCCGTACCTTCTTCTCTTTCCATCGAGATTTCAATTTACATTACAGGCCGCCGAAGTCCCGTCCAACTTCCCGCAGTGGTCTATCGCGAGGCTACCTCTCTCACCATACCCTCTATCAATGGACAGTCGTCGAGCGATCAGCTGGATGGAAAGATCGGCCTTCCGGTATACGACGCATTGAAGGTGATTTATGGCAGGCCCGATATTGAGAAGATTTTGGGTGAAGAGGTTGGCAGTGCGACTGGGCCTGTGTCCGTTGATGGTAAGTTTCTCGAACAAATATCATCTTCGATCGAACGACTGATACATTACTACATCGCTCTGCAGTCGCTGGCCCTTCTGCTTTGGCTCAATCCGTGAGGGGTGCGCTGCGGGCAGGTATCGCTGGCCCAATGGGCGTGCTCAAGGGTTCCCCCTCGGTTACACTCCATGTTGAGACGTTTGGGATGGTGAAAGGATGACGAACACGGTGGTTTCGTTCCTGTTTGTATCGATATGCGTTCCTGCCCTCTACGCTACAATCATAGAATATTATATTACCTTGAACAATTTCCGGGAGAACCTGTCGATCACGTAACACGTTTCTATTGAATTGTCTTGTGGTTCAACTAGGTGGCACTCGTGATGGCCAGACGCCACATCTCGGCGAAAGTAGGGGTGCAGGCAAGTCCGATACACTCGCGTGTTGGTCGCGTGGCGTGATCAAGCGGAAGCGAAAGGGCGCGTGCCAATTTGAGTGTTGTTTTCGGAGGTCGTGTCTTTCCGTGTTATCTTCTCAAAGAAACACATTGACTTTGGTCGTTTGCTCAGGACACCTAAGGTTCGTTTGGTATCGATTGAATAACATATTTAAATTCCTGATATTGATAGAAATTGTTTAGCGAACATCTGAGCAGCCGGGATGGACGCCGACCTCTCTACAGCACCTTCCCATGAAATTCGCAACGGAGACGACTCCGACTCCGACGACGAGCCGTTTGTCTATCCGGAGGACCCATCGACTAACACAGTCAATGGTGCCGAAGACGAGGAGTCGGACGATGAACCATTCGTTTACCCCGATACGGATGGGGATGCAGACACGAACACGACCGCCGCCACTGAACAAACTAAACCAACAAATGGCGTTTCGCCTTCACCTCCCTCGGGATCCGACTCGCACTCTGTTGCAGCTGTACCCACTTCTGCTTCGTCTCAGTCTCAGCCGTCGCCGGCACAGCTTGAATCCCTTTACGCTGCCGCTTCTGCGGGTGACTTGCGCTTGTTGAAGAGCATCTTTCAGAAGGCTTCGGAGAATGGGAATGTGGAGGCATTTTCGTTGGCAAATGATGCATCTTCAAGGACTGGGCTGACAGCATTACATGCTGCTGCCAGCAGGGGGTTTATGGACATCGTGAAGTGGCGTGAGTCCCTTGCCTTTTCAGTTCTAGCTCAATACTCACACCTGCGTTAGTCGTTGAGACTTGTGGTGCTATACCTGACATTGAAGATAAGGAAGGAGAGGTATGTATTATGTCTTATACTCCGAAACGTCTTTGCTCACAATACGTATAGACTGCACTGCACAAAGCAGCTCTTCATGGCCGCCTGGAAGTTATTCAATACATTGTGGCCCACAACGCCGATATCCATGCTCAAGATGCAGACGGATGGACCGCACTGCATAACGCGTGTTCGAAGGTACGTAAAACATATCATCGCGGCTGTTCATTTCCTCAACTCTGCAATGCAGGGCTACTTGGATATTGTACGTTGGCTTTGTGAGAAAGGAGGTGCTGCTGCCGAGCTAGATGGTGCACCAGGCGTCGATGCGCGCAGTAAAGGCGGATGGACGCCACTCAGTGAGTACATTACTCTGTCGTCTGGTTCACCACTTGACCTTTCTATCACTGCAGTGAATGCTGCTTCGAAGGGCCACCTCCCTGTGGTTCTGTATCTCCTTACCAAACAGTCGGCGAACCCGCTCGTCAGAAATAACTGGGGCGAAACAGCATACGACATTGCTGCAGCCGTCTTCGAAGTGTGGATTTGTGAGGTACGTCTGCCCAGTAGTATCATCAAGCGTACTCTTACACCTTCCTCGTAGGTACTCTCCAAATTTGAAGCAGATAGGTGGCGCGGAACCACCGTCCCTTACGATCCCTTGGCCGTGCACACGACCGTCCCTTTGATTTTATACGAAAATCAACGGCTCGACACCCGTCTGAAGACTCTCGCTGTTTCTGGTGGCCGTCCAAGGTTCTCTGCGTCTGGTTTGGGAAAGCAAGGGCGTCGACCACCATTCGAGTTGAAGTTGCCGAAAACAGACCCAGAGACTGGCAAGAAGACCGTTGGAGCTTGGCGGAGCGATGTTCAACTTCCGCTCAGAGAAGAACCTCTGACTTTCCCCCTTCCACGTAGCAGGGATCAGCCGTCGAGAGAGGGTGTCGAACGTAGTCATTTCTGGCTGTACGCCGTCTTTAAATCTGGGGTCAATTATCTTTCACTTACAACTTTACTTTCAACAGGTCAGATTGGACGTTGGATGTAACGCACCCTGGTGTCGATGCGGAGACTGGTTGGCAGTTTGCCCATTCGTTCGATGACCCTGACGATGAATGGGTGCCAGAGCCCCCTGGACCACTTGAACGCCTTCTCACCGGCGGAAGTGCTGTTGCTGCTGGTCTTGGTGCTTCAGGATCTGCCAGCGGAAGTCGATCACGACCGCACTCTACCCACTCGCAATCCTGGGTCAGGCGCAGACGTTGGGTCCGCGTTATGCGTCGCAGGCTAGATATCCCGCCGCTGCCCTTTATGGGTCCAGATGGAAACCTGTACCATTGGTTGAATGACGGAACCATGGTACCATTCTCTGAAACCTTCAGTGATTACGGCGATAATGACGGTCAGGAGCTGGGAGCCATGCCGAGTAATCCCCTAACAGCGGCTCAAGACTACGTGGCGAGGGCCCGTTATCTCGCTGGCTCGGGAGCTATAGAGACACCTGCCGGAGAGAGCTCGGTAGTCGAAGCTCGAAGAATGATCGCAAAGTTGGAACGAGCTACGACGGAGTTGAGACAGGGGATTCTGCGTAAGTTTCCGTACCTTCTTGACATGGTTGGATGTGGGCTAAAGCTTCACGTTGCAGGCGACGACGATAGTGAGCGCAAAACTCAAGCTGAAGTGCTTCTCAACGCCTACAGTCGAGAGTTGGAGCGACGGAGGCTTTCTGCAGGAGCGCAGGGGCTGCTAATATCGAGCGGGGGTACGAATATATGATTACTCATAAAAACTATTGACCTAACCAATTCTTCAGACAACCAGACCGTGATTGATGATGACGACGATGAGAGCGAGTTCCAATACCCGACCTCGCCGAACGAAACGATGCGGGCGCCGTCCCTGCGCTCATATGCTACCGACTACTTCAGTCGTCCAGGGGCCTCTCGGACTCCTACGGATTTGACGCCACACCTCGCGCAAGCCCCAGACTTCAGAGTACCCACACATGAAGCACCTCAGAAAGTTATCACGCCTTCATATCAGCCTCCTACTCCTCATGAGGTCCATGCGCGTTGGGAGAGAGACGACCATGTATCAGAGTGCAGACAATGTCAACGGCGATTCAACTTTATACTTCGCAGAGTACGTGTTTGAAATTGTACAAGCATGCCGCTCTACGCTGACAGTCATGCTTGCCCATTTCTAGCACGTAGGTTAACTGTTAGTTGATATATTTTGGAATCTTACTGAACCTTTCATCAGCACTGTCGGCGTTGCGGACGCATCTTCTGCGACCGATGCTCGTCTTATAGGGTCTTGCTGGACCCGATGGATATCGTCCATGACCCTTCGTTCCCAGAAACGACTGCGTCTGCGTCCTCCCAGAGGGTCTGCCAGTCGTGTTATGAAGAGGTCACTGTCAGTGTTCCCAGCCGATTCAGAGAAAGCAGGATGTCCTCCATGGAACGTATCTTCATCGACCAAGGAAGACTTTCTGTGCCCACTACTCATGCAGACTCTAGCTCGCAGCTGAGTGACCTTGCCGAGTGAGTGTCATATACATTTTTAACCCAGAATGTGGCGTATTTATTGACAAATGGTGTTGGTACAGTTGCCCTGTATGTGGCCAAATATTAGCAAACCTTGGGACGGTCGCACAGCAAGAAGACCATGTCAAGGCTTGTCTAGATGGAGGTACCGGGAAGTCACCTCAAACGTCGAAATATCTGGTCTATAAACTTCCTGGCGAAAGCGCTTTGATCGGCACCGAGTGTAAGTGTATCGTCATCCACGATCTTGTGTCATTTCAGTAATCCATGGTTTGTCAATAGGTGTGATTTGTTTAGAGGAATTCTTGAAGGGCTCGACGGTCGCTCGCCTGAGCTGCCTGTGCAGCTTCCACAATGGTGAGTGTTTCCTACAAAATCCGTGTTTTCCTTTTGGCTAAAAGCTTTTCGTAGCTTGTCTATCCTCATGGCTTCAACGCGGACGCAGCTGCCCAGTCCACGCCCGCGATGCGTGAGCTTAAAAGTATTAGCCAACAGTTTACCTCACCTACTATGTCCTATGCTTCCGTCTACTTGCAATTGATTATCACCATCGTTATGCTATCCTCATCTAACTTCGCTGCACCCGGATGTTCCTTGGATGTTCCTACAGTTCTACGTTGCGATTACATACTTCTTCGAATCTACCCACCCCCCGCCCTCCACGAATACACTAATACATACATACATTGGATATAATGCTTCAAGTTTGCGCGAGCAGTCGTCGTGTCATCGCGACAAAGGGCCGGAGCATCATACGTCTCCCTCTTCTCTCGGCTCATAGAACGTGCTATAGCCTACCCTGCTCTGGTCAATGCGTATGACGTCCTCAAGACCCTCGTCATCGGGCTCGATGATATCCTGACCTTTGATGCCGTCCTCTTGGTCATCTACGAACCAATTTGCGGGATCGTCATCCGAGTCTTCTTCGTCGTCGTCTTCCATATCCGATTCAGTAGGTTTATGGTTCCTATACAAAGTCATCAGTCGCGGATCATGGAAAGGAGGACCGGAAATGAGACAGGAGAGAGAAACATGGAGCTAAGAGAAACTCACATGAAAGCCCAGATCCGGGCTTCGCGTTGTTGGCGGGTTTCACCCTCGATGGGATGCCCGTGCCGTTTCCTCTTCTCTTCCAGACGCTCCTTTCGCTCCTGGTCGAGTCGGTGAGCTTCCTGTTCCAATGCGACGGCTTCTTGGATTGAGAAGCTATTATGCGAGTTTGCGCTCTTCGCCGCCTGTGATTTGTCACCACATCGTCAGCAACTTTCGTTGTACAATTTCCGTCAAAGCTGAAACATAGAAAGTGGAGGCTTACGAATTTAGCGAGAGCGCGTTGTTTGGCGAGGATAGGTTGCGGTGAAGGTGGTCGAACGTCTTGAGATACTACAGGCCCAGGGATCTGCGTCGAGCTTGTAACGGACATCGGAGAATTCACGAGTGAAGGTGAAGCCTGGGAGTTCATGCTGGTGTGGGCCTCGGCATCTCCGTTGATACTGGTGTGTTCCATACCATCTCGGAGATCGTCTACGCCGCGCTCGAGAAGCAATGATTCAATCTTGGTCTGTTCGCGCTGAAGGCGAGGAATATAGGTCGAGGTGGAAGGTGCACTGAAAGAGAGGAAGTGGCCACCAGATACGAGACTCGTAAATATCGATGTGCAGCAGACGAGGATGAAACATGAATAGAACGTACGGTTGAGAAAGAACTCGAGCATTTCTGTCATAAATATCGTGCAACTCGCGAATACTCATGTCTTCCATTGGACGGGCTTGGGGCCGCGGTTTGTTTATAAAGCCGGGAATGGGTGCGTACCTTCCCCTAGAAGGAGAGGTAGGACGCGGGTGTCTGCGACTATTTGGAGATGTTGGTTGCATCGTAGCAAGCTCGTAAATGTTGGGGGATGAGCGAGCAAGTAGTTGGGTAGAATGTACCAGGAAAGCAGGAAAGCAGAGTGTGGCGGGTCAGATGTGGGGATGAAGTTCAAGTCGAAGCAGGACTGCGATCATCCCAAGCCTTTTTATACTTCTGACGCCACAGCGCAGTGTGTCCTTCCCAGGGGCATTCGCCACTCAGCCGGAAGCAAAAGACCATAGAAGGCATGACGGTACGACTTTCGCTCTTCGCTGTCGGTGGCCAGAGCCAGGTCTTCCTTTTTGTTCTTCACCGTGACTCACATGAGATCAAGAGAGTTATCACACTGTTCCAGACCGTTCCCCGAACGAAAGAGATGGACACCGTTACTACAAGTTACTAGCACAGATCGTATACAATTACAAAGTCATCCATACACGTTTTCCCTTCAAGTTTCCACTGCTCTGCCTAACTCAGGTAGCAATTTCAGATTGATATGTTTTACATGTACATGTCACCCTGCAGTTCGTTCATCAGTACAACATATACTAGAGGACGTAGAGAAGCTCAGACTCACAGCTCCAGGAGGCATAAACTCGTCATTGTCCGGATCACGCAGGTTTCCACCTCCAGGCGGTCCGCCTCTTGGGTTGAACCCGCCTCTACCAGGGAACGGTCCCAAACCAGGACCCACCGGGTCGAACCGCGCCCCAGGAGGCGCTCCCATCGGTGGCAAAAACCCATCACCACCCCACGGTCCTCTATTCGGCATTATACCATTTCCATGTCTCCCTTGTCCAAAGATAGGATGATTGGGACCCACAAACATGCCATCTCCCCCGCTCAGCGGGAACAGAGGAGGCGGAGCGAAGGGATTACTGGCGTTGGGGAATGGGTCGAGATCGCGACGACCGATTTCGAGAGGATTGCTGGGTGGAATGTGAGATGTAGAGGGATCATTGTAAGGTGCGTAGGGAGGGGCCGATGGCTGTGGACGTGCGGGAGGAGGATCATCGCGGCGTGGGGTTTCTGTTCTGGTGCCACGGGAGGTAGTGCCAGATTCTGACTCCTCTGTATAGCCTTCTTTACGGAGACCTGGCACCAGCTTTTGGATGATCTTAAGCTTGAGCTGAGAGATGAAGTCGGCGACGCGGTTGGAGGAGATAAAACCGTGAACGAGGGGCTGAGCGTCTGTGGCGCTTGCATCATATGGGTAGAATGATGGTGAAACGAAGTCATCTGTAGCGATGTCGAGAGAGGCAGCTTTATCGCTCTAATAAGTGTGTCAATAATTCGGAATTTATAGGGTCAAAGGCAGTGAGTAAGATGCATCTTACCTCAAGAGCGATGGCATTGAAGACGGTGCGACTACCCAGCTTCGATACTTTGATTACAAACTCTAGACTGCTTTGCTCGTGACGGTACCTCAGAGTATAGTGCCCAGGACCGTGTTGGTTCCAACCCTCGGGCAATACTCCATTAAGGGTAGAGCTGGCAGGAGAAGACTCATCTACAGCAATGAGTCTGAACAGCAAGAGGTTGAGAGCTGCGTGGACAAGCGCGACAATTCCATCATGAGAAGACTTTAGCTTTTTATCAGAGCTAGGAAGAACGTTGGGCAGCGCAGCTACGACGGCAGATGGGTCTAGTATGTTAGCAGACATGATCGTGATGGCTGTAGAAGTTAGAGAAGTAGTAGATGATCCTGCTCTGTTGGAGGCCGCGTATACTGACGCCACACCATTACATAATGTAGCGTGGCTTCCGAGCGTCCGCAACGGTGCGCGCCTTCTGCTTTCGTCCGGTCGACTCCCACCGTTTACTTTTACCATCAACACCACAAGGACGTCCTCAATGGCTCGCAGAGACAGGTCGTATTCTCCGGATACGTCTAACAAGAGGGTAAGACCTTCCCATCGTTCTTCCAGGTCTCCGTCGCCAACCAGGCGGACTACCCAAAGGACTGGCAGTTCTCGATACGACGACGAGCGGGACCGCGACCGTTACAGAGAAAGGGACAGGCGAGATAGAGACCGTGAGCGTGACAGGGATAGGGACCGGTATAGGGATGACAGAAGGAGGGACTTTAGGGATGATAGACGAGACGACCGCAGAGACGACCGCCGCCGCTCGCGCTCAAGGGAACGTCGCGACAAGGATCACAAAGCTCCTACTCCGCCCCCCGCTTCTTCTGCTGCACCACCAGAATCTGCATCGAATGGAGCGAAACCCACTCCTGAATCTACCCCTCCCGTAGAAGATCCGAAGTTGAAAGCGAAGAGGGCGAAGCTCGAGGCATGGAAAAAGGAGAGGGAGGCGAAGAAGGCTTTGGATGAGGCGAAGGCGAAGGCAATGGCACTAGCAGGCAAAACCGCACTTCCAGGTGAGTCGATATACCTTTTTTTTTGTCTTTTATGCCGTGATTTTTCATCACTTGATCCTTGCCCTTGACAGTACCTGCATCTGTACCCGCAAAACCCTCCGCGCACCTTAACCGAGCTGCCTTTGGAGGACTCGGTCTGAAAGGTTTACCACTCAAGCCCGACTTGCTTAAGAAGGCAGCCTCCCTGGACGACGCCGTCGAGACCAAACGGAAGCTCGAGACCCTCGGCGACATGCCAGCCATCGACATGTCTATGGCCGAAGGTGAAAATACGATCGGCGATCTCGAAGTTGACGACGACGACGAAGAGGCCAATCGTATGGATGCAGCGCTCAAGGCCAAACCAGTAGAGGCGATGGAAGTTGACGACGACGACGTTGATCCTCTTGACGCGTTCATGTCAGGGGTGAAGGATGAGGTGAAGAAGGTGAACGCAGATGATATGAAGAAGCTGGTAGGCGCCAATGGTCGTATGCGTGAACGGTTGGATGATTCTATGAACGATGGTGGTGCCGCTGCAGATGATACGGGTGACGGAGCGGGTGATGACGAGTTGGACACTACAGAGCTCAATCCGGAGGATATCCTCGCTTTGGCCGCGAAGAAGGCGAAGAAAAAGGAGCTTGCCGCTGTCGACCACTCTCGAATGTCTTACGAGCCTTTCCGCAAGGAGTTCTATATGCCTCCACCCGACATCGCCGCCATGACAGACGAGGAAGCAGACCTACTTCGTCTCGAACTCGATAGCATCAAAATTCGTGGTGTCGATTGCCCAAGGCCCGTAACAAAGTGGAGTCACTTTGGGCTACCCACCAGCGTGTAAGCACCCTATATCAAGTGGTAAAAACCCTTCACTAATTCGCACAACTGCAGCCTCGACGTTATCAAAAGGCTCAACTACGCGGCACCTACTTCGATTCAGGCTCAAGCCGTTCCGGCAATAATGTCTGGCCGAGATGTAATTGGTGTCGCCAAAACGGGCTCTGGAAAGACGGTCGCTTTCTTGCTTCCTGTCTTCCGTCACATCAAAGACCAGCGGCCACTAGAGCAGATGGAGGGACCAATTGCGATCATCATGACACCTACACGGGAGTTGGCCGTGCAGATTCACAGGGATTGTAAGCCATTCTTGAAAGTTTTAAACTTAAGGGTACGTTCTCATGTTGTATCTAAAAGTTACTCCAGCACCTAATATGCGTGTTTGTAGGCTGTTTGCGCGTACGGTGGCTCTCCCATCAAGGACCAGATCGCAGACATGAAGAAAGGGGCCGAAATTATCGTTTGCACGCCTGGTCGGATGATCGATCTCCTCACCGCCAATTCTGGCCGTGTCACCAACCTCAAGCGCGTAACCTACCTCGTTCTCGACGAAGCTGACCGTATGTTCGACATGGGGTTTGAGCCACAGGTCATGAAGATCGTTAATAACATTCGTCCCGACCGTCAGACCCTCCTTTTCTCCGCTACTTTCCCCAAACAGATGGACTCCCTCGCCCGGAAGATTCTTCGCAAGCCTCTCGAGATCACTGTAGGCGGTCGATCGGTCGTAGCAGCTGAGATCGACCAAATCGTCGAAGTTCGTCCCGAAGAAACGAAGTTCAATCGTCTTCTCGAGGTCCTTGGGCAGATGTACAATGAAGATCCAGAGGCACGAACTTTGATCTTCGTCGACCGGCAGGAGGCTGCTGACAACTTACTTCGCGAGCTCATGCGGAAGGGTTATCTCTGCATGTCGCTTCACGGAGGGAAGGACCAAGTAGACAGGGACTCTACCATCGCTGACTTCAAAGCCGGAGTCGTTCCCATCGTCATCGCCACGTCAGTCGCTGCCCGAGGCTTGGATGTCAAGCAACTCAAACTCGTCATCAATTTCGACGCACCCAACCATATGGAAGATTATGTGCATCGCGCTGGGCGGACTGGTCGGGCTGGGAATAAGGGGACGTGTATCACATTCATCACTCCTGAGCAGGACCGGTATTCTGTCGATATCTATCGCGCTTTGAAGGCTAGCAATGCTAATGTCCCACAGGAGCTTGAAGAACTTGCCAATGGTGCGTTCTCTCCATCTGCACATCGTTCAAACCATGTAGTTCTCATATACTCATATGACGTGTGTCGTTTATTATAGGTTTCTTGGACAAGGTCAAAGCCGGCAAGGCACACGCGGCCGGGTCTGGGTTCGGAGGTAAAGGCCTTGATCGCCTTGACAAGGAACGTGATGCTCGCGAGAAAGCCGAGCGGAAAGCGTACGGCGAACCAGACGAGGAGAAGGCAGCAGCTGAGGGTGAGGCGGCAGCTGGCGGAACGACGACAGCTGCGAAGAAAGAGCCAGCCGACGATATGACCTTCGGGAATTTCAAAGTCGAGATCAAACGCGGCCCGGCCCCGGATTCATCGAAAGGCCAACTTGGGGTCGCTGGCGCTGCTGCAGCTGCCCGACGACTCGCACATGCGAAGGAGGAGGAGAAGATACAGTCTTCACTTCGTGCCGCGGAAGAGGCGGCTGCTCGTGCAGGCAAGGACAGTCCGGCGCACAAGCAGGCCCTCAGCGTTGTAGCGAAGCTGAATGCGCAGATGAGGGCGTCAAAGCTCGCGTTACAGGCTCAAATCCAGGCGGAGGACGTGGGCAGGAAGGTCAACCCGGATTCGACGGACTTCCATGCTATTGTGCCTATCAACGACTACCCCCAGAAGGCTAGATGGAGAGTCACGAACAAGGAGACGATGGTGCAGGTTTGTGATTCCCTCTTGATATCCCCGTGCAGTTCACCTTCTGACTGATTTCGCTTCAAACTTGTGCAGCTCATCGATATGACGGGCGCTTCGGTGACCAACAAGGGTATATTCTACGAGCCCAACAAGGAACCACCGCCCGAAGGTCCTCCGAAACTGCACCTTCTCATCGAGTCCAACGAAGAATGGAGGGTAAGCCCCTTCGTACTCCCCATTGCCAACAGATTTTGATGATCCATATTTTTTCATCCGATTTTTAGGTCGAGCATGCCGTGCGCGAGATCAAGCGTTTGCTCATCGAGGCGTCGGCCGCCGCTCTACAGGCAGAGATGCGGAATCCCACAGCGACATCTGGGCGTTACAGCGTCGTTTAGTTGCGCCCAAGGAAGGTACTTCTTGTACAGTGCTTTTGATATGTTCGGAAACCCCGGTCTCATGACATTCGTTTGCACCGAATGGTCAGGCGTATGTGAATCTGGAGTGACTTGTGTGATGTGACCATGGTTGGTGACTGATCCTACCTTTAGTCTGTGATGTGTGCCATCGACGCATGCCATTTGCTTGAAATAACACGAGTGTTGTGATGTCTGATGTACTCAATTATTCACGATTCTTCGATATTTATCATCACAGGGACATCCCACCGAAATCGGTCCAGCTACTGCCAGAAAATTTTACGAAATAAGGAAAACATCCCGCCACGTCCCTCGCGGACGTGGGTACAGTCCAACTTTTGCAAAAAGGTTTACCCGCCAGTTTTGGAACCAGCCGTCGAAGCGGCCGCTAAGGCGGGTCAAGCCGTCGCTGTCGTGTAACAGATTCCCATAGCGAGATACTCAGCTGCTGTGAGCAATGTAGTGGGCGGACGCTATGAAGCATGATGTACTTATGCACAGACAATGTCTGGAATCCGATGAACAGCACGCTGTGGACGTCGTGCGGGGTACCAAGACCTCGCGTGGACAATTGCCGGCGGGACGATCAAAGGAGCAGACCGCGAACCCGAGTTGCTATGTATGACATGTGAGATATATCGGGATCATTAGACCTTGCCGTTCGGACAATATTTTCTGACCAGCACTTTGTGCGTCAGCGGGGTCAACGTGGGTCTAGCAAGTTTGACTTATTAGAGATGCTTGCATTCCCTTCCGCATCCCTCACTCTCTTTTCCGTTCGCCTCCACAGAGTGGTCCCTCGCGCTCACCGGCCATGACGATGGTGTCCCCTCAACCCGAGTCAAGTCAGAGCCGTTCCCAGGACGTGACTTCAGTGGCGGAAAGCTCAGATTCGCCGGAAAAAGACGCTGCAACGATTGCAGAAAAGGACGATGAGGCCGAGAGGACGAAGAACCAAGAGGGTGTACAGTTGACAGAAAAGGATGCTATCGCATTGGAGCAGGAGGAGGACGAGTGGGAGCACGACCCAGCTAATCCTCTGACATGGACCTCACGCAAAAAATGGCGAATGACTGCCATTGTATGTTCAACATTTCCTCCCGCCTTTTTCTTGGTGTTGTTCTCTTATGGTGTATACTCTAGGTGTCTCTCTACACCTTCGTCTCACCTTTAGCAAGTTCTATGATGGCTCCCGCCCTTCCGGATATTGCGGAACATTTTGGTATTACGAATGAGACCATCGTCTCCCTTACCTTGTCCATCTTCTTGCTCTCTCTCGCCATCAGTCCGCTCATCTATGCACCATTATCCGAGATGTATGGCCGGATATGGGTAAGCGGGTGCGGCTCATCTCGCTGCTCCTCTCAACTCTAATCTTTGGTGCTTCACTGGCAGGTACTACATTTGAACAACCTGGCTTTCCTTGCGTTCAACCTGGGGTGCGCATTTGCGCCGACAACAGGCGCTCTGATTGGGCTCCGTTTCCTCTGTATGCCGTGTTTGCAATATCAAGCGGTACAGATAAATGACGAATTATTTTCCAGCGGGCTGGGTAGGGTCCGCTCCCTTAGCTGTTGGTGGCGGCGTCGTTCAAGGTGAAGCAGTTGCATAAACCTTATTGGTGTAATACATCTGACACTGTACAGACCTCTTTTCTCCTCATGACAGGGCTATGGCCATGAGTATGTATAGGTGTGTTCAGGGGTCCTTTGCAGCACGAAATTTCTTCTCATTGCTCTGTCGCTCGACGCACCAGTATGGGGCCTCTGATCGGTCCCGTAGTAGGCCCAATCGCTGGAGGTACGCCCTTCGCGCTGACCCACGCCTAGAGTCTAAAGCTAATGCTTGAACGATGCCAGGGTTCATTGCAGGTGAGGCCGCGGTCTTCTAGACCTGCATTGCCCAATGACCACACACTGACCCATTCGCCATGCACAAGAGACAATTGGCTTCAAATACATTTTCATTGTCATCGTCGGTATAACCGCCGTGGCCGCGATCGTTGGAATTCCCTTCCTCCGCGAGACCTACGCGCCAGTAATCCGGTACCGCCTCATAAAGAAGAAGGATCCCGAGGAAGCTCGAAGACTCTCTGCTGCCATTCTTGCCGATCACGGTGACAAATGGGACCTCCTATGGACAAATCTCACTCGCCCGTTTGTGATGTTGTCTCACAGCCTCATCTGCTTCATGCTGAGCTTGTTTATGGCTCTGTGAGTTAATTTATCGTTGTAATTTACTTGTGGGAAGAGCTTATTCTGTTTGAACTAGGGAGTATGGTATGCTTGCTCTCCATGGTATACGAGCTGTTGATTGACGTGATTATAGGAATTTACTACCTCATGTTCACGACCTTCCCTAGTACGTTCCATGCCATGAAAATCGCTCCATGAACCCATACATATACTCATTGAACGTCATAGCTCTCTTCTCCGACGTTTATCATTTCAGCATTGGTATTTCAGGATTGGCCTACATTGGTCTAGGCGTCGGTTTCATGTCGGCTACCCTGGCCAGTGCTCATATCGGTAACCTAATCTACGCAAAGGTTCGTGTAAAATCTCAGCCTCACGTCGAGTCTTATTTCACAGCTAACCAGCCCGCGTCTTTGTTCAGTTGAGTGCCGCTAACGGTGGCAAGGGCAAGCCAGAATTCCGCGTCCCCGCACTCATTACTGGCTCTTTCTTTGTCCCAGTCGGCCTCTTGTGAGTTTTCAGATATGCGTCTTGGACTAAGGCGGGACTGGTGTGCTAACGAGACTCATCATCAGCTGGTATGGGTGGTCCGCCCAAGCCGGAATTCATTGGATCATGCCCATTATTGGGACGGGAATCTTCGGCGCAGGACTAATGGCTACCTAGTAAGGGCTTTCAATCGTCATCTACATGTACACCTCACTCACCTCATTGCTCCATGGTCAGTCTTCCCATTCAACTATATTTGGTCGACGCATTCCAGTATGGTGCATCTGCTCTCAGCGCCGCAGCCGTACGTCTCATTCTTCATGACCTAACTTCGTTATATACGGTAAGCTCTATTCCTATATTGAATGCATCGTCATACCTCCAGGTCTCTCGCTCCATCGTGGGTTTTGCCTTCCCACTCTTTGGTGAACAAATGTTCGACCGCCTCGGCTACGGAGGCGGCAATTCGCTCCTCGCTGGATTGGCCATCGTTCTTGGGATTCCGTTCCCTATCTGGCTGTGGTTCTACGGCGAGAAGATGAGGATGAAGAGCGCTCTGACGCGGTAGGAATTACAGCCTCCTGATGTATATGGCCGTCTGTCTTATATGTCTCTACGCATCAACTCACGCTTGACTAACACGTCCACTTACGCCACACATCTCATGGAGCACTCATCGCCACGTTTCTATCATAGACGATGCTTCACGCAATTATCACATCCAGGGATCTCCTGCTTTATCTGTTATGCAATGCTGGAAGGACTCGATCACCCCAGGCGGTGCGGGTGTGTCATGAACGCCGTTGACTGACCGTTAAGGAAGAGAAACTATCCAAAGAGGCAGATAACACGGCGTCTCAAAGTTGAAGTTGGTTGTATTCGGAAAACCCCGATAGCCGGAATTATCTCGCCAGCTGGTGTCCCAACTCCACCAGCAGGTCTCCCGCAACCAAAAAATCCCCCAGACTGGCAGGGAGCCCTCAGACTGTCTCAGACATTGCAGGCATTTGCCACCAACCACCCCCCACTTCCTTCACCGATGGAGTCCTCCAGACAGCGATGTGGATGTGTTGAGCTGAGTGCATCGAGACGAGGGTGGGTCTGCGCTTGTCCCACGAACGACAAGGCGAGCTCATTCGCGACTGAGAACTCGCTGCTTGGCCACGCGTTTTCAAATCCACGCATAGTGCTTAGCTTGAGGGAGTTAGCCCTCGCCCGTCTAAGGTGCGACAAAAGTTTCAACATCGATAATACACATGATCAACAAGCTAAATGCCTTCCAACTCCTCACTCTGGAGATAATAAGTGCCCTCACCCCACCTTCGAACCGGCCGATAGTGGTGGTGGTCTTGGGAGCGTGACATCCATCTTCAATGCAAGCTGTTGCAACTCCTTCTGTAGATTCGCAATCCTACGTTGTCTGTCACGAACATGTTCAGCGCTGCAACACGGTAAAGACAGAGCTGAGGCGGTACATACTCATGCTCGAATTGTTGTCCGAACTCGAACATTTGCGAGAGACCGATTTCGTCATTCCGATCGCGAGCCTTCCGCAATTGTTCCTTCTCCTCCTCCGCTCTGAGGTGCGGCAGAAGCCGAGTGTATTCGTGCTCGACCTACGAAGGATAGAGTCAATATCAGTGATGGAGAGTAAAATGATCCAAAGTAAAAGTGTATTGACCATTTTTCCTCTTGCAACCAACGAACTCTCATCATACCTCCCGTGACCTACGACCTGCTCCTTCATCCTCTCCAACTCCTCAAACCACCTCCTCTCCACCCCACTCAATTCCGGATTAGCTTTCCTTGCTATCATCCCAAGCACACGTTTCATCCTCGCCAACAAATCGTTCATCTCGCCCTTCACCTCATCGACTCTTCGTAATGTCTTCTCCCTCCTCTCAGTCTTGAGTTGCTTCGCCTTTTCCATCACCTCCTGGAACTTGCGCGCCTGTCGCTCGTGTTCTTCTTTCTGCAGGGCAGACCGCGATTGTACAGCAAGGTATCCGAGTTGAACTTGCTGGATTTGAGCACTGAAACGCTCATAGGTTTGGCCGAGATAGCGGAGTGTATCGGGGGTAAGACGGAATTCTTTTGCGTTCGCACCGGTGTTCGGTGGCGGTGGCGGGAGAGCGAGGAGAGGTTGAGATGGAAGACCAGTCTGGCGGGCGAAGATGGCGGGGGGTTCAAAGGGTTTGTCGCCTAGGAGTGAGGTGTACGCGCGCGCGCCGGAAGGAAGTAGAAGAAGGGGTTTCTCAGGGGGTGGTACAGAGGCGGCTCGCTCCGGTGGATTTGAGGGTTCGGGGAGAGCGTCAGAGCGGAGGTTCAGCACGAAGGAGACAACACGCATGGATGATGTGAGGATGAAAATGCTGTATGTCAGGTAGACATCGTTTGGTATCGAGACAGCAATCACAGGGTTTGATGATCTGGACCAAACGGTTTGAGTACATGGAATTGAGTGGATAAAGTTGTTCATACCTTCGTTCGACGGAAAACGTGGACACAACCGGCCGCACATCTGTCTGTTCTGACTCCTCCAAAGATGAAAGTAGGGCTTTGTCGGTAGGATCTCCGTGGAGAGCGGCAGCAAGACTACGAAGCAGCTTGTCCAGATATAACGCATGTACACCGAAGGCATGGTATACGTAGACTGTGTCATCGTGTATCGGATCTGCGTGAAGGACAGGCTGATTGCCCGCTAGAAGGTCCAACAGTGGTGGTTGACAACTGGAGAGCATAGAAACAAGGCCAAGGTCGACAGATTCGTATACCGCTAGCATTGGCAGTTCCGCATTTCGGTCTGTCGGGGTGGTCTACAGCAGAACAACGAATAAAAGTTATAAGCCTGGACAGAAATAGCATGAAGCCAACCAAAGTCTTACCTGAGTGGTTTCCCATCTGGCTTCCACCTTCTCCACATCCAAACAGACGTCCACCCTTCCATCCTGGTAAGTAACCAAAACCAGGCCCAGCCTTTCGGTCTCGCCTTCATCCTGCCACTCCTCACCGACCTCCGCCTCAGCACCGAACTTCATATACAGAATGTCCGTGGCATATCCGCCTTCGGTGCCATCCACGTCCCTGGGTGATGGTTGGAGAAGAAATGGGCCTTGGATGCGTGTTGGAGTTCGGATGGTGGCTGGAGGGTGGAGAAGCACTGGTCGAGAAGCTGCAGGATAGACCGTACCGGGAGGGAGTTGTTTGAGGAGGGCTTTGATGTACTTGTATTGATAGTCGTATGCGCGAGTGTATGTTTCCATGTCCGCGGGGGGAGGTATCATGTGCGCCAAGAACTCTTGTTTAGCGGAGACAAAGCACTCGAGGGCATGGATATATGATGAAGGGATAGAGCTGTATAAATCGTGAGTAAACTATGCAGAACGACCGTGTGGCAAGAGACGAACGCATTCTGCGGCATGTAAGGGCAACATGCATAGATGTCGCCACTTTTCAGGACAGCGTAGACGGTCAGAGGACCCCAGTCTGCCAGTCCCTTGCCGAACGTGAAAGAAGCGACTTCGTATTCTGATTCATCGACGACGCGGTATGACTTGCTTTTCTTCGGCGGCCGTGGCTGTACGAAGGAGACGACCTGCTGTGGTTCCTCCGTATCCGTAGAAATGTCATACTCCCTAGAAATAGTATCGGCATGAGCAGGGCAGGATTAACAATAACCAAAAAGAGTTCAACAAACCGTAGCTTTCCATCAGTGGTCATGACCATCAAGGTAGAGCCAGCCTCGCCCCACGGATGCCATTCAACCTTGGCAATAGGAGCTGCGTCGGTAGTGGCATGGTGGTACTGTCCGACTTGTATGGACCTACACTCCCTCAGCACTACAGCATGTACCACACGTAGATGACACTCACTTGCAGTCCACGACTTGTGGAACAAGTTTAGTAAATCCTGGCCGAGGGAGAACGACAACAGCGATCTGGAAAGCGCCCGCCACGGCGAGGAGTTTACCACTTGGATTCAACGCTAGTTGGTGTACGTCAAACTGTAAGTTCGGTGTGTGCAGAACCTGAGAATAGCACAGTACTCAGTATATATATGTATGGGTCCTGAGTACACCACATACGCGGACCCTGTAGCGAAGAGGGACTCACTTTATACGACCTCGAGGCCTTGTTATTCAACTTCACCTCCCCTAATGTCATCACACGCAGCTCCGACCCAACGGCAACTATGAGTTCTGTGTCGTTTATGACCATAGCTTGTCTTCGACCGGAAGGTGTAGGGTCGTCATTCTCAGGATCGGCAGAGGTGAATCTGGAGAGTGTGTTCGCGGACAGTTCATATGAAGCAGCGACACTGGCTCCTGGGCGAAAAGAGGGTCGTGTCTGAGGAGAAGGCCGTTGGAATATTGGGTGGCTATTCAGAATGTGGTTCAGGTCGTCGTCGGTCGCCATCGTTCAGTATGGGGGGCTGCTGTCTGGGTAAGGCCTCGAGTTCACGTCGAATGCAAGTCGCGACTCCGACGCGTCTCTAATCTTGCTCCCGAACAGGAGACACATTCCCACGTGCGACGCGTCGTCCCGCTTGCGCGTCCTCGTTCGCGCACTGCACTCAATTCCATCTACTGTCCCCTTTCCGTGACCGCAGTCCCTTCTTCTTTACACTTCGATCTTCAGCTATGACATCTATTGGGACGGGATACGATCTCTCTGCCAGTACATACTCCCCAGATGGCCGTATATTCCAGGTAAGAGCCTCGTAATACCATTTACTGAACTCTTATACTTACGCCATGAACCACCATAGGTCGAGTATGCCAACAAAGCAGTCGAGAACTCTGGGTACAAGTCTACCTGATCCATTATTTTTAGGGCATCTTATTGATACAACCATTAATCGAATTGCACAGAACCGCCATTGGTCTCCGTGTGAAGGATGGGGTTGTGCTTGCCGTGGAGAAACTCGTGCATTCGAAGCTTCTTGTACCAGGGGCCAACAGGCGTATACAAACAGTAGATAGGCATATTGGGCTTGTAGGCACATTCCCTTCTTATTTGCGAACTGAATCGCATCACGAACGCTGACGTATGTCAATTGTGGCAAGGCTACGGCTGGTTTGTTGGCCGATGGACGCCACCTGGCGAACAGGGCAAGAGATGAGGCTGCGAGCTACAGGGATTGGTACCGTGAGCCACCCACATTGAAGGTGCGTTTATCTATACCACATGAGATGGAGGACGTAGGTCTGACTCCACATAACCTCTCGAAGGCTGTCGCAGATCGATTGGGACTCTATGTTCAAGCTTACACTCTGTACTCCTCTGTTCGCCCCTTCGGTATCAGCACCATCCTTGGAAGTGTTGACAAGACTGGCCCTCAACTTTTTGTAGTTGAGCCGAGCGGTGTATTCTATGTGCGTTTGATTTACCACTCAACGCCAAACCCCTGCCTGACTTGTGTGGCGTCATATGTTACTCAGGGCTACCATGGTGCAGCAGTCGGCAAAGGTCGTCAACTCGCCAAGACGGAGCTTGAGAAACTCAAGCTGTCTGAGCTGACCACCAGAGAGGCCGTTCTGGAGGCTGCACGAATGTACGTCCTCTGTCTCGCCACAATGTTGGTATGCCTTAGCTTACAGATATGCTCGCCACAGCATTCACCTTGTTCACGACGATCACAAGGAGAAAGAGTTCGAGCTCGAGATGTCTTGGATTGGAGATGAGACGGGCGGTCGTCATCTACCTGTGCCCAATGATTTGTTCGAGGAGGCCGACCGGAAAGCTAGGGAGGCTCTGGAAAACTTTGAGTGATCGTTGGTGTGGCGCTGTGTTGTTGTCTTCTGGGACTGTACTTTTAATCAATGTCATACGCTTTCGTCCTCGCCCTTGTGCTTATCCTTCACGCCACATTCTGCGTACACGATACGATCGTTGTTCTCCTCACGATGGGTCTGACATGATTACGAGAGGAATACCAAATAATACAACAAGAGAAAGACTACACGATTTGTTCGAGTTCGCGAGCGTATGCAAGGTTATTTGCGATGAGCTTCTCCTTGGGTATCTCGATCTTCTCCTCTCCTTTGTGCGAGAATGAAATGGTCCCCGCCGTTAAGTTTACCTGCCATCCTCGCTATTCAAGAACGGTCAGCAATGAACGGCCAGACAGAAATAGAGTTCGTGGTGTGAGGACGAACCTGTTGCGCAAAGTTCATCAATTCCGTTTGGGTCTTGAAGAACAGAAGTGTGGCGGCATCCTTCAACGGCAAACTCTCGTACGCTGCCTCCTCACAGCTGGCAATCTCATTCCTGAATAATCATTAGCATTAGCCAAAATCAGCATCCTTTCCGAGGCCCAACCCGAACGAAGCATACCGAATAGTGCCCATCAAACTATCCACGAAGAATTTATACTCCTCTGCAGGAGCCTCTTCCCTCGCATTCCACACCTTGCTGTAGCTTCCCTCCATTAACCACCGCTCGAGGTTAACGGGGTGGCGGATGTAAGGGTTCTGTGAGATTTCATCGGCTGGGATGGGGAGGGACTCGAGCGTGGTGTGGAAGTCGGCTATGCGGTTCTGGATGAGGAGGCGGATGAGGTTGAGTCCGCGGATGGGGAATTCGCGTTTGGATTGGGGAAGGACGGTGCTGTTATACAGAAATGCAGGGGTAAGTGATTGGGACACGAGCTGTGGCAGCCAAGGTCATGGGGCGAATTACCTGAAGTCATTGTAGAATGTTTGGAGTTGAGAGAAGTAACGGTCGAACGAAGGGACATCCTTCGAACGTATACTCCAGAACGCTCCGATTTCGAGAATATCACCTGTATGTTTCCCGTGTCAGTAAGTTATGTGGCTAGAACACATTCAACACGATATAAACCTACGGGCGGCGACGAGATCCTCGAGACTCAGGTCTCGTGTGGGGAAAAGCAGTCCGTTTTCTATGAGCGCAATCTAGTATTATACAAAATCTAGTCAATTCGCTGTGAGGGTCTCGAGATGACTATAGTGAACCTTTAGTTGAGCTAGCAGTTGGCCACACTTCTGCAAATTGGATGGTTTCGAATCAAATGCACGTATGAGTTCCTTATACAAAGTCTGAAGCTGTGATGGTGCCATTTGCAGAACTATCAAGGGTGAAAGACGGTAGGAAAATGTATGATGTGGTGGGCGGTGGGGATGGGTCCGAGCTGAACGCGGTAGGGTTTGAAAGAGACGCGTGTACGGACGCGACGCGTCATCTCAGCCACAGAGCTTAGCTCGAAACCAGATCCCATACTTGCTCTTCACCTTCACCTTCATCACAATATTTTCCATTTACGACTCAACCACAATGGATCACCCTGATATGAGCAGACTGAAGGCCGGCGAGGTCAATCTCGGGGTATGTATTTTATCCAGCTTCTTACGTGCTGTGATATGCTCAAGGCAACTGTCGACGCTTTATAGACCTCTATTATGGCCGTTCAGTTCGATGGCGGAGTTATCGTTGGTGCTGACAGTCGGACAACTACCGGAAGCTACATCGTGGGTTTATACTGCATCTACACCTCTACAAACTTATACTGAGCATGGGAGAACAGGCCAACCGTGTAACAGACAAGCTCACCTATGTCCATGATCGCATCTATTGTTGTCGTTCAGGCTCTGCTGCCGATACGCAAGCCATCGCAGACTACGTGCACTACTTTCTCCAGATGTTCTCGTAAGTACCTTTTACCTCTATGATATTGCACGTCTCTCACGATGCGCCACAGCCAGCAGCACGGCACCCCCTCTGTCCATACCGCCGCTGCCATGTTCCAAAAGATGTGCTACGAGAACAAGGACAATCTTAGCGCTGGTATCATTGTAGGAGGTTGGGACCCTGAAGAAGGCCCGAGCGTATACAACATTCCTCTTGGCGGTGGCCTCTTCCGTCAGCCCTGGGCAATTGGTGGTTCCGGTTCGACGTATGTTTATGGTTACTGCGACGCGACGTATCAGGAGGGGTGGGGAAAGGATGAGACGATCAAGTGGGTCAAGAATAGTGCGTACTCAATACTCATCTTACTCTATCGTATCATTGAAGCTAATGAACATGCTCTTTAGCTCTTGCGCTTGCCATGTCTCGAGATGGGTCGTCGGGAGGTTGCATACGTATGGCTGTCATCACCAAGGATGGTGTTGAGCGACTGTTTGTCCCAGGAAACGAATTGCCCACGTTCTGGGAGGGCCACGAAGTCTTAGGCAAGGGGGCGGTTAGGTCTGCGACGCAGGTGGCACCCATGGCCGTCGAGGCGTAGTCAAGGTCATAGTATGTCTCTGGAGATGTGTAATTCTAGCAACTTGAAACGCTGTGCTGTCCTTTGTCCTAGTATTGTGCGTAGATATGAGATATGAAATCCACCCCCGAAGATACTATATGAGCGGAGGAACCAGTCGGACTCGGTCAACGAACCGAAGTCCACTTCCTCTCTTTCCCGAGTCCTCCTTCCACCCCACCCCTCCCGCTCTTGCCCAAATCTCCCCACCTCCTAGCCCAGCTCCATCTCCACTTACTCCTCCACTTCCAAATCACCGCAATTGTATATATCGCTGCCACCACGAGCCCAATGACCAGCAACGAAACGCCCAAAGCCGCCCACGCCGCCCCTCTATCCAAACCCGTTCCATTTGAACAGGATCCCGAATCAGCGCCATAACCGGAGCATGTCGACGCATCTGAGTTTGAGGCGCCGGATGTAAGCCCTTGAATAGTATAGGCAATGAAGGCGACTGCGAAGGCGATGATCGACCAAACCAGGAGTACAGGTGGAAGCGACAGGAGAAGAGCATGTCCTGTCACACCAAAAGCGCCATTTTTTGCGTTATGGAGGTATGCGAAGGAGTTTGACTGGTGAACGTTGGCTTGGTGTTGCCAGACACAGAAGACACCAATGATGATGCTTCCGAGTGAGGCGAAGACAGAGACGATGCCTGAAGATGTGCTTATTGCGTCCAGGTTCGGAATGGCTAGGAAGCTGACTGTGGCACTGGCGAGGGGCGAACATACTCAGGCTCAGCAGATCCATACAGACTACAAGCTAATTCAATACACTTACGAGAGAAGCACGGTAGCCTGTTCAATTTATTTATGAGGAGGGTTTTCGCTTCAAAGTGAGGGGACATTGTACTTACTATGAGCAAGAAGTCCTGATACTCCTGCACGAGCCTCCTGATATAATCCTCCCATCTTTTCTGCATATTCGATAATCTTCCTCGATACTCACTTGCGTCTTTGACATGAGCATGATACGTCCATGGAATAGCGAAGAATAACACATTTATAGCGAGGTTCAGCAGTGACTGAATGAAGACTGGCGGCGGTGTAGGCGGTGGTGCGGCCCCCTTGTCCGCTCGTTGTTGCCGCAGAGCAGACGATTGTCGGAAGGTATGTTGTCCAAATTCTTCGGCATCGCGAAAGTTCCCTTGTGCACGTCGTCAATGAAAGGTCACCCTAAAGGTAGTGGAGAGCTAATTACAGATTTCTCGTAAAATCCATGACACGAAATTTGTACGAGCAGCATTTGAGCTCTCCGAAGAGCCTGGGCCTACATTAAAAGGGGATTCAGTAGACGCTTGAGATATTGAGAGTTTGAAAGCCGTGTGAGATACCTTGCGAGGTATCCAGTATTCTCAACAAGTCTTCGCACTCTGCTTTCGAAAACGGTACAGTGCTCCGCAGGCCGCTCACCAAGTTGTCCGTCGAGTACCAAGTTAGAGCGTCTCGGACTTGTACCGCGGCTAGCGCGGGTGTTGATCGATGTGAAGGGTGCCATTGAAGGAAGTTCCAGTATGCTTTGTGGCGTCTGGTGCCTAAGAGTATGCAGTTAGTCTACCTGATATTTATATTGGTGAGACGACCTACGAATTCGATGTTCAAGCTTGTGAAAGTTCTCGGTCTTAACCTCATCAAGAATATACGAAGCGGTGCTGTGTAAATGATTTAACACCAGAGTCAACGCTACGTAGAACGAAAATTTTATCAACGGTGCGCTCTGTTGAACGACCAGCTAGGAAGAGTTCACCGACCATGATCGCCAGGCTCGGCTCCAGGAGGTATAACAATTTCCATATGCTTGTCAATGTTCTCCAGCGAGTAAGTAGAGATGTATTCCTCGACATTATGATAGACTTCGGGAATGCGTATGTCTTCGTCCGTCACGAGCCTTTGCTTTGGATCAGAGAAGTATATCCAGCCTCAGGCTTGTGGGTGGATGTGAATGGACCATCCCGGAGGTACGGTCTTTCCAGTGTTTAATTCAGCCACATTGTTTCTGGGGTGATCAAGAAGAGTCAACAGACAGCCAGCAACGAGTTTGTGATGGCCTACATGGAGGGCACGAAAGAGAGTCGCCTTGGAGAAGCTACTAGCGGGTCTGACATGCTCAAGGTAGTCACGGTCCGGACACGATTTATACTACAGCGCTATGGAAAAAAAGGCAATGGAGAGGAAGAATAGCGCAGCAGTTAAGGTCTGTGGTCAAGTATATCTAGTGAAGACGGCAAGTTGTAGGATTGCCTTGAACAGCCTGAGACTCCTGTAGAAGAAGCAGGTTGGTCGAGAGCGGCTCGAGAAGACGAGCGAGTTGATGAACAATTCTCAGGACCAAGGCTGCAAGAGTTCACGCGTTCGACTGGCTGAGCAAGAAACTATCCCAGCGATTGTGAGACGTGTCAATCTACTATGGGAGTTCGTTGCAATATACATCGAGCTGCAAAATGATGAAGTACTGCTGGCGGTTGTCGGCGTTTCGACTTTCAAGTGAACGAAAAAGTTCACACGATCGACTTTGTGGCGAGCGGGTGGCGAGTGTCAAGCCGACGCGTCGGTGGCTGAGCCCATTGAACCCCACGCGACTTGCCTTCCTCTCCGTTCAACCACTGCCTGCATCGTCCTCGAACTCAGGCTTCCCTCTTTCACGACTCTCATCATGAGTGCGTTCGGTAATTTCGGCCAAAATGCGAACAACACGAACAATAACGCAAACAATGCTCAACCTGCCCCGACGGGCGGTGCTTTCTCAAATCTAGGTTCTAATCCCGCGCCAGGCAGCGCGTTTGGCGGTGGAAGTCTGTTTGGTCAACGTATGTCGTGACTTCGATGGACAGATGGTAAATGTACCTAAACAGTATCATTTATCCTCTATAGAAAACCCACCAGCGGCAGGAGTTAGTTTGTTTGGCCCTGGCGCAAATGCAGGAGCAAACACAGCAGGTGTGTCACGGTCAACATCGCTTTGTTTTAACACGAATCTAAACATATGCATGGCACACGATTTCGACAGCAGCCCCAGCACCTGCAAGTGGTGGGCTATTTGGTGGGGGGAGCAATGCTGCAGCGCCTGCTGCAGGTGGCAGTCTTTTCGGCGGAGGTGGTGGCGCCAATCCTCCAACCCCTGGTGGTAGTCTCTTCGGCGGAAACACCAACACGACAAACAACGCAGCACCCGCACCGGCCACTGGGTCTCTATTTGGCGGTGGAAATACTGCGAACAACGCGCCTAAGCCTGGCAGCCTGTTTGGCGGAGGAGCTGCAACAGGAAGTGGGCAACCAACCGGGTCTTTGTTTGGCGGAAATGCAGGGGCGGCGGCAGGTAGTACAGGGGCTGCAGCGGGAGGAAATACAGGGGCTGGGGCTCCCGCTACAGGCAGTTTGTTCAGTGGAGGCCTCTTTGGAGCGAAACCTGCAGATTCAAATGCTGCTCCAAGTGCGCCCAAACCGCCGGGATCACGTACGTGGTACAATTGCGCTTTCTGCTTTCCCTACTAAAACCTCCATCATAGTCTTCGGTGCACCTTTAACAGCCAACACGAATACCCCCGGCACATCTGCTCCGGCCACTGGTCAGCCCACAATCGTGTGACTTCGTATCGTATATCCTGCGCTCACTCCGTTTCTGTAGGGGCACAACCGTCACTTCTTTCCCGGCTCGGTGGCGATGCGCCAGCGCCTAGCACCTCGCCGGCTCCTGCACAAGGTGGCCTACTTGGAGGTAGTCTGTTTGGCACAAAAAAGCCTGATACTCCTGCCGCCACCACACCAGCAGCCGGGACTTCCGCTGGTGGTTTCACCTTGGGTGGTGCCAAACCGTCTACACCTAGTTCGTAACCTATCTCCTTCCCCACCAAAAAACTCAATCTGACGCTCGATCGTGTCTCCTTCTCACAGCTCCCGGAGGTAGTCTATTTGGTAATACCGCGAATACAACTGGTACCCCTGGTAAGTAAGTTGTCATCGAGGAGTGCCAGGATCTAATGTTACATATAGCGACAGGTAGCTTGTTTGGAAACAAGGACGGGGCCACTACACCAGGTACGTCATTATTTTACATGTATTTTCCAGGTGTATTTAATTGAATTCGCGCTACCCGCAGGTGGAACCACTGCAAACAAGGATGCCGCCGCCCCAGGTGAGACTTGTAATTTGGTCCTGAAATGCAAAGACGACTCAACTCTCATCAATAGCTGCCGGCCTCAATCTTTTTGGGGCTGCAACCGCGAACAAGCCAGAAGAAAAGAAAACGACGAGTAAGAACATACCTATAGGGGAACAGGTTGTTACTAACCATGCTCTTGACGCCCAACATAGCTGCATCACCATTCAACCTCTTCGGTGGTGGGAACACCGGAGCTGCTTCGACAGCAACTTCAACAGAGAAGAAGGATGGTGCCACATCAAGTACGTTATTCTACTTCGCTCAGTTTTCCTCGCTATACTCACCTCTACCATCACTAGCGGCCGCAACGACAGTAACGGCGCCCGCGGTCTCCGTAGCACCTCCGTCGATGCTTCGAGGGAAAAGTATCGAGGAAATTGTGAACCGATGGTCTTCTGAGCTCGAGACGCATGTGCGCGAGTTCACGAAGTACTCAACAGAAGTGGCTGTCTGGGATCGAGCCCTGTATGAGAACGGGAACAACGTACGTTCTGGAGTCCATGTTCATTTGGACGACCATAGCATCTGACTGCCCCTCGCTTGTTGTACGCGTTTGCTATACAGCTCGCTGCCCTGTCTGCACACGTGCTGGCTGCCGAACGGGAACAAAATGATATTGACCAGTCCTTGGATCATATCGAACAGCAGCAACGGGACCTCGGTGCTACGCTAGAAGAATACGAGAAGCAGGCGGAAGAGATTCTGGGGAGGCAAGGTGGATCGTTGAGGTCGCTCGATACTGGCCCTGCGGATTCCGAGAGGGACAAGAAGTATGAGTCAAAGCTCGATTATAACCAGGTTATTCACTGACTTTTCACTCTCACCAGCTACATGCTCGCGACCGAACTTCACAGTCACCTTGACGACCTTTCATCCTCACTCACTCAACTCATCGACTCCGTCAATGCCGTCTCACTTTCTGCCATCCCTCCCTCATCTTCAGACGCCGCAAAATCCAACGAAGACTCGATGGCAGGTATTGCTCAGGTTTTGAGCAACCACTTGGAGAGCTTAAACTGGATCAACACGTCCTCAAAGGAGCTGGAGGCCAAGGTTGGAGAGGTAGAGAGCAGGGTAAGAGATGCGGGTATTAGTGTCAATGGCAATGTGGGTCAAGGGGCTACCTTGGGGTCGGGGACAGGTGGATATAGTGGGAGGTCGAGGGGATTCGGGGTGAATCGGTGATGCGTTTTCGGCCTTGGAGATCTGTATGAACCAGTGTGGTTTGTTGTTTGTTTCATGATGACTTTTCTGTATCTACTATCCTTCTGGCAACGATTGTCTTGTTTTCTTTGAATGCAGATGGACGGTCTCCCAATCCATAAAGCGGTGACGTCCTGTGGCACTCATGCGTCACTCGGGCCACAAAATATTCAACATCGCGTCAAAATTCATCTCGGCACCCCCCGGACACGTTCTTAGCTTGAGCGCGACGAAGTCATGCACACCTTGCTCAGACGCACAAGGCCTGGCCGCACATTCTCATGTCACAGCTCTTTCCTGGACCTATCTTGTCGGCCCTTGCTTTCAGTAGAACTATGCCGAGGACTTCGTAGTAACGGACCAAGTCATGTCTCTCGGTATACACACACGGATTCACAAAGCGTGCCACCTTCAGGGCCTTCACCCCCAGCTATGCATTCACCGGAGCCTTTACCTCCTAAAACATGGGTAGACCGTCTACCTCCAAAGGTTCAGCCATACTTATATTTGACTCGGATTGACAAACCAATTGGAACGCTTTTGCTGTTCTATCCCTGTGGTGCGTTTCTTCTCCGACCTTCATGAGATGTGGCGAGCGGCTAGATCTCTTCGTTGCTGACGCTGGACCTCCGTGACAAATATGAATTCAGCATGGTCTATAACAATGGCCTCTTATTCATTGAATCTCCCACCAGAGGTTCCACTAAAGTATATCACCCTGTTCGGAATCGGGGCGTTGGTCATGCGTGGGGCTGGTTGCACGATCAACGATATGTGGGATCGAAATCTCGACAAGGCTGTTGGTGAGTCCGGATTCTGGTCGTGCGCTTGCTGCTTAACACTATCTGCGGTGCTGTAAGGATATGTACTCACTCTCAGACCCTGGAATCCCAGAACGCACAAAAGAGCGACCGTTAGCTCGTGGCGACATCACTCCCACTCAAGCATTCGCCTTCCTTGGATTGCAGCTCTCAGCGGGTCTGGCTGTACTGACGCAGCTAAACTGGTATAGGTATGGACGAGACCGTACCATTCAATACGATAATGGACCTTGCTAACAAATTCACGATGCGGTACCATACATTCCAGCATCCTGCTAGGCGCATCTTCCCTGTCCGTCGTTACAATTTATCCTCTTATGAAGCGTGTCACGCATTGGCCCCAAGCCGTCCTCGGTACGTCGTCCATTCCATCCTTCATCATCTCGCTTCCTTTCTGCCATTCTTGCAATGCTCCAATGCTTCGATGAATCTATGGAACCAAACTCACACCATAACCTCCCAAACCAGGCCTCGCCTTCAACTGGGGCGCCCTCCTCGGCTGGTCCGCCGTCGCCGGCACCGTATCCTGGTCAATCTGTCTCCCTCTCTACCTCGGCGGTCTTTCCTGGACTCTCGTGTACGACTCCATCTACGCCCACCAAGACAAACACGACGACATCCACGCCGGGATCCGCTCCACCGCCCTCCTCTTCGGCGACACCTACACCAGACCCATCATCTCCGCCTTCTCTCTCTCCTCGCTCTCTCTCGTTTCGTACGCGGGATATCTAGCCGAACACGGCGCGCCGTTTTATCTGGGCGTTGGGGTGGCGGGGGCGCAGCTCGCGAGGGTGATTTGGAGGACGGAGTTTGGGAAGAGGGAGAGTTGTTGGAGGGGATTTACGGGGTCGGGGTGGGCTGGATTTTGGATATGGATGGGCGCGCTTGCGGATTATACTCTTTTGCAGATGACTTAAGGCAGCCGACGATATTCATACGTTCAACTATCAGCGAGGATCGTAACAAACAGTGCGAGTTTTCTGAGCTCTCTACGAGGGCAAGTTTTTCTGCGTAAAGGACGTAGGGACCAAGTGGTAAAAAGTGGGAGGTCGTGAGCGAATTCGTCAGCTGGAAAAAAATACTGAGGAAAGAAAATAATAATAACTAAGAATACACGGTAGCGTGAAAGGGTGGGTGGAGGGTGGAGGGTAAATGCGTGGTGCAAAAAATATACAGTAAACAGTGATTAGAAGCTCCTGAGAGTCGTGCCACATAAGGTGAGACGCAGGTAAACCGAGGAAAGGATGGCAAAGCGGATGAAAGCATCAGAACCAACACGGGAAACATATAGCGAGAACGCGTGCCCAATTGAGAATATGTACTAAAGAAAGTGTAAGTGTAGTTGATGCGAAGAAAAAAAATCGCGTTTAAGCGGACGAATGGAAGGCGATGGCGGAGTGTGTGCGAGATTTGAGCCAGCCCTTGAAGCCGACAACAGCGAGAGCCCAAACGAACGCGAAGCACGTGATGGCAACGGCGACGTTAGCAAACATCATGACATCTGAGAAGATGGATGAATCAGTCTCCTCTTCGACAAACAGATAAAACACCGAGTGCTCACCATCATGACCTTGACGCATTGCGGCGATTGTAAGCTCCTCGTCGCTAAACATGAAGACGAGACCACCGCAAGCGAGGAAGAAACTTCCTAATGCCTCCGTAGGGGGGCGTGAGGGGAGGATCGAACGTGGGGGACCCAGCCAAAGGAAGAAGTAGGTCAGACACCGAAGAATGGCGAAGCCGGACAAAAGGTAGCCCCAAAGTGCGTGTATTTGGACCTAAAATAAGATACGATCAGACGGGTGCAGACGGGGATAGAGAGAAAGATCGCATTACTGACCTGGAACACGTAGGTCTGGAAGTGGGCGCTCATGGCGGCTCCAGTGACTCCGATGACGAGGGCGGGGAAGGGGTTGAAGGATGCCGTGTAGCTAGGAGGCTCCGCAACAGCCTCGCCCATCTTACTCCCGGCCTTGATAGCAGCCGTGGAGGCACCAGCGAGCCAACGTCGGAAACGGCGAGACTCGAGGCCCATTCCGACGAGACCGGCAAACCAAAACATAACGGCGATGCTGATGTGTTGCATTTGCTTGGTGGTATAAGGGTCCCCAGGGTGGGCGCCGAAGCGTTCCATCCAAGTATTGGTGATGCCATAGAAAAAGATGACGGAGGATTCGACCATCTCCGCAGAAATAAAGTCCCCAACGGGGGTGCGGTTCCACGCCCAACCGTACTCGGAGAAGGCCCCGAGGAAACGGCCGAAAGTGACCAACCCGTAACACCAGAAGATACCACCCTCTGCGAATTATAAACAGGGCGTCAGCGGTGAGGCTTTATGAACAGAATAGAACTACACGCACTGATGAGGTGAGCGAGGCAGCCGTTGATGTAGTTCTCTCGGCAACCGCCAGTGTAGACGACAATGCCGACCAACAGTTCACCAAATGCGGCAAAGACCAACGACCGTTCCAAGGTCGCGAACGCGATGCTACCAACCTTGCGAAGGAATGAGGCATTGGGAAGGCTGTGGAGGGAATGCGTATGTTCGTGAAGGGTCTCGTCCGAGTGCTGAGAACCACGCGGAGAATGGACGTCAAAGACGGTCTGTTCCGTATCTGCCATGGACACAGTGCGCGCGTGATGCCGGTGATGGCGGACGTCATTCGCCCACTGAGCAGTTTCGTCGTCGTCGTCTTCGGGATCATGCTTAAGCATCTCTATCTCTTCGGGCTCCTCAGCTACGAGATTTGCGTACTCAGCCTGAGAGCCATTAGGTTGCTCCTCTTGGGCGAGGATAACATTGCGCCAGAAGGTCTTGAGGGAGAACTTGTCGCCACCCCTGTTCGCACGAACATACGACGCGATCCTTCCAAAGCCGGCGAACAAGTCGATGGCGGTGACAATGAGAGCAAGGAGAAGAACGAAGTAGCTCTGCGAAGAGTGTTTCTGTCCCTGGTACCTGCAAACAGCGCGGTGATGAGCCAACAGAATAGAGGCAGACGGAAACGAGCGTACATCTCAGGGGTCAATTTCTTATACAGCCCACTCGCCGCACAACCAATTACGGTAAACGTCCAGAAGAGAATGGTGGTGAAGCCATGCCATGGATGGTTGACAGAACGCAGAGCGATGCCTGACAGGGGTTCCGGATTGAGACAAAGAGAGAGGACGGGCCGGAAGGTGACTTACCAGCTGGGAGGGCACCGAAGAAGGCAGCGCACATGGAGAGAACATGAACGACCATGAGCCCCGGATGTCGACTCTCATTGGGATCTCTCTCTGCAATGTCAATGGTCCAGTACGAATCCGGCGTGGGGGCATGATATAAAGTGACTTCGGTCTCGTTCAACTCGACGACGGGCTGAGCGTGGTGGCCACCGTGAGCGTGAGCATGTTCGTCCCGCGCGGCGAAGCCCGAGAGATAGGCGGACGACGGTAGTTGGCGTGTGGCGAGGCCAGCGGGCTCTATGGGCGACGGCGCAGAGGCTGCGTGGTCTGGATAGAAAGCTAGAGATGGCAGTAGGAAGCTGAGGGTGAGACCGTGCCAGTTGGGACGCATGACTGGGGACAATCGGGCGAGCAAGAGCGACAAAAGCAGGAGAACTAGACATGATTTATATATTTCTCGAATCTTCGGACGGCGGATCTCGGTGCCAAGATGCGATTCTTCAGCATCGATTAGTAACATCCCTGCATTCCGAGTCCGTCTCACGGTTCATCGGTGCGCCTGCCTTCACCCAAGCCTGAAACGCCTCTGCACCTCACCAGGCGTCGATTCTTCCCGAGTCCATCGGAGTGTCTGCCGTTGGGGTGTCGTCTACCGAGCGATGGCCATGGCTGAGACGTCCGTGTATCCTGCCAAAAGAGCTCGCTACTGGCGGAAACATTTGCGAATCGGGAAAGCAGTCGTTAGTGCTATTGCGGCCGTCCATAAGCAGACTGAATCGTTTCGGGCGCTGACGTACCCGCCATGACTCGCGCTTGTCCGTCGCGTCACTTGCCGGACCCGTGCCGCTGCCGGCATCTCCTCCCCTCCTCCGAGTCCTCCTCATCCGCTCGTCTGACGTCCACTGCCGCAATATCTTGTACAACGGCCTCATCTTTTCGCGCTCGTATCGCGGAAATTGTTCTTCTGCCCTGCTGGACAGAATCACAACCGCAGCCGCCCATGTATGAGTGGGTCTTCGCGTTAGCCTCGACTTGACTCGACTCGGCCAGGCATCCACTCTCTTGGTGTGTCGACCCACAACAACCCCTAACGGACCGCCGGGGCACTCGGACGCTTGTGCACGAACCCATCAATACTTGTTTCTTCTTTGTTGAACACACTTCCTCCAATTTGTGCTGATGGTTGCTCGTTTCCAACTCAGAGCCAGCCATCTTGGTGCCCTTTTTCGTGTGGTCTTGCATCCTCGCTCTATTGTGTCCCGCATACCGTGCGCCCACTGTTGGTCCGCCCCTTGGCCTGCCACCACTTTATGCTACCACTTGCGAGCTTTTCTCGTCATCATTCTTTCTATCTTCTCTCTATGGACTGATCATCTTCCACCTGCATCCGAATCCACCCATCCATCACATCTTTGATGGATTGAAACTGAGCTCATAATAATGGCTCAGTTCCTTTACGTTTGCTGACTCTCACAAGCGCTATGTTCGCGCCATTGATTGCACGCGGGACGGCCGCATTCTCTCGCCTCTCTCGACCTTATGCGTCGTGGCTCACCCACGGGTCGTCTTCGTCGTGAGCTCACCACTCCCCAACACCAATTCTCGCCCTATGGACACGGGACATTTCGGGCGAATTTATCACGGCGGCCTCGATGATCTTCCATCTCCTGAGTTGGTAAGCTTCTGACTTGGACTGACACCCGTGCTGACAGCGCTTCCGTTCCCCTGCGGTATGCCTCCATCGGATGCTCCCCGGACAATCCGAACCTACGCCGTTTACTCCATTAGTCGATTGCAAAGGTTGTGAACTACAGAAACTGCTTTTCGTCTCTTGCGAAGTTTATCCCATCACATCTTACCGACGGTCTCGACGTACCATTCCTCGCGATGATCGTGCCCTTTATGTGCCCTCTCCTCTGTGGTTCTATTTTATGGACCCCCCAAGTTGTGGTTCATGTTTATGTACTTTCTTCTGGTCATGGTACTCTCTAATGATATATATATGACTCAATCACGCCCATCTTCGCACCCTGCACCCTGAGTGCTCGACGTTATCAACGTCTGGGTCAACACGCTTTCACCACGATGTGGTCCACGCCAGTCGGTGTATCACCTCGGGAATATCAATTCGGATAATCCAGGACTTAAGCTGGATGAGCAAGCAAGGTTACCTTACTCACATCTACAATTTTCATCCAACCACACCACCTCTCATCCTGCCGCCCGATTGCGTCAAGTCGGTCCCGTCGTAGAACATGCAGACACGATCCGGCGGCTTGGCTATTACTCGCTCGGAGACGAACGCTTATTGTGAGAGCGTAGAACGCCGAATTGGCAATTTCCTTACGTACTACGACAAGATATTAGGTTTTTTCCGAGTCATGCCCGATCCGATTGTTATCTTATCCCGATGTCAGAGTCCGAACCGCTTCGCTTTGATTAATCATGACCCGGATTTTGGGCCGCTGCCGCGGTTGAAAAAGAGTCTGTTTTTTTTTCTTCGCTCTACGCACGAGGGCGAGTTTACGAGCTCGGAGTGGCCTCAGGACCATCGCACAGACGCTTGGGCGCCACAGGGGACTCGTCCGTCCGCGTCAGTTTCTTGGGTGTAGCGCTCTCGCTGCGTAATAGAGTGTCGGTATTTTTATTCGCTCTACCAAGTACGGTAGGGATACTCCACTTTGCTTTGATTGTGGGTTTAGAGAGCGCCAGTTGCCCCACCAAGCTCCGGTGGATGACCTTCGAGTTTCCGCGTGCCCCTTCACCGACGACGACGTTGAATCACTCACCGAAACAATCCCTGTTGGCGCTTCCGTCATAATTTTTGCGAATTAATCTGCACGACAGCGAAGGGTTCGAAACGTATACTACCACAACACCTCAAGCTTCAGTTCGTCCAAGATGCGGAAACCTCAACAGTTACTTCTCGGGCAGGGATCCATGTCGAGGACAGAGAGGACGTTGCTGCTAAAGATAGATTGGTTCATCCTGAGTTATTGTTGTCTTATGGTGCGTCTTCATGTTCTATTGAATTGTGGAAGGAAGAAGACGAACGACGAGTTGATGAATCGGTATGCATGGTGTTATTGTGCGGACTGGTGGTTTGGGCTGGTTTAGTATTTCACGAACTGTGAGTGTTCCTTCTGCTCCTGTCGATCAAATCCTTCGCTCGTCACTTCTGCACTGCCTTCTATATCAACTGACTGAACTGAACTTTGATCGTTCACCACCGTTCTGCTTCCGCCACGCCACACCATACACCCGCATCTTCATCCATGGACAACATCTCACGTCTCGTAACTTGCTTCATCCATCACTATAACCGACGAATCACGTCGTCTCGAACTTTGAACATGTCATGCCCTTTCAAAACATGCAACAGACTTAGACAGAGCAAACGTCTCCAATGCCTACGTTTCCGGGATGAAGGAAGAGTTGAATATGGTAGGGAATCAGTACAATGTAGGTCTACTCTATCCTCCGTTCATCTCCAAGATGTTCGGGCTATTTGTCGAAACTGGAACTGATCAGAACCCTGCAGCAAATAAATACGCTCTTTACCTGCGGGTATATCGTTGGGATGATACCAAGTCAGTGAGAAGTGACCAAGGTTCTCGGTGAAATGGTCGTGCTGAAGATATGCCCCACTGTCGTTATTACCCGCTTGAACACAATCACAGATAATTTGATGCTCCAAATCGTCCGACCGCGTATTTGGCTGCCTGCGATGCAGATCATCTGGGGAGTCCTCACATTCTGGTCAGTACGGACTCAGTTTCTCCATCTCTATCATACCTCCGTCCCTGCCGCATCTAACATCCGCATTATCACCACCCTGACGCCACTTTACACCGTGCAGTACCAGCGCCGTTACCAATGTCCACCAAGTAAAGTACCATTCGAATTCGCCAAGCCATGTCTGGCTCTCTCCTTGACAGGATGCTGAACAGTGGCTGACTTCTGCAGATATTCGCTATCCGGTTCTTACAAGGCATGGCCGAATCGTCGACCTTTGTGGGCGTGCATTATATCCTCGGCTCGTACGTTTCTCCTCATACGTTCGAACAGTCGGTGCGGCAAACTGAATAGCAGACTTTGTGTTCTAGGTGGTATAAGCCAGGAGAGCTGGGCAAAAGATCGGCCATCTTTACTTGTAGCGGACTTGTGGGGACACTGTGAGTACAGCCTTTTCGTCGTCTTTGATCTTGCTAGAAGCACAAGGAAAACTAACCGGAGTGACCCATTTACATAGATTTTCGGGCGTGTTACAGGCGGCCGTATACCAGTGCGTTCCACCCCACCTTACCACTTGGAATGTAGTGGTGTTTAGATGGGGTTCGAACTTTCAGGAATCTGAACGGGCATGATGGTCGAAGTGGATGGCGCTGGCTGTGAGTTCCCATTCGCATTCCTATAAGCTCAAGCAAGTGCACCCCGACTCGGGCATACCTACTTACCATAGCCTCCTCATCTTGCTACTAGGTTCATCATAGATGGCGTCATCACCCTTCCTATCGCATTGTATGGATTCCTCGTTTTCCCGGACGTTCCAGCCATCACCAAAGCGTTCTACCTTTCGGAAGAGGTGTGTGCTACTCTTGGTCCCAGTAATATCTGAACCTTGCGTGTCTGACCATTGGTGCAAAAAGGAGAGACTGTTATCGACGAATAGGTTGGACACGGTGGATACCGCACATCACCCATTATCTTGGAACTTGGTCCGTCGTGTGCTGGGGAGGTGGCGATATTATGCTTGCAGCGCGCTGGTGAGTCCGACTCCTGTGAACCTCAAGTGTGCGATCTAATTCACGCATGACCGTGCCAATTTAGTTCGCGATCTCGGGAGAAACTGAGAGCTTTGGCTCGAACAATCGTGCGTGAATCGACTCGGTGTTCTGGGTTTGGATATTGACTGAGCTGCACTATTGTGAAGTCATGGGTCAATGGCTGAAGGCGATAGGTGGATACTCCGTCGAGAACATCGGTACGCATATCCTCCTCATCTCCATCACCGGTTTCTGCACAATTCTCCTAAACTTCCCAAAACCCGAATCGCTGGACTTGTAACCTATAGACTACTACCCGTCCGGTGTGACAGCCTTCGGAATCGCATCCACTTTGATCTGCGCAGTGTGGACAGACCGCAACCAAGCTCGGTGGCCCGTACTCGTCTACATGTGCATCTGCTGCATTGTAGCATCGATATGCATACTAGTGTGGAGTAGTCCCACGGGGCTCAAATTCTTTGCGTATTGTACGTCCTTTCGCCGTCATGGAGGTCGTCGTTGAATTGGACGTGGATCGCTCTTGACAACATCCTCTCCATATATTGCAGACCTCGCGGGAGCCTCTTATGCGGGACAGGCCACGACTTTCGCGTAAGTTACCGGTGCTATGAATCGTATTTCCGTGCTTGAGGCCATATTGCTGAATGCAGGGCTACAGGTGGGCGAACCAGATATGCGCCGACGATGATCAAGAACGAGCGATAGTCCTAGCATCGATGAAGTACGTCTTCTCTTCGTCTTCTCTTCGTCTTTCTAGCGTCGACCTCACTGCATCCCCCTAATATCACTAACCCAGCATGTGGAACAACGTAATCAATGCCTGGTGGCCCCTCGTCTTCTACCCTGCCACCGACGCCCCCCGCTTCAAAAAGGGTATGATCGCTATGCTCGCCGTAGCGGCTGCCACGCTTGTCGTGACGTGGCTTGTGTGGTACCTTGAACGGAGGGAGAAGAGGATTGCCGCGCTGAATTCGCACGAGGTCGAGGGGGAGACGAGAAGTGCTGGCGGGAGCAGGGAGGGTTCGATGGTGGGAGTTGGGGAACATGATCTGAATGACGGTCCTAAACCCGGGAGCAGAGAAAAGGATCAGAAAGATGGGGGTGGTGGTGGCGGGCGGGAGCATGATAGAGAAGACGTGATGGAAAAAGAGACGGAAGATGTGGATGCGTAGGATGAAGGAGCAGGTGGTCGTGCCAAATGATGTTACAGTCCGCGGATGAGCAGTGAGTTTGGAAATGTAATATACTTGCTGAATAGACGTGTAGATCAAGCGTACACTTTCTTGGTCAGTTATTGCTCAATCTGTGCCCCAAAGAACCCATTGAGTATGCCACCACGGCCTTCAACTCGCAAAACTCATCAATCGTAGTAACCATGTACCTACCGGTAAGATCGACTTGGAAGTACTCTTGAAACGGTATTGACGAACATAGGAAAGAGACGACGATGTAATTGACATTGTCAGGATATGCTTTGCAATTCCGAAAGATATGAGAGGTATACAGATATGTAAGGGGAAGCCAGACCGGGAATCAAAAAATACAACCAGCAGCCATCTTCCTCGTTAGTATTCACATTCACCACTCCTTCCCGATCTTGAACAGCCATTCCCATTCTGAGCGCATTCCCCGAAAGATCAAAATAGTAAGTACGCGGAAAAGCCATTCTGATACTGAAGAACGTACCAGCCCAGACTTCACCATCGATATCCGTAACGCGGCTCTTGACGTTGTACGTGCCTCGCGCGAGCATACCAGAAGGGAATTCATCCTGAACCACTGAGGCCGTGCGCACGTCCGCCTGGTATCCATACGAGCCCAACATGGCGTCCACCTTGTCGACTAGATATTTTCAGTCCTACGGTCAGTTCTTCCCCAGAAATTAAATATCATAGCAACGCACCTTTGACCATACCGCGCTTCACGACTTGTATATAGCGCAACCCCTGGTGTGGTTAATTTAGTCCCTGCAGTTGTAGACAGTCTTAGGTGCACGTACGGTAACAAGCGAGTGGTTGACCTTGAACTTGATGTGACAACTGGAGATACGTCAACCACACTGCACAGTCACTGGTCGTAATACAACGCACCTATACTCCGCACCCTCCTTAACCTGGATCGGCGAGTCCTTCATCTCCGCGAGCTGATTGGGGTTGTTCAAATCGACAGAGATGGTACGGCCAGCAGGTAGCGAAGGGGAGGTGAGCTCCAGAGTCAATACCTCGACCTTTGGGACATACACGCGTAAGGATGCGCTCCGAAGCAAGTGAGATAGAGGACGTACCTTGCGCTTGGTCGGGTCGCCGCCACCCTCGCCGGTGATCCCAAGACTGGCCTTCCAGCGGGCCAAGCTCTCATCGTTGGCGTCCATCTTGGCATACTCGTCAACAGACTTTGCCGCCGTTGGCTTGTAGCCTTGAGAGAAGTGAAAGACAGGGTGAGCTCTCCGTCGTTACCATCTTACTTTGCTTCCGGCGTTGAAGGCTCACCAGGGGTGGTGTTAGGTGCGAAATCATCAGCGTCATCCTAGATGAAAACGACAAGTTGTCATCAATCTCGCGAGCAGAGTAGAAGCTCTTGAAAGCACAGACTTGGGAAGACATTGTGAATATTGGAGAAGCACGGAATACAAGCTAGATGGTGGAGAGGACCAAAGCCGTTGAAACGTTTGTCCTTGGTGCCCGACGCCGCTCTAGAACTGCTAATCGATATTCCCACGCTTACTACATGTTCGAATCTCCAGAAGAACCGGCAATTCCCGCTTGCAGGAACATCTTGACCAACGAGTCTGGTCCTCCGTGACTAGCCTGCCGGTTCTTTCCATCGCCCGTTGAGTCAAGCAGAAGCATATCGATACTACGAGATAAAGAATGATGTTACATGTGAGGCCTCATCCTAGGGATGGTAAATAAGATGTTTCCGAATCTGTACGTGGCGCCCATGAAGCGGAGCTTTACTTGTCTCCATTAATCCATACCATTCAGGTTCACGATATTCTTGCATAACCGGACGGAAAGTGTGCTTAGGCTACTCCGATTCCGGCGTTTCTCCTTTCGGTCGATGCATCCCAGCTGATGGATAAGCGGTGAGCTCGGGGTACATGAGAGAAGAGTGTGAGGAAAAGAAACTGACGGCCTTTGAAACGACACCTGTCCTTGCTCGAGAAGTAACACTTCACGCCGAACGGACAAACATGGCCCCAACAGCATTCTTTGCCATAGGGGCACTGCTTTTCTGTTGACGAAAGTCTGTGAGTTCGCACTCCGAGTGCCGCAGATGAAGCAATTTCTAGTATCTACCGTTATTTAAGAACCAGCATGGTGATTGCTTCGCGTTTTTGGCCAAAGTCTCGAGGTGTTCAGCGCTGAGTTCATATTCGTGCGAGTATTTGCACCTTCCCTGGTGGCACAATATAGATGAGCGATTCTAGATTTACGAATGAAGTACGACCATGTAGAGAGACTTGGCTTACCTCCTTGGAACACTTCTCGAGTAGATAATGTTCGTTGCATGGCGGAGGATTTTCTGATGGCAATGAATAAGACTTGGCCTGTAACTATAGCTGAATGATAATCTCACGTTTATAGAGAGGCTAGAATATATGGTGATGTGAGCTCGAAACACCCTGACAATCAATGAAGATCAGCTTACGAGGGACGGATCTATGATCGGCGGGATCTTGTGAGCACCGAGGTCAGTCGACGTGAACGGAGAAAGCGCTTGGGACCGTTCTTCGTCCGTTTTATTGAATGTGCGAGAAGGAGAAAATAATGCGCGCGGCGAAGACGTTATATAGCCATTAGATGAGATATCTCTCATGAACAGGCCGTCCATGACCACGAATCCGACTCTGGGGGACAAAGTGGGGGGAGGTGGTTGACCGTAGATCATAACGAGTTTTGTGGACAAGGAAGCATTGAGAGTGAAAAAGATGCTCAAGGTATCTGCGCTGTATCCCGCTATAGGCAGTCCTGTGAGCCGATTGAACGCGCGATATATGATAGGTGGGTTCATACCTCCGAAGAAGACGTGCGTAGTTTGAGGCAGAGTCGCAAATGTCTGTACGTACTCTGCCATAACATGGATTGCTGTTAGCGAGAAGGCCGGGCCGGAGGATAGCATATCACAGTACCTTTTATTTTAGCGTCGAGCGTTGCCTTACCCGCAACGTCGACGACAGCGAGATTGGCTGACGCTTCACTCAAACCACTGCAAAACGCATCCCATTGATCGGGTGTACATAGATCATGAAGTATGATGTCGCTCCTTAGCGCTGCCTTGTCCACGTAGATGGATATCCAAATCGAGAGCTGTTCGGGATAGATCTGAGGCCTAAGATGTTGGCGAATGCCTGTCATCAGTTCATGTCCAGCTCGTCGTCCGCCTTCTTGTCCGTGTCGAAGATACGACGGTGAGAAAATGGACCTTGATCCGTCGATTATACAGAGGACGAGTTGATTCTGCAGGTAATATAAGTCAGCATCACAGCTAACTCACGAGGAGGGCGTCGGAGAACGTACTGCGCCGTCAGACCCTGACCCTGTGCTCGATGTTGGCCTCTTTACGAGCGCGAACTGTTGGTCGTCCCGCGCCTTACTATCGCGTTCCGCAGCTTCTCTGGCAGCCGTATGTGCTTGCTTCCAGACACTGAGCTCTGTCTCAAGTTCTTTAACCCGGGAGAGGAGGTCGGCTTTCTCTGCCGCCGTGGTCTCCGCGAGCACTGAAGCACCGATACCCCCAAGTTAGCACAGAAATGGAAGGTGGCGCAGCGATAACCATGCATTTACCATGAATTTTACCGAGGACGTCCGACCTGTGCGTTTACAGTGCATAAGTTAGCGCCTGAATGAGTGTTGTGAAGGAAGGAACTCACCACTGACTGGTAGCGTGGCCATCCATAACGCAGGCGGTTACAACGAGGGATCATCCCCCTGCAAGAATGAAGGCTGCTTATAACAGTGGCGAACATACGGCATCAGCCGCGAGGTGCACGAGCGTTTGATGAATCCTGTGGCGACTGTCCTGGGGTCTCTAATTTTAGGAGGTGGAATGATTGGTTTGGGACTGGACCAGTGAGAGTGTGAGAGTCTCCTCAGCGGCGAACTCTATCAATAATAATTCTGCCGAATGAACGGTCTAGAATACCATGGCTCGTTCTCAACAGAATGTACGAGAATATCTTGGGTTAACTTATGAGGTAGTGGGAAACCTCATGATCATGCTTCTCCCGTTTCCTCACTGGGACGTGGAACGCTGAGATGCAGCAGATTTGAGGAACAAATAACAATCAGAACCACTCCGTAGTAGTAGTGCATGAACACACAACGCAGTTCTTTATCAGCTTTACATGCGAGAATACAAAATATAGATGGCCATGTTCAGTCTTCGATATGTGCGAGAGCTGAAAGGACGCAGAATTGAGTCGATTGAAAGAGGAGAGTGTGCAAGAGACGTACGGCTTTTGAACCAACATTTTCCTTCTTGCAGGCGCGCGCATTCCTGTAACCTTGGACATTTATGTCCAAAGCAGCAAGCTTCACCATGCAAACAACCTTTGCCTAATACCCGCAAATATAGTAGACGAGCTGTCAGTAACAACGAGATATATGGAGAGCATATGTTGCACCATCTCTGACGGCTTTGCAGGGCTGAGTCTTGGCGTATGCCCGAAGTTCTGCTGTTTGAGCGGGATTCAAAATGTAGTCGTGGGCCTTGTTGCACTTGGACTCGTGTCTGCATCTTCCTAGCACGTAGAAATAGATACACGCCTTCGGGTTCTCTACAAAAAAACATTGGGGACTGCCTTGTCCGGATAGAGGTATGGATCACGAACGCTGTGAGATAAGCTGAGGATGACTTGAGCCATTGTATGCCCACCGTAGAAACAAATACCCACGAGCTTTGGATTCAGAGTCCTCGGACTAGCATCGTGTAGGACGTTATGAATTTCACTCCCATGCTGCAGCATTCTGAACGATCCAGGAGGGCTGGTCGCATCGTTCCTCTGGACTTCACGAGAGGGAGTCGAAGGTGAGATCGGTGATTTACCGTAAATTGAAAGTGGTACGGTCGGCGATACCCGTCCATCAGCAGTGGTCTTGGAGATTGTCCCGTTGAAAGAGTGTTCTGATGAAGCAGACGTCCCATGTGTCGAGTGCTGCTGATATTGGCGGGGACCGTCAGTTACGATATTCTTTTGCATAAACGAGGCCCAAATGTCACGTATTATTACTTAGCTGTACACGGATATACAAACATACCTGGACGTCACTGGCCCCTGTCATCTGTGCACGCAAGTGTGCTATTATCTCTTGGCTAGCCTTTAAGCGTGAGGCTAATTCATCGCGTTCATCCTCAGCCCTCTTCCATCCTCTGCGATACGCAGCTAGATCCCTGAAGATTTCATATTGAGACTTAACGACTGCATGGTCATAACTATGAAACCTACTCTTTCATCCTAATAGCATGATTAATTTCCTCCTCCCATTAGATCCGAAGGAAGAGGACATACTTGTCCAGTTCTTGGATATAATGGGCCTCACGCATCGTCATTAACGACCTAATTTGGGCTACTTACTAGACATCAATCGACGATATCACTTCTGAACCGAACATATGGGCGTACAGAGAATAGTTTCCTCGCTCCTGGTCGTCCGTAGGGATGTTCAGATGGAATACAACACTACAGGCAGGAAGACGTACATCATATCGTGACCACGGGATTGACTCGTTCCGTTCTGCTTCGGAACAGTCGAATCCACAGTGAGCACATTTGCAAGGCCCGGGGGTGCGCCATTCGCTCCGGACATCATGGCAATCGGGGGGCACTCGTCTCTTTCAAGGATGTCCATCATTGAAGACGACTTTATACACAGGACGGATGCATTTTCGGTGGCGTAGGATGGGAACGAGGGAGTGAAAAGCAGTCATTCCACGAACCTTATACCGCTCCGAGCAAGTCTAGTAGTCACGAGGCACGAGGCCTAGACAGAGGGAAGCCTCTTAAAGCTCCCAAGTCTCTTGACATGGTCCAGTGCGGCTGTGGTAGTATCAAAATTTGCAGAACTTCCGTTGAATCTGAGCGAAGAGGCATATATTAGCGGAGAGCCCTTGGCGAGAAGATCTGAAGATGGCTTGAGCCTTGAAACACAAAAACTCGGACACGTGTCCTCGCGGGCGGGATGGCAGAGACCACAACCCGGGAAATTGGATCGATTCTTACAACACAACACCTGCCCAATTAGGCACTGCAACAACATCGGCAGATCCTGGACTTCAACTTGTTGTCAAGTGCTATCCAGTCAAAATCGACTTAGACACAGGACAATTTATCTACCTACTAAGGGTAATTATTTTACTTTTTCTATGAGTTCTCTTACTCTGAGTCAGGCTACTAGTGCTTCAAGGTTCATGAGTCCACTGGCATGTCTCCGACTCTCGAATATCATTTCATGTCCGGGATATTGTAACATGTAGCAATGTTGAGCAGTTAACTTGCTCAATCAGTTTGTATGGATTTATCGCGACAGAAGTCTTGCTGAACTTGCGACTCCATGCATGTCCATGGTAGAATACCTATTGGAGTACTTTACTCAAGACCATAGCCAGGTACGTTGATATTACTTGGATAATGTGTTGCTCTCAATCGTCCGGTTATATAGCGAGGAAGCCTGATTCGGAGAATGTATCATTTTAATATTACAAGACGAACCTATCCCACCAATTCATGCTCGAGAGTCACCCATGCAGAAACGCAAAATTCACAGCAAAACAAAAATATGTTCAATCTTCGGTATGCATTCCGGCTATATATTACATTTCTTGTCAGAACTGTGGACGAATACGACACGTCGAATGGCTGTAAACTCACGGCCTTTGAATTTGCATGTTCCAATCCTCATAAAGTAACAGTGGGGCAAGTTCGGACACTTATGCCCATAGCAACACTCTTCACCCCAGGCGCACTCTTCTCCTATAACCCCAAGCCACGGAAGACTCTTGTGTCAGCGGGTAAGTCACAGGTGATAGCCTAATTTCCTCACCTCGGTTGACGCTAACACATGGGGAACGCTTAGCATTCCCGCGGATCTCTTCGATTTGATCGAGCCCCAAGTCATAATCGTGTCCGTACGGACAATCAGAGCCAAACTTGCAAGTTTGAGTAATGTAGTGTAAGGTGCATGGCTTCGGGTTCACTATCATAATTCGTTAGCGAAACAAAGATGACGAGCAAGATAACAAGGTCAAACATTGGTTTGTAGGCTAGACGGATGAATGAGCGACTAGTATTAGAAGAGGTAGTAGAAGACACACTATGTTTACGGTGGAACGCTTGTTTCCGTCTTGTTTGGAGACACTGGCCTTACTCTTGACTTTCCAACCATCATCGGCTCCTCCAGATGCGGCCATGCCATCAGAAATGTTGAGGGTGGGCGTTGTGGAGATAGCAGGACTGCGTGCTCGTTGAACAGCTGCTGTGTAGCTTGGGGGAGATGGACTCGAAAATTGTCTTGCTTGTCCACCGGAATCCACAATCGTCTGATGCACTGAATCGCTACGTGGGCGTTCTGCAGGGCTGTGAACATTAGAGGGCACGCTTGCGCGCCGAGCTGATTGAGTCATGCGGTCGATGACAATCTTTTGGTGCATGAAAAGATTAGAAGTGGGAAAGATCGGAAGATTTAATTCCTTGAACCCAGCAGCCATCTCATCATAGCCACGGAGCAATATCAATTTGTGTGTCCAGCCGTCCGTCATGAGAGACGTCAGCACGTTGATATATCCAGTGTCATGGCAGCCTGCCCCCACTATATGAGCAAGCCTGGATGCGATGACTTGGAAAGTAGTCCACCACTCACCACCAAAGACGACCTTAAATGTCTGGGGCAAACGAATGTCGCTTTCCAGTATAGCTAAAGAAAAGCAGACACTCGTTATGTTGAGCATATACCGAGAAAAGATACGACGCTAACCTCTCAGTTTCGCATCCGCTACTTCTTTTCCATACCCAACATCGACCATCAAAAATCGCTTCGAGGCTTGATTGAAACCAGTCACAAAACTGTCGAACCCAGCGCGCGCTTCAGGCATGCCCCCAATTGACAAAGCACTCATCAAGCCACTCCTGTTGTAGAAGACATACACCAAAACTTCCACTGGGCGGCCTTTCAGATAGTCTCGTAAGGCATCAGCAAACATTTTTGCTGCACTTCGACCGCCCTCTAGTCCTTTCTCAAGTAAAGCAGTCTGGAAAATGTACCCATCCCCATCAATTATGCAAACGACGCGGCTCGGTTCACATAACTAAGAGACAAGCGTTAGCAGGAGTCCGGCCGCTGGAGATCTAAGGAGTGACACACCTGTGCAAGGCCTTGCATTTGCTGTAACTCTGCGCTCATCCTATCTATCAGGGCTTGGTCTCGCTCTTGGGTCATCTTCCAATTGTCTTGGTCTTCTTCGGCGCTATTCATTCTTTGAAGAACAGCGTCCTTGTCCTGAATCGCAAGGTCTCTCTGGGAGGCCATCGTATTCCAACCCGCTTTATATGCATCCAGGTCCCTAGAGACGAATGAATGGCTAGAATGGTACCTGAAAACTAGCCCTGTACCAACCTTTTCAGCCTAACATCACACACAACATGTCAGCTTTCTTCCTGAAAGTAAATGATTGGAGGTTGCGAATACGCACTCGTCAATCTTTTCCATATGTGACCTTTCACGAGAAACCATCAAATTAATCTGGTCTAGTTGATAATGTGAGGCTCGGCGCGCACTTCGCACTGGTCACCAGTGAACTGAGCGCCTACGCACCACAGATCATTTTATGACTTCTTGCTCTGGTCATATGGTAGACAACGGTGTCAGCCATACACATGTTCGTCAGATGGAGGACTCACATGTCGTAGAACTCCGGATTCTGAGCAAGTCCAGGAGGTACACCAGATAGTTCAGTCATACCTTCAGAGCAGGGAGAGACGAGCGCTACCAGCCCTAGGACGGCAGGTGTGCGCACTTTATATGAGACAGACTTGGGTGGCGCGCGAAGCGCCGCTGCAGTCTGCAAATAGTTCGATTCATGGATGGAGGCGATGAGATGCTCGAATGTAAACCTAATACAGTAGAATCTGGTCCACGGGGCACACAGCCTTTGATGGTGCGGAATAATAGTACTTTGGCTCGTGAGAAGAGCACGGAAGTACGCTGCATCCGGATAAAAGGGGGACAGTGAAACGAAGCTGTATTCCCAGTGCCCAATCGATCACGAACGGGCTTCAGTAGTCGAGCTCAAGGCCGAGACGACAATTTCGCTTCTAGACATTATTTTCCTACGCACACGATGAGGCTCGGTTCGAACATGCACGTTGCAGCACGAGGATGGTGAAATTCATGAACAGGAACTCTGTAAGGGGAAAGCCTGAGCCTGTATTTATGGAACGCCAGCGTGAACACCCATGCCTTACTGTATCACGACACGAGTCAAGCTATGTGTATATGCTTGGACGTTGTGACAATAGCACTGTTGGCGATCTAGAACAATAATCTGCAAGCGAGCTGAACACACCAAGGTCACAAGTACTTGGGTGAAGCACGTGGATCTGAGCCCAGACGCGCAGGAAAGAAGGGATGAACGTGAAAGAAAACTAGAGGAATTAGACCTGATGCATGTCGGCTGGTGTATGTGTGCACCTCAAATCAGCAGATTGACTTGATCTACCAGGCGCTCTCACTCACCGCCATAAAACTTGCAGTTTGAGCCACGTACAATTTCCCAGCTGCGGACACTTGTGAGCGTAGGGGCACTTCTCCCGAGTGAACAAACTGAGCCTAAGTCATAGTCATGAGGTATAAGTAGCCGTTTACACCGCGTAACGAACTGGAAGCTCGCCTTTATTCGCGAAAGGACATGGAGCTCGTCTGACGCCTTTGCCCATTTCCTTGATGTGATTTTTTTTCAGATCATAGTTGTGTGTGTGAAGTTACACCTTTGATAGGGGCAAGTTGCTAGGTGATAGAACGTGCACGGGGGTGGTACATCTAAAAAAGACCGTCAGTGGGCAGCAGCATCCAGGACCAAGATACATGCACACTCACGCTCGCTTAATTTCTATGCAAGACATCGTCGACGGTCAGTATCTAGAGATGATAGAGTCATGTGCTAGACAGTCTTACCAGGCCAGCAGTGACCGATTTCAACAGGGGTTGCTTTGGAAAAGGGCGACGATTGCCGACGGGAGTGAATCCGTCGTCTGCACCGGGAAGGGCGATGGACTTATGAGAGCCTGCTGGAGTCGCAGGGGCGCTGGCGGGTCCTGTGCCGTTCCGAAGAGTAGTTGTAGGATGGCGCCACGATGCCGCGGTGAATGACTGTGGCAGGCGGGCTAACTGCACGGGATACAGTAAATCGCCTTTGAATATTGTGCGGGAGGAACATTTTGTCATTTACGAGCATCTTGTGGGGCATGGATAGACTCGGGATGAGGAGGACTGGGAGTCCCAACGGCCCAAATCCTGCAGCCATATCCTGGAACCTTGGAAGCAAAACTAACTTCTCTCCCAAACCCTCGGTGATGTACGACCGCAATACGTTGACGTATCCGTTGTCATGGCACCTTGAAGTGGACAAAGACAACTTTGATAGTTCGCGGCAAACGAATACAGTCTTCAAGGTATACTAACGCGCGCATAGGTTTAGGGGGTATTCGAGCGCAAAAGAAGCTGTTCACGCGCACCTCTTAGTTTCGCGTCTGCTTCTTCCTTTCCACTCCCAACATCGGCCATCAAAAACCGCCGACAGGACTCATTAAACCCAACCACGAAATCGTCGAAACTATCGTACGCCTCCGATAACCCACATGCCGACATAACGTGAGTTAACCCTTTCCTATTGTAAAACACGTATACCGAGATATCGACCTCACGGCCGTCCACGAGGCCACGAACTGCATCAGAAAGGGTCTTGGCAGCCTCCGCAGCGCCGCTTCGACCTTGAGAGAGCAATAGAGGATTGAACAGTGTTCCATCCCCGTCAATTACACAGGTCACACGATTGGGTTCCGGCAGCTACGTGCAGAGAACGAACGGCATATTGAGTGTCGCCGTTCCAGAAAATCTCAGTAGGACATACCTGTGGGTTGCCTCGCACTTGCTGCACTTCAACCGTCAACTTATCCATTTCGGCCTTGGACTGGTCGAGCTGTAACTGCATAGCGGCCCTCTCGGCGTTCGCTGTGAGCTTCTCACGTCAGAAGGTGTCGCAACTCGCCTTGTATACTTCAAGATCCCTATGAAAAAGATTGAGACATCGTCTTAAGGGTATGTTTTTAGATGATGGATCACTATCTTAGGCTGCAGCCGCAGAGGCCAACATTAGCCATCCTCAAAGTCGCGATCTCAACGAAGCGTACGTTTCTATGGCTTCGAGATACGCTTTCTCTTGGTTAAACACGGAGTGAAACTCGGCTATTGAAGTGTCAGGCATGAATATTCGCCAAGATAAGAAAGCATGAGTAAGAGCGCACCACTGATTGTTTGAAGACACCGTTTGCTGTTGATCAGGTGTTAGAATGAGGCAGCGACCGTGGCTTCCTCATTGTTTCAACACGAAATGAACTCGCAAATACTACTTATGAGAGAAAATGCACGCGGAAACATAAGCTCGACAGCATCGCATGTGGCATTTACCCTGACGACTGGGAAAGTTCGACGAGATGAAGGCGGTTCAATAGTCATGGTCGGAGGAGGAAAGCTCGGAAAGTAGAGGGTTCAAAGCGACTTGCACATATGTTCTCACGGTCAGGTGTGAAGTATTGCAAATTCCGATAGGGCGATACGGCGTGTCGCGTCGGTGCTGGTTCTGCTTTTCTGTTTCCTCTCTCCAGCCCTTAATTGCTCAAATTCCCTTCCGTCGCCGCCTCATCGAGAAATATGTCGGATCTTTACACGGCTTTACGCGTATCCCCCAGGAAGAAACGCGTTTTCTCCGACGATGAGGACGAGTCGACGGTCACTCCCAAACGACTTCGAACATCGTAAGCGCGCGTCCTTCACCCAGATCCAGCGATAGCACTTTCTGAATACAGGTATTTTCACAGATTACCTTCTCCGAGGACGATCAGCTCGAAGACAAAGAGGGTTGCGGGCTCCTCAGGCTCTGGTGCTTCGTCCAGTCCAGACACTCTCCCATCACACCTCGCTCGCTTGTATAGGATTCAAACTGCCCTCCAGCACGCGCTCTCACATGCACTAGCCACCTGTGCTGTCTCGCCTTCCTCGGACACTGGCATAGTCCGTAACGTTCTTAATCACCATGCATTGAACTCGTACGCCGGTCTATCGACCAAGTTCGATGTCGATGATCTCAAGCGTCTATGCTGGCTCTGGGAATGGGATGGGAAGAGCGTAAACCCGTCTCCTGCCAAGGTGACGAAGGCCCGTAAATCCGAAGATGAGAATCCTTTCCTAGAGGAAGAAGAGGACGAGGATTCGAAATCAGCAGCAAAGGATTGGTCTCGTGGTGCCATGGGCTTCGTTGTAGGTCCAGCGACGCATTTCCACAAGTCCGGAGGATCTCGAGTACCAGCATATGGGATTGGTATCGAAGTGGAAATGGACCTCGACAAAGACATGGGCAGTGGTATGGCTGCTGTTGCACGCTGGACCGCTGCAGCTGAACCAAGACGACGAGAGGTACTCAAGAAGTTGCACAAATGGGTAGAGGTATGTTTCGGTAGACCATGTTATCTGATTGTATTCTGATCATTGACACTGAGTCGTGTTATAGCTTCATCCTGACGCGACCACTGTTCCGAACCTTCACATGGCCGATCTGCCACAACTGATCCTACCAGCGAAACCTTCAAACTTGACGCGACTCCTTGCCTCTTCCTCCCCGAAGGCATCCGCTTCCACCAAAGCTTCCATCTTGACAACCCCACCCTCTCCCACTTCACCGTCGAAATCCAAACGCCCCTCGTCACCTCTCAAGTCTCCACAGAAGCCATTCGCAATCCCTTTCCCTATTACACCGTCGTCTAAACTCGCTTTTGGATCGAAGAGCAGTATTCCATTCCCTCAGACTCCGTCCTCCACTCGTCGATCGCCGTTCAAAACCGGCCTTCTCACCCCACAACGTACCCCATCCTCGTCGCCCACACGAGGTGATTCCTCGGTGCCTACCACACCTGTGCATCAAAAGGGGTCCAACGCGGACACAGCACCGGCCACGCCTTCGAGCTCCCGTCGGAATGCTCTGTATGAACGAATCCGTCAGAAATCGCTCACGACTAGTCCTTTCAAGTCTGGAACCAGCAGCACCGGTTCCTCGAGCAAGAGCGGTAACATGAGCAAGGAACAGTTCATGAAGCTCGGTCAGGACGAGAAGAGACGCCGTGTATTATTAGGACGATTGGGCAGTGTAGCGGACAGCGTCTGGATGTATGTGCTTCCGTTCTTCCATTGCAGCTAAGAATACGCCGTTAATTGTCTTCCCTCATACAGGTTGTTCACGTCTCCTGTGGGAACTGGGGCCACGCCTTCTACGACCCGCAAACGCAAGGCACTCCCAAGCTCGGAAGTTGCAGCTGCAGTGGTCAAGTCCTCCCCCGTCCCCATCTCGTCAGCCGAGGCTCAGGAGTCACTCGACCTTCTTACCTCATTATGCCCCTTCTTCCTTAAGTCAATGGACATTGGTGGCGAAGACTGGCTCGAGATGCCCGCGCCCACTCAAAGCGGTAATGGCAGTTCCGTGTCGATCTCGGAGGGTAGCTCGCCATCTAAGATCACTCCGCCAAGTCCCGGACGTGCTCGATCCAAGGACGATAGCGCAAAGGAGATACTGACGAGGAGTCCTAGGACGGTTAAGAAGGAAGGAGGGGGATTGAGGGAAGTACGAGAGCGGATTCGTCGGGAGCTGGAACTCGCCGACTAGTTTGGTCAAGTGGAGGAACGGATGTTCTCTCGATCCGTGTCATGGTTTGATACCACCATCCACTTTTGGAGCCACGCTTGCCTCTGAAGTCGGATCGCGGCACTTAGGACTTCGCAGTCCATGTTGTTTGCTGTCAAGCTTGCTTTCTTGCGCTGTACCTGCTCGGCGCCTTGGTTATTGCTTCTTCAGCGTTCATTCTTTTTGTTTTATATTTTGTTTTGCGATACTCTCGATTTGCGACACCTCTATTCCCTCTTGCTTTGACTTTTACGACCCTAACCTCTCGCTTTGTGATACCTCCCACACCCTATCTCGCCCGCCCCCATGTGTTGCCTTTGTTGGCTGAAGTGATTTATGATATCTAAATGTACAGCGATATTTTGTTTTGCTGTCTTTTGAATTGTTTTGTCGTCATGATCGTATGTCACTCATACTTCATTCCGGTCTCTGCGGTCTTGCCTGACCGCAGTACATAGTTTATTTACAGAAAATACCCAAAATACAAGTACTTGTGAAAGTAAGAAACAAAACTCAATGCCACAAAAGATACATCCACTAAGCGTACTTCAACCTCGCCTCCTTCTCATACTCATCAACATCCACCACGACCCCCCGCCTCCGACTCTCCTCCGCCGCAAACACCGTCAAATGGCTCTTCAAAACCTCCTCCACATCCGTCCCCAGAATCTCCTGCTTTCCCTCCCTCACCGCCTCCACAAAAGTCCTCACCAGCCCCGCATCGCCACCTCCATGTCCTCCGCCCTCGTCCTTCGGCTTATGCACCCTCGTCTCCTCCGTCCTGAAATCCGTGACCTCGAACGTCTTCATATTCCCCACGATCTCGCCGTGCGTGAAATGCATCCGCGTCTGGCGCTCACAGATGAGGGAGGTGAAGGCGACCATGGTGAAGGAGACGGTGGCGCCGGAGTCGTATTGGATGTTGACGACTTGGTTGTCGCAGACGTCGTTGGCGGATTCGTAGACGCATTGGCCGTAAGGACCGTTTTTGAGCGCGTCGGATATGTTCTCGATGTCGGGGAGACCGTCAACGATTACGGATGCGGGCCAGCCTTGGTAGCCTGACGTGGTGATCGGGTCGAGGTAGACTATATGGAGGGTGGACATGGCGATGTTAGCTCTCGTTAGGTATATTGAGGGGAGAAAGAAGGGAGAAAACGCACTCTTCTTGGCACTGTAGGGACATTGTTTCTCGGCTTTGCAGTCTAGGCAGCGTTTGGCATCACCGGCTTCGGCTGGCTTGCCAGATTTTCGGAAGTGTTGAAGACCTCCGAACGATGAGACCTTGGTGGGTTGGGCGGGATAGAGCCAACTGGCCAAGATGTCGATATCGCTATTGAAAGATAAAGTTCAGTCGGTACAGAAATACTTCATACATGGTATGAGGACCGCGAACTCACTGGCAACTCTTGGTCATGAGCGAGAAAGAGGACTTGGCTTCTTGCGACCAGTTACCTCGCACATAAGAGTGGGCGTAATGGTAATGCCCTATAGGTTCGACGTGCACGACGTTGATGAGCTGACCGAGGGTGCCAGAGCGAACGATCTCCGTGACAGCTTGGCTATACGGCGAGTACCTCAACACTGTGTTGAGGCTCATCAGTTCTTATGCCAACAACATGGCCAACCAGTGAATAATGAGATCGCCCACCATGTCCCATCCCAAAGATAATCCCCGCCTTTTTGACCGCTCTCTCCATCCTGATACAATCCTCAACGTTCGTCGCCATCGGCTTCTCGCACAGAATATGATATCCCTGCCCAGCGAACGCCTCGACCAGCTCCGCATGCATCTCATCCTGCACGGTGATTAAAACCGCAGTGGCGAGACGTTTACCGAGCGTCTTGATTGTCTCGGCGGAGGCGTCGTAGAAGCCTTTCCAGTCGTTGAAGACGAGGGTGGAGTCGACTCGGTGCTCGGAGGCCATGAGGGCACGAGTCTTGGGACGGGGCTCGGCAATGGCGACCACTTTACATTTGCGAGGTTCGGCGAGTGCGTAAGGGGCGTAAGCCTTGCGACGACGAGAAGGAAGATATTTCAGTACAGGGGCTCTAGAGGATAACGATTCAATGAATGGTACTCACCTGGCGACCTCGCTGCCCACATCCTATGATGGCGAGTGTGACGGGCGCAGAAGGCTCAGGTAGTTCGAATCCTGGCATGATCGTCAAGTGGACTTCCCGGTAAGGGGAGACAAGTTCAAGGGACGAGAAAGCAGGCCAAGAGCAGCTTAACGGGGAACGACATGCTGATGGCGGTCAACTCTATCTATATACTAACAGCTGCCCCATAGTAATTCGCAAACAAGGTCGGTCCGATTGGCTTCCAGCGTATCAGTGTGCGTCGATAAGTCATGCGCCCCCTGATGGATATGGGCCAGAGGTCTGCAATCGAGGTGCGGCCTGGTGGCTGCATGTCGGTTTGCATAATTGCCAATGTGATTACCGCGGAACGGAGGTCAGTACCGTCCATGTCTATATGTCAGACCCGATATTTATCGTAGACAAAGGCGAAGAGAGTGAGTTTGAGTCTTCTGAATGCGTCTTTTCAAGAACAGGAGGAGAGTGCGCGTGCGCGGAGAAGACGCGCCGCACGGGAAAAGGAACGCGACGAAGACGGTTGACGAATTCCTTCTTGGACTCGTTCATGACCATCCCCCACCTTGTCCCCCGCCTACTTCATCGTCTCAAATCTGCACCACGTCCACAGGCGCTCAGACCTGTACATCCTCGAGCCCGTCGCCGAAGATCCCTCCGTTCGCCTCTTCCAGATGACCCCGACTTTACCTCTGTCCGAAAGTCGTCTATCCTCCTCGATCCCATAAACCCAATCTCTACCTCGAGATCATATGTCCGTCATAAGTCACTGCCGCCAAAGGTCGAACCACCCCAGGACAGCGTAGAAAGCTCGGCCAATTGTCATGGAATAGTGGAACATGATGCTCCGAGGAAGATGACGATGCAAGAGAAGGACTGGTTCGCTAATCCGTACCGTGCGCCGACTCCCATTTATTATGTGTATATTTTCTGAATGGCTGAAATTAGTGCGAATGCTTAGCTCGCCTCTGCGGAAATGCTTTCTATCGGGGCGATACTTTCCAACAGGTGCGCTATAATCCATGCACGCCGTCCTGACCGAGTACTAACTTTCCACTCACAGACTTCATGATTCGAGTTTCCCCTCGCGTGTTGACCTCTCCTCGCCTGAGTGCCGGAAAGTCATCCTCTAGTATCCTTCTACCAGACGGCCTTGAGCATCCAAAATTCAAGAACCGTCATCGACGGCGCGGGATATGGATAAGTTGTCAACAATCCGCGTTCGAATGGCTCGTCAAGCGACGTATGCACCTCTCTACCTATTGTGGTCTCCCCATGGGCTGACCTGATTGTTTCCATTCCGTGTGGTTTCTTGATAATGAAGGAATGTTTCCTCGCGTGATGCATATTGCCCTCCCCATTTCCGTACCATCTTCCACAGTCCCCCACATAACGCATCTCCTCCGCCTACGCGTTTTTCAAGAACTCGAGCTCCTCATAGCCCGCCTCAGATGGCAAAACCGATGGCAACCGCACGACCCATCTTCTTCACCAACGCCGGTCCTCCGCCGTCTCACACGGGCAGAATTCCAACACGTCCGCGAAACAGGATGTATACCTTTCTCAGGTGCAGTCGCAATCATCGTAGTCCCACCTGTGAATAGGGATCCGAAGACGAAGGAACGAGCAAGGCCTCATAATTCTGCGTTACCTGAACCACCACTCGCGACGGACAAAGATGCGTCTCCACCCAAGAGGCCATTACCTCCGGCATCCGTTCTTCTACCAGCTTATCCACTGTCATCCCATGGCCAGGGTGATGAAGTTGAAAACCTACCGGACGTGATATCTACACCGAAAGTCCCGCTATACAACGGTGTGCCCTTATTCCCGACGAAACCTACTCGAGCTGCCCTACATAAGCTCCTTTGCGAGCTTTTGGCTGTTGATGCAAGAGCGCGATATTATCGGCCGCGAGCGACAAAGAGGGATGATGAAGCAGGGAAGAGCGAGAAAGTTAAGGTGAAGGGCGATCAAAAAGCGAGCCATGCGTTTTTGCTGTGCTCGTCGGCAGAGACATTAGCGAGGGCTGATGCGGTCCCCTTGGCCGTTGCGCTGTGGCGGTTGAGGGTTTGGAGTGGAGAACCATGGACAGAGGAGAACGGAACATGGGCATCGATAGTCTAGTTCTGTTTATTCTAATTCCTTCGCTGTACTGTAACTGTGGCGAGAAGTTGTGGCGATCTAAAAATAGGGAAATCTGCGAGGGCCAGGCACGGGCCGCTAAGGAAGCGGGATCGGGATACATCTGTAGCCACGCGAGCGCGCTTGGCAATTGTTTGCGCTTAAGCGCCCGGTCAACCCACGCAGTTGCTGTCGACCGCCACCGTGCATTCATCGCGATCCTTTCTCTTCCCACCACCACCACCATCTCCCCTTCATCATCGTCAACGATGGCCTCCACATCTAACTCAACATGGGTCCCTACTGGCCGTCATAAAGTTCAGGTCGGCACGTCGCTCGGTAAGGCGCTCAAAGCGCGCAAGGGAGCAGTCCCCCCTAAGCGGTCAAATCTCCCTGAACGACAGTTTTACTCGTTCCGATGTATGTCTTCCTTACTTTTACCTTTTCAGCTTACTTGGGGCTTACGAGTACTTGGGCGGTCTACAGCAAATTTCAAGCCAGAGTCGATAGATTCGACCAGGCCGGGGACGATACAGGTGCAAAAGAATGACACGGTCCGTGTCGAACGTCCAACCCAAGCGGTATGCTTCCAATCATCGCCACACTTGTTTGAGCGCCACACTGATCCACTGTCACTGCCACTTTTGCCTGCCCCGCCCTAGACAAATGATGTGCAGCAATTTGAAGGAGAGCAGAAACTTGCGAAGGAATGGGAGTGCGTCATCATCTATGATGAGGAACTCAACGTGCGTATTTCTCCCGCAACTTCTCACACTCTTCCCTTTCTTTGTGGCGCTACAAACGCATTGACCTCCGCTCGCTCATTTGTAGACGTATACTCTGGAGAAACTGGACTCCATCATCAACCTCACCTACACTAAGCGTGGACCACCACAGTTGCATTCATCAAATGCCGCCTCTCGTACGTTTCACTTTCTGTTTCAAGGCACACCGTATTCCTCCATCCCCCTCCCTCTCCCTCCCTTTCTATGTCCAGTCGAACATTCACTAAACATGACTTCCTGTCACTACCTCGTTATCTATAGCCCTCGCCACGCCCACACAAACACACTTCACCGCCACACCTACCCCCTCCAACCCAATACATACGAACCGAACAGCCGCCGATGACCTAGAAGCTCAGCTCCTCGATGGTCTCGAAGACGAAGATGCTGAAGGCGAGCCCGATGATGAAATGTTCCCACCACCCGCACCTTCCCACCTATCCTCCACAACGGCATCCGCACCTGCCCCGCCCAAACAAGAAGAAGAAGAAGAAGACTCGGAAGAAGACATCCCCATCGCCGCCACCGTCTCCATTCCCATCCCGAAACTTTCTCGACCGCCACCTGCCAAAGCCAAATCTGCCGCCGCCGCCTCCAAAGCTAAACCGACCCCCGTTCCCACCGCCACGAAAGCCAAGGCCAGCGTCGCCAAAGGCAAAGCCAAGGCTACGACCACGAATGGCAGTACATCCAGTAACAAGCGGTCATATGAGGCAGCGAACGGACCAGACGTTGAGGAGCTGGTGATCAGTCGTCCCGCACCAACAACCGTCCCAACGCCTTCGCCACCGAAACGCGCACGCATGTCTCCACCGCCGCCACCGCCTAAAGAAAGTTTCTCTCTTGCGTTGCCTACTCCCTCCGGTCCCGACCCTCTGGCACATCACTCGTATGGCTCGTCTGTCTCCGCGCCTGTTGCCGCTGCTACCGCAGACCCACAGGTGGAATCGGATGATGAAGATATGTGGGACGACGTTGTCCCCGCGAGCAGCACGACCGCAATCGCAAGTGCAAGTACGAGCACGAATGGACTGGCATTGCCCACATCGACACCAGTTTCATTTTCGCTACCAGAAGAGCCATACATCCCGACATTCACCATGGAGGAAGTTGACGGAGACGACGCGGTTCCGGATGGTGGGGACGGGGACGAGGACGAGGAAGGCGAGGAGATTGACATGCAGGCGTTCGAGGCTGATATCGAGCGAGAAATGGGGATGTCGGGGCAGGAGGAAGGTGATGGTGGCGACGATGACGATGATGGGGAGTTGTTTGAGGAAACGATACCGATCCCGCAGGTTCAGCCGCCACAGACGGGGAGACCGATGAGCTTGAATGCGTATGCGGGGGGCGGGGTGCAGGATGATGATGATGACTATTCGAGCAGCGAGGATAGCGATGATGATGATTGATTCGTTTGGGCGTTGTTTGACCGCGCAGATGTCTCTGGACGTTGGGCTCTGCTGGTTCGTTGTGGAATATTCGGTATCTATTTGCATGCATCTCTTTTCTTGGTTTTTGGCTCGATCGTTCTTATTTTCGTCCCGTATTGCCCCGTCCGTATCCCCACGCCGTTCCTACCCCATCTCTACATCCATCTGCAGCATAGCCATCTGGCAAGGAACATTATTTCTTGGATATATCTCGGTTTCCAGTAGTAGTACATACAGCAGTGGACGGACGTGTAAAATACCATCATCGATCATCTCTCGCAATCCGGGCTTGGTCTTACAGTTACAATTATTATTGCAAAGGATGGCATCTGTCTATCAAAGAGTGTTGATCAATTCTTTCTGTTCCCGGAGCTCCGCGGGCTTCTTCCAGCCTCTAATCTCCTCTAATGCACCGACCCTGAGTATGTTGCTTCAAACGTTCAGAATATATTCGCCGTCCCGCGCAATCAGGCTTCAGGCTCGTTTTCCCCTCGTGAAAGATATACCATTGATAAACAAGACACCACCGACCCTAAAACCAAACCAAATAGCCCAACAAACAGTCGCTCAACAGGGGGAAAAAGTGGTATCGATCATAATACAAACAACGAAGGTCACGTACGTCCCACAGAGACTCGTCCGCCCCTCCGATTTCGAAAGCAAGTAGACAAGGACGCGTGAGCATGTAATGTACTGCGTGAACACAAAGAACAACAAAAGACAAAGTCCGGTATCCAAAGAGGCAAAGAACGGTCCATCGCGCACATCCAGTAAAGAGTCCGTAGTCCGCCACCATCACTATCCCGATTCCCTACCACCCCGACCATCACCCCGTTCACAGGACGTTTCACAAAGATCATGACAACGGCGAGGAGCTCCACCCGTTGATGAACACCGTCCCGTCCGCCGAGGGGCCAACGTACTCATTCGGACCCCCAGGGAAGGCCACGACGTCAAACTGTCCCGCGTTCGCAGCCACCGACGTCGTTCCAGTCGCAGTGGCGCTCGCAGCCGAAACGACAGTCGCACCGGCAGCTTCTGCGCTGCTGACCACAGCACTTGCGGATGCGACATCGATAGTCGAGGTCGAAACGGCCGTCGTGGCAGCAGAAGCGTCAGAGCTTCCCGAGGAAGAGGAGCCGGAGGAAGAGCGGACGAGGGAGTTGATCGTTTGGGGTGTGGTGTCGAGGAATGCCATGGTGGGACCTGCGACGAGTTGAGAGGTGGCACGGTCGATGGGGTCACCTGCGAGGGGGTCCATGTCGGAGGTGATGAAGATGGCGACGGGGCCGGTGAGGCCTTGTGGGACGACGCAGGCGCTGAGCGGGAGGGCGATGGCGAAAGAGGCACCACCTGTGAGCATTTGGCATGCAAAGTTCTGATATCGATTCCGCCAAATATAAGTAATTGGTCAACACGAAAACACAACATGTTTGATGAGATGGCCTTACGGAGGTGTCGCTGGAGCCGTTGATGGCAGCGGTCGAGAAGGTCAACGAAGTACCAGCACTGACAGATCCAGTGTTGGTGACCGCAAGTGACGGGTTGGCTGTGTGGACAGAGCGGATGAAACATCAAAGATCAGACCATGAACAAGATCAAGGCTGAGTAGGCGCTGACCTGTGACGCCAGTATCACATCCAGAGATGAAGCCACCAGCGATAGCAAGAACCTCAGGAGGTGTCAACGGGATGTCGAAAGCCTGAGGAATGGCGGTGCCACTGGCAGTAAGGACGTTCAGCATGGTTTGGTGGCGAGCCTCGACGGTCATGATGGACGCAGCAGCAGTGAGCAGAACCGGGTCAGTGACAAGGTGAGCAGCGCCTGTACATGTGCAGCCACAACGAATCAATCAGATCCCGCTCAACGGTCCATGGGAGGTTAGATGCAATACGAACCGAGGTATGCTCCGACGCCGACATTCTCGACCAACCGTGCAGTCGTAGCCATAGTCGTCACATCCGTCAGGACGGAGGAAAAGTCGAAGGAGCAGCCCGCGAGAGGCGTAGCGCCTTGATCCGTGATAGCCTGGGTGAGGACGGTTGTGTGCGTGGATTCGTCAATAGAAATTGCCGTGAATTGTTCGATGGGGATTTGCGCGTCCGTGAATCCTGCAGTGGTGAAGTCGGAGGCCTGGAAAGTGGAAAGGGCCTGGCTGTAGAACTGCGTCTCCAGCTGCTCAAGAACATTGGCGAACTCTTTATGTCAAGAAGTATACCCAATTGAATAAATGGTGAGAAAATGGAGGACCATATATAAAGAGGAATGGACGCACGGAGGACAAGCATGGTGTTCGCATCGGCAGCACGTCTGAACGGAGCTGCTGATGCGAAAGGGGCAACAAGGCCAATGGAGAGGAGAGATGCTTGTGTGGAGAACTTCATCTTGGATTGATACCGAAAGCGACAGCCTGCTGGATAGAAAACGAAAGAAACGAGAGGAAGGGTCGGAAAAGTCCAGGGGCGCTACCGGGCAGCCCAACAGTCTGCAAGTGAGACAGTATGTTTCAGTGAGTAAATATGAAACAAATCTGACCGAAGAGAACACGTACGAAAAGAAAAGAGAAAGGTGGGGGAGGGAGGAAAAGACTGAGAAAAGTCGGGAGGGAGCATGATGGGCGTGCGATACGTTATATACTTAGATTTGAGGAGGCGTTCTGATGAGTCGCACAGAGCCGCGTTAGCCGCCATTGGCTGAAGGTGAACTCGGTCACCAGCACTTCGGGCCCGGTTCTTCCCCACAGTCTCCTTGGCAATTTCAACCACATCCTCGGTACCTCAGATCGCCTCCAATCCTCTCCTTCGATCCATCGTCCAATCGCCGTCTTCGCTTGGCACCAAAGCCCAACCGTCGTTGTGCGCCACATCGACACCCTTCTAACGGCAATGTCGTCTGGGTGAGTCAAACTTCGAGAGGAAAGTACGAGTGAAGCACAGAATGCTGCCGTCGCGAGACCAGTAATCGAGGGTCATCAAGTTACCAACAAAGAAAAAAATGATTGTCAACATCTCAGTTGGCGCCACAACACTGCAATCTCCTTGCCAAAACCGACGGTGAGAATAAGGCTCGTAAGCAGGCACGGAGTGAACGACATACATGTGCTAACAGCTGCTTTTCTCTGCTTGTCATGGTCCTATACTTTCATAGGCGTGGTCTGCCTCAAGGTTTAAGATTATTCGAGTACTAAACTCAAACCGAATTTTCAGAAGCTATTGCGCCAATGATCGCGCGATTCTCTTCGTAAGGCCGTCGTGATATGAACGGTGGTAATTACCGTAGCAAAGGAGACCTATCTGATGAGTTGGTCTTGTTCAGAGGCCAAAAATATCTCCTATGGGTTGTCCTACGGCCAAAGCATTACATGGACGGGCATGCCGGGCAAGGAGACTGACGTTGGATACAAAAAGACGTGCGCATAGATATGACCAACAACGCTTCCGGGACTGTTGCTGTTTCCATGCGCGAGGTAAACATCCCCTTCGTAAGTCTGGGCGAGATGAACGGCAGCTGTACGCACCCTACACTTCATATATCTCCTTCCACAAAGGGCCACGGTAAATCTACAATGCCTTCCCGCTGATCCACCTGGACACCATTGTAAGTGCCTCTGCGGGCTTATCATGCGGGACGTATAGGGACACAGTTCGGTAAGTTCATATCCCCCAAATGTAGAGGATGATTAAAAATTGGATACTTATCATATGCCCGGCACCTCTGATCGTCGCAAATGTCAGTTTCCCAAAACTCTTCGTTTCACCGGCCTTCCCGCTGGATCCATCCACCTTCCAGTCCCTCCATTCTTCCATTGCGTATCCGTCCATACCAGACCACTCGAGCTTATCCACCCAAAGCTTATTAGCCACCCAGTTACACTATGCATACATATCGGTTAGCTGTGATCGAATTGTTACTGGGACGAACTTAGGAAGATTCATACCTGCCAGTCATACGTGCCGGCGTAGATGAGGATCGGGATCCCACGATCGAGGAGGTTGGCGACGTAGTACTGGGTCGGGGCAGAGTATTTGTCCATGTTGAAGTGGAAGAGTGAACCGACGGCGGAGGAGCAACCGGTGAAATTGTTGGGGGAGGTGACGCCGAGGAGCTCGCGCACGGAGGGCTGGTTGAGATAATTTCGGATGACGGTGTTTTCTTCGTAGCAAAGGTCGCCGATGCAAGGCTGATGGGACGGGGTCAATCCTGCGAACTTGAACGCCGTTCAAACTTGGCATCACACCTTCGAGATATCGTATACGTTCCGTCCTGGAGATCATGGTGTGGCGTGAGCTCGGAGTGAAGAGAACGGGACAATCGGATCCTATACAATACTGACCACTAGCCCAGTACCCGGTGCTCATCTCAGAATCGCAGAAGGCGACAGCGGCTCTACAGTTCATCTCGTCGAACGTCTCAACGCAATGATCGTTCATGGCCTTCTCGCATCTGGGAAGCTGTCGCGCAAGTTCGTGATCATTATTCGTTCACACCTTTCCCGGGTGGTTCGGTGAGACGTCGATAAGCCACTTACCGCTTTCTTCATCCTGACGCAGGTCGAGATGTACTGGAACGGAACGTCGAGCGACGCCGTACCGCACTCGACCTCGTATCGTCCGGGATATAGTCTGCCGGAGGGCGAATTGTGTTATCAAAGTGAAAATGTTATCCGCGTTCAAAGAGGGAAGTGAAGAATGGGCCGTACGTGGATACGTCGGTGATGCCGTTGCCAATGAGTACACTCGTCAAGTTGATCACAGGACGTCCTTCTGTGGCCGCGATCTTGTTCTGGTCGTATATTTCGCTCGCGAACACGGGAAGATACCGCCCCTATTGACGATTCACAGGTTGATATTCTTTGAGCTCCTGATCAGCGAGACGCAGAAGAAAGCCTGAGACTGACCCCATAGCTTTCACCAGATAAATGCAAGGGGCGTCCCTTGAACTGACTGAAGGTCTCGAAGAATATGGAGATGAAGGCATAGACGTTCAACGCTGCTTCTTCTGTTGTGCCAACAGTCTCTCCGTAGTCTGCGTATGAGAAGCCCACACCAACACTAGATATACCATGGTCATTGGAGGGTGTCATGTAGAGAGAAGTAAGGGATAATTTGCCGGAAAATGAGTAGACGCACGGTTCGTCGAGGAAGAAGATATTGGTCTCCGAGTTCCAAGAATGGGGGTTGAAGACGGTGCCGTTTGAAGATACGTTCTTCATGTCGATGCTACATGGCCCTAAGAGTGAATAGGCGACGTCGGTATACTGTGGTATGGAATCATGAGACTCAAAATATGACTAGCCTAATTCCATCAACAAGCCCATGGAGCTTGAACATCCGGGTCCTGAGATAAAGGAGTCTAGGAAAATCGAGCATGTACCGTACATAGGTTAACACACCTCCGTTGATCCACATCATAACGTCGTCTATAACCATGTATTCAAGTCAATAACTTTCAATCCTTTCGTATTGGACAAGCTGACCGTTGTCAGGATCACGTCGACTTTCGAAGAAGTAGAAGTATAGATGTTTCGCGCCCTGGTCAACATCCAGGTATCCTGTGTATACGCTAGACGACCGCAGAGAACCCTCACACTTTAGCTCAGTCTGTGGGACGGTGCACGGGATAGAAGGGACGTACTTGACGGTAGGATCACAGAAATCTGTTTTTTTGACTCGAATGCTGTGACCAGGATGTTTGGGATGATTCAAGACCGTGTATTCCTCAGTAGAGCTTATCGAAGACAAGTGCATTGTCTCGACATAGTTCGTAGATGCATTCAACTTCAACGAGTGAGCTGCCTCATCCAAGTTATGCCCAAGAGTAGAGAACGCTGCCTGAGGCCCGGCTTGCACTGAGACCTGTCCGACCGCAAGTAAAGCTAGTATCCCTAGTATCTTGGGGAGCATCTTGAGTGATCCTGAGCGATGAGAGACCAAGAAGGACGAGTGGGTCTTGTGCACCCGACGCTGTTCCTCGATTCGTTATAAGTATTAGTGGGTGTTATCTCAGGGAAAAACATGACGAATGGGTGCTGGACCACCCAGAACATGAACAGGTCCAGCAGTGGTCTGTAGCAGGTCCACGGCTTGTCAGCTGGGTCCGGTCCGGTCCGGCACTCTCTTCGGACCAAGTTTCTCACGCCGGAGGCGCAAAAAAGTTGCAGCCCATAGCAAGTCCACCTTACCTTGCCTCCTACTCACCTTTTGGCGGACACGGTCACGCCTGACTTATCTTTTCCATCTCACTTTCCTTCTGGTTACTTTTTTCTCGCTTGTCATAATGCTGGTACTATACGAAACCGCGCTGGGTTTCTGTCTGTTCAAACTCACAGACTCTGCAAAAGCTACGAGCCCCGACTTGTACAGGGAGTTCGAGACACCGGAAAAGGCGAGCAAGCTGTAAGTCTCCACATCAGTGCGTTGATTATGCTCGAAAGGATGCTGAATTCTGTAATCTTGATCATAGTCTGAAATTGAAGTCGTTGCACCGTTTCACGTCTACCGCGACCGCCGTCGAGGAAATTACCGCCGTTCAGGAGGGCAAGCTTGGAAAGGGCCTCAAAAAGTTCTTGGAACATGAGATTGTGGAGAAGGGGAAGGGCAAGGATTCTCTTATGGTCGTCGACCCAAAACTCGGTTCGCAATCTCAGTCACATCAGTCCATTCTTTTCCTCACCCACTTTTACTTTTTACTGGCGAACAGTCCGACCCATCAACAAAAAGCTCGGAATCAACGTCGTCGCTGATTCCGATTCTCTGGACCTGTTCCGTGGTATTCGAAGCCAACTAGCTGCCCTCTTGGACGGACTGGACCCGAAGGATTTGGCGACTATGAGCTTGGGTCTCAGTCATTCACTGTCACGGTGTGTACAATTTCGGTGTTGAGGTTGTTTACTATGGCTGAAACCAACTCTTCAGCTTCAAGCTCAAGTTCTCACCGGACAAGGTCGATACCATGGTGGTACAGGCGATTGCCCTTTTAGACGACCTTGACAAAGAGATCAACATCTACGCCATGCGAGTAAAGGTGGGTTTACGGGCTACCCTACACTTGTACGCGAATATATTGAAAACTCTTATAAAAAGGAATGGTACGGTTGGCATTTCCCAGAGATGGCGAAGATCATCTCGGACAACATCGCATATGCAAAAGTCGTGAAGACAATGGGTACGCACCTGGAACTAATTTCACAGCTGCACGAGCTCATCTTTACTTCTACCCGCATAGGCTTCCGGACCAATGCAAGCAGCACTGACTTTGCCGCCATCCTCCCCGAAGACCTCGAAGCTGTAGTCAAAGCAGCCGCCGAAATCTCTATGGGTACCGAAATTTCAGATTCCGATATTGCGCACATCCACTCCCTTTGTGACCAAGTCATTGGCATCTCCACCTACCGCACCCAACTCGCTGAGTACCTCCGGAATCGTATGATCGCCATTGCACCGAACTTGACGGCTCTGGTCGGCGAGCTAGTCGGAGCGCGGTTGATCAGCCATGCTGGTAGTCTATTGAGCTTGGCCAAGCACCCAGCAAGTACCGTGCAGATTCTGGGAGCTGAGAAGGCGCTTTTCAGGGCTTTGAAGACGAAGCACGATACACCGAAATACGGTCTCATTTACCACGTTCGTGCTCCCTCACCCCTACCTTTCTTCTCTGATACTGAAAGGTCCTTCCAGGCTTCCCTCGTCGGACAAGCGCCTCCCAAGCTGAAGGGTAAAGTGAGTGCATCCCTCGTGAAGTCAAGTTCTCGCCGTGCTAATCTTGTGAATCCAAGATGGCTCGTATGGTTGCCACCAAAACCGCTCTTTCCGTCCGTGTGGACGCTCTCACCGACTCTGAAGGCAAGTCAGAACCCTCAGCACCCACCATCGGTCTCGAAAACCGCGCCAAACTTGAATCCCGCCTCCGTGCCCTCGAAATGGAAGGAGATGCTTCCGGAGTTCGACGATACTCCGAGAACGGAAAGAAGCAGGAGAAATTCACGATGCAGCCCAACGCTAGCACTTACAATGTCGCTTCGGACGTCGTTGGAGACTTGCTGTCGACACAGAGGGAGCCGATGGAGGTGGCGTTGAAGGTTGCGGAGGACACGAAAGAGGAGAAGCGGAGAGCAAAGGAGGAGAGGCGGGCGAAGAAGAAGGCTGAGAAGGAGGGCAAGAAGGCCGCGGAGAGTGGAGATGATGAAAATGCGATGGAGGTCGATGGAGAGGACAAGAAGGACAAGAAACGGAAGCGGAGAGAGAGCGAGGCGAACGGGGAGGCGTCACCATCCAAGGTCTGTTCAATACATATCAGCTCGACATATCTTTTGTTCCTGAACTTCTACTCCGTCCACAGGCTGCAGGTGCAGAGGAAACAGAAGCCGAGCGCAAAGCACGGAAGAAGGCAAAGAAGGCCGCGAAAGAGGCTGCAGCTGCTGATGGAGAGTCGTCAAAAAAGCGGAAGACATCTGCATAGTATCTGACTCTCCATATTTCTTGTCCTGTATCCTATTTCACACTTTCCTGGTTCTCTGCATCATCTTTTTATCGCATTCTCTCCATCTCAACGCAACGATAAACGTCTGGTCGGTCGCTGGTGGCAAGGGTATTGAGCTAGACAATATACAATGAGTCTGACCAACGCCCAGCCTAAGGATCATATACATCTGATCATGCGGATACATCCTGAACTCAAAGGGCAACATAGATGTGGGGGTAACAATTTCGTGCAGATGCAAGAGTCTGAGGTTGGTGCCGCGCCACAGTGTGGCCCCTCCCTGTGCCACACTGTCGAAAGCATGTGAAAACATATGCACACCTCGAGAAACGTCGGGAACGCAAAAGTGTAATCATGCACTCACTCTATCTTCACCTTCACTTCGAGTATCGCTCTCGATGAGTGCTCTCCAAAAAGCTTGGGATGATGCTCAGCCTCGTCTTCAATCCATAAGAGAATCTGTCCAGTCGCTTGCACCCCCACACGCACGAATATTACGCGTTGGTCAACTTGATGCAGAGCTCTTGGACCAGGAGTTGGTTCATCTACTACAGGACCCCCTTACCAAGGCTCTCGCGTCGATCCATGTAGGTACTGATATCACTAACATTCTTACATTTCGTGTCGCTTAATCGGTGCTTCAGAGCACATTCAGGTCGCGATTTGAGCCTGAGCTATCGCTGCTCATACAGCTCACCCTCTACAAACTCTCTGTATGGGACACTGGTGCTTCTTACGGTGCCAGACTTCAAGAACTGAAGTACTTGGCCACTAAGAGACGTTCAAATTGTCTAACACGTATGTTCCGCATGTACTGCGCTCGAGCATTGACCCTAACACAGGTCTAGCATCCGGGATATCTGCTCCAATTCTGGCCATCCACGGAGCCCTTACCATATTTGTTCCATACCTACACGCACGAATACGAACGCATGCTCTCTCAAAAGCGTGGCCTGATGCTCCTAGCTCGGATAGACGACGAAAAGCATGGGAGCTCCTTACAGGAGTAGAGTCGACACATGCTTTCTTCTCGCTACTAAGTTTTGTGGCATTCTTGTGGGATGGAAGGTGCGTACTTCATGGCCTCTGTGGGGGATTGATCGAGATGCTCACATTGCATAGGTATCGAACACTGGTTGACCGACTACTGGGCTTGCGACTGGCACCAGCACGCCGCCTAGTGAAGCGCGATGTCAGCTACGAATTCATGAACCGTCAGATGGTGTGGCACGCATTCACAGTGAGTCTCACCTAGTTTCTGTGGCAGACTCCAGCTCAAATCAATCCTTGCAGGAATTTCTCCTATTCATCCTCCCCTTACTACCACATCGCACAATGCGCCGCGTCGTCTCAACGACGATATCCTCCATATCTCATCCCCTGGACACACTGTCTCGCGTCCTTCCAACCCCAGCAAAATCTGCGCTCGGCATCTCTTCCTCGTCCGATCTACCAGAAGACGACCCTTCATCGCCGAAACGCGGCCCGTTCTTTAACCTACCCGAGAATGAATGCGCAATCTGTGCCGAAAATGCTGCTCTCAATCTTGACCTTTCCAATCCCGCAGCATCCATGGCTCAAGCAAGTTCTCAAGTCGCTTACTCTATGGCTTCCACCCAAGGGCCATCGAGACATTCTTTGACCTCAGCACATGACGACACGGATGAACCACCACCCCATCCTCTCAACACTCCCTATCGTACATCTTGTGGTCACGTCTATTGCTACGTCTGCATCTCGGATAAGATGCTCCGAGCAGCAGACGAGGCAGGTCCGCCTTGGGATTGCCTTAGATGTCGCGAGGCTGTTCGGGGTGCAGAAAGAGTCAAAGTGCAAGAGCATTGGATCAGAGAGGGAGATGATGGAGAAGGCAGTGTTGCGGAATCGCAGTGGGGGAGTGATTATTTCGATGAGTTGGGAAGTAGTGTTAGTGGTGTCAGTGGGATGACTATGGGCAGCAGGAGCTGGATTAGTGGCAGTGACGAAGGCTCAGAGTGATCTAGCTACTGAGGGGGCGTAGCCCATATCTTGTACGGCGTTCCCGCACCTACATATCGAGATATTGACAAGAATAAACGCGTGACATAGCAATTGTGTAATTAAAGTCGAAGATAATAGATCGACGACAAGTGGTAGTTTAGCCCAAAAATAGCTTCAAGGTATAAAGATCTCCTTCACTCTCAAGATATACTTACTAGATCTCATCTTCCTACCATCACTTGCCAGCGATCTCGTCCTGTAACTGCTTGAGAACGGTAGGATCGGCCTCGCCAAGATAACGGACTTGCAGCTGTTGAGGACCACCGCAAGCGACGGTCGCCTCTTGTAGACGGGCCCCGATAAAAGCGGCGAGCGGCGCTGTGCGGATAGGGTCGTTGTCCCACGACTGATTGAACTGTATGTGTTAGTGAGTGCTCAAGTAAAGGCTGATATCAACTTACGGATTTGCGGCGGCCATACTCTGGCATGTCCTCGGTGTCATTATAGAAATTGCTCGGTGGCTCGTCCCAGTACAAGGTCAGGAAGGTGCTGCGCCACAAACTTCAAATCAGCCATAATTTTGCTGCGTAAGGTAGATATGACTTTACCTTTCGCCCGACAACGCTTCCTCCTGTTTCTGTTGGATAGCCTCCTTGAGCTCACCGAAGACATCAAGCCAAATGTTGAAGATTTCGGATGGTAGCCGCTGCATAACTTCCTGACGTCCGGTCGAGACCAGTGCAGCGATACCCATGGCCGTGAGCTTGCGACGACGGGGTTCTGACATATTGTCGAACTGTGGTGATATTGAGCAACACGAAGTTATGAGAGTCTAAGAAGATACGTACTCTACGCCACCATTGGTCCAGCAAGTCCTCCCATAATTGCGTCTCGGGCACGTTCATTTTCGCAGAAGTTGCAGCCATGAGTTGAAGGAATGTCTGAGGCTCGGGCACTGCTATGCGCGACATGACGTAGATGTCGTGAGTAAGAATCGTAGTATCGGCCTAGTGTACCAGTGGTGAGCAAAAGAATACGACGGATAGAAAGAGTCAGTACTTTGTCCTCCATAATCTCTTTCAAAATATGAGCAAAGAGACCGGATGTGTGCAGAGCTTCGGCATAGCTGGATGGCGGCACGAGTTGAAACAGCATTTCGAGCGATTCCAAAAGCCCTTTTGTGTTGATAGAGTACACATTGGGGAACGTGACAACATATGCATTGAAGAGGTTGGTGGCGTAATGCTGATAGGTTGACAGTAAGTCTTTCCAGTAGAACGAGCTAGAGGGCCAAAGGGCAAATACTTGCCTGAACGACCGTCTGACCATCGAGAAGGTAGTAGCTCTCGAGGAGATCCGTGATCCTTCCCATAATGTCCACGCTAAGGGGTATGCGAGACACCAAGAGTGGGAAGAGATCGATCAGTCCACCGCTGCCAACTGTACCGACTGTGTTCGTGTTTCTTAAGGCGGTGGTCCATAGCTTAAAGACATCTTCATCCAAGTGCGCCAAGTTCTATATTTCAGGAGAAAAGAGTAGCATCCAAGCATCAAACAAAAAGTGAGAACGGACTTACGTTAGGCGTAAAGCTCTCTTGGATCAATGGGACCACTATGGATGATAGCGGGGCCGAGTTCTCCTTTACAGCCTGCATCCTACATTGAGCGATTGATACTGGAGACATGTTGTGCTGACGTACGGAGATGAGCTGGGCGACGATTCTCAGCAAGGCATTCTTGACCATAAAATTATCTCCCGTGGCTGTCCCTAATGATACTGTGCATGAGCGTGGTGAATGAACGAAACACCAGTGAAGACGACATACAAAGTGGTGGGAATGCGGATGCAATGTCGGCGATGAAGGGAGTGACCTGTAAATGACACTGAGCATGGTTCGCAGTGCTGAGATACCGGCCAATCGTATACCTGAAGACCTGCGCTTTCAAGTACAGTCTCTAAGGCGCTCGCCACACGCAGCTTGCTCTCGACTATCTCGGTGTCCGCAAGCAGCTTTAACAGTTCGGAAAGGACTGAGCCCAAGAACGGAGCAAAAGCGGTTGGGTCGAATGTGTTGCTCTATGTAAGACATGATTAATTCGTGGACGACATGATCAAAGGGCGAACGTACATTGAGACTATCCTTGATGGCTCCGGCGGTGGTGAGACGGATAACCTCAGTGCCTTCTCCTTTGTCCGTGAGAAGGTACGTGAGTATCTGCCAGATGCGTTGGTCGTTTAGTGGTGCGCAGTTATCGCCGATCCATTTCCCTATCAGCCACGCTACCCGGCGTTTGATGATGAGATAACTGTCGAGACGTCCTTGTGAACATGCAGACAAGGATGAGGCCCACATGAAGGCTTACTCAGGGTCCGGGTTGCGCACTTCGTTCATTGCAACATCCAACCACTGTACAAAGTCGATTGAATCCTTCAGACGATGCGCGCATCTGCCAACGGCGCAATATACTGCTTCCTTCTGGATGACGGCATCCATTCCAACAGTAGGTTGAGCTAGCGGATACTGTCAGTCGTATCGTACACAACAATGGTGGTGTAACGGGACACACCTATAATGCCACGGAAAGCTTCGGCGAGCATAGGAGTGACAAAGTCGCGGTACTGGTTGGCGAGGGTCATGAGGACCCTTTCCGCACACGGCTGATGCAACAGTTTCAGAAGACGGGAAGTTATGATAGGAACATAAAATAGCTCACTCTGATCTCGAAGGTCCATTGCTCGTCTTCCTTTTCTTCACTGTTCACCCACTCTTCAGGATCAGCCATCCAACCCTCGAGATCAGCAGGTTTTAGAGGCATGAAGTTAGTGACCAGGAGCGTCACTGCTCGCTGGACAAAGTCCTCCGGCATTGCTATGACATTGACCATCAATAGAACACTATGTCATAAGAAACCATGAACATACTGGCAGCATTAGTCCCGGCCTTGCGCGTGGGAGACCATTGTGCAAGGCTATCTTTGAAGAGCACCATGCCCTGTACCAGGAAACGGACAGGGAAGACGGCAGTAGGGGAATCTGGCATTGCATACTTTAGATTCAGTTCGATACATAGTTGCAGAGACCTGCGACGTACCAGCGATAAGCTCCGAAGCAGCGTTGGCTTGAACGACCTGGTTCCAGTACCACGCCACAAGATCATCGCAGGTGGGCAATGCGATAAACCTAGTTGCGTCAAGTTGCTCTAGTCGTCGGAATACTTTACCCAGTGTGAGGATGTGTCGCGTATACAGCCCAAGATTGCGGCCAGTGGCGGGGTTAGGGGTTGTGGAGGAAGATCGTAACGTCTGCATAATAGTCGTTCGTAGCTCGAAATGTGCACGAACGTGACCGGCCAAGGTCTGGAAGAGTTGCATGAACTGACACGGGTGTATTGTTTGTACGTAAGTATAAAGAGCGCTGGATGAATGAGCTGCACATACCCAGTCCTTGAATGCGTCCAGGGGATCTTTGGAGGTGTTTAGCCTGGGCCACACCCAAACCGCTATCCTCGCCACAGCTTTGAGGAGCAGATGGGTGGACATAACGATCTCGGTCACGCTTTGATCACCTAAACGAGCCACATCGAGGGCTGAAGAAAGCATCGAAGCGCATTTGACGTAGTAGTTGGATAAGATTAGATGAAGCTGTTCTGATAACTGAATGCGTGTGAGGACTGTCTACAGGCATGAATTTCATGAAAGACGAGCGAACCTGTTTCATGATAGCGATCCCGGTTAAGAACTTAATATTGTGAAATCTTTTAAGAACAGCATTGAGGGCTCTCAGAGAGCGATAGAGGACAAGACTAGCTTGTGTATCGGGAACGGTAGGGTTGGCCAGTCGCTTGTCGAGGTTGGTAGTGATGAGCGTGATGAGATCAGGAATGAGGTTAGGCCTTCAATGGCATCCGTGATCAGATCATACGTAATACTAAGAGCCCAAGGGGCTTACCAGTTGTGGGGATACTCTTTATGAGCAATGTTCGCAATCGAGAGCTCGTTACAGCTACTGATCTGGAAAGAGGTGAGCTCGCAACAATTGGGTGGCGCACTGAATGTTACTCACTACATCATCCTCTTCCTGAAGCAGGGTCATGCAGCGCGCTTTGATCCATGTTCTCTCCTCATCGGTGAGCTGTCTAGATTTCGACCAGTAAGTATCAAGATTTCTTTCGGGAATGAGGTACAAGAAACTGTGGCGCACCTCCGACTCCGCCAATGGTCCAATGCACGATTCTTAAACTGTAGGGCGCTGAGCTGGCGTACAGGTAAAGGCACGGTTTTTTGTGCAGCTATCTCCTGCAACACATTCCAACAACCCGGGAGCTCCAGCATGTCTTTCAGTAGAGCGGACGCCGCCTGCATCTTGGCCGGGTCCTGGGATGCCGCCTCGCACAAGACATTGTACAGTCCTTCTGGAGATATCCTCTCGTTTGGGGGTGTAGGCTTGACCATTGGATGTACGACTTTTAGGAACAAGCAATAAGACTAGAATTGTTTACGCACAAGAAGGTCAGACAAGAAAGAGGGCAAGGGCACGGTGACAACAGATGTCAACAACGCGTCGCGGTTCGCGTCCGTCGCGTCGTTTCGTTGGTGTCAGATCTTGTCGGACTTTGAAATTTATCGCAATACAACTTGGCTCAAAGCGTCGATGCTCCTCTGCTCCCGCTCCTTTCTTTCCTCTCTCACCAGACCGTCTCTACGCCTCACGCTTCACTCCTATTGTACAACCTATCAACAATCCCCTTCGGCCTCTATTTCGTTCAATATGTCTCGCCCTGTTATAACGGGCCATATTTCGCCTGGTGTCAAAGATTTGGACGACGTTGAGGTTCTGGATTCAGAACCAGAACGAGAAGAAATTCGAAGGAAGCATAAGGAAGAGCGCAAGGAAAAGAGGCGCGAGGCTAGTCACAAAAAGCTTGTTGCATCAGCTTCCTCCATCGCCACACAACGGGCCTGTTTGAGCCCTCCACCTCCTGTCTCGATTCCAACTCCTCCCGAACAAAGCAACGATGATGTTATCGAAATCAGTGGTGAGTTCTTATTCGCTAACATTTTTGTACTCACATATCAATATCATTTTCAGACAACGACGAAGGGCCCGCGACGGTTCAAGCCAGCAAGACTAGCGCTCCCACTAAACTCGTTAACGCAAGCAAAGAGGCTTCAGAGGAACCAAGCATCATTGACATCAGTGGTATTTATACTCACTTATCTGATTTTCTCAGACGCGTCTGCTGATGCGGCTTTGCAGACGATGCACGTCATCCACCAGCGCCTGTGTCTGTCTCGATACAAGCAACGCAACAGGAAAATGACCGTCGGCTCCCGACTCCTATCAACTCTTCTTCATCATATGCGGCAGTAGATATCGCTCACTGCGCATCAGCAGCAGACGCACCTCAGGAACACCAGGACTCCGACGACTCTGAACAGGAGGGCTCGAACTTCCGCCTCAAAATGGGTCGCTTCGCCTACACCTCGGACTCGCAATCGTCGTCTCGAGGCTCTCGACCACCCGGACGAACGTATCACTCCTACTCCACCGCAGCATCGCCTACACCCGTGTCCGATGCCCCCCCTGCCGAAAAGAAGAAGCGTGCTCGTACCCCAAAAGTTCAACTCGACCTTGGTGCCACAGATGGTGAGCTTGCCTCTCTGAAGCAATGTATCGCCTGCAAACGAGACTGGACGGTACGCAAGACCGCTGTCCAAAAGGGATCGCACATCCGGTCCTGTGCCGCTCAGCACGGTCTCAATCAAGAAACGGTGACCATTCTGATTCGTCGAGCTCTGGATGAGTCTCCTCCGCCCCCTAAGACCAAAGGAAAAGGAAAGGCGAAGGCGAAAACTGTCGAGGAACCTGCGGCCGAACCGAAAACATACCTGGAAAATGTCATCGACGAGACGACTGTCAAGCGCAGAGGCCGGCGGCCAGAGGTCCAGTCGACCGTACAAGACGTGCGTCACACGACCACTGCCATACTCAACAGGGCACGGACTGTTCTGGACGTCTCCGTCGACAAACACGGTCCTGCTCCTCCTTTAACTCAGGCCTTCGGCAAGAGCAAGTTGGGAGGTGCACTTCGCAGGCAAGAAGGTCAAGAGCAAGGAGAAAATGCGGAGCCGCCACGAACTCAAGTATTTGGCAAAAGTGCTTTGGGCGCAAGGTCTGGGTCTGGGGCACCTAGAATTTCTGGCTTCGGGTCTACCAGCGATGTTGAGGACGATGGACCTCCCCTCACTCAGCCTTTCGCTCCTTCGAAACTTGGCGCGAGTCTCCTTGCTACAGGTCCCTCGCTTATGGCGCCGTTGTCGCCGTCGAGGCAAAGTAATCAAGACAACTCTGTCATAAGTGTATGTCCTGTCACTCTTCTTTGTTACCCGCTGAGAGTAAGACGGTTGACATCTAGATCTCCTCTTCCCCTGACTCTGACTCCGCTCTGGCATCAAGCGCAAGAGACCTGGCTCTCCCTCGTACCCAAGCTTCCAAACAAAGGCGAGGAAGCTTTTCTGATGCCACCGGCGTGGTCGCGGCCGGTGTCGACGTTGACGAGGCGCGAGCGAATGAGGAATATGTAATGAACGATGATCTATATGGATGGCAGTGGGACGGTGGCGAAGGATTCAATGATGATGCGAATTTATATTTCGAGCCAGATCTTCAACCTGGGTCACCTGTGGCAGGACCAAGCCGGATCACCTTCGAACGAGCTGCGGTCCCCTCGGACGAAGAACTAGAAATTGACGAACATTCAGATTCATCGCTGCGTCTGCTACGGACTATTCTCGCTACTTCCGGGTCGGGAGCAAAGGGCAAAGGCAAAGGCAAAGCTAAACCGCCGGACACCTCTCCTGTTAAGACCAAGACCAAAACTACCAAGAAGACGAAACCCTCATCTCAAGGAACGAGACCCGTTTCCCCTCCACCATCGCCGTCCAAGGCTGGCACGCCCAAGAAGCAAGTGCGCAAAGCAGCTCCAGCTTCGTCGCCACCCAAATCGTCCCGTTCGCAGCAAGGTCGGACTCGGTCCACAGTCCTTCATTCTTCAGACGAAGAATTCGACATGGTACCCCTGTCATCCCAAAAAGCCGCCGGCACCGTCACCCCCAAACGCCGCAAACGACAAAGCTCCTCGACCGATGAGTCGGCTCTAAAGTCGAAGGCCACGGGTTCACCGTCCAAGAAAGCCAAAGGAAAGGCGAAAGCCACTTCGCCTACTCGAACTCGCAAAAAGCGCACCGCAGCATCGGACGATGGGGCAGAATCCGAAGACGTCGATATGCCCGTCCCAGGGCGACTTCTTCTTGACGACGAAGAAGCAGGTCGATATTTGGAAGAGAAGCTGAAAGCGTCCATATTTGCGGACGAGGAGTTGCATTTGCGTATTCTGCGCTATGAGCCTATCGAGTTTGATGTTTTCATTCAACTGTTGAAGGATGTGAAGATGGGGAAGGGGAGGATGAAGGTGGCTGTGAGTGGAATTCTGGATAAACTTGTGAGTCGAGTCCGAATCAGTCGTTGTTGAGCCTAAGAGGGGGACTCACGAATTGAACCCTCGAACAGGCTATCAATTTTTACGGAGTGCATGGGACGACCGGTCGGAGTCGAACAAAGAAGAGATGATTCACCGAATTACGAACGGACGATGAGTGATAGTAGATGAATACTGAATACAGGATAAGTATACAATGCGTGTTATTATAGTTTATGATGCTCTGTTGAAGAGAGAAAGACCCTGTTGAAGGCATCAGAGAAACATCCACCTCTACCTCCACTACCACCTCCACATGTATCTCTCCAATACTCTAGAACCAATACTGTACCAGCCTCTAAGTATCTATAAGAATAAACCAACGGAAAGTGAAAAAACCGGGTGACCACGACATGCACTCAACGGGAGCATCTCACAACGCAACACTCGCCAAATCCGCTACTTCGATCACACCCCCGACGAGGTGCAGACTTCCTGCCACTAGTACGTCTACGCCTTTCTTGTCGTTCCCGCTTACACCGCGAACGATCCTAACGGCGTGTTCGATAGAGGGGAGAACGTGGACGTTGGATGCGGCGAAGGAAGGTACGAGGGCTTTCCATGCGGACGCGAGGTCTTGCTGGGTTTTGAGCTGAGCGAGATCTGACTCGGCTATAGCGTGAGTCGTCAGATCTACAGCCGAAAATAAAATAGAATAACGCGATCAGCTGTATGGTCATGGAGAGAAAGAAGGACAGACGAGAGTGAATCATGGGTACTCACCGCCCTTGAACCCCCCATCGGCGTAGGTGACGTTCGCACAAAACACGACATGGTCAAAGAACGTCTCGGGCTCTTCTTTCGATCCGTGGAGTTGGAGTTGGGTTTTCATCTTTGCGAGGACAGTACCGAGGAATGATGACCCAGAACGGCCATTCGTGCAGTTAAAAATGAGTACGCGGGGTCTTTGTTTCCTGTGGGTATATCGAGACCCTGGTCAGCATTCATAACTTCCAATACGGATAGTCGAAGGGCGTAGTATGACTTACGAGTTCCCTCCTGCGGCCAACGCAAGCCCTGGCGCGACAAACCACTGCACACAACAATCCAAACTCTCTACCGTATGCGCACCATCGAGGAACCACCTCGTACCCCCATATTCCTCGTTCGGGTCATTCACAGATTGGCAGCGACCCGGCCAACGAGAAGACTCGAGCGCTTTGACCCATACAGGCGGGAGTGGTAGTGCGGTGATAGCTTGCGTCTCGGGAGTCGAGGAGTCGATAGATTGTGCTTGTACGTGCGTTGATTCTGGTTCGAGGATTTGGAAGAATTTACGGACGAGGTGGACCGCGAGGTTGGCGTTTTGGAGTTGGTGGGTTCCGGCGAGGCCGAGCTTGATGTCGGCGAGCTCGGGGGTTAGAGGGACGACTGTGAATTCTGAGGCCTGGAAGATCGGACAGTCAGAAGGGATGGCATGAGGTGGTGCAAAGAAGAGAAGGTTACCTTGAGATCTTCGCTCTGCTTCTTGAGAACCTGTAGGCCTTCTCCTGGTTGGTTGACCGTCAAAGCTGGTACGCCTTCCTGGAGCTCTTCGTCAGAGATGAACGATGCTACTGGAGGAGCATATAAAGAGTACCTTGTAGATTCCACCCTTCTGCCATGCGATTTCCGCGAGTGTCTTTCCGAGGACGGCTGTGTGGTCGATTCCAAGCGCAGAGACTCCGGTGACTATAGGACGAGGGACGATGTTCGTGCAATCATATGTTCCGCCTACTCCGACTTCCAGAATGGTGGCATCGACCTTATTCACACGTCAATACTTCAGAGTTATGGATGAAACGACGTTCGTGTTCACCTTGAGCGAAAGAAAGGCATGATAGGCCACTAAAGTCACGTAGCGGAAGTAAGCAGGCATGAGCGGTGTGCTTTCAAATTGGCGCTAGAAGCAAGTGTATCAGCGAAGAGTACGGTGTAGGTGTTGGCAGTTTGCGTACTGTAGTATTCTGTTGTAGTCGATCCCACACTTCGAAGAAGAAACGAGCAAAGTCTTCCTCCGATATTGGTGCGCCGTTGACTCGTATCCGTTCTCGAACGGCGACCAAGTGAGGAGACGTATAGAGTCCTGCGTAAATAGTCTTAGCTTACTTACAGGGACATGTCAGGGTTGTAAGGATGCATACCGACTTTCCAAGATGGTTTAGCATGGCGAAGAATCGAGTCAGCGAAGGCGCAGGTAGATCCTTTGCCTTTGGTCCCGGTAATATGGATCACATTCAGTTTGTTCAACTCTTCGGGCTGTGAGATCGGTAAAGAAGTCTCTCAAAAACAATGTGTTGTTGATTCGCACCTCGTAGCCTATTCTCTGCAGATATTCCTTGGTCTCTGGGATGGCGAATTGGGCGAGGCGTCCTCCAGAAGCTCTGGATGCCTCTATTGTGGCGGCGTTGGACTGTAGCGAGTTGAGATGCTCTATGGCATCTCTGTAGGTGCGTGTAGACATTGTTCTATGGTACAATCGTAAAAGCCGAGGACGGGATAGGCACAGAGGAGAGAGAAGATACCGAGTTTGCATTCGTGTGCCCCGCAAGCAGATAATGCTAAATTGAAGCTGATCCCGGCTCGCTGAACGCCGCTGAGCAACCGCTGGGGGCGGAAGGCAATCTAATCTTATCTCGTGCCTGTTAGCGAACGCCACGCGAGGCGGAGAGCGCAGCGTCAGAGTCGACTCGTTCTAAACCACATCTTTGTTCATGTTCTTGGCTCGCTAGCCTCCTCTCCACGCCTCCTGCGCACCCTCCACTTATTTTACAGCTCTTCTCAATTCTTCTCCAGCCTTTCTCTCCTTCGGAACATCCTCAACGGCCATGCATCTCCCTTTCACCCCCAACCACGTCCTGCTCATAAATGCCTGTTACCCCGCCCCCGCCGCCCTCCTTTCCGCTGGCCCAGACTATCGTCCGAATTCACAAGAGCTCTCAAAACTGACGTACTATGCGGCCAATCGCCCGGCGAAACTTAACAAGCTCAGCATGGAGCTAGAGAAGCGGATTGCGGCAGACTGCAAGAGAGCACAGGCAGGCAATGCTCGATACAAAGCGTGCGTGACCTTGTTACCCCTATCGTATTATGCTTTTACTTACGGTTTACCCAGGTCTCTCTTGATATCAATATCAATAATGCGAGCTTTAGCCGCTGACTGTCGCCGCGATATTGCTCTCCTCACTCCTTCGCTACTTGCTGCTGCCGACATGACCCTAAGTGCCATGTCGTCTGACCTCGAAGTTTCCGCTAAAGTTGCGAGCATGGTGCGTCATACTTCATGAACTCTTCCTTCACATCCATAACTTATCTCGAGCGCTTCCTTAGTTCACTGCGTGGACAACGTATACTGACGGTCGACTCATCGGGACAGACAATGCTGTCACGAAGGACTACATGTCAATCCTGCAACGCTTCGCAGCACTGAGCACAACTAGCTCAAGTTCAAGCGACCAAGAGTTTAGAAATAGGTACGTATCCAACTGACTACATGTTATGCTATGTTTTATTGACTGTGCAGTTAGAACGCGTCTGGTGGGTCTTGCCGCGCTGACGGGCGCCGTAACGTCGGAAGCCTTGTACAGTTCTACGCAGTTCGCTTCCCAAGTATCGACAGTGGTGCCTGCCCTCATGGTCAACATTTTGGAAGTCGACATCTCGACATTAGATATGGAGTTTGTCCTCTTGGTACACTTGACCTCCTTGGCTTTGGCTAATTCCCTAACGACAGGTCTGCAGCAATGAAGGACAAGCCAATATCTCCTTACCTAGACGAATTCCGCACTCGCCCCGCAGTGGAACGGCGTGCAGCCTCAATTCACATACACGTCGACGGAGAAAGAGGCCCCTCTGCCAGCGATGTCACTAGCGCCTCTCTACGAGCCTTACACTCTCTTCTCGACCATTCCAATGGCGCTCAAGCAAACCATGTCATGCAAGCCGCTCTAGACAGTCTAAACACCTTGAATGGATGGGACAAGATAGATCACTGCCGGTGGCTCGCCAGAAAAGCGGCAGATTGGACACAATATCAGTATCGCTACGCCATCCCTACACGTTTAGTCGAACGTCTTCAAGAAAACCAGGATGCTCAAGCTGCTACCTCTCTGCACAGCTCTCTTGCCGCCATGGTCACCACTGTTTTCGTCTCTCCTACGCCACTCATCAATCTTTCCACCTCCGATGTCATTTCCAATCTTATCACCCTCGTCATCCGGCGAGCCGCGATTGACCCATCAGACTCGCTTCTACCAGCGCTCACTGTGTGTATATCCTCCCTGGGAACACATATCTACTATGTCGACCAAATCCATGACCTGGCGAGCGAGTTGATTAGTCGGCTCATCTCGATCGAGGCCAATGGAATACAAGGGAGGAACGGACCCGCCAGCACCAAAGGCCGGAACCAGGCCATTCGATGCCTTCTTGCGGGTCTCGTCGGATTGATCCAAGTTCCTAGCAAGCAAGCCTCTGCTAAGGACTTGGAGACGAGGGTGTCCCCCAAACCAGACCAGTCCTCCACCGTTGCATCCGTCATCTCCCGAAACTCTGTCGAAGCGACAGCAAACGGCAACCCTGGTTCACCCACTACCAACGGTTCAGCCAAACCTGGCCGCCGAACGAAGGTCTCACCCGAAATCTGGCAAGATACCTTGAACCTCCTTTGCGATGCGGATTACTCCGTTCGCGCGGACTACCTTCGCGCACTCATATTCTACATCAGCACCGAGATCTCGAAACGGGGCGAATATACTGATTCGGAGGGTGTGTATCGAATTCGGCCGCTTGCCGAGGGACCGATACGACAGGGCGCGAATCTCATCGCGATGTTGAACGGGGACTCATCGACGAGATTTTTGAACGCGGTGTTTGCGTACCTCTATATTCTGGCTACGTCGTCTGCGTTAGGCATCCAGTCAGGATCGTCATCGCCGTCGCATGGGAGCCAGATCGTGGTGGACGAGCCGGCACAGGAGCCAATGCTGAATGTCGTGCCGCCTACGCCGATGGGTTCGACTTCCAACATGGGCGATGCAGCCGAGAAAGACGAACTTGGGAACCAGCAGCACGGCGCCCGTCGCTCGATATCCATCCAAGCTCGCGCACGGAGACAATCCACCATCCAGCAGATGCTGGAACGCGTTCCCTCGCGGTTATCTTCCTCCGCGTGCGCCACTGGATCGGATTATCAGAATATTTTGGTCGCGCTGGTTGCAATTGACGAGCATTTGCCGATGAGGGGGTTGTTGACTGCTGTGCCGTTCCTTGTGGCCTTGGACGGACTTTGCAGGACGGCATCGAGTGAAGATGCTGGAGTGCTTCTGCGGACGAGGGCGATTAGGGAGGTGATGGCTAGGGCTTGGCTTGCTATTGGGAAGACGTGGGCTTGTGCTGAGCTTGTTAGCATGGCAGAAGAGGTACGCTCGTTCCTCGTGCATCCCAACTTGCTGGTCAAGACGGTTTGTTCAATGAGCTTTTTGTTTCATCTAGGCTCTGAGAACGATGCCAATGCCTTCACCATTACCACCTGTAACAGAAAAGCCTCCTGGGGCCTTCACAGCTCCAGAGGCTCCAGCTGGTTTGGTTGGGACTGACGCTGCAGGTTCGGAATCGGGGACACCCTGGTCAGGCGTCGACACAGAGGCTGCAATAAAAGCAATCGGCACTTGTGCGACAGTTCTAGAGGCAACGCATCTAGACGAGGCGACGCTGTTGCGGCGACTCGCAGTACAGTGGACGCCAGAGTCTGCCATGAAAGAATGTGAGTGGTCGGATCCGAACCCTTCCCCACCAACCTTATAACTGAACTTTCTTTACTTTTCTCCTATTGTGTCAACCTAGCTACCGAGCGGCAGTCAAGCTTCGACGCTCTCCGCGGGGAAGGCGGCGCCACACGCCTCAAACTCGCTCCCGCACTGATGCACATCGAAAACATGTCCCTCCAGAGCCTGACCCGTTCCACGCGCGGTGTCGGGGTCACCGACCTGCGCGACGCACTCGAAGGCCGTTCCTCGATGTCAAACCCCGCTCTTGTCAACAGAGCACCCTCCATCTCGACGCTGGACCACACCTCCATGGCTCACACCCATCACACGCAAGGCTCTATGCCGCTCAGCAACGACGGCGGGATGTTCCATAAGCTGACGCCGACGAAGTCGAGAGGGACGGAGAATGGGATTAAGCCGAAGTTGACGACTGGGAGTCCGAGTGAGGTGAAGGATGTGTTGAATAGGCTGAAGATTGGGAAGCAGGCGGGTAGTTCGATGTTGAAGAGCTCGTTCCCGGCGTTGCAGAGGCAGGAGGGGAAGTGAGTTTTATTTCAAGGTCATTTAGTCGTGTTCGTCGAGCTCACGTTTTCTTTTTTTAGGCCATCGAACCTCGTCCCTCCGTACAAATCGTAACGGAACGAAACTGTACGGTTTATTTCTCCTTCTCTGGAATGCGCAGGTCTACGCCGCGTTGTACCATCTTCTAGGCCACGTTAGGCGTTTGGATCCATCTTCTCGGGTCTTTTTTTCTTCTGGACTTTGTTTTCCCTTCCTCCTTCTCTGCTACGCAACACGCACGCAAGCTGAATCACATCTTGCACGGATACCACTCTCGTTTTTCATCTCGATCCCACTTTCAGTCTCACTTTAGTCCGAGAATCCCATCATTACACTCCCATCCATAAGTAACTTAACCCGGACTCGCTCACCACATTGACATAATAGTTTATTGTCCGTCCCATAGCTAGAGTTGATATCACCACGTATGTCCGCCTGTCCACTTGCTTGCCCCCTACTACTTCCCTTCCCTCGAGCTCATCCATACTACCTACCTACCTGCGTGCAGCCCTTGCCCCAGCCCCGGTGCTATGCATCCTCTTCCGCGCGGCCTCTTCCTTCTCTTTCCAGTATGTCATCTCGGTCTGGGCTCGCGGATGTGAAGGTGCGGAACGGAATCCTCGCTATATGTGCATTCGTCGTCCCAGGTCATTCGGTCGGTCAGTCAGCCACATGTATGGTATGCACAGGACTATATGGAATACAAAGGTGGAAAGGTGGATGGCTAATTCAAAATCAGGACGCACGTGTAGACCTTGGAGCAGCTCTTCGTAGAGCGAAGACTCGGTTTTCGCGCGTATGAGGGTGTCGCTGATCTTTTCGGTGTGGGTTTCGACGAGTTTGGTGAGTTCTTGACGGAGGCGGAGCAAGCTTCGGGTGTAATTGGTGTGAATTTAGTAAACTTGGCGAGGACGTCTCCTGGGAAAGACGAAAGTTATACGTACTTGGAGAATATCATCGTCTCTTCCGTCTGCTCTGTGAGCATAACGAACGAGAGAAACATGACGATATATCTCTTGCAGATCTATTTCGCGATAAACCCTCCCATTTAGCGGGAGAAACCCCTACTTTTCTTAGGATACAGAAAGGCAAAAAAAACACGCACCGAAGAAACACTCGCGTCCGTCGTCTCTGTCCTCCTCGTAAAATACCCAGCATACCCACCGGCAGCGCCTTCCGCCAGCTTCTTCAATGCATCTACCTGCTCCGTCATAGCTTTCTGGAACAACGGCCACATTTGCAGTCGAATGCCAAAGAGTGCCGTCTCCAGTGGAGGGCAGTTCCGTTTTTGGACTTCGGACATGATTTCTTCGGTCAGACGGATCATAGTCAGCAGTGGAATGACGGGTGGGACGGGCTCGAGAGCTGTTTGGATGAATTTCTGAGAGTGCCACGCAAGAGATTGAGCTAACAGCAAGGCTTATCTTCTGAGTGGATAGATAGCTTACCTGGGCATGATCGAGAGCAGGGTCCATGACTTGTTTCCAGATAGTGGTTAACGCTGTTACATCCTCCTTTGAAAGTCCGTTTGTGTTCTGTTGTGCTGCTCGAGTACTCATAGTGCTGACGATGCTGTCTCGACGCGCCATGGTCGGCGTAAGGGGGCCATTGAGGTCCGTTCCCAGTGTCGACTGGCCCTCGTCTGGAGATAATGGGCCTGGGGAGATGAGACCACTTCTGACCGTAGAGGAGGCTGCTGGTGGAGGGGGAGGCTCCTGCGAAAAGAAACGGGCGATGAAGGAGTACTCGGCGGTTGCGTTGTCCATCAGGACGAGCATACATGATCGGAGAAGGCCCTCTACGGGCTCGTTCTACGGGTGATATGACGTTGAGTCCATAACTTAGGGGGAAACGGAAAGGTACGCACATATGACTTGTCGTCAGCTTGGTACAACATCGTAACACCGGGACCTTCTATCCTCGCATACGCTAGACGGTCTTGATCAATAATTGCATCCCGCTCAATCGTCGATGATGTGATATTGTCTGACTTGTCGAAGATTCTGGCCTAGATATGGCAGCCCGACGAGTCAATCGCGCTTCACTGAATCCAAATCCGGAATTTACATGTCTTCAAACACTCACCTTAATCCAGCCAAGACTTCTCATATAGCGTCGAAACCCGGTCTCGTAGTATGTACGCGCCGCACTGACGTAGGCCTTCTGCACCTCAGTAGCGACAGAAGGTGCATGGCGCTGCAAGAATCCATACAGGGAGCGATACTTGAGGAACACCGAGCTCTGTATAACCTGCATATTCGTCGTCATGCTCGTTCGTATGGGTTGCAGCAAGGCGAGGAAGTATGCTCGTAGTTTCGTCGCAGCCTGCTCGCACATGAGTACATTGCATCACTGCAAGATAGGGTGAAGGTACCTACGACTATGCGCAAGCCCTCCGCCACTTCTCCAAGGTCACGAGCGGCCTTTACTCGTGAGCGAGCCTTCAATACATGAAGGTGTCTTTCTAAGTCTGAGATGGCTGAGATCCATGGTTCGCCGACGTCCGTGTCCAGGATAGTTGTTGCGAGTGTAGGGGGTATAGTGAGGTCGGTTAGAAGGTGGGATAGTGGTTTCTCGATTTTCTAAAGTACGAAGGGTCTTGTATACATTGACCACTAATAACAAGAATGAGTACTCACTCGTCTACTCTTCAACCTTCCCTCAATATCCTTGCTCCTATTCTGAAGGTCCGAGATCTGACCGGATACGGCAGAGAGGTCTGTCTGGAAGGTGGAGAGGAAAGATTCGAGCGAGTCCAACAAGCCAACACTTGTCTGAAGACAACGTAAGTTCCATATCACAGCCCAAAGACAATTTCACGCACCTGAACCTGATCATGAAGCTCTACAAACTCTCTAGCACGTCCACGGACTGCAGAAGCGAAAGGGTTAAATTATAGCAGCCGTTTGCTACTTAGGTGAGTCGTCATACTGGGACTCACAGGATACTCTGTTAAAATCAAAATCGGTCTCCTGTTCAAACCTAGCTACAAACTATGTTAGACGAGTCATCCTGGGATGGTGGTAGAGTCGCCACATACCTTGTGAGGGCGAAGACATTTCGTGGCGGTCGTGAACGGTGACGAAGAGTATGAATTTCAAATTTCATGCGCGTTCATGTCCGTGTGGCGTGCATGGGCGCTTAAAGGCCACCTACCTCCTGACTGGTCTTGCTCATTTTTGCTGCTCTACCATTGTTGTAAAAGGAGTGAGGGAGTTCGTGAGGTCTTACAGGGAAGGGCAGCTCATTACGACTCGGGATGACTGACTGGAACGAGCTACATTGGTTTATCATCGTCCACTCTATCGAGACGCAAGAGAGGTAAGTAATGCAAACCGAGTCCAAGCCAAAACCACAACCACTGCAAAAGTAAACGACATACGAAACAAAAGGACGAAAAGAAAAAGAAAAAGAAAAAAAAAGGCTGCTATACTATACGGTGGCAGAAGGGGAAAACGCAAAACGCCCTCACGATCAACATTCGGACCACTCTGCTTCTTGAAACGCACCGATTTGAACTGACTCCACAACCTCGAAGGCGACAGAAAGGGAAAAAGAATAAAAAAATAGAAGGGACAAGAAACTGCCGACTAAATCACTCCATTGCGGCAGTGGCAACAATTTAAAGGCGAAGAAGAAGAAGTGAAGTGTTGAAGTACGCGGGGCTGGAGTGGAACGAAGGAGTGACCGTGTGGGGGGTTATGCTACCAAGGGTATGTGTACGCAGAGATAAGAAGGAAGTTGGAGGAAAAGGTTGCCAAGTGGGATGTACAGGGGACGACGGGTCGAAAGAGGACCATCTATCGAGGGCAACAGGATGAAGAATAAAGGGAAATGAACCAACGTCCAGGACAGAGACATCCTAACGCAAACGAACTGATACTACTGATGCGCTAATCCTACATGGCATGACCATAATTACCTCCTCCGCCACCTCCATAATCATACGCAGGTGCCTGCTGCCCCGGGCTCGGTGCGCGCTGCGGATACTGTCCATACCCTGGACTTGGTGCTCGCTGTCCATATGGCGATTGGTGTTGAGCGTATAGCTGCTGCCCGTACTGCTGCTGTGCGCCATAGTCGCTCATGGGTTGAGCGTCATACGCGAGTCCGTCTGAGGTATCTGATGGTCGCTGTTGGTGCGTCGCGTGATATTGATCCGTATGGCCCTGTTGAACATTGCCGGAGTACACATCGTATGGATCGGCGACGTAGTCTCCTGCACCAGGACTGTACGGATTATGCATCCCAGGGCTAGCTTGTCCGTAGGGTTGCGCGGCTGTCGTGAGGTGTGCAGTGCTGCCATACTCGTCCTCGTACGCTCCCGGTTCCTCCGCAATGTTCGGAACGGACGGATTATATTGTGCATAGCCGTTCGGCTCCTGATGGTGCGAGTAAGGGTTGTACGCTGGCATCGGGGGATAGTCGAGCGCGCTCTTGGTCTCAGAGGCGTAGAAGTAGTCACTGCCATTGTAATTGGAGGCGGCTGGCCCGCGAGTACCACGAGTCATAACGGAGGCAGCATCGTCGAAGTCGTCGTCGAGAGAGATGTTGGGTAGGGTGGGTTGAGGGAGGGGTTTGGCGACCATTTCACCCTTCTTGTTCTTTAAGTGAGAGTAATCGCCGGCAGCTTCTTTCTTGGCGAGAGCAGTTGCTTTAGCAAGACGTTGTTTGTTACGACGCTTGATGATATCAGCGATACGCTGTGGGAGGTATGACGGTCAGCCATTCTGCACTTCGAGGGTCAATGCAAGAGAAGCAGTACCTTATCGACTTTGTGACAGCAGTATTCCTAATTCGAAGTCAGATATATTTCTGAGACTGAGAGCAGCTATCTTACCTTCAAATTTCCTTGGATGTAGCAGAGAAGAGGGATATAACAGACACCAGCGACTATGAGGAGCAGGAGCGAACCACCAAAGACCAGGACAGTGAACAGGGTGGTGATGGTGAGGGCGGTAGTGATGAATGTGTTGTTTGCGAAATATTTCCCGATATCGTACCAGTTGCCATCGTCCTTCTTGGCAAGGTAGATAGCGTAAAGGGTGAGGGCGTTAATGACCTGACGGGGACCATCAGCTAGCAACAATCGTTTCCAACCTGGTGCAATCGGACGGTCAGCCAACAGGTACTACTGCGAAGAGAAGACGCTTACTCTTGAAGGTGAAGAAGATGAAGAAGGCAAAGTCATCCTTCTTCTTGGTTGACTCGGAGATGTGCGAGAAGAAGCAGAAATGGTCGTAAGACCCTAGCCAGTTGGCAACGTTCAATGAGCCAGACAGTCAATAGAGTAGTGTGCACAGAGACTGACTGAGGGAGTAGTAGTGATTGGCCATGACGTTTGTGAACGCATACGAGATGTCACGACTGGCAATAATCTTCTTCGACTTCCGGGCTTCGTATGCAAGCTGTGGTGCCAATCTGTCAATTCACTAATCACACAACAATAACCTATTGAAGACCGCACCAGCAAGAAGGAGAAGATGATGCATCCCACGAAGAGCCATTTGCCGATGGTGAAGGGAATGAACACGCAACCGTTGTCCTGAGTGGAAGGGCAGCTGTTGAAGATTTGGTTCGACCAGGAGTCGGTAGTTAACATGGTGACGGCGGTGAAGATATCGGAGACGTAGACAAGGAAGGACTTGAGGACGATGGCATAAAGCCAGAGGTACCTGTGAGTTGTTCGACATGTTAGATGGTGGCGACGGTGCGATTCTAGGGCTTTGAGCGGGGATATCGGGTGACGGTCGCAGGGAGGCTCGAGCTGTCGACGCCCGCAGGTCCTCCACGACGGACTTTTGAAAACACAAGAACGTACTTCATTCGCATGCCAAAGCCATTGTCTTGAAACTCGCGAGTGTCGATAAAGTCGAACTAGCAGCATGGGAACATCAGCGTCCGTCTCCGCAGTGGGGACGGCACACAAGGCGTACTTTATGGTCTGGGACGATTTCTCGCTTCCAGGTGGGCCCTTCGCCCATGTTTGGGTGGGGGTGGGGGTGATGGGGTGAGGGTAAGTGGTGGTTGTGAAGGGACTAGAAGAGTAGGCCTAGAGAAGAAAGGAGCGGTGTGATTGAGTGATGTGTACGGCGGTGCGTTGCGTTGCGTTTCCAGCGTCCTGGCCTGCCAGTCGCATGAAGTTGGGACGGTGGAGCAAATGAGCGACGGTGGTTCTGGAGACGGACTCTTCGAAAAGTCGGCGGAGTGCAAGGCAAGCGAAGCGGTCTGCGTCAAGAGGCGACAACGCTTCACTGCCATCCCCGATTTCCTTTTCTGGACGACGCTATTACTCTCACGCGAACAATAATCTCTACGCATCCAGAAGACCCAGCGGGCACAATAACACAAAATGACGACCGTACAGAAGATCAAGGTATGCCACAAATGACACCGACCACCTTACTCAATGTCTTGACAATGTTTTAATAAAGGAAATCGAAGATGAGATGGTACAGTGCTTACCCCACTTTTGTTCCGTGCATGCACTCATAATTTCTTTTTTGTCTATCAGGCCAAGAGTATGTGAATACCTCCTCCCCTGACTGCTCGAGATGCTCAGATCCATGCCGTCCTACAGCGCAGAAGAATAAGGCCACAAGTTACCATCTGGGTCAACTGAAAGCCAAGCTCGCGAAGCTACGGCGAGAGCTCATCGCCCCGACAGGCGGAGGAGGCGGAGGAGCCGGTCTCGGTTTCGATGTCGCAAGAACAGGGATAGCGTCGGTCGGGTTCGTAGGCTTCCCATCAGTGGGGAAGGTGTGTCCGTTCGCTAGCTTTTACAGCATGACGTAGGGTACTGACCAGGCCACAGTCAACACTAATGTCAAAACTTACGGGAACACATTCTGAAGTCTCTGCCATTGACTTTACCACCCTTACAACCGTGCCAGGGACTGTCAAGGTTCATGGTGCACCAATACAGATTCTGGACTTGCGTACGTCCGAGCCGATTCGGTTTTGGAGCCATGTACTGACTAGATACTTAGCTGGTATCATTGAGGGTGCTAACGACGGTCGTGGACGAGGTCGACAAGGTATGTGCTCGTACCATCATCATCAATTTTTGTGATAGATGCTAACATCGGCTCCAGTCATCGCTGGTACGCTCAAGTCCACGCGAACATCTCTCTACCAGTCTAGGCCGCTCATTTCGCTCCGTCGCCCCTTACCCCCTTCTTAACTTCCAGTCGCCCGCACCTGCAATCTCATCTTCATAGTTCTCGACGTCCTAAAACCCCTCGGCGACAAAAAGATCATCGAAGCCGAACTCGAAGGCTTCGGTATCCGTTTAAACAAAAAACCACCAGCGATCGTCGTTCGCAGAAAAGAAAAGGGAGGTATCGCCATCATGAACACCGTTCCTCTCACAAATATCGACCAGGACGAGATCAAGGCGATCTGTAGCGAGTATAAGCTCAACAATGTGGATATTGCGATTCGACAGCCAGGCGCGACGGTGGATGATTTAGTAGATGTCATTGAGGGGAATCGGTGCGTTTCTTCTGACTGTTCAGTACACACGGTCAGTCGACGCGTTTGGTTTTTATTGACTTGATACGTCATATTCAGGGTGTACATCCCAGCCCTCTATGTGCTCAACAAGATCGACGCAATTTCCATTGAAGAACTCGACCTGCTCTACAAAATCCCCTATAGCGTCCCCATCTCTTCCAGCCAATGGCTCAACGTGGACGAACTCATCCAAAAGATGTGGGAAGCTCTCAGTCTCGTGCGCGTATACACGAAACCTCGAGGGCTAGCGCCAGATTATAGTTCTCCCGTCGTGCTGAGGGAGGGGAAGAGCACGGTCGAGGATTTCTGTATGTCGATCCATAAGGAGATTGCGAAGCAGATGAAGTAGTACGTGTATTTCGTGCTCTTTGAGGACGACGAGATGATTGACCTGTAGTGTCCGCTGGTGTATTATAGTGCTATTGTCTGGGGCTCGAGTGCGAAACATTCGAGAGGACAGAAGGTCGGGTTGGAACACGTCCTGGAGGATGAGGATGGTGAGTTCTCTCTTTTGTCTCACCCTTCGGTAAACAGCGTCGCGCCCTACTAACGCCCCGTTTCATTCCTCGCCCAGTCGTTCACATTGCGAAGAAATAGTCTCGCAGCTTGCCCTCTCGTATCCACGCACATCATGTAGCCTTACTTTCATCCTGCTCTTATTTTGCGCTTTGCATTCCACGACCATAGCAATGCCACTATTTGTACCACCATTTTCTCGATCGCAAACCCCGTCTTTCCAAGGAAATAACCGCGTAAAGACAACACTGAATAGAGTGTGTACATCGAAAACATCTCGACTCTCCAAACTCACATCGTCACCACATACAAATACGCCAGCCTCAAATACGCCCACACCAAGCCCACCGCGCAATATATACTCGTCGCCATCAACGGCACGAACTCCCACTTCGCCGCCGCATCATCCATGTCCTTCACGTCCACGGCAACCGCTCCTCCGCCGTCCGCTACGGGAGTGTACGTATTGTTCGCACTGTTCGAGGAGGAGGCACCGGAGAGGAATGTCCGTGCGAGGATGGGGAAGAAGATGATAAAGATTTGGAGGAAGGTGAAGCCGGCGATGTAGACCATTTCGAGCGTGTTGAGGATGACACCGGGCATGGAGCGCGGGAATCTGTGCGTGCATGGATGAGTTGATATACGTCAAATGTGCTTAACCGGAATCAAGAAGAAGAAAAAGGAAGAACGTACTCGTATATCCGTCGATGGAGGGGAACGAAGGTCCCGATGAACCAGAGGATGGTGTAGATGATTTCCACCGCTTGCTCTGCGTTTCATTGATGCGGTCGATCAGAATGAGTAACGCGTGTCAAGTGCTGGTAGTTCGGACTTACCAGCTGGTGTGAACAACAAAGGGAACAACGAGAATATGCCTGCGATGCTCGCAATTACGAACGTCCTGAAGAAAGGGTGGTTCTCCGCTGCTAATAAGCTGATTCAATGTTGCACCCATCCCGATGAGTATATCCTAATCAACTGTGACTGCAGAAGGAGGAGTAGGCACCTAAGAGGGACAAGGACTAGCAATATAGCCTTCTCGTGTACGTGCCAGCCGAACATGAAGGAAGTGTAGCCGCATAGTGTGAGTGCGGTGAGGAAGGACTTATAGGTCGGGGTTCGCCAGAGTTTGACGAGGAAGACCTATATGAAGTCATCGTAATTGTCAATTAATTATCGAGGTGTATTCGGTCCGTGGGACAGGCGAAAATGCAATGAAGATTGGGGGAGGGAAGAACGGACCATCTGGAAAGCCACAGTGGCGACGAACGTGTGGATGGGCTTGATGTTGGGTATCACAGCAAAGACGGTGTCACCGACGAGGCCCCTAGACGTCGAGGCCACTCCAGAGGTGTTTACCGCAATCTCGCCGCCGAACCTTTTCACATCTACGCCACACGAAAAGGTGAAAAATCATCAGCGTCTTCTCCTTTTTTACCCGAGCAATTGACTTGACGAAAGCTCTGAGAGGCGAGAAACAACCATTTGGAGTGGAGATAGTCGAGGTCAAGAGCTACTCACATTGCAACAAAACCCTATCGCCCGCAGTGACCAACGCCCAGACATTCGGTGCCCAATACGCATGGTTCAACCCCCTCGTGAACGGGAACAGCCTCGAAAGCAACTGTGGTAGTTGACCCATAAGAACGAACGGACCTAAAGAGAAGACGAAGACGAGTATGACGGTGTTGGCGAGAGAGATGAAGCGGGTGGGTAGGATGCTGCCTTGTGGTGACATGCAGTAGGCGCGGAGGAGGTAGACGAAGTATGCGGGCTGTATAGAGGAAGACAGAGAAGAAACATGTAAGACTATGACTTAGAGGTGGAGAATAATGTGGCGTACGGCAAGGTACATGTAGATGTGCTTGAAGTTGAGGAGGACGGCGAAAAAGAAACCGCTGGCTAGTTTGTGACCCTAAAATCCCTCGCGTTCAGCAAGGACAAGGGAAGATAATCATATGCTTACGTTTCGTGCCATCAATATAGATAGAAGCATTATCCCAAACATGAACCCGTTATACTGGAAATGTATGTGATCCACGATCAGAAAGCCTGGGTGGAGGAAGAGTGAGGCGGACAGGATGCGTTGTGTAGGTGGATCAACGGCTCCACGAACGAATCTGTGAACCCACGGAGGAGAATGAATAACGTATCTCAGGAAGAGGAACGCATGCGACTAGAAGAACGAACTTACCTCAAAAGTACAGCACCCAACACCAACTCTGTCAGGATGACCGTCGTTCTCTGATACGCCACAACGGACCACGAATCATAGTTGAGGTTGTTCAAGTCCACGATGTGCGGGTCGATGAGTGAAGCTGGGATTGAGAGCAACTTCTCGAAGTATGCGAAGAATGGTGGATAGTCCAAAGCTTTGTGACGGTGTGTGCATGAGAACCTAAGGTTGGTCGATCATACAGTGAAGGCAAAGGACTCACTCCATTCGGATGTAGTCTGGAAGTGTGTAAGGATGCGTTACTTAGGCTTCTGCAGTGATATGTTGTATACTGACATCGTAATACCATTTGGACAACGGAAGGGAGTGTGTTATGGCGAGCCAATTTCGGTGTACTTCGAAGTCTGTTGAATGGCTACCAAATGTCTCCATATTCATATTCGGCATGCTATATAGGAGATGATATACTACTCACTAGGCGGGGAAGAGAAGAATCTTGAAACATGTCGACGCCAATAGTATGTCCCACTCTGCAGGTATGATGTCCAGGCTCAACCAGGGAGCGGCATGTTTCTCTGCAGATTCACCTGCAGAGTCGCCCTCAGGAGCAGCATTGGTAGAGGGTGACGTTGCCGCCGTTCTCTGCATTTTAGGATCTCAGAATTTTTCTTGCCAGAATAGTTGCAATAGGGGAAAGCAGAGGTAATGAGCGGAGGCAATGAGGAAATGAAGAGGTTGTGTTGGACAGGCGTTTGTTGGCTGTAAACGATTGCAAATTCATGGATACGTGTATATGTGGCACCGCTGCAGTCGGTGTGGCCCTCGCTTTGCAGATAGGGGTAAATCATAGCTTTGACTTGGATCCTTCCTCTACCTTCACAAGTAGCTTTTCTAGCCCACTCCTCATCTCCTTCCCCATTTTCGCACTTTTTCTACTTCCAGTCTCCACAAACACATGTGTGTATCCTCCAACCGCGCTAACCTGCTCACCTCCGTCCTCAAACACACCCACCTCGTAACTCACAGAGCTACTGCCCAGCTTGTTCACTCGTAAACCAAGCTCCAGGACCGCAGGGAAGGAGACTGGAGCGTAGAAGTTGCAGAATGACGTGACGACGAGGCCGATGTGCTGTGAAGATTGTGGGGACAGCCCGCAGTGCGAAATAAGGTAGGAGTTGATGATGGAGTCGAAGAGGTGGTAGTAGATTGCGTTGTTCATATGAGAATACTGGTCATTGTCGCTCCTAGCCAAGCATTTATGAACAATGTGTGTATGGGTCCAATCCACGGAGTTACTCACCATCTAGTCCGATATGTTAGAAAGTGGGCATAGTCAGAACGTTTTCGTTCCTTGAGTTCCTTGCCGTCCATCGCGGCCAAAAATAGTCCGTTTTCAGAATAACCAGATGATGTATGGCATGGAAAGTAAACGAGTACAACGGACTCGGTCGAAAGCAACTGTGGCTTGAAGCGCGTGAATCTTGCAAGAGCAAGTCGCGTCGCTGAGGTATGACGTAACGCGCCGACCTTCGCCCGGACCACGACCATCCAGTAGCCCTTCCAGCGTCTTACCCAGGTATGTCTTCCAAATAAACTTCATAATGTCCTCCAAATTTATGATAATTTGCTGCAGCATGAGCTCACCAAAGGCCCCTGTAACACGACCGCCACCTCCAGCAGATGCTCAAGGGTTCTTGCCTTCGCTTCATTCCCCGCACTTCCCTCTGACATTCCTTCCACCCTCTACAGTGGTGTCCTCATCAAACTGGTACTTTTCAGCGCATCACTTGGAATTGTTCCAATATCATCATACTTTCTCACCGACAAATATTTGTGGAATGGTACGTTTGGTGCTTACATTTCGTGTCCCCGGGCTCACGTCCATTCGCTGCCTCTCTGTGCAGGCAACTCGACCTACTCTGCAATCACGGCCATTGTAGCTGCAAATATCGTGCTTGTGGCTTACATTGTGCTGTCGCTATTGGAGGACAAGCAAGAACGAGAAGGAGCAAAGGTCTCGGAGAAAGCTGGCGAGTCAAGAAAGGAACGATAGGTTTGTGCTTGGGTTTGGGTCATTTTCGTCCCTCTAACTGCGTTTGCTGCATCTACTGCTCACTCAAAATTACATCGCCTGTATATCTATATAATTGGTGCGTTTGCCTATCTCTCTGCCTCGCCACGTTTGCTCAAGCGGGAACTTGTGCTTTTAGTGCTATCGTGGATATCTTCGTCACTATGCAAACACATTCTGCATGCTAGTTGATTATCTTCTGGTAACACGCCACGTCTAACCACCTATCAAACTTCCACCCCACTTCCCTCTGTACGCCATACTTCTCCCACCCAAATTTCTCCCAGAACCGACACGACGGGACGTTTTCCGTGCACACGTATGCTACGATCAGGGTTCAGGTCAGTTCTCTTCAGCATCTCCTTTGTAATGTGAACTCGCAGACAAGAAGACGGAAAGGTTGTGTCGAAAGGGCTCAAGAGGGAGAGGGAGATTCAGACGCACCGAAGATGGCGTGTATGTCCTTTTTACGCGCTTCCTCCAATATGGCTTCATACAGTATCTTTCCAAGACCTCGACCACGGAAGTCCTTGTGCAAGTACAAACTTATTTCCGCTGACCTGTAAAATCAACCAGCAAATCAGGTAATGATCACCATGTCCGTTATTCCTGCTTGCAGTTGCATTCGAGCCACGTACTTCCGATACCCGGCCTTTGCTATCAATGCCCCCAACGAACAGAATCCCACCGTTCTCTCTCCGTCGTCGCCTCTATCTTCACCTCTGTCGGCGTCGCGATGTACAGCCACGAGAACGGGATACCCGCCAGCCTGCGTCGTTTCGAGCCATTTCAGTCTATCCGCTTCCGTGACGGGATCGTAGTTGAACAGAGAGGAAGTGTGGATGATCTCGTGGTTGTAGATCTCCGTCAGGGCGGGTATGTCGCGTGGTGTTGCGGGGCGGAGTGATATTGAGGCTGATGCAGTGGATGGGAGGGAAGTCATGACTTTAGATATTGTAGAGACGAATGACGTGGGAGGCGGGGAGTAGTGTAAAGATCTGGCTGATGAAATCTCGGGGGTCGTTTGAACGTGTGCAGAAGCAAAGGCGATCATCGCGAACAGGGGCTCGGATGACTCGACCTTTTGAATACCTGCTGGTTTGTCTTGCGAGCCTGCGGCTTCGATGACTTATCCGATAACAGGATACAATCGCCTCGGCGAACATAAGTAACATCTGCTCCCTCGTCCCTCTGTTGACCTCAGGCGATTGGTTCCCGCAAATTCAAGTGGCTCGGACGAGTGAAACAGTTGAGATGCGTGTATTCGCATTGTAAATGACAGAGACCAAGTGAGTAAGTGATAGTAACATGCATGTGAATACGTAGACAGAGACAGATGGTACAGGTACAACTAGGATATAAAGACGGCATATCTATGAGAACAACAAAGCAATGCAAGTATGGGAACAAGTGAGAGGGGATGAAGTAGATGTGCGGTGTGATGAGGATGCTAGACCGTTAAAGTATATGACGATACCCTCATCCTGATAAATAGACAGATGGTATGCGACGACACGTCTAGAAGTCTTCATCAAGCGTGCTACAAACGTTCATATTCGTCAGCAAAAATATCGAGAGAACATTAGCGACAGACTCACAAAGACTTCGAACCCTCAGCAGCAGGGCCCGACGTCGCCCCCGACGCCGAAGCAGCGACACCGGCCTTCGCGTAGTCCGACACTCGCTTCTCGAAGAAGTTTGTCTTGCCTTGGAGTGAGATCATGTCCATGAAGTCGAAGGGGTTCGTCGAGTTGTAGTGCTTGTTACCGCCGAGAGCGAGGAGCAGACGGTCGGCAACAAACTCGATGTATTGGCGCATAAGCTTAGAGTTCATGCCGATGAGGGCACATGGGAGGGCATCTGCGAGAGAAAGGACATGAGCGACGTTGAAATGAGATGAAAGTGAAAGTGACGATGAAGAGTAAGAAGACATACCAGTCAAGAACTCCTGTTCGATCTGAACAGCGTCGGTGATGATCCTGAGGACGGTATCGGGGTGAGGACGCTTCTTCAGGTGACTGAAGAGCAGGCAAGCGAAATCGGTGTGCATGCCCTCGTCCCTCGTGATAAGCTCATTGGAGAACGTAAGACCAGGCATTAACCCCCTCTTCTTCAACCAAAAGATCGACGCGAACGAGCCAGAGAAGAAGATACCCTCGACGGCCGCGAACGCTACGAGACGCTCAGCGAAAGTCGCCCTTTTGTCTGAGATCCACTTGAGTGCCCAGTCCGCCTTCCTCTTAACACATGGAATAGTCTCGACGGCATCGAAGAGGTAGTCGCGCTCTTTGGGATCTTTGATGTACGTGTCGATGAGAAGGGAGTAGGTCTCGGAGTGGATGTTCTCCATCATGATCTGGAAACCGTAAAAGCAGCGAGCCTCGGCGGCTTGGACCTCGTTGGAGAAACGCTCGACGAGATTTTCGTTGACAATACCGTCCGAGGCGGCAAAGAAGGCAAGGACGTGGGAGATGAAGTGGCGTTCGTTGTCGTTCAGACGGTTGTTCCAGTCGTGGAGGTCCTTAGAAAGATCCATCTCCTCGGCAGTCCAGAAAGAAGCTTCGGCTTTCTTGTACATTTGCCAGATCTTGACGCAGTTATGCATACGTGAGTATGTGTCAAAGTATGATAGGGGAGTGGAACTGAGACTTACCTCATGATATTGAATAGGGAAGAGGACGAAACGACGCTTAGACTCCATAAGAAGAGGCTCCATGCCTATTCGAGCGCGTCGTTGTCAATATAGTGAGAGAGAATGGAAGCAAGAAGCGTACTCACGTTCAGGAAGATCAACATCACCAATAAATCTCTTGCGCCAATCCTCAACATCATCCTCCTCGGCGGGAGCGACCTGGAGCTCATCTCCTTGCGACTCCGGTGAACGAGAGCGACGAGCATCATCGATGATGGGCTTCTTCGCGGCTGATGCATCGAGGGAGAGGGACTTGAACGCAGCGGCAGCCTGAGCAAACAGTAAAACGCGTTAAATGGTATTAATGTCGATACGCGACGCGACGAAGAGCGCGAACCTTCTTGCTAGGAGTAGGCTCGAGGTCAGCCAGATGGCGAGCAGCGATGACAGGGGAAGTGGAGGCCATTGCCAGCAAAGATATCGCGATTGTAGAGGGGGTAGTGGGGGATGAGGCGTGCGATCGATGTGGTCGGGGGAATAGAGAGGCAGAGGGAGGAGGGCCGGCTCTTATGCTCGCGAGCGTGGGAAGACTTTCAACATCGCAGGTCAGGCCTGGTCAGGCGCGTTCAACGGCGCGTCGCGTCGCGTTCAACATCAAAATCACGTTCGCGTCTCGGGCGTCTCATCCGATCGGCTCGGTAATCTTATCAGATAGATGCTGTCATAGCTCCCCGTAGATTAGATCACCGCTTTCCATCGCTCCTCCTCGGTCGATAATTTTCGGCTTGCAGCAGGCTGCTTGTTGTTATTCACGTCCATCTCTTCCCACCTCTTTGCGACGATCTCAGTCAATTATTTATGTCCGAGCAAACCTTGTTAACAAAGGTTCCGTCCAATTTCCAGAAAAATCCAGGACGACCGAAACTGACTCAAAAATTTCACCCATTCTTTCTACTCCAGGTTATGAATACGATGTCCTTAGACACCGACGATTCATGCACAGTTATCAATAAGAGCCAGGCTCTTCCATCTCTACCGCAGACACGGTTTGTGGGCGAGGTTGATTTACCAGAAGGTGAAAACGTAGTGAATGTGCAGTTTGCGCAATCGCTGATCGTGAACTGCTTACACAGAGAGGGAGCCATTACTCATCGAATCGAAGAGGCGTTTTGTCCTCTTTCCTATCCAATATCATGAGGTTGCCCACTATGCATTCATACCGTGATTCAAAGATGTTGACCAGTCTCTTTAGATCTGGCGAATGTACAAGAAGGCCGAGGCATCCTTTTGGACCGCCGAAGAAATCGACATGTCCAAAGACCTCATGGATTGGAATCATCGTCTCAACGACAACGAACGATATTTCATCTCTCACATCCTCGCATTTTTCGCAGCCTCGGATGGCATCGTGAACGAAAATCTAGTCGAGCGTTTTTCGAACGAAGTCCAAGCTGCAGAGGCTCGCTGCTTTTATGGATTTCAAATCATGATGGAGAACATACATTCTGAGACCTACTCCCAGCTCATCAACTCGTACATCGCCGATCCCGAGGAACGAGAGTTCCTCTTCGACGCTATCGAGACCATCCCTTGCGTCAAGCGCAAAGCGGATTGGGCTTTGCGGTGGATAGAAGACCGGAGGTCGAGTTTCGCGGAGAGACTTGTAGCTTTCGCGGCCGTGGAGGGCATTTTCTTCTCCGGCTCCTTCGCGTCGATCTTTTGGCTGAAAAAGCGGGGCTTGATGCCGGGGCTGACCTTCTCCAATGAGCTTATTAGCAGAGACGAGGGCATGCACACAGACTTTGCATGCCTTCTGTTCGGCCATTTGAAGAGACGACCGCATCCTGAGGTGGTTTCGATCATCATATCTGAGGCCGTCGCAATCGAGCAAGAATTCCTCACAGGTACTCCCGTCCAAGCAAAACTTGTCTTGGTTGGTGACCTTACTTCAACTTTACCCTCTCGTAGATGCCCTACCAGTCGGCCTCATAGGAATGAATGCCGCGCTGATGTGTCAATATATCGAGTTTGTCGCAGACCGCCTCCTCGTCGCCCTCGGAAATCCGAAACATTATCACGTAAACAATCCGTTCGACTTCATGGACATGATATCTCTCGAGGGAAAGACTAACTTCTTCGAGAAACGAGTGTCTGACTACGCCAAAGCTGGTGTCAAACCCACGGACACCCAAGGCCCGTCCGCTCAATCTCGAGTCTTGTGGGCCTGTTTCTTTTTGTTCCATTATCCCGCCACTCTTCTGACCTGTTTATTTAGCTCCACAGATGAAGAATTTTGATCGCATGATATGCTCTGCGTCGGCTTACTCATGACCTGTCATATCTTAACTCTATCTTCGGGCGTCGCTGTCACGCGATCTGCTTTGTCTTACGGTCCTCAGCACTCCTTACCGAATAATCTTACCATAGCTCCAGCTCCAGATAACAACCTCGTCATGATCTCGTCAGACGTATGGAATGATGTACAACTTACCAACCACCCCTCTGTTCAATTCATCCTTACTGTATTCTACTATATTGCTCTACCTACCATACAAATGCGCCTTCTTCGGGGATTCATAATGTTATCTTATTTACCCCGCAATCCCCGTTCATCTCACCTCACCTCATTAGCCCTCTTTTGAGCGTAGGCTAGCCGTCTTACGACCGTGTAATACAGGTCCCGACACCGTCGTTCAAACCTTTTTTGGAGGGTGCGGCTGGGTGCGGCTTTCAAGATGCCAGGACAAAGTTACGGCACTGATTGTCGTCGGCACGAAACTCCGCGTTATGGACATATACTTATTTGTCAGATGTGTGGATTTTAAATTCGACTTCGACGGCTGCTTTCTACCTTTGCTGGACGTAATATTCGCCTCCGGAAATTTTTACTCTGGTAACAGACTGCAGGTAAGGTAAGGTAAGGTAAGGTAATCAGTGCAGTGTCGCCGACTCGGAGTGAATGAACATTCTCGAGGCGGCACCGGTCGACAATTTGAACACCGCGTCCACACGTGGTCGCCGTGCCGCTGGTGCGGGCCGTCGCCCTTCTTAGTTCTTAACTTCTTTGTTCTCGAGCCACTGCATCCTTCTCGTTTCTCGTTCTCTTCCTGCTTCTTTCTTCCGATTGCCTCATCGATCTGGTAGCTGCTCTGTCCTGGCCTTTTCCACGTCTCATCTGAACCATCTCTCGCCCGTGTCATTCGGCCTAGAGATTTTCTTCTCATGCTCAAATTATGGAAACAGGCTTGGAGAAGGGAAGACTCGAGCGTGATTCGTCAACCGGATCCTGGGCAGGACGACGACCAGAGTGTTCATCCAAACGGATCTGGCACTGAAGAGTCTACTTCAGCCTCTCCATTGCCAGCATCCGTACCAGGTGATATCAACTCTGTCGCTGTCTCTTCCGAGGCTGTTGTCGAAGGGCCTACAGCCACCAAACGCCACACGAGCGATGTCTCGGATGACACCAGTATGGGCGATGGGCCTGCGCCCAAGAGGTACAAACAGAGTGTGGACGTCGTGGAAGATGCTGATGGTGCCGATGATGCGCCTGAGATCGAAGACACTATTCGCAATCATCTGCCTGAGATATTTGGCACTGAGGAGGCTCATGATACAGGAGTCGCTATCTGTTCGCCTCAAGACATCCTGAATGAGGCTAAATGTGGCAATGGTAAGCGGCTTTTCCTTGACGTTTCTTAATGTAACCAAGTACTGAATGGATGCAAAAAGTGATTGCTCTGCTGCGTAACTACCACGGTAAGACCGTCCACATTTTCAGACCGTAGTGACGCGAACTCATCGGACATCTATGCAGACGTACTCTCGTTGACACGAGACCATTTGGAATGGGCTCTGGGCTATGCTAAGTCATCTCAGACTTCTCGCATCGCCCTATTCCTAGTCGAGTATGCTTCTACGTTGCCCTGCGCAAAGCCGATCGGTGCGGCTAACCTTATGCTCACAGAGGAGAGTCGCTCGAAACGCAGCCTCATGTCTACGCTCGGAGTCTAGCTGCTAGCACCAACCTTCGGATAGAAAGTTACTCTTCTTCTGGAGACGAAGACACACAAGCTTCGAACACCTGGCAAGATGCTCTAACCCTCGATGTTCTCGTTCTCTCTCCCATGGTAAGTGGCCTTTCCCATTCCACTCGCTCGTGTCGGGCGCTGATGGTGTTTTCTCTTTGATAGCACCTTCTCGAGCTCCTTCGTACCGGCATCGTGGACCTCGCTCAGCTTCACACAATATACCTTCGGGATGCCCGCCCAATCAAGGACAACGATTTACACCCTATGAACCGCGTCATGGCAGAGTTTTACATGCCAGCCGAAGAGAACCTTCGTCCTCGAATAGTGGCATGCCTCCCAGAACACCTTCCATTCGATGCTCGTATGCTGAAGCTGGAGCAAATACTTTGCAGCAAAGTTTGTGGTGTTTCAGATGACATACGCGAATATATCCTCGCGATGCCTGATCGACCTACAGAGCTCGTCGTCTTCTACGAGCGGGCTTCCAAGTATTCATACACCCTTCTATACAGGCAATTACGGAATATAGACCCAGAGGAGTCCATCTTCCCTCGTCTGTTCTCAGCCGCACGCCACACTTTAGTCGAGGTAGGTCCGGCCGCCTCGGATTTGGTGTGGCGCCGTGCTCTTCCGGAGATCGAGATGACATCTGCTGTCAACGACGACGATGAGGAAGAGGATGAGATATTGTCTCCAGAGGCGGAAGCTGCGTTGAGAATACGAGATACTATCAAGAATTGGGTATTTGCGATGCCAAACCTGGATCCGTCCTCGCGTGGGTTCAATGTCATGCCTAAGTTCTTAAAGCTCGTGCATGTTTTGAGGTCTTGCCGTGCGTACGGTGACGCTTTCAGAGGCATCGTCTTCGGTGAACACAGTAATCTTCTCAATATATTTAAGTCACGCTGAACTTTATTCTAGTGCAGAGACGTGCGGTTGCACTCGTCATGGTGGATCTGCTTCGCACACTTGACATGGGATATCTACGTCCTCATGCTCTGGTTGGCCATGGAAATTATGGCCCTCTACAATCAGAAGTGCGTTCACCGTTCTACGTGATACTCATGCGCTGATATCAACCTTTTCTCGAGCAGACAGAAATCGTCCAAGCTTTCGGAATGGGAACGTACAACTTGCTCATCGCTACAAAGTGTGGTGAGGACATCGATTTGCCTAGAGCATCACTTGTCGTTCGGTGATTCAAATCGATTAATCTCCTGTGCCACCCTCTGGTTAACAATATTTTACAGGTATGACTTGTTCGAAAGCCAAGTTTCCTACGGCTACAGCCGCGCACGTACTCGGGGACGTGAAAGCCACCTTGTCCATATGATCCAGCGGGGCAATGACACTCATCGGCGGATGTTGACTCATCTCACGCAACTCAGTAGGCCTATGCACTTGTGGGCCGAAAAAGTCGCGGCTGGTCCGGAGGGGGCTGTCCCACCAACGATATTGCACGAGACCCATGATCCATACCTGTCCGACAGTGAAGATGAAGATGAGCCTGATAGTTACATCAAGGATCCCACCACGAGCGGGAGAATACGTCTTCAAGATGCTACTAGCGTCATTTACCAGGTCGCAGCGAGCGCGCGTGGAGTCACAACGGATGCGGTCGAGTACCAGCCGCTGTTTGGGTTCGAAGAGGTCGCTACTAATAGTGCCTATCCGCGCGTTGTTTGCACCGTAACGCTCCCTGAAGGACCCGCTATCAGAACGTTCCGTGGTGGTCCATCATCTTCGTTCTCGCAAGCTCGACGCACGGCATGCTTCGAGACCTGTTCCGGCCTTTTTCACGCAGGTCTTCTCGACTATCACTTTTTCCCTCAGCCTCCCCGTACTTCGTCTCCATACCGCAGACGTCCCGACGAATCTGATACCCTGGAACTTGACGAGGTCGGGAGTGCTTCATCATTACCTCCTAAGGGTAGTGCTCATAACAAACAGAACGGGACGCGCTGTTATCCCCGGAAGCGTCCAGATTTTTGGACGAACTCTCTTCAGGCAGGCCTTACCCGCCTGTACCCCACGATCATCTCCGTAGAAATCAGCTCTTCATCATCGTCCGCCGCTGGAGCTCATGGGCCGATCGTGCTGTTGACTCGCTTGCCCCTTCCAAGTGTGGCGAGCTTCAAGCTGTTCAGTTCCGGAGTTCCGGCCATAGCGCACCTTCGAAGAGGTGCCGCGATGGAGGTCGATGATGCGAAGTTACAGGATTTACATCTTTACACCATACGGATATGTCGCGCGATCTTGAACAAACACTTTGTCGCTCCTCTGGAGAAAATGCCCTACTTTTTCGCGCCCATCCGCCCCTCCTGGCCTGGATTCTCGGGGTCCGTTGATAATCGATGGTACAGAGCCGAAGTCGTGAAAGAGATTGATTGGACTCAGGTATCCATCGCGGCTCGCGATTGGGTAGTGCCAATCCAGACATTGTCTGATGATCTTCAGGACGCCATTATCCAGGACCGCTGGGTGGAGTTCACTCGCAGGCATTTCGTCGTCCGAATTCGACCGGATCTCACTCCCATGAGTAAACCTGTGGACAGCCCGGTACGTCTATGTTCTCTATAGTAACTTCGTTTTGACGGCCCCTGAATTACGCCATAGCGGGAAGAAGGGTATGATAATTTTGTCGAGTACTGCAAAGAGCATCGCAAGAACTTCCAGGGTTTACGAAACTACGACCAACCCCTGATAGAGGTCGGCCGGGTAGGAGTCGTCATGAATGTGCTGAATCCGGTAACCAAACAGTCGACGCCGCCGACAAAACCAGACGTGAAATGTGAGCTGATTTAGTGTGACGCCTCACCTGTTGGCCCCTTGTCTCACTACAGTGTTTCAGATCTCATCCCAGAATTGTGCTGCAAGTTTACAATTGCTGCGAGGTTTGTCTGTTCCGCTCGATGGACCTGTGAAATCTTGGTATTAACGATACTTCGTGTTTCAGCACGTTCCGCACTGCGCTTCTTTTACCCTCAATTACTCGCCGTATTGAGGATCTTCTACTGGTGAAAGAGCTAAATGCCAGCTTCTTTGACCATTCCATATCCGAATACCACCTTCACGCAGCGATCTCCGCTCCGTCAGCAAGTGTCGAATTTGACTATGAACGCCTCGAGCTCCTCGGTACGTGATTCTAATCCGACATCGCACCTAAAGAGGTTTAAGTCCTTATTGTCCTATATTCTGCGTCTTCCTCGGACGCTCAGGGGACGCATATCTGAAATACTTATCCTCGATCTACCTTTTCGTAACCAATCCCTCGCAACATGAAGGCGCGCTTCACTCTGCTCGACTCCGCATCATCAGCAACAAAGCCTTGCTCCATAACGCGGATGCCGCGGGTCTGCCACCATTTGTTCAAGCCAAAACTTTTGTTGCCAAGTTCTGGCAACCGCCGTATTTTGAGGTTCTTCCGACCCCCCTTGCAGCGGGAAATCGCAAAGATGAAGCGCTTGAAGAACGGGATCGCGATGGAACTGGAGGTGGGGCCGCTGGTGCAACCGATGGCCAGTATTCTTCGTTCGTGCCTGTGACTGTTGCTGGGGTGAAAGAGGAAAGAGATACACCGGTCGGTGGACTGCACCGATCCAGCACGAGCGCGTCACCAAGTACGAGAGAGCAAACGTCGAGACAAAGATCTACATCATACGATACCACACTGGTTGCGCAGAATATCGCTCCTGCTTTGGCTAGAGATCTTTCCATGGATGCCCCTGGAAGCAAACAGTCCGGAAGCGAATTGGGAAGAGAAGTTCCCGGTGCAAAGCAGAAGCGCTTGCAGGAAGAGCAAGGTATTCATTGGCTGGGTGATAAGGTGCGTCCGAGCGACATACCTATGCATGTTCCCTCCTACTCCTTCATACTACCACTTTTGGAGGTCTGCTAACACGAGGACGAATACTCTTCGTAGACCGTCGCGGATGTGGCGGAGGCTATTGTAGGAGCAGCGTACGTCACTGGTGGGAGAGAGGCAGCGCTGAAGGCGTCGAAGGCACTCTGTATTGCTGTCCCGCGCGTAGACCGGTGGTCTGACTTTGGAAGGAAGGCATTGGCACCCCCGCCAGACGTTACGGCGAGATTGAGAGCGGGCTCGATCGAGGCTGTAGAGGCCATCCTAGGACATAAGTTTGAGAGACCACATCTACTGGCGCAGGCTTTGGTGCGTCTGCAGTTGGCCCAGCTCTTAAGGCAACGATGGGTCAGTGGACTGACAGGTGTAACGACAGACACATGGCTCAATACAGGGCTACGAGATAACTTCTTACGAACGGCTTGAATTTATTGGTGATGCGATCCTTGACTTCAGTGCGTTTCTTTCATCTCGGCCCCCCAGTTACAGTGCTTTTTGTCACCATCTGACAATGACACAACACATCCTCGACTCTCAGTGGTGATCCGGCATGTGTACGATCGTGACACAAAACTCTCTCCTGGCGCGATGACTCTCCTGAAGGTATGTCGCCAGAAGTATAGATCATAGGGCATCTTTCATTAATGAAAGCACTGACACTACTGCTCTTTCCGCATCTGCTCCGCCCCTAGGGAGCAATGGTATCAAACTCCGCACTGGCTGCTGTGTGTATCTGGGCAGGACTGGACGAGTATCTGATGTTTGAAGCGCCTGTATTGGCCCACAATATTCGTGCCTACGCGCAGAAACTAAGAGAAAAACAGAAGGAGGAATACGCGCTCGCCCAACAAGAAGGCAGAAGCCCGGGACAGTATTGGCTTGAGACTGAGCCACCGAAAGTAAGTTCATCCACGCCTCATGATCTTTTCACCGCCTCCATCTGGTCCCCGTCCTTGGGTCCGCCACCGAGTCAGCCAGCTGTGCTATACGGGTCGGTCTTTGCTCGCTTTTTTGATGTCGAAGCGTTGATGTTCAGTCTCTGTGATCGTGATGTGTTCTCGATCTTTCTGATAGCTGTGGAGACGTGTGGTCCTCGGTTTACTGACCCATTTCGCTCAGGCGCTTTCAGACGTTGTGGAGTCTATCATAGGGGCCACCTATATCTCCGATAATTTCTCACCCGTCGGCGTCGAGAAGGTATTCGACAAGATCCTCAAGCCGTTTTACGACAAGCACATCACGCTTCAAACGCTCTCGCATCACCCTACGAAGATACTGTTCGAACTATTCCAAGCGCAGGGATGTTCACAATTCGAGATTACCAGACGGATACAGACGGACGGCCTCCGGCAAACGGCGCGATGTGATGGTACGCGAGCCAGAAGCTTTCTTTAACCATTGTCCCGTTCCTAACTACAACTACTCGACGCCCGAATTGCGCCGCATCGCGTCGCACCGCATGGTTGATCATCCTTTCACTAATCCTTTCTCGTAAATAGTCATCGTACACGACGTTATTCTCGCAAGCGCCGAGGACAATACGTCGGCTCTAGCGGCTAAGCGCGTGTCCCTATGTGCGCTCGACGCCCTCGAAGGAGACCCGGAGTTCATGCGCTATACGTGCGACTGTAGGGCACTCTCACAGGCGAAGAAAACACAGAAGAAGGCGCAAGCACAGACACAACAGGTTCAGGCGATGTTGGTCGGGTTTAGCAAGGAAGAGGAGAAGGAGCTTATGGCCGTGGAGAGCGCTGTGCAGCAGGATGATCGACTGAAGGGCCGGAGCCCCGATCAGGACGAAGACGAAGACGAGGATGAGAAAGAGTCGTCGTCGAGATCGGAAAGTTGAAAAGAGTACGGATGCTTACGTTTGTACATGATGAGAGGGAATGGGATGGATGAGTACAAGTGTAGCTGTTCGATGACACGGGAATACGGATTTAGAACAGTTGTGTGCTTCGAATGTCCTACAGCACCGGGCACAGCTCAGCTCCTGAAGTCTGTGCATCATGATGATGGCAAGGTCCCACTATGCGCGTTTTTGACGATGCGTCTGGGCTATGTTCGAGGTGCATACCCAGCGCTGGCCGCGGAGAATCAAGATCAATAAGTAGAAGGCGACTCTTCCAGGCAAGCGCAATGTGGATACGTCTTCTATCATCCAAGAAAAAGACGCTGGTCTACAAAATGTTGCTTCTATTGATCTATAACAAGGCGAAATCTGTAGCGACCGACAACGATGAACATGCACAGAAGTATAGCCGACCACAGGAAGACAAGAAGAACTCTACGCAGCACTAGCTTTCTTGCTGTAGACATGGAAGGGGCATTTAGGAATCCGTTCATTTAGGTTTCATTAGCGCCGGACGATCCGATGACGTGAAGAAAAGCACGAGACGTACAGCTGGTAGACAGCGGCCATGAATGGAGTGAAGAAACCGAGAGCGAATACGCCGATGACCTTGAAAGCCGTGCCAGGCTTAGACTCGTACTTGAATGGGAGATGCTATATTTCGGAGTAGGCGTTGACCACACAAATAAATGAAAGATAGCCGATGCGGCGATGACGGTGAGATCAGTTGGAGGCCATGGGACTCGCGCGTGAGAGGACGAACGTGATAGTCAGAAGACATGTTGCGAACTTGGCTAGGGGCCCTGAGGGCAGCGGCGGACTGGCGCAAAACGGGGGAACGAGCAAGGAAGGACATGGTGGGCGTCGACGAGGATGATGGCGGTCGTTGGCAAAGATTGGTCGAATGATTTTGTTTCATTCCGTGCCCTGACCTCGACGTCGTGGCGGGGTTGCTTTACACCATCCAATCGGAACGAACACCGGTATGGCCCGCAGCCAATCGTGTTCAACATCGAACCAGAGAAGGTGGTGAAACTCGATGCCGCATCCATACAAGATAATCAGGATGTTACAGTACATACACAATGCTGACACGTTAAAAAAGAGCCCAAAGCGGTCACCGTACGTAGAGGGAAAGTATGTAGCGCGTTATGTCATTAAATATTCGTTATCCTGGTAGCACACACGAAGAGCCTTTGCAAAGAGATACAGTACACGGATTGCATAATAAAATTAATGAAAGGAGACGAAGAGATGCGGAAACCCGGCAACAGGGGAATACCTATGTGAAAATGCGTCGGTGGGGTATGAGATATGCATCGTGGGCAAATTATGGCCAGCAGTCAAGGAGCCGAACGGCCATCATATCTGGCAAAATAATAAGACAAGGGAATTGCAGGCATGAGTGTCGAGGTATCGTTTCCTCAGTGAAGGAGTGTAATGTGCATGGAATGCAGTCAATTACAGCTCGGGATGTTCTTTTCAGGTTGTATTATTTCGACTAGGCTTTCCATGTCTTTGTGCTGCAGGATATAGTCAGCAAGCCGGCGTAATGAACGATGGAAAAACACGTACTGGCATGGCTGCAGGCTTCTGCATTTTGTTCAGTGATTTGTCCTCTGCCACGGCATGTGTTTTTGGTTTTGATAAATGTCTTCCCTCGCGAGGCAGAGCGGAACTTGATCTCGCCTGCTTCCTCCTCTCCTCTGGTACAAGTGTGAGGCCTGGTATGCTCGGACGAGGCTTCCCGAAACTTCCGCTGAATGTGAAAAGCTCGGTAAGGCTGAGGTCTGTCTGATTACGGCGCGATGGGAACGGGGAAACCCCTGATTGTGGCGACAGGCTAGATGGCGTGGAGATGGATGGGGAGTCGGATACTGATTGGGCAGACGGAGAGATTGAGCGAGCAGATGCAGACTCGTCGAGCCACTGTTGTACGTGAGATGTGGGTGGAGCCTGTCTTGGAGGGCGAGAAGAGAAGTAATCCGAGGTGGGTGAAGATGCGTTTGACTCTGCAGATTTGTGTGGCGCGTGCGGCGACAAGGACGGGGAAATGCTGAGTGGAACAAAACCCTTTATGTCTGTCAGAATTGCGCGCTTCACATCTGTCGCACCGTTTGCGTGTATGGACCTGAGTGTCGGGCTGAGTTTCGCTTGGTGGATAGGGGGTTTGGCGGCATATCTGGAGGATGTGAATACGAAGGATTCTGACGGAGAGGATGGCACGGGCTCGGCGGTACTTTCCTGGGCGTGGTTGGGAGCGGCGTGCTCAATATTCATGACAGCGAGCACATTGTGATGGGCGTTGGGACGAACCCTGCGACCGCCGCCGCCAACCAACTCACACCCGAGCTTGCAATCCACGATCCGACCGTTCTCCTTTGCCGAGGCGGCAAAGCGTTATCTACGTAATCTCTCTACTTAAAGTACCACACAAGCGCCTTATCCTGCCCTTCTCCAGCCCGTCGCCAGCCCCCCTTGCTCTTTCCCAGCGCCCACCCCTGCTCACCGTCGACTATGGCTGCCGTTGCAGAAATCCCCGTCCCCAAGTCGAACACGACAATCAAAGTGTCGACCGGTCTTTTCATCAATAACGAATTTGTTCCATCTGAAGACCCGAACAGCAAGATCGAGTTAGACCTTACCATCTGATCACGTTCCGCCTGATCACCAGTACTCATCCGCTTATTGCACAGGGTTGTGAACCCCCATACCGAGCAAGTTCTTTGTTCCATCGCTGCGGGTGCGTCTCTTTGTTTTATGAATGGTATTATGTCTTAACGGTCGTGTCTAGCGACGGCCAAGGACGTCGACCGGGCCGTTGCCGCTGCCCGAAAAGCGTTTCGCACAACCTGGGGAAAGAATGTCACGGGTTTCGAGCGTTCGAGGCTCCTTAACAAGCTGGCTGACCTCATTGAGCGGGACCAACAAGTCCTCGCTGAGCTCGAAACTCTCAACAATGGCAAGCCCGTCAAAATAGCCCGGTGAGTTCTAAGATGACGGGTCCGTGCGCACGGGCGCCAGTCTTATTTCCACCGTTACCCCATGGCACTCACGCACGTCATAAACAGGGATTTCGATATCGGCGACAGTGTTGGTGTGTAGTCAGTCACCGACTTCAATGAGCTGCCAGTTAACTTACTGCCTACTCCAGGATGCCTCCGCTACTATGCCGGTTGGGCCGACAAAGTCGTGGGCCAGGTAATAAATTCATTAAATCAGCATTTGTCGGCGAATTTTGTTTAACACAGATTGTCCTTCAAGTCCATTGAAGTGAACCGCTCCACGAAGCTCGCCATAACTCATCCAGATCCCATCGGTGTCTGTGGCCAGATGTACGTGCTTCCTTCGCCACATATAATCTGCGCGTCTCACATTCTCGTTGTAGTATCCCATGGAATTACCCTATTATGATGTGGTGCGTACTCTTTGTGTATATCGTCTGCCATGCCTGACGTTGTGCTGTACCCAGGGCATGGAAGGTAGCTCCTGCACTTGCAGTGGGATGCACCATCGTCATGAAACCTTCCGAACTTACTCCGCTTACTGCCCTCGTACGTACTGTATTTGATTATAATGAATTGGCTGGGAGCTTATTGGCGCCTTTCCTTCTGCAGAAACTTTCAGAACTCGTCGTAGAAGCAGGGTAGGTCTAGTCTCTCACGGTCATATACTTCTTCAAAACTGACCTAATTAAACCTTCATTAGTTTCCCCCCAGGCGTTATTAACACCATCCCCTCCTTCGGCTCTGTCGGTGGTCAGGCGCTTGCTGAGCATCACGATGTCGATAAAGTTGCGTTCACAGGCTCAACCGTAACTGGACGCAGGATCATGGAAGCTGCGGCGAAGAGCAACATAAAGAAGGTAACCACTTCCTCCCTCTTTCTATTTACATCGTCGGCGGCACCCCGCGATGATCTCTCCGCAGGAGCTTCTCTTTGACGAACGTTTCGAAATTATTATTGTATAAGGTTTCTCTGGAACTGGGCGGAAAATCTCCACATCTGATTTTCGAATCGGCCGACTTGGATCAAGGTAAGTGATTCTGATATCCATCATCATACACCCACGCTTTGCCCCAGTAATAGGACTGACTTCCATTGTGTACCTGTATCCCTTCCATTCCATCAATGTGTGCAGCGGCGAACTGGGCTTGCCTGGGCATCCTGTATAATACCGGCCAGGATTGCACGGCCGGCTCTCGCGTGTACGTCCAGGATACTGTCTACGACAAGTTCGTCAACATTTTGGTCGCCAAGGCGGAGCAACTCAAAGTCGGCGATGGTTTCGACGACGAAAATGGCGGCGGTCCGGTTGTGAGTTGCTGATCTATCCTTCCATCTGCCATAGCTATACAGGCGTCGTCACGTTTCTATGATTAAGACGCTTCATGCGGGCATCTAACAGTTGAAGCTCGTTAACATCAAGCTGCTTGTCGTCCTCGATGAACCATTGGGCTTGCCGTCTTCGCCCATGACTACTGGCAAGTACACCGTGCTCAGCGGGTATCCTTAACATCTATGTTGATCACCGTCGAGAATGGTTGATAGTTGAGCAGATGATTTTCCCCATGAAGTCACGATTCTGACTCCATCTATGTGATCTGGCCATGACGGGAATCTCTCAAACATTACGCGTCGGTGTTTCCAGTACGACGCAACACTTGTGTTTCAGTGCATGGAGCGAGAGGTCTGGAGGATGGTTGCTGATTGTATCCTTTTCCCACTTGTTTGACAGGTTTCCAAGACCCAATACGATCGGGTGTGGAGCTATATCGAGGCGGGGAAGAAGGAGGGAGCGACGGTGCTTACTGGTGGCAAGAAACGCTCGACGACGGGCTTCTACGTTGACCCAACCAGTAGGTTCACTTGATCAAATGCATCATCGAGTCTAGAGAGCTGACCGCTTCCGCGATTGTTTCAGTCTTCGCGGATATCAAGCCTAACATGAAGATTGTGAGCACACTCGACTTGAGACCTACTGTGGTAGTTGGTTCAAAATACCAGAGCTGACATTTTTTATTCCATGTCTGGGTCTTGGGCGTTTAGGTGCGAGAAGAGGTATGATCATTTCCCTGAAAGGTGTGGCGCCGCAGTTGATCTTCTGCCACCTACACAAATCACCGTGGCTGGTGAAAGATCAGTGGCGTGACGAGACATATGTTGGACCAGTCTCTCTTTGTTCTCAAACACTTGTGTGGTGGCAGAAGTGAAAACCGGATGCCGTGCCAGCTACCTAACTATCCTTGGCTTGGATCACGGACTGACCGTGCACCTTACCATCCCCTCCTTTTGTCCATGATAAATAGATTTTCGGCCCTGTCCTCGTTGTGGGCAAGTTCAGTACGGAGGACGAGGCAATCACCCTTGCAAATGACACGGTGTATGGCCTCGGAGCCGGTCTTCATTCAAGTAGGCATTTTCACCACTCCGCCATCCTTACTCCTTTGCCACCCACGCTTTCCTTCTGGGGAATATCGAAGTGACACTCTATCTCGCTTCTTGCTCTTTCTAACTCGGCCCCCGACGTCGCCAGCCGATCAAGCACAGTGTTTCCGCGTGTCTAATGCGCTGGAGGCGGGCACGGTGAGTTGATCGATTCTGTTCTTTTCTGCCACACGTCGTAAACTGACTCTCGCGTGCGCTTGCCCCGTTTAGGTGTGGGTCAATCAGTACAACGTATTGTACAACAACGTGCCGTTTGGTGGCAAGAAGCAGAGTGGAATTGGTGCGTTGATGTGTTCTTACCGTTCTCCAAACTCTGCACGTGGATCTGCGACGATCCTTCCCTCCGGCCATGTGAGGTGCTGCCGACACTCCATCGTGATGTCGGATTTCTAGTTTGCATTTTTTATTTTCCTTTTGCTTGTTGTGAATGCCGTTGCTGATGATGGACTTGGCGTTGTTCTGATTTCCGATTGAATTGGTCGTCAATTTTGCCCTCGGTGCTGATTCGAATCTTTGTCTTTTTCCTTCCCCGTTTAGGTCGCGAGCTAGGCATGCATGCGCTCGAGGAGTACATCAGTACAAAGGCTGTGCACTTCAATTATGGCGAAAAGCTTGATTGGCCTCTGTAACATCTGAGACTCCCGATCTCACCATGACTCGGATCCCTCATCCGCCTCCGAACCGACCGTACCGTGCACCGGACACGACTACCGACACAAGTTGAAGATGATGACGTTACCCCTAGCGTGGAGACATGAAAGAAGTTACTACCTTATTGTTGTATGAACGGAAGAAACCGTAGACAGTGCGTATGGACAGGATCAAGTATAGTGTAAAGGTACGAGAAAATTTGACGATGCCCGAGGAAGGAAGTGTTTGTTCAGCTGTAATTCGGAATACTTATTCATGATGCATTCGGGTTGACTGCTTGCTTGGCCTCTTGTGTTTCATGCTTCCTTGTATTCTGATTTTTTGACAGCATGTTTCCATATGTTCGGTGATAGCGTGGAAGTGGATTCTGGCAACTGTGGGTCTAGGTACGTGTGGAGAATGGTGCGAGTGGTGTTTCGAGGATTGGTCGATCGGGCTGGCGTTTCTAGTCTCTACTCCAGGGAGAATCGGATTTTTCCTCTGAGGTAGAGGATAGAGATCAAGGTCTGGGATGCCAAAACTCGGGATTACCACGTCTGATCTCGTTTCTGGTCTTCAGCAGAGAGGTGGCTGATCGGACTGGCGTATCTAGTCTCTACTCCAGGGGAATATCTCTGAGGTAGGGGATAGGTACCAAGGTCTGAAATGCCGCAGCTCGAGTATATCCGCCTCAGTGACTTCGTTTCTGGTCTTTACAGCAGAGATTATGTCACAATATCTCTGAGGTAGAGGACAGGGGCCATGGTCCATTTTGTGGCGTTTATGATCATGTCTCTGGTCTCGACAGCGGGGAGCAATTTGCTATCTCCTTGAGGTCGAGAACGGTGACTTGGTCTTGAGTCAGGCGCGGCGATCTCGTTTCCAGCCTCTACAGCGGATGAGGGAAGTACACTTCCTCTCTGAGGTAGAGGGTGGGGACATGAATTGAGGTCATCTTCCCGAGTTCTGCGTAAGGTCGAAGCGTCTACTATTTTTGTGAGCGTGAGTTTCGCCCAGTCAACGGATTCATCGACCCCACCAAGAGCTTCCCGATCAACCATCAAATGAGATTCGCAGGGGTCGGTGGTTTGCAACCTCCACGGCGACTAGGCGAGCGTGCCTGCGCTTCGACATTTTGGGCATCCCTACACCTCCCTCAAACAGTTTGCGCCCTCAAGGTGTCCGAGGAACTGAAGTTGCATTGAATGTTCACAGCAAGGTGTGCGCGTGGTCGAATCATAGAAACTGTGTGCAGCCAAGATAGTTCATCAAGACATATTAATGGCTCCACTGATGTTCGAAGACCGGATTGTCGTACGCGCAGCAGGTAATCGCAGCGCTTGCGCCAATCTTGGCCGCGAACAACAAAGCAAACCGACACGGCGACCACGAACTCGAGAAGCTGACACTTCAAAGTCATTTACATTTCATCTCCGGCGAATAGTCCGCGACTAACTCGTGCAAGCAACGAGGTTTCACAGAAATATGAAGGTTCTGATGAATAGCGACGTCTCTGTTTCAAGAGCGTGGTCGTGGAGCCTGGCGTGTTCTGAGCAACGGTTAAAAAAAAGAGGCAATACAAGACCTTGTTCTCAAAAGGAGATAGATTACCATCAAAGTGCGATCCGAGCCCTGGCAAAGGAAGCCAAGTTCAATCTCATGGCGCCAAATTGCAGATTAAATTGCGAATTCGACCGATGCGGCAGTGTGCCGAATGCATGAGTCCGTGCCCTGATTGGAAGAGGCCTGAGGACGATTGTGTTCGGTGCGGTGCCGGAGCCACAAAACAAAACTTCAAGATGAAGGCGTCCAAAGCGATGTTGTATTATAAACGGTTTACGTAGAAGCGAAGATGGTAAACAAGATGATGATCGATTAAGAACGAGACGGCCGGCGACACAGGTTCGGAAAAGGCTACACAACTGTCAGCAAGAAAGCATCAAAGCACAAGAGCGGGTTCGATCGGAGCGTTACAATAGAGAGCAAGAAGGAAGATACATGTGTTACAGTTGAGAGACTAGACTGCGATCCCAAGACGCACTCCAAAATATTAGATAGGAAGTTGCAAGCGAGGAGTGGGTACGTGATGTGAGTTTTCGGCGCCAGAACACTCAGACCGTCGAAAATCAAGCATTGTTAGAACTGCTGTATCCCATGGCCTGTGAGAAGCGTGGGCAGTGGTCATTAGTATGCCGAGAAAGGACAAAGACGATGAGAGATGAACTGACGGTATACGGATCATAACTGTAACCTGGGTTGGTCCCTTGAGTCCCGTAAAACGGGGCAGAGTGCTGCGTCGAGTGACTGCCGGCGTTTGGGCCAACGGGGGTATCGTTGCTTCTCCTGCCGACACACCGTGACCATGAGGAACACAGATGGAGAAAATAATGGTCGTAAGCGAGTACATACCAGACGCTCTCGACCCAAGTCACGGGCTGCGGTGAGGCGTGCATGCGACTGGCACCCTCAGTGCTGGCAATGTCGGGAATGTACCATGCCTTGCTGTCCTCGACATCGGTATACTGTGCGGTGCCGTAGTGGGCAGCATCCAATTCGGGGGTAGGCTGACTGGTCCAGGGCAGATTCGACTGTGACAAGCTAAATTGTGGTGGTGTGGCGCTAGTCGAGTGCGTAATATGCCCCGACGAGTAACCATTGAATGAGCCGTAAGGAGCGTGATGCACGTTGCCAGGAGAGTTCGTGTGACGTGCGTGGTGGCTTTGAGCGTAAGAAGCGAGCGACTGATCAAAATGATGTGCCGCTTGAGACGTTGGAAGCATTGCTGAAGAGGGTTGACGCGATGAGTGGGAAGTCACCGACAGACCCGGCCATGTTGTGTGCCGTGAAGAGTGAGGGAGGAGGAGGGGCGAACCTCGTGGAGGGGTCTGCATTTCGCTGGCTCGAATGTATTCACAGTCCAGGTTCATCCTTTCACAGCGTTGACATTTAGTGCCACCGCTCTCTGACCGCGCGCACTATTATCAGAGCCAATTAGATTAGCCACTCATCTGTTGGAGAGTCGAACTCAGGATGAGGAAAGTGGCATACCCTGACTTGTCTCCTGCGGCAATGCATGCAAGCGATAACAGCCCTCCGAGTTCTCGGAGGATGAGCTTGACTAGAAGAATGAGTATGCTCGGACACTGATGCATCAGGCCAATATGAGCGAAGTTAAAGCTAGCAATGATGAGTCGCACTCACTATTGCTGTGTAACAGGATAGTTGGGTGTGCTGGAATATAAACGCAGGGAGGGGGGTGATGCCTAAGAGAGGAACTGCAAGGGAGCAAGCACTCTTATACTTGACAGGGGGCGGTGTACAGGTTGAAATAGTTTGCATGGAGAACTGGCCGAGGGAAACGCCTTCGACCGAACCCATTCACGAAACGGTTAGAATCGGGGGCCCTGCATTGGATCTCCCAGCGCTTGGTTGCCAGCTTCGCTGGGTGATTAGCCCGGTCCATGGCTCCCCAAAGATGTATCCATAGGCTGATCTTCATTCATCATGGCCGTGACGAGATGATGCTCAAAGCGCTAGGAAGACCGCGTCTCGACCTCGTGCTCTTGGATCTCATCACAGGGCCTTCCAAACAAATAAGGGTGAATAGGAACCGAGGCGGAGCTCGCAAAAGGCTTTCGCACAGTACATACGTGAAGACATGCGCTCCATGCATGTTTACCTTAAGACAATAAAAATAGGACATCGCTTTTGGGAAGAGCTCACTCACGACCATACAGACTACATAGCATATCTGAATGCGGCGCTCGAGAGGCTGCGTCTGCCGCGGGAATCCGATAGTGTCTACGCCATAGCAGGCAGCATCGGCTATGTTTAGTCTTCAATCAAAAAAATTCGAGGATCGAGAGTTATCTGCAAACAGAGCACTACATAGGCTACCTCGAACTCCAGCCTAAAGAGAACTACTAACACTTGGTGAGTTTCGTCGAACAGTCCATCGACAACAGTCCTAACGTACATACAAACGTCGTCGTACCTAAAGCGCCAAATAATCCCGTACCTCCTCCTCCGACAACTTTCGGAAGGTGGGTTTTGGTCGTCCTATAGCCGCACCCACTCTTGCAGCTTCCAGTTCAGCAGGGGTTGGCACCGTTACTACCCCTATCTCTATCGTCTTCTCTGTCATCTCCCCCTCGAAGCCCTCCTTCAGCGTCAACAGAGCGGTGTGGATAGCGTCTTCCAGACTGATATCATCGTTGTACCTGTCAAACACGATGAGACCCGCCTTTAGATGCCACGAAGGGGCTGTGTTTCATGAACGACAATGTACCCACCGCTTCTCCAAAAACGTCTTTGCGTTGGTCATATTCTTTCCTATCGCGCTGGCCTTCCAGGCCCAAAAGGATCCTGATGGATCAACCTGGTATAGAGTTGGACCTCGGTTCGTATCGAAACCGGCAACGAGCAAAGAAACCCCATAAGGCCGGACACCACTGCGAGTCAGCAAAGTCAGCCATTACACCACCATTGAAATCAAAGACTCGGGAGAGTGGGTACCCTGATTGCGTCGCCTGCTGCATGACTGTTGCAATTTCCTGAGTGAGGACTCGCGTCGGAGGGTATTCTCCATAGATCTTCCAGTATGACTGAGCGCTTTTGCGGGCTTTGGCGACGAGTACTCTGAAGTCTGGGCCCATTCCCGAGTAGACGATACCGATATTGGGACAGATGACAGCGACCTTGTCGAGCATGGAATCATCAATGAGGATGGACGAGGATTTCTTCTCGGTTGCGATCACTATGCCATTAGATGCTGTACGGAGAGCGTTACAGCCAGTTTTGAGAGCAAGAAAATGGGCCTTGACAACACACCCTTAATGCCCAAGCTTGTCGTGCCTTGAGACACGGCAGCCAAGGCATGCTCAATCTGTACCAGCTTCCCGCTTGGGGAGAAGACGGTGAGAGAGTAACTGATACATTATGATTAGCGTGATGAATAGTGCAGTTCGAATGCAACAAGGGCTCACCTGTACGCGCCTCCGTCAGCAGTAGCCATGTTACAGAGATTATGAAAAAAGCGAAAGAGGTGGTGGTGGATGAAGTCGAAGTACTGTTAGGTACGACGCGTCCTTTGACGGGACGCGTATGCGTGTGGCGCGTCAAACATCTAATTTGAAATAAGCTTTTGTGTGGCGCACTCTTGTGGTCTTGCCAGTGAAAGTCAGCGCCACGGCATCAGCATACTGGCTATGGTCCCATACACTATCTCCCCAATCACAACCTGAAGCGGCATATGTGACTTTGCAACGCGCATCTCGATAAGTGGCATTCGGTCACAATTCCCCCTCGTACCATTGACAGTTTGCAAGATGGAGACCACAACGCCCCTGTGGCCCGCGAATAGTCTTAACATTCATCATTGAACCGCATCTCTCTGCTCAGGCGAGTGATGCGGTACCTTGCACCGTTGATAGAAACAACCGTTTGTTATGCTAATTACTACAGGATACTCCATACAAGCTCATACACCATGCCGCCTATTCCAGCCTTAGACTTTCATAATGAACAACGAGGGAATCAGATCAATAGCCGAGCACCGGACCTTTACTGAGATGGCAGCGGAGTGGTCCTGAGGTAAGGCTAGAAAGACATCACCGAATTAGCGTCGAACAAACTCTAATGAACGAGCAAAACTTACCTTGAAGGTGGTGTGCTGGGGGAAGAGCGTCTTGGCCTCCTCCGGACCAACAGACGCGTGGATAATAACATCGTCGCCTTTCTTCCAGTTGACAGGAGTTGCGATACGGTGCTTGTCGGTGATTTGCAAGGCTGGTGGACCGCCTCACGGTCAGAGACGTAGCGGAAGCAGTTCAAAAATCCGTTTCACTCACAATCAATGACCCGCAGAATTTCGTCGAAGTTGCGACCAGTCGAGGCAGGGTACGAGATGGTCAAACGGATGGTCTTCTTGGGATCAATGACGAAAACAGTGCGAATCTAGCGAAAATAAAAGAGCCGATGAGAATGAGTGGCTATCATAACGACAATCATTTATAATACTCGCGGTCAAAGGCAGACCCTTCTTGTCCACATTGGTCGCATCCTGCTCGTCCAGCATATCATACAAAGTAGCGACTTTCCTGGACTCATCTGCAATCTACAACCACCACATCGTAAGCTACCCTGTTCGCGAAGGCTGATGACAGTGTAAACAAACGTACAATTGGGTATTGCACATCGGTGGGACCGAACTGAGCGCCGTATTCGTTGATGTCCTTCACCCACTTGTTGTGCGACTCGAGTCCGTTTGCAGACAAGCCGATGACCTTGACCCCGCGTTTCTTGAAGTCCTCTGACCTCCTCGCGACCTCACCGAGCTCGGTGGTACAGACGGGAGTGAAGTCATCAGGGTGCGAGAACAGGATGGCCTGAAGCACAGCGATCGGCGGTGGATGTGTTAGCGGCTGTGAGGCGGCTGTGTGGGAGGGGAAAATCATACCCAAGAATCTCCAATCCACTCGTGGAACTTGATGGGCCCAGCAGTAGTTTCAGCCTCGAAGTCAGGCGCGGTGCTTCCAAGACGAAGAGAGGGTGCCATTGTTAGTAGTAGAGAAGTGGTAAGGATAGATGAGGGTCAGGTATTCGAATAGGAGGGTATTTTCGCGCGACCATTTTGTGCTTATATAGGCTGCCAGCTTCCGTCCAAAGTCAAGCAGAATCAGGAAAGGTCGCTGTCACCGATTGCGCAAGAGAAGTGCTTTGACGCTCATCTCACAATCAACTCACAATTGCGCATTTCCTTCCCACGATTTTCGCCATCCCCAGGCTCACTTGCGGCATTCTCAGTCTATTTGCTATCAGCGATTTCCCAACGCTAAGTCGAATCCTGCGCTAAAGAATTCTCGACTAGAATGTTCATGGATTTATCGCAGACCCCACAAACTGTACCCGAGACGTCTGGAAAACATGGGGGAAGATATAAGTGTAATTGGAAATCACAACCTGCCTAAGAATATTACTTCTGAGTAAGACACCCATTGCATACTGTAGCTCTAGATGCGTTAAAGGGACACCAGTATTCCCAACCGCACCACGTCTCGAATGATCCTGAGACAAGAAAGGCGGGGGACACTTAAGTTAGGGATCACCAAGGGTAGGTATGTTTAAACATTCATCACATGTCCATGGATAATGGTGCCAAGGAAACTTGAAGGACAATGAGTTGGATAGTATAGGCTAGAACCTGAACTTATGTAAGTACTCAAGCAAGAGGACGGCTCAAGTGGTGAACAACACCAATGTGGCCTGATACCTTCGAGCATGTCTGCAGCCCAATTACTCAGTTCGATTTTGACCACGGGGAAGTGTTTGCTTGTCAGCTTATTGTTTGAGTGCTGGTCATTTGGAAGTGAGTATTCGGCCAGGAGCACCGGCCAAGGTCGCATGTGGCAACACAATGTTACAACAGCAGACAGAGACTATCGTGGTCCTTGGACTTTCATCGAGAACCGACGAGCTTTACCAAAGCAGCGGTCCATCTCCTAGCGTCCGCCTCTAGTCTGTAGACATGCTCTGATCGGATTATCGATGTCATAGAGCTGAATAGGTGCAAGGCCAATGTTCATATTGTATGGTGCAAATGTGCGGGAACAAACAAATACTCGAGTGTAAACTTACATTCAATCGAGCCAGGGAATGCGTTGAGGGGAACAGCAGGGAGCCAAGAACGGAGTCAGTAGTACGCGATAGCATGGAGGAGACTATGAGGGTGCTTTTCCTGCTGAGCTTGGAGGATCTTATCTATGTCCTCATCAATGTCGTCTGAAGCTTCGATCTGAGGCCATAATTCATCAACAGACCGAGGTGTCGAGTGATAGACCAGCGTGCGTACCGCGGCAGCTAAGTCGAGCATGGCCTTCCCAGCTATTAGAGCTTCCTCGTGGTTATCTTTGATTTCTACGTTGATGATATGAACGGGACGGTTGAACTCGCCGCCTCGAGACATCAGGTCTGCATAGATACCGTCGTGAGACATTGCAATGTGTTACAACGGTATAAAGGCTCGTACCGTCACATACTGCATCAAAACACCGTTCTTCGCACGTGATGACAATGTCCGCTACAGTCTTACATTCCTGCCAGCGTTCTGGAGCAAGTTTGACTCTTCGATTGCGGTCAATCATCTGCAGAACGCCGTTAGCCGAGTATCTGTGAAGACAGTCAGCGCATTGTGCAACAATGGGAGGGATGGTGGTATGCACAAACGAGGGTCCTTCGCATTCAATTCTTCGAATATATCATTGTAAGGTGTGCCAAAAGAATAGATATTGGGTTTGTCTATTGACGGCCCAGGGAGTCGGACAGCCGATCCCGTCCCGTAGGAGACGACATTATACCCTGCTCTCCTATAGAGTCCTGGTCAAGAAAAGGCGGTAAGAGAGCACTGGGGTGTACTTACGCGAGGACAAAATGGCCTTCCATAGACCGATTCTACGGCACCATTCAGATGTAGTGAACATGGTCACGAACAGAAGAACGCACCTGATTACTAGCGCAAACAACGCAGAATAATGGCCTCTGCTTATACGGCACCTGATCCATCGCGGAGGACACAACCTCGGCTTCTGGAGCAAGTTGTTCCTGTACATCCTGCATAGCCTGAACAAAAGGTTGTGGTGGAGTAGGTGTCGCGTCCATAGGCGTGTTACCCCCACCACTATACGCCACATTGCTTGGCACAGGATAGGTTGATCGAGTTGTCGAGGAAGAGGGGTTAGCATTGGCTTGAAGGCGAGGGTCTGACGCGCGCGCGAGACGAGGATCGCGTCTTCGCGGGTCCATAGACATGATGGTTCTATAGAACAGTAAGCCAGCGCACTTTGCGAGAGGAGAAAAATGTGACAAGGGAGCCTCAGCAGTATCTCGAACAATTGCCAGTCTTCACGTCGACCCAGCACATAGAATGCGGGTCGATGGAGATTCCACTCTGCGTCATCGTTGGCTGACAAATGAGATGAAAAAGAAACTCACTGTCTTGGAAAGAGTATAGGGATATGTATAAGAATTGCTTTGAGATACACAAAGTGATCAAAAACGAGAATATGAGTCCAAGGGTGGCGTTTTCGACTCAATCACGCTTACCAAATACGTTGCTTTCCTTGCGGGCACGTGGCACGTGGCACCTATTTATATCACTCTCGAAGTGGCCCACTCTTGAAGCTTTACTACAAGATTCTAGTACCTCGCTCTTTCGTGCCTTTCATGCTTGCAGCTGTGTTTACATGTCTCATAGATCTTCTGTTTCGGTGGGAATCTTCTTCAACCCGCACCACTGTCGCAATCCCCTGTATCAAAACCTTGCTCACTTCCCCATAGCATCTGCAGGGCTTTAGGACTTTCGAGAACGAGCGTGGACAATGCCGAGGATTTGACAGATGGCCCACAAGGACAGGGTATTTCTGACATACATGAAGACCCCACCAGTATTGTTCCACTAAACTCCGATCCTATCTTGCGGTAAGTTACCGACCTGATCACAGCCTTTTCATTCTCTGTGCACCGACACGATGAATGCTCGCTTACTCCCGCTTGCCGATATCTTTTATATATCTGATATGTTTCACACTATCGCCACCATTCTACAATTCCCCACGCAGTGTTCTTTCATCTCGAAAGGACCTCTCCCAGGCGGACATACAGACCGTGCTCAACGAGATCCATAGACATGGCCAAGCAATCTCAGGACTCGACAAGATACTCTCTAACCTTTCACGAGAGGCTAATGCTATACGTAGGGAGAAACAGAAACACGAGGACATAATATCGCGCTGTCGAGGAATTTTGACACTGGCAAGACGTGCTCCAGACGAAATTCTCGCCCACATATTCGAGCTTTGCGCAGCTGATGGGTGGAACAGGGCCCCTCTTGTATGCGCTGGTCGGTCCTTCGCTTCGAGATATATGTTCTTCTGGAAATGTTCTGATCATTGTTCTTTCTCGTATTGCGTTCCATTGAACCACAGCTGTTTGTTCATCATGGCGAAGGGCTGCCCTGGCTTATCCCAGGGTATGGTCTCACGTCCACTGTTCGAGTGACAGTTTAGACCCACTCCGACGCACTGATCTTTGGATATCCCGCGCCGGACAATCACCTCTTCATATTACTGTCGATGCTCGTTCAAGTGATACTCAGCTCCACCTTGCTGTCCGGCACGCGCTAGACCACGTCGGCCGCTGGCACAGCTTCACTCTCAACGCCAAATTTGTGCAACAAGCCGCCGGTATACTCTCGCTCTGTAATGGAATTTCTGCACCGCAACTGCGGGAAGTATCGATCGCATCGTTTGCAGCTGGGATAGAGGAGGAGGAAGATTTCGCTGAACTGGTTGAAGCTTTCCAGCCCGCGCCGAACCTTCGTACCATCGGTATCACGTTCAACAAACTCCCCGTTACGCTCCCAACGAACGTGGTAGAACTCCGCTTAGAACTCGCGCCCTTGCCGAACCAGGCCATGAGACTTCTTGACCTCCTTACCTCCTTGGAACAACTCTCCTCCCTTGAAGTCCTCACCCTAGTGGTTCCACCTTCGTTCGAGGCCTTCATCACCTTCCCTGACTTAACCTCGGCCCCGCCGACAGAGCCATTTGTGGCCACCCTCCCGCATATACGTACTCTCACCATAAACGGCTTTCCGGACTACAACCTCATCCTGCAACATCTCTCCACCCCTTCACTGCGGGATCTCTATCTCTGGTCTAGCGAAGTGCCACTCAACTATCCCCATGAAGTCACAGGCGGTTCTCTACGCGACTTCGTTGAGCGTGTCACGCCTCCGCTCAAGTTGTTGGCATTACATGATATCGACTTGCCGCAGGATGCTTTCGTGTCATGTTTCAGAGCGTTGCCTGGTTTGGAAGAGTTGAGGTTGCACGAGACAGAGGTGCCGGACGAGGTGTTCGAGGTCTTGAAGGGCGCTGGTAACGGGTCGGACGAATCCGCCGGACTCTGTCCGAAGTTGAGGAGGCTCGATCTAAGGTGGTGCGAGCAGCTCTCTGGACGGGTATTGGTTGATCTGGTTACTTCACGCCTATGTAAATCGGACGACAATAGTCGAGGGCCACCTGATGTCGCCCCAGTTCCCGTGCCGATCGAGGAGGTTACGGTGATACATTGTGCAATGGTGGAGGAGAAGGACGTCCTGGATCTGGCGAGGATGACGGTGTGTAGTGTCGTTGTGCGGAATCTGGGCGATCATTGTCGTAAGAATTCGTGTATCTTTCTTTTGACTTTCAGGTGGCAAGACATTGATGTTTGTTATACTACCAGGGGCTCGTGACTGCTGCAATAACTCCAGGTACAGACAACGCCTTCGACTCCGCCACCTCGGAGAATTGGGGTCTGAGGAGTGGGCACGCATGCGCCTCATCCTGGATTAGTCGACATTCACCGCAGATTTCCCGCACAATTTGTTTGTTGGACTTCTTGACTTCGGTCAAGGGGTTTGCCGGTGGGTTGTTGTGTGTACCATTAGAACGAGACTAGAATATTAGAGAACAGACTATCCGTGGACGAAAATTGCGTATGTTGCCCTGCGTATCTGAAGTGACTAAACTGAACCGAGAAAATCCATTCCTATACACTCTTGCCCCTCGCTCTCCACTGTCTACCTCGAGCAATGATCCCGCTGCGACAACGAGCTCTTAAACCTCCGCGTCGCGAGAATCTGTATCGAAATTATCTAGGAGTGGAGCACCTTCGTTAGCTTCTTCTAACGCCTCTTCCGCTAGCTCGTCAATCTCAGGTGAGAATGCTCGGAGTTGTTTTTGCATAGCATTGTACACCACCCTGCACCACAACGAAGTCATCAGTCATAATAAAGCATTGTTGTCAGCGATATTTGGTGACATACCAGCTAGCTAGAATACTAATTGAGATACCACCACCTATTAAGAAACCGTTCAAGATCTTCGTGGCTGTGTTAAGTGGCGAATTAAGTGCTGATGATGACAATAGCTGAACCATGGAAAAAGATACGTACGCGTATCCATCTTCTCTCGTTGTTCTCCATCCGACAATACAGCCGTGCGAGATCCAATGAAAACATATAGCAGAAACCTAGGGAATATGCAGACTGTGGCGACTATAAATTGCCATACAGATACGGCTTCGATGGACTACAAAAATGTGAGTGTGAATGAGCATAGATAGACGGATTATAGCACTCACTGCAAACAACATGTTTGAGTACACCCACGGCGGGAACGACGAAGCTCGGATGAGTATAACGAGAGGAAGGCCCTTGGCATTCTACAAGGCAAGTGCGTAAATCTATTTGTGGTGCACCCAGGGCAGCCAAAGGACGCACAACTACGGCCTCGAGAGCTTGCCACCTCTCGTTCTTAGATGACCATGCGCGTAGTCGCCTACTGAAGAGAAGACGTAGAGTCACAAATGCAAGCGTAGAGCCCAGTATAGAGCCGGCGAGAGCGACCGGAAAGCCCTTCAACCCATATGCAAAGCCGCAAACATAGAGAGATGTCGTGTGACCGATCACGGGAGGGAATGAGAGCAGAACTAGAGTCGATTATAAGAAGTTAAACATACAGAAAGTTATCGAGGTGCGTACCGACGAGGCCCATCAGCAAAATCCATCCGTACGGCTTGTTGCTAAAGTCCTGGGCGACATCATACAGAGCTTGTGCGATACGAGCAGGAGTTACGACAAGTATAGTCGTTATGAGGACAATATAGAAGAGAATCAGAGCTATAACGGCGACCTAAAAATTGAGTATAACAGCTGCGATAAGTTGTCGAGTATAAGTAGGTTTAAGAGGAAACCCTACTTTGCCATAGATGTGCAATTTCCTATATCGTTGAAGGGTTAGTGTGGCGTAATACTTCACCGCAATGGCTGCTCGTCTGACAGCTCCATGTTCTGCTTGAGGTCCCATGATGAGAAATAGCGATTCCGTAGTACCAGCGTTGTTTGTTTCAACCGATACTTAGACTGACTTCTAGAAAGGAACGACAATGTTCTTTATATCGAGAACGTGAGGGTATGGGAAGAGGGGATTGCTCAGCGCTGACGTAGATCAACGGCCGCAGTACTTGCCGGTGCCACAATCAGATAAGATAACGACACCATTTAACGTGTACCTCACCAGACACGCGAGGAAGCTTTGCGATTCCGAACTCCGAGAACTACCTGTAGTAGACATGGAGAAGTATTCTGCGTACCGAGTGAGCATCTGCGATAGATGTTTGGTATTTCTGATTAATATTCTTCTTAGGATCCTGGGACTGGCATCCAGGTAGGCATCCTTTCACATATCCATAACTCCGTCATGGATTGGCACTCTCGACTGAACCCAGTACTCTCCAGCCATTCCTCACACCAATACCCCCACTAGGGTCGGATAGACTGGTCAAAATATTGAAACCGATAGGATATGCTGTCGGAGCCATCAGAACCGCGATCGTCCTGTTCCTCGCACTTCTTTACCTCGTGTTCGTCCAAGGCATTTGCCTCATCCTTGTATGTCCGTCTCCGTCATCATTTTGACCTCGCGTGTTGACATCGGCAGGCCCCCATACCGCATATTCGTAGAACTGTAACATACATCCTCACCGCCTTCATAAGTCGACTCACCCTTCTTGTTGTCGGAGTCTGGTGGATCCCCGTAGAACATGTGACCAGGAAACGGTACGAACACCTTTCCATCCTTCGAAACTCTGTCTATTCTGACCACATTACCGGACACTGCGCTATTTTGTTCAGACGCACTGCGGGACAACAAGAGGCATGGGCACCTAAGCCGGGAGATGTGATTGTTTCGAACTGGGTCTCTTGGATAGAGGTTCTTTGGTTAGCTTTCCGGTGCGCTGAAGCCATGACTCGTTGCTCTGAGACCTTGTCACTAACTATACATTCTTGTCCCTTGCAACAAGATTTGACCCCATCTTTGTCCTTCCAGTCACACCACAGGTCGAGTCTTCCGAGACGTCATCAATAAAACCGACAGTCAGCAACACCACACCAGGCCGTCGCACCGGAACTGGGTCTGCCGCGATATCGACTCCATCTAGTCGTCCAACTGTCAGCCGACTTCCTGTCCAAGGCTTCCGTGAGGTTTCACTCCTACCCATGCTCAGAACCACGGGCCACATCCCACCCTTTTACGTTGCTAGCTCTACCTCGGGAACCGAAGGATTAAAGGCGAAGAGCTTAGATGAGATTAGACGTGGAGTGAACAGGCCCATTGTTGTGTTTCCGGAGTGTACTACGAGTAACGGCAGGGGCTTGCTGAGGTTTGCAGACGTATTTGTCGGGCAGCCGGTGCCTACAAGGAAGTATAAGGTTTTCATTATGTGTGTTCGGTGTGTAACCTCATCTTTGGCTCCCCACACGAGTTCAGACCTCCCACAGTTTACTCAATATATTCTCAGATATGACCCTCCGACGTCCCTTTCCCCCACGCCCACCCATTCCATCCCATCGCCAAATATGTTCAATCCCCTACCACATATATTCTCTCTCTCGACCTCATTCAAACCCATCACACCTTCAATCCGTTTACTTGCTCCCTCCGAAGGCCCGAGTTCACCCACCTTCCTTGTGAGCGAGGTGATCAGTGGTGGGGAGGCTGACTCGCAGGATCATCTTAGTGCAGTGTGCGCGGCGTTGGTGACGCAGGTTGGGAAATTGAAGCGAATGACAATGGGGTGGGAGGACAAGAGGGGTTTCCTAGAGCTATATAGGGAGAAGAGGAGGTAGAAGCGGAAATTTCCATTTTGGCAGGGAATGCGGGAACGCAAATTATTATCAAAATAGCACTCTAGGACGAGGCACCTTGCATTCTAAACAAAATCTCTCCCAGCGGCTAAGTGCATTCTATTGACAGACATTCATGACCACAGAAACCAAGATCTACGACACATGAAGCAAATTTTCGGGGCGATGTAATAAAAGACCGAGAGGGGTCTTTGTCTATATGATCTGGCGCGGCAACGGACGGCCGACGAATTTCACAACTTCGCCTTGCCCTAGAGACCAAGTAATGATATTTTTCAGGACGGTCGTTAGTGCCTGATTGACAATGAGTAGACTTACCTTCTTGATCTCATTGAACGCCCGGCGGAGGTCAGATTTTAGGTCCTGACAGTGAACGTTAGCGTTTCATCGTTCAGCAGAGTGCAACGATTGGCCACCTACCTCGACGTCTTCAACTCCGATGCTCAAACGAATAAGACGAGGATCTGCGCCCGGGTCTGACCGGGCACGCTGCTCGATTAGTGACTCTACGCCTCCGAGGCTTGTTGCAGGCTATGGAGGAGAGTATCAGGGCTGTGTTACAAAATCATATCTAGTGGAGACTTACGATGAAAAATTCTAGAGCGAATGGTAGAGCAGCTGCATATTCTGGTTTCGTGAGCTGTAGCGAGAGCTTGAGTTCCACAAAAGAAAAAGAAAGATACCAAAACCTACCATCATCCCAAATGTAGGCGCAAACCCTCCTTCCATCTGTTCTTTGGGCTCAAACTCTGGTCTGCCGCCCTTCCCATCACCCTTCGAGCCCCTGCCTTGCAACGAGTCATGCCAGACCTGAAGCACCATGCCTCCGGGAACGCCGTCGTGTTCCTTGCCTTCCGGTGTATTGGCAATCTTGTGAAGCCAGTGTGCGAGAACAGTGGCGTTGGAAGACTGTCGAGGAACACGAAGATGGAGCGTCCGTAGGGAGCGGAGGAGGAGCCACGATTCGAGAGAGCCCATCATTGTGCCCGTCATTGTGCGGTCGGCCAGAAGCTGCAAGTCATCCGAGAATTAATAACATTCGAGTTCGACCTCAGAATACTGAGAATTACCTGGCCCCATTCATTGATGGTTTTTACGACGAGAATCCCGCAAAGCATGTCTGAGTGACCACCGAAGTATTTGGTTCCGCTGTGCATCACGACATCGGCACCCCATTTGAAAGGATAGGAAAGCGGAGGAGGGCCGAATGTTGCGTCGATACCTAGTTTGCCGCCTACGGCGTGTATCTAGAAACATGTGCTTGAATTCATATCCTGTTATGGTGTTCAATAATAGTCATTACCTTATCGGCGTAGTACTTTATATCTCTTGTCGAGGGAAGAACGAAAACTGTGCTGAGCCTGCAGTTATGAGCAGAAGCGAGCGCAGAGCAACAAACCTGACTTGTCCAGTAGGGTTCAATGGAGTTTCAAGCCAACAGACATCGCCTGGCCTGAAGTCGTCGTCCAAGTCGATAATTTCAACGTCTCGTTCGCGCTTATAGATCTCAAGAACGCCGTGAACGCCGTGGTAGCCATTCCTGATCGCGACGCGCTTCGGCTTGAGCAGAAGGAAGGCCTGCTCAAGAGTAAGGCTGAGAACAACGAACAACGCCTTGCAGAGAGCAACATTGGGCGGCTCACGGCATGAGCAGCAGACAAGCCCGAGCTATAGGTTATGGCGTAGCCGTGCTGTGTATTGCGGGGATCAGGATACGAAGTCCAACGGCAAGAGCGGAGCCATGAGAACCCTACGTTGATTTTGCTCAGAATCGCCTCCACTCTCGAATATGTTTGCTGGGTGTACCGCGAATAGACATGCTTGCTATCGGGCGAACGGAACATTTCTGCATCACGGGTGATGTCCAAAGCTGCAGCCAACGGACCATCTACGGCCTGTTTGAAAGCTATGGAATTGATTAAGGATATTAGTTAGCTCATTATATGTAAACGAGAAGGTTGTAAGGAGGGAAAACATAGATTTACTGGTGCTAACGGAAATAGAAGGTGCCACATTTGTATCAGAGAACGCTTCGTCGGCATGAATAAGGTCAGTGCCACTGAGGCGGGACACGTCGGACTTGGGTGCCATTCTGATGCTGTTGGAGGAGTTCGTCTCAAGTGCAGGTGGTGCAAGACTGGAAAGTGGTTGTGTGAGAGTTGACTCGGCGACGATCATACATACACCGATGCCTCGAGGCGGAAGGAGTGTTCGATGTCGTATTCCTGAGAGCCGATGACTCGGGATTTTGTCGGGATGTTGCCACTGGGCCACTCGATTACCAAATGGTTGCGTTTCCGTTCCGGAACGCCCCGAGCGCTCAGACGGCGAACTTGAACACGACCTCGTGCTGGGAAAAATCGACGATCGCGGTGTTCGGCTAAGTTCGACTTCCGAACATATGTAAAGCCCGCCGAGCACCGCGAACTTCACCCAACTCTCTTTCCGCTGGACCGTCAAGACCCCCTCCCTCCCTCCTCGCTCACCCGCCGCAGGCTCTAGCGTCCGAGTCGTCAAAGCAGGCCTTTCCGACCGTCTTCTCAGCTTACTCCTCTTTCATCCTCATTTCACGTTTGCAGGCATCGTCTTCGTCTAGCTCGCCTTATATCATATCTCTCCTTAACACGCTCCTTCGAGATCTTGTCGCTATGTTCTCCTTTACAACCAAGCTCCCCCTCCTAGTCACTGTGCTCTCTTCGCTCTCCCTCAGTGTTCTCGCGGCTGTTCCTGCTCACCCTGGCGGGCGACTGTCGCCCTCTGAAGCAGAGCTCAAATACTCTCGTGCTCACTCGCTCGGTGACGACTACACCTTCAGCGTGCAGGATGGCTGGCAGACTGTCAATATCTCCGATCTCCTGTACAAATACGAGCCTCCGGTCTCTCAGACGTCTTACGCTCTAGACTTGGGCTCTGCTTTGGACTCGGGGGCTGTCAGGCAAGGACTGGCGAAACGTAGTCTCAAGAAAGTCGGAGATGCCGTCAAAGGCGCGGTGAAGGATATCTTCAAAGGATTGAAGGCCATAGGGCAAGCGGAAGCCGTCACGATTACATGGTGCGTACTCCGTTTGCCGCATCCCAAGCACGACGCATATTACTCACTATTTATTCACAACGTAGGTATACCGGACATGATCTTCAAAACCCAAGTTGCTGGTCCAATGGTAACTGGGCACCAACGGTATGTCCCGCTATCTTTCCGGGCTTCTCCTAATACTATTGGCTCACCCACTTACTTCAGGACGCATCATTCGCTTGTGCACTCACTCTCGACGGTTGGACAACCAAACCTCAATGCTTCAAGTTCCTCGAACGTATGCGCCTCCATTACAATCACGTTTCGTTAGCATTTTCTCATACCATTCATTGTGTTGCCAGTCTGCAACAGTCCAAAGAAATGTGTGTACGTGCGGGTGGTTGATACCTGCGCCGGCTGCGCCTCTGGTTCGAAACATGTCGACCTCACCAGAGCAGCGTTCGGCCAGCTCGCTAGTTTCGACGAGGGGTCACTCTCTGTTCAGATGCGATTGGCTACGGAACCTGATTCATGGTAAGTGTATTTCGACTATTATCTGCATGCGCGTCACTCATCCAAATGTTGGATAATGCTTTCTTAGGGCGGAAAACCTCTGGGGCCCTAAGCACTGATGATAGACAGCAACGGAAAGAACAAACTAAAATGTATCCTTAGCTCACAAAATAGATTTGTTTCATCGCCATGTAATTTTGTACTTGACTCATATACCATGGACACTCGTGCTCGAGGCACGCTGGCTACACGTATGTGTATATGTACCAACTTATGGATGCGATCACATATGCACTCTCTTTCTCTTCTTTCCTTCCGCAATTCTCGCCCGAACCTTCTCCTCGTCAAGGCCCTCTTCCTCATAAAATTGAGCCGTACGCTGAGCCTCGCTCTGCCGGTGAATGAACTGCAACGCGGCGAGATTATAGCTCATGTTTTGTTTTTGACGAATGAGAGCGGCACGAAGGTGCCTTCGCAGCGGGATGAGGGTGGTACGCAGAGTTCGGTTTGCGACGATTTGGTGATGGTGTGTTTTGAGCAGGAAGAACATGATCCGGGAGACCAGAGGGATGTTCCACTCCTGAAACGATGCAGTTATTGGTCAGTCAGCATCGACATCGATCATGTCGCCAAAGGACTTGGGGGGAAATGAAGACTGCTTACTCTGCTCGCCCAGATGTTCAAATACCCCATCAACGAAACGACCCCATCGAAGGGCAACACGAGCAACGCATCCAATAACGCAGTTCCCTGTATGCCACTCACGACCTTCAATACCCAACCCTCCGGTTCCAGATCGTACGCAGCCAACACCGCGTTCCTCGCCGGCGGAGGGACTTTTGCACTGTCCTCTTCACTCAAACTCTTCTTCGCCTCCTCGTATTCTGCCCAAATCGCCCGTTCGGCGTCGGCGAGGTTGAGAGCCTCGACGATACGTTCGCCAGCCATGAGGGTTTCTGTGGTCTGCTTGGTGACAAGGGTGGTCTCGGCTTGTGCAGAGGGGTCGTGAGGGGAGAGTGAGTCGGGATTGGCGTTCTCGATACCGCTACCGATGGGAGCGTCTTCGCGGTTAAGGTTATCAGCGAGTCCAGCTTCGTACAGCTTTTCGAGTTCGCGTTCGCGTTCTTCCTCAAGGAAGAGCTAGGTCGGGGAAAAGAGTGAGAGGGAGATGTGTGAATATATATATTTGAGCGACGTATAGCAGGGAGACGTACGGGGTCATCCAATTTTTCCCAGATTCGGATAGACTTGTCGTGTGAGCCAGTGACGACGAAGTTCCCAGCGTTGCTCACAGCGAGGGCCCAAACCTCTCCGTGATGTCCCTCTAATTTTTGAATGTTCTCGAACTAGCCACAAAACATAACGTGTCAGCCGACACCATCGTAAGGAGGTGTTATAACGTACCTTGTCGCCATCCCAGTACTTCAGCAACTTATCTTTCCCAACGGTCCAGAAGTAGTGTGACTTCTTCTCGAACGCGACCTGCATCACACTCTCATCGTGCGCGAACAGCGATTTGTGGCAGTCGCCGAAATCAAGGCCCCAGATCTTGACGTTTTTATCGGCGGAACATGTCACGATGAGTTTGGAGTCGTCCGAGATGTCCATGCCTAAGACCGGGAGCTACAACGCACGACATACGTATATAGATCATTATCCGTCAATTGTGAGTCACGACAGAGCGATAAATGGAGGTGAGTCTGCGGGAAGGGGCATTGCTGACCTTATGGCCGTAGAGGGAGAGGAAAAACTTGAGACTATCTTCGTAGAAGACTTTGACCGTTGAATCAAGCAGCGCTACAGCCAGAAGCTTCCCATTGGGGCTGTATCGCACAGAGAGCACGTCATCCGTCATCTTGAGTGTCCGGGTATGCACGAGCGTGATCTGCCTGCCATTCGGTCCCTGGAAACCATCCTGTTGAGGAGTTAGTTGCTGTGCCACGTCCATATGGTGTGGAGGAGGACGAACCTGATTCTGACTCTCGCTAGTCTGCTTCCATTCGAAGTCCCAAAACTTGATGTCCTTGTCCGCACTACCCGTCACGAGCGCCCTCTCATCATGTCGGACTTGCATTGACCAGACTGTGCCATTGTGAGCTTTTACGGTCTCGATGAGGGAAGAAGACGCGAGATCGTAAATGAGGATGTCGCCTGATTTTGTACCGACGGCGATCTATGTGGCGATCAGAGGTCAATAGCGGTTAGATGTGGACAATGGTTTAGCGAGCAAATTGCATGCATGAGGACATAGTAACTTACATGGCGGTCGCCAGGGAGGAATGTGCTGCATATTGCATGACCGCAGTCGATGGTACGGATACAAGATGTCGTTCTCAAGTTCCAAACCTTGAGCATGCCTGTGGATGTAGTCGGGAGTGAAAAAGCGTTGGTAGTACTGGGTGAAAAACATGATGATCGTACCGTTTGAAGCTGAAGCTAAGAGAGTATCGTCGGCACTCAGGCAAAGTGTTCGCACGTCGGTTCTATGGCCGGGCAGGTCCAACGAATATATCCTGGCAGCTTCTGGAGGTTCCTCTTTCGTCTTCGCCGGTTGTGGGATGTTGTAAACTTCCAGGGCATTGTTCGACAATGCCATAAATATCTAACAAAGAGATTAGTGACGGAGAGTGTACGACAACGGAAAAAGCATACCTGCGTCCCTCCCTTTGAGGTTGCTTCCTCCGACTCGAATCCAAATGACCTGATCTTCCCGGTCGCCCGTACAACTAGGTATGGGGTAAAGAGGTCCACAAGGTCAACCTTCCCTTCTTCGTCCTCCAGTGGGTCTGCTTCATCCTCCTTCATCCCCTTTCCTTTCGATTTCTCTTTCTTTTCCTTCGCTCTCTTTTTGCGTCTGGCTTGTTTCTTCCTGATTTCATCCTCGGTACGGATGCGGAAAATCTCGACTGAACGATCATGAGACTGAACAGCGACGTAAGGCTGGGAAGGGTGGAAGCTAATCTGTGAGACACGGTGTTGGGACGATAGGGGGAGTGTGGCCGCGGGCACAATTGCCTTGGGTATCTGCATTGGTAAGATTAATATGTTTGCGTTTCGCCATCTTGCGACACATAAACACACCTCGCCCGTTTCTGAGGGCTTCAGTCCAGCTTCCAACACTTCGTGGTCGATCTTCCAGGCTTTCAGTTCGCCCTCACCACTTCCAGTGAACAGCAAATTCTGTTCATTGTTGATGTCGAGCGTCCAGATTTCCGCACGGTGAGCGACGATGGTCTGGATACAGTGTTGCGTTGAAAGGTCCCAGAGCTTTAAGAACGTATCCTTGGAGGAGGTGAGGATATACCCGGGGTGGGCGGAGGTTGAAGTAGAAGGCAAGTTTGGTGAGATGTTGGAGAGAAAACGGAGTGCTGTAATTTGATCTCTGTGCCCTCGCAATCTGCGTTCCTCACGATTAGTACCAGTTGCAGATATAATAAAGAACTTGTGCACACCTGAACAGTCCAGCCTCTCCAACAACATCCCACACAATCAAATTTGTATCCTGCGAGCCCGAGGCCAATCGAGTGCCGGCATCGTCGAACGCAAGCGCTGTGACAGCCTTCTTGTGCCCATTAAACGTCGTGATGACAGACTGAGCGGAAACGCTCCATAGTCTTATGGACCCATCCGCGTAGCCAACAGCGAAGGTGTCCTTTTGAGGCGACCGAACGATACACGTTACTTCCGCACTGTGGCCCGTTTCGTGCCACATTCCCATCTGCACATTCCAGTATTTAAATATGCAGAGAATAGGTTCAAGTTGTTAAAAAACATACCATATGCCCTCTTTTGACATCCCATACGAGAACATCCTCAAGTGCGGGTACATAGGCAATTTTGCCATCGTATACCGAGTTTGAGGTGGGGCTGCACACCAGACCAAAAGCCTACCAAAGGATAAAGACTCAGTAGACTTCGACGTTCAGAAAATCTTCGAAACGCACCTGAGTGGGCCCATGTCTGAGATAGCTCTGAACCATCGCACTGAGGGCTACACGGTTGAATGAACGAGTGCAGTTCGCAGACCAATCGCGACGCGAAGACTCGAAAAAGCTTGCTGCCGTAATCGTCTTTACGTGCCACGATCGAGATCAGGATTCCCACGAATGTTTAAATGGCCGCAAAGGTGGCGCGCATGTATACCAAAGTCCATCACGTCCCCTCTAGGATTGCTACCTCCCGCACTCTTCGTCGCACGATAATGATGTTGTCCACGTCTGGTCCAGAAGCCGCTACCAGGCTGCTCTCTTTTGTCAACGCATCGCCTACTCCGTATCATGCTGTCCACAATGCTGCTACAAAGCTTGAGAAGGCCGGCTTCACAAAGGTTCGTCTACTCCGAATCGAGTGCAGAACGGCGAGAGTCTTATCGTGTGGGTGCGTGAGCAGGTTAGAGAAAGGGACGATTGGAATGTGAAGCCTGGTGGAAAGTACTACTTCACAAGGTACGTTGTCCTTGGATTCATCGGACGGCATCATATGCTCATGCGATATGCAGGAACCAGGCTTCTCTCCTTGCGTTCACCATTCCCCAGAAATGGCAGCCTGGTACAGGTGTATCCATCGTCGCCACTCACGTCGACAGTCCTAACCTCAGGGTATGGCAATCATCTTTCTTTTCCTCGATGTCCATATACTCATGCCAGTCAAAAGATCCGACCAGTCTCGAAGAAGACTGGCTCTGGTTACCTCCAAGTTGGTGTTGAGACCTATGGCGGAGGTCTCTGGCACACTTGGTTCGACAGGGATCTTTCGCTGGCGGGTCGTGTCGTCGTCGCGAACAAAGAGTCGGGCTTCACTTCGAAACTGATCAAAATCGACAGGCCTTTGCTTCGAGTACCCACACTAGCTATACACCGTAGGCAAATTCTCGACCTCCGCTCTACCTCCGCCATGATTACTTATAGCCATTTTTCAATTGAACCATTATTAGTGGACCGAAACTCTGCGGCTGACTTCAAGTTCAACCCCGAGTCTGAATTTATCCCCATTCTCGGACTCGTCGCTTCAGAGCTCAACGCAGCTAAGGATGGAACACAGGATAAGTCTTCTTCAGAGCAGAAGGAAGAAAAGCACGATGCTACCAGCATCCAGAAATATCATCACTCGTCCCTGCTCTCCGTCCTTGCCGAAGAGCTGTCAGTCCAACCAGAGGAGATCCATGATTTCGAGCTGTACGTCCACCGCTATCCATAGAAGCTTTTGACTATAACATGGTTTAATACAGGCAGTTATATGACACTCAGCTCAGTCAATTTGGAGGGTTGAACAACGAGTTTATCTTCAGTCCTAGGATGGACAATCAGTTCTCTTCGTCAGTGATTCAGACAACACGACATTGAACCGACTGCTGACATTTTTTGACCTAGTTTCTGCGCTGTCGACGCGTTGGCAAATTTCGTCTCTGCATCGTCCTTTCCCACCCTAGAAGGCAACGTCAACTGCATCGCACTCTTTAACCATGAAGGTAGGGGTCTTCAGTCACCGTCCTACCTTTCATACTTGCTCTCCCGTGATTCTTACAATATTTCTCTCATTCTACAAGAGATTGGCTCGGTGTCCTCCACCGGCGCAGAATCTACTCTTATCCCCTCCCTTCTTGAACGATTATCCCCAACCCCGGCCCTCCTATCCCAATCTATCGCGAAGTCCTTCCTCCTTTCTTGCGACGTCTCGCACGCCATCCACCCGAACTACGCCTCCAAGCACGAGGAGAACCACAAGCCAGCTATCAACGGTGGAATTGTGATCAAGACGAACGCGAAGCAGAGGTACGCCACTGATGCGATTACGAGCTTCGTGGTCAGGAGGCTGGTGGAGAAGAAAGGAGGAAAGGTGCAAGAATTTGAGGTTCGGAACGATATGTGCGTAGTCCTTCTTTGTTTTATCATGTGGACGAAGACTGAGGCACTACTGCACGGCTTTAGGGCTTGCGGGTCGACAGTCGGTCCTGGACTCTCCAAAGTGCGTATATAATTTCCATGCCATTTCTCTGACAGGAAGGAAGCCGACTGATCCTTCAACTCGTGTATCACAGCTCGGGTTGCGAACCGTCGACGTCGGTTGTGCCATCCTTTCGATGCACTCCATCCGTGAAACCGCAGGGTCTTACGATGTTCAAAACTGCATCGACCTGTTCTCCTCCCTGTTCGAAGGATTCGCAGAGATTGATGCGCAATTGGTTGTGGACTGAGCTCGTCAAATCTCTAGCAGTATTTGTAGCAGTAAGATACGATACCGATCGAGAGATCATTGCTCGATGCAATGCAAATACAAAACATGGTTTTTGGAGCATGAATGGTGCACATGTCTGAATAATGATACAGCCTGAGGTGATAATCGAAAGCAAGTGATGATGTAGCGGTACTTTTGAAGCCTGAAGCAGAAACGACGAATAGCAGAACAACGACTTGTGGTAGTGCGAACCACGTCGCACACCGTTCACCGTCTGGCCTTTTTCTTCGGGTTCTCCTCTTCGGTTTCTTGGCTCTTTTCGGCACGTCGTGAGCCTCCAACCGGCGTCGACAACAGACTCCTTTTCTTTGCGGTTCGGGAGTACGTTGAGAGTACCCATTCGCGCTCAGCTTCACTCTGCTCAATTGTGCCCTGGCGAATCTCGTATGCTGACGGGAGAGAACGCTCAGCATAAGTGCACAAGATGGAAAACAGGTAAGTGACAGAACTCACGCTTCATTTCGAATCGCGGACCTACTTCCGCCAATTGAACCTGCTTCGGTGGGATCTTCAAGAAGACGTGGTGCCTGTATACAGGAATCCACATTTAGATCACCCTCGTACCTCTTCTCTGGAGACAAAAAATGAGGCCCTGATGAATAGACGCTCACCTGAACGAGATGAAATCATTATCGTTTGAGAACGTCATTATCCTTTTACTGTCCTCCTTCGGTACAGGGAACAGGTACTTCAGACAGTCCCGCATCCTCTCCCCTAATTTGGAGCTGAAGTTCTCGAAGATTAGATGTGGGTACTGTTCAGAGACGGTGGAGGAGTTATAATTGGGGATGTCGTGGCGAAGGTTTACGTTGTGGAGTGTGAAGTAGACAGTAGGGCCATGAGGAAAGTGGGAGACGATCATTGCGTCTGCGGGAATGGATGAGAGCACTGTTAACAGGTGAAACAGCACGATGAGCGACAGCGCAGACGTACCTGGTACACCACGATGTTCATGTAAGACAATCAAGTCCGTGACTTCGTTTGCTCGACATGCCTCCGCCAGCTCCTTCACAACATAGTTTCCTCTATTTATTCGATGTGAGTTTGGGAATACGAGCCTCATCTCCTGAACACAGAGCCATTGACATCAGTAATTATGTCGACCTGTACTGCGTCGTATTAGGCGAATGTGTAGGGAAGAGTACACACCTTCGAAAATTGCAACAACTTTGAACTTGGGTCTCTTGACGTCGTGACCACGATCTTAGGGTCCATGATCCCTGCCCTCGAGTACTCACTATCTACGTGTGTTGTTGGATCTAAATATGGCCAATACGGATTCAGAGCAATGTCAGCCAGCATTTCTTCCTTCCCACTCTATCCAACTTCTCCCTTCACACCAGTACTTCTGAGGATAGAGAATTCGAAGAAAAGTAGACGCACCTGTCTGTGCCTGGTCAAAAGCGAGGTCGTTCCCTAATCCTTGTGCATCCTTCCTAAGTTCGGTAGGTAAAGCTTTGCCACTGGCAAGAGCATCTTTCAGCTGTTGTTTCCGCTGATATGTCTGCCGTTCTTGAGCTTCGAGAGATTTTGCATAGACGTATTGCCGACGCTCTCGTGTTTGTCTACGAAGCTACAGCAGCATAAGAACCAGATAATTTCATAAGAAGATATTGAACACAAGTAAATAGGCTACGTACCATGGTGTGGAGATGTTCTGAAAGCAAGGAGAAGCTGGGAGATGGTGAGGAACTCGGTGTGGCGAGGAGACAGGACTATCGCAACTTGCGGACCCTAGTTCGAGGTTAGGCTCAAAACGAAAGTTTGGCGCACCTTGGGGTTGGATTTGGACGCGTCAACAATTGTCAACAACGCGTCCGAGCGGCTCCCCCGTCGATTACACCTCATCATCTCCTGCACCGCGAACTCGTTTCTGTCGCCAGTGGCATCGCTGTTTGGCTCACTATAACCCTTGACTACTTACTCGCCGAATCCTCTGTAGTCTTGTCATTTTCTCTGATCGTCACGTTTTCAGGCTCCAGTGGTGTCAGAATCTTCAGGCTCGATCTGAGGTGCCTCAGCCTGATTACACTGGTCTATCCATCTAAAAGTACTCTAATCTGTCTATCCACCCAAAGCTTTGCGCACTCGCACTATCCAACTACACTGAGCTTTGGACCAGACGGACAGTCATGTCTCAACAGCCTAGGCACTGGTTAATGAAAGCTGAGCCCGATTCTCGTGTCGTAAAAGGCAGAGATGTCAAGGTAAAGTCTAAGCCTGCCCGAAACGTCTTTGTTGCTCACGTAGTTGATCCCATGTCTCTATCGTCATCTCGCCAATTCTCTCATTTTTGTCGACTCCCAACTTAGTTTAGTGTCGACGATTTCGAGGCTGCGGGGACTACACCCTGGGAAGGCGTTCGGAATCATGAGGCGAAGAATCTCATGAAGAGCATGAAAGCTGGGGATAAGGTATATCCAATCAGGCTGGGTCTTATGCTAGTTAGTACGAGCTGTCGAACCGCGCGTGTAGGTTTTGTTCTATCACTCGAACTGCAAGACCCCCGGTAGGCACCTAACTATTGTGTTGGTCAAAACGTTCCTGTTGCTGACTGGACATGGGTGTTGAAGGCATCGCAGGTCTCGCAGAGGTTCGTCTTCAACGCTCTTGATTCCGGGAACGAATCGACATATTCAGCCAGTCTTTCCGTACAGGTGTCGAAGGAGGCGTACCCCGATTGTGAGCATCTCGATTCGAATTGCCTAAACCTATACACTAACACATATAATCACTTGTGTAGATACAGCCTGGGATGTGTGAGCAAGCCCGGCATCATCATAGACAAATATTACCGTGCGAGCTAATCACCTACACCCCCTGTTACGGTAAACAGAAAGCATCCATACTTTGACCCTGTGCGCAATCAATCTTCTACTATGCTAGGAAGAACCAGTTTGACCGATACCACGTTGCGCAGAAATCAGATGAAAAAGAGCCGAAATGGTATATGGTTGACGTGAAATTTGTCTCTCGGGCACCGCACTTCGTTCCCCTGGCGCTCTTGAAAACCATCGCCGGCGGGGACTCGTCAGATCCCCCAGACGAGATCGGCTACATCGGGAAGCAGGGCGTCAAGGCTATCAAAGGTGCGTCGTCGTCGTGGGTTGCTGCGTGGAAAGGTAAACTGAGCTGCCCCATACAGAAATGGCTCTTGTCAACCGAGGACGACTGAGCGTGCAACCTGTGGAGGAGGGAGCTTGGGATGTTGTCAAGTTACTGGCAGAAAAGGGTGGTTGGACAGAAGCTGCTCTCGGAATCAGTACAAAAGGCAAAGGGAGGGCAAAGACTACAGCGTCAGACAAACCAAAGCCAAAGCCAAAAACCAAATCAAAGAAGGAGAAGCAAGCTGACGAGGATGAAGAGGTTAGCGAGGATGATCCTAGGGATGGGCAGATGAAGTCGTCTGCCATCAATTCCAAGGGGAAGAAACGGAAGGCAAAGGACGAGGATGAGGTTCACGATGATTCGCAGCCTTTGCGGAGATCTACGCGTGCAAGAAAGTGAGTGAAACTGGGCGTGAGTTGGCCCAAGCCTGGATACTGTGGCATGGGGACCAGACTATTCGCAGAGATGGTTACGTTGAAGTGATGCGATTATGTTGCCTGCGTGGAACCTTTTGGCCCTTTCATATCTGAACCCTAGCGTTGGAAGAGGAGTAGTGTCCGGTGAGTGACACATCCTGACCAGGTGAGACATCTGTGACAAACAGGGGAGCAGATCCGAAGAACGATGGGATGTCATCTCAGAAATCTCAAAAATCTGAGATTGGCTGGCAAGGATGGACTTCGCCGAGCGTAAAGGTAATCGCCGGGCAGCGATGACCTCCGGTGGCCCTGGAAATTCCCATCCTGTTGCGGTAATGGGCACTGGAGGTCATCGCATGCCTTGCTGGTCAAACATGGACTCCGAAGGTCATGACTCATTGTTTCGCCATTATGGCCTCGTGTGCCCACTGGAGTTCAGCGTAGCACCAAGACCGTATAACGATGAACAGGGCAAAACACCATACGACCACGAAAGGTCAGTTTCAAGGCCTATGGTCCGGAGGAATCACCGGCCATATCCCATTCTTTTATTTGCATGCAATCTACGCGTCGGTGGCTAACTTACTCTTCGTGGCCGCCGCTGGATATTCAACGGTGATAGAAAACCTCTAGGGCCTTCGTGTGAGAGATTTTACTTCGTGATAGGGCTCATAGCCTAGTCCTGCGTTCTGCTACGGTGCAAAGTATTAAAATAGACCTGCTCGTCGACGGCATCGAAGATAACTACACATCCCCCGTACCGGCGCGTCAGCCAATCGGAACAGTCGGAAGAGGTCCGAAGGTGGTCCTGCCTCGGTCCGGTCTCGGTAACTCTCCGCCCGTTCTAGGATTTCCGGATCTTGACCTCCTCCTCGATAGGCTCCGGGACGCGAGTGAGTATATATACTCGCGCTCTGCTCGCCGACTTTCCCTTGATCTTCTTCAGGCTGTTGTTACATCGTCGACATTTGCTCTCTGTCCGTTATCCCTTGACTACTTATAAGCTAGGGCCGGTCTCTCTCAGGCTCGTCTGTCTTTGAACTTCGTGGCAAACTCTAGTCTCGTGCTCTGGCTGCCTCTGTGTGTCTGTCAGATCTGGTGCTTGATCTTACCATCTTAGTTGACTCTCGGGTATTTCAACTGTAGTGTAATCATATTGTATTTATTTTGCCATACATACAAATCATCATAATATAATTTTTGCCATCACTGAGTACTGAGGGGTTAGCGTGAGCATTGAACAATTGGAAAGAATATAAAGATTAAATTCAATGGTATGCGAGACATTGTGCCATTATAGAGAAGAAATGACCATCCATGATCATCCATGGCCATGTAATGTCATAATGGTTTGTGTTGGCCATGCCCCGCCGACATGGGCTGGCATGGTCTTTTCTGGTCAGGCATCATCCGACGGGCAACGACAGACAACACGAACGCATCCTGGTCGGAATTATATCTGGAAGGTTTACTTGACCTGGACCGACCTCCCGAGGTCCCGATTTGCCGTCGTTGTATGAGATGATGCTAGGTTTTTTTCCATTGCCTCCCATGGTTCGACTTGTCGGGCCAGGACCTTTCCTGGTCCGCTTTTCAGGATTTCCCTGATGGTCCGAGTTTCACGCCATGAGGAAGTCTAAATTACATGACGATCGATGTTGCTAATCTAGAGCTTGTGTCGACCGAGCGAGTCTTCACCTGCACATTGCTTTGAATGGTCGGTAGTTTCTAGTGGAGCCATAGAGACAGGGAGTAGCAAGGAGCAACAGAGAGCAAGCAGGATGGACTCCGCGAAGACAAAGAGGCTGAAAGAGGTGAAACGCCAGGCATGGAAATTACCGGATTTGGCACGGGGCCACGCGGAGGGACGCGTGTTCGCGGAAACGCGGTTGACGGCGACGACGACCGTCTCGACGCCGCTCTGTCTGTTTATTCACTCGCTTCCGCCCTGAAACAGCGGGCCGACATCGCGCCCGACACCCCAGCCATCCCTCATGAGCAGCACAGACGCTGCACCGACAACTTCTTCCGAACCACCCCCACAGGAACTTTCAAAGCCCCAGCCGAACCCCCAAGACCCATCTTCACCCTCAGCCACAACCGTTCCGTCTTCCGATGTGGCCCAATCCGAACCGGAGACATCTCCTGCCGTCGCGCCCTCCGATGTCGACCCTATCACTGTCGTAGCCCCCACCAATGTCGAAAATGTCGACCGCCAGATAGACGTGTCCGCGCCAGGGAACGCGCAGGATGGTGTAGGTCACGGGGCGATCAACGGAGAAGGTGGGGCGCAGGAGATAGTCATCGGCCATGACAGTTCCGCAGACGAGGGGCAGCATTGGTATCAGGAAGGCGACAACCACGAGCTGAAGCGCGTCAAAGTCTGTCTTTCCTTCTTCTTCTTCTTCTTCTCCTCGCCACTTGCCTCGTGCTGCCTATACGGTCGATGCCAAATCGACGTATATATAGATGCCAATCTGGTCGCGTGTGCGTGTTATGTTGACTTGCGATTGCAGGTGTACGAACTCATCAACGCAAGATGGATCGACCAAGGAACTGCATTCTGTTTCGGACATTATGACGAGAACACCGGCGATGCGCTTCTTGTTGCACGGGCTGAGGCAAGCTACAGCGAAGTCATCTTGCAGACGGCTATTCGTTCCAGTGACGTCTATCAACGGCAGCAAGGTATCTCCTTTTGAACTTGAGTGAAAGTTCCCGGTACTCATGCCGCATTCTCCGACCAGATACATTAATTGTGTGGACAGAACCCGATGGCCAGGACTACGCGCTTAGTTTCCAGGATCCAGAAGGTTGTCAGGAAGTTTGGAGTTTCATTCTTGAGGTGCAACGCATCCATAGCACATCTGCTGGTGAGTAATCGGCATCCAGTCTTTGCCATCCTATGCTTTAATATGGTTCGCTCCCCAGAATCCTCCTCGCCTTTTGCTGGACCCGACTCCGGATCCATCACTACCGGCAGTATTATTCGATCCGGTCACCTACCTTCGCCAGCTCTCGGCATCATCCTTGAGATAGACAAGGCGATTAAGGCCCTGTCCCGAACGACCGTCATCAGAGAGAAGATTTGCGAGTACATTCAAAGAGCGGTCCGTAGCCAGGCTTTTCCATCTGCTCTGGTCGACAAAACTCATAATGTCCATCTTACATCCAGGATTACCTCAAATCAATGATCGATGTGATGAGCCAGGCGGAGGACCTAGAGAGCCTTGACAATCTCCACGCTCTATGCACTCTAATGCAGACAATTCGTAAGTCCGGCGGCGACACGTCCCGCACATCGTACTCATTGCGCTGGTTTGTATCGCAGTCACCATGAATGATCACGCCATGTACGAACACATCCTCGAGGATGATATCTTCTTCGGTGTTGTCGGAATGCTGGAATGTGCGAGAAATTGTCTGTTCATTTGGACCATCGCCGACTTACTTTCTACGTTATCCTTAGATGATCCCGAGTTCCCAACTCACAAGGCTAACTACCGTGAATTCCTACGTCAAACGACACACTTCCACGAGCCTGTTCCCATCAGCGATCCCATCATATCAAAGAAGATTCACCATACATACCGCCTCCAATTTTTGAAGGATGTTGCGCTCGCCCGTATACTTGACGACTCGACCTTCAATGTGCTCAACTCGTGCATCATCTTCAACCAGATCGATATCATTGCCCACTTTCAGGGCGACCCTAGGTTGCTAAGGGATATCGTATCACTGTTCACAGCGCCGGAGGATGTGGCCTTTAAAAAGGAGAAGGATTCGATGAAGATGGACGTGGATGAACCGAGCAGTCCAAGGGTGGGTGGACAGAGTCCCAAACCAGTAGCAAATGGAGCTACTCCTAATGGGTCGGCGGGCGACGATGTATCACTGGCGCAGCGGCGGCGTGAGGTCGTTCTCCTCGTCCAACAATTATGTATTATGGGTAAGAACGTTCAACTTCCCGCCCGGATGTCGCTGTTCAAGTGCCTCGTCGATCGCGGTATCATTCACGCTGTTCAGTGGGCCCTCGCGCAACCGGAGACTACTGAACAGGGGAAGCGGATGATTTCAGTGGCAGGCGAAGTCCTCATTACCCTGTTGGACCATGATGTGAATGGTGTGCGAGAGCATATCGTGAGACAGAATGAAGAAGTTGGGGCGGGGTCGAAGGGGGAGTCGTTGCTCAACTTGCTGTGTGTGATGATGGTGAGAAGTAAAGATCTGGCGGTGCAGACTTTGGTCGGCGATGCTTTGAGAATGGTCCTGGAGATGCCCACACCGGACAGTAATGATCCTGTGGTCTGTCTTTTTGTCTATTGTTTTTCGTCCCTGCGCTTACTGATACTTACGCGACTCCATCACGCTGTGTAGCAGATGCCGACGAAGCTGTTCTCAAGACTCAAAGACGAGGCCAAGATCGAGAAGTTCTTGGATAACTTCTACCAGACTTCTTCTATCGACACACTCCTTAAACCTATTCTCGATATACCTGAACCCAACCACTGTACTGGTAATTCAAACATGCTTTCCTCACTGCGCTAGTGACTGACGTCTGACTCCCCGTGGTACAGAATCCGATCTCGTCTTTACCCGGGAACGCACGAACCTTTATCTATCTTTATGCGACTTGCTATCCACTTTCGCTTTGCAACATTCATACCGAAGTCACTTCACGATGATCAAGCACTCCGTCTCCCTCCACCTCATCACCTTGCTCCACTGCAAAGATAAGCACTTACGCCTCGGTACGTCCCTTATGTTTATCGACCGGCGACATAAGGCCTTCAATGGCTTATTTTATCTTACAGCCGCGTTGCGCTACTTCAGAGTACATCTCAAACGACGGAATAAGCACTTCAATGGGCATCTCATTAAACTCGGCGTGTTCAAGGCATTGCTGGATCTCACACTGGAAGAATCACACCGTGATACGCTCATCAACTCATGTTGTCTTGAGCTCTTCGATACCATCCGCGCAGTACGTTCCTTTACTCCGTGCTCCATTGAACGTTTGACTCAGCTTGAAATTATTACCTTCGTTCTTGGTCAGAGTCACACCCACGAAGCTTACAGAGACATTTTCACTCACTTGATGACCACTCACGAGGGTCTTGTCCGACAACTTTCGGAGACGAAGTTCGCGGGGCCTGCGTTTGCTGGTCTGATCAGCAGATGGGAGATGGCCGCTGATACCTCCCATAAGGAAGATCAGAAATCTCTCGATCTCTCGTCGTTCTCAAAGTAGGACCACCCATTTCCAACCCGTAAAGACCGCATATACTGACATTTTCAATTCTCCATTAGTACATTCGACATCCGACGCGTCGAGGAAGAGTCGGAAGACAGCTACTTCAATGGCGACGACGACGACGACGAAGACGATATCGATTCCCCACCTCCACCACTCCCCCTCACCCTGCCCAACTTGCCCAACCTCTCACCACGGCAACACAAACCGAAACCCCAAACACGGAACTGGCCAAAACGCGCTATCGGACAACAAAAACGCCCTATCACACCCAGTCCACGGGGACTCCAGATCCCTCGCTCGCCTTCCATCGACATGCTTATGGAGTACGGGGATGAGGACGAGGATTTGAGTCCCGTTGGCACGATTGCGAGCGTGAATCATGAGGAGGACAAGAACAAGGATCGGGAGGCGTTCGTTCCGAGCCCGACACCTTCACCAGATTTGAGACCGGTCGCGAGTGGTGATAAGGAGGCCCCGCCAGCGACGCCGCGCATCTCTCATCGTCACCTATCCACGAAGAGGTCAAGAGACGACCTCGAGAGAAGTGCAGCAGATGCCGGAACAGACGGAGATTCTGAGGAGGACGTAGGAATGATTGGACCCATGCCACTATCACCTTCGGAAGAAAAGTCGAGTGGGTTCACACCCTTGAGACCAGAAAAGAGGAGAAGGCAGGATGATGAGGACGAGGACGACATGATATTGGAGAGGTTGGCGACGCGGGGGAAGAGATCGTCGGTTGGCGGTGGCGAGAGCCCCAATCCTGGACGCCAAAGCCCTGGCAAGGGTGGCGGCAAGGACGAGGGCACTGTGGCAGCTGGTGGAGCTGCATTAGTGAAGGCAGCGGGAGGAGGTGGAGACGACAGCCCAGGACAAGGTGGTGGTCCCAAGAAGATCAAGTTGAAGTTTGGGTCCGCAGGGATGGCTGTGGCGTCATCTTCACCTTCGCCTGCGCCGGAATCGCGTTCAGAACCTGGCACGAAAGACGGTGATACTGGCTGAGGGTGTCGAATTCACGGTGTGTTGGTAGATTCGGACCGTAGTTGCGTGCTGCGTGGTTGTTTTGTTCACTACCTTCGTTTTGCCATTCTTTGCTCCTCATACGTCCATGTTATTCGATTCTCTCGCTTGTTGTTTTCTTCAACGTTTGTTCTCCTTCCACCTTTTGTCGCAAATTTCACGATGTGTGAGTGCTGTACTTATATACGTCTATGCGTATGCCATGCAGCAAACTATGAGAATATGCTCGATGAAACATACTGTTGGGGTGGTTCTTATCGCGCAATGGCAATCGAGAAACGGTATGTCGAGTGGGTACAAAAGCCGTTAAATATAAATGCATTTATGATCCACAATGTCCAGCGACATGCAAGTCCTGTCGAACGAAACATGTACATCCACACCTCAAGCAAAAAGAAAGCACGTAGTAGAATGACTATAGTACAACTCCGACCCTTCCACGATAACAACTACTCATCGAAGACCTCGCGAACGCAGCTCACAGATGATCTCATACAACAACACGACCACGCAGTGCCCTAGGAAAAGTACAATCCAGCCACCGATGAGACATCTGCAAATCGAAGGCAGGGGGGAGGGCAGGAGCAAGGGCTATCACTACAGACGGGCGTCACAGATTCGTAAAACAAGGGGCCAGGATGTTGCCGTCTAGGCAGTGATATACCAGGCAAAGTTGCGTTGCAGTATGGGAATCGTCGGGATTACCAGTAGATGTGACGCTCGACGGTGCGCTGCTTGGGACGGGTATAGACTGTGCGCTTCACACGGGTGACGGTAGGGTACCTAATAAGCGAGGTGCGTCACCGTTAGCCAGGGCAAGGCCCTCCAGGGACGACCTTCTCACCAGGCATGGTAAATCTCGTTGGGCTCAAACTGGACTTCGACTATCTGGCGACCCTGCATAGCGAGAGAACAAAAGGATTAGCATAACCGTCGGATGGCTCACGTGGGCAGGGACAATAGGGGTTTGGAATGAGATGAAGAAATGGAACTGAACTTACAGCGTAGTCGATGTGCGATCCGACAACGAGGCCTTCTTTCCGCCCGTAGGCACCGTGATTGACGGCGACGATATCACCGGGCTGGAGAGGGGCGTGTACACGTAGCATGACGAACCGTGCGAACAAATACCAAGAAAATCCGTCGACTTGAGAACCGTGAAGAGTAGACCAACCCAATGCTACTTACAATGATGTCCTCCGATGCAGCTACTGGTGGGCCTGGGGCGACAACGGCCTGCTGATAGGTGGTGAGGTGAGACATTGAGGTCGCTTGAAGTGAGTAGTGGAGGAGAAGGAGAATAAATGAAGAAAAGGCTTGAGGTGCTTGAGGGAGGGGAGTCTTGAGGAGGACGGCGGGGTCGATGAGCTGGAGATAATCAGTGAAGTGGAGCAGGCGCGATGATGTACAGCTGCGAGGTTTATATGCGATTTTTACATGGCCCGGGCGTGGAAAGTCAGGGCAGAAGGTCCGCTATGGAAATTGGAAACACAAGGTAAACACGAGGCCTTCATTCTGTCGGGCTTGTCAACAGATTCAGGCTCTTTGTTGCTGGACTAGGACAATAGGTATGCTTGGAAGTCTGAAAAATGAATTGTTGGAGACAGTGTGAGAAGCCAGAACAGTACTGCAGACCATGACACTTCGTATATATTTTCTATCCAGTGAACGAGCAAAAAGAGCAGATTTACAGCGTTTACGTCTGAGCGGGCGCATGGCTTCCTCATTGTGTGGAACGTGGTGATAAAATCCAGGGAGGTCGAAACTCGAGGCAGTCAAGGAGCGCGTCGGTCGGCTGCGTATAGCTGCATGCACCGCAACAGACAGAGAGCATGAAGGTAGGAGACAAGAAAGTCATCGACTCGGCGGAGGCAATTCATGGACTTTGATAATCTTGTATGCGGTTGGCAATTTCTACCCCGCTCTAGCCGATCGCGAGCCAAGTCGCGATGTACAGTACACTCTACGATACACTCCGATAGTACACTGCTCTCCATAAATAAAAACCGGACCCACAGACGTATCCAAGGAGTGAGGATCAGACATGCTCCCTCGGCCAAGCAAGCACCAGGTGATCAAACTCTCCCTCTGAACCATCCTCTGATCACATCTCTTATGCGTACTACCCCTAGCCCACTCATGCCCCCTTCCACGCTACCCATTCCCACAGATCTTTCCCCGTCCTCGGTCAATAGCGGCCCATGATTGTCTCCTCCAGGGCTTCCTAGATCATGCGACCTCTGCTTAATACCCTTCAAAATATCCTCGCCGCTGTCTTCGTAGGCCTTCGCTAACTCGACGTCGAGTGTGTAATAAGGCCGTCGGACGGCGTAAGGTGCCACACCATTGAACCTCCGCACAAGGCTGTTGAGTTCCTCGAGCGCACGATGGTGGTATGAACGCTCTCGCTCCTCCCACTCCGCATCCCGTAAACGTTGAATATCCGTGACGGTGTACGAGGGTATGAGAGCTGGTGGACCCAACGTTAACGTTCTAATTGCACGCCTCGTCCAGGCTTCACGGACGATGCCTGCAAGTTGTAAGTACCGAAGAACGTATGTAGTCTCAAATAGATATACGTACCTCGAAATGACGTGACAGCAGTCTCAAGTTCTGGAAACAAATGCAAACAGACTGCTAAGGTACCAGTTTCCAGAGTGAGGTAATCAGACAGTACCTTGCTGGAACTCGACCCAAGGCGGAGCCGCTCCTTGTCGTTTCACGATACGATTCATGAGAAACTCTTCCCGTCCGATAAATGGATTCCCTTCATCGTTCTGACGTCCAATGGGCTTTCCTCTCCCTTTGATGTTTCTAAAATGGCCCTGTAATCTAGCACGCTACGACTAGGATCAGCCGGCGATTCATACTCATGAGAGGCATATACTAAAGACACACCTCTATTCGATCCTCTACAAGACCTTGCCATCCCCTCATGCTAGTAGGATTCGGGTTACCACCTGCCTGCCCCTGGCCCCTGATACCTAAGCGATAGTCCAAGGTGGACTCTCGTGCTTTAGTCAGTCGACCCACCGCCTGCGCCCGCTTCTTCGAGGCTAGCTCCTTGCGTCGCAGGCGATCGTCCGCAGAAAGTTCAGAGGCAGTCGGCTTGGGCTTGGAAGATGAGGGAGGTATACGACCGTACTTAACGGATGCCTGGGATGTCGCGTGAGACGGAGCTTTGTACGTGGTATGCCATGGTCTGTGTCCTTCCACGGCGGGAATGAGAGGCTTGTTCGCCCAGACGTCTGGGTTGGATACAGGTCGCGAAGGGTCTCCGCTTTGATGAGCCTGAGATGCAGCGAACGAAGCCGGGTTCAGATCCTCAGCACTGAGTCTATCAGCCAAAGCCGACGCAGTACTCGTAGATGAGGTGGCTTCGTCTGGCGCAGGAGAAGTAACAGGTCGACTGGAAGAGGAAAGTTTGGGTGGGGCCTGCCTTAGTTTTTCGTCGGCAGTTCGAATGGAGCCCGTACGCAAGGGCTTGTACTTGTCCACCAACATGCGAAGAACGGCGTCTTCCATCGACTCTTCACCCGTCCAGTTCTCATACTCGCGCGCGACCGGGGGAAGCCTCGGAGGTGGTCTAGGATTTTGTTGCTCCTCAGCTTCTTCCTCGATAGCTTCTGCGAAAAGTTTCGCGCTGGCGCTATGGTCTCGCTGAGATTGGTTGTATCGTGTGGCGCTCCATGAGAGCTGACGTCGGCAGGGTGGGAAGCTGTTGAAGAAGTGGCGACTACCTGAGGTGCGTATGGAATGGATCAGACGGCGAGGGGACATAAAATTAATGGCAAAAAGGCTAGCAAGAATTATTCGAAAGGAAGGTTGCTCAAGGAGCGCAAGTTGAAGCTCAAGGTGGGTCACCGGTCACCGCTACTCCAGCGCTTACTAATCACGGCATCTCCCGGTTTTTGACCTTTCTTGCGGCGTTCGGAAAATCACTGCACTTGCCTTCCACCACGTCCATGAAAATCCTTGCTCGCAGGCGACCACATTATAATATGTTTAGAGGAATCATCTGTCGGCCTTGACTGACTGCTTGCCATCTCTCGCTCCGACATAGTCTACTGAATGCTCAGGGTTCATCAAGGCACATTCTCGAGCTCTACTACATCAGGTGTCGCCCTGTTTCTGACAAGCCTCATGCTCTTAGCAACTCTTTGCAATCAGTCATTGACTTTCTTACCGTTCTCCTTTGGCCCTCAGGTGGTGTTATGCGGAGATATATGTTCGGTGGTAGAGCTCTGCGTCGGCTTTGTTTTACGGCCGAAGATGCTCACTTTAGCTCAGGTTATAAAACGGCTCTTTGAAGCAAAGGGACCTCCGATCCATCGAAGGATATAGCTGAACATCCAAATTTACAAGCATATATCCAAGTCACGGATTTAGAGGCTCCCTTTGCGGCGTGTTTGACGGTTTAATCTTCACAGCATATATTCGTCGATCGAGGTCAATAACCCGCGCAGGATCATCTAAACCAGTCGACAATCTAGACAAGTATAGGATAGTCCGTCACGACCATCGTGCGCCACCGGCACCCTTCATCACAGCGCATTTCTTTCGCCATTTGCTTGCTATACTGCTCATTCGAACGTCATTTCATATACCGCAACACGATCTCGCCTCATGCAGCCTGATGGACTTGATCGCCGCATTTATCGCGCTATCGAGGACACTTCCAACAGTCTTCCAAGATTCGTGAAACTCAGCTGTCAATCAAATCACCCTCTGGCAATATCTCTGTCTTGCTCTCCTCCGCTGCTATGCACGATGCATCTACATTCCCATTCACGCGTCCAACTTGGGTGGAGGGTTACTAATGGCCAACAAATCGCCGGTGATCTAGTACGGCTTGGTAACTCGACCTCGAAGAGTACGACCTCCCCTCGCTGTGTTTCTCCAGAAGGGCTAGCCCGTCAAGCTGTCTTGGCTTCAAAGACACAGGACACCACCATCAGGCATCGCTTTCCCTACGATGAGAAAGGACAGACCGCAAGGTTTGATGAATGGACCAATTGAATACACAAGGAGGTACGCCGCATATATCGTGCTCATGCATCGGATCTCTTTTAACCACCCTTACAGATTCTGTCCTGACAATGCCAGCATACATGAATGAATCAAGTCATCACCGCAGCACGAAACCTTATAGCGGAGGACGATCCTTTCGGTTTCTGTTCACCTAGTCGACGACCAGACTCGACGCCTCCCCAAATTCTGCTCCCGAGGGTAACCATATGTGTACCAACTACTAGTCGACTAGAGGACAGCTTAATCTTGTCTACCCAGCCGACCCGCGCTCCGTGCGACTCCAAGTTCACATACTTGCATCTGCCATACAGTCATTCATGCATACATCCAGCCGGTAAGAAACATTCCAGTACGGTTGTCAAAGCTGATTTCTGTCTGGCACAGTCGCTTTATCACCGTGTGGCGACAATGGAATGTTGCCACCGCCACATATGCTGAAGGTCAAGTCTTCCTCAGAGTCAAGCTCGACGGCTCTGTGCACTGGGGTAAGTTCGTTGGCTTGACGATTGGGAAGTTGCGCAGCGGAATGCAGGTTGTTGTATGTCTGGCCTGACAGTTTTCCGTGGCGTCCTCTCCATCCCTCCTTTTGTAAACTTCTCAAGAACTTCTTCAGGATTCTTACTTCAGGTCGCCGCCAAATCCACTTGGACCTCTTCCTGGGATAGGCTAGCAAGTTAGACCCAGGCTGACAAGATTGGTCGAACACCCGATGCTTGCTCGCACGCAATATATCGCAAAGTGGAGGCCACGTTCGATAGCCGCACGCAGTACGAAAAGAAATGTGCAACATTGTTCCAGTCATGATCTCTGGCAGGAACCTGCCACCTCCGACTCCCTCGACGAGCGCTTCACGCTGGGTCCTCTGGCCATTCATATTATTACCACACTCACTCGCGCAACGTTCCTCGATCTTGAATATTTGTTCCCTGTTCTTCGGATCTCGAAATCCCCCTCGCACGCTCGAACGTTCACTCGCACACCGCTCGTCGTGCCTGAGACGATGCCCTTATTCCTGTGCCTCTGAGGAAAAAGAACTCAAAAAGCCTGGACATCTCCCGAATCCCACCGGCGGCTTCCCCAGGTTCGTTTTCGCAGCGTGGTCATGGAGGTGACCAATTGCAACCACATAAAGTATTTCCGGCCCCGATGCCCCGAGCCCCGATGTAACATGTTTTCTGTGGTTGATTCCAAACCCGGGGCGCCGAATGTTCAAGTTGACGTTGACATCGGCAGTTGCGAGCTGCTTAGGGCCGCTCGGATGCGATGCACGTCAATGCAAAGCGCGCGAGAAGACGCCGTTGAGAGGGATGGTGGCGACTGCCTGCATCAACATCCTTGCAGAAGCATCCTAGTCCCAGGCTGGCACTCATGCAGAAATAGAGCATTCAAGAAGACCCATTGCAGCCACACCGGCATGGAGGAACTCCAGCTCGGAAAGTCAAGAGAACATTGGAGAAGAGTGTACATGGGTTTGGATCAAGGTCATACGAATGCTTGAAACAGGTGTGTGGGACGTGTCGACGACATAATTATATAACTGAATTGACAATGTGACTGTGGAGCGAAACAGATAGGGTTGTCCCGTGGGGAGATGCGGTTGACGCCGAACGAACGATATTCCGAGCGTGAGGATTGAGCCCGTTGTGAGCGGGAGGACCAGAGAGGGCGTCAGGTGCAAGTGCGAAGGCGCATCAAGCTATCTATAATGGGATCCTGTTTGGCGATTCGTCTGCTCGAAGGAGATGTTCGTGCGAGTCATGACGACAGCCATGACGGTTTGAGAGAAGTTGGGGATGTGAAACGAGCAGAGCATGGGTTTCGGATTGTCTTTCTGCAGGTGTGGATGAGGTATTTTGGAGACTACAATGTGCGCATTACGATTGTGGTGGCCAGGAGCGTGTACGGATTTGGACTGGATGCAAGGAGGAAGATAGGGAACGGGACAGGAATAGCGTGCATTGAATGGATCGCATGAGAACACACGTTTGTATGTTTGGAAGCGGGCGATAGATGGTGGAAATTTGAATTCGGATAGCGAAGTGCTGCAAGAGCGCCCTGCATTGGGCGGGCAGCGAACTCAATTCAGGACTTCTGCCGGGTGGATAAGACGGTTGAGAACGCGGAGTGTCCCCGGAATCGACCTTGCTGTCTGCACTGTGCCATAGACGGTGCTTTCAATACCCGGTGGGCGATCGATCGTGAACGTTCTACAGAGTCATATACCACCTCTCGATTCCATACACGCCGGCGACCGAGCAGCGACCGTTCGAGATTCAAAGAGTCGTGCAGGCTGCGCCTTTCGTCCCTGTCCTCTCCCCCCGCTGTTCCCTTCGCCCCTCCCCCTTCGTTCACGACCATACGTCTCTGCTGTGACGACGGCGAGGACAAGAGCACGCCAGGTGACGTGACGCCCGATCTTGCTTGCTCGGAAACGGTGCACTTACCTTCCGAAGGTGACAGCTTCGCCGCATCAACGACCCGCTCGGGCCAGGAGTTGACAGCCAAGCCCCTCTACGAGCGTCGACGGAGTTGCATATCGAACCCAGAATATTATGAGCGGGAGTGGAGAGGTGTAAGGACGACTGCGAAAATCCTATTTTTATTATCAAACGTTGGTCCCGTCATCGACGATCATATCGGTACTACGCTCGCTGAGATTGATCATATCTAGCACTCTGGACGTGATGACGAGCATCATGGAGGTCCTTTCTCCTCTTCCGCCTTCCCCACCACGCACGTCCCCTCCTGCCGCCACTTCCCCATCTTTCTGGTTCCGCAGCCCCCAAGCCTCGCCCACCCGCTCCCCGCAGCGTTCTGCGCTCTTCGTCCCTCCAGCCCCCGTCCCAACCCCCCCAGTCATCACCTCAGACATTTCTGCGCAGGAAAGCAACCAGCCGAATAACGGGGCAGCTGATGATGTAGACTGTAGCCGGCCTTCTCCAGGCGATCCGCAGGAGGACGGCAGGGAGGGTGCCAACAAAGAACGGCCTCGGGCCAGCTCCTCAAGCGAGTCGGGAAACGTTGATCCCGCGTTGGGGGCATCGTCCTCACTCCAAGCCTACCTCAACACCATCCCTCCCATCTGGCGCGAGGTCCCTCCCACTCCGCCCACCTCCTCCCACAACTCCACCTCGACGTCCGCAGCGTCCCCCGGGGCCCGCCGTCGTGCTCGTGCCTCCGCCGCCTTTGAGCCCTCAAGTCTTTACCACCACAACTCACGCCACTCCTCCAGCGACGACTCGACGGCTTCACAGCCCGCGAACGCCATACTCAACGGCCAGGACGGCGACGAAGACGAGGAACAAAGCGGCGAAATGGGCCCGGGTACGCTGAAAAAGAAGGACTCTCGGCGAAGAATGTCCTACCCCGTACTAGGCACCTCGCCCAGCCCTCCGGATGTCCCCCCGCTGCCCGGACTCCTCACGCACACGAGACCTGATGTTGTTAACGATTCGCCCCAAGGTCCCAGGTCCAAAGTTTCTAAGCCCCGTCATTCGCCAGATCCCGCGCTCGACCTCGCTGTCGAAAGCGCTCAAGCCGAGAAACGACTGTTCCACATCGTGGGCGACGACGTCGGCTCGGACGATGAAGACCATCCAGACACGGAACCGTCTGCCAGGGTAAACGATGAAGAGACGGATCGAAGGGAGAAGATGAAGCTGATTCGACGGTATCATGCACTCACCGAATTGCTAACGACCGAGGTCGGCTACCTGGTTGATCTGAGAGCTCTGGTCAATGTGAGTTCATGCGTACCATCACTCATTGCCAACTCTCCGGGCTGTCTGGTTCGAGTGTCTTGAGTCGAGGCTCATGCAGTCTCGGGCATGGTCTTCCCTTCCAGATATACCTTGAGCAACTGCCTCTCCTCACCACGACCGGTCGCACCCTCTCGTACAACAACTTGTCCCGCTCGTCGACCGCGCACTCATTACGCTCTGCTCGCTCTATCGCCGCAAACCTTTCCCGTCACAACAATCAACAACCTTCTACGCCCACGTCTTACTCCATGTTCGACGCTCACCCTCCAAACTCACCATCGACCCCTCCGACCCCTCTTGCTACGTCATTTCCTCCGTCCACGACCGCGACACGACCGTTTCCAATGACTTCAACATCTTCTCCAGCCACGACAAGGGAATCCAAACATAAGGATAAATCCAATCGCTCACATCCGATCCTCGACACAGAAAATCTTGACGCCATTCGAAGGAACGCAACTCAACTTCTCAATTTTCACGAGGATTTCCTCACCAAGTTACGAACCGCACTTGATCCCGTAGGTTTCCCGATGGTCAGCGAAGAGGACATGAAGAAGGAAAGGTCCAGTGGAGAGATGAGTACGATCTTGGGCCTTGGTGGAGACCTACTCGGAGGAGACTTGTTCTCTCCTGGGGTACAGAGCGGGGTGGTGAGGAAGTTGCAGGATGCAATTGTGGCCGTCACCACCGTATTCACGACGCAGGTCGGTCTCGCTCCTTCTATTACGTGTCTCTGACTCGTCTGACCATCATCGGCATGAACACTTGTCCGCCCTTGTCTTTACACTACAGGCTGCCCTATTCAACATCTATCAAGAGTTTTGTTCCGGTCATTTCGTCGCGATCGACGTGGTCCGTGCGGCTCAGACCCAATTTCCTTCGGAATGGGGAGCATTCGAGACGCGATGCGCGCGCCGTGTAGGCGATATGCTTGCAGGTCTGGAAACGCCTGCCTCTCCGTCAGGTGAGATTGTTGAGGAGAAGGCGAGGGAGGGTCGGAAGCGTAAGAAGTCGGAGAAGGACGAGAAGAGAGGGAGGGAGAAGAGGGAGAAATTGGCGGCAGCGTCGGCCGCGGCCATGAAGAAGAGACGACACTCGATGTCTTCGCTCGCGGTACCCAGTTTCTCGCCACTTTCGCATGCTCCACCGAATGAAGGTCGCGGCCTCTCGCCTGTGCGTTCGAATGCGGATCTGAAGGATGCAGTAGCTGATCATATCGAGGATGCTGAGGAATCGATTGATAGTCATCGCGCGGGCAGTCTGGATATGAAGGAACGTTCAGCAGAGGGCAAGTCGGGGAGGGAGAGAAGGTTGCCCAAGCTGAAATTCAACGACTATATCATCAAGCCCATCCAGCGTCTTTGCAAGTATCCACTCCTTCTCGACGCCATGCTCTCCTCTCCACCAGTCCGAAGTCCGCCTCCGATGTCCTCTTCATCTTCCGGATGCCTCGTCGATCGGGAGTTACCGTTACCCTCTGGGCCGGACGTGGTCGTCGCGAGCGCTACACAGGCGATGCGCCATGTTGCCGCCTTGGTCGACCAATCAAAGCATACGTACGATCAGACTGTGAAGGCTACGACGATCCTGGACAGATACACTACGACGGCACCGTCGTTGCTTTCGTTCTTGAAGACGGCGGGTCCGGTGTCGATGGCAGGCTCTCTGGGCGTCGTGTTTGGGACGGGTCGGAGGCTGAGTGAGATGGGATCCGGACTTCTGAACGCAAAGTATCTGGGCGCGTTCTTATACGAGGCGGGCTATCTGGTACTAGCAAAGGTGTCGAAGGGGAAGTACGAACCGCGGCACTGGTTCACTCTGGCTGGCATGACACTGGATCCTCTGGAGGGCGAGGAAGGTGCGTGTTGAATCTTGCTCAACCTTTCATCTCCCTGCATCTTTCAGTCCGGAGGGACCTCCCTTCTCACCCCACACCACGGCCTGTTATCTCATTGGTCCGCGTGAACTGTGCTGATGGCATGTGCTTGCTTGTCCCTCGCCACGCTTTGACCTCGTGATCTACAATCGTAGCTCTCCTCGGCAAGAACACATTTCGGTTACGCGGACAAGGTCATGAGTTCGAGTTCTCGACGTTTTCGCCAGGCGAGAAGGATATCTGGATGTCGGCGTTCAGGGATGCCCGGGATGCAAGGCCACTGTGGACACCCTCTGAAGCGCCTTCCAGTTTGCATATGGACCCAGGTGTGGGAGAGATGCAACGGGAGTATGAGAGCTCGCCAATGGAATCGATTGCACCCCTTCCGAATATCCAATCCACCTCTGGTGTCGAGATCGAACGTCTGAAGACCGCTCCGACGTCTTACAAGGCCACTCGACCGACTCTGCGAACGGATCCCTCGTTCAAGAGCGAGGCCACCGCGCCGAGTCGCCGTTCGTCTACCGCGTCTGTCATACAGTTCTTCTGCTCCACGCCAGACTCCAGCGTTCGCGTCGATTGGCCTTCGAAGGAGTCATGGGCGCAAGTCGAGCGCGATATAGGCGATGTGATCAATGCCGATCTGCAAGCTGCTCGAGCGGTGGCGGAGGCGCTGGGGCAAGTCTCACCGGATAGGCCAAAGCAGTATTTGGGCCCGACGACTTCTGGGGTGGGGATAGCGGGCGCGATGGGTGTTGCTGCGCGCAACAAGTTGACGAAGCGCGAGAGCGTGCTCGTTAAGAGGCGGAAGAGCAATATGGATTTCCAGGCCGAAGAGCCTCCTGTGCCGCCCCTTCCGGCTTCGGTGTCGGCGAACATGACGAGCAAGCCAGGCAAGAAGGCGAAGAACAGGAAGCCGCCGAAACTTCAGGCCGTGGATATCTTCAGCGCCAACGCTGGTCCTGATAGTGTCGATGACGGCGGTATTGTCGTTCAGAGTCCAGAAAATACGCCAGACTCGCCGACTTTGCTGTCTCAGTGTTCTTGTACTGACGCTTCGCATGGCGGCTCCAGTTCTGTCAGCCCGGCCGTGGAGACACATCCCCGCCCAGGACGGGTTAACTCAGACGCAAGTTACGACATTGTGAACGTGCACGCTGTGGAGAGTTACAAGCCTCAACGTTCGCGATCCATGATCGACAACGTCCGTGGATTCTTCCAACAAACGAACGTACCTCTTGCGCGCACCGTCTCTATCTCTCGTCTTCCGTCACCGTTCACACCGATTACTGGCCCAGACACTATACCCCAGAGACCTGCCGCTTCGAGCACACCGACGATGGAGACTGTCCGACGCAAGTGGCGTCAGTCGATCAGACGTCGAGTCGGTAGCGACTCGAGGATATCTTCTGCCGAGCACCCTACTGCTTCGACGTCAGAGCCTCTTCTACCTGCGCGCCCTACTCCGCTGGAGACTATACACTCTCCCGGTGATGAGCTACAGGGCTTGGATGGAATCATGACTCCAAGGGCTAATGGTCCACAATTCAACGACTACATGACACGTCCGCGGATGGCAGGAGAACATTCTCGACATACTTGGGATCTCAGCGACTTCCCCGTGGCCCGGAGTTTCTCGCCGAGTCACAGCGAAAGCTTTACGACGATGATGGCCTCTGCACACCCTCTCGTTTCGTCCCCCGACGAAGTTGAGCTTCACAGTACGGAGCGAGCAAGTTCACCCGGTCATACACTCCCTTCACCATTGTTCGCACCGCCCTCACTCCCACCACCATTGACACCCCCTTCCACGTTGTTCTCTTCGACAGCGAAGAGGCCGAGCTCGAGTTCGAAGTTGATGAGTTTTCTCACGTTTTCGCGTTCGCCGTCGGATGACCCCGAGTCGTGATTCGAACGCATCGATATAGTTTCTTCTCCCTATACATAGACGCTTGAACATACTAATATTATTCCTGTGCATCATCACTCATGGCTTTTCACCTGTACAAACTCCCCCAGTCATATATTTCCTGCATCTCTCCCCATTTGCATCTGATCGCCGCATATACGCACAGATTCAGCACCTACATTACTTGTCACAGTTTATTCTATGCGATAGTACCCTCTTCTTTTCTCTGTCTCGCACCATTGATGCCGTCGATCCATCTCACCATACATCTGCGTACCCCACACATCTACCCACATACACACACACACACACACACACACACACACACACACACACACACATCCCCGTCTGCGAAGCATCATCTTATCGACTCTTATATTTGATCGACCTTGTACGTTCAGTCTGTCTTGTTCCGTCGCTTCTTATTGCCCTTCTTGTCTTATTCCGTCCCCGCACGGCCCCATATTGTCGTCTCATCCCATATCCCATATCGGCTCGTCCTGCCTCGTTGTCTGCCTGTCCATATTCTCGATCCGATAGTCTGTTCCTGTGTGTACGTTTATTTCAGTTTACGACGATATTTGATTATGAGCCTCTGTCTGTGTCTGTCTAGGGTACGATCCGTCTCTGCCCCTGCCCGCATCGTTTCATTTTTGTTTCCTCCTTTCTTACTCTTTTTCACTCTCTCGCTGCTCGTCTTGTTCTTTCTCGGCATGTATCCAGATACCCCTCTTTGTACCTTTTCCTTTCTACCCGAATGACCAGTCTCCACGGCCGTTGTTCCCGAGAGTAGTTCGATGTTCCAGTGCCAGTGGCCAGCTCTGTCTCTTTTTTTCTTTGGGTTTGGGTCGTAGTACTAGTTGCGTCCAGGTCCGGAGGTCGTGATGTTTGACACTGGTCTCGAATCTCGATACGATTTCATTGCACATATCACGTGGATACGTTCATGTCTGTATATAATGTATTTCTATATACAGCGTTGGGTCTCCCAAAGTTGGTGGTCGTTGGACCATGCTATCTGCTGTTATATACGCGGGATCGAGGTGTGTGGCCCACCATTTCGTGTGTTCGTTCTTACTCGGCAATTTCCTGCCGCCGGAGTTCAAACTGACGCGTCGACGCCACATAACCACGTCGCGAAACTTGAAGTTGTTTCTGCTATGTACTTGAACCCGAACCGAGACCCATCGTTGCCTAGTATCTCATCTTCAACTCAAAAATGACTGGCTCAACCGGCTCTACTACCTCTACATCTGGATCAGGCTCTACACCCACCCCAACCGCTTCCACCAGCACAATCACACCAGCAACCTACGCGCCTACACCAAAACCGTCTAACCTCGGTGGAGGAACACATACCACTACGACCGGCACGCTTTCCTCTTCTTCTCTGCATGCTGCACCAGTATCACCGCCGCCATCCAATAGTCGCATTCCCGTGACACCGGCGGTGCTGAGAGCTATATTCGCGTCGTCGCGCTCGCCACGCGAGGAGAGGTCGTTGTCGCGCGTGGCGTTCTTTCGGTGGGTTTTTGTACTTGGACGCGTTTCCTTGGACTTGTTTGTGTTCTTACGCGCCTGTGTAAGGTTTACGGGGTTCGTGATCAGCTGTTTGGCGATTAGCTTGGCTGCGAACCGTGGTCGAGGGATTCGAAGTGGTGCCGCGCTTTTGGGCGTGGGTGTCGTATAGTGAAGCTGCCTTCATCAGGAAGTCAAGCTTGGTGCTTGGGTATATCAGGATACATCATATTCTTTGCTACCCATCAGAGACATTTGGTTGAGTAGGTTTGTTCGAGTGTGGCGCAATAGCTTGTTGGCAAGAGTTGTAGGTTCTCTGCAGCCGCGGAACGGGCCGAAACGAAATGGTCCCGCGACATCGATACATTCCAAGACTGCAACTCTTCAAGCTTCAAGCTTCCACCCTAAGTGAGTTACCATTAGTTCCTGCACAAGGCACTGTCAAACTCGCATGTCGACAGAAAGCCCAATAACTCATACTTGTTTACGACGGCCTACAGTAAAATAGTACCAGCTTATGCCTATCCATCAACATGGTGCACTGCGGACGATGCTCTGCACGGTGAAGCGATGCCGTTGTGTACAGATACTACGTACTCTCTGAGGGAGGGATACCCCAAGGCTATTCGGGGCGCTGCTGGTGGTGTGTTGATCGCATCGTTTTGGCATGCTGACTGTCAGGATATATGACTGATATATATAAAGGCTGCCTGGTGCCCACGCTCAATTGAGCGACGTCGGCGCTCCCTCTCTCTATCACTGCCTCTTACGCCAGCTGGCGGTCTGTTATTGCTCATCGCTCACGAACGAAAAGAACTGCGTTTACGCTCTTCTTTATAGCTAGTACCTTCAGAAGATGGCGCACGACCGCCTTGCACAACTCAGGGTACGTGGACCGGCATCATCTCATGATATGTTTGGCCACACCACAACTCATGTTCACGTGTGCTCTTGCAGTCTCAGCGTAGCGCAGGCGGTATGTCTCCCACGAGCGCAGAACAATACGAGATGAACGTACCGATGCTTCACAATCCCGGTGGAAACCTACAGACAATGGGGCTCTTCAATGCTGAGGTGTGTCCCGTCGTCTCAGTGAAGGTTGGACAACTCGTTACTTATGATCTGATAGGTCGACTCTATCCTGGCTGGAATTGCCACTTTCAGTAGCACGGTCTCCCAAATATCTACTCTACACCAACGCTCCCTTGCCACTGTAGTTAGTTCTGATGACACGTCAACCGAGACAATAACAGCACTCACACAATCAGCTCGATCACAATCAAATGATCTCGCCAGACGTGTCGAACTCTTATTTGGCTCTATCTCGAGGGGGTTTGGCGGTACTGATGCGGAGAAGAGTATGAGGAGGAACAGGGCGGGGCTTGTGAAGAAGAAGCTGATGGACACTGTTTCGGAATTCCAGCAGGTAGAAAAGCAGAATAGGACAAGGACAAGGGATCGAGTGGAGAGACAGATACGAATAGGTGAGTATATGATTTATCTCCAACGCTCGGACGGCATTGTCATTGATATTGTGGCCTTAGTGAAACCTGACGCCACCTCCGAAGAGATCAGTGCAGTCGTGAACAGCGATGACAATGCTGCTGCGCAGATCTTCTCTATGGCTGTGAGCCTGGTTGACATCTCTTGATCCGTTCGTGTGGACTGACCAGATACTTGTCGATAAACTCAGAACCCTATCACGGGTCGTTATTCTGATTCGCTTGCCAATTACCATGAAATTCAAGGGCGACAAGCTGAACTGAAACGGCTTGAACAGACCATGGCAGAATTGGCACAGATGTTCATTGACGTGCGTAGTTTTTGCGGCCTCTCAGTATCGGCGAGAATAACACTAATTCGATCATGTGTTCTTTGGTGTGACAGCTCGGGCGACTGGTGGAAGATCAGGACGAGGCTTTCGACGTTATCAATGACAACGCCTCTGACGTCGAGAAGAATGTCGAGAAAGGGTAAGCATTTGTATTGCCTTCGGTTATTGTTAGTCTTTGTCGTATCATCTTCGATGCTAATGTAGTATGTTCTTCAGTGACGAACAACTGACTACAGCCGTGCGCATCGCAAGAGCGGTCAGAAAGAAGAAACAGTGGTGTTTCATCCTTGCAGTCATTATCATCATCATCCTTGTGTTCGTTATACTTTATGCTACTCATGTTATAGGGCCAAAGTAGTAGTTGACCTCGCTGGTCACTTCCGTGTTGTGTGCTGGGGTATTCGTAGAGAACATTCAGGACGTTCGCGTTATGGACTCGGACTGGACTATGTAGACTAAGGGACCACATATACTCGGGATTGGACCTGACCCTCTGTATTTTACTCTACGGTATATTAGTACTAATGTTTCGCTTTGCCATGATATGAACCCTAGTGTATTGTCGTCAAAGCTATATGCGAGTCTTCAAGGAAGGCGGAGATGGGATGGTTGGGCCACACGTGAAGTGGCGTTGAACGCGAATAGAAGCTCGTTCGCACGCCTGCTTACAGCCACCCATCATGCACGTCGAGTGAACGCTTGAGATACCTGACTACTACCTTGGGTCTTGCGATCTCTAACCTTACCTGATATACCATGCCTGCGCCTCTCTCACTAGACGAAGAAGCTCGGCTCTATACGACCAATGCTGAACGCGAGAAATACGAGTCCCTCGCCACACTGTATGGAATCATAGTCGCACTCGATTATCTCGAGCGAGCGTACGTCCGTGATTCAGTCACCGCTGCCGAGTGAGCATCACACTCTGTCTCCCTGTGGACCTCTGAGAAAACTAATCTGGGATGGAAGAGGTACTCGCCAGCATGCACGCGGCTGCTCTCTCAGTATAAGACCATGTTGAAGTTAGTGGGCGATGATGTGCCCAGTGTAGAGGCTTTCATGTCGCGATATCGAGTGCGTTCTACACATTATATTACTTGCTATAGCGATTAATCGTCTTCAAATGGTACTAGATGGATCACCCTGCTGCCCTTCACCGTCTGAAGGTAGGCGTCCCCGCCACAATAGAGCATTCGAGTGAGGCCGGTCCCGAGACAGGGAAATGGGTGGCCGAAACCACGCAGGTACGTCTTATCTCCAACTTGTACGAGGGAGGTTGGCCCAATCATCTCTTGCAGAGCTTTATCACCTTCATGGACGCACTCAAGCTTCGCCTCCGTGCTAAAGATCAACTACATCCCATCCTGCAAGAGCTGGTCACCGGATACGCCAGATTCAAGGGTAGCAAAGACTGGGAGGGGCGTAGTAAGATGGTTGGATGGTGCGTTTGCGGAGAAATGTTGTCCGTTCCTACTCTGGCTGGGCTAACTCAGACGACAGGCTGATCACACTGAACGCGATGAAAGCGTCTGAGGAGATCACAGAGGAACAGTCACGACAGGTTCACTTTCCAGCCATGCCTTTGAAAACGTCTCATGACTGACGCTTCCCCAAAGTTGTTGTTTGATGTCGACCACGCGTATGCTGAGTTCTTTAGGAGTTTGAGTGGGAAAGAGGACTCGTCGTGACCCTTGTCTCCAGCCAGCAATCAGATCCGTGACCATATATACGTTACCCTGCCCAGTCTATGAATGGAGCTGAATTATTTATCTCATAGGCTGCACTCTAGTTGACTTCTTGGTGCGTTCTTTGATCTCGTCCGTCCACCAGAAGCTCTAAACCAGTCGATAAATTAGAATAAAGACTACAGAGTTGTGTTATTAAAAGAAACAACGATGCTTGTCTACGGTCTGGCCAGTCCGTTTCAACTCTATGTGTAAAGTATCCATTAAGCCACAGGAATTGCTTCCGCAGAAACCAATTGCTCGTCCTTCTCCTTGGCCTCGTCATAGAAAGGATAGTCGATATATCCAGCGGCGACATCTCCCGGGACGTAAAATGTCGGGCGGTCGTACTTGTTGAGCGGCAGTTTCTCGCGGAACCGGCGAGGGAGATCGGGCTATATGCACAGCGAACGTTTTAACTCGTGCGCTGTACACTGAAGAGATGACAACTTACGTTCGCGATGAAATGTCTCCCAAGGGCGACCAGCCCGCCTTTCTCCTCGACCGTCTGGATAGCATCCTCCCGCCCAAATCCTCCAGCAGCGATGTAAGCCTCAGAGCCCCATATCTTGCGAAGGAAGTCGTTGTTCTCCTTGGGCGCCACGTCCAGAGTGGAGTCACGTTCAACTCGAGGCTCGACGACGTGAAGATAGCTGAGGGCTGGATAGAGGTCACGGATGCGCGTGATCAGATAGGTAAAGGTGGAGGTGATCTCTTCCGAAGCATCTACATGGTTAGGTGATAATATAGGTGTTAGTCCCGAGATACAAGGGAAAGGAACAGGATTGAGACTGACTGTTTGATTGCAGCCAAGGACTAATCCTGAACCCGACCTTGTTCTGTCCGACAGCCTTCACCACCGCCTCCACGACCTCCAATGCAAACTTACTCCTCCCCTCCGCACTCCCACCATACTCATCCGTCCTGTTATTCGAAGCGCTTCTCAAAAACTGGTGGATCAACAATCCATTCGCGCCATGCACCTCGACTCCATCGAACCCCGCGCCTTCGACCGCGTTCTTCGCCGCAGTGGCCCAGAATTGTACATATTCTTTGATCTCGTCGATTGTGAGAGCGCGGGGTGGAGTTGCTTCACGGCCAGGGAAGGGGACGGTGCCGGCACCTACATATGGGAGGCCCTGAGCGCTAAGAACGTCGGGAAGGGCTAGGGAGCCGGCGGCGGCGAGCTGGAGGTAGATGAAGGAGCCTTTGGCATGCACTGCGTCAACGAGCTGGAAACAGGAGAGGTGAACTTGGTGAGCAAATGGGCTCGACGGGTTCGATGACGATATTTACCTTCTTCCAGGCTTTGATCTGCACATCATTGAAAATCCCAGGAACGTTGGGGAAACCAACAGCTTTCGCAGCGACCGAAGTACCTATGGGAATTCAACATAGTCAGACTCCCTTCTATCAAGCGAGGAACAGGCAAGAAAAAAGAAGGGGCACTGACCTTCAGAGATCAAGAAAGTGCCTGGGACTGTGGCCCGCTGCTCGTAGTATTGGACGGTGATATCCAAAGGCGCGCCTTCAGGCGAGTTTCTGAGGCGGGTGCATGGGGCCAAGACTATACGGTGCTGGAGAGTGATATCGCCAAGTTGGATAGGCTTGAAGAGTTTGAATTCCATCGTGGAGGTGGTAGGAATTCTGGATGGTGGATATGCGTAACGACTTGGATGTGGAAAGGCGAGACTGTATGTTATCCTGGTCCCTGGATTGAGCAGTCTTCTTATACTTCGTCTCAAGGCTGTATTCCATGATTATTGACCAAAATCCTGTGCGGCTGTTGGTTGGTTGTGCCTAGACGAAGGCCATAGCTGAATCATCCCTGCGTCGTCGTGAGAATCAGTCTTGATAACACTTGGAGTGAGCACATCGGCAGCTCTTTTACTTACTCATCTATAAAAGACCAATGCTATCGGATGAGCCTCGTGTGATGGTCTGCACCTGCCTCGTGTGATGGACCCGCCGCAGAGACAGGGTCGGAAGCGAATTCTTATTGTGCCGATCTCATAGGAGACGCGTCCAGCCATACTTAAACCGGCATCGTTTTCCGAAGGCGGAGGGCCATTTTATGTGACAGATGGACCAGTGTCCGCCTTACTCAGCCCTCCGACGGGAACGGCCTTGGACGCAATTCACTATATGGAAGTGTAAAAGTACTCGCCAGGGTCACACGAGAGTACACGGAAACACGGATATAGTTTTCGAAACGAGTCAATAGCCTTGTCGTGTCCTCAATTATCTTCGGCCTCAAAGCTAACAAAGGTTGGTCAACCCCTGTGTCAGCGAGTCGCCGAGTTCCAGGAGACTGGCACTAAGAACGGCGCTTTGACTTCGAATGATGCCAGGAGTTGACTGAGTGCGCAGGATTTTACGTAGAGAGATCCAAAGAATGAGATTGGGAGAAGAATTACAACAGGAGCACTGCTCCGATGACCCACAACATACATCAAGAAACTAAAGGGCGGAAATAAACGGTGACACGAACTGAAGCCGCGCCATAATGACACTGAAACCTTGATGTCTGTATAGTAGCGAAGGCAGAGCAGAAAATTATCCAAAGGTCAAGACGAGACATGTTCCGACAGAAAGCCAACGAACCAGAGGCTGACCTATGCTACGGCACAGGCATAAAAGGCGTCTGCTGAAGGGAACCTAACACGATCCAGTTCGAGAAACATCTATGATCGATCATCCTGGACCCTGACTCATAACATCCTCGTCTACTTCTACAGTCCAAGCTGTCGTGTCCGTCGGTACTCCGAGATCGTACGGACTGGAATTTAACTGTATGGAGGAGGGATGAGGAGCTGCCATGGTTGGAGTCGCTGGCATATGAAAGAACGGATCATCTGTGGGTTGAGCTGCTCCTTCAGGCCAAGTGCCATCTCGAAGCCATCCTGCTTGCAGGATTTTGATCTGAAAGCAATAATCTCACAACGTTTAGTTCGAGCCATAAATCTGCAACGAGACGAATAGCAGAGCGAGGGCCAACGCACGACAATATTGAGAGGAAGGGCCTTTTTCAAGCGGCCTCCACCGACGAGGCCCCTCCAGACTTTTGCGAGCCCGACTTCCCATACTTCATCGCTCTCAAGGGCTCCTGGACGAGAAAGAAGGTCTTCGAGTTTAGTGCGGGCAGTATTCGATCGCTGTGGCTCCGAGTCCGAATTTGGGGCAATCGTTGGAGTTGGGTCTCCCGCACTCGGTGGTGTAAGCCAGAGAGCACGCCGAGCTTCAAAATGGTCTAGTCCTGGAGGAGGTAGATTTGCAATAGCACAGAGTAGCTCAAATTGCGTCGGGGAAGGGTCTTGAGAGGCTCTGTGGGAGGAGTGGCTCAGTTGATGGAGTCACGTAAAATAAGAGTGCAAGAACGGACGTTATCGACGATTGTGCCACCGCATCCGTGGGGTGCGGTGAAGTCGGATCTGGTGACCCAGCGGGAAACATCTATTTGGGGTGCGTGGTTGAGTGGAGAAGGAAAGGACGCCACTGAGTCGGGGTGTGGCCGCTGTCTCTTATTTATTGAAGCCTTTACGTACACAATTATTACATAAGGTGGCGGCATTCACACGAGCCTCGCGTCGATCAGATCCAACGCTGTTGTCTTCTGGTGCCAACATCATCTTGCCCTTCGTGTCTATCCCCGTCGTCGTCGTCGTGCGCGATGTACAGGAACAGGTCTCAGTCGTCGTCTTCTCTCTCCGACGTTGAGGACGAAGATCTCAACAAATCCACCTTCTTCGGTGCGACACAAATCTCGTCACCCGCCCAATGGCACTCCCGCCTACACCTTCTGTCCTCTTCCCCACGCACCCCAGCACTCTCCCCCGCATCCCATCTTCCGCCAGAGATCCTTATACACATCCTCAAACATCTGTCGCAGCCATTTGATCTTCATGCTCCTCTTCTTGTTTCACGCGCATGGTGCGAATGTGCTGTCGAACTTCTCTGGCACAAGCCCAGCATCTCAGACTATACTACCCTCATCAAGATCATGCGTGTCCTCGCACGCGACGACCAAACATTCACCTATGCCTCATTTATTCGTCGCCTCAACTTTATTTCCATCGGTTCCGACCTCGCCGACAATGTCTTTCGTCGCCTGGCACAGTGCACGCGCCTTGAGCGCCTCACTCTTGTCAACTGTGCCGCCCTGACAGATGACGCGTTATCAAGCACCATCCCTTTCTTCACCAACCTCGTCGCCATCGATCTATCTGGAGTTTCAGAGGTCACAGATAACACAATCGTTGCTCTGGGAAAGAACTGCCGCAAGCTTCAGGGAATCAACCTTCTCGGATGCAAGAAGGTCACATCCGTCGGCATCCAAGCTCTCGCCGAGCATTGTCCTCTTCTTCGCAGGGTCAAGCTTAGCGGCGTCGAACAATTAACGAATGATCCCGTCACTACACTTTCCAAAGAATGTCCCCTTCTCCTCGAAATCGACCTTAATCACTGCAAACACGTCACCGATGCCGCCGTTCGTGATCTCTGGGTCTATTCCACTCACATGCGGGAGATGCGCCTTTCCCAGTGCGTGGAGCTCACAGACCTCGCCTTCCCCGCGCCGCCACTCGCTCACGAAATAGGCACCACTTCATCCCATCTCCGCGTTCATCCTGGCCAGTCGCACTCTGCGCCACCCAACCCTAATCCATTCCCAAATGCTTCCCTCGTACCGGGCACGCGCACGCCGTTGGAGTTGCCTCCTCTTCGTTTGCACAGATATTTCGAACATCTTCGCATGCTCGATCTGACCAACTGTGCGAACGTAACCGACGAGGCTGTTCATGGTATCGTCTGCTCCGCGCCGAAAATTCGCAACCTTGTTCTCGCGAAGTGTGTACACATCACCGATGCAGCCGTAGAGAGCATCTGCAAGCTCGGAAAGCATCTGCATTACCTACATCTTGGACACGCCAGCGAGATCACGGACAGGTCTGTCAAAACGCTTGCCAGGGCGTGTGGTAGGCTACGCTATATTGACCTTGCTAGTGAGCATCTCCGTTTTCTCCGTGTGTCTAACCAACTGACCGCTTATCGGTACAGATTGTAACCGCCTCACGGATTTGTCAGTTTTCGAGCTTGCCTCCCTTCAAAAGCTTCGTCGGATAGGTCTTGTACGTGTCACCAACCTCACGGATGAGGCGATATACGCTCTTGGCGACCGCCACTCGACCCTCGAACGCGTTCATCTGTCGTATTGTGACCAGATCACGGTCATGGCCATCCACTTCCTGCTGCAAAAGCTCCATAAACTGAATCACCTCAGTCTGACGGGTATACCAAGCTTCAGAAAGGCTGAATTGCAGCAGTTCTGTAGGACGCCACCCGCGGTATGTCTACGATCTCCTTGCCTACCCCAGCTGTCACTGAATTATTCTGTCACAGGAATTTAACTCGAGTCAAAGGTCGGCTTTTTGTGTCTATTCGGGCGACGGCGTCGACAAGCTCCGCCGATATCTTCAGCAACTTTTCAACAGCATCACCGAAGACATCAACCAGACCGAAGATTATGATGGCGACGAGGACGACGGCTATGTTGCTGCCTACAATCACGTCGACCAAGACGACGTAGAAATGGAAACCGAGTTGGAAGCAGATGATGGTGATCTTGACGGGGATGTGGATGGTGCACGTACAGAGGTAGAAGGAGGGTGGACTGAGGGCGGACGCGGCGGGATACGAGGGCGGAACTATGAACCTGATTCCGATGCGGACATTGTCCTACCTACCCTCGCGCATCCGCGTCGACCTAATGATACCGGACGACACCAGTACGAGATCTTACGGCTTTCGAACCCACCAACGAATCGTGGACATCCTCGACCGACTCTTGCTAATGCTCATGCATCTTCGTCTTCGTCTATACCTCGCACTCTCCCGTCTCTTTCAGCACCTCAACCCCAGGCTCACTCGCAGGCCCTCCAGCATCATACGTATACCGCATACCCTGGCTCATCGGTACCTGGACCCTCTGATTATCCCGTCACTTCTCCGCCGCTATGGGATGCAACTCATACTCATGGCGTGTCTACCTCGGCGCCCAACGGATTGCCATCAGGTTCACTATCGCCGACACTCCAGGCGCTTGCTCAGGCAGGTGGTGGACAAAGGCGATTTTTCGGACACGGTGGCAACAGCGCTAGCCAAGGGCAACGTAACGTGTTCACCCCACCCTCGCAGCCGATCTCCACATCGCCAGCTGCGAGTGACGGCAGCGCAGCAACTTTCTTCAGAACCTACGGCAGGCATGGTGGTGCCGCTAGTCCAGGCGCCAATGGGGGCGGAGAAGCGAGAGCTGGTGCTGGCACACCAGACTTGATCTTTGCGGAGGCGGGACATGGGCCAGGAGCTGGCATGGGGGCGTCAGCCGTGGATGGTGCAGGAGGCGAGCCAGGCATCATTGGGAGCGGAAGGCCCGGCCATTCGCATTCTTACTCACAGCCTAATCCCGGGAGGGGCAACTCGAACTCACATACGGTTGTCCATGGCAGAAGTAGAGCGTCTGGTGGCTCAGGCTCGCAGGCCGTGACAGGGCCGTTGACGAGGGCTTTGCAGGAATCTGTGCATGCCGCATTTGCAGGATCTGCTGCAGGTCCGTCATCGATCCCCACAGCGGCAAACGGGAGCGGCGTTGGGAGTGGCGCTGGAGCCCAGAACCCCTCAGTCGATGGACGGGGGCGAAGCATGAAACGGACGTTTAGGAACACGATGAACGCTGTGGAGCAGACTGCTTCGTCGCTCTTTGGTGGTGTGAGGAGACCAGAGGATAGTGGCGAGGGAGTGGCGGCAGTGGCGGCGACTCCGCTGAACCCTGCTCTGCGCGCAGCTCCCATCTACAGTCCGTTCGCGAGCGAGGGTAGAGGTAGCGGGGATGTCTGGATGGGTGTAGGAGATGCTGGTGATGATGATATCATAGGCCACCCTGGCGCGAATGAGAGCGGTGGCAGAGACTGAGCGTGTTCGTACGCTGTTTATACGCATTGGGCCAGGTCAGTGAAGAGGGACTGACGTCTCGCCTACGACATTCTCACGATTCACCTTTTCTCTCTGCATCTTCTGCCTTCCCTCATTGTCTCCGCATCCACACCACGAGCATCCTCCACAATTTTACGACCGTCATCAACTTCCCTCGTTCTCTGCACGTAACTATAATCAAACATAACCCCCAGAGCATCACTGTCCCCTCTTGTCGCAAACTACGTACCAAACTGTTTTTCTTCTCTTTGTCGTAACGTCTTCCGTTGTATCGTCCCTCGAGTTCTCGTTGTATGTACTCTATAGACCAGTCTCCTGTTTGTGATGGACCTTTGCACGGCTACATGTTTGGTTTAGCGAGGTGTACATGACCCGAGCACTGTCTAAACCGTAGTTGTAGAGCCTTTCCGTCTGTTGACACCGTCCATGCTCATCATTATTTTGTCTTGTATACCATTTTGGAATCGAATATCGTGTTGAAGTCAGTATCCCTCGTCTCTTCCACGCGTCCTGCGTCTCATGTAAATCAAGAAATAACAGGTATCATCTATCCGTCTATGCACTGAAGGTGACCTGCAAATCTTGTGCAGATCAGATGAACTCTTTGAGCACTGTCCTTGTGTTGAGCCTTTTACCCGGGTAATTTTCGGCTTTCTCCGTCTCTCACCCGCACCTGGTCGTTGGCGAGATAATCGGCAAACCGATGAAGCTGAAGGTTGAACACCGCCCCCGAACGGAGGTTGTGGACCTCCACCCTCTCTTTACTTCACACAGCTTGCCCCACTCGCGCCGTATCTTGGTTTTCTGCTACTGCCTTGATATAAATGACTCTGCCACGTCTTGTGCAGCCAGCCGTCGGATGAATCGTCGCCCAACTTGGCGGGTAGAGGCTGGCGGCATACTTGCTGCGGCAGCGCAGGGCTATGAACTTCAGTTAGGTCTCAAGATCACCATCTCACCCAAAGATTCGCAGGCCTGGCGCTTGTTTGTCGTCTCTTTGTCCTTTGTTCTTCTTATCAGGCAATCCGGTAGCCTGCGCTTTTGTTCTACTTGGGCCAGGATGTCCATTGCGACGGCGTCATTTCTCGTCCGGTATGAGATTGCATCAGAAGTGTGAGGAATAGAATGCTGATCTGCTACACTCCGACAAGATCCTGTGATTGAAAGGATCGACGTGTCGTTCCCAGGACATTCGTGCTCACCATCACTATACTTTGAAGAAGTACTCTCTACTAGTGTGATGCCTTTTCCACTCTTCCGCTTGTATAACGCCCCGGATTGATTCTTATAAGCTGGAAACGATCGCTCTAGCCTGAATATGCTAGGTTCTGAAATTCTGCTTGTTGGTCGTCTATGTGGCGCGCTGAGTACGATTTACCATGATAAACATCTAACAATTGGGGATAGACGACACAGAAACTCCCCATTCCGTTTCACAGAGCGAATTATCCTTGTTTCACTGAGAAGCCAGCGTTCACGGTCAAACAGTCACTGACCGAAATAAATTGATACACTCGTACACCACCCAGAGGCTCTACTTAACGGATCCCACAAGTATCTAAAGGCTGTCTATCTAATTCCTATCGTGTTTCTTTCAGAACGCCGGACCATACGTTTAACTGACGCCGAAGGATCAGAGAATATCGACAACCTTGTTATCAATCAGGCAAGTGGTCCCTTGCATTGCCCCCAGAAACCAACACCCTAATATTGGCCATGCTTAACGCTGACCATTACCATGTCCTTGCTACCACTACTAGATCTATTCCGCGTTACTTTACAGTGGACAGCTGCGTTCTTGTGTCGCGCTGTATAGGCGTCTACATATCAACTGCAATCGGATCCTTGGCCTTTGTGCTTCGTTTGGCATTCCTTCCTCTCATGGACGGGGATCTCCTCACAGTAGAGCACGGATCAGGGTGAGGACCGAGAGTCTCACTGAATGTGAGGCCACGACCGCTGTGCTACCTCGCACTGAAACTCGAATGTACCGGTATGCATGACCTTTTGTTGGATTGTGGTATGCTTCGAGGACATGTCTGTGCAACTCTGGGTACACGTATAAAACGTAGGAGCAAGGTAGGAGGAGCAGCATCCTCACAGTCTTCTAACTTGTCTTTTCAACCATCCAACAATGTCAGCCATCTACAACGTCGGGCCTTACTGGCAGGGGTATGAAAGAATCAAGAAATTAGTCGTATTGTGAGTGTATTCCCTATACGCTCTCCATCCAGTTTCTGGGTATTTGGTTGCTGAGATCCAAACCTCTGTTTATTCAGCGGTGACTCGTTCAGTCATGTTGGCTACAACCTCCAAGCACCAGCTCCGACGTCTATACGCCCGCTAGGTGTAGCATTCCCGGGCCAGGTAGTAAATGAGCCTGGCCATCCAAACTGGGTCGGACACCTTATCAGGACGCACAGTCATGGGCATGCGAATTTTGTCGTGTGGGATTATGCCGTCCGCGGTACTATATTCTTCAACCTCTCATTTAGGTGTGCAGGAGTTCTAACTTCTCGACCGTAGGTGATACTGCACCTGGCGTCGTACGTCAGATTCGGGAGCAATTCCTCCCTGCTGTAGGGAGACGTCCTAGCTGGGCAAACTGGAAGCCTGATCATACTTTGTTCAGTGAGAACTCCGTCTTCTTCGGTGCCAGTAGTACTTACCGAGCTATACTCACTCCGTTTCGTCTCATTACTCCATTGAATTGAACAGTTACTTGGATCGGTGAGTGGATTTCCCCTACCGGGTTTTGACGCGTACTGATTTACCATCTACCGCGGTCGATTTTGAATAGGAACCAACGATTGCAGATTACTGTGAGTGTCATCTCCGCGTCCGCAACCGCCGGTCTTGCTCTGAGGCTGTGCTATAACACGGACCCATGATCTGGTCAAGCAACCATAGTCGCACGTTATTGATGCTCAGCTTTCAGGTACACCAACGATCGTAGGGAGATCGCAGCGATCATAGCGAACTTATTCGCCGGCGTGGAGGAGCTCTATGCGGCGGGCGCGCGTAACTTCATGTTCGTGGACGTGCCTCCGATGCACCGCTCACCTGTTGGTGAGTAAAAATAACCCTTTTGCGATTTACACCACCGCTTTTTTTGAGTATGTCAGAGCTCACCAATGTCTGTGTTCCGTCGTCGTAGCTCCTCCCGGCGCAGGCAACGAGTACGCGCAGCCTTTCATCAACTGGAACGACGAACTTCGATTGGCCGTCGGTCGATACGCGGCACACCGTCCAGATGCGACGCTCCTTATATTCTCCTCTTGGGCAACATACACCCGCGTCTTGGACCAGCCGGAACGTCATGGATTCGCGAGAGCTGCGACCCAAGTCAGAGGAGGCGAGATATGGTTCGACCATATGCACCCGACGACAAGGATGGCGGACATCATTGCCGGTGATGCTGCTCAATTCTTGCTCAGTGTTCCCCCCGCGTAATGCTCATGGCCAGCGACGAGAATAGTGGACGCGATGCGCCACAACGCATAATCACTCTATTTCGTTCGTCTCTCTTGTATCTTAATTTATTTTCGTTCATTGTCTTGGAGATATTCAAGTTCCTCACCGCTGTATCGTTAGCCCTTATAGACACCTAGACGATAGATATCGTTTTCTCCCCACTGTATCGTTAGCACCTTTAGACAGGCCGGCCATTTTGGCTACTGTATCATTTACACCATAGAGTCTTCGTCTTCCACCTGTTTTTCAATGCTATTTATTGCCTTCCACAAACCAGAGGTGTGTTCTCGAACTACTGGTGGTCCGAAAGCGCCTCACAATGGTAGAAACCCCCGAGCGGACACTCTACTACGAGTTCAACGTTACGGCTAGCCAAGTGAGACAGAACTACCGTCGAGCTCAGAAGAGGATAGGAGAATTGCCTACAAATGCGCAATAAGTCACCTTGGACGCATACATCGCCGTTGGGGTTGAGGACGATTCAGACAGCCACGATCAAGGAAACAAACGGCGACACGAACAAAACAGCGTAAGCATTTCAATGTCGTTACGGACTACTTAATGACCAAACCATAGAGAAAGGAGTAAAGAAAGGACTCGGTAACTATCACCAACACCAAAAATGGGCCCGGGGGCAGGATAAGAACACAAAAGGGCGTACACTAGCAGAAGCTGAAGATTTCCACATTTAGGTTAGGCACAGCGGCGTAAGTAGGTATAGGAGAGGCATACGACGGAGCTAGGGGGCAAAAAAAGCGAAAGGGGGGACGGGGAGGGACAAAATAGATGAACAGGGAATGCAAAGCTTATGTGGGTAGCGAAGCCTCAGAATATTTTATCCGTAAACAAAAGGCACAATGCAGCCACAAAGGGGTATGGATGTTCTCTCGTTTAGTACTCGCCCTCCTCCTCAGGCTCGGCAGAGTCGGTGCCGACCTCTTCGTAGTCCTTCTCAAGGGCGGCAAGATCTTCACGCGCCTCAGAGAACTCGCCCTGTTCGACAAGCAGCGATCAGTAGCGATCAAAGTGATACAGCGAGTAGAAAGAACATACCTCCTCCATACCCTCACCGACGTACCAGTGAACGAAGGCACGCTTCGAGTACATGAGGTCGAACTTGTAGTCGAGGCGGTTCCAGGCAGCAGCGATAGCAGTGGTGCTGAAAGAAGAACGGGGTTCAGAGATCATCGCATACTGGCGGAGCTGCGTGAATAAACTCACTTGGAAAGCATGCAGACGCTGCGGCTAGTCTTCGCGAGATCACCGCCAGGGACCTGGGCGGCGGGCTCGTTGCAGATACCGAGCTAATCAGAAGACAAGTCAACAGAGCGATCGAAGCGTGATTATGGATTGTGTACAAACCTTGAAACCAGTAGGACACCAGTCGACGAACTGGATGGTACGCTTGGTCTTGATGCTGGCAACGGCGGCTGAAACGTCCTTGGGGACGACATCTCCACGGTAGAGCAAGCAGCAGGCCACTAAGAAATATCGTTTAGAATAGAAAAGCTTTACGAAACGTAAACTATACGCACTGTACTTGCCCTCCTTGGGGTCACATTTCACCTACGAACATCGAACGTCAATTTGTGCAATTCAAACCACAAAAAATGGAAGGATATTGTACTTACCATCTGGGTGCCGGTCTCGAAGCAAGAGAAGGTCATCTCAGAAACGGAGTTCTGCTCATGACCAGCCTTCTCGACGGAGAGCAGAGGCGAGTAAGTAGCCAAGGGGAAGTGAATACGGGGGAAGCTATACCGCCGCGATCATCAGCACAATCGCAATGGCTACATGGACAGTAGTCACAACTTACGGAACCAAGTTGGTCTGGAACTCGTTAAGATCGACGTTGAGGGAACCGTCGAACCGGAGGGACGCGGTGACAGAGGAGACGACCTGGGCAATCAACCTGTTGAGGTTGGTGAAGCCCGGCTGGGAGACATTGAGCCTCTTCTTGCAAATGTCGTAGATGGCCTCGTTGTCAACCTACGAGCCGCGTGGGCCAAATTAGTCCACCAGCCCCTGTTTCAGATCATGGAGGGCGGAAAACGCACCATGAAGGAGCAGTCCGAGTGCTCGAGGGTCGTGTGAGTCGTCAAAACGGAGTTGTAGGGCTCGACGACGGAGCTGGAAAGCTGAGGTGCAGGGTAAACGCAGAACTCGAGCTTCGACTTTTTCCCGTAATCGGTCGAGAGACGCTCGAGGAGGAGAGCACCGAAACCAGATCCAGTTCCACCACCGAAGGAGTGGAACACAAAGAAGCCCTGAAGACCATCACAGTTGTCCGCGAGTCTGCGGAGCTTGTCCATGGTGGGGTCAATGAGCTCTTTACCGATGGTGTAGTGACCACGCGCGTCTTCACCCGCCAAGATCATGTGTTAGTTTGCTGATTGAGACAAGAAGAGAGAAATACGCGTCTGATGAAGACGACAGAAATGACTCACAGTTGTTGGCCGCGTCCTCCTTGCCGGTGATCATCGTCTCCGGGTGGAAGAGCGAGCGGTAGGGGCCCGTCTTCACCTCCTCGATGACACCAGGCTCGAGATCGACGTAGAGCGAGCGGGGCACGTACTTGCCGGCGCCAGTCTCAGAGAAGAAAGTCGAGAATCCGCTGTCGCCAGAAGGCTTGCCATGCTCGATACGACCGTCTGGCTGCATTTGCACAAACGCGACGCGTTCAACATCGCCATTATAAAAAAATCGAGCAAAAAACGCACGCTCAGCCCATGCTCGATGGTGTAGAGTTCCCCTATTGTTCGTAACGACGCGCAAAGATGGGAGGTGAGTACGCGTGCAGAAAAACGATCAGGTAAGTTAGAACGCGATACGCACAGCAGGCGTTTCCGATCTGGACACCGGCCTGGCCAACGTGGACGGAGATGACTTCTCTCATGATGTGGGTTGAAGAGTACGAGGAGGGGAGATGCGATGGGGAGGACGAGAAAGAGCGAGCCGGCGTCGTTCGAGATATCTCGTTGCCGCGTGCGCGGCTCAAAATTCCGTCCGCCACCGCTTTTCGCCGCGGTCTTTTCACAGGCCGCCTTCTTTCACCCATCAGGCCATGCCCGAAGCAGACCCGTGCAGCCGTCTTGGAGACACGGCCAGTCTAAGCAATCACACACAAAACCTTTAGAGTTCATATTGCAGCGACTTGCGTTACGACTAAGGTATCTGGAAGAGGGGGGAAAATGCGACGTATGGTGGTATTGAACAATGAAAGATGGTATGAAAACGTGAAGAATCGTGAAAATAGCGATTAACAAGATGTAGGGGGATTAAAACGCGATGCAACCAAGTGCGTAACGACGAGGGCGCAACAAGGAGCGTATTCCATTCCACGAAAACGAGACAGAAAACAGAACCACAGTCCGGGAAAACTCAAGAACGCGTTTAGTATTCTCCAGCTTCCTCAACATCCGCCGAGTCAATGCCAACCTCCTCGTAATCCTTCTCGAGAGCAGCGAGATCCTCACGGGCCTCAGAGAATTCACCCTCCTCCATACCCTCACCGACGTACCAGTGCACGAACGCACGCTTGGAGTAGAGGAGGTCGAACTTGTGGTCAAGTCGGCTCCAGGCACTCGAGATGGCGGTCGTGTTCGAAAGCATGCACATGCTGCGAGACACCTTGGCGAGGTCACCGCCAGGGATGTGCGCGGGGGCCTCGTTACAGATACCGAGCTTGAAACCAGTTGGGCACCAGTCGACGAATTGAATGGTGCGCTTGGTCTTGATGATGCTGACGGCCGCGTTGACGTCCTTGGGGACGACATCACCGCGGTAGAGAAGAGCGCAGGCCACTATATGAATGTGTTAGAACGGCCAACGATACGATATTATAGAATCATACGTACTGTATTTGCCCTCGCGGGGGTCGCACTTCACCATCTGATTGCCGGGCTCGAAGCAGGAGAAGGTCATGTCGGCAACAGAGTTCTGTTCGTGGTGAGCTTTCTCGGCAGAGATGATAGGGGCAAAAGTAGCGAGGGGGAAGTGGATGCGGGGGAATCTGAAAAGCAGGATACGTAAGATATCGGTAATACATAGGGCGTGAAACCCACGTACGGGACGAGGTTAGTCTGGAACTCGTTCAAGTCGACATTGAGGGAACCATCGAAACGGAGCGAGGCGGTGATGGAAGAGACAACTTGAGCGATGAGCCTGTTCAAGTTGGTGAAGCTGGGAGACGAGATGCCCAAGTTCTTCTTGCAAATATCGTAGATAGCCTCATTGTCAACCTGTGAAGAGACGTGTTTCAGTGAATGATGTTTGGATGCAAGGGACGTATGTGAGGCTGACCATGAACGAGCAGTCGGAATGTTCGAGTGTGGTATGAGTTGTCAAGACGGAGTTGTATGGCTCAACGACGGAGTTCGCGAGGGTAGGGGCAGGGTATACGCTGAACTCGAGTTTGGACTTCTTGCCGTAGTCGGTAGAAAGACGCTCAAGAATGAGAGCACCGAGACCAGAACCGGTTCCACCACCGAAAGAATGGAAGACGAAGAAGCCCTGAAGACCGTTACAGTTGTCGGACAGACGGCGCAAGCGGTCCATGACGTTGTCTATCTGCTCCTTTCCAATGGTGTAGTGGCCGCGGGCATCTGGGGAGAAAGAGTGGATAAGTAAATAGCGGACGAGCGATCAAAAGCCGAGAGCACCCACAGTTGCTCGCAGCATCCTCCTTGCCAGTGATCATCGTCTCTGGGTGGAAGAGGCTCCTGAAAGCTCCGGTGCGGACCTCATCGATGACATTGGGTTCAAGGTCGATGTAGAGGGAACGCGGAACGTGCTTGCCCGATGACGTCTCAGAGAAGAAAGTGCTGAAGCCATCTGGGTTGTGGTTGGCCGAGGGGTCGACGAGACGACCGTCAGGCTAAAGTGCGGACATGAGTAGGGGGACAAAGGAACACGCGGCGGGCACGACTCACGCTCAGACCGTGTTCGGCGGTGTAAAGCTCCCCTGCAAGACAGTAAGTTAGCTCTCGGTCGCCGAAGCAGATACAAGTGTAGTTTGGGTCAAACGACACGTCGTTTTCGACTTTCGTGTATTGCGGTGGACAACAGAGGATAAAACGGGGCGGGGAAGTCGGTACTCACAGCAGGCGTTACCGATCTGAACACCGGCTTGACCAACGTGGACGGAGATGACTTCACGCATTTTGATCTAGAGAAAGAAACTGCTAGAGGAATATGAGAACACTGTGCTAGACGACGACGAGAGCGGCGGTGTAGAGACTCACCAAGGACTGGAAAGAAAGGGAGAAGGATGGGGATGGGGACCAAGCGGACGACGGACGATCGCTCGTGGGCTGAGGGTACAAAACACGCCAGAACGGCCACGCGCCGCTGACCTAATCCTCCCACATCCATCTACGCGTCCGAGTTGGTCCGTGCGTGCCCCTCATCGACACGCTCAACATGCAAGGGAAAATGTCTAGAAAAACGCATTTGCTGGCTCAAAAAGTCGGAGAAGGTAGGTGCTCTACCTCATGGTAGCTTGTTTTCGGTCTTCGTGTTCGAGTGTTCGTGTAAGGGGGGTATGGTGGCGGGTGGCACGGAACTTGACTGGCCACAGCAATTTGGATATGCAGGGCTTTCCCTGGATGCTACCATCCACGGGTTTTGACGGATGTGAATCCGTGAGAACGCATCCGGCATCCGTCTGGATGCCATCCGCGCTGAACTGTGCGGATGATGGGCTTCTCGGAGATGGCGGGGTCGTGATCCGTCCAAAAGGCGGACGTGACTTTGACGCGTCGAGAACGCGTCGCGAATTGGTGGCGCGTCGGTGGCGCGTGTTTTGCTCCTGACCGCTTTGTACCTGTATAGCACGCATACCACTGTAACTTAGCTTCATCATAACTCGCTCTTCATGCTTTCATGCTACCCTCGTCTAGCCAACAAGCTGCCTCCCTCAGTAATTCCCTTAGCTCTGCTCAACCAAACACAAACTCTTCTGTCCCTTCCGGGCAAGTCTTGACTAGAAGTGCTAGCGATACCAATGCACCGGCACCATCATCCAGGGCTCCTCCTGCAAAGAAAACGAAAGCATCAGGAGGGAAGGATAGATGGTTTTGGAGTACATCCGAGTTGTGGGGAGAGGATGAACGGAATATTCTTGGTGTGTGGCCCAAGGTTTTCTTTTTGTTGCTTGAGGTGTGACGGGTCTCGTAGAGGATTGGGCCGACCATTTCACGAACCCACAAGAGCACTACAATGTCACACTCTCGAAAGACGCAGAACGGAGCCCACATGAAGTTGTTGCTGTCTTTAAGTGTAGGCTCAGCGATACAAAGCACAAAACGGTCTACCGGACACGAGAAGACTTCAAGTCTGGTAACACCAACCTGCATAAGTCAGCAAGAACATGCGAGAAGCGTAACGCGAGTGCTCTTCAGCTTCTGTCTGTGTCTCGGTCTGGCACGGCTCCTACTGTCTACTCGGAGGCTATGCATAGGGTCATCATTGTTCTACGCTGCGCCTGCTCGAAACGATCGTTTAATCATTTGAAGGATCCTTGGTACTTCAGGGAAGTCGAGCTTCTACGACCTGGAACACAGCTTCCGGCTCCTCAGACTAGTCAACGTGATCTCTTGATCCTACACGAAGCATTCATTCCTCGGTTTACCGCATACTTTGAGGTCGGCATTCTAATCTGAGCTCCCCTCCTTGGCGGACTTTCACACTTGCTCAGACTAGGGACCGAAATGTACACCTCGCTACTGACGGCTGGGCATCACCTATCAACATATCTGAGCTTGGTCTGATCATTACCTGGGAAGAGCATGGTGTGATGTACCGAGCACTCGTTGAGATGATTAGGTTTGCCGCTCCGCTTTCCGTCGCTCCTCACGTATGGATCTAAATTACACGCATATATTAGGATCGATGACCGACACACGGGCGAATATCTAGCTAAGAAGATCGCTGAAAGCTTAACTCGACACGGTATTGCAAAATATGTACGTTTCCATCGTGTCTTCATTTTGTCTTACCCGTTGACACGCTGCTCACCGGCTATAAGGTGCATGTTCTTACAATGGACAACGCATCAAATTGTAATACAACGGCGACCGAGCTTGCAAAGCTTATTCCCACGTTCCAAGGGAAACCGGCTCGAGGACGATGCTTTCTACACAGCGTCCAACTCATGGCGAAGGTACGTCTATTTTAGCTATCATACATGCGCATACATCGACATATAATCACACGCTCATTGCTCTATCACCCTCCCTTCGTATTTATAAGGCTCTGATCGATTTCTTCGACAAGAAATACAAGAAGAAGAAGAAAGTCACCGTTGAGACCAATCGTTCAAGCGCTGCCACCATGGATCTTGTCGTCGAGGATGGTGAGGATTATGAAGGCGAAGACGCTGACCTTGCAGACATCCTTGCTGCTTCTGAGACTCCACAGGAGAGGGCTATCCGCGAAGCGGCTGACGTTGGCCAATCTGCTGTGGATGATCATGCCGTTAGCATGACTCGTGCCCGCGCTGTTCGAGACATGGCAGCTCAAGGGGTCGTTATATCTGCTGCACAGCAGCAATCTGCTATCAAGATTTTTCCAAAGTAAGCCAAGACGATTCTTGACGCTTTAATCCCTCTGGCTACTAGTGCTAACGCATATATTCATGGTTTTAGATCAGTGGACTCGCAATTAAGATTCGCGACTCCGGCCCTATACGTCACATATGGGACAAGACTGTTGTCGAGCACCCTCCAAATCCAAAGTATGGCGCCCAGCTTAAGTATCCCGCTCGACGAAACACTACACGCTGGGATTCGGAGTTTGACTGCCTCACCTCGAGTCGTGCCTTCGCCGATGCATCGAAAGCCATCACGTCAAATAAAGACCTCAAGCTTCAAACTTTCAAGTTAACTGTAGAGCAAAACAACCTCGCTAACGATCTCCATGACATGCTTTCGGTTTGACCTCCTCTCTGTCGAGATTTTCCATGACCGTGACTTATCGCAATCAATTCTCTCTAGGCCTTCAAGACTATCACTTCACTCTTCCAATCTGGCGCGACGCTCATCATTGAGGTCCTGCCGGCATTCCATGATCTTGACGTACGACTTAAGATGATGGCCAACGACGTGACCCTTGCTCCTGTCTGCCGTGTCGCTGCTTACGCCGCTCATCTCCAATGTGACAAGTACTATGACCTGTTCAGTGAGTGTGAAGCGGTTGCTTTTTGCATCGGTATGTTTCATGATTGTTCTTCATGTGTCGAACGTGGCTGGCTCAGTAACCTTTACCTCACATAGCCTGCTGTCCAGACAGAAAGCTACAATGGTTCCGCGATCGTGGCTGGAATGAAGTACAAATCGCAAAGCTTCGCCAAGATATCATCGATCGGTTTAGGTCCTGTTACAGAACAACGCCTCCTACCTTGCCAGCCGAAACTATCACTAGTACAGTACGTTGAAGATTCATAGCCACCTTTGCTCAGTGTGATCAAACGCTCATTCACGACTCCACAGAGTGGTGCGGATCGATGGGCTCCGCCTCAGCACACTCCCATTTTCCATGACCCCAACAACATTGAAACCTATTTAGATGCCGACCCTATTCCGACACTTGTAGACCAGACCGTCCTACAATACTGGGATTGCCGTCTCCAGAGGACACCAGACGTTGCTCGCTTCTGCCTATCGTATATCTCTGCGCCAGGCAAGTCCTTCAGTCTGTCTTCGTCTACCCTTGGGATTTTATCTCAACCACTTTACTTTACAGCTACTTCTGTTGAGCCTGAGCGTACATTTTCGAAGGGACGCAACCAGATTGACTGGAATCAACAGAGTATGGGTCAGGATACGTTCAACCCTCGGATGGTCATGGAATCTTGGGCGGATGCACCGTGGTTTGATCTCAATATTGCAGCACGAGTTCTTGAAGAGAATTGTAGACCCTTGAGGTCAAAAACATAGTATTCGTGTAGTGGCTTTCCATTGGAATTTTTTCGGATTACAGTTGTCCATACGAACTCGTGAAACTCGAGCCTCAACTCAGACCCGGCTCAACTTACATACCTGCAGCCTTAAGTTCTGACTAATGTTAAAGGTAAGTTTGAGTATATACCATCGATGCAATTCGACTCTTTTACACCTTTTCCTCCATCCTGTACAATAAAATTGGAGTTTCCGTCAATGGCGGCCGAAAAATCCTAGGGGGAGGGCCCAGTGGCACCAACCTCGCCACCTCTGCGACCCGTTCGGCAGTCCCCGAGGTCCGTTGTTTCACACATATTACTCATTATAATCTTCGCCCAGCTACTTTTGCGAATGGTGGATGTTCTATATACTAAAATATGCTATCGTAATACATATAAATATGCTGAACTACTCGAGAGGCCACGTAACCTAGAGAAAAATACATATACCAACTGTCATCCGCGCAGATGTCATCCGTGCGGATTGACCATCCGTGGATATTCTTCCCACGGATCTCTGGATGCATCCGGATGCATCCAGGGAAAGCCCTGTGGATATGTCGTATCGCGCCGCTGCACCGGTGCATCTGGTTCACAGGTCCACCTGACGACGGTCGTAAATGATGCACTCCTGCCTAAAACGCGCCTGTACATATAAGATAGATGCGTATGTATGTTACAAAGAGGGTGTCCGTGTGATCCGCTACGTGTGATAATCGTGTGTAAGGAAATACATGAATGCTGAAGTTGTCTAGGTAGGTGGAATGATGCCAGAGAATAGATATAGTGACAGGGGAGTCCGTAACTCGACGAGCATTGTATTTGGAATCAGTCTAATACTGGCTGGGGCCACTGCGCTTCTCACCAGTCTGCAATTTTGCGTCACTTTCACTGCGCTCCGAAACCGGTTTATCCTCGCCTCCAACCACCTTGTCCACTATCTTGCTCGCATGCATCTTCCCCTTCAATGCCTTCTTCGCGCTCTTCCTCACGAACAATCTATCCACACAACAAACGAATGTGTATGCACCTGTTAGCTGCCAGGATAACCAAACAGAAATCAAAGCAGGACGTACTGGAGGACAGAGTTCCACAACGTCAAGCCATGCATCGGGACGATGTAAGTCTTCTTCTGCTGCTCTGACACAGACTGTCTCGGGGCCCTGAATGGATCATCGTTCGGGTCAAATGCAGCGCGGAAGTTCTGCATCATCTTCGCCTTCGGAATGGTCATATGAGTCTTCGGCGCCGTGTGGTATATGCTCTTCTTCAACAAGGCCAACGCCTCCGGCTATATAGCGCAACCAAGGCAGGATAAGCGACTAGACCAAGAATAAAATCATGTCAGGGATACATACCGTGTCCCTCCGTGCAGCAATCGCGGTTGGCGGCGGCCTCTCGTTCTGCAAGTCCAAAGGTCCCCACCTCCTGTCGACATCAATCCTCCTACTGATAGTCGACAAGATTGAATCTCCACCCGAATCCGCCCTCTTCACACCCTTCCTCTTCGCCTCCGCCCCCTCCTTCCTATAGATACTGTCATTCTCAAGCAACAATCCTTGCTCCCTCGCATCAGCTAACATCCTCTCCGCCTTCGCCTCCAACTTCCTCCGCTTCTTGATCACCTTCTCCGCGGCGCGCCGATACTTCTTGTCTACTGCATTCTGTCCGTCTGCCCAGCGACGCACAGGTCTCTCTTTGATGATTCCGATTTTGGATGGTCGCATTTGAAGGGCTGGAATGGCGGATTTGGGCTCCATTGGACGGACGTGGCCATTGATGTCGACGCGTTCGCGAATCATGAGGATGTGAGGGATGTCTTCGGTTTCGTCCTATTTACAGAATGGTCGGTAAATTGGTAGACACGAGAAGCGTATAAAACACGCACCATTGTCGGTCGAGCATAGGTTGTGTCATCTTCGTCGATCCCCGGGACAGCGTGTCCATTTCGATGCACGCTTTCCACACCGTTCTCCTCCGGCTCCCTGTCATACTGAGCCTCACCCATCTTCTTCTCATCCTCCTCACCCACTTTCTCATCCCCATTCCCATTCTGATCCTCACCCGCCCCCTTCATCACCTCCTTCCCCGGCATTGGATCAACATCATCCTCCCTAACCTCCTGCGCCAAAATCTTCTGATTCCGCTTATACAGGTTCACCTCTTCCCGATCCGCCTCTACCAACTCCTTCTCCTTCCGTTGCCCAGCGTTCACCGTCACACCCGCGACCTTGTGTTTCCTGCGGGTATACACTTCGTCGTCGGAGAGATCTTCGTCGGGAGGGCGGTGCAGCTCAGGGAAAGGGTTACGAGCGATATGGTCGGCGGAGTGGGTCGTGACGTGCTTGACGAATTGGGCAATACAACGGTATGCATACTTGGCCTAAAGAGTGGTGATATGTGATGGTTAGCTCGCACGCCATGAAGAGCAATGGCTTAAGACGCACGCTTGGCGTGAAGATGAATACGGTCAACACATGGGGCATGCCGTCGAAGGCCTGAAGATGGACCTGAGACGTCGAAATAATTAGGTCATGATAGATGCTTGAGAAAAGAGAATAGTTAACAGACCTTCGTCGGCGTGGTGAACTTCTTCGCGTTCTCCCTCTGCCTTCTTCCCTCCCGGATTACACCCTTACGAACAGGGTATTCATCGGGATGGGCAGCACGGTGGGCGAAGTAAATGATCTCATCCCTCAAGACCTCGCCGTCGCCGGCCAAAATATATAGAGGACAGAGATTGCCCAAGGACCCTTGTAAGATCGGAGAAACTAAAGGATGCGAGAGCTGTCTATGATTTTCAAAGGAGATCAGCCGTGTTTGATTGAGTTCTGGGAGCAGCAAGGCAGAGCACCAACAGAAAACGACGTACTCGTTCATAGCATACTGCTGGATTTGCGACCGAATCTCCCATGGTCTTTCCGAAGGATCGTCCATCAGGACCTGCAAAGGGAAATAGACAAAGCAGAATCAGTCCATGCAGAATCAAGGCTCTATAACAGACATGTTCGACCTTTGGCGGCTTAGGTTCCCACTTATCGATCTCCTCGGTTTCGGTCTCCTCATGATCTTGTTCGGCTTGCTTGTCCTCCGCACTCGAAGAACTACGACCCTGCTCCGCGACTCCATTCGCACTCACTCCCAGATTCGCATTCGCCCCGATCTCAGGACTCGCACTCGGAGATTCATCCATCTGAGCCTTCTCCACCATTTCCTCCTGGCTCATCACTTCCTCCAAATTACCGTCCTGCGCTTCTTTCTCTGCTTGCACCTCCTCAATGTCCCTACCTTCCCTTTGCGCCTCTTCCTGGACCTCTGCACGCTCCTCGAACCGCTCGGGGTCAGGGTCAAGTTTGTCTGCGTGGCCTGGAGGGGGAGGTGGGTTGGTTTGTGTTGGCATAACGCGAGTACGACCATATTTGTCCGGCAGAGTATCGACAGGCCAGGTCGTGGACGGTTTGTGAACGAACCCGTGTGGAGGAATGATATCCTACAATGACAAGAAAGGATAAAGATCATGAATTGCATGAGAAACCATCACGATCAGGCGTATAGTCATAATGTGGTAGCAAATCAAACACGAAAGGAAAACTCACAGAATGCGTATTATCCATGACGCTTGGGAAACTATGCGTCATATCCACCCACGGACTGATAAGCACGGCACCAGCAGGCATGGGCAATCCCATGTCTCTTATGACGGTGAGTGCGGTTACACAGAGTGCGCCACCTGCAGAGTCGCCTGCGAATACTAGCTTGGAAGCTGGGACGGGTTTATGTGCCGCACCGGGTGGTGGAGATATCAAATAGAAGTCTGTCGATAGGGTCTTGAGCATCACTTAAAGAGATTTGTGGAGTTAATTGGACTCACAGGCAGCAAGGACGTCATGTAATGGGCATGGCCATGGATATTGGGGTGCTTTCCTGTAACGACGGAGACTTATCAGTTAGCAGGAAAAAAAATGAGGAAATGCATAGCTTGTGTACCGATAGTTGACGGTGAATGCTCGTCCCTTGCATTTGCGCGCTGTCATATATTATCAGACCAAACTGGGAGTGGGTTAAATAATAGAGTCATGCTCACCATAGCGTATTATTTGGTAGCGATGTGTGTCTGCATGACAGTTAGAAGAGAATTCGAAGCACGGGAGCCACACTGATACGCACTGATAGATCCCCAGAAGTAAGCACCTGAGACGGCGCATAGATTAACATGTGCATCACGATACACGCCAGGAACACGAGCACTTACCACCATGGATGTAGAGCTGTGGCGCCGTTCAGAGGCGGATACAAGTGCGGACGATGATATATAAGAAAGCGCACCATGACAGTCTCCAGCTTCTCCATCTTCTGGATAGTCTCCTCTTCTGCGCTCAGTTGTTTGCTTTTCTGTTTCCCTTCCTTCTTCAATGTATTGGTATCCAAGAACTCGTTCTCCGTGATCCACTCGGCTTCAATACCGTCTAGCCCTCGGACTTGCCACCAACGTTCACCACCGACGACTGTATGGAGATCATCAGGGCCGAACCAGTCAATCAGAGTATCGGCAGCTTTGTTGCAGGTAGAAAGTGGGACCATGACGGGAACGACAGCCGCCCACCAAGGCGAGGGAACATGTGTATTCGTGCTGTTGGGCTAAATGTGAGTCCATTGCGGCGAGACAGTATATTGACCTGCAGAGACATACAAAGCTTGCAGACTCTCGATAGTGTTCTCTGTTCCGAGCTTGATGAAAGCCTTCACAATATTGAATGCCCTGAGTGAGATACACGAGGCATGTCAGTCGACACTCCGAACTAATTAAACAGCATTGAGACGCACTCGTCGAACAAGATATCATCTGTGGCAACTTGATGGCCATGCACGCCCTCTTTGAGGTTGTGTGTCTTGTGTTTGTAGTGTTTTAGAAATGTCTTAAGTACAGCTACAAGAGATACAGAACGCGTCAATCTATTAGACATGTGTTGCGAGCAGCGGCGTATAGAAAGGGAAAAGGCTAGACAAACTTGGGGTGATGTGGACCGCCGCAGAGGTAGTGCTGACGGTCATTATAAAAGTAGAAGACGGAACTTAATGAGGGACTGATACTAGATATGCTGAGACGATACTTAGAGGTAGAATGTAAAGAACGGGTGGGAGTGCTGAGCAGTAACAAGAGTGGTGGGCGAGATGCCGTTCTTTCTCAGGTCTATTCCCCGCGGCTCGGCGCTTAGTGTCGTCACTTAGACCCCAACCCCAATACAGGGTTTATTTGTCTTGACAATTTTGCAATTCTGTATTTACCCCGCAAGGCGCGCGTGGCTTGCTACTGTACCCGCTCCACCGAGGGTTGCACGGACCATCCATACAAATGTGTCTCGAATCGCTCTTTCATCGGTCTTGTATACATCCTTGGCATGAAATTCTATGTTCGTTCTCAGCAGCTGCACAATCGCTAAATCAACGTTCCGATGGCCTCAACGGCGCGCCGGTCCGACAGACAGAGGCCATAGGACCCTTTCGAGTTCTGCACTTCGTATACTCAGGCTCCCGTCTGCTATAAGAATGGCTCTTGGTGTACCTTGTCCGACTTTCAACCGTCGAGTAGATAGCCATGTCTCTCCCTTGCTTTACTAAGACGCCTTTCTCCCCGAATCCTCTTCGCACCAAGGCGGACCTTGGGCAATTCCTCACAGAGCTCCTCGACCCCCTCGCCTCTCACACATCTCCAGGTGGCGCCCGTATCCATCTTGGTTACACTGGGACCCACTTTGACGAAGCGGCCGCCCATCTCGAGGGGTTCTCAAGGCCCATCTGGGGTCTTTCAGCTCTGTTGGCTGGTGGAGGCGAATATGCTGGTGCAGAGAGATGGGTTCGAGGTTTTGCGAATGGGACGAATCCACAGAGTGAGGAGTTTTGGGGCCCGATGCGGAACAAGGATCAGAGGATGGTGGAATGTTCGGCTATTGGGTTTTCTATTTCAGTCGCAAGGGAGAAACTGTGGGATCCGTTGAGTGCCGAAGATAAAGAGCATTTCGAGAAGTGGCTCGGTGGGATGAACGACAAGGAGATGCCGAACACGAACTGGCTTTGGTTCAGGGTACGTCCAGTGGATCAACACCCTGAAGTATGGCTGGCTAACCTATATACGAAGGTTTTTGCGAATCTTGGATTGTCGAAAGTGGGATCGACCTACTATGATGCTGCCAGAATGAAAGCCGACCTGGACCATCTCGACACTTTCTACATCGGTGACGGATGGTCTCGCGACGGTCCGGAAGGAGTCGTTCAGCTTGACTACTACTCATCTTCCTTCGCCATCCAATATGCCCAACTTGTCTACTCGAAGCTTGCACAGGATATTGACCCAGAACGTTGCGAAGAATTCCGTAACCGCGCTCGTAAATTCGCTCTCGACTTCGTGCACTACTTCGACGATGAAGGTTAGTATTCATGATATCGCATGACATAGTGGATCACTTACTGAGTCTTCACCACAGGCCGTGCGGTGCCGTTTGGACGGAGTTTGACCTATCGCTTCGCTATGTCCTCTTTCTGGGGCGCGCTCGCTTTCGCCGACGTTACACCACCCGCTCCCCTTACCTGGGGCGTCGTCAAAGCCCTCCAGCTGCGCAATATTCGCTATTGGGCGGCCCAGCCAGGAGCGTACAACTCCGACGGCACGCTCACCATCGGCTTCCTGTACCCCAACCTCAATATCACAGAGAACTACAACTCACCTGGATCGCCCTATTGGTGCTGCAAGTCTTTCATCGCGCTGTCGCTACCCGAGAGTCACCCGTTCTGGACTGCTGAGGAAGAAAATCTGCCCCCACAACTCCGCGACGTGGTCAAGCCCTTGAAGCAGCCATTCCACATCGCCACCAACAAAGGTGGCCATACTTACATCCTATCCTCGGGCCAGCAGTGCTCCTACCCTGTCAAGCAGAGTGCTGCGAAGTACGGTAAATTCGCCTATTCGACAGCATTTGGATATAGCGTTCCTTCGGGCAATCTTACGCTCGAGGAGCTCGGAGGTGATAATGCCCTCGCTCTAAGCGACGACGAGGGCGAGACATGGAAGTGCCGCCGCGTCACTAGGGAAGCAAGGTTCGAGGAGGGTAAAGATGGCCAGGTATGGTTGAGGTCGATGTGGTATCCGTGGAAAGGCGTGGAGGTAGAGACTTGGCTCGTCCCGCCTCACGACGACGCGCCGTTGTGGCATCTCCGAGTCCACCGCATTCGCACCGATCGGGCCTTGAAGTCCGCGGAAGGTGGCTGGGCGATCCACGGTCAGCGGGAGGATGGAAGGGCCTTGGAACCGCTCGAGTCAGACTCTGAGGCTTTCGGAACATGGGAGCGTGGGACGGAGGGTAGAGCGGCCTCCCAGGCCGGTGTCGTGGGCCTTGTGGCGGTGGACGGTGTCGGTGCTCAGAAGGGTAGGACCGCGGTGGCACTGAGAACCGACGCGAACACGAACCTAATGGTCCCCCGCGCGGTGATGCCCACGCTGGTCGGTGACGTCGTCAAGGGGGAGAAGGATGTCTGGCTCGTTAGCTGTGTTTTTGGCTTGCCGACAGAAGGGGACGCAAGTGGCGCGGCGGCCGGATGGATGGCGCAGTGGAAGAAACGTCCGGTAGTGCCAAAAGAGATACAGGATCTCTTGGACGAGAGTTTGCGTTCGTGAGTACGGTGTATTGATGACATGTGTGTGTAACAGATCCTTGAAGTTGTCCTCACTTGAGCGGCTCTTTTTTTGAGTGGCTCATGGGTGGCTGAAATGTACTTGTATCGGCCATCGATTTTCAGTGTGAAGCACGGATATGTTGGCAAGATAGATCGACAGGGGAGTAATAATACAGTGATACAAAACATAGGCGATAGCAAGGGAAAGAGCAGACTGCGTGGAGGAGGACCAAGATGATGGTAAATACAAAAAAGAGCGAAGGAAGGCTCAGATGTGAGCTATGGCCAGATGCGTTCATGAGCATGTTGACTTCGCTATTGGGAACAAGAGACATACCTTTTTCTAGTATGATGACTGTCGAAGGTACGTTCGTTACAACAATCTATTGGTGACCCCGCTCTTGCAAGCGGCGGTCGACCTGCTGACGCCAACGAACGTAGATGCCCTCGGTGTTAGACGGAGCATATCGGCACATCTCAAATATGGATAACTGCTCCTGGAATCCGGCGTTGGGCCATATCTGTTCGCGAGCAGCTGTTCGTATACGGTGCGTCAGACAAAGGACTCTTAGAGAGTGTAGTGGAGATTTGACTGACCACGCCTAACGCTGTCTAGGGCTTGGGCTGACCCCATGTGCTGGGACCACATCACTAAAATGATCTTAGTAAGTAGTATATACTATGAGAAGCAAGAGTTACTGACAGTATGCGGCCACAACGGTTGCGCTGCGCGATAGACCGTAGACTCCGTGAACAAGGATGACACCGCCGCTCCGGAGTGCATCGTCGATGAACCTACAGGCGTGAGGAAGCCAAATAAGGAGATCGGCATGTTCCACATCCTGCACAGGAATACGAAGGTGTCGGATCCCGGACTGTGGATGCTGAAGACATACACGTCAATAGGTTGAATTAAGCATCGAAATGTAAAGAAAATAGAATTACCTCGGCAGGAATAGGTTCTGTGCAGACGCTGATGATGTGCGTGATGCGACGTTCACTGAGAGCCCGCGTAGACTGAGCAGATACAAGGCTATGAAATATATTATCACAGCAACGATGAGCGATCAGAACTTTCCAATAGAGCGTAGAGAAAAGAGGAAGGTGTACTGCCAGACCAGAAAGGGCAGGCATATGAACCAAACAGGAACAGTACTTACTTGCCCATAAACAACCGCCCTGGGACAATAGTGGCAACGTTCTTCCAACCCATAGCAATGATCTGTATGCCTTCGACGGTTTAGAGGACTGAGTACTCGACACTTGAGTGACGTCGGGGCTGGCGATAGCGATTTCTCATCCGAGGCCATGGTTGTATTTGAAGGAGGGCAAGTCGCTCACGGATGAGCACCAGTCCCGGTAAATGCATCGGATTCAATAGCCGCTACACCCATCTCTAAGCCAATGTTTGGAATACGAACCGAAAGTAGTGGCCGGGATGAGCTACATGGCGATGATGTCGATGAACAGCCATAACTAGAGTTGTCCGTTCCAGCGTAAGTGATCTACCATTTGCAATTCGAAACGTGACGTCGTGCGGCTGTGTCCGAGAGTTGGCCTCCGGAACTATCGTTGCGCTATACCACCGGACAGTCACTGCATAGGTTTTTTCTTCTGACCTCCTCCTCCTCGAAGGCGTTCACGCATCGCTTCCGCAGCCAATTTCGGACGTTGCTACTTTGTGCTCGGCGCTCTCTGACTCGACGGGGCAGCCACTCAACAACATCATGTTGACAGTGGCGAACTGTGCGCGAAGTTTTCTCAGCTTTCCGCTTGTCTCGTCCTCCGGAGTTTTAGAAAAAGTCAGGACCAGCGCGACACTACTGCAAACTAATTGTTGGCTTCCCTGAATGCTTGTCATCCTCCAGTGGCGATCTCATATATCTCACTTTGTGTATACGAAGTCGCCACTCAGTAAACGCCTAGAAATTTAACCACGCGGTTCAGATCGGGCTATGATTCCGTACGTGCTTCGGTTTCCTCCGTTTGCGTTTGAAACTTCCCTCGTCGCCTCTAACAGTTGTATCCCTTGTTCGTTCCTTGTTTGAGCGACGCTCGACAAGTATAGCCTCGAGCAGCGGTTACACTAGAGTTAATATCGTCTTATATGCGCCAACTCAGGGATCGTGCAGGAACAGTAAATGTCTAATGGCAGCTGCCAGACTGACAAACCACCTGCCGCTCTATCATCGACTCATCCTTCGGAGTTAAACAAGGTCTTTTCCGTATCACTTCAGAGCAATTCCGCAAGAAGCAAACGTCAGACTCACAGTACTACGCTATCTTCTGCTTCTACTCTGGTCAGCATTTTTCGAGACTAGTTCGAAACATACTATGTCAACTTGCATTCATGTTGTCCAATCCGGTTACACCCGACGGGGGCGTTGGAAGCACCTTGGCCAAGGACAGCCATCAACATGCATCGTGGCCCCGCCCACGTTAACTGACGTATCGCGTCAGGGCGCGTCGCTTGTGTTGGTCGTCCCGACTGATAGCCGACGGGTTCTGTGTACCGGGTCAAGTTCGTCGAAAATGCTCACCCCAGCCCGGTTCGTGCGCCATCAAGGCCGTCTGTCTCGAGCGTTCCTCAAGGAAAAGGAACATTCAAAGCGAGCAACAAACGTGGGGGTGTGGACTGACGTAACCATTGTCCTGCAGGTCGGGCCTTGCCGTGAACACGAGTTTCATTTCCCGCGGCACTCTTGTACCTTCGCAGCGACGACTGCGAGATCCACCCCACAATCAACCCTCCACTCCCAATCCACCAGGTGCTATCTTCCCCTTACCCACCCCTATCCTTTCCCCGGGATACGAGATGCCGCTCAACATTGAATGGAACGGTGTGAGTAGTTTGTAGAAGACCATTGCTTGGCTTGACTAACACCCTTGACAATTGACAGGAAGACGGCCGTAAGCGCCACCGTCCGAAAGCCTCCACCATCCATGGTTGGCTTTGCATGTGGCGCGGTACATTCATGGGTAACGAGAAAGTTCGCCAACAGGGTCGGAGGGAGATGAAGGAAGCGGCAGCTCTGAGAACATATAGACGCCAGCATGGGTCGAGTGGGAAGCGTAGTGGCGGAGGTGGCCTGTTCGGGCTAGGGAGGAGTTCTTCCACCAGACCACGTGCTAGCCCCAAGAGGCATACTAGCAAACATACACCTACTCGCAGCCATCCACAGCGGCAACTATCCGGCCAAAGCGCACATCGGCCGTCGCAGAGTCGTCGTCCGAGTCAAAGTCATCGTCATGGTGATTCACGCCACACAAGCCCGAGGCCTGCTGAGCAGGGCAAGGGCGCTGGGGTGAGTCGGCGGGGTACGAGCGGGAGCCAGGCGCAGAAGGCTCGGGCGCAGGTCAGTGCTAATAGACAGGGGGCAGTGAGGCGGCCGTCGGGGAGACGTTAATGAGCTATTGTACGTCCGTGGAGTTTGGACTTCGCTTCTGCCTATTATCGATCCGTGATCGCCCTTCTCTCTCCTTTGTATCAACTCCTTCATACTTTATTGGGCTCATTTGTTCTCTTTGGGTGTATATTGGCTTCTGCTTATTTACCTCGGGGCATGTGTCTCTTGTGTCTGTCTCTATTGACTATTACTATTAGACCATATGCGAGTTTGGGCTTGCGATTTGTATCATTCATGACCATGCTACGACCTCCTTTTACTATCTGTATCACTCTTTGACACCGCTCGTTATAGTTGTACATGTACGTTGGAATCCATACCAGTGACTCCTTGTTGATCGTATCGTTAAACCCGCCTCATCAATTCCCTAAAGTAGCTAAAGCATTCAGAACTTGGCCTCGAGAAGTTTGATTAGGACTGCAAAAGGCGCATCAAACAGCCACGTCGGAAGCGACGCGCACAGCAACAGTGTTTGCATGTTGAAGATTTTTAGTGAGGATGATTGACAGGATGCCATGCATTGAAGAACGATGACGTCGTCGGGTAGGCACGGAAGTAAAACGAAGCATTCAACCCCGGATTGGCAAACCGCCTTCCATACACAGCGCAGCGGCTACCGCCGGCTCGCTTAGCAGAGCTATCCGAAGACCGGCCTTTGCTGTGTGGCCCAGTATGTTTACGGTACAAAGGATCGAAACCGCTTGCCGTTCTTCAACAAGTCTTCAGAATACCGAGAAGCAATGCTCGATGCATGTTGTTTAACTTTACTCATCCACCACAATCCACTTGGTTTCCGTAATGACCATAGAAAGCGGCAATCTTCAGTCCGTCCTCGCGCTGAGCACCACACAGCTCCTTGAACGCCGCAGGTTGTACGATCCGACGAAACAAGATGTTTGAGAGTTCGCAACTCTGTAGTTGTCAGTGGCAATGCTCAGGTGAATCTTCTCGGCAAAAACAGCGCAATATGAACATCGTTCGACGCATGAGAACGTCAAGGTGGGGATGAAAAAACAAACATACACCACAGCATTGAACGTAGAGATGGGACCGTGAATACAGACGGCAATTGGGAACATCGAATGCGAATGGGGGAGTGCGAAAACATCGAGGCATTAGACCCATCCTCTAGCAGCACCACGCCCACCTCCGTGGCCTCGCTCCTTCCCTACCACAAACATAGCGTCTCGTAAGGTCACCAGGCGTTTGTTGTCATCCTGTGGGGTCGCAGTGGTCGACTGGGATTTATTCGCCGCGGACACGTAAGGCCTCGCCCACCCGCCTGCACCTCCTGAGCCTGAACCATTCCCTTTTTCAGTTCCAGCTGCCGGTGATGGTGCGGAAGATGGGGTGGATGGGGCAGCGGGTTTGGGTTTAGGAGCTGGTACCGTGTTGGCCGCGTTCATCCACGCATACTTGCCCGTACCCAATCCTGCCGCCTGACTCGCCACCGCATTCGACATCTTCTTCCGGACATCCTCCGACATGTTCTTCGCCGTGACTCCAGGACCTTCCGTCTTCTTCTTCTTCTTTTTGGGACCCTCGACCTCCTCCTCCACCGGTGCGCTCGCTGTGGTCGTCGTAGCACCTCCAGGTGAAACAGCGGCGAGAGCTGCTGCGTGTTGAGCGGCAAGCTCTTTCCGCTCTCTCCTGATCTTCATCTCTTCCTCACGTTCGGCCTTCTCTAATGCCGCGAGCTGCTTCGCCACGTCCCTTCGCACGGACACACTCCACATAGGCTTCCCATCCTCATACATCGACGCAGGACGATCAAATTGCGTGTCTGTGCGGTGGGCGGACGCTTCAATCATGGCAGTGACAAGTTCTTGTAGTCGGGCGCGCAATGCAAGAGCAATGTAATTGATAGAGTCGTCTGGAATCTTGGTAACTTTGTGTTTCGTGCCGATACTACGGATCGTCGGGCCTAGGAACCGTGTGTCGAAGTTTGGTGTAACAGGCTGCTTTCGTGAACGATCTTCGTAAGGTCGGTAAGTCTGATGGTACGTAGACTGTGACTGTAGTGTTTCTTCTTCTGCCTATAATTGGACGCCACAGGCACCAGCCAGTCAAGCGCTGAAAAGTAGAGTGAAACGATTGTAGAACGTACTCGCAGGTCAACTCCAGCACTGCCAAGAGCATCGTTGAGTGTAGCAACATCAGCCGTGTCTAGTTGGTTTTGGTTTTGTGCCTGATTTTGCGTCTGAGGTGCGGCCGTCACCGGTGCGGCGGTCGGGATAGGTTGGGTCTGACGTTGAACGGCGGGAGCGGTGCCCGTTTGTTGTTGTTGAGTAGCCTGAGGCTGTGGGATGTATGGCTGGTAGTGGCCGTAGGAGGCTTGGGGATAATGTGAGTGTTGATATTGGTAGTACGACGACCTGTGTGGACGTTAACAATCGCGATAGAAGTATTGTGAATGAGTAATTACGCTGTATGTTGTTGTAGTGCCGGGTCAATCGGTATTTCTGATAGCGTTTAGACCATCAGAGTGGATACCAATAAAAAGAGCAAACCAAGGAAGCCATACGATGCTGAGCCCATTGTGCAGTACTATATGGTGTGGCAGGTGTAGCAGCAGGCGTTGATGTTGAAGGTGTTGGCAATGCTGCTGCCGGGGGGTTGCTCTCAATCTTCGGAGTATTAGCTTGACTCATGGCCAACTGCAGCACAATATAGAAAGCAAGCGTTTTATACTGGATTGAGCGCAAGACGGTGGAGAGGGCTTGAGCGTGAGCGATGAAAGCACTTTCATCGCGAGTCGCGCCTTGTCGCGCGTGACGCGCCTCTTGGTTGGGGTGTCTGGGGGTACGTCCGCATCTCGGGAGACCCCGGGTACTGTTTTGACAGATGGAAGTGACGTCAGATATGGTCGCCACCAAAAATATAATGCAGACGACCATCATGTCGTGTGCAGCATTTCCGGGTGTAGCAGAGCCCTTCTCCCTTGTTTCTCCCTCCCATGTCCTCATCACTTGCACCTTCTGGCACATACGCCGTGGGTGCTACCACCTTCGTCCTCCCCGTTCGTCCAGTACGAAACATTGGCCGTGCAAGAGTGCGACGAGAGTCGGGTGACGGTACCGAACCAGCGCTTCAGCTCGAAGACGTCGTCTTCACAGCCTTTTATCCCACTGATCCTACAACATTTGCCGACAAAAAACACGAACATGGCCTCTTCTGGATGATCCGGTGGGTTTCGTTTTCATTCGAATTCGAACACAGATGATGGTTTCTGGAGTCGGGTGCCTTGGTATCCGACATTGAGGCATCACTTGGTGGTTCAAATCTTCTCCAAACCACTGTTTGAGCTAACGTTGGTGTGACCGTAGACCTCTTGCGGATTCTGTTAGAGGCTATGCTCATTTGTCCGGTGAGTTTGCCACTTCGACCCATCTAGGAAGACTCTACTCACAACATGCCTGCAGGTATCACGGCATATCTACTCTGGCCCATCATCCTGTTATTCGGATACCGTGTTAAGGTATGAGGTGGTGGCTACTCTTTGCACACCAGGCCTCAGTGATCTTCATTCCTAACTCTCTCGCCACTCATTCGGTGGCGTGTCTTTCAGATCCCGGTCTATGTGAACTCCCCTCCGGTTGGCTCAGCCATCCAACCTTCTAGCCCGGTATCACCTACGTCGGAGAAGGCTTCGTTAGGGCGCTGGCCACTAGCTCTCTTCTCTCATGGTCTTGCCGGAAGTAGAACAACGTATTCCAAGCTCTGTACGGAGATGGCGTCTTCCGGAAAGGTCGTACTCTCATTTGAGCATCGAGATGGTTCTGGCCCGGCATACAGGAGACGGGGCGGGTCAGCACAAGATTCTCAAACGCAGGCAAATCTGTACATTCATCCCGAGAACGTCAGGTACGTACTTTGGATGCATTCTACTGTGGGTGAATTATCAATTGTCTTTCATGTATGGTAGCTGGGAGGGGACGCCACCAGATAGCCCAGAAGAACTCCGTACAGAGCAGTTGGAATTTCGGCGTCACGAAATCTACCTTGCTTACAGCGCCTTCCTCAATTTGGTTCAGCACGGGGAACGCGGTGAACTTGACACGCTCGATGGAAGTGAGATAGAGTGGAAAGCTTGGGAGAATGTCGCCAAATGTGACGACGGGGTATTGCTCACTGGCCACTCGTTTGGCGGTGCCACTATAGTAAGTCTTTCAGTTTAGCTCCTTCACGTTCCAGTTCACCATGTTAGTTAATTCCTGTATTATAGCTCTCGATTCTCACCAACCCACCCCCGTTCGACACCCCACCTATTCCAGCGTCACACGCATTGGCATTGGATCCGTGGGTACAGCCATTACCTGATCCCGGTCCCGTGCCTTTCGAGGACAATAACAGGTCCTTCAGAAACGTGAAGCTCTTGGTAATAAACTCGGAACAATTCACGTTATGGGTATGTTTACTTTTTCGGCGTGCACCATTCCATTCAATAACACAATCAATTGCACGCAGAAAGACCACTTCACGAAACTGGAACACGGAGTAAAAGTGTGGACGGACAGTCATTTGCTCACTCTAGGTATTCCCTTCGACACTTTCTCTGGGCTTCTGTCCACTGGTACTAATGCGTTGCTCGTTCACAGTGCGCTCCAAGCACGTGTCTTTCTCAGACTTCCCACTCATCGCCCCACCTCCCTTTCGTGATTCGAACGCTTCACTTTATTTGAGCCAGATATGCTCTCTTTCGATTGCATTTCTTGATGACCACCTTAAGGAGACATTGGCTGGAATGAAGACCAGGAAGATGGAAATGGAGTGGGTGCAGCCGCCGGTACGATGGTGGCAAAGAAAGCGTCCAAATCCGACGAATGAGCAGAACCTGGGTCAGCGACAGCTCATTGGAGAGCCGGGTGATGTCATCGTCCATGTTCTGACTTGAGTGTACATACTCTGTTGGACAACCCTAGAACCTATACGCACGACCTCATCCATACGGACAATCAACTAATATACTTTTACTACATTATATCGTCAGTTCTACGAACTAAGTATATTCATATGTCTGGAGAAGGACCTTACTGTGCCTAGTCCGCATTACTATATTATGATTGGATCTCAGAATGTTCCTCTTGTCTTCGTGTTTTTCAACTGGCTCTCATGTTCGCAAATTGTTGCGACGCGCTCATACTCCCCTCTGATTTAACGACGCGTTATTTACATCTATTTGTGCCACCCATCGATCGCCACACTGGAGTCAGATTGGGTCCTTGTTTCACTTTTTGTTCCACGACCCCTCGCACGACCTATCGATACTACCCTATCTCCCACTACTATGCCTCCAAAGGCGTCCTCAAATGCAGCAGATACTGCGCCTCTCATCGACCTCTTCAAATCGATAGGCCTCACTCAGGCCAAAGCTGCAGAGGCGGCAAAGAACCCGAAAAGCGCTACCATCTTCAAGGACTTGATCGAGAAGTATGCGCTCGTAGGAAAGCTGGACGAGAAACAGGCAGGGTTGGTTGCTGCACTTGCGGTGCAACTGTCGAAGACCAATGTCGGGGAGGAAGAGAAGAGTTACGTCGTGAATGCTATCCTGGACGGAAGGCTGAAGAGCGTGGACCAGGTCAATGGTACGTTTGCCCTCACTGTTTGATCTCGCTTATTACACTGCATAATATACCGGAAATGAATTGCTTATATATATTGGCGAAGACAAGTCTCTGACTTTTTGGCCTTGCAGCCGCGGTGAAGTACGTTGAGGGCCACACAGTTCCCATAGACGACAGTGACTTCGATATTCAGTGTGGCGTAGGTACGATCATATGCCCTTTGACAATGGCTGCATACTCTCATACTTTTCGTGTCTCGAATAGGGTTTAGCATTACAGCGGAGGAGCTTGCTCTGCGAGTGACGGAGTACATCAAGGCTAACGCCGTTGCGGGTTGGACCAACCTTGGGTCTACCATCACCGGTCTGAAAAATACTCCCGAACTTCGGTGGGCTAGTCCACTAGATCTCAAGAACGCCGTCGAGAAAGCGTTCCTCGAGACATTTGGTGCAAAAGAGACCGCGAAGGCGAAGGCCAAGGTATGTTTTCCCATCAGCGTTGACCGTTCACGCATGTTCGTCCCTCGCCATTCGTTTACTGAACTGTGGATTTTCATCCAGGAACCGAAGAAGGAGGCCAAGGATAAGCCTACGAAACAGGCGGAGGCTAATTTCTCAGTATCGGCCTCTGGAAGCTCGAAATCTGTCTTCGAGGAAGGATTCCTTGGTCGTCTCCATAAACCGGGAGAAAACCCCCAGATCAAGCCTAGTCTTCGTGAAGAACACCTGAAGGCCACCGGAGGTCTCGTATACACCCGATTCCCCCCAGAGCCCAATGGTTACCTCCACATCGGACATTCGAAGGCCATCTTCGTCAACTTTGGGTATGCGGCGCATCATGGAGGGAAGTGCTACCTGAGGTACGACGACACGAATCCGGAGAAGGAGGAAGGGAGGTATTTTGAGAGCATTCTGGAGACAGTTCGTTGGCTGGGTTTTGAGCCTTGGAAGATCACGTATTCCAGTGATTACTTTGATCAGCTCTACGAGCTGGCGGTGGTCTTGATCAAGAAGGATAAGGCGTACATTTGTCATTGTACCGGTGAGTTAGCCTGTCATACCCGATTTCTCCACTTGGCGTTCTTATCCATCGGTGTTTCGTTTAGGCGAGGAAATCCACGAACACAGAGGCGGCGACAATGGAGGTGCGAGAACGGCATGCAAACATCGTGATCGCCCTGTCGAGGAGTCACTACGAGAGTTCGAAGGGATGAAAACGGGGAAATACCAGCCAGGAGAGGCCATCCTTCGTATGAAGCAGGATCTGGAGGACGGGAACCCCCAGATGTGGGACTTGATCGCATACCGTGTTCTGCTTACTCCTCACCACCGAACAGGCGACAAGTGGAGGATCTACCCGACTTACGACTTCACTCACTGTTTGGTTGATAGCTTCGAAAATATTTCGTGCGTCTGTCCTTTGCCATCTCGTCATACAAATATTAATATCTGAAAAATACAGGCATTCGCTATGTACCACCGAGTTCATCGCGTCGCGCCAGTCATACGAATGGCTCTGCGACCAGGTCGAAGTCTACAAGCCAAGGCAGTCCGAATACGGTCGACTTGCTATCCAAGGCTCCGTCATGTCAAAGCGGAAAATTCTCGCCCTCGTCGATGAGAAATACGTGCTCGGCTGGGACGATCCACGGCTATACACTCTCATCGCCCTGCGGCGTCGTGGCGTCCCACCAGGCGCCATCATCTCCTTCGTCAGCACGCTTGGGATATCCACCAGCCCCTCCAACATCGAACTCGCCCGATTCGACCAGACCGTCCGTCAGTATCTCGAAAATAGCGCCCCTCGGCTGCTCATGGTCCTTCGTCCCCTGAAAGTGACCATCGAGAATCTTCCAGAGGACTACGTCCTCATGGTCGAGAAACCGCTCCACCCTAAAGTGCCAGAGCTGGGTACGAGTCAGATTCCGTTCACGAGGACAGTTTACATCGATCGAGATGATTTCCGACTGCAAGACTCTCCGGATTATTTCCGTCTGGCGCCAGGGAAGACCGTCGGCTTGTTCCAGGCTCCTCATCCCATCACCTGCACTTCGCACAAAACCGATCCAACGACTGGAGAGGTAACAGAACTCATCTGCAAGCTGGAGGAACCGGCCGCGGGCCAACCGCCGAAGAAGCCCAAGGCTTTCATCCAGTGGGTGGCGGAACACGCGCCAAGCGGAAGTCCTGTTCGCGTCGATGAGACGAGGGTCTTCCACCGGCTGTTCAAGAGTGACAACCCTCTCGCTGCTGTTCCTGACTTCAAGGCCGATGTGGACCCGAATAGCTTGGAGATCATCAAGGGTGCGATGGTGGAGAGCGGGTTCTGGGCGCTTGCGAAACGCACGTATGCCAGCGCTAAGGTGGAAGGGGCGACGAGGACGAAGCGAGCGTTGGAGGAGAACAAGGGCATCAACTCGCATGAACCGGCTGCGGGAGCGTCAGGACACGGGCATGCGGATGAGCCGCAAGTGAGCAGCGAGCAGCTGGTGGGCAAGGAGTGCGTCAGGTTTCAAGGATTGCGGGTGGCGTATTTCGCGCTGGACTCGGATTCGAGGGTGGCGTCTCTCGATGAAACGGCCGATGTGGCGGCCGGGAGGAGGCAAGGTGACTTCTTGGTATTGAACCGGATCGTGAGTTTGAAGGAGGATTCGGGCAAGGCGGCATGAACACGAACCGAGAAGTAGATTTGAATGTATTTGGTATACCACTCGCGCGTAGCTAATCTAAGAGAATACAGTAATAGACCGGCGGTGCCTAGGAAAGCGGAGTAAAGAGCAGACAGCGAGAAAAACAATACAATCTTCACAGCGGAGGCTCTCCGAGACACTACTCAACAAAGCTTAACTTACGCCACTAACTTAAACTCTTCTGACGATCCAAATCAGTCCCATTCCTTCTCGTCCCTAAGTCCTCGCCTGGATCTCCACCCATAATGCCCCCTTCTTGACCACGAAATAGTCTTCGATACTTTCCTCAAAAGCTTGGAGGTCAGTACCCTTCGCGGGTCTCATCGTGAACCTTGACAGAAGCCAGCATGCAACCATTCGCATCTCCAGCAGAGCCAAATTCTTGCCCACGCATACCGTGGGTCCATACGAGAATGGCATGAACGCCGCGGAGTTGTGTGTCGCTTTCCGAATAGGCGTCACGTCGAGTCTTCCAGCTGACGGGTCTCCCAACTTAGACGCAGGGTCCTGCAGATCCGTGGATGCGAGCCAACGCTCGGGGACGAACGAGTCGGGAGCCGGTGAGAAGTTACGTGGATCGCGGTGAACGCTGTAAGTGTGAATAAAGATCTGTGTTCCCTCTGGGATGATGCTTGACGTAAATAACTTTGATTTCAGTGGAGTTAGATTGTGCGAGCGAAATGCGGACATACTGAGATCCGAGTACTTTGGGCCCCGTGCCGCGAAGAACGGATCGCTGGGAACCGCTAGGCACAGGTGGTTGTAGCCGCATAGTTTCGTTTCTTGATTCCCCGGCAGGACACAGTGCGGAGTCAGAAACACGGTGTCTATTCGAACATTCGAGGGAAGAACTCACATGCAGGCATTGAGATAAGGCATGTTGGCCAGATTAGTAGCATCGATAGGTTCATCTCCTGGCGGAAAGGTGCTGTCGACCTCTTCTTGGAGTCGAATGTAGGTCTCGGGGTGCTTCAAGAGATACCATATCAGCGCTGTCAGGACAGTGGCAGTGGTGTCCGAGCCTGCCACGATGGAAAGAATCGTGTCCGATGCGAGTGTCGCGTGCGTAGGGCGTACGGTGTTAAAGCCTTCTTCATCGTTCTAGTGATTCACCGACATGATGAAATCAGGAAAACACGTTGAGAAGATTGCCAGGCTGTCAAAATAATGTTCCTCGGTAAATTGATAGCATCCGACTGACAAGGTAATAGAACAAGTCCTTCCGCATCGGACCCATCTTCATCCTTTTTGCTAGCTTGTTCTCGCCAAGTTGTCGCATTCGTTTAATCCTCCGGCCATTGCCCGGCAAGCAAGAAAGAAGAGGCAAGCACCAAGATGCGTGCCCAAAAATTGCATGATCCCTGAAAGTATATCGAAAGACAGATCAGCTACAGCCTAGTACCGCGCACCGGCCCCAATGAATAGAAGGCGTATCATAGTGGAGATAAGCTTACTTCATGCCCGACTCAAAAATACTCCAAATCCCACAGGGATCTCCTCCATCGGCCATCATATCAAAGCCTTCCCCGAAAGCCATATCACCCAAAAAGTCGGTTCTGCCCACACAGCCGGCGATCAGCAACAGACATCGCTGAAGAGACTGCAGGAGGAGGACATACGTGAAGTAACTCATCCATGCACCGGCGTCGACAGTCGCAGTAGCTACCTCTCCTGCGGCTCGTATACGATCGTCGAAGCACTCGACGAGCTGCCGGCAACGATTCGCGAGTATCAATTCATACTGTTTGATGGCACCGCTGGTGAATCCACGATTCCAATTCTGCCGGCGTTCAGCATGGGCATGAGGATCCCGTATTCCGATCAACGGAGGTGGTGAGGTTCGGTGGTCCCAGACTAGTAGAGGTAGTGTGATGTGAGTGAGGAATATGTGAGAAATTCAGCTTCAAGGTTTGTCACTCACAGGGTCCTTTCGGCAGGCCTGAAACACCAAGGACAGATGGGATGGCCGAAGCATCCCGAATGGAGAGTTCATTAGGGCCTGCGACGTATACATTTCTCAGTGAGATCCTTCCGTAAGACAGTGCAGCAGGACTCACCGACACGCACGACATCCCCGAAACGGTCATGTAACGTCTTGTAGTAAATATGTTGTTTGCCGTCGGCACAAATGTATGAGGACCACCATTTGGAGACTCGAGCGTACACGGGACCCGGGTACGCAGCGAGTGGATGGAGAGGAGATAGGCGGTAGGCGACAGTGTAGAAAAGCAAGAGAAAGTAATACGAGACAAATGTACTGAACGTGGCTTGGAGTGTCGAGCAGGGCAACGAAACAAGCGCGGCCAACAGCATGGGAACGACTACCAGAAGAGTGATCAACTGTCCGTGATGCCTAGGCTCATACTGTTTGAAGATGATGTATGAGACCTGCGATCGGCCAAAGGTAGCAGATGAGCATTGGAACAAACACGACCAGATGCGCCGAGGAGAGGATGATGTTACGCACAAATGAAGCGCTCAAGACAATGGCCACGACGTTGAGCGGAGAAAGAATGCTTATCATACCGGCGGACAAGAGATACATTTGTATACGGTCGGTAGTGTAGGAGAGGGGGGGGGGCCTGAATGACCGGGGGGTCTTAGGGATGGTGTGAGGAGGAAGGCGTTCTTTATATCAGTCTCTCAGGTCGGCGGAACAGCCTTCACATCCATGTCAGACAGAGATGCGATCACAGCCCGATTCCCGAGCCAGGGTATCAAACGGCAAGGTAGTGGCGCAAAGACTGAAAACCCGAAGTATTACGGGCCCAGTGGTATCTTCATATGGCAGTATACAACCGGAAGCGGTCAAGGCAACGTCCTCGCGTTGGTGGCGTACGGCGTGACCTTAAGAGCCCCGCACAAATATGGGCCTGCGATCGAAGTGCCGGGCTGCAGGTACCGACAAGTGTTCCCGGTCAAATGAATCGTAGACACAAGACGATCATTGAGGAGTAGTGCCGTCAGAACCAGAGATCGTAACTTTGCAGAACTCACGCAACCGTTCGGTTTGCGTCTCGAGGCTCAGATTGTGATGTGAACTCATTCGCCGCTGGACAAGCGTGGAATCGACGTAGCACAAGGAGCAGGCGCCATGTAGCGGGAGGATGTGCGAGCATCGATGATGGATCGAGCGAAGGATTAGCCTCGTGTAGTAGAGGACAAGTCAGCCGGCGCCTGGACTGATAATATCAACTTTCAGCGGCAACAGTGGGACCTACGAGGTACTTGACATTAGGGTTGAGCTCGGTGACGCCCCGGTCATGAACCGAACGGCTGCTATCGGGGAATACGAGGAGATTGTTGAGGGCTCGTGGAGCCAGGGTCAGAGGAACGAGCTATTGTTGTCCGGTCACTCATCTCTTGCTCGGCGACTTAATAGCCGCCAGGTAGCCGCACGCGATCAAAAGGGACACACGTTGATCGTCTTCGGTCGGCGTTCATCTTATCTGCACCGGTCACTTATGCAGACCGACCGTTTATTTGACCCGCTTGGAGAGTCTCCTGCTATCCTTGATTTTCGGCACTGGCTCGCTGCCAATGGCGCAAGCGTGCACGAAAATGTTCGTTTCAAAACAGGCAAGTGCTTTTGAACTCCGTGAGGAATCTCCGACTTGACAGGGATTCTATGCAGTTTCCTCTGGATACTCTGTCATCGCCGCATGCCCTTTGGAAGCCGATTCCACCATCGTGACTTGCCCTTTCACACTCGCAATCACACCAGAACAGTCCAAGCGTGCTCTCCAGAACTTTCTCCCCGATATCCCAGATGTATGGAATGAACGCCAGCTCATGTGCACCTACATGAGCTTTCACAGAATTCTGGAGTCTGTTGTTCCCGTCCTCGCCCCTTTTGGGCCTTCCAATCTCATTCATCTCGTCATTCTATAGTCATCCCGCTCTCAAACACCGACCTTATCTCCATGTCCTTCCGCACCCTAGCAAACTCCGCACGCCTTTGCATTTTACGGAACAAGAACTCGAGGCTCTCAAAGGATCTAATCTCTATGGTGCCACACTTGATCGAGTACGCGAATGGCAAACAGAGTGGAATCAATGCCGCGATGCTATCCGTCTTGTTAACGAAGGCTGGGCCCTAGATTTCTCCTGGTGCGTTACTCTTGTCTTCGGGTTTCGACGCCTGTACACTGATCATTCTCACAGGGAGCATTGGAAGACAGTAGCGACTTACATTTCATCGCGCGCGTTTCCGTCAACTTTGTTGTCACCTCATCCTTCGCTTGTCGCCACAAAATCTTCTCACCCAATCCTTCTGCCCGGCGTTGACTCACTCAATCACGCAAGGGCACACCCTGTCTCATGGGTCGTCCATGTTCCATCGGAACCTGACTCTGTGCCCGAAGCATCCACCATTTCACTTGTACACCATCAACCCATCAGCGCTCACTCGGTCGAAATTTTCAATAACTATGGTCCAAAGGGGAATCCCGAGCTTCTCTTGGGGTACGGCTTTGTTATGCCTGACAACCCCGACGACACAATCGTGCTTCGCGTTGGTGGTGGAGGGTCGGGTGGCACCGAAGGTAAGCGATGGGAAGTGGGACGAGAGGCAGAGGGGATAGAGGGTCTGTGGCAGGAAGTCTTAGATATTGTCTCTCCACCTTCACCGGCTGAAGATGCCTCCGACTCAGATGATGATGGGGAAACCCATCCACCGCAATGGTCTCTTCACCTAGATGCGGCGGCAGCATTGCAGTCTATGGTCGAGCCGAGCCTTGACCGCCTGCCGGCAACATTTATGGAGGATGTCGTACTGAGACCGGATGTCAGGGAGATGATACAGATTTATGTGAAAGGGCAGAGGGAGATTTTGGAGGGGATCGCACGGTTCGCTCAAGAGAAAGAAGAGGCAGCTTTGAACAGTGCAGCAGAACAGGGTGTAGAGGTTGTCATGGAAGATTAAACCGAGGATTTGGACTACTGGTTATGCAATTGTACACCAGTGGCTACTCTGGCTGTGGATGTGTAGAGGCAGCAAAAATATCGATCAACACGGCTGAATGCGATGGTAGACTACTATAGTTACTGGAATACCAATGTATCGCCTCAGAAATTTTCATGTAACACTTATATGCTGTATTCATGTTCCTGTTGTGATCTTACTCCTCGTGTTCGAGCTGCATACCATTTACGAAGTGACAGATCGGGCTAACATAGACCAGCGAGCGGTCATTCATTCATCGCTCATAGAAGCGTGACGGGCCTGACCTCGAGTCTCCTTAAATCACTAAGTTGGGTAACTGCCTGCGCTTCATCACATTTCACTTGCAGCAGTGAACACTCGGTTTGCACACGTGAATACGTACAGGCATACACCCGGCGATCCTTCAAAAAAGAATATTGCACTTAACTTCCGACATTCTGACCCACGGTACCGCATGCCCAGGGGACGCACAACGATATGAGGCTAAGCAATATCTCAATTGAGACATGGACCTACTCTTAAAACTTGATAACGGCATGATAGCATTGAAAACGAGAAACGAGAAACGAGGTATATACGCAACAACAGCGCGAACCAAACTCCGGCTCTTCGACTCGATCGAAGACGCAAGGCAAAGTATAAACGACACATAGCTCGCAGTGGCGCTCATGCAACCACAGGCCATCCAGAAGAGAAATCGAGGCGGTTGATGCCGAGCTATATGTAACAGCACCATGAGGCGAACGTCTTAGCAGGGGTTTAGATGCAGGACTCACGTAGCTGCCAGTCGATGTATAGTAGTGATAGACCAGGATAGGTCCGTCGGAGTCTGTGAGCGGAGCATGACGGTCATCTCGGCAGACAATAGATATAAATAAAGGAAAAACCTGCCTGTGAAAAGGTCTTGACCTCCAGGTCCATAAATCTATACGTGACGTGAGAAAAGCGGCAATAAATGACGACGAGTAGTCAACGCTTACACTATCGTGGGTCTCAAGCACAAGAGTGCCGCCACTTTCGAGAAGACTAACTCCATTCGCGTCGTAGTACGTACCGGCAACACTGTAGGAACCACACATTCAGCGAGATGGTGGTGTATGTATCAAAACATGAACCCATACCTCGTCGCACGGCCGACGCGAATGTTGTAGGTGCTGCGAAATCAACGCCCATGGGTCAGGAGAATTCGGAAGAATGGGATATCATTCCGACGCACCTGGAAGTACCTTCACAGCAGGCATCCCATGAAGTAAAGAGATAATAATAATCCCCATAAGAATAGATAGCCGATGCCTCGATTGCTGTGCTCGATCCCGACCGCTGTGCGATGGACGTGATTGTTGTACCAGTAAGTGCACCGGTGTTGCTGACTCTGAGGTGAACTCTTAGGTATTGTCGACAGTGCATGTGATGAGTGGCAGCTCTTACTCTGTACTGCAGGCATTATGAGACGTCAGCCTTCGTCAGTCGTTAAGATGACTAGGTGACTTACAGTTTGATACCGGTCCAGAAGGAACCCAAAGAAAGCCACCACTTGTTGGTGTCGGCTAGGAGAGAAGTGTGTTCGAGTGTAAGGGTATCAAACGCAGATAAGGAGGCTTACGGTCGATGAACAAGCTATATAGTGTTGGACTTAGTCATAGTATCAGATAGAGACTTGTGGTGGAACCTGCTTACTTTGGATCAATAGCGTTATAATCATCAGAGGAATCGGAGGAAGTAATCAGTCCGTGGTTCGTCCATGAGCCTGTTATCACGAACATTAGTCCCGGGCATGCGATGCAAGTAAGTCGTAACAAGCGAATCACCTTGATATCCAGTCGTTGACGTGGCATAAAAGATAGCGGACTTCGAGAAGTAGTGTATGAGTTGAGTAATCTTCGGAGAATATGACTCTCAAAGGGTTCCATACATTTTGGCTCCCAAATGACGAGGCAGCATAGTAGAGCTATGTAATTCGGTCAGATAATAGTTGAGTTCTCCAACAGACACTACGCACCCTAAACTGATTGTTCACGTAGGTGCAATCTAGCGTGGCAGAACGTAAGAACAATTCGAGATGTAGTGACAATAATATTCACCAGGGGCCCACAGGTTGCTGAAAGTCAAGGCCATGGATGACGTCGTTAGCACACGGACGAAATCAAACGAATACAGAGGTATTACCCGTTGCTCGTCCCAGTATACTCATCAGTCCATGATGCACCATCAGGCCACACGACGCCTTCATTCGTCCAGCTACGATCGTAAGTTGTTAGTGTTGGTCATAGAGGACAATGTACTATCTACGAACGCCGTCCGGTCCGTGGAGGTGATGATCTTGATTCCAACCGCAGTGGCTGAGATGCGATGAGATTAGGTGGGGGTTTGAGCACGAAAGGAACGTACAGAAGACGAAGTATGTTCCCGCCGAGTCTTTGCACATTGTGGGATCGTGTACCTGTACGCTCAAAGATGAGGGTTGGAACCAAGGTCATACCTGGCCGTGCAACGTACTGCAGTCTAAATGCAAGAAAAACGGAGTGTTATCCCATAATACTTGCACTGACAGCTTCAACTACTTACATCTCCAGTGACCGCTCCAGGACCGACGTAAGCCAGCGCCGCGGTCGCAACAGAAATGAAAGTAGTGAAGGTAGCCCAACGCATGATTTCGGTCTACAAGGAAGATTCTCTGTCGTAGAGATGACGGATGAAACAGAACGACATACTCGTATATATACTGGAACTCTAGGAGCCTATTGCTCCGGACCGTTTACACATTCAGGGCCCGGGGTTCGTCGAGCACAAGGACAGTGAACGTTGCCACCTGGTCAACATTGACCAGGTGGTCCTCGAGGCTTGCTACTACAGACATAGGAGCAGCCTTGGTTACAGACTTGACGGATAAACCGAAGACACGCATAAGAGTCGAGCGGCACATCAGTGTCCGGGAACTGCGAGAGAACAGCAGACTATGGTTCATTTCCGCTTACAAGGGCAAGAATCACCGTAGCCGCCACGCGGCCTTCCACGAATTCAGCATAAGTATGCGTTCAATCTGAGCGAACGATATCACAAACGGGCTAACGAGCTCTCGAATCCAAGCCGAACGAGGCAGCATAGGCATACATAGCTCGACAAGCAAGTTTACTTGCCACCAGATCCGCTGTATGTTGCATCGCTACCGGGTCACCATGGGGTTGTGTCGACGGAGGGGTTGTCATCTCCGAGTCCGTGCTCCTGAGGTAAATGAACAAAGAGATCGCAGTAGCGCTGGTTGCTCTTCATATCAAGAAAGACATAGGAGGATTCCAGTCCACTTGAAGAAGGGAGTGAACAGGAAATATCTCGGCCGCGAGAGTCAATCCGCGAGAGTCAATCGTCGAAAGTGCTTCCGGTGCATCGAGGTCAACAAGAAAGAACGAATTTTCAATTCTCCTCCCAGAGCTTCCGGCGGGGCCTTGCTTGGCAATCGCGGTTCCGGATCCACGCGACTCGGGCCACAATAAGCATTTGATTATGCTCGGCTTTTCCCGGATTCCGCGCAACAGTTCAAGTCAAAAGCGTTCATGTACCACACTTGACGGCGGGCAACCCAAGGGCAACCTCTCACTCCTATATAAATGTCCACAAACGAAGGGAAAGTCGATTCTGGCAACGGCAATGTGCTCTCTGATAATGATCTTCCTTCACCGTCGGTCGACAATGCCGATAATCGTGCAGTGTTGATAGAGCGCGCAAGAGGCTTTCTGTCGTCCCCTCAGATCCGTTACGAAGGCGTGGCAGCTAAACGCCATTTTTTGGCTGACAAGGGTCTCTCTGATGCCGAGATAGCTGACCTTATCAGAGAAACCGTAGGTCCACATTATGTGTTCCTCTCAGGTGTGAGCTCAAAGTAGACGCCACAGGCCCCCTCCGTCCCTCCACGGACATACCCACAGCTTCCTCCATCAAACCTGCCCGTATTACTTGCTGGCCTGGTTCGGATCATGAAATGGGCTGCTGGTGGCTCGTTGGCTCTTCTTTTGATTTACTATGTTTGTCCATCTATGATATTTCAACGTGGTGCATTAGCTTACATTTAATATAGCGTTTCATCCTACCCCGTCTTACAGAAACCTTCATGGCTCGTCATTCAATAATGGGACATCAAAATACACTTCTGAAGCAGCTGGTTGGCTCACTAGAGACGACACGCGAGGCACAGAAAAGCACCTTCGCCACTCTTCCCAAAGTAGAACCGTTGCACGAGATTGTTCCTTACCGAGACTGCCAAACGTTGGCCGACATTGTGGCCGCGAAGGAGGCAAAGCCACCGCCAAAGATTCCCCCATATACTGTACTCAGTTGTGCCCTGGCAGACTTCGTGGCCAAGGGAGAGCAGCCTACCACAGAGGAACTCTTCCACGAGATCAGCTCAAAGCTCCCTTGGATCGAAGGTAATACTTCCTATTGCGTAGGTCGTCCATATGGAGTCATTTTGCCTATTGTGATCGATGGTATCTTTCCTGTAGGATCAACTATGGACGATGCTCTCCACTAATCCGAAGTATTTTGTCGCCGATGATTCCGACTCGCCCACCGTACGATGGTCGCACACTACACCACCACCTCCCCCACTTAGTCCCCTTGTTTCATCACTCGAAAATCTGAAGTCAGGGCTACCCAGTCCCACGTCATCTGCATCCTCAAGTCGATTCCAACATACTCTCCAAACCTTCATCGACTTCACAGGGTACTTGACAGCACAAGTATACACTGTGTCCACCGCAGGCCTTGGATATCGTCCCCCAGGTACTCATACCGCAAGTCTCAGCCCGCAAGAAGAGGAAGTCAGGAAAGAGATCAGGGCGTTGAAAGGCCTTGTCCTAAACAGGTTTGTCAACGCTACTCTGCTAAGATGATTGACCATCTCACGCTTTCGGCCGCCACTTAGGAGGACTTTCATGCCTTCAAGGTCATCTAGTACCCTAATACGCAATGAGCAAGCATAACCCTGGCCTGAGATCCCTCTTTGCGTCCGGCAGCCGTCCTGTATCTGTACCATCTTCCACTGCTGTGCGCTACCCGCTACACATCAGCAGATGGACCCAGCTGAATGATGCAACTGTTCGCGTTGGGTGCACCTTGTCTGATGGGCCACTGACACTTGTCCATAACAAGATATCCCAAATACACACTCAAAGAATTATCCTAGATCTCGGGTTCAAGAAACCCGTAAACTCTAGAAGGATAGTGCCACGGCCAAGTCCCTCGTCATCTAGAAAATCCAGTGAAAATTCGACTGTATAAACTCTCAACTTCCGAACTAGTAAAATACAGCTGTTAGGAGAGCAGGAACGACGCGAAGCTGAGCGGGGGCGGCCAGGGGCGATCTAACCGCCTTGAAATAACCCGAGTTCACCGACTGATGCCGTTGCCAGCTCCCGCGCCTTTTAATGATCCCATTATTCTGGGTCGTGCTATTTTCCTCCCCCCTTTCTCTCTATCCTCTTCGTTCGCACCTTCGCTTTCATCTTCTCTTGCTTTCCTCTCTTTTTCTTTCCATTTTCTCCTCGTCCTAGTTCTTAGGCCTGGTCGCCATCAATCACGTTCTCTACGCAATTTGTAATTTGCTCGGTAATTAGCGACTCGAAGCAGCGATGCGCAGCTCGTTTTTGATCCTCGTCGTTGCTGCCGTCTCGGCCAATGCACTCACCCTGAAGCCAGCCCGTCGTATGTCTTTCGGCAAATATGCTCATCCTTCGTTCATTCTACTAAATGCTCGCCACATTGGCATGTTGGACATCGACCAGGAGCCTCACTGACATGCGACTCGACCGACAAGGCTGGAGGGACTTTCATCAAGACTGAGACTACCACAGACGAAGGTGCAAACCTTGTCGTTTGCTCTTATACCTCCGGGACGTGCCAGTATTTTGCGGAGGTGGGTCGACTCCTGCTTTATGCCTGAGAAGAGTGAGCTTCTCTTGATGACGCTCGATACTAGAATGGAACTTTCTCCTCCGGATCAAGCACATGTCCTAAAGGTCTAGTTGCTGGAGGAAGCACCGACACGACCACATCGGCGGCGGCGGCATCAACCACGGCCACAGAGGCTACGTCCACGAGCACGTACGTTCTGTTACTTCGATGAGAGTCGCCCCCCACTCGAATTATTATTTACGCAATGATTGTTTCGCTGGCTCCAGTCCACCCCCAGCGACAACGACCGCTGCAGAATCGACTTCTACTACCGAAGCAGTCACGACATCTTCGACATCTTCAACGTATGTTCTTCTACTCACAATATCCTCATAAATTGATACCTAATTACGGCAGTTCTTCTGATACCCCTTCTTCGACCATACCCCCTGCCACGACTTCTTCAACCATACCCCCTGCCGCGACAACCTCGTCAACTTCTTCGGTGGCCGCCACCACGTCGTCTTCTTCCATCATCTCGACTACGTCAATCGTTTCGACGACTTCATCCTCGTCCAGTAGTACGGCCGTGGAAGCTACGACTTCCGCTGAAGCGACCACCTCGTCGTTCGTATATTTTGTCCCACCGATATCCTCACAAGCCTCTGATTTATTGCACAAATTTATAGGAGTTCCAGCGCACCGGCCAGCACTTCCACGACTCCCGCCGTTGCAACCACTTCCAGCGTAACCCGAGATGTGGCTGCACCGTCCTCGGCCTCTGCCGCTACTTCGTCTGCTGCGTCTGCCACCACCACTGCGACCACTTCCGGAGCTATTTCCGTGGCCGCTCGCTCAGGTTGGACCTGGAGCGTTGTTGCTGGCGCTGTGGCATTCATCTACGCTCTGTGAGCGGGGCGCGCTTTGGAGTTGACATCTGGTCTTGTGGATAATTGATCTTGGATGATGGGCTACTTGCTTCTTGATGATGCGTTGCGTCTGGCAGCTGGACTGATGCATGTTGAGCATGGACTTTCATGGACTTCTTTCATTGGACTTTTAAACTTATATTCATGTGGTTACTTTATTTGTCGTGTTTACCTTTAGGCTGTGCTTATGACACATTACTAAAGTTTTTGGATCTGTGAACCAGAGTGAGAGCCGTGTTTGTCTAAGAGATGGTACATTCAACGTTCACATTTAGCCACAGATAGGGCTCCTACTTCGTACATCTCGCGAGGATCATCATCACAATTGAGATACCCAACCCCCCTGCTCTGCGAAAAGCTTCGCCACAGGGCTAGCGACGTGTAAGAGATGTTGGTCATAGTACCGCGGCGCCACGAGAGACAATCCGATGGGCAATCCTACGAGAAACAAGATTCAGCACACAGCTAACTTATTATCATATCACGAAAGATCTCTACCGACCATGAGCTCCACAAAATCCAGGAAGATTCACGACAGGCGTGTGCAACACGGTCCACATCCCACAGAAGACAGGCGATCCAGTATGCTCGAGTCCAATAGGCGCCTCATCTGGAGCACTAGGCGTAATGATTCCCGCATAGCCCTTAGCGATCTCGTCAAACTTCGAACGCAACGCTGCCATGCCGTCGTATGCCGCCAACTGTTGCGCTCGCGTTCGACCTGATTTGTTTTCGACGGTGTCGACGAGATGCTGGTCCAGTTTGTCTTTCGAGGTAGCGTAATCGCCGAGGAATGAGGCTCTGCCTTCGCAGTCCAGGATGGTCGTATGCCAGGGTGTGATTTGCTCAAATTCGGATGGTAGTTCGAGCTCTTCTACAAGTGCACCTTGTTGGCGGAGGAGGTCTGCCGCTTTCAGCATAGCACCTTTTGTAGCTGTAGTACGCACTGGTCAGGAGACGCTCATTCTCAGTGAAGCAATACACGTACATTCACTGGCTTGCGGCCAGACATGAGTCTTGCAGATGGCGAATTTGGCGTCTTCGAGCTTGAAAGGAACATGTGGTACTGGTTTGTCGTCGTCCAGGCAAAACACCCTTGTAAGTAGCACCAGGTCGTCCACACTTCTGGCATAAACTGGCAATGACAATAATACAATTAACAATGGGGAAAGGACGAAAAGTGTGGTGTCACTGACGGCCCAATGCTTGAAGAGAAAGATCTGTGCGTCAGACTCGGTTCGAATGATCTTACGAAAGTATTCCACTGACTGTCTAGCATTATGGAGTAAACTTTCAATCCTTCTCTAGAGATAGCTCCCCAGGTAGGCTTCAAGGCATAAACACCATTGAAACTCCCAGGACGGATGGTGGAACCAACGGTTTGCGTCCCTAGCGTGATGGGCACTTGAAAATCAGCAACTGCTGCCCCAGAGCCGCTCGAACTTCCGCCAGGGGTTCTCTTAGGATCATGGGCTGTGGGGCACTGAATGTTAATTATTGCAGTTTGAAAGCTCGTAACGACAACCCACGATTCCAGCACGGTCCCCCTTTCACGACCGAGGCAAACTCAGTGGTACAGGTCTTCCCTACTCGCAAGATTCAGTAACCACTCTCGCACACGCGCATGCCAAACATACCCAATATCAGTGCACCGGCGGCCCGAAGAGTCATAACGCATCCAGCATCGACAGCAGGGTGGTGACCTGCATATATCGGTGAGTTGTGCTGCGTGGGCATGTCTTTGGCATAGTATCAGCATGCATAATTGGGTAGGTGAATGGGACTCCCATGCCTTTCGTATAGATTATATCTTTGACCCCGATGGCAACACCATGGAGCGGGCCACGCTTCTCTGGAAGTACCTGATCTAGTTCTCGAGCAGACTTCAAGACGAGATCTTCATCAAGGTATGCTGGACAGACACATATTACGATAAACATTGATTGATGAGATGTTCTCAAGTAACGAATAAACAATTAAGCAAGAGAACTCACCCCAAGCATGCACCACAGAGTCCCGTTCATGTACACGAGAAAGTAGAGACTTCGCATAGTCTTCAACGGTAAGTTTCCCTGAGGAAGTCAGCGAGACAACTTCACTCGCAGTCAGTCGATAAGGGTCCTTCGCAGTCATACTGTATTCAGTCGCAAGACTGCTTGAAAGATGTTAATCCGAGCGGGTATCACAGATGTTGAAGGTCTATTGGAAGGATGAATGCGACAATCCTGGGTTATCCTCTAATATCTGATAGGAGCATAGGTGTGACCTTATCGCCTGCATACGGTCTTTTACAAAGCAAACAAGGATAGCGAAGCATGTCTATGACGTATATCAAGGAGAGCGGAAACCCGATACGAGAATAAAGAGGATATTTAGACTCAGAAGAGGATTTCCCGTAGTTTGCGAGCGCACGCTGCATGTTCCGGGTGTTGTAATTGGTCACCTCTTTCCTGAAGTCAAACCCTGGCCCAATTTGGTCCACTTGAAGTTCTCATCCTGTTCAATAAGATATTCCTGGGTCGAATGGTCGAAGGTATATGGGGCTCCGAGGACTTTTCGAGTGGATATACCACGGTAGGACCAAATCTAAATTAAACATATCAGCGAGAAACTGTGGATATAACCGAAGATGAGCATGCCACAAGCTTCGGGGTAGTATGTCCAGAGTTAGATCGCAGACATCCCGAGTTCCATATTCAGGCGTCTTCAACTCGAGTCATCATCCTCATCGACATCCATGCCCTCCACCTCTCCTCTGATCCCTTCAATGCCACCGTACGGTAACCTTTCATTGATCCATCTTCCCGCAAGGTAGTCGATCCTACATAAACCAGACGCCGTAGAAGTCGCCAACAGCGGTGCCCCGCTGAGGCCACTTCCAGAGTTCCACACCGCCTGAAGTACACCGATGTTGGCGGGCCAGGCGCCAGTGCCGACTTCAGGTGTCGGTGCTCCCTTTTTGGCGCGGATGGTTGCGGATGAGCGGTCGGGTGTTTCTTGAGGTAAGAAACGGTCTAGCATACGATAGCTCTGTGTAGCACGGTTGTAGTCGAGCTGATACACTTTGTGCATGAGAAAGGGCTAGTCACGAAGGCGCAAGCAAAAAAGGAGCGATCAGTAAGCTTACTTCCAAGCAAAAGACACGGGGAATGCTTACGACAAGACCCCCACGACGAGTGGAGCGAAGCATGTTTGTTGTAGTACAGGTTCCGTCTGCAGAGCCTACAGCCAGCTGGGGATGAAAATCTGAAGCAGCAGCTGTCTGTCACAGAAAGACATCGAGCTTATTATAGTATAGTATCAAAGTGTTCAAGGTGGACACTTACCCAAACAGGGCCGTTCGGCTCGACCAATGTATGGCCTCTACCTAGCATGCTCAGCGAGGCCGAATAAGCCTTGACGATATTCTCGTGGTCAATCGTGATCGGTCCACCGGCAAATGGCGAATACGGCATGCAGGGTATCACATCTGTGCACACCAATTCTCAAGTCAATAGAATTCTCCCATGCTGAAAAGGAGCCACAAACCTCGAGTGCGATTCATGATGTGGCCCGCAAGCTCGCGGATATCAGTGAAACACTCAACACCGTCGTACCCACCGCTAGCAATGACAGTCGGATCTTCTGATGTGAGGGCCGTCCCGTCTGGTGTTGTTGCAGGTACACGGATCCAGGACAGTGCGCGCACACCCGACTGATGGTTGACGATATAGTGCGTTGGTAATAAGCCTGTAAGTAAATCAGTATACACTCGAAGAAATGTAATAGAAATCACTTGCTATTATCGAGATTCCTAGAGCGCAGGGTGTCACCGATATCATAGACTGCGATCGCACCTAGGGGTAGTTGGTCAATTATCATATATGCAGTATGCGGCTGGTGTAATGCACACCATTAGCACATCCGACGGCGATGAGCTCGCTATTCGCCCAGTCTAACGTCCAGCACGATGTTTCCTCGAGTTCGATTCGTAGGAGCGGCTCCGGGAGCTTCACTGTATAGAACGAGCTAATTATTACAAGGAATCGCACCCACAGATAGGACACAACATACCATACAAAGGACCTGGCTGTTCTGAATCCAGGAGGTCCTGGGGGTAAGGGACAACAAAGATGGAGACAGATCCATCTTCAAATGTCCCGGCAAGCAGTCCCAGCTTTCGAGGTTGGTCGGAGGCGTCAACTGACATCTACATCAAAGAGTGTTCAGTTTCTTCGGAAACACTACTTACATTTTCATTTTCGGCTCAAGATACTCACTTTGTCGTGGGCTGGAAGAGGGCACCATTTCAAAGTATACGCAGGACCACAGTCAATGCATAAGACCATCTCGCAGCGCATCACTCCTCGATCGTCTTTTGACGCAGCAGAATCTACAGGCTGAGTAGGTGACAAGCTCCATATCTGAATACACGCTGGAGATGGCCTTGCAACTTTGACGCCAGCTTCCGGTGCGTGGGTAGATGTAGGAAGAGGTCCTACTGCTAGATACTGCTTGTATTCCAGATCTACGAGATGGTATGAGAAACAATCCAGAACGTCAATGGGAGATTATGAAGAAAAATAAATAGAAGACGGACTTGCACGGTCTTCTGCGTGTATTGGACACCAGTCGATGGACCACACAGGGGCACCCGCATTGAACACATGAGAGCGACTCTCTGGCATGAATTCCGCTGAGCTATTGTCAGCTATTCTGACGCCTATGCGAAAAAGCGAGCGCACATACAAAGCCGAACTGCGTCAAGCGGTTGCATCTTTACTGTCTTCTGCTTTCCGAAGGGTCCAAAGGAGCATTCGATGGGTGGAGGAGGCTTCAGACTGCCTTCTTCCGTCGCTACACTATCGGACGGCAGATAGGTTGCAGCATTCCTGTCGTAGAAGAATGGAGGAATCAGAGATTGTGGCAACTGATGCAAGAAAGAGAACCAACGTGTCATTGAGCACAGACCACCCTTCTACCAAGTTCACATCATCGTGCACCCTAGGCCTTCTGTTCCCATCCCACCACTCCTCTCCATCGCCTTCCTCCTCTTCCTTGTACCACCCCCTATCCTCACTCAATGCCCACAACGGCCCATTTCCCACATTATATCCCCATGCCCTGTTCAACTTACCCGTCGTGACCCTACTTGACGTATAGCTATTCGTCGGCACCGTCTCGTTCTCTCCAAAAAGCACTGGCGGCCTGACGAGTCGTTCCACGCGCCCGTAGCGATGAAATATCGGAATGGCTTTGTGACGATGATGAACGCTAAGCGCAGGGAGTGTATGATTCTTCGGAGCAGAGCGTAGACCGCGTCCAACTCCAATGTTGACTGTCGAAGAATCTTTTGGAGAGCCTTTACCTTTTCCACCCCTTCCTCGACCTCTTCCCTGCCCCGTTCCGAGCACGTCCCGGTTAGGCCCAACGGATCCTTCCTCGTCTTCATCAAGTTGATCCTCCTCCTCCTCTTCAGGATTCTGATCAGCTTCAACATTCTCGTCCTCGGTCACTTCATCAGCATCGTCGTCAGCGGGCGGTGGCGCAAAATCGCTTCCGCTGTCTTCTTCGTCAAAGGTAGGCTGGGGCTGAGACGGTCCAGGTTCGTTTTCGTCTGCGTCTTCATCCTCATATCGAAGGAGCGCGGCATAGTTCTTGCGAGTCTTTCGCGGACGGAGCTGTCGTGCCATTCAAGCCTATGCAGCTTCACGATGGTCAAACATCCAAAGCCGCGCTTTAGTAGCCAAACTCGCATGAAAGGCTGCAGTAAACTTACAATTCACGGACGTCTAGTCCTTGATCGCCAATAGGGAACTTGTTAGTATATGAGCACAGACAAGCGCATATACCGACCAAGCATTGCAGCTGCGGTGCATAAATGGACAACGACTTACGATACGAAAAGAATGGCGGAAGAGGGTGGCGGTTGCCACACAAAAAGTGCTTTCGGAAACTTCCGGGGACCCCTATCCTCCCGACGAACGATGTGGCGTGCCACACGAACGAACGCAAGGGAACAATGAATGTTCAACGTTCAGATTTACAACCGGACTAAACCTCATTGCACATTCATACTCACCCAAGGTCTTGGTATAATAATATATATTAGGTTACAATCCATCTGCGTCTGCGTGACAGCGTCCACATCTAACTATGGTATGTACACATTGCGCCGAAAGGAGGCTAGCGTATAAACGTGCAACGCAGACGAGGCGTACAATAAGATCCTGTCCAAAGGTTAAAAGAAGTAAAGAGGAGGGCGAGCGGCTAACCAATCACCATCCCTCCAAAAAGTACCAGTGCGAATGAAGTTGAGCAGAAAGACCCCGTGCGGTAACCGCGACTGAGGGAAACTTAGGGAGGAGGGGTGTGAGAAGAGTATGTCGAGCCGATATGACGGACGAGGTTGAGTGCGACAGCAGGGTATGTATGGATGAGAAGATTAACAGGAAAACCTGAGCTGTGGCAGGCGGGGGTGGAAGAAACAATAACATGCAAGGCATCTGGATGGGGAACTCAGAAAGCATAACGAGAAGAAATTGAAAGGGGGACAAAGTGTGGGCATGCATTGTCAGAGTAACGAATGCTAGTTGGACAAAGTTCGAATGGAAAGAAAAATGTGGGTGACAATTCGTCAATGAAAGCGTGCTCATCTAGTCCAAACGGTGGCTGGTCTCAAGATGTCTCAGTACACCATGATCATGTGCCATCGAGAAAGGAAAACTAAAAGACGGCTAAGGAAAAGAGCTCGTTCTAACTGTTGGGTATGAAAGCCATCAAGACTTCTCCAGGTCACAGGCCAAAGGACAAACGCCAATGGAGAGAACAAGAACAAGAACAAGGACACGGCGACGAGCCAGACAACAGGGTGGTGATAATACAGTGGGGACGTTGGAAGTGAATGCGGGTAGCAGTGCGGGCAAAGCGACAGAAAAGAGCCCGTTGACCTCCGGGTGCGGGGTGGGCGGGAGACCGACGATGTGGACGCTGTTCTCGATCGAAGACAGACAGCATTGAGCAGATGAAGTAAACGATTAGCATTCTCCGAGGAAGCTATTCTTCGGCACTGTCTGTCCGAAGTCGTCAACCCAGGTCGTAAGATTGGGGTTGTTGTATGCCTCGATGTATCTGAGGGAGGTGTGGATCAGTTCACGAGGATACGAACAACAATGCAAAAAGACCGCACTCGTTGATGTATGCTGCAGTTGGGAAGTCCGTGGGATCACATCCGATGTTCAACGAATCGGGTTTCTGGTATACGCGAATATAGTCCACATACATCTTAGCCTGAAGACGAGAAAAATGTCAGATGCCAACATATGCACGGATCAAGTTACGACTTACAGGGAAGATGATGTCGGCCAAATCCACGGAACCGAAATTGTACGACATGCCCAAGTTAGCGAGAATATACTATGGAGCAATGCGTCAATGTCCGACGATAGAACGATAAAGGTTACCCAGTACTTACCATGGGTTCCTGCGGAACAGGACGAGCTGCGATCTCGGTCGCTGTATCTGCTGCCATGCCGGCTGCTCTCAATGTCCATGAAGTCTTATTGTCCGAAATCCAAGTAATGTACGCGTCGTCGAAACCTGGTTTGTACTAGACAAATTTGTTCAGACAGAGCGGGGGAGGATGGAGGTGTGAGGATACCGCACCTCATATCCGTACACGGAGTAGCACATTTCGTTCTCCTGATAACAGTTCTGATCTGTGGTCGTGACGACGGACGTAGCTTGCTGGGTCGAACCACCGCTATATGTGTTCTGGTAGCTGAGGGTTGTATTGTAGATCTGCTCATTCTCCGTCGTGTTGTACCAAATATACGCGGCATTGAAGGGCTGAAAAGGCATCAGCGGTGTGATACGACCATATTATGAGGGGTGACAAGAATAACATACAGCCCATTGCGCCGACTGGGAAACCTGACCGGAGTCATCTGATACCTGCGCCTCGAACATATCGATTTCGGGTGCAGAACGACCAACGTAAGTACCGTCTGAGTGTACAGGCCCTGGATGGCTTTCACCTGGGCATGTGCACCGGGAGAGACGTTGGCCTGGCAGATACGACAAGACACCGTCTACGGCGGTGTCTCCATTTATGGAAGCAGCGGCTGGTACACCATTAACACTTTGGTTGGCGACAGTACCGACGTCGCACGAATCGTAGGTGTAGGGCCACTGCACAATCAGCGTCAGTACCGAGGGTTTATGATGTTATGCTCATGCAAGCTGTACAGACCGTCCCGTCCAAGGTGGAACCATAACCAGCGCGCCCGAGATTGCCCATAGTCCAGACGGCAGGCCAGAGACCGACGATATTGCTGGCACCAGGAAGGATGACAGACGTCTCGATGTATCCGCCCGTGAAACAAAACTTGTTCCTATATATGAATTAGTCTCATGACGATCATAATCACGCAAAGCCTAGGATGTACCATGTCTGGATCATACCTATGGTGCATGTCAATGTTAGACATGGATTAGGGCTGAAGAATAAAGACGGCTTACCGCCTTGATAGTCTAGACCGTGCTCTGCCTTCTCAGAGAGTGAGATGACCAGTGAGCCGTTAGAGGTTGTCACCGCTGCAGGGTCGTACCACTCCAGATTGTTTGTTGCCTGCGCGCAGAGTCAGTACGACAGTGATAAATGAACCGTTTCGTCGAAACTCACCCAGTAGTGAAGGTCCACAGCCTCCCAGTAAGGATCATCGCCGGGATAGAATGTGCGCCCGTCCGTCTCGAACTCATCGGAGAATACTAGCTGCATTTCTGTGCCATCCTCCCACGAAGTCTTGGTGTATGCCCACGCAGGCGTGTCGTTGTCGATGAGACCGAAGTTGCCGATATCGGGGACTTGACCTGACGCGTTCAAACCGAGGTTGTAACCGTTCAGCGATGAACTCGACACTACACCGGCGAATGACAGGATAGGATATACAGCACTGTACGCCGCAGTTTAGGATATATGTCGTATGGGAATGATAAGTGAAACTCACAAAAGACAGATGATACCAATGGCGAGGAGGACCAGACAGCCTAGGTTCGTAAGACCTCGCATCGTAATGAAACTAGAACCTGATGTCTTTCCGTCTGTGAGGTCGGAAGGATTGTGCATATCATCGTCTGCCTCAGCGAATTCGGGGCTGAGGTTCGTGCCCCATCGCGACGGATCCGGGGATAATGAGAACTTGAAAGAGCAGAAGTAAATTCGACACGGTCCACAAAGACGAGAGATCCACACACCTTTTCTGCAATCCCGCTGCCTGAAGAGGCGTAATGGGAGTATGGCGTCTCCGACTGTTGGAAACCGGGGTAAGTAAAAATGGCAAAAAAACCACGAAATAAATTCTACCAACGCTGAAAGAGTGTGTAGAATCCCGGCCGATGGAACGAAAGAGGGGAGTACCAGCAACCAGGCTAGAGGAGGAGGTGAAGGCCGACTGTGGTTCCTTGCCGCTGAGGAAGGGCGAGGAGGACATCGTTGGCGTGGGCGGGGAAAGGAGATGGGGGAAGGAAGAAAGAAATGAGGGATGCTACCGCAGCGTCTGCACCATGGAAGACGACGACGGCGGGCCACCCGCGGCCAGGCCACCCATTCTGACGCAATGATCTCCGCTCGTTTCTTTTCCTCCGACGCACAAGTCTCATCGTCTCCGTTGTGCCCTCATTCGCCAGCCGCCGCTTCGGATCCTCCTCCTTGTCCCTTCCTTCCAAAAGGGGCCGCTAGAGGGACCGATCCCCTTTCGGCTGTGGGGACCATAAAATTTGCGTTATCGGCGCGCAGGCGTGCTTGGCCTCTGTTTTATGTGGCCCCACAAAAACTCTCGGCTGTTCGCTTTGAAGAAGGGGTCAGTTTCACTTCCGTTCATTATATACTCCGGACTCCACACAAGCCCACCCCAGCAAAGCAGTTCACAACAGATTTTGCGACTCTCTTACCTATCGCCAGCCATTCAGACTTGTAGGGACAAGGTAAGCATGGAAGATTCTGTCGACCGAGGCCTGCTGCGCGTAGTTTGAAATTTACGTCGGAAGCGATCTTGGCGGCAGTCAGACCAAGCGCTCCCACGCTCCAAGTTCAACATCAGCGCCACTGGCATATCGGGCTCGTGCCACACAATATGCAGACGTCTCCAGTTTCCAAAATTAGTGCGGAACGCCAGGTTCCAACGCTATACATCACTGTGATATGAGTTCGCCGTATGGTATTGTACTGATAATCTCTGTCAATGAATATCACCCTCCGGTGGCGTCCTTGCCACACGCCGGCGCCGCTCGCCAGTAAAAGCTTGGAAGTCGGTCGGTCGGTATCTCAGAAACCCCACACTGTATCAATCGTCCTCACACTGAAACTGCCAACCCTCCCTCGGCTCTACCGCGAGACTCCACGCGTCATTGTCGGCAATTACGACGATGCGACCTTCAGACGACTCACTCAGGCTGTGGCAGAACCGCGAGTCGGAGTTTGTAGCATCGTTGTCGTCCGTCCCAAATCATCGTAAAACCTCCACACTAAAACTCCTTCAGTTGCGCCGCACCAGTCTTCAATGTCGTTCTGTAACTTGGAGTCAAACTGAACAGCGTCCATCCTGTCCTTTTTACCCACAGTGAAAGGATCTTCGTCGCAACTGTCCCGACCGATGGCGCCACAGTCGCTGCTTTTCTGACCGTCATTTCCCTGGACAGCCATAGCTTGCGGTGGGGATAGAATTGCATCCTTGGAGGACAGCGGCAGAGGCGATGGCATGAAGTCGTCCTCGAACCCAAGCATTGGGTCCTTGGCCTCCACGTCGGAACAAGCCTCAGGACTAGGGCTGGGACTAGGGCTAGTACGAATGTTCGCACTCGAACGCCTCGGACTATGCGGAAGAGTAGGCGACTCCAGCCCTGCCTGCATCCTCAACCCGATCGCCGCGCGACGCCACACCAGAGCCGGGCCCTGAGCCATCTCGCGCTCGACGAGTGCGATTCTAGGACTCTTTCGACCCACGCGACTCGCAGAAATCGCACTCGCCTGCGCGTTCGGACGGGAAGGAGTGCTTATGGTTGTGAGGTGTCGTGGGGAAAGTAGACGTGGACCTGAAGGGGTCTGGTCATTCGTGGGCTGCGCGGCGTGTAGTATAGGTGTGGTACTGGCGACGAAAGGATCCTGGTCCTGGTCCGATGAACGGGAGGCTTCGTTGATATCAACGCGCAGTTGACTCGTGGGTTGCTGAGAAGATACATTGTTACAGCCGGAATCTGGCTGAACGGGAAAGGCGCCGTCTATACGAGGTGTTGGTGAGGTCTCGACTACGGCGGACGATATGTGGAAGACGGGAGCAGGCAGGAAGTTGAGAACGGAGCCTGGAAGTGTGCTTGGAGGAGACGGTGTCGTCGGTGGGGATGCAGGTGAAAATGGTGATGGTAGTGATTTCACATGGTAACCCTGGGACGACTTTGGGTGGTCAAACGGTGTCTACGTGCAGTTGGTCAGTACATACCCAGGCTTGTTGCGGAAATGAACGGACATACCTCAAGAGATGTGAGAACTACCTCTTTCTCTATTTGGCAGACAGAAGAAGTCGCACTCTCTTTCCCTCCACTAGACTCAATCTCAACGGAAGAGTCCGGAAGAACCTTCTCTTCCCAAACCGCCGCATCCGTATGTCTATCCTTCTTCCGACGCTGGAAATATTCCAAGGTATTAGAGCGAAGTATATCTTCGGATGGAGGCTCCGGCGAAGATAACGCGAATTTCGTCTCGAATGAATATTCAGTGCCGGAGCTGGGGAGTAAACGCTCGTGGTTTAGATCGAGACTCGAAGATGACGTCGAAATTGTGATAGTTGGTGGTGAAGAGTTAATGGGTCCACAGCTCTCTGGTTGCGGCTGACTAGGCTGCGAGAAATCGGTTGTGGCGAAGCCAATGGTCTGAACTGTCGCGGCCGACGGTGGAGACGGTGGCGAGGACGGCGGATCGAAAAAGAGAGGTTCAGGTTCGTCTGTGTCTACACTGTCGCCCGCACCAGTTGTGACCAAATCCAGGTTTGGTACAGAGTCTTCTCGAGACTTGGACGCGCCCTTCGACTGCGAGACATCCACCGCGACACCGTTGAATAGTGAGGGTATGTTCGAAGTTTGAATGGGTACAAGTCCACCTCCGACCGGCTGTGATCTCTCGATCCGAGCAGGACCAGAGCCTTCCTTCTCCAGCTTGTCGACCAACTCGCTGCCGAAAGTCCTAGCAGTATGGTGGAATGGCCCGGACTGTCTAGGCGACGTCGCTCTGGACCTTTGGGTCCTGAAGGAAGCTCCTCTAATGCCTCTCGTCCGTGTTCGACCTCTAGTCTCCGTGAAACGACCTTGACCAACGCCGGGACTCGTTACAAACGAGTAACCTGCGTTATCGTTAGAATTGGCGCGCCACTGTGGCGTATAGGCGTTCTCCTTGTCGTGGCCATCGTCGCGCCGGAAACGACTGGAGGGACCAATACTCTTTAACGTGAGGTGACGAGGTTGATCGCGTGATGGAGTGCTCTGTTTCGCTGGCGTCTGGAAAGGACTCTGCTGACCGAAGGAGGTGTTAGGCTTATCGGTGTTACAACGGTTATCGGGAAGTGGAGTGCTCGGAACGAAGGAAGGGAGAGGTAGAGCGAGAATTGCTTTCGCGTATTCGGGGTATTTAGCGGCGAGCTGCATTGAAATTTGGAAAGGTTAATGGGCTGGGAGATTATGTAGCGTACACAAGGATGAGAGACGCGGCTTACGCTTGCAGAATCGGCGTAGGTTCTTGGCAGTTCTTCAGTGGGCAGGAAGCGTATAATCTGGGGATTCTACAGCGCGTTCAGCGACCTTAGTCGGAATGAATGACACCGAATGGCGTACCTTAGTCTCCAGGCTCTTGATGGGCGTCGCCTTCACTGGATCTCCCTTCACACTATCCTGTAGCTGAACGAGTTGTTAAACGTATCGCACACGCTTTCATTTGAGTGTTCTGAATGCTCACCTTCGTCTCTAAGACCTCAATGACCTTGACGGGCGATTCAATCGCGGCGGGCTGAACAGCAGTCGGGGGCGAGAAGTCGGGGTCGGATGCCTGCTTAGCCGTAGAAGAGGAAACAGGCAAGAAGCTCACGCCATACTCGACGGTATGCATGACGAAAGTGGAAAATAGGCTGAGCATTATATTACTCTTGAACCAGCAAGAAGGTAAGTTAGCGAATATAGTGAGATAAAAACTCGATTAGCAGGTAGGCGGGATAGTGGAAGGTTGTAGTTCGAAAGTCAACCTGCGTAGCCCATTATATGACGATCTCTCGTCACTGCCGAGTCGATCGTGAAGTTCAACCATGGCCAAACAATTGAGTTGACCACGAACTCGTCTTTGATTTGCTCCCGTCGTCGTTCCGAAGAATCACGGTACCGAATATGCCGATCCTGCACCAAGGCATCCCGATGCCCACTCGTCGTCAGTATTTGGAAAAGGTAAGCATGATAATTTCATCAATCTGTCCTTGCGTCTCGACAGTTTACTTCATACACGCGGTTCGGGAGATAGGGAAGAAAAACAGGAGATCAAACAAGATTCAAACAACTTCTCTTAGACCTGGAGAGACTTCGTGATCAACTCGACAGCCTGCTGCAACCTCGCCGCCTCGTATTCTGCGAGCGTCACGTTGCCCTCAATTGTGATCGCCTCCGTCAAACCAGGAAGGGGCGTCGCTCCGTAGCCTAGGAGCATTCCAAATCAATCGAGGTTTCAGGATAAGTAAATTGAAGAATTGCTCACCAAGCCACTTTCCTGGTGCGATAGCAATGTTCTGATAGGGATGAAAGTCAGGAATGAGACGAAGTCGGAGAGTAAAAGAATGCAATCCAAACGAACCCTATACCACTCTCTATCCTTGAGTCCCTCTGGATGAATTAATCCCCTCTCAAACGATGCCAACTTCTCGTTGATCTTCTGCACCTCCTTCGCCGCCTTGATGAACTTACGCAGGGCATGCTTATGCGAATGAGACATCGGCGGCTTAGGGTGATGGGGCTTCTTGGGTGGCTTGGGAACGCCCGGGATGTCAGGGAGGTCTGGCACATCGGGAATCTTGGGCACCTTTGGAGGCTCAGGGATATCAGGAATTTCGGGGATTTCAGGGATCTCAGGAATCTCTGGCAAATCCGGAAGATCTGGCAGCTTGGTCTTCTCCACTTCAGCGTCGGAATCGAGACCATGATGATGCCCATGTACACCCTTCATCTCCTGCCCCTTCTCCTGCCTCCACGCCGGAAGTCTTCCCACTCTCGGCTTCTTCCCATTCTGCCTCATCTTCCGAGCGCAAGTCTTGTCCATGGCAGCACTATGGGTGTGATGATGCCTGTCCTCCCCATCCTTGTCCTCGTGGTGCTTGAAGATACCCTTGATCTTCTTCCACGCCTTCTTTAGGCAATCCTTGATCTTCTCGTGTCTGCGGAATTTACGAATAAGACGCTCTAGACGAGCTTCAGCCTTCACCTTGGCTTCGTCGAGCTTGATGCTAGTGAACTGGAGCGACTTGATCGAGGCACGAAGAGGAGCGAGATTGATAGTCGAACCGAACTCGTCAGCCAATAGTTCAACCCTAGGAGTTTCCACACAATTTCAATGAAAAATAGTTAGCGAAACGATTGCAGATAATGGAACAAAATGAGATACACATACTTATCGAGCTGACTCTCCAGCTCGTAGGCATAGTGCGTAGTGTTGAACGGAAGGACGATAGAGTCTGCCATCCTGATGATCTGCAGGCCGAGATGCTTCGCGACAGCGACATGGCGGAAGAACCCTGGGTCCGCGTAGAGTTCCTGCCAGCGCTGCGAATCGAAGATGGAATGGTAGTGATAGACAGGATCACCAGGTCCACTTCCGAACCCGTAGTTTGTGCTTGCAACCTGAGTGAGACTGTCGTCAGATTGTGATAGCAAGCATGCAGTGGAATTTGAGACGAGAGCTTACTCCGATACGCTGTAAAAAGATGGTGTAGTCACTTCCAGATCCCAAGACGCCGACTCCGATGCTTCCTGCAGCCGCCTTCACCCTCTCTTCCTCCATAGCAGCAAACTCGGCATCGACCGGGCCGGAAAGGATACCACTGTCCTCTCGAGCATCCCAGAGTGTACGGGCCGAGTCCGTAGGGTGAGGAATCTCTTCGGCAGTGGAACGGACGAAGTGAGCGAGAGAAGGAGAGGACTGAGCACTCCAGCGGGAGCCAGAGACAGAAGAATCGAGGTTGAGATAGGCGACGACATTGCCATCAATCCAATCAGCGAAGTCTTCGCCCCATTCGGTACTGCCAACGAGGCCATACTATAGCATATTATCTTGGTCAATGTCAGTGTGTCGAGGATAAACCGTACGACAGACCTCTTCAGCGTCCCAGCTAGCGAACACGATGGTGCGCAGAGGCTTCCACCCGGCTCTCGTCAGAGCACCAAGGCCACGAACAATCTCGACAACAGACGCCGTTCCGGAGCTGGGGTCTGCGCCACCGAGAACCTGACAGGGTCAAAACGTATATGAGAAAGGTTCTGGAAGGACAGGCGACAGAACCTACCCAAGCATCCCGATGATTACCGACTAAAACTACTTCATCCTTGATGTGGCCAGGAAGCACGCCCATTGTATTCCAGATAGGCATGACCTTATCGTCCACTAGAGCACAAAAATCAGGCCACCACATTCTCGAGATCTAGCGACCAAATAAACCCGTACCGTGGTTGACGAGTTTCACCGTCCTGTTCGAGCCCCCTTCCTTGATCTCGGCCAGTAATACCTTTGAGATTTCATGTAGAACATGCGATAATCAATAATTATACTCGATAGAGTAACCGGGGTGCGGTTCACCTTTGCGTTGGCCCAAGAGACTGGCAGACTCGGAATTTTGGGGATGTTCTCTCCATCTGTACGTGTACTATTCTCGTAGGCTGGGTAGCCAGGGGTGGTCGGGTCTCCTGGGTATAGCGACAGGAATTGAACAGATCCACGCTGGACTGAATTGCCGTTACGAGCGGGTCCATGGGGATATCTACGATCATAGACTTTGAGTAACGAAGACAGGGTAGTAGAAGCGACACACAGCAGACGTACTCCGCGTAGCCGTTCTCGACTGTGACAGAACCGTCATCACGAGGATCGGAGTAGATCAAACAGCCAGCGGCACCCAACTCCTGAGCACCTTTGATCTGAAGGACCGGGCAAGCATGAGCAAAAAATCGACCCAAAGTTAGAGCGACTGATGGTGAATTACCTTTAAACCACGGAAGATTGCGCCATAACGAGCGATGACGATCGCACCGGTAAAGTTGACGCCTGACATGAGTGTAAGATGCTGTGACATGCACGAACTATGGCGAAGAAAAATACCTTGCTCAACGAGCGTGTCGTAGTCCTCCTTGGTTCCGTAGTTGACGTAGATCAGCTTACCCTCGACCTCGCCGTCGCGGCTAAGACCATGCCAGGTGGGGACCGCATATCTGTAAACCCACGCATCCGAGTCGGTCTCGTCGGCGACCTCCTCTAACTCCGCAGTCCAGATAGGTTCACCATCGTCTCCAAGAATTTGAAGGCTTCTATCGAGTGGGGTGTTCATGATAGGGTAGTAGGTGTCGATCCACGCAGTGGGCTCCGTGATGTGCGAGATGGAAAGTGTGGCGTTGCGAGATTCATCCGACCCGGCAGAGAATATGGGGGAAGCGAGGGGTTCAGCGATACCAAACTCACGCTGAAGGAGGGAAAGAAAGTCCTCCGCAGTGCTAAGATCACCATCCGAGCCAGCAAGGTGAGGTTTGCTTGTGTATTGGCGAGAAGCCTCAAGAGCACTGGCTTCGTTCGGAATTGAGCTGAAGACAATGAGTAAAAGTTGCTTAGGCGATTGGAAGACATGGAGCAAGACGGGGAGATATACATACAGGAAGAGGTCTTCGGCTTTCTTTCCGTAGGGCACACCCTTGGCATCCATGTCATGGAAGAGGGCGTCGATTACACCTGAGGTTTTCTTGGGCCATTGTCCCTTGTGGGAGTGAGAGTGGCCATCCCAACCAGAGTTCAGATGAACGGAGTGTTTCGCGAAACGACGAGTGACATGAAAACCGAAGCCGACGAGAACTGCGAGGACAAGGCCTTTGCGGAGGCGAGACCAAGAGGCCTTCGGGGACGCTTTAGAGGCGAAAGGCTGAGGCTCGGGAAGCGTCCCGGTCTCGAGATCAACTTTGTCGTAGTCGGCAAGCAAAGGCTGAGAGGCAGCCTGCTTTTCGCTATCCATAGTAGCGGGCTAGAGAGTGTAGACCAGCTACCAACGTCGAATCAAAGTCAACGCGATGGAATATGTGAGGGTTGTGGTCAAGGAGTGAGATAGTGAGGAAGGCACAATCCGGAGCAAGTGATATAATAAGTCGCGGAGCAGCGGCAAAGTCCTCCGCAGTGTTATCTGAAAATGCCAGGATATTTTGGTCAGGATAGATAATCCCACGAAAGGGCTGTGTTTTCATGAGCAACGCATAGAGCGAAAGCCATTGCCGTCGAAGACAATGACACCAAGAGGCTTCGACATCGAAGGCGACAGCAGCGAGAGCCAATTAATCTCGTTGAACGAGCGGGCGTGTGAATGTGAGGCCATATGCGGTCAAAGCAAAATGCCGGCAGCCAAAACGTGCTGCTATAAATTGGCAAATGAACGAAGACTCAAGTGACGTCAGTCCAGACCGCACTATGTGGGGTTCCGGGGAAACTCGAACATCTGCTTTCTCCAACGAACGGACCAAGTCGAGCAGGAGACTGGCATACTTAATATAAGTCCGAAGGTAGCTTCGTCCATCGTCTCCTCCATCTACGACCATCGACGGCGATGACCTCCCCAGAGTTTGATCCAAAGTCTGTACTTACCCTCGACCCATGGCTTGAACCATTCGTACCGGCCATCGGCCACCGTTACGACCGCTTTAAAGGCTGGAAGGACACTATTTTCCAGCATGAAGGAGGATACGAATCTTTCACCAAGGGCTATGAAAAACTTGGGTTTAATGTCGGCTCCAATGGCGAAGTCGTATACAGGGAGTGGGCCCCGAACGCGAAAGAGGCCAACTTGATCGGGGATTTCAGTATGGGTCTCTCTGTTTCTCCACACAGAGTACAGTCGTTTCGCTGACAGAGCCATGCTGCAGATGGGTGGAACAGGATGAACATTCCAATGAAAAAGGACGCGTATGGTGTTTGGGAAGTCACTGTACCACCCAAGGAACCTGGAGTCTGTGCTATCCCGCACGATTCGAAAGTGAAGGTAAGCTTCTACTAACTCTCCACTATTCTCCGTATTCATGCGTTCACACCAGATATCCATGATTATACCATCTGGAGAGCGTATCGAGCGTATTCCTACCTGGATCAAGCGCGTCACACAGGATTTGACCGTCTCGCCTGTCTACGAGGCAAGATTCTGGAACCCCCCTCCCGAGTCGACCTACGTCTTCAAGAACAAGTCTCCCCCAAAGCCAGCGAGCGTCAGGATCTACGAGGCTCACGTCGGCATATCCACCTCGGAGGGGCGCGTCGGTACTTACAAGGAGTTCACCGCTAACATCCTCCCGAGAATCCATGCCTTGGGATACAACACCATCCAACTCATGGCCATAATGGAGCACGCGTACTATGCGTGTATGTGTATATCAACTAACACTCGAGTTTCCCTGGACTAAAATGCGTTTATAGCGTTCGGATACCAGGTCAATAGTTTTTTCGCGGCTAGCTCTCGCTACGGTACCCCCGACGAGCTCAAGGAGCTCATTGACACTGCCCACGGCATGGGCATAACTGTCCTTCTTGACATCGTTCACTCCCACGCGAGTAAGAACGTCCTCGATGGGCTCAACCTCTTCGATGGCTCCGACCATTGCTACTTCCACGAAGGTGCCAGGGGGCGTCACGAGCTTTGGGACAGCCGTCTCTTCAATTACGGCTCGCATGAGGTCCTTAGGTTCTTGCTCAGTAATCTGAGATTTTGGATTGAGGAGTATCATTTCGACGGGTTCAGGTTTGATGGCGTGACGAGCATGATGTACCTCCATCATGGTATCGGGACTGGCTTTTCTGGCGGATACCACGAGTATTTCGGCCCAGGCGTGGACGAGGAAGGTGTGGTCTACCTCATGCTGGTGAGCAGCCATTGCTGTTTACTCATTACCATAATATGTAACCAACTGTATTCGTAGGCCAACGAAGCTATGCACGAGCTATATCCCGACATAATCACCATCGCCGAAGACGTCTCGGGAATGCCACTCCTCTGCATTCCTGTCTCGCAGGGTGGCGTAGGCTTTGACTACCGACTCTCAATGGCCATTCCCGATATGTGGATCAAGCTTCTCAAGCACAAGCACGATGACGAGTGGGAAATTGGCAATATCACTCACACATTGGTCAATCGGCGACACGGAGAGAAGAGTATCGCGTATGCGGAGAGTCATGACCAGGCGCTCGTCGGAGATAAGACGTTGGCATTTTGGCTTATGGACAAGGAGATGTGTAGGTCTCGGCTACCTTTCTGGTGCATCAGCGTCTGACGATCACGTTTGACATATTCAGATACGAACATGTCAGACTTGACGGAGATGACGCCCGTTATTTCTAGAGGAATGGCATTGCACAAAATGATCCGGTATGCACTAATTTTTAGCGCTATCTCGGGTGGTCCTCACCTGTCTTTGACTAGTATACTCGTCCACTCGCTCGGTGGGGAAGGTTGGCTCAACTTTGAGGGTAACGAGTTTGGTCACCCTGAGGTCCGTTCTTCCTCCTTGTCTGTCTCACAAACCACGTTTCTGAAATAATCCCCAGTGGCTCGATTTCCCTCGCGAAGGTAACGGAAACTCCTTCCACTACGCCCGTCGCCAATGGAATATTGTCGACGACCCTGTTCTCCGGTACAAATACCTCAATGCTTTTGACGCCGCCATGAACCACCTCGACGCGAAATACAACTGGCTATCCTCTCCACAGGCATTCGTCTCCCTCAAACACGAGGTCGACAAACTCATCGTCTACGAGCGCGCCGGACTCTTGTTCGTGTTCAACTTCCACCCGACACAGAGTTTTGCGGATTATAGGGTCGGGGTGGAAGTGGAGGGTCCGTATGAGGTGGTGTTGAGTAGCGATGAGAAGAGGTTCGGTGGGTTTGAGAATTTGCTGGCGGGTGGACGGTATGAAACGACGCCGATGGAGTGGAATGGTAGGAAGAACTGGATGCATGTGCGTAACCTTATTTCACATCCCGATTATCTGTTCTTGTATTTGTTGTCTGGTTGCTGACTACTCAAGAAAATTCCAGATCTACATCCCATCGAGGACGTGTGCCGTGTTTGCAAAGATATAGGTTCGGATGGCGCCAAAACTCCACGGTGTAGCGGGGGGAAATCATGTAAGATGGAAGAATCCAAGAATATGCACGTATATCGAAAGAAGGATGTCAATTGTCGGTCGTGCTTGCTTAAGGCCTTGTACTATAGTTTACCACGGTATCTTTCAAGGCTGTCTTTTCTCAAATCTCAACCAATGTATTGTAAACAACTATGCATGACGTGGTGCGAATACATGTTTTCGAAACCAAGGGCTAGTAAGTTACATGCAACTGGAACAGTGATTCATAAGGGTGGAAAGCAAGAGACCGAGGACAATACGACATGCTGATCATCCATGCTTTTGTCGCTTGTTGCCTGATCGAGTTGCTGTAGTATCCACGGAAGAAATCGACCTTGATCGTCTGTTCGCATTCTACAGGATAATATGTATCAGTGAGGTTCAATTAGAGCAAAGATGATGACTGGACGCCTCACTTGTCGTCGAGTGCTCCTAGCGCTCCTCGTGCTGACCACACTCTGCGCTCTATCACCATCCCTCCCCTCTTCCTCCTCCATCTTGACATCGTCATCGAGGTCGAGGTTCATCGGCGCCGGAGTCTGCCCCTGAGGTTGTGCAGAGCCACGGAACCCTGACTCCCCATCACCGAGACTAGGACGACCACTTGCATTGGCTGTCCCAGCACTCCCTCCCGCTCCTTTCCCGGTACCAGACACTTCCGCCTCGAACCTCATTCCCAACCTGGCTTTCGTCACCCTGATCTCCTGCTCCACAGTGTCCACCACTTTCTTTGTATCCACCAACGAGGTTGCAGCGTTCAGCAAACTGTCGTACGCCGCTACCGTATCCCTCGTCGGCATGACGAGTCTTGTTAATGTGATGTTGAGCTCGGTGATCACTTGGTTGACCTTGCCTGCTAGGGCAGATTTCGGATACGGGATCTTGAAGGTGCGAAGGGATGCAGCTTGGTGGGCTTGTTTCATGATCGCGGGATTGTTAGACTTATCAGGCTCAATACGCAGAATACAGTGGAGGGCATCTATTGGGTTATGAAAATGTCAGGAATTGAGACCGGACAAGTGGGCAGAGCAACGCACCATATGCAGAATTCTTAGTAGAGCTCTGTCTACTTCTAGGCGTCAATGCACTAGGACCAGCACTGGCTGGGCTGGCAGGACTCTCTCTACCGATCCCACCACCCAGATCTCCGAGTGTCATCCCGGCGCCTCGCCTCTTATTGTTCTTCTTATTTGGAGCAACTTCAGGAGCGCCGCTTCGACTCTCGACGGCACTAGCAGGAGCACCGGTGTCGTCTTCGATAGGCAGATCCGGAAGGCCAGAATCGATGCCGAGCAGGGTACGAAGCAGTTCGTCTCGCTCCCGTCGGAAAGTGCGCTCTGTCTGTTCGTGCTTCTTGAGCTCGATATAAAGGGCTTCTTCTTCGGCGATTTGCGAAGGTGTTCGCGATTCAAGGGAGAGGAGATAATTCTTGCGCATGGTTTCACGGTCTGTTCGGGAACGTCGTAGAATGCTAATTAGTCCGCGACCACAGGGCATACTGCAAGGATGGCACCTTTATCAAACATGAAACTGGTGATGAGGCGTGTCTTGCTCATATCGTCGCCTGGCCATGGTCGATTTCTAATAAGCTTGCGGCAGACACTAAAGTACCGATCTTTCATATCCTGCCAGGTACAATGATATCAAAATTATGAACAATGCCTGTATATGAGCAACAAAAAGACGCACCTCCATGGACCGTGGTCTACCGCCTATAAAGTCGTATCTATCTGCGATGACTTGCCACCTCAAGTCGTACTCCTTCACAAGTTCAAACAGGTAGTCCGTCTCTTCTTTCGTCCACTCTTTGTCTATACCGTGCCACATATTGTTATTAGTATTAGTGAATATGAATATACTCATGACATACCTTCGAGAAGGCGCGTATATTCATCTTGTGAATACGTATAATCTGTGTTCTGGACGTTATATTTCGCAAACGGATATTCTGTGTGGCCCACACACAAGATCAACAAGGTACGCCTTCAGAGCACCGATAACGTTCACGTACCAGCATTAGGATCAGCGGTGGCCTTCACCCAATGACCTAGCTCAAGCTTATCCTTTCTGGCCCCATTCTTAAATTTCCGCCATTCCCTACACCAAGCTTCAGCCTCGCCCGCAGGATTACATCCTCTCCCGTCGCAGAAATAAAGCACAGGAACTTACCATTTAACTTTGCCACCACCACCAAGATTAGGTTTCTGCTTCAGTCGTGGCTTCGCGACTTGAGCAGCTAGAGCTGGAATGGAGTTCCCCATGAGAGAGTATACTTCCCGCGAGATGCCTTCCCGCTTCTTGGGGCCAGGTTTCTTTGGTGGTGGCTTGGATGTCGTAGCAGGCGAGGGGGCTGGCACCGAGAGGATAGACCTCATATCTGACATGGATGCGCCAGACATGATGGGGTCGTGTATAGAAGGGGGAGGGAGAAGGGAGGAGATAGGTTGCGTGTGGCGACAGGGACAAAGTGGGAGTCGAGAACAAGTGCCGACACGCGCCAAGGCGCTCATCGACACGGTCTGGCAATTCCCGAGACGCGTCTGAGTGACTTCATCGTGCTCGAACGCTGCTTGACCTTCTTTACGCTCTCTCCATCTACGCTATAACATGTTTTCCCGATTTTCTTCACGGACATTGCGCCAATCAGCAAACCTCACAAAATGCGCGAGCTCCACGCGACTACTATCACGACCACTCCACTCATCACGCGCTCTTCGTGAAGGAACCTCTCGTGGCGGAGGGAGTGGACTGACCAACATCCTTGCTGGCGATATTCCTCCCCCTGTCCAAGTAAAATCAGTAACACAATCTGGAATAACACTCCAAGATGGTCTCATCATTCCCTCTGCATGCATATTCCTCGAAGGAAAAGTGTTTCTGTGGGATGTGCCATTGACTGGAGGACGCGAGGCGGGTTCATTATGGAAAGGCTGGGGCAAGGAGAGATTCGAGCTGTTTGAGGTCGTCGTTCCGAAACCTGGTGAACGTCGATATGATTATTGAGGTATACCAAACACTGATCGTGTTACGGTCCGATAGAAATTCTGGTGATTGGGACAGGGAAGTCTGTCTCGCCACTACCACAAGAGCTGAGGAGGTATCTGAGTGAGCTTGGTATTCAGGTCGATGTCATGGACACGGTACGTTCATCGCAGTATGGTCGAAGTGCAACCTCTTATAACAGCTTTTAGTGGAACGCCTGCACTACTTATAACCTCTTAGCCGAAGAAGGTCGACGTGTTGCAGCTGCACTGTTCCCGTACACCACTCAATCGTGGAAACCATAATTGGGCTCTCATGTCATGGGCCTATTCTCCGCCTATGATACAATTCCTGGTGAAAATCCGTATAGAGAGCAACAACATATGGAGTACAAATATTTGGGATGATATGGCCTACTGCAAGTAAGAAAATGAAGTGGACAAGCAAGACTGAAAACAGACTTTAGTCAGACGGTGCTTTCCGTTTGCCTTTATCGCCAGCTTGCAACGAATCATCTCCCAAGTCCATCTCGATATCTCCCACAGGTACAGGACCTTTAGGTTCAAATGGATCGTCTATCTCATCGTCTAGTGAGGGGATGGATACTTGAACGTCTTGTAGTATGCCTGCATGTACATCAATACCGCCCTTCCAGCTCCTCAGGTTACGAATCAAAGATGAAGTAGAACATACCATCTTCACTCCTAAACATTATATAAAGTGAATCCCAATTCGACACGACCTCTATCAGCTTAGCGTTCTCATCCTCCAGCCTCTCATATGTCCCCGTGCCCACCGGCAGGCCACGACCCTGTTTCGCCTTGACCTCTTTGGCAAGCTCGAATGCGTCGGTGCTATCAGGAGGGTTGAGTGATGGTATGTCTTCGACGTCGCGAGCTACGGATGCGGAGAGAGCGGAGAGAACTTCAGATTTAACAGTCGAGAGTGGTGTGGCGTTGGGGAGAGTGAGGAAGATGGTCAACTTGTGAGTCTTGACACGGAGTTGGAATATCTTTGGAGGAAGGCGCGATGGAGGCTATACATGTATGAACAGTACAATGATTAGTTCGCCCTCATCAGCATTGGTCTTCAACACTCACCATGACGAGGAAATGCACTGCAGAAGTTCAGGAAAGACGCGTCGGTCAATGACCGCGAGCTGCAGAGCGCGACGCGATTAATTGATGCGTGGTTTCGGCACTTCCCGGTCCCGGCCCGCCGGTCCTTGGTGCACAACAGCCAGCGGTCCATTGGCGAACGCTCGAAAGCACCCGACTAATAGCCTGCCCGTTCCCTGTTCCCGACGATGAGCCAATATCATCCAGGCTCGTCCTCTACACATCCTTACAAGGACCCCACACCTGCGCCGTCGACGCTCCCCCATGTTCAGGAGCTCGGGACGACGAGTGCGCCGTTGAAGAGCGCGGCGTTCTTCATCGGAGCGCATTGCAAGGAGTATAATGGTGTGTCGTTCTCCCTATCGCATGACTACTACCGCTAATACACAGGACTTTGTATTAATTGAATTGTCTAGAGGACTTCATGCTGTGCAAGGCGGAGAACAGGGATCCTGCGCACTGTCTGAAGGAAGGCAGGAGAGTGACGCGATGTGCGACCGACCTGTAAGCAACCGTCTCTTAGCCTATTCGTGACTATCCAGGCTGAAGTACCACAGCATCAACAAGATGCGCGAGAACTGCTTGGAGTCCTTCGATGCGCACTGGGATTGTCTCGAATACAACAACCATGTTCGTACCATACCTTCCCCATTTCACGTGATCTGTATGCAGACCAATAACTCATATACCTCTACGGACCATATTTCCGTTTTGTTACACTGTGCACTATAATACTGCAGGAATACAACAAGTGCCGCAAACCAGAACGCGTCCTCAACAAATGCATGTTCGAGAAACTTGTGCGTCTTCATCGACTCTTGCCACACACCTTCCTCCACCCTCTATCCCTATACTGCTACCCACAGGAATCACATCTCTGACCTACGTGCGGCTTCCTTTCTGGGTTGAGCAGGGTCTTGTCAAGAATATTCCTGGGTCTCCCGAGGGAAAGCCACAGATACACGAGAATACCAGTCCCGTACTCGGCCGTATGCAGAAATGAGCTTTCGCCCCATGTTATAGATGCATGCTTCGCTTTTGCTCTTGTGCAACCAATGCAAGTCTCCTGTGAGTGTTTGACCATGTCCGAAGACTTTCTGGACGTAGCATACCGCAACAGTTGTGAACCATGAACCGCCTGTGGAACCTTTCGCTGCGAAGACCTGATGTCTCGTACCCATGCAATATCTCGCTCGTACCCACTCTGTTGTACACTCTGCATTCTGTTGTCTATAATGTGTAAGAATCAGCTCTGAGAGTGAATATTGAACATAGTGAATTACTTGCAAGTTAGCCCTCCTAATACTTAGTGAGGCATAAAGTCCTTCCTTCGTCGCAATTTCCCACACTCGGCGCTTACCTGCCGAAGCCAATTGCAAGTGGCGGAAACGAGTTGAGTGGCTTCACGAACCACCACACTGCAGACACCATGCCCGTCCCTTGGGAGGCTCTTATTCCTTTCGGTATGTCTTGATGCACATTGTTGAGCATATAGAAGGCCAAATTGAAACAATAACACGTGGTACGATAGGTCTTGTTACCGCCATGTTCGGAGCTGCTGGTACGCTCCTCAACGTTTCGAAGCGAGCGCAGAACCAGGGCAAGGTGCGTACTCTTGTCCATATTCGTTGTCTGTATTACTGACTAGTTTGCTTGTATCTGCTTTATGCGTTTGGCTGTACGAATGACAGGGCCCTCGATACAAGCTTGACCCCTGGGAGGAGATGATGATGGACCGGGACGAGCGGTTAACAGGACATGCGAGGAAACAGAAGGTGCGCACTCCCTAGATCTTGTATATTCCTTCGAGCTTACCATGCCGGGATATGACTTTCTGTATGGGGGTGGGCGTTATACAGAGTGATCCAATGGCTCCAGAGGGGTTCGACACGAGTAGCGTTTGGTACACGCAGAGGACTACCTAGACTCTTGTTTCCTGCAATCGGATATCATCTCTTGCCTTTCGTCTGCCACGGCACCGTATCTGGTGTCTCAGCTTGTCAGAATGAAGGAGCCTCGTTACTGAGACCAGGATTTCCGAAGAATGCTTTATGAATCCTTGTTCTCGTAGACACGGCAGCGAGTACTGCGATAATTCGACAATTCTGCCTCTATCCTGACAACGTCTAAACAACCCATATCCGAGTACGAGTAGGCCACAACTTTGGCGCCGAAGTAGAAGCCCAGGAAAGAGTGCAAGTAAGGAGCTAGGCAAGTGCATTACAATAATATACGGAACAGATCACCAGAAAGCCTGAGACATGGAACCCCCCCTACATAAAGGCTAGCTCTTCTTCTCCTCAATAAAATACCCATTCTTGTCCCTCAAGCGCGGCACCTTCTTCGGCGAGTTCTCAGATCTGAGGCCCAAGATATCCTTTCTCATCAACTTCGGTGGCCTCCTCATTAACTGCATCGAGTTCCCCCACTCCGTTCGCATATCCCTCATCAGCCACCCCAACACCTCATTCACCACCCTCACCCGCTCCTTCGTCCGCGATTCTGGGACTTGTATCGCTGAGTCCACACTGTGATCCTTCTTCCCTTCGTCCTGGTCTTTCGGCGGTGTTTTCTTCGCCTTGCCCTTGGCCTTAGTTGGGGTCTCCCTAGGCTTCAGAGGCTGTTCGAGATTGGCAACCACGCGCATATCGATAGCCGGCAGATACAATTGCTCCTCTGCGAGCTGCTTGTAGTCGGAGAAGCGTTTGTACCCGTCGAAACTCGGCGGAATCATACCGGACGCAAGGTCTCTGACTTTCAGGAAGCCGTATTTGTGGCCCTTGAGCTCGGTCCTAAGCCGGTCGAGAATATGCTCGGCGTCTGACCGCGGGAGAGAGGCTGTTGAAGAAAAAGAAGAGAGTGAGAGGGCGCAGGAGAGGATGTCACCGTGTTTTGAGTTGAATTCGGCGTCCTATGGGAAAAATCAACATGTATTGCACGGAGTAATAGGTATGATGACAATGAAGAGAAAGGACATACAACGGTACCCCAGTCGAACTCCTTCGATAGACTATATGTGAACTCTGGCGTTTGACCGAACATCCAGTTCCATGACTGTTGCGGAACAGCTCAGTGCATGTTTCGGCCATTTGCAGAAAAAGGCACTCACACCCAGTTCCAAAATTCCACTACGGATAGAGTTCGTTCTCATCGCAGATTTATCGAAGGATACTGAACAGATCTACACTTGTAGTGTGAGGATACGTGAGTATGACGTATAGGATTATTTCTCACCGGTTGCTTGATCTTGAAATGCGTTTTAAAGGCATCTACGACGGCCTCCGTGAACTGACGGGGTGTGATATTTTCGTTATATTCGCATAAGTTCGTAACCGGGGAAGGAACGGATGCAACACCCCTAGTGATCATCGTATCCTAGGCGAATAGAGATAGTCATTATCTCCGCTCTTGCGGTGCAAATATCAGAGTAAATTACCTTGTTCGAACGCAGGACACCTCCAAGATCTTCTAGTTTTGAAGAGATGAGCATGGTGCCATGGTGGTAAGCTCTGTCCTTGACAATCTTATAGGCCGAACCTGAGACGTAATCCCCGCAAGCGCAATGACGAAGTCAGCTTTGTCGGTCACACTGAAAAGGAAAGGAGAAACGGTGGACATATCTTCTTGCCTCCAATGGAAATATCGTTCCTCTCATTCAGATAGGCATCTATGTTCAGCGATTGAAGAGCGCGAATAACGATCTCTCCCGTCATCTTGCGGTCGAACACTTCACGGGGGACGTGAATGGAGAAGTTCACGTTGCCCAGGTCCTAGACAAACCAGATGAGTTTCAAGCCATCGGAGCATGGTGCATTATTTGACGATGGGCGTACATGGTACACAGTTCCACCACCACTCCTTCTTCGAACAAAGAGGATGTCCTTTTCCGCCATGAGGTCAAAATTTATCTCCTTCCATGGATTCTGGTTCCGGCCTATCACGACACACGGGTCATCTTGATACACGAACAACACGGGTTTCTTGACATCCTGATATTTGAAGAGCCTACATCTACCATAGTCAACTACTGTAATATGTAGGTTGAACAGAACGAGCCTACCAATCCTCGAATGCGAGATTGAAGTATGGATTGGTCGTCTGTGAGATGTAAGATGCGTATCCGAGGCTGACATAACGGTCTGGTGGAGGCGGGGGTGCTGGAGCATGCTGGAAAGGGCGCGCGGCACGACGCGATGAGTAGCGGACAAGGAGGGAGGGATGTCGGCGAGTGAGGAGAGAGACAAGCATCAAGCTGAGTCAAGGCGCGTCGACGCGTCGGAAACGAGTTGGCGTGTTTCCTGTTCCGGTGCTCTTGACCGCGACTTGACCGCAACGGCCACTTTGCCCCTCTCTCTTTGCTCTTTCTCCGTCCTTGCTTTGGTGACGGCTGCTGCGCAATATTTCATCGTCAGTAAACGATTCTCGCACACGCTACTCGCACTCTTTCTTGGACTAGGGCATTTGTACTGCATTGATTGCCATGTCTGGGGATTCAGACATCGAAATGCTCGATGCTCCGCCTCCATCTAGTACTAAGGCGAGCATCAAGAAATCGAAGAGGTCGAAGAACAGGCCACGGCCAGGAGCCACCGCTGATCATCCTATCACATTAGTTGATGATGATCCTATATCTCTTCAGCGCTCTTGTCCGCCGACGATACGTCGTATTACTCCGCCCCCTGATAATAAGCGCAAGCTGGAGGCGACGCTCGACCAAGCCCTCAAACGCAAGCATTGTAGCACACCTTCTGCATCTGCCGGTCCGTCATCTAAACGGCCGAAGTCTCAACCTGCCCAATCCGAGCCGATTGACTTGACATTGGAGGATACGGACACCAACTCGGATGTTCTCGAATTACCTGAGCTCGACCATGGTGCCTTTTCATGGGATTATACTACAGTAGGTTCCACGTACCTTCACGAGCTCACCGACCTATGATTTGTGCATATTCATACAGAAAGAACAACGGAAGGAGCTCACAGAGCGAGCGGCAGACGATGAAGATTATGACACTTTGTATGAGTCGATGCATCCATACCAAAGCGCAAACGTAAGGTCTACTGCCAACTATACCAGTCGATGAATTACTCATGGGTGTTTCCCCCGGTCATGTTTAGTGGTCAAATGCCATTGAGTTAGCTCCAGACGAACGGCTAACAGCATCCTTCGATGGCCTCAGCATCCTTGCTCCTCGACATTCCCAAAGAATCAAGGGCACTTTACCTGTTCGCTCACATACTTGGGCTCTAGGGCTTCCTGGACTTGCTTTCCAGAGGCCGACAGGGGCATGCAAATTCGTAGGTTGTCACTTTCTCCTACCGCCACATTTTCTAATGCCGTGGGTCTTCCTAGGGTCGATCACAGGGCCAACGGCTTCATTATTCAGTACCTCAGTCTAACTCCTTACGGTCGAACAAGGTCGTTAGTCCTATGGCTGCTCTCTATGAAGTTCCCCTACAGCTAGCTGTGTCTTTCAACGAGGGAAGCGGACGTACGTGCATGAATACTAGTGAAGTTTCGTTACATTGAGTTATTATTGCACAGCGGTCAATCAAATCACTCAACACGAAGGCATGATTGCGATTGCCAGTGCAACAGAAGACGGGCTCCAAGAGGAAAGTGGTGCATACCGTAAGTTCATGTCAAACCTTCAAAGATCCTATAGCTCATCTCTTTTCCCTCATTAGCCAGGAAGGTCAACCCTCACAATTATAAGGGAAACCTACGTTTTTGGCACCACAATAAACGTAAGCTTCTTGAAAATACACAAACATAAGCTCACGTGTCTATTCCGCGATATCTAGTTATTGTTGTACCAAAGGCGCATACTGTGCCAAAGAAGGTGAAGGATTCGTTGGATGGCAGAACGACCATAAATCGATGGTGTACCGTGAACGAGGTTAAGTTTGACCCGCATTTGTATGGCGTTTCTCTTCTTTCTTGAGTGAAATTCACTCATGCTAACACCTCTTGGAACGGGTAGGGAAGGCCGTATAGCATCCATCGGTCATGATGGATTGCTGTGTTTCTGGGATATAGACGGACAAGAAACCGGCCATCATAAGTATCCCGGAACGCCTGCTCCTGTCCCACACGGGCTTTATTACCATCATCAGAGAAACTTACTTGCGGTCTCGTGCAACGATGGGTATGATTTTCATTGCCGTCGGATTTATACCTAGTTATACATACCACTATTGCCCAGGTTCATCCAGATGCACCGAAACTCCGAGCAAACACCCGCTATGACACTCAAAGTCAGTCACACGCACCCCACTGGAGCTCTTGAATGGGGACATGGCCAGACGGAGGGCTATCTTTTTGCATCCACGGAGAATCCGGATGATGATGACGACACTGGAATTCATAAAATGTTCGAGGTCGAGTCTGGGAAGCTAGTTAGTAGCTTTGGTATCCACGATGGCGGCGATGCCATGGCCATTGATCCACTTGGTATGTCTCCCAAAGTTTTCAAACATTACTTCTTACTGTCCGTTCAGAACTGACATTGAATGACAGGGAACACAGTTGCTCTATGCACTAACGGCCAAGATGGTCACCAAATTTCTCTCTTTGACATCTGGTCTCCCTCTAACAAGCGCCGCCAACACTCTGAGATCAAACTCGTAAAACCTCGACGTCAAACTCAGCTCGAAGAATTCGTCTTCCCTGATGAGTCTTTGATACCCTACACTGATGATAAGCCGTCTCCTTGTCCAGAAGTGACCTCGATGTCATTCAGTCCGGACGGGATATTGATTATGGTCGCGCGGAACGACAATGAAATGCACGTTTACGACTCGAGGTTTCTGGGAGAAGGAGAGAATGCGAAGCCGTTGATGTATGTGCATGATGGGGATGATAAGACGATGGGCATAGCTAGGTATGGGGTTCATGGGGCGCAGTGGGTGGAGGGCTGGGGTGGTTTAGGTCTCGGTATCGTGAGCGGTGGTCAGGATGGTAAGTTTACCTTCTCGTGTATTTGAATATCTAACTGACCATCATTTGAAGGTTGCGTGACCCTATGGGACGTGAAGAAAGCGGGAGACGACCTGACCAATCGACAAGTGCTTGCGCAGCTTGATTCAGACATCGCGCATTTCTCGATTGGAGATGAGTATAAAGGCGAGAAGCCTTTAGTGGTGTAGGTCTCCTCCCATCCAATTGGCCGCTATTCTGTTCCAGATACTGACTTCCTATCCACAGTGGCGACAGTCGCGGCAGCGTTTACCTCTATGACCGCACTGGTCGTCTAGAGAATCTGGAGCCCTAAGATTTTCGACAGTGCAGCTTTTGTTTGGTTCTTCCTCGTATTTGACTTATATCTGCCTTGCCTTGACCTTTTATCATGTCTTTTGATTATATTGCTTCCTTTATGCACTTAAGAAACCTTTTCGCCCTCTCTTATCCTCGAGCATCTCAGCCCGTCTTCGATCCTTGTCCGCCGTTAGCTTTTTATGATTATCCCATACTACTTACCATCTCGTTTCCCCTCTCTTCACTCAGTGATCTCTGTTGAGCTTCTCACGAGATTATTTCTTTTCGTGCGACACTGATCAACAGCGGAGACATATCAGGTATCTTGATATGCACTGGGCACGAGCGACACAGTAAGACGACGAGCCTGGCTCGAGGGTTCGCTGATGAGCGAACGCCCAGCCAGAGGTCGTGTGGTCGATTATCGCAATGATTCGCCCAGCGAACATTTTCATACGAGCTCCCCCTTTTCGATGCTGCTCCTGACTGCTACACCGTGCTATGTTCAGTCAGTGCTCAGGGAGTATCTCGTCGTCTAATTCGTGCTCCCCGTCTCGGCTCGATCCGATAGATGATGAGCGAGCCCGAACTTCGAATTCTGGATCTGGATTTGGATGTGGTCCAAAATCGGCTTGGTCTTGCAAGGTAAATGTGGCAGGCGTCACGGAGTGAGAGGAGGAAGGCGAAGGCGATAGTGGCGGTGGAGGTGTCTGCGGGTGTGCTAGAGGAATTGGTGGCCGAGCTAGTGGTGTAAGTGATCGCCCCAGAGTCGATTGTGTTTGAGCGGGAGTGCTAACGGGAGTTTGCAAAACTTCGTGATCATAGGCAGCTGACGAGGCTGACGGTCTCTCAGCGTAGTCGATATCCTCCTCATGTTCCCGCGCCCTTCCCTTGCCTTTCGACCTCTCGCTCGCCTTACCCTTCTCTCTCTGCGTAGTGGACCTCTGTGCCTCCGCCTGATCCGCGAGCACATCCAGTGCAGATCTCACCCTCGTAGATCCCATAGTACTCCCGCCTCCATCACTTTCATCGGTATTTCTCATGGGCATCAATGAAGACCGTGAAGAGCTGAACGCGGATGGACCACTGGTCGATCCTACTCCCGCCACTCGTCTTCGTTTGGTAGGCGAGGGGCTGTCCAGAGGAGGCCCTGGCGCATGGCGCGTCCGTGTAGATCTTCGAAGTGTAGGCGTGGATTCATCAGCTGTAGGCGACGAAGGTGGTGGTGGAGAGTCGGGAGCTTCCTCGGCTAGGGAAATGGAGTGCGCGGCTGTGAGGAGGGAGTCGAGAGGCGTGCGGGTGGCGCGAGCAGTCGCGTGGAGTGTGTTCGCGGTGGTAGCTGTTGACTCAGGAGCGTTGGAACGTGTTTGGTGGGGACGTGGAGGAGCAGAGGGTTTAGGCAAAGGTATGGGAGCGGATCCTGCCGTTAGTGGTGGAGGGTTGGATGGAAGCGTAGACGGTCCAGCTACGGGTGTCGTATCGGGAGTTCTAGGACGTATATTAAGTGAAATATCTTTGGGTAGCCTTTCTAAGGAGGCCTTCGGGGCGGAAGGCGCAGGAGCAGGCGGTGGCGCAGGATTAGCTGCCGCACGACGTCTAGGCATCTTCGCGTTTGTAGTGACCGCACTTGTCCCAGCTTCGTTCTTCTTCGTAGTCTTGCGACTACGTTGTTGAGCTGAATGAGGCGCAAGGCCGGCTAATATCGCTGCACGCTCTTTGCCAATCTTCCTAGCTGCCAAAAGTAGATGTTCTGCCCGCGCATTGCTGAAAACAGATGGTTGTTTCTTCGCGGCCTGTCTAGCACGCTTTGATTTGGAGGTTGACGTAGAATGATGCTTCGCCACGTCGGTGTCACGACGACGGTAGTAATCTGGCTTGGAAGGGTTGGAAGCTGAGGTGGATTGAGGTTGGGTGGATGTGGCGTGGTCGTGTTGCTCGCTCTGGTTAACAGTTTGAGCCTCCGAGGTTGGAAGGGCCTCGTTTGACGGTTGTGCTAGCGTAGACGTTGGTGTTGGTACAGCGTCATGGTACCTGTGGCGCTTAGGTTTGGGTTGCGACTTTTGTTTGCTGGTTCCGATATTATGGGTGAGAGCGAAAGGTTGCATCAAGAGGACGGGTCGTAATTGAGATAATTCTGATTCAAGGGACTGCATACGGGTGTGATATTCCGCGATCTTCGATGCAAACTGTTGAGTCACTAAAAATCCCGAATTACGGGGGAGATACTCACTTTGTGGCGTAGTGCTCTATTATCAACATCCAACGTCGCCACCATGCGTTCGAGTTCCTGTGTGGAGAAACAGCACTGTCAAATAGAAGATGCTAATCAGGTGATACTGAACATACATCTTCACGATACGAAGATTCGCGGTCTTTTCCACGACTGTGACGAGAAATCAAGGCTTCTGTCATTCGCGCAAAACCGTCCCTCTCCGCTGTCCACCGAGAGCGCTCGGCAGTAATTTCATGAAGCATAAATTCGCGTTGTTGTGTGAGCTGGTAGATGGTATTTGCTTGTTCCAAGACCTGGGATGGTTCTGGTATACGGGCATATGTGAGACGCAAGACCTAAGTGAACGAGCAGAGTTGGTACGGAACGTGAACGGTGGGGAGACAGATCCGTGACTGACCATGTTTACGAGCTCGGTCTCCCTAGATGATAGCCCTACCGTGTTGTCCCCTTGGCCTCTTATTTCGAGTACTCTGTCTCTCATGGAATCTATCTGGGTCTGGTTAAGAGGCTCCGGGGACCTAGGCGGACTGGGCGGCCTGGGGGTTGATGGTTGGTTGGAAAACTGCTGCGGCGCAGGGCTAGGAGAAAGTGTATGTAGAATGTCCGAGAGAGCGAGAGGCGGAGCGAGCCCGTCGTGGGCCATGATGGAGGGGAAGGCAAAGAGATGTTGTGTCGCTACGCGGGACACGACGCGATAGGGAATGCTGTACGCGTCCGAGTCACCTGACCTTGCCGTAACTGGTCACGCACCAGGCTCGGTGTGTACCGGCCGGCGGCCGGATCCGGATGTGTCCTGGTTGCTCAATGCGTAAAAAGATGTTGAGTGCAGGGAGCGACAAACATTACAATTACGAGGTATTACTTACGATTACTTAGAATTACTTACGATTACTTACAGTTACGGCGGCCGCGCTTCCAGGATCCATTTCGTTACAATTACTTTCGATTACAGTCGAGATGCGAAATGATTACTATTCAATACTATTCATTTGTATGATCCGTGACATTTTTGGGTCAGGTGGAAGCTCCGGATAGGCCCCGACTGTTCGATTGCCGCCACATTCACCTTTTGGGGATGAGTGCCCGTAGCAATGTTTTTCGCCACATTTTCGCTGTTCTACCTGCCGTTCAACTCAACCCTGTAAGGGCACGGGAAAATCATGTATACATCACCTGGAATGCTCTGCAGCACTTGTATCATTCAACATTGGTGCAGGTGAGTCGCTGAACCAAAAAGATACGATGCATGTGCACGCAAGAGATTTCATACCATTACTTACAATTACTTACGAATTGGGTGCAATACGGGGGTGATACATTACAATACATTTCCGGATCTCAACGCGCATGATTTCGAGAGAATACTATTAGATTACATTACGCAGCGGTAATGTAATGTAAGTAACGTTTGGGAAACCCTGGTTGAGTGGCGTGTTCCTGGCCAGCGCTTGCCACCGCAAGCAGTCCGCCGTTAGGCGTATTACACGCCCTCCTCTTGCTCAGCGCGTTCATCGCCCGGGACACATTACACAATGGCCGGCTCATCTCCTCTCCATATACTTACGCTTGCTCTCTTGGCACTCCCGCCGTTCTTCCTCGCCACATATTTCTTTGCTCAATTTCCCAATCCACCTGAGATCCCATATGCTCATCCCTCTCTGGCCAGTCTTCCAAAAGACCACAAATCATGGCAGATATACGACGAGGATTTCTATGCTAATGGCTCATATGTCTTGCTCCCATATGGCAGAGTACGTCTGCTTTGTCGCGCGATCAGTGTCGCGTGCAGCCTACTGCACGGTCGTCTGACTTTGACTCAAGGTACGGTTCTGGATACTAGGACCAGAGTCCGGACAAAAGGTGTGTTTTCATTCGGTCTGGATATACATCAGCCTTTCTTGATAGGTTTCGGTTCTTTTGAAAGGTTATACTCATAAATGGCCTGTCCATTCCCGCAATCATATGGAAAGACGTAGCACCTGCTCTCGTCTCCAATGGTTTCAACGTTCTCCTCTATGGTACGCATCATCGTAAGCGGTGTATAAATCGCCACTTACATATATGTGCTGCCAGATTTGTACGGTCGTGGATACTCTGATGCGCCTTTAACAACATACGATGCCGCCCTGTACGCCACTCAACTCGCCCTACTCATGCAGCACATTCAGTGGGATAAAGCCGCTATAGCAGGTGTCTCAATGGTGGGTGCCGTATTTTACTGATCTGATCTGATCTCTTACACGGTGTTCAGGGTGGCGGCATCGCCGCTGCATTCAGTGCTTATTTCCCTGACCTTGTCGATGACAAGGTGGCCCTCGTCGCGTCTGCAGGTCTCGTCGAGGTCAGCATCAGCGAATTCTCAGACCGAAAAGGGTCTATCTGATTTTGTGTTATCGCTCCTTAGGCAGAAGACATGTCTCGCACCGCGAGGTTCATGTCCTCCCCCCTTGTCCAGACGGTTACCTCGAGTATACCGTTCCGAGTAAGCCACCAGTCCCACCACTTATCTTTCTTATCCGAACTAAGATCCGTTTCGTTTTCTCAGTACACAATCCAACAATTGACCCGCAATGCCACTTTCGCTGATCCCATCATCGAGGTCTGTTTGCATTTCCTTTCTGGATCCTTGTATTCCATTGCAAGAGTTTGTCCTCTGTATAAACCCATCCTAACATCATTCATCATCAGCTCGTGAGCATCCAGTCTGCTCACCTTCCTGGCTACAACGCGGCCCTAGCCTCCTCTCTTCGTGACGGTCCTATACGCGGCCTATCCTCCGCCTATAAGCAGCTGGGCGCATCTGAACATCCTGTGCTTCTAATTTGGGTACGTTCCAATCGTCTTCCCGTTCCCACTTGTCAGTGGCATCGTACCCACACCCGCGTGCTTGCATCTTATTTTGGACGCGCTCTTTCATACGAAGGGTACTGCAGATAACACAGTTCCATACAAGTATGCAGCGCGAGTGCAGTCGCTTGTACCTCAGGCTGAGCTCATCACTATTGAGGATGGAGGCCACGATTTAACGATTTCACACCCGGACACGATCACATCTGAGTTTGTACGGTTTTTCGGATCGGCTTCGAGCTAAGAATATGCACTATTGGCATGATCTCCCGCCAAATGGCGTGATATATGGTCGGTATGTTGTCCCTATTTGAAACCTGCGCTTGAGTTTGTGTGAACTAAGCACATGCTACGTCGACTATACACAGGATTGGATCCGAGTTTCTAATCATAGAATACCGGCGCATCTAGCTCACTTCACTTCCTCGGTTTCTCTTTCTTTTCTATCAGATGTTACTGTTATCGGACAGTTGGCCCTACCACCACCACACACTACGCATCACATACGTCCAGCGCCCTTCTTCATCACTATCCGGGTTTTTGTTCTGATACCTCACTCGTTCTCTGGGACGAACTTGAATACCCTCTATCATCGGCTACCCCTGCGTCTATCGCCACCCACTTCACATTACTCATTGATCTATTTATCTAATTCGCAGTTGTTTTTGTGTCTTGCCCTGTATGTTGCCTTGTCATCTCCAGCCCTTGTCTTGCTTCCCTGGTCTCGTTAACCGTTATTCGTCGTACGCTACTCTACTCTGCCTCGCTCTACTCCGCTATCTGCCGCTGCACCTTGTTGTTTCTATTCCGTTAGAGCATTAATCATCTCCGGTTTTCCGTCCGCTCCTTACAGCCTCTCTAGCCTACTCTTTCTTTCTCCTTTTCTGGGTCTCTCATTTGTGTTTCCGGCGGGGTCTGCGACGACCATTTCGAGCTGTGTGTGTTGGTCAGTATGTTTTACGATATCGTACGAGTTTTATTTCCTTTTGTTCTCGCAGCCATCACCATGTGCATACTCAAGTTGGTGACTTGAAAATCCTTCCATCATTGTTGGTTGCAATTGTATGCTTTTTTAGGGTCTTCCTACATCGTCGGAGGCTGTTTGCTCCTTGCGAAGGTTTTCGAGATAGCCAGTCGCCCTGTCGCTTGGATGCAGGGCCACAGTTTCGAGCACTCGTCCTTCGCACCATGGTACGATGCGTATTCTCGTGATCGTGATCATATCTTATAACAATCAAAGACAAAATTCGTAAAAACACTACTCTTAACACCTCACAAAACATATCTGAAATCCCGATTCTGCATATCCGTCAAGTCCAAGAATTCCTATACAACGTACCACAACCGTCAATATCCCCAACGAACAACAACGAGCCAAAAACTTGGACATACCTTTGCGACCTTGACCTCGACCTTCTCGCCATTGTCCAGAGTCTTGATCACATACACGTCCTCGTACGTATCGTCGGCGGCCTCTGCTTCGCGCAGGTCGTTCCTGCGTTTGAGGAGGGTACGGATGGCGAAGAGGAGTGCGATGCAGCAGATGTAGCAGATGCCGATGATGATCCATGGGATGTGGTACCTAAAGCATCCAAATTCCAGGCCGTTAGCACATAGCGCGCGGATGATAGGTGGAGTGTGCAGCGTACCGGGGCTTGTACTTGGCTTGCCACATGAAGGGCGCAGCGGCGTTCCCGATGCAGTAGGCGGAGAGCATGATCGCGTTCGTCGTGATCTTCTTGGTGTGGCCCGAGGTGGTTGCTCCGACCCACGACAGGGCAAGAACGAAGCCGGTGGTCCCAATACCCGTCAACCATTGCGAGAACACTGTCACGCGTGGAAAAACCATCATCAGTCAAGCACTTCGCTGCGCGTAGCGCAAGAGTGCTGAGGACTTACACAACCCGACCTTGTTATCCCAGGGCAAGAAATTGATCAAGAATACACCAAGGACGTTGGGGAGGAAATAGATCATTCCGACCCATGCTCGACTGTTCGGGATCCTCGCGCAGAGTTTTACGCCCGTGAAGATCGTGACAATCTCGATGAGTCCATCGACACAGCCGAGGAGGGTGGTCTGCAGGTTTGTGAAACCGAAAGAAGAGACGATGAGGGAGCGCTGGTTCGTGAGGGAGTTCGGGACGTTGTCGAGGGCGCTGAAGAGGGCGAAGAGCCAGACTTTGGGGTCGAGGAGAGCTTCGATCATCCTGAATAGATGAGGAGAAAAAGAGAGGAAGACGGTTAGACTAATAAGCTGAAAGGTGAGGACGATACCGGGATGTACTTACTGCTCCTTCTTGAAGTGTTTGTTCTCGACACCGGTCTGGTTTCCTTTGATACGCTGAACGGCTTTCACGCGTTCGTCCGGTGTCAAAAACCATGCGTTCGTAGGGGAGTCAGGGAAGAATAAGCTAGAAAGACGATAATTGAGGAGCATTGTTCCTTATCTATGTGATAGAAGCTCGCTATGGATAGTACACTTACAAGAAGCAGATGGCAGTGATGAGAGTCAGAATGCCAGTGATGATCATAAGCCTGAAAGTGTCGCCACCAGAGTCAGCAGAAACCCAGAGCCAGTCCCTAGAAATGGGTACAAACCATTGCCATGGCTCGAAGTTCTCCGTCTTGATATGCAACGAGCCAAAGCTGATGAAGCCAGAGATGATTTGTGCTGAAATGGTCGTGAGTTTCATCGTCTAGACTCATACAACGAGGATTGACGCTGACCAGTGCCGTTCATCAAGACTAAAATGTGTGAAGAAAATTGAGCTGAGAATAGTCGGGTAAGATGAGGCTCAACATACACCAATAACCGACCCGAACGGTCTGCTCGTTCCTGGTGTAGAACATAGAGCTGACGATCATGAACCCTGCCGTGATAGAGCCTTCGCACATCCCAAGGATCAACCGTACAACGAACAGACCGGCGAAATTTGTGCACGCCGCATGGCACATCAAAGCGACCGCCCAAGTGAAGATGTTTATACTGCAGATCGCATGTCAAGTGTCAGCGAATCAGAGGAGAAAACTACAAGTGACGGGGCGCACCTCATCCATTTGCCCACAGGAAATCGCTGCAAGGCCAGATTTTGAGGCTAGGGAGAAGTCTGAGCCATACAATGTTCACTGAAACCGCAAAACAGACTCACGTATTCAAAGACAAGGTACGACAGATAGAAGATTGTGCCCAGCCTGAAGGGATCCAGTCGGGTTAGATCATCGCCCGATGTATATTCAGGCAGAACTTACCAGTTGTACCTATCACGAAGTAGAGACATCAGTGGATCGAAGGCTAATTACAAACATCCATTCGATACTCACTGGTTTGTTGTCAGATGCGCGGCTGTTCTGTTCACATTCACAATACGATCAGATATCACACGAGCAGTAAAACATTGCATATCAGGAGTACGCACTGAATACCGAGAATGGCCGAGCTTCCCAACGTGGTCTTGTCCATGAACTGGATCCAATACAAGACTGTATTCCCAAAGAATGTTACAACAGGCGAGTTATTTTTACGACGTCATATTCAGGACCTACCACACATCAACGGAAGAATGTTTCTGTCAATCTTCTTCCTGCAGTCACATGCAGCGTTCAGATTTCTGCAGTCCTTGCGACCTCAGATAAGGTAAAAACGCACCTGATCCGAGTCGCCTCCGCCTCATCAAGGACATCGTCGTTTCCTGCGACCAATGCCGCGCCCGTGTCGACCTCAGTCGTCAATACAGCGACACCGTGGTCATGCTTCTCGTCCTTCTCGTGCAGATCTAAACTCATAGTGGCGTAGTATGGCGAGTCCTAAAGCTTCGCTTTATGGCGGCCAGTCCGTGAATCAGAGGAAGGCAAACAAAGAGGAAGGCAAACAAAGAGAAGGGCGGTCGGAAGGAGGGCGGACACAGTGTTCCAAGCGCTCCTGAGCTTATATAGGGATCCTGGAAGCTGGAGCGGGTCAGCGCCGGGAGTTATGACGGCAAAGATTGGGTGTGATCAAGAAGATTCTCCAACTAACCCACGGCAAGGACCATCGCTGCCCACATGGACAAAACGAAGCCCACGGCGGTCGACAGGGACTCCGCAAAATAGCTAACATATGGTTGTGCGAAGGGGGCTGAGATAAGATAGTCGGCTTGTGCGGTTTGTCCTGATGTGAGCTTGACGAGTTACCCCATAGCTTTCAGGCCCCAGGAAGTCCCAAGAAAGAGGCAATCAAGTTGCTAGCCATATTAGACGATCAGAGCCATGAGAAGCAAGGTACAAATTTGCCCGACATGTCGAACAACCTCAGGCCAGGTGCTCAACGCGACATGATCGCTTTCTTCGGCCCACTGGGTCAAAGTGTGGTCGAGGTCAAACTAATTTGAGACGGCGTTATTCCCTTGTTCTGAAGATCTCTGCCAGTAGTTGAGGCTGGAGCGCTGGAGGACGACGAGACAAATAAGTTGGCAAAGAGTACCGGAAGCATAAACGGGGACAAGTGTCAGCTCCGGACATGCGCCTTACGTAACGTTCTTATTCGCCGTCGGCGGGAGTTTGAGAGCAATTTTAGAGGACTTGTGCTCTCAAACATCGGTCAACTGCGCTGGCTTTATTCTAAGATGGGGCGAGGTCACGGTCGAAAGTATCTCAGCGAGTATATATGTTCGTCTTCAAGCGTATACTGTATCTACTAACGATGTTGACTTCGAATCAGGGGTTTGCAGACAGTCCATAAAATTGAGGCCGGTTACATGGTATAACTTCAAACAGCACCTGGGGATACCGTACAAGGAGCTGAACGCTAGACGCCCGTACTCGCACCGGAAACCCCCTCGTAAAATTTCTTCACGGTGCCCATGAGTCGCAAAAATCCAGCTGGCGAGGATGCGGCTCCTTTCCCGGCTGGGCCGACAAAGGGTTCTAGTTTCCTAGAATGGCATGCTGTGTGGTATTCCGCGAGGTATTTGATCGCTGTCTTCTCCTGAAGGCCTGTAATTGCAACAACCTCTTCAATAATAGCGCGATCGCCCGAGGCCTTCGAAGTGCGGACGACATCTTGGTATACGCCGAGTAATGTCTGTCCGCGGCCGTTCGCTACGAGAAGTTCAGGATGTACGAAATATCGGTAAGGCGCAGAAACGTAGGAGATCCGTGGATCAGAAGGTGAGATTCGCGTAGATTGATGAGACAAGTCTAAGCCAATACGGGGAGACCGATAGATGCGGGGGGTGATGGATGACGACCGAGGCTGCAAGAACAGTCTCGTGCGAGCACTTTCAGAATGAGTGGTCTCAGTCGAGGGGAAAGCGGATATGTCACCCGACCATTGCTTTTGAACGAGTTCTGCTATGTTTGAAGCGGATCCAACTCGCAGAAGTTCGTCTACAAGGAGTGACGGTCCTGATATGACTCGTGAATCGGACACTCGACGGATAGAACGAAACAGGACGCCGCCTCGAACGATCGACTTTATTTGAGGGGCATTCGGTGCAGCAAGGGGCGTGAAAAAGCGAGAAGTTGTCGCCTGGGAGGTGTGTGGACTTCCAAGTGTCAAATCGAGACCTTTTCGAGTGCCACCTCTATAACCTCCCGCGACGGAAGGTGCTTTATTGGACGATGCCGAAGGACGGGCAGGCCCAGCTGATTGTCGAGGTGCTTTATGAAATCTCCTGGGCAAAGTTATAGACAGAGCGGAGGCCATTTAGGAAGATAAATACTTACCATTCGCCACAAATTCTATTCTCGTCTAAGTCATCTGCATGAGTGAAAGGATCCTCGTGACAACCGTCTTTGTGGAGATACATTTCCACTTCCAAGATATCATACTCGGTCCGAGTGGAAGCATCTCCGGTAGGCTCCGCCTTTTCGTAGACCAAAATGTACTGGTGCAGAAGGGAAGCGGCTATATCGTCGAAACGACTTTGTATTAACTGTCGAGGCAGATCTGACGTGCTGAAATCTAAGAGCAAAGGCAAAGAAGCCTCGTCTGTACTCAGAGTCAATACAACATTTAGCTCGAGAGAGTCGGGCCACACAACCATGCAGACGCACCAGGTTTGATTCTCTTACGAGTGACGACAGCATCCACAGGAATGCAATCCTCAGCATCAGAGCTGCGCGCGTTACGCTTTGCGGATTTCATACGAAGCCGTGTAGTAGGTTTCAAATAACACGAATATGAGAGGCTGATGAGAAAAAGCGCGGTGTGAGCGCCAGCACTGAGCAGAACATGAGGGAAGAGCCTCAAGTGATGGTGGGGAGGGAACGCAGATAAACTGAACTGTGCCCCACGTGGGAGCCATGCTACGGATCGGTAAGGTCTGAGATCTGAGCCTTAAGGCCGGGTGGTGACTCAAGCTTCCTTGAAAGCACTATCAGCTTTCACAGACCTTGTACAGCATAACCGAAGCCAACAACTGTACGGGGAGGCGTGCCTAGGACAATTAGGCAGTACTGCTGATTCGGCTCTGAATCCCACCGTGTACCACTTGTACTCTCGAAATAGCGGTCACTGTTCACATGCCACTAGCTGTATCTTCCCGGATCATTTCAACGATGCCACAGCGCTTGTCAACGTTGATGCTGTTCCTTGACGTCGTTGTATCCACTGGAGAATGCTATACAGCTCTGCTCATATAAACGCACTACTCGTCGTACCCACATTCTCTTCCTAATATAACATCATGTCTGGCGCTCCTCCCCCCTCATACTCAGATACTCAGGCAACTGCTTCGACAACTAGTAATCGTTCATTACCTGAGATCCCACCTCGCTATCAAGTCGGTCCCAAGGTTCTTTCAGAGCCTTTTGTAAACTCTGGGCATCTCAAGACCCATCTGAGTCTGCTCGATGCATTCTTCAATCTGAGAAAGACGGTCGAACAAGGAACCCGGCTGAATGTGCCGTGGATTGAACCGTTGAATGCAGAACAGAAGTGGGCGTGGTTTGTGACGTTGGCAGTCGAACGGTAAGTCGGATTATAATATCAATCGTCTCAATTCTACTCAATAATAACCGTTGGCATTGTATGCTAGATTCCAAAGATGGACTGCCATTATGATGCCCGACGAGCCTAGGAGATGGGCAGCAAACGAATGTCCCCCTTTAGATGTGTGGATGGTGTGGCACTCGTACTTGCTTAACCCTCGGTGAATCCGAACCGTGTCCCTTGTACAGCCTCAATCCTTACTGACATCGTTGCATATCATCAGCGTATACGCGGAAGATTGTACTAGGGTGCCTGCTATGCGGAGCTTCGCACTGCTAGAGCCCGGTCATTTCTTTGATGCTTTGGTACGCTCTTATGACTAATTTACAAAGATTTATCGATGTTTCTTACATCGCGCTTTGTCTAGACGGCGTTGGGCGACATAAGCGCATACAGGCCATCTGAAAGTCGCGCGAGGTCATGGTTGTCGCAAACCCGTACTGAATGGGATCCTTTTGACTCGGCCTCAAGCACGACGAACCAAGAACTACGTTGTCCACAGTGCCGCTCCAAGGTTATTGCTCGTGAGTGTCTGATGTCGCACTCATACACAGTCCATCTGACAAGGGCATTTTTAGCGTACATCACAGATAGTGGAACTGGTTATGCACAACAGGGCTTCAGCGTTCAATGTCTCGCATGTGGAATGTCAATCACGAAGGAGAAGCTCGCCACAGCAAAGTTCTGCACGGATCTTGCATATGACATGGATGCGCAGGAGTACGTTGGAAGTGACACAGCCTTTCTTGCGTGAGTTCAGGTCTCCAATATGGCACCAAACTCTCTGACCACTGCTAAGAACAGAAACACTCTGCGTACTCCCGAACACGCGGTCGACCAGGTGCGTGCCAAACGAATCAAGCAAATGATTCTTCTGGCACCATCCTTTGCGCCACGTAGGATCAGACACGGGATCAAAGTGGTAGGAGTGAATCTGAAGGCTGAGGAAATGGCTGCGAACGTAGCGTGGAGCATGACATATATACGAGACTTACCCGTTCATAACAAGAAGATGTTTGTATTTTTATTTTTATTTTTATTTTGAACAGGTCGACTCGGTTTATACTCATGTCGTTGCCTACAGGTTACGCCGTGTCTTATCGGCATATACTGACCAGAGGCCGTTTTCCATCGACCTTGTCGGAGCGGTCAGTTAGCATTTGCTCATGTTCCTAAATACGGCGTTCTAATCGATCCAAACAGGTCCTGCGTCAGGGATCGTTTGTTCAGAAGATGTATGATCTGGGCTGGACTTCTCCCGGATTTTTCGACAAGGTGGAGGATGAAGTCGCATTGAAACATGCCGTCGTGCGGTATCACGCGTAGGTGGCCCACGTCTTAAAAGATTGCGAGGGTTAACATCCGATTTCAACAGCTTTCTCGATATGATGGCTTCTTCTCCTGGCTCTTTCTATGTACCGACTCTTGACATCGACCTTGCTTGGCACAGCCATCAATTGACGGCGCAACAATACCAGCACGACTGCAAAGCCACTGTCGGGAGATACGTGGACCAGTGAGCTCAGTCTTCAAGTATCAACGGCGATATTGCTAACACATTTTGCCAGTGATGACAAGGTTGAGGAAGGTCACCTCTCTAATGCCTTCGACTTGACATGTCGTGCGTGGAATGTGCGTGACATCTGATTTTTTTCTGGACAAAAAGTCTAATGCTCTGCTTAGGCTCGCTATAACGTACCGTACATGCATTGTGGATGTCCCCTTCCAGGTCGGCACCTGTTCCTTTCGTGTAGCTATGAAGTCCCACTGACACATACCTGTATACCACAGGAGACTCCATCGGTCAGAAACTCTCTCGATTGGTCTCCAAGATCGAATCACGCAGCTATCCATCCTCCGCCCTCGACCCGCCAGAGGAGCACCCTTACCTTCTCGCGGCGACTCATCCCTCCGACCACAACGGTGTGGCAGTCGAGGGATTGCCCCATGTCAACTACAACCAACAACGACGTGCGCGTGAGGCCAAGCTTCAGAAGCGACGCGAACGCGATGCCCAGAAGGTGGAAAAGGGAAAGATAGATCGAGCTGCGTATGAGCGAGGGCGGGACCACTACCCCGCGTTCCTGATACCCGTCCCAATATTTTTCCCTGCGTATGGAGTAGGTGGTTGTGTGGCAGCGGGCGGTGGTTGGATTAATTCTGGAGGAGGATGTGGTGGCATTGGAAGTTGTGCAGCGGTAAGCCTCTTGGTGACTTCGGTTCCAAGTCTGTAGCAGTGAATTTAACGTGTGTGTCTTGTTCTCAGGGAACTGGCGCTATGTGTGGTGGTACTGCAGGAGGAGGAGGAGGAGGTTGTGCTGGCGGAGGCGGCGGATGTGGAGGAGGTGCAAGCGGCGGTGGGTGTGGAGGAGGGGGAGGTGGCGGTGGATGCGGTGGCGGCGGTGGAGGTGGTTGCGGCGGAGGGGGCGGTGGAGGGGGAGGGGGTGGTTGTGGTGGGGGCTGAGAAATGCGGAGTAGTTTGAGGCAGGCCATGCTATCTAACAGGAAACTAGAGTGTTGAGCACGTTAATCTACCTTTCTAACATTTCACAATTGCGTAGCATATGTAAACTAGCCGTTGTTGTACGTGTACTCTACTTGACCTGGTTTTTGTTAGTTCTGTGAAGATTATCAGCGCAGACCATACACTATTACAATTTGATTCTTCGAATCGAGCGGAGATCTGAGAGGGGTGGGCTCGCCAAGACTAGAAACCAGTATAGCACTGGTGAAAACTGGGAGGAAGGCGCTGCCATCGCATCGTTCAGATTCGGAATTTTATTCATGCCATCCAAGTAGCTCCGTTGAGGGCAGAACGAAAATTCTGCTCTTGACCAGCACCAACCTGCTCTCGTCCAAGGCGTTACGGCTAGAATATACGCCGCGTAAGATCTTCGCGAGGAAGGCGGCAATGGCGAAAGCAAGCTGTACGAGCGGGGATCGTTTCGCAACACGCCTATTGGTCAAGAAGCTTAGGATGAAATGATGCAGCTTGCCGCATCTGAGTGGTTCCAAAGTCCACATACCCATTCCACCGAGAGAGAAGTCCTTGACCTGCAAACCTACCTACTTACGCAAGGGACGCACACCGTATACTTGTCACGGAAGCACCATTGCTATCGATATTGTATAAGGTGATATGTGTGATGTAACAGCCAGATTGGTGAATGTTCGCCGCAAAGGAAGCACAGGGAAAGGGACATGAAAGACAGGACCAGAGACTCACAGAGATAGATTAAATTTGCTATGAATCCTCCGGGACAAGAGCACCAGTTGACCTTCCCTCCTTGGCCCTTCTCTCCTTCAACTCCCGGTACCGCACGATCGCCTTTTCTCGTTCAACTTCCATCATCGCCCTCTGGGCCATCGACAAAATCCCGGCCTTCCCTAACCCATCCCCCTTCCCTTTCGTTCCATCCTTCTTTACTCCTCGGGGTAGTTTCTTGAGATCTGGCGGGGCCATGGCGATATCATTAAGGCGGCGAGGTGCGGATGTAGAAAGAGCTTGGAACTCTTTGGCTTTTGAAGCATGTTTATCTAGTGGTTGGGTGGGTATATCGGAGGCTGCATCGTCTCGGGATGATGATTTGCCACCTTTGGTAGTTTTGGGCTGAGATGAAGATTCACTAGAGTTTTCTGCTGTTTTCGTCTTTCCCGTAGACTTGCGTTCTTGCCGTTCGCGAGCGGATGACTTTTGAATAGCATTACGAACAAGAGGTCGCATATCGTCCTCAACTCGTCTGTATGCCCAGAAAATTAGAATGTATTGCCCAATACCGTTCACTGTCTTACTGGACAGATTGAACACGACGACTCACCGGTTGAAGTGTGCCAAGGTCTCTCCTGGCTTGATCTTGATCTCAGCCGCCTTCTCTTTTCCCTTCTCGTTCGGCGCAGTAGTAGCCTTCTCTCGAGTGTCGTCTACAACCTGTTTTCGTTTCTTCTTCGGTCGACCAGAGCCGTCTGATGGCTCGTCGAGAGCTGTCCTCTTGCGTTGTTTAAAATCCTCCCTGATCTTCGCAGCATCTAGAATGCGCGATACCGACTTGGGAATGCCTTCGGTTGAAAGGTTTCCGGATGGCGCGACGTCCATTCCTCTGATACCAGAAACACATAAGATTTTATTCGAGGAGATGAATGTGTATGCCCACATACTTTTCTTTCCGGTCATTTTCACGCACTGAACGTTTAGCGCGTTTATGAGGCATGAGTTGGCTAGGGTATAGATAGAAAAATAAAGCAGAAGTTGCTAGGAGACGTCTGTTAAATCTCAGCAAAGATAGCGTGTCGGCGTAAGGACCTCCAATTTTCAGAACAGGTAGGCCACAGCAAACACGAAGTCGTGCTCGCCGGCATCCGCCGACGCCGCGCCACCGTCGTGAGTCGATCATCGTGGGTATTGACAGGCGGGATGCATACTGGTTACGAGGTTCGATCCCAATGCGTACAAATTTTGTGCGAAAAGACCTCCATGTCCGATCGCAAAAGTACAAAGACTGGGACTTTTTTCAGCAGTGGTCCGATCCCAAATGCTGACACAAGTCAAGCTTTGTATCTTAGGTTCGATCCACGTACGCACAAAAGCGAGTGGAAGTTATCATTCCCTAACTTCACAGTAGGCAAATCTCGACATTTTTTGTTCGCAACACACATGTGCGCGAAGGCAATCTCGAGCGCGCTGTCCTCGTCAATGAAGTTGGACTGAAAAAAGGTGTTTTTACTCGCTATCGGGTCCGAAGTACACATTTACACCGCGAATAATAGCGATGCTTAGATTGCATGCAGGGTCTTCGCAAACGATGGTTCGATCCGTTGTGCGTACCAAAGTCTCTGAAAAGCAGGGTTACCCGATCCGAATGCGTACATATGTGGCGCCAAAGTTTGTGACAAATTTCGCCCAAATGTTAGATTTAGGATCGAACCTTCGTACCAATATGCATCCCGCCTGTATTGACACTGGTATTGACCGACGTGTTCCAACCCAGCTCCAAACATTGTTCCGACAATTTCTGTCACTTCAAATCGTTTGTCCACATTTGCCTTCCGGGAGCTGCCACCTCTGTAGTGCAACATCTTTGTCGTATTCACCACGGGCATCTTTTGGGACAGAATACGCCGGGTTGTTCGCACTCGATCGCAGAACGAACATCGCCCTGCCCGCTTACCTCTCTCCCCACAATCAGTCACTCGCCCCAAATTACAAGTCCCTGACATGACTGAAGAGCTACCTGAACTGAATATTCCAAATCCTACTCTTATTGGGGAGAACCCACCGCCAACCATTACGACGCCGACGGCCATCATCCACAGCAGCTACGACCGAGTCGATAATGTGCCTCCAAAGCCTTCCACTGGCGTCTGGACCCGTTTTGTATGCATCAGTGACACACACGAGCATACGTTCGAGGTACCACACGGTGATGTGCTTCTCCATAGTGGTACGACGAGAGTCCTTTTGCTATATCGCCCTTGCTCACTGGCGTGGTATTGTGATCAATGTCCAGGTGATCTGACCCAGACGGGTCGCTTCGTAGGTGCAAAACAGACAGCAGACTGGCTCTGCAGCCTGAGCCATCCGATCAAGATGTAAGTTCGTGCGGATTTTCAGAATAATCAAGAATAATTCTTATTCTCTGTTACTAGAGTCATTGCAGGTAATCACGACCTCACGCTTCATCGGGACTGGTACCCCAAGAACTTCGATAGATGGCACAGAGACCAGGAGGTCTGTATATTTGAGGCTGATTTTCGCATCTCTGCTTCTCACATACTTCTGCGATCCCTGCTAGCCAGTGGACGAGATTCACAGTCTGTTCGTAGGGAAGGAAGCGAAGAAAGCAGGCCTTGTCTACCTTGAAGACGAGTCTCACGAGTTCCAAGTCCACGAAGGTGGACGTAAATGGTCCGTCTATGGATCACCTGTACGTCTCAGTTCGGAACTGTTTCTCTGCATGCGTAGCGCACTCACGAAGGATTCTCCGGGCTGCCAAAGTGGTCACCGGTGAGTGAGATTTCTAGCCTGTATCTTTCGGTTCATCCGCGCACTACTTAATGGGGACAAAGTGGTTCTACGACTGGGCGTTCAACTACCATCCTGGAAGATCAGCCGAAGGTTCGTCTGACTGCGACGCCTATCAGTGCATACCGCTCATCTCTGCCGACTCAGATCTGGTCAGCAAATTTCCGAAGACAGATATCCTGTAGGCCCCTCTTTCGGACAGGGGAACATCTCGGCGGAAGGCTGACGACAGAAATTGACAGCCTAACACACGGACCTCCTTTCGGGATACTTGACGAAACAAGTGACGGGAGTGAGGTTGGATGCGAAGCCCTTCGAAGCCGTTTGGCTCATCTTCAACCCCGTCTTCACCTCTTTGGTCACATTCACGAAGCGCACGGCGTGGAAGTCGGAGAATGGAGCAAATCGACATCTACAACCGATGATGATTCGAAAGAGGTGAAGCAGACCGTATTTGTGAATGGTGCAAACTGGCCCGCTGGACATCGAGCCACGGCTATGTATTATCGAGGAACGCCCATCCCTTTTGCAGGGCCTGGCTTCCAGCCCGCGATTGTGGATTTGTTAGAGGTGTAACAGCGCTTCAAACTATACGGACCGTTGTGCTCCCTTATTCTCTCTCACACCGTGTAATTTATATGTACCACCAGTATGGCTGCATTGAGGCTTTGGGAACACGAGGCGCCACAAAGTTGAACTGACGAGATGAGCCATGACGTCATGCCATGGCCCGTGCAATAAAGTGGCTCTTACAGGCTCTTCCCTTCTCTCATCCTCAACCAAGTCAGCTCGCACAACAATCACCCAATAAACCTCTAAGTCAACATGATCTCCTCGCGACTCACATCAATGTCTCTTCGTGCTCATCGTGCTCTCCCCGTGAGCGCCGTCTCGCGTCGTGTCGCTGCTCTTCCCGCAACCCAGACGCGTACATTCTCCCGCACAACTCTCGCCCTCGCCGACAAGGAATCGAAAGAAGGACACAGCGCAGAATCATACTTCAAAGACGTCGATTCCACTCCCCCCGTAGACTCCACCGTTCATCGCGTCGACAGCAGCTCAGAAGCCGTTCAACGCCCCTATGAGCCCCCGTCCGGGCAGTACAGTCAAGCAGGGGTGGAGACCGAGGAGTACAGGAGCACGGAGAAGTCAGACCAGCCGTACGATGCGGCTGCTGGAGGAGAGAACGAGGCGAGATATGGGGCTACTCCGTCATACAAGGATGACCCGGATATGAAGGCGAGCAAGCAGGAGGAGAGTCCTGCGCAGGGTAACGCTGGAGGAAGGAAACCGGAGGGGAAGGCGTGAGGCTGGAATGTGATAGTTCATCAATAAATCCTTTACAGTGTCTTCCAGGTTGGTCCGCCACTCTATCATCACATTTCCTGAGCACTAATAGAGATGCTTCAGGTGTAGCCGTGATGAAATTCACTCTTGCATGCATATGTGCAATAGGCATCGGCCGTCGTGCAAACACTTTTGTGTAATCAATTCCTTCGCTGTTCCCCATCGAGATAAAATATAGCATTCTTTCGAGCTCTAGTATGTTGGCGCATGTCGGCAGCGGCGTCGGAACCTACAAGTGCTCGAGAGCAAGTAATGAATGTGTCCACTAAGTCATATTCCCAGCGCACCAATAATTTTCTCTTGTACAGTGCCACTGTTAAATGTAGTCGCATGCATTGTTCATGCGGGTTCAAATTCGTCGACTGAGACGACCCCAACGTTCTACATTAATGTGACCCGTATACATGGTCATGTCCAGCACACGCCGTTGGATGTCCACCAAAAGCCATGGCTATTCTCGGGCTGGGTCGTTCTCGAATGTAATATTGCACCGTTGAGGATGTCCACCGAACCTTCAAAGCGTACACCATTCCTAGCGATCGCGGAAGGTTACTACAGTTTTTGGGCCACACAAGCACGCCACAGTGAAGTTCGATCATATGGTTTCTCGATAAGATAAGATGAAGATGGCAATCGGCGAAGCCACAAAGCCCACCGTAATACTTGAAGCACTCCATCTCCCGAGGACATAGACTCTCTCATTGCCCGCCTCATTGGCTAATACTACACGAATATTGAAGGCAAATACCAGTAAAAAATCATGGCAACAACAGAACCCGAATCAACCGCACCCGAGAAGCAGGCCACTCCACCTCTCCAAATCCTCTACTGTGGCGGTGAGTTCCTCACTCCCGCATTCCCCTCGTTTCCGTATCTCAACCACACTGCAAGGGAAGATTTCTCATTGAAACCATTTCTGATTGCAAACTTATCATTATCCAGTATGCACTTTCCCGCCTGAATACTGCGAGTTCGGCTCGAGCTTCACGCGGTGTAAAGAATGGTTGGAGAGCGAACACCCCGATCTGTATCAGAAGTACTATTCCGACGGTGCGTCTCATATAATGTTTTTCTCTATACATTATGATGATACCTGATCCTTCTTGCTTTTCACCGTTGCTGGTTTATAGAGGCCCTGCAGTCTAAGCTCGGGACCTTGAGTCTGGAAGCACAGAGTAAGCTTGAGAAGGATACGGCTAAGAAGGAAGCGAAAGCAGAGGCAAAGGCGGATGCGGCTAAGAAGAAGAAGATGGTATGCCGCCTAATTCTCTCCTGCATTCTTGACGTCTCGATCGCTGATAACTGCGCGGAATATGACAGGCTTCCCAAGTACGTTCAGATCGTTGTCCGCTGTCACCCTCCACTTTATTCATTCTCTGGTGTCCGGATATATAGGTGCAAATCAAGCGCATAGAACGGAATAAACGAAAATACGTAACCGCTGTTCATGGACTCGAAGCCTTCGGTTTGTGTCCATGGTATATTCCAGCTCATTCCGACCAGCTGACCCCATACGGCGGTGCATAGACGTAGATCTGAAGAAGGCCTCGAAATTATTCGCCCAACGCTTCGCAACCGGTGCATCCGTAACGAAGAACGCAGCAGGGTTTGACGAGATCGTCGTTCAAGGCGATGTCTCGCAAGAAATCTACGACATGATAGAGGAGGCGGGCGAGGGTGGCGAAGGTGGCGGGAAGGGCAAGAAGGGACTGGACGTTTTGAAGGGCGTTTTGATCGACAACGTCGATATCATCGAGGAGAAAAAGAAGAAAGGCGGAGAGTAATTGCACGGTGCTCGTATGGCCTGAGGAAGTGACTTGCTCAACGGTGTATGATGATCGTGAAGATGATTTGGTTGATCACATTGTATACAGACTGCGTGGCATGAATGTCTTGTATTAGTGAAGGACAAATATATGTGTCTAGGCTACAATGTATGCTCGATGTATGGTATGATGGTTGTTTGACAATGGATAAATAGTGGGTGGTAGTGCTACAGTGAGATGATCAACCTACGAGAAATGTGTTAGGAATACAGTTTGGATGCGAGATAAATAATGTGTGATGGGCCGTGGCCAGGGTATATGTGCGGAGACTGGGGACGATGATGAAAGCGAAACGAAAAGCCTCTCGGATGACTAGCAAACCGAGATGAAGAATTCGAAGGAACACAGGGGTGGAATCGACGGATAGAGGATGATTCAGTGGCGAGAGGGTATGTAGTTCAGGTCCACTTGCCACATGTCGCCACACTTGTTGTTCATGGAGATAATCCATAAATCCTGGACCATAATCCCATCCCTGTCTTTCGCGATTTTCCACTGAGCGTGCTGGGCCTGAACCGTGTGCTTGCACGCTCTCTAATAGACAGAAGCCCCAAGCATGAGCGTGACCGTCCAGAGAAGATACCGGTTATGGAAGACAATATATATACCTGGAAGAAGGTCGTAATCGCTTCCACAATTGCAATGATGATGTCCATCCTGGTTGCAGGTCCGCCCTTTGGAGAAATGACATCGATGGGAAAGACGGTGTTGCAGTCAGGGTAACCGGGCCACTGTGGCGTACCCAGAAGTCGAGGAAATGAGCATTTGATTTTGTTTAGAAGACAAGATAAGAACACATACCGATAGATGGAGTGAAATTTTAGAGCAGCCGGGAAGAGGGCAGTCAAAGTTGTTATGAAGAAACTGTCCGAAGTGTGCGTGACCTCTGTAGGCCAGTTCGGCCGCGTTGACACCAAGACTCGGTCCGCGAGAAGTCGTCGTATGGAAGATAACAGAAGGGAAGCGAGGGGGTATGCCGCCTTCAAGGCAGTTGTGACTGGTAAGCTGGACCTGGGGGACGAGGTTGAGAGGGGGGGCCATCGAAAGTGAACGGTACTAGTCGGCGAGGACAAAGAAAACACTGAAAAATAATACGATTAGACGGACACCCGAGTGATGTAGGAAGATAAAGGGATTTACGAAGAACGTGAAATGTGGAGGCAAAACTGTGAGTTACAAGAGACAATTGCGAGAGACGAGTTCGTAACACCAGAGCAATTGAGTGGACGATGAGAGGCCATGTCGCCCACCAGCTCGCTTTTAAGCAAGATAAAAGACTAGGGCAACAACAGGGGCAAAAGTGGGCAAAAGGGCAAAGGAGCTGGAGAACTATTATGCCATTGTAGGTCCAACAAAGAGAAGGTGTCTCGAGGCGGGGAGCGTGCCATAGAAAGGCAGCAATCGAGTGCCACTCGACCATGCGATACTCGCATTTTGCAGGAGCGCCTTTGAGGTAGACGCGGCAAGGACGTGTTGTTAAATCACAAAGATACAAGGAAGAATTAGGCAAGAGCAAAGGGTACTAAACAAACAAAGATAGTAGGACGGCATGAACCGCCGGTGCCCACTTCCTTCATTTCCGTTACAGGACGACAAAGCAAGACACGAGGCAGAACCCCAAAGGCGATCATAGCAACGAGGCGCAAGAAAGCAACCAGCTAGTGGTTGAATTATGTAGTGATGGAGGTGTCGAACTTTTGTTCATCTGAAGAAGAGAGCGAGCATCGAGCAAGCGGCCCGGGGCGTAGACGACCGCCGAAGCTTGAAGTTTTGTTGCAAAGCGCAGCCCAGAGATCACATTCGCAAGGGTAGTAAAACTAGGAGGCCGCAGATAGCAATTTTGATTTTCACGGTCTAGACACGAGAGATTCTGGCGATGAGTACCAGGCAAGCAGAGAGGGTCGCAAATCAAGACGCGTTGAACGTTTGCCGCAGAATCCGGAACGGAAATTGCCGTTAGGCGCCCGTGTGTCAACGGTTCGATGTGGCGGTGAAGATCTCTCATTATTCTCACGTCATAGATACTCCATCGAGGAACAGAGGCGGCAGCTGCAGCTAATGCCTGAAAGTATGGTGTGTCGGTCTGTATATACGAACACAGACGTCTACAAAAATACACGGTATGGATCGAAATACTGCCGTGCCAGGTTTCAACATGTTAGGGCTTGAAGGCAATCCAAGCCTCGTTCAAAGTCCCGAATACCCCGTTAGCGATCATCCTCTGCTCTAGAGTCGTATTGTTGACGTTTAACTGTTTTATAGATCAGTATATGCTCTATGCGCACGGAATTATGGGGCTCACCTTGTCAGGATGTAGTTTCGCGATAGCCTTCGTGTATCTGATCTTCACTTGATTCGGAGTGACGAGCTCAGCCATCCCAACTTTCTGCCAACCCAGTTCAGGCCAGAGCACGGAGTCCAAACTTGCGATGAGGGCACGCAAATTGGTCTCCTTGCCATTCTTCCACGTACCCAGACGCGCATCGATAGCATCCTTCATTTCGTGCCGTGCTTGATCTTCCGCTTCCGCCGCTTCGTTTGCCTGCTTCAGTCTGTTCAATGCCTCGGATGGTGGGGTAGGGCCACGACGAGGCGCAGGTCTCTTCGGAGTTGGTTTCGGCTTCACGACTCGAGGCGTGCTTGCCGAGGGGCCTGCGCTGATAGATCCTTCGCCCGATGCTTGGGCGGCAGCGACCATCTTGCGACACCGGCTCGCCCCAGTCACAGCATCGTGCCGCATTTTGCCCGCGAAGTCGAGGGCAACAATGGCTTCCCAGTCCTGGCGAGCAAGATCCCATTTCTCCTTCCCCTCGTATGCTTCCGCGCGTCGCTTCCGTGCCTTCACGAGAGCATCAGCAAGATCGACACTGGCGCCTTCTTCCTCCTTCGCCACCTTAGCTTCTCGTGAGGGATGATACGAGGGGCCTATGATCCTGATGACGGTCGCACAGTCATCAATGGTCCCGGATGTGTCACCAGTCTTGAGGCGGGTGAGCGCACGATTATTGAGTAGCGGAATCTGCAGAAGATGCGAATCGGGGAGTTGGGATAGAGCTGCCGAGTATGCTGTTTCGGCTTCTGCATATCGTCCAAGTTTGAACATTTCTGTACCCGACGCTTTGTGTCTGTTGGATGCTGATATTGCAGAAGGCGTGGCCGGAATCGTCTGCCGTCGAGACAGCGCCACAGGAGATGAACGTCGGGGGGCGGGCGCTGCGACTGGAGTGGAAGTAGGGGTTGAAGACGCAGATGGTCCTCCTCGGGAGGCTCCACCTCTTCGAAAAGGCGAAACATACGCCTTTGGCGCATCATCGCTAAAGAGGTCTGCTGTCTTGACTTCGGGTCGAGACGCTGCCTCGGGCTTGGCTCGCGCGCGCTGAGATGGTCTAGGGGGGAGAACCTCGTCGTCGTCCCGAAAGGTAGATGGTTCTCCGTGCGGTGCTCTATCATGCGCATTCTCATCCCTTTCCCTCTCTATGGCTTCTTGCATCCATCGCGGTCTACCGTCTGTCTGTCCACGCGAATTCAACGAGGACGTAGATCGTGAAGCCGTTGCGCGTTCTTCGTAAGCCTTCTGTACCTTCTCCTTTCCTTGGTTGAACAGAGCGTTCGCGCGATTGAAGACGCTCAAACCGATGATATTAGCTTGGGCGAGTAACTTATCAGCTTGCTGTTGATAGTTCACTTCTTGACCGGGCGGTGGCGACGTAGGTGACTCCCGTGATGGTCGTGAGCGTGTACGAGGGTCGCGGCGGGCGGGTCTATCTCCAGCATCGTCGTCCTGGAATTGCTCGTCCGGTCTCGGACGTGATCGATCTTGTCCATTGGATGGCGGGCGCTTTAGAGGAGAAGGTGATCCAGCACCATTCGACAGGAGAGTCTCCAAAGCTGCCTGGACATCAACCCCCGTTTCTGTGGCGGCAAGTGCCACACGAGCTTGCTGAGGGGTGAAGCCCATCTCGACAATCTGTCCGATGATATGCGGCGGAGGCGACGATGCTCTGCCCTGCTTGCCGTTCGGTGGGGTAGGTCGGGCCTGTACGGATCATTTTATTACTTGTTCATGAGAATCGCATTTGACAGACTTACGGGTGGAGATGTACTCGACCTCAAAGAATCCGCTGGTCGTGCCAAATTACCAAGAATATCATCCTCATCTTGTGAATCCTCATCTAGAAGGCCTTGTTCTCGGTCGCCGAAATCGAAATCGCCCGGTGAATTCGTCCGAGACGGCACCTTGGGTTTTCGTCGTGGTCCGGAAGACGAAGCGGCAGCGTTGTGCGAGTCTGACGCAAAAGATTCCAACTCCCAGAGGGAACCGGGCTGCGAAGGGGCGTTTTCTTTGCGTTGTTTCTCCGAAGGCAGAGAGGCGAAGTCACCAAGACCCCAGTCATCATCATGATCGAGAGTGGAAGCGGAGGCGCTGGGGGGAGGTTTCGAGCTCGGCAGTAACGCGGGTGCAGCGGACGACTGAGAGGAACCGAACAACCAGCCATCATCCGGCGGTTGTGGTGAAGAATGTTGGGAGGCTTGTGGACTGAAGGAAGAGTTATTCGCTAGTGAATCTAGGCCAGCCCAAGCTGCCGACTGCTGCCTGACCGTCTGATGCTGCTTCTGGAGGGTCTCCTGTCTCTGCTTCTCAGCTCTGGAAGCGCGCTCGGCGATGCTGAGTTTGGCATTGTCAGAGGCATTGGACAAAGAACCAGATAACAGACTGCTAAATGCGTCACCACCGGAGGAAGTCGATATAGGTGATTTAGCGGCGGATCGTTGAACTGTCTGAGTAGTGGAAGGTGTGGTAGCGCGAGGGCTGGAGCCTGCAGGCGATGAAGAGGCCAACATAGAGAAGGCATCGTACTGTGGGCGATGTCCAGCGTTATTTGAAGGAAAATTGGTGTTCACTTTGGAGCCTGAGGTTTTGGGAGGTGCTGCAGGCTTGCTCGGCGCGGATGAATTCCATAGTTCGGCGAAAGAATCGGACATGGTTAGGATCTCGTCCAGTCTGCGAAGGCTGCTGTTCCACAAAAACGGCTAATTAGCTATGCGACAGGCATAGAGACAAGAGACACCGACGAACGCGAGTTCAACCTAGGTTCAAAGATATGGTTTCAGTTGAGGTTTGTACGTGCGCAATCGCAAGATGTGGCCGGGATACCGGGCGCAATACGACGGAGGAATCCACGTTATGGGTGGGCCCTAACCCTATCTTAGGTGTGGCCGGAATTGTAACACAAGCACTTCATTCGCAAACCCTATCATCTACTTCGGTACGGGGTGAACTCAGTCTAACTCCTCAGCGCGGGCCTCTAATCTTGTGCTCCGCAGTGTAGTCGCAGGAAGGAGAAGAAAGTTGTATCTGGCCTATGGTTGTCTTGGCTAACTATGCGCTCTCTTGTCGTCGTATGGTCTACGCCAAAATAATCAACTCGTCGCGTGCCTTCTCTGCCTCTCGTGCACTTTCACAGAAGCCGTACTATGTCACCAGCCCTATTTTCTACCCGAACGCTGGTAAGAAATTACACTGTGGCGAGTGCTGCTGTCGCTGATCAGATTGCTTCACTTGCAGCTCCTCATATAGGACATCTGTGGGCATATTTCTCGCCGCACCTCTTGCAAACACTAACGACTGGGCTACTTCCGTGCCATCCAGTTATACACTTGTGACTGCGGATATATTTGCACGACAAGCCAGACTACGCCGACCTGAGACTCCTGCATATTTTCTCGCTGGCACTGACGAACATGGCTTCAAGATCCAGAAAGCTGCACTCGCTCGAGACTTAGACCCCGCCGCATTCTGTGACGAGCTGAGCGCTCATTTTCGTGTCTGTCTTACTCCACGGCATGCTTCCGACATCCACTGACTTGCGCTTGGTAAAGAAACTAGCAGAGCGGACCAATACCTCACATACTCGATTTGTGCGTACTACGGAGCAAGACCACCAGACTGCCGTCGAACATGTCTGGGTAAGTGTTTACCTACTAATCAATCCGTATTGCCCCTCTTAAGTTAACCTCACCGACTGATTATATACGCAATTCAGAGAGAACTCGACGCGAAAGGTCTGATCTACAAAGGAAGTCATCAAGGCTGGTACTCCATCTCCGACGAGTGCTTTTATCCTGAATCTCAAGTCACGCGAAAAAAGGCACCGTATACCATGGGCAAGCAACAGTCATTTGTCTCAATAGAGACCGGCTCCGCTGTCGAATGGATGGAAGAGGAGAATTATATGTTCCGCCTGTCCGCGTTTCAAGATTCGCTTTTGGAACGGTACAAGAGCGACCCATTGTCCATATACCCTCCTACCCAGCATGCCGACGTGATTGATATGCTTTCTCAACCTCTTGAAGATCTATCCATCTCACGGCCCCGAGCACGACTGCACTGGGGTATACCTGTGCCAACGGACCCAACGCATACGATCTACGTCTGGTTTGATGCACTCACCGTCTATCTGACTGGTGCTGGCTTTCCTGGGATCAAGTCCCAAGCAAATCCCTCCCAATTCGGTTGGCCACCCGATCTGCAAGTGATTGGGAAGGATATTCTCCGGTGAGACGCTGCGCAAAGGTTCCCCGCATCGCTCCCTTATTCAAGTTTTTCAGGTTTCACGCAATATATTTCCCTGCCATGCTCCAGGCCCTAGGGCTGCCCTTGCCGAAGCAGATTCTTTCTCACGCACATTGGACAGTAAACAGGCAGAAGATGTCGAAGTCCATCGGCAATGTTGCCGATCCGTTCAAAGCCATGGATGAACTGGGTGTAGATCTGGTCAGGTACTATCTTGCCCGTGTAGGTGGTCGCTTCAAGGATGACGTCGGTACGCTGCGAGATGAACTTTTGATCTTCTTGCTTCCGCCCTGTGGGTGTACGCTGACGGCTGTGATTCTTAGATTGGTCGCAGGAACAGCTCGAGAAACATGCTTTCGAGCTGCAATCTTTACTTGGGAATTTCTACCTTCGTGTCACCTCAAAAGCGATCCAAAAGCGACTGTCCCCAGATTGCCATGCACGGTTCTCAGTACTGATCGATGAGTCTGCGAAAGTACCCGCTTTGCACGAGGCTGTGACCTCCTTGCAAAGTCTCTCACAACGAGTCGATGAAAACCTGCAGCTTCTTCAAGTCTCCGACGCTCTAGACGCTATCGTTCAACAACTCTTGATGGTACGTCACTTCCTTTATACTTCGGAACTAATTCGGTAGACTCATGTCCAACATTCACAGGTCAACCAGATGCTGACCGTTACCCAACCCTGGTCAAAAGAGACTACCTCGGAGCTTACTGAACAGGTTTACGCCGTCTCTATCGAGACGCTACGGATATGCGGTTTATTACTCCAGCCATTTATCCCTTCCAAGAGTGAAGAACTCCTCGATGCTCTGGCTGTGCCGAAGAACATGCGGACTTGGAACCAGGCTCAGCTTGGAGGTGGATCAGTGGGTGATGTGCAGAGGGGCGTCCGTTTGTTTACCCTTCCATCCAAATCCTCACCTGCAAGCGGATCATAATCGGGCCTGCACGTTTCCTACACGATCTCTGGTAATGGGCGTGCTAGATGGAAAAGCGACGGAACTCATGGCGACCTTCGAGAGCCTCCAGATCGATGTAATAATCTGAAGTTGAGATTACCATACATATCCGTTATCTCCGTACATGACCACATTGACAGCCTAAGGAAAACTAAGACCTCTAGCTTGGCTGTTGGTCTGGGAAATTGAACACGAACAGCGACTGTCACATGCACAACGTGATATCGATCCTGAAAGTTGAGGGCGAAATAATATTGGATCGTTGCGTGCTCCAATCATAGACGAGCGGCTCTTGGATTCGCGGACCTTAACTTTATGTTCGAACGGCCGAATTAGGCAAGTACACCACGCGACGATGACACGGTGCGCTTGGAGGTCAGCGAACATGGGGCTTTCTCTGCTTTGCCGGCGTCGCTCACGCGCCACTTCACTCTTCCTCTTATATCCTCTGCTTGATTCGATTTTGCCAACGCCCCGCTCCCCACCCCCGCACCCCAGCTTTCCCCACGCAGTCCTTCCTCAGAAACTTGCAATTGAGCTCAATCCAGTATGAGGGTCCCGAAAGCGAGAAGTATTGACGTTGTATTCGATGGCAGGGTCTTTATTGGCAAGTGAGTGGTCGGCGACGTCGAGGTTGTTCTATATAAGTGACGCGTTTCTTCGTGTCCATAGTCTCCTTTCCGCAACTAGCTTGAGTGTACACCCAGAGCTGGGCATTACACATATCCTCTCCGTCTGCCCCGACTTTTCGTCACCAACTCGAAACCACATGACCATTGGTGTTCAGGACACAGAGTATGACGACCTTCTCATCCACTTACCCAATGCATGTCAGTTCATTCAGGCTGCTTTGGATGAAGGTGGTAAGGTGCTTGTACACTGTGTCATGGGTGTATCCCGAAGTGCAACCGTTATTTGTGCTTTCTGTGAGTATTCTTTGGATGTGGTAACGCAGAGCGGCTCTCAATCGTGGCATCTCATTTTTTTTCCATCAGTGATGCAGTCTCGCCATATGTCGGTACATGAGGCACTATGCTATCTTCGGCAGCGTACGCGAGTTTTCACTCTTTTAGAATGGGTGTCACCTCTTAGTACTCTTTCTCCAAGGGCGCCCACGGGTCCAACCCAACTATGGGTTCATGAAGCAACTACATGCATTCGCAGCCTGTTCATATGCACCTACGCCAAATAACCCGGCATATCGAGCATGGAAGCGGAGACAGCGCCAGGACATTACTGCCTTCTCAAACAGTGTTAGTGACACTGTCCCGATTCTCCAGGAGACGCTATATCTCAGCAGGTACGTGCTCCGATGCGTGGATTTATGCGGCCATGGTAGTTACTGTCTCAAATTTTTAGTGAATTTCCTAACGACCATGATCGTGCGTCCTGCGTGGTCGCATACCTTGGGCTAACCCATTTCATCACCCTCGGCTCCACTGAGCAAATACCCCCGTCACTCAATGTTAAGAATCGTCACCTCGATATACCCAAGTGCGGCCCAGAGGGACTCCTCCTTAATCTTCCCGACACCTGCAGACATATACAAGAAGCCATCGACTGTGACGGGCGGGTCCTCGTCTACTGTCTTGCGGAAAGTAATGCAGCCATCGTAGTAGGCGCCTATCGTAAGCCCTCCCCTATTTTGACTGCTCGGTTGCTGACCTCGACTACCTCTCAAGTAATGTGGAGCCAGAACATATCTTCCGTCCACGCCCTCAAGCTAATTCATGACGGTCTGGTCGCCTGTTCTCTCCGACATCCCTACGTCTACTTACCCCTCTGACGCACCAGCTCTACCACTCTTCAACTGCACTGACAAATTTGCAAAGTGCCTAGAAGTCTTCCAGACTTGCCAACATTCGCCCAGACTCGACCATCCGGCCGTTCAAGCATGGTTTGCTGAGCTTGGCGGATCATTTTCCGCCCTCACCTCTGCTTTCACGTCTGCAGCTAACACGATCAATTCGGCAGCATCCAACTCGGGTAGGACGCAGAAGATAACTGGTCAGGAACGGGAGAAGGTGGCATTGAGTGGTGTTGGAAGAAGGACGCGGGTCGAAGTTATGAGCATCGTAGGGCAGAGCTAGCGGAGAGCTTTCATGAGTTTTCATACGACATGTCCCTCCTTTTCCTTGTGTTCTTGCGCCTTTGGTGGATCTGGCGCTCATTCTGCTCCTCCGAGACAGTGTCCGTATCATTTACCCATTCGTGACTGTTGTCCCGCAGGCTGCTATGTTTTGGCTTGAGAGTTCCTTCATTTATACCGTCATTCTCTAATATACCTCTTCTTAATACATCCACTCATATTCGCAGTCCTCGATCTAGTACTTCTGCTCCTCGTTTATCCCCAACTGAAGCGCTGATCTGCATGAGTGAGGCAACTACGTGCACAAAGAGTCAGAGAAGAAAAGAACAAACCTTGTGGCACTCACGGCCCGGTCGCCCCGATCCCCCCGCGACATTATTCATATCGTTGCCTCACTCCAAGCAAACGACCAACGGTGTCTGGGTACGTGACATGTTGGCTTGTTCAGAATCTGACGTCTCACAGCTCACATGGATGCAAAACCTTTGTACAGATACGTAGTCGCCCTTTAGCCCCAAATCTTGCGTGCCTCGGGCGGTACACTCATACCGACGTGGCGAGCCTCCTTCGAAACTCCGCGTCTTGGTGTCTCAATTCATTGCAAGGAACGTGCTTGTTCACCATGTTCTACGCTGCGACTCAAAACCGCTCGTTCCTAAGTTTGAGCCGTCGATGTCCTGTGGCCTTCCGGTCAAAGTTCAACCTTACTCGACCCTCAGGGCGACTGACCTGCAAAGCTTCACATACATCTTTGCTCTCGTCATATCAGCCATTTCCTCGTCTGGCGCACCCACGTTTACACTCGTCTTTGTCGATAAACGAAGAAACTTTGGACTCAATTCATGAGTCTGAAGAAGAAGGTTACGATTTCGGGTCGTATTCTGTCATTTTACCACCAGAACCCTTCGTGTTCGGTGTGGGCCACATCAGAGCACGATCCGTGCCGAGTCATATATCGCTGCCGCCCTATGTGGCCTCTCTTCCATTGCCTCAGCGACGCGCGGGTGTAGATGAACGACCGTTTGATGGGGATCCCTATACCGGAGATGGACGAATAGAATTGGGGAGCGAAGCAGAAAGTCGTCTACGGACAGCGGCTAAGCTCGCGAAGAAAACGCTCGAGTTCGCTGGCTCGCTTGTGAATGTAGGTTCGACTACATATAATCCTATCCTGGTCCCTTCTGATGACCATCTTTTCAACAGGTTGGAGTCACTACTGAGGCTATTGATAATTCCGTACATGACTTTATCGTGTCGAACGGTGCATACCCGTCTCCTCTCCTGTACTCCGGCTTCCCCAAAGCCTGCTGCACGAGTGTCAATAACGTTATTGTTCATGGGATTCCAGACGAGTACGATTGCATCCGCATGATCCGCAGCGTTGTTCCGAAGAGAAGTTGAAGTCTTGTATTCTAGCCGCCCGCTTGAAGATGGCGATATTGTGAACATCGATATCACCGTCTACCTGAATGGCTATCATGGTGACACGTCGCGAACCTTCACAGTCGGAGAAGTCGTATGTATGGTTTCTATAGGTCATTACTTTGAGGATATTGATTCATGTTCCTAGGATGAGCAGGGACGGAGTCTTATACGTGCTACAGAAGACGCACTCTCGGCCGGTATCAGTGCTTGTGGCCCAGGTCGTCCATTCAAAGCTATTGGAAGTGCAATTCACAGTGTGGTCGCCGAAAAGCCGTACTCTATCTCGCTGGAATGGACCGGCCATGGAATTGGCTCTGTTTTCCATCGGCCCCCATGGGTTCTTCATCACAGTAGGCTTTTCTCCGATGACGTCTGATTCGTCTCACTTGCTGATCCACTCATTCCAGGGAACGACGAGCCCGGTATTATGCAGCCCGGACATTGCTTTACGATTGAAGTGAGTGCGGCGTTCCTATTTTCAGGAGCCTTTAAGGTCTTATCCTGAATATCTCGTGTCTGTGCAGCCGTGTCTGATTCAAGGATCGAATCCGCGTGGTTGGATATTCCCAGATGGCTGGACAGCTTCCACAGAGGTATGTTCCCTTATATTTCGATTGCAAACTTCTGTTCGCATTCTTTCTACTCTTTGTTCACCATTCCTCATATACATATATTGCGTTCTTTCACAGAACTGTGCACGGAGCGCGCAGATGGAGCATATGGTCCTCATCACAGAAGACGGCGCCGATGTTCTTACTGGATGATGTCTCGAATCACGCACAACGACTCACGAACCTTTTAGAATGAAGAAGGTTTTTGGATCGGGTGTGAAAGGATATAATCTATGGATGAAACTCACGACAACATGAAATGCGTTAATCCCGAACGTACCAGCGCCAAGAGCAGTGGCGAAACTAGGCTCATGGATGTAAAAGCAAAGCCTTTACGTTTCGTGGTCGTCTCCTATCTGCCAATTGTTCGAAGAGAACGCCTTCTGTCGTGGATCATCAGAAATCAGGTTCTGTGATAGCCAACGGTAGTGTTTACCACTGGCCACGGTGTTGGCAAGTCACTTATAAGGTCCTCCGCTATGCGGCGTGGCGCGTGTGTGATTTATGGATCACGAGGCTGAGATTAATGTATATCTATCTTATGGATATCGAAAGCTGCCAAAACAAAATGACTTCTAGTTTATATTTTGCGGTATATTGAACGATGTCTTTTCTGGAACGACCGTCCTCAGGATGAATCGGCGTTACTCCTTGAAGTTGCAAATGTTTGCTGGAGCCGGGAAGTTGTCCTCGGTCTCTGCCGAGGATTTAGGTAACTGGTGCCACGCTTACTGCTGCTCAGCCAGCGGAACTCGTCAACTTGAAGTTGACCTCGACTAAATGTCGACGATGGGGAACGCAGACATCATCCCATTCTTTCCGTATCAACTATTCTTCCTCTACATTGAGCCCATATCTGCGTTGGCGGGGGCGTACTATGCCGCATATCGCCCCTCTGACTATTTACACGATCTGGTAGCATCCACGAACAAGATTGCGGCCTCCGGGACAACAACCAACATCCCAATCCTCATGACATTGTTCCAGCTCTCCAATCTTTACGTTCTATTTGCTCTCAACGAACATCTCGTCCTATCATCTACCACCTCTGTCAAAACATGGAAGCGCGTCCTGTTCTGCCTCCTGGTCGCCGATTTCGGACATTTAGCGACCATGGCGCCAGCAGGTGCAGAAATATTCTGGAACGTTGCGTCTTGGAACGCGATGGCATGGGGCAGTGTGGGATTTGTATACCTGGGAGCCACCATGCGACTCTGCTTCCTGGCAGACATAGGGTTTAAGGGGGCTGAGGTACCCGTAGTTCGGCAAGAGAGTTCGTCCATCGACGCGAAGAAAGACCAATGAAGACACAAACACCGTTGTGCGGACAGTTGTACGTGTATCCCCCTTTTATTCAGTACCTTGGATGCGCCTAATCTTGTTGCAGTAATCTTTTGAAGGGAATCTGCTTGTATTTTCGGTGAAGCGCTTCTTGAGCGGTAGCGACATCCTGCCTTGACATGGTTATGAAGTGACACTTTTGTTCCTTGATCTGGCGATGCATGTAGGCTGTGCTTCTCCTGATTCTCTCTGTGGATTGGATCCAGTGCGGTTCAGTTGGATTTGTTGATTTCGCGGAAGGGGTTGAGGCATGGTCGCTAACGCGTCGGAATGCTATTGAGGGTGCTGATTTGGACATAACAATTTATGGAGAGAGTTGGAAGAGATTATATTTATATCATTGGTACAGTCTTAGTTCTCTAGAGCTTGAATAGACGCGTAACTGACTCGAGTGAACGGGCTACAGTCGATCTTGATACACCCCTCTCTGTCCAATCTCTGCTCAACAATGCGCCCACCTCTCGAATGCCCAGACTGAGAGATAATCTCTCCCTCTATTGATGTGATACCCCTGGCACTGCTTCTTTCGACTCGTCTTGCTGTCCTTGAATCACGGATATCGACCGCGAGGAGCAGCTTATGCTTGTGATCCTCCAACAACAGCAAGCTAGGAGAAACTGGATGGTATCCTTGCACAGCGCATTGGCTCCGCTCTGGTCTAGGCTGTGTTCGTCTGTTTGACTGCTACTTGCTAATCAGGAAATACGACATCCTGACTTGATAGACGAAGTGGGATTGTTGCCGGATCCGAGAACGTGGGAAGGGACACACACCGGGTTTCAGCGTGGCGCCAGTCTTGCATCTCTCCGAATCAGTCAGTGAATTGTTGATCTACGGTTTGTCCACACCCGGAATGTAAGTTGGCCGAGAAGTTGCGATCGTTCACCGTTTGTTCACTGTGATACTTCACGGTGGTGCGTCTCCCGCCTCATATAAAGCGATGTCCGAGCACACGAACGCCCCGCCGGGCACCTCTTCCTCTTCTCTCCCTCCTCCTCCATACCGCCGTGTATTAGCGACCCCTCGTTTCCTTCCCGCCGCCCTCGACGACCCCTCCACCCTCCCGCCACTCTTTCAAGTCCCCCACGCGTCTTACTCTCGCCACCATGTACTCCGCTGTTACCTTCCTCCTCAACCACATGGGCGCCGTCGCTCTCTCCCTCCTATCTATCTACTTCGTGATTCACGCCGGATACCAACTCTTCTTCTCCCCGCTCAGCAACATTCCTGGCCCTCGGCTTGCGGCCATCTCCGACCTTTGGCTCACTACCCACGTCCTCCGCCTCCAGCAATGCAAGATTATCCACCAACTTTTCGAAACTTACGGCCCCGTCGTGCGCATCGGACCTAACAAGGTCGTATTCAAGGACCTCACCACCTCCAAGAGCGTCTACGCAGTCCACCGCTTTGACAAGAGCCCCTACTACAAGAGCCTTCTAACGTACGATTGTCGTTGTCTTCAACATCAAACAATAATTCGCTGACATCATGATGATTTACAGGAATGATAACGACCATGCGTATGAATACTTTTATTGTCTGCCCATTCACTGTTTGTCTCACGAGTAATATTTCCTAGGATGACCACTTTACCTCACGGACCTCATGCCGCCCGCAAGAAGAGCTATGCTCCTCACTATACCCTTGGCAGTCTCTCAACTTTTCAACCCGACATGCATCATTTCACCTTGCAGCTCATGGACGTACGTATTTTATTTTACTTATGTCAGGAGAATTCAGTAGCTAAGCTGTCTCACAGATCCTCAACGGGTTCCAGGGTTCAAAGTCCTTGGACTGCTTGGTTCTCTTCCGTCAGCTGATGGTGGATGTTATCTCTGTCTCTTCCTTTGGTCACCGGTACGGAGCCCTCAGTCGATGGGCGCCTGATGCCCAAGACCCCCTCTCTGTTGCTATCGGCGACTTTCCTAAGCGCGGCATTTTGGTTAGTCTCAGACTTAACCTTGCTCCCACTCCCTCTCTAACGTCGTTCAACAGCGCAGCGCGGTCCCCACGTGGGCTTGGAACCTAGTTTGCCGCATTCCCAACGAGCGTTGGCGTTTGTTGTGCGACTCGGATAAGATCATGGCTCAGGTCTGTATCTTGTTCACTGTTCATCACTTTACTGCAAGTCTGACACCTAGCTCGTAGTTTGTCAGCGCTAGAGTGTACGAGACCAGTCAGCAGATGACCGCCGGGAAGCTCGAGCCTTCTGAGCAGATCACGTTGGCCCAGCGTCTCCTCCAATTTCGCCAGCCAGCTACCGGTGAGGTCATGTCTAACCAGGACGCCATCTCTGAGCACATGGGTCACATGTTCGTTCATTATTTGTCTCTCTCTCGAAGGTGACTGAGGATCTGACTGTTTTACTTTATCTTGCACAGGATTGCTGGATCTGACACTACTTCGACAACCTTGTCATACCTATGCTGGGAGCTTACTCGCCGTCCCGACATCGTCAAGAGGCTCCAGGCAGAGATCGACGTGGTCATGCCGGATGGGACGGTGCTTCCGGACTTCACTGCGCTGCAAAGCTTGCCCTATCTCCACGGGTTTATCCAAGAAGGTCAGCCTCTATAGCATGTCACTAAATCGGTTCCAAATCTGACGATGCCCATGTAGGGCTCCGCGTATACGGTGCTGCTCCTAGTCTCCTCGAGCGTGTTGTACCTTCCTCGACATCCAAGAACAGCGTCTTCTCCGAGGCATACGACTTGATGGGCTTCGCCCTACCTCCTGGAACGGTCGTCGGTACTCAAGGCTGGTCGATGAATCGTGATCCAGCTGTCTTCCCGTCGCCCGAGACCTTCCTTCCCGAGCGTTGGTTAAACGAGTGCTCCAGCCCCGAGCAGATCAACATGATGAACCAGTACCTGATGCCCTTCGGAACTGGTGCTCGTATCTGTGGCGGTCGCAACCTCGCTCAGATCATGATGAGGTTCGTTATGGTGGCTATGGTTCGCAATTTTACCATCACCGCCCCTCTCGAGACGAACGAGAAGAGCATGGAGATGAAGGATAGCTTCGTACGTCGTATCTCCTCTTACGAAATACGGACAGTATACTGACATTCTCTGTCCCTCAGGTTATCTTCCCTGCCTCAATGAACTGCAAGCTTGTCTTCAACCCCCGCGATTAATTCTCTCGGATCGAATATTGTTCGCTACCAAAATTGCAGCTTCTCTGGCTTTCTCGAATCCCCGTCGCTTTCCTCTTGCACTTCTGCGTCTGCCTCTTTGCATGTTTTGACGAACCAATTCTTGCCCGATGAACTCCTCGTACAACCATCCCTGTGTCCTCGTCCTCGTCTGCGCTACGTTACGCTCTTCTAATCTTCGCGATGCCGCTGCCCGTTGCCCTGCCTTCGCAGAGCCACAAAAACATATACCTTATCATCACTCTTTTTTGCTCCTCCGTGAGCAACGTGGTACCTTTTAATCTTGCTATTGGCGCGCTACCCTTTGGCTGGAATGGATTCGGACACCCCCGCTTTACTGTACAAATCGAATAATACTTTCGTGGCTGGTCATCTCGGACATCGCAGTGTACTCCGTGTCCTTGTGAGACGATATATGGTGACTTCTTGGATGAGACGCGCCCTGCATGTATGACTATTCGATTATATTGTACTTTTACTTAAACACTATGGTCTGTAAACGAAGTAGACTGTTTCAAGATTATCGTTTGACGACTGAAGGGATAATAGGAATTGATGTCCAAGATCGGGTGTATGCAAAACAAAATAGGCACTAATATCCAAGATAGAGTGAGTATTATGCAGAGCAAAGATAGCTTATGGCAGAGCAAACGACGGGAAAACAAGATGAATGCGGAAGAATAAATCGGATGTTCGCTCAGCTGTCGATACGTCCCCATCCCGCATGGTATCGCACCCAGTCCCTAAGGTGTTTCCGTCTACAGTGATCTTCTAGAGATTTCGGCGGGGTACTGTGGGCGAAGAAAACTGGGTCCTGACGTTCTCTGAAGTAGCGCACGAGTGCCACCGGGGACCTTCAATGTCAGAAGTGAAAACGCTACGATTCACCAATATTGATATACTCACGCGCAGAGGAGGCACACAACTGTTGGTTGACCGTCTTTATTCAAGTCCATGATCGAATGGGTAAAGAACGTGCCGATGAGACCGGAGGACATCGACTCGGAGTCCGTGGAGAAACCCTCCGATGAGACGGTTTCAGGTGTCAAGAGGGCCTTGATATCCTCTCCAAATGGTCTCGAACAGCGGTAGGAGGTGAAGTCGATGACAACCGGACTGATAGGTGTGACGGGTGATGCTGTCGTGGCGGGCGAGGTTGATCGTTCCGGGCTGTCACGTTCGTGTCCGTTAGATTCGGGTGACGGCGGTGGGCTTGACAGTCTATCAGACGGAGCGACATTCGCGGTAGTTATGAGGTCGGTGGATGGCCCGTCGACAAGAGGTGCACTGGTTTCGGGAGTTGGACGAGGTGGCAAGGTGGGTAGTAGTGGTTCGGGTGGCGGTGGCGGCGACCTGGGTGGCATCGTGGGCGGCAACGATGGAGGCAGGATTTGCTCTTGAACATCATGGGCGTTAATTGGCGTGTCGATGTCTTCCATAGGGGATGCATATTCATTGTTTTCAAAATTTATTTGCAAATGATTCTGCTTTCGACAGTGTGTTCAACGATTGGTACTAAGACGATGACCAGTCAGGAAGCTTACCTGCTCAATGGAGTAATCGAGTGTTGGCAGATTACTATGGCTATAACTGTCTAAATCCATCCACTCAGGATAGAAAAGGTCCTGTGATAGTATAGTGTAAATACCGTGAAGACAGCTGTTTCGAAGTCCAGGTACAATTTTGGTGCAGACTGACCTCAGATAGATTTAGAGGAGCAGAATTCGTGTCCGGAGGACCATATTGACCATCTATACATTGCATGTTCGGTGAATACGAGATGTCACAGAGAGAAGAAAGTTTACAGCATGACATACCAAGAAACGTCGCCAAATCCTCCGTTTCTGATTCAATCCCCAGTCCAGCATGGCTCAGACCCTGGCTGTCCAAGCTCATCTCGCTCAGACTTTGACCGTCAAAGCTCGTCTCGCTCAGGGTCGCACTCGCACTCGCACCACTCAGACTCCCTTCCGAATTATCATAACTTGAACTAACTGCGTTATGCCTAGATTCCTGAACCCTCATCGTCCCGAGTTCCACGGCCATCCTCGCATAATTCGCCTGCAAAGCCGCATTCTCGTCCATCAGCTGCTTTATACGCCGCTCGTGCTCTTGTAATTTTGCCGCGATATCGACCGGTCCTGACGCCATTGGATTATGATTGACATTGAAGTGTGCGTTCGTTTGGTTAGAGTATTGAAAACTGGGAGCATGGTTACCACTGCAGTGCGTATTGGTGGCGTTCTGTGCGCTGACGGGATTGGCGAGGAAGTTGTTGGTGAACGGCTCCATCAGCATGTTGTTGCCAGGGAACATGCTTGCAGGACGTAAGAGGACCGGTGTCAAATGGATATAAAAAGATGCTACTATAGACTCGGAGGTAGTTGTGAGTAAGAGGATCGAAAAGGTATGGGCAAGCGACTATGTAGTCACCCTAGAACAGTGCTAGGCGCTGTCTCAGGCTCGCGACGAACGAAGTCGGTTTCACAAGATTGAAGAAAAGCAGAATAACTCCCGCACTGCGGGATTCTCCTCTGTGAAGAGCTGTAAGTTGTGTGTGTACAGAAGCAAGAGTAGTCTGCACGCACCGCGACGGTGAACTGAGATGTACGGTGAACTTCAAGTTGCGGTGAACTTTACCGTGGCTCCGCCCGTGCCTCGGAGCATGCCGCACCAGTGCCATTGGACGCGAAACCTCCGGCCAAACTCCGCGAAGCGGACAACAGGTCGAATGAAACCAAAGGTTGACGTGTTCAGGCGTACAGTAACAAGTGGTGAATAAATACGGTAGTGCATGATACAAAGGACATAACAATGCTGAGATAATTCAAGTCATGCTCCGAAGGTCAAAAGTAATGGGAGCGAAGATGCTGGAAAGTTATAGGAATGAATACAAAGGGAGAAGATAGTGCGATCCGGATACATGAAGAGAGTAGCAAATATAACTACGAAGAGATGACACGGGTGTGAGTGACATACCCCTCGGTCGTCCTATCATGTGATGGCCCATGACTCCCACCACCGCGCGACCCCGACATAGTAAGCATGTTCGCGTTCACCTCCACAACTGGCACGTATCCCAAGAACCTCCCAGTGTGTCTTCTCTCGCTGTCATCATACGATGGAACGCATTCTCCGGCTCCATACGGTGGAGGAGGTGGGTAGTTTGACTCGCTGATGCGGTTGACTGGGCTACGCTCATTTCGCTCTCGGGTTCTGCATTCGTCCCATAGTGTGGCACCGATAGGATCGCGATGGAGCTCTCGTGCAAGCTGGTCGATGTCCATGGTGGGTCCGTTGGATTCATTGGCTGTGTGTTGTTGTTGACGACGATGATACTGATCGTAGAGGGCGTGTGTTATCGAGTAGATTACGACGAGTGCGATTAGGCCACCGATGACGGCGAAGGCGATGATAGGGCCATACTGATTGCCTGCTCGGGGATGGATGGTGGGATGCCGCAGGACAGAACGAGGGAATATGGAGAGTGTGGAAAGAACGGTTGGTGTCGATGAAGTGGTATTGGCTGAGGAGAGGGACGAATCACTGGATGTGTCGCTTTGAAAAGTGTCCAATGGCAGGGATGCGGCATATCTGTAGCACGGTATAAATACAGGTGGCCGTTTATAAACCGGACATGACGTACCGTGTAAAGGCTAATACCAAGGCTAATTTGGGTGCGGAAAACCGACGCATTGTGGACGTTTAGATAGGGAGTGCCGGGGAAGTTGATGCTGTCTTGATAGTACTAATGGCGTACGGCAGGGTTGAGGGAGGAAAGAGATCGCTTTCTACCGTACTCCATAGGGAGGAACATATACTAGCATTGATCGCGGACGTATCAGACTTTCTATCCTGTTCTGTCATGTTGTATATGTCACAACGAGGGAGAAAATTGCAAGACAAGTCGTCGAAGAGATGTTGCCGAGTAGGTCTCAGTGTGGCGCTACCCGAGACAATTCAGGGATCGAGAAAGCGAAAACAGAGACCGCATGACTTAGACTCTTCCACAAGCATTGAGACGAGCTGCTAAAGAGCATCAAGGTTCAAGAATAACCTGAAAGTGTGAACAGCGGGAAGCATAGTATCCGAGAGCTGCGAAACCTCGTGAAATTCGGCATTGGTGAAGGCGCCGGCCAGTATAATGGAAGTTAAGATCAGACAGGCCGGTCATGAAAAGAGTCTGCGACACTAACTTTCGAGGCGCGCAAGTCTGTGATGGGGATGGATATATAGTGTACGGGCTTAGCAAGCGGCCGTTAGAGGTGATGGCGGTTTGTACGAGCGCGAGGGCCACAAATGGAGCTTACTCAAGGATTATGCAGCGAGGCCGAAAGGGGAAATAAGGTCGCATGAGGCGCGCGAGGTGGTCCGAATTCGGGGCTGGACGGAGACAAGGCCGATGGCGCAGGCGGCTGAGATGTTTTGCGAACGGCCGTGTGGAACGGCGATGGACTCATCATCATTTGACCTGCTTATTTATCTCGCTCGTCCATACCCCCCATAATCACCCCCTCCATTTCTCCCACATCCTCAACCATCATGCCGTCCCACGACCACTTCGCCGCTCACAATGGCTGCTCGTGCGCAGACCACGACGGCAGCGCGCTCGAGCAGGATCTCGCCCTACTCGATGTGCTCAGCGGACCTGCATTGCCGACCGTCAAGCATCGACTCTCGAGACGAGATGCCGTCCTAGACCCTTTACTGTTGGCCGCTGCTGCAATGTCTGGTCCACACATCACTCGCAATCACTACCACCACGATTTCTTCCCCGGCGTCGCACTTCCTACGACCAAAGGTTCGTACGACTGGACCAAGTGGGTGGGTGAGGATGCGAGTGCTCGGGATGATATCAAGAAGTCGACGTATCGAAGTCGGCAGGCTCCTCGCAGAGTTCGCCTTCAAGCAGAGGGAAAGGAGACCGACCGTTCGGAAGCTCGGTCGCAGACCGGCGAAGCCATTTCATCGCCCACATCTATCCCTCCTTCGAAAGAGACAATTCATTCATCTCCTCATCCCACATCTACCACACAACCACTCTTATCCTCACCATCCATCTCCGATCCTTCGAATGGTGTGCGGGTGAAATGTATGGCTCGAACCCGCATACCTACGCCACACGGTCTTGCCTTCCTCCATCTCTACCACAACAACGTCGACTCGAAGGAACATTTAGCCATCGTCGTCGACCCAGCTCAACTATCTGATGATGGTGCCTCTTCATCAGCCACACAGCCCATCCGTAGCGCTTCGCTGGATGCTGTATGGAGTGACACAGAAACCGACATGGATCGCATCACTCGCGGCGCTTACGTTGGCCGACTCTCTGCCACTTCCCAAAACGTTTCATCCCCTCTGAGCAAAAGCAATTACACCCCTCATCCCACTTCGGACCGTATTCCAGCACCCTTAGTTCGAATTCACTCGGAGTGTTTTACCGGAGAGACCATTGGTAGCATGCGCTGCGATTGTGGCGAACAGCTCGATGAGGCTATACGCCTGATGTCGCAGCCAGTTCTCCTGCCACCAGCAGTCCCTCACGGCCACAGAGAAACCATCCCTGGACGCGGAGTTGTCGTGTATATGAGACAGGAGGGGCGTGGCATTGGACTTTTGTCGAAGATTCGGGCGTATAACCTGCAGGACCTCGGACACGACACCGTCGCTGCGAACTTGATGTTGGGCCATGGAGCTGACGAGCGTCGGTACGACGTCGCTATCGCGATTTTGCGGGACTTGGGTTTGGGCTCGGAGGCGGGTGAGGGTGTGAAGTTGTTGACGAACAATCCGGACAAGGTCCATGCGATGGAGAAGGAGGGTTTGAAGATCGTTGAGAGGGTGCCGATGGTTCCGCGAAGCTGGAGGAAGAAGGAACGGTTGGCGGCACCTCATGTCGTCGGTTTGGACGGAGAGGCTGACGATGATGAGGTGGAAAGGATTCCCGGTGCGACTATGGTGGGAGGACATGCGGTTCATGGAGATGATCTCGAAAAGTACCTACGGACGAAGGTATTGCGGATGGGCCACATGCTCCCTTTGCATTAACAGAGATTTTCGGACTCGTAATTAATATACTTATATCTGGATATTCTGCGCCTCGGATCACTAGATATCACTGCTCGTTTGTTGTATTGGAAGCATGTAGCGGAATCCCTGCTCTATGTTTGAAAAGGAAGGTGCTTTATTCGTGAGACCAAAGCTCGCACGTGCCGGAGATGGAGTGCCACTGCCACGTTCCAGGCGCCCTCTTTCCGAGCTTTCGCGACTCTGGCGAGCAAACATACTGTTCGTCTGCCACGACGCCGGCGACGAGCTCCTCTACATTCTTGTCTATTCTAATCACCGTTAACATCGCCCCAGGATGATGTACGACCCGCTCAGCTCTGGTTTCGGCGACGACGACATAACTGCACCTCCATGGCCGACGACTCCCCACCAGCCCAACTCTCCCATCCCTGGCAACCTCCGTCGCGCCCCCTCACCACTCCCCCGAGTACCGAGCAAACCGGAAACACCTGGAGTATATGATAGGGAACCCCAGATATATGGACAGCCCGAACCCGGATTGATTTCTCCACGCGAGAACGTAGGGTCAAATGGCACGCGCTACGAAAGGCCGGAGCCGTACCTCAAGATCAGAATTTCTGGGCTGGACAGAAACAGGCGGGATATTCTGGTCAAACTGGACGCTCAGGTGCGTGCACATCTTTGTCACTATGCTGAAGAATACCGTTGAGGAGTTAATTCGTGTGTTGATAGACGAACTTGTCCAATTTCACGGGCACGACATACCGAAACGTCTCGCGCTCGTATCTCGAGTTTCAACAATTCCACGATACCATCATCCACAACAACCCACAAACAATCGTACCCGCACTTCCTCTAGCGCAAACATCTGCGCCGACGGACGAAGAGGATGATCGTCTTGTGAAGATTATGCTTCAGCGGTGGTTGACGCGCGTCTGCGAGGACCCTATCCTCATTCACGATGAGGAGCTGCGTTCATTCATCGAGAGCGACTTTGGGTACCAGCCGACACCGCGACCGAGGAGGAAGACGTCATCTGGGTTTGGTATTATGAGGAGGAATGTTCCGGACGAAGACGAGGAACTGCAGAGGGCAAGGTTCGAGCTCACGAAACTGGAAGGTCAATTCTTCGATGCGGCAAAGGCACTTGATAAAGTTTCGAGGGCCAGGAAAGGTAATGCATACTCTCTTTTCGGGAAGTAGCCTTGCCATGTTGCTTATGTTGCTTATCCTATTCTAGCACTGGCGGTTTCGCATGCGGAGATGGGCAATAAACTCATCAACGTCGCTACCACTGAAGCGCATCCCCCTATCGCCAATGCATTCCGGAAAATCGGACGGACTTGGCACAGTCTTGCCGATCTCGACCAAGCGCAAGCTATCAGCGAATGTGTCATTTTGAGCGACTCATTAGGATACCAGGGGCTCAATGCACGCTCTGCGAAGGAAACACTGCAGCAACGGACGGCGGTACTGGAGGAATACCAATCCGCTGTCAAATCTGCCATCTCGAAGAGGCGGAACATTGAACGGCTGAAGGCGAGCTCGAATATACGGCCAGACCGGGTGGACGAGGCACTTGAGGATTTGGAAGAGGTTGGTCCTCCTCCTTTCGCGACTATTAGTGCAGTTGTTGACATGAAAGGGTTTGTTATAGGCGAACAAGTACGAGCAAGTCCTCGCTCGACGAGCCGAAGGTATCTCTCAGAACCTTCACCGCGCTCTGCAGACCCATAAACGTCTCGTCACCGACGACATCACAACCGCCCTCATCGAGCACACGCGATCGTCCATCATGTACGATCGTCAGATCCTGCGGGAGCTCGAGTCTCTTCGCCCCGACATTAACAACGCGAACTCCAAAGCGCCTCCTTCCAAGATCGCCAATGGTGTGCCGAAGCCGCCATTTATACCCCCACTCGAAGACTTCTCCGCGAAACCCCGTATCAACTCCAATGCATCAACCCGGGCTGCCAGTCCGTTCTCCCCTGCTCTTCCCTCCGGTGTCGCATCGCCTAGTCTCTCCGGCAGATCGAGCGTCTCCCAAGGGCCTCTTCCTCCACAATCACCAGGTGCAGGCTCATCAAAGTCACCTGTGTTCCCTGAACCCCACCAACGGCCGGGTTTGCCTCCATCGTTAACGGCACCACCCATTCCTCGCATCGCTTCACCAGCACAGCCTCCTGCTCCTATTCGCTCGAATGAACCACCACTAGGTGGTCGATTCGTGGATGGGACCAAGTCGATGTTCGTGAAGCCACCCATCTCTTCACAGACTCGACAACCCTCCAACCTCTCCAGTGTACCCACTCAACAATCTGCGTACTCTGCTGACCCACTATCCGCATCAACAACGGTCATCGAATCTCACCCGAGGCCGATGTCTGCTGCTGGAAATATAGGAGGCGGTGTGAATGGCTCAGGAGCTGGTGACCTTGATCCTTTGGGACAGGCTAGGCCGACTTATATGTCCGCATCGGTTAGGGTACAGCCTACGAGGCCAAGATTGGATGCGAAGGAGGCAGCGAGCAAACTTGCTAATATGTTTTGAGGTGCGCGGGGTCTCGATAGTTCATCTTCACGCAATAGATTTCTGACACGTTTCGTTTGAAGTAGGCGGATTGGATGTAAGGACTCTCGATGTTTGTTTGGCTTGTAGGGAAGATATCGTACTATCCTCGGAATGTTGTGTGGAATCGGAATTATGTTCGAACAGGCGATTCATCGACGTCGAAAAGACGGGGGAAGGCGCAGTGTTATTGTGGCGTAAGAATATCTAATAACTCTTTATTGAACCAGGAGTGCGGGTCTCTGTTTTGCGCCCGGCTGCGTCCAATTGACTAGATGCAAAGTCTCCTGCCTTCCGTGAACGAACTCCCAGCCTTTCTGCTCGTCTACCCAGTGCACGTTCTCCTCCAACCTGAAACGCAATGTCTCGTTCCGCTCCGGCACGAAGTGGTACGCGTATAACTCGATGCTGTAGTATGTGTTCGAAAGGACCGGCAGTTCTCCGAGCACAGGGACGAAGACGGGAAGGTTGGTGAAACCTGTGTCATGAATGTGAGTTCCAATCTTGTTTAGAGGAACCGTTTCTCGACTGACCCATCACAGCTCCAGCTGCGTGTCCGAAGTCTCCTATGGGGTGCGAATATATCTGTCCTTCGATACCTTCCTCTTTCATGATCTCCAAGCACTTTCGCAATATCTCGTTGCCAGTCATCCCGGCTTTCATGACTTCGAGATGTATGTCCTGCATCCGATTACCTTTCTTGAGCCCCGCCTTCAAGCCCTCTGGCGCATCGGTCTCCCCTTCACTTGTTCGGAGCACGTATGCGAGATGCTGTGTGTCTGTGTTCATCCCCATGGCCGTCATTCCGAAGTCAACGTGTAAGAGGTCGCCCTCTACGATGGTAGTGTCCGTTCCTGCCCAGCCTGGGAAGGATTCTGGTGTGATGACAGAAACGCGGGGATGATTCCAAGTCGAGACATTCAGCTCTTGGAACTTTTCCATGAACCACCACTCGACGTCCTACGGGGCCACAGCATCCGTATGTCAATTATATTGCTTCCGAGCCGAGGTTTTTCTCACTTACCGTAGTCGTCGTTACACCAGGTTCAACGACCTTCTCACTGAATCCCTTGTGAGCGGAAAACGTCAGTAAGCATTGCACACCAGGGAATACATGAACCAACGGGAACCTCTTCAATTATCGCCCATATCGACTCTTGCATCCTTCGATAATACTCGATCTGTCCGGGCACCCGCTTCGCAACGAATTCCACGCCCAGCATCGGCTCATTCACCGTCCTCTGCATCCATTTCTCCCCCAACTCTTCGTTCAGAACGTCGTACTCTCCGACATGAAGACCACCTCCAAACGCGATGGACCGGTCTGTGTTCAAAGCGATGTGTGTAGGATCGAAATCCTCCAGTATGGAGCGTACCTCGGGCCAGACGTCGCCTGTGTTGTCGATCCAGGTGATAGGATTAGGTCGGCCGGCGAGCGTGGAGGTGTTAGAGTGGAATAGTACGACGGTCCGGCGGCGGGCGGAGAATTGTTTCGCGTCTTTGATAGACCAGAAGATCGTGTCTTCCGCGTATTCACGTTGGCTCATCTAGGTGAGTGAGTTCAAGTAGCCAAGTTATCATCGAATGAAACCAGCGGTGACATTGGTGACGAACCAGCCATGCATCGACATTATACTTTTGTAGTAACCCTGGTATAGCGGCGAGTCTTTCCTCCCTCCATGCATTCAGGATATCGGCTTGTTCACGGAGAGACGGGAGTATTTGGTATTGCGCTTGTTCGAGCGGATGTAATTGAGCATTTACGGGCACGACGAGTGCGCAAAAGATTGCGCTGCTGAGCAGCGAGAAGATGGTGGATGAGAGTAAGGTGAGAAGATGCATCCTTTCTCTTATCTTTCAACCGAAGGGCACTTATCAATTTCATCCGTGGACGAATTGAGTTGGGTGAGAGTTGTGTAATGTGGGGACGTTCCTAACTCCACGTGACACGGTACGCATCCTTCCATAGTTCATTTCGCCATCTTTAATTAAGTCAGTACGTCGGTTTTCAACAGCATTATCGTTGCACTCGCAGATTTTCCTAGATTAATCCGTTTCCTGAGTAGTCAATGATCTCCAGTGATTAGTCTAGAGTCGTCACATTGCATGCGATCTGTCGCGACTTCACTCACAGACATACTCCTGAGAGGGAAGTACCTCTTGGGATCATTGAATGACGCAGTGGTCGGTACCTTGTACGTCTCATACGTCTTTGCCAGAATGTTCACGTGGTGGATCACAGAGGAGCCCATGTGTCCTGGTGGACAGTTGACGACGTTGCTGCGAAAGATTTACCTCTCTCTCTTGCTCGCATTTCACCGGTTGCGGTTCTGCAGGGCCTCTCATGGGAAGTCGACGGACAGCTGCCCGCATATCTGTCCTTCAAGTCGAGGCGTATGACCGTTTCTATGTCTACTCTGACATTCTCTGTACGCTCATAGAGTCCGTCAGACGGCCACGGCCCGCTGCTTTCCTCTGTCGAGCGTGCTCGCAAATCTGATGACTATGGTCCCCATGAGGCGTGTTTCTCCATCCTACGATATAAAGAAGGTAAAATGCGCGTCTATGCTACAGTACTCCACTGGTTCATCACCATGCTTTTCCGAACTGTTGCTACCGTCCTCGCGGCATTTGTGGTGGGCGTTCGTTCCCAGACCTTCCCTAACCCTGAAGCTGTCTCGGGAAACACTGCCATCCATGATCCTACTATGTGCAAGGATGCGAGCGGAACGTATTGGTTGTTTGGTAGGTGTGATATTTACTGAAACACAATACCTTGATACTGAATCCCAACACCTTTGTAGGTACCGGGACTGGTATCGAGATACGTACTTCGCCGGACCGCGTAACATGGACGCTGGTTGGTGCAGTCTGGCCCGATGGTGCGTCATGGACGGATGAGTACACAGGCGTCTCCAACGGGTAAGTGAATTGGCCCAGCAATCTGTCCGCGCGTTTGCTGAACCTCTTGCGTTAAATCGTAGCGTGCTCTGGGCCCCAGACTGTACATTCATGGACGGCCAGTTTTACTTGTACTATGCCGCATCGTCGTTCGGATCCCAGAACTCTGCCATCTTCTTCGCCAAATCTACCACTGGTCTTCCCGGTAAGTATGCATGTTCGTGACACGCAGAACCTTTCAGCTCATTACATCACCTAATAGGCAGCTGGACTAATGAAGGGCTGGTGACATCGACCAGTAGTGCTGATAACTACAACGTAGGCTTCACTACTATTTATGACTGGAGCACCCGTGTTTATATCATTTCTCGGTGAACAGGCCATCGACCCGAAGTGAGTACCTGACCTAGTTCCTCGTCGACAGATTTCTGAAATGTGAACTGCAATACTTGCAGCCTTCTGGTCGGTACGTAGGGTCATGTAGGTCTGTGCATCAGTATCTCTATCGTTTACCATTTCGACGTTATAGACGGCAGCAGCTGGCTCCTCTCCCTGGGTTCCTTCTGGACTGGAATCAAAGAGTGAGTGCCCTCGGACAAGGTGGTTAATTCAACGAGTACTCACGTCCATGACCGCTAACACAGACTAACGTGGGTTGGGAATGTTTTCTTTCTCTACCTGCGAGGTCGGCTGAACAATTTACCCCAGACTGAGCTCTTCTACCGGAAAACCGTCTTCGACTGCGTTGACCTCCCTGGCTGAGCGTACAGCAGACGGTGGTGCTATCGAAGCAAGCGTAGTCTACCAGTTCGGAGACTTCTTCTACTTGTTCTCGTCGTGGGATTTGTGCTGCCAGGGTACCAGCAGCACATACAATATCCGTGTCGGAAGGAGTTCTAGGTAAGACTCCTTGAAAGCTCGATCGTCGCGTACTTGTCTGTCCGAATTGACTGGCATTTTCTGCCCCAATAGCGCTACAGGACCCTTCGTCGACGAAGACGGTGTGGCTTTGACGAGTGGTGGAGGCACTTTAATTCTCGGAACGCATGATGCGGTGAGTACAATTTGACCTCTCGTCTTTGTATCGGTCATTTATTGATGACACCTAGATCGTGGGACCTGGAGGGCAAGACATCCTCACCGACACAGACGGAGTTATTTTGGTATACCGTATGTATTCTCCTTCCAGCGTTCCATGGGATGCATCATGCTCATTCTTAAGATTTTATAGACTACTATACCTCTACCGGCAGTTTCGTAAGTGTTATCTTTGCGCCTAGGGAACCGCACGGAAGGCTCTAGTCTGACAATCTTCCCTTTCAGCTCGGCCTCAATCACCTCGACTTCTCGAGCGGGTGGCCCGTCGTCACTGCGTAGTATTCTTCCTTGGGAGACTCCGAACAAGTATTCAGCTGCGCGTCTGTCACGGTACAACATACATCATATGCATGTCGGGACGCCCAAGATTTTTCTACCTCTCCGCTTCCGATGCTGTTTATGTGCATAGCCCGTGTCAAGACAAAATGTATCCCAATCTGCCTAGCGATAAGTATATCCCAATATATCCATACACCACTAACCTCCATTTAGGACTGATATACCTGAACCTCCGGGAAACACTTGTACTGTCTGGTTGCCTCCTAGACATGCCTCTCCATGCGGTCACTGACTTTGGTAGAGCGGGTAGAAGTTTTGTGAGACCGAAGTGGAAGAACCAAGTCGTGTACGGGCGTTGCCGGAGACGCGACGGAGTTCTCGAGTCTGGCTGTTCCCGCCTTTTCGCCCGCCTCGTCGCTCCGTCAACAAACATCGGTAACTTAGAAGGTTCCGTCAAGAGCTTTCGTTTACATCATATGTTGTTTTCTCAGAGCGATATGGCAAGATGGCCGAGCGGTCTAAGGCGTGTGACTCAAGCGAAAGCTTACCTGCATTTAACAGGTTTCTCATCTCGGCAACGGGGCGCGAGTTCAAATCTCGCTCTTGTCATTGATTTTGCATCTCCAGCCTTACAAAAGAGTTCAGCTATGTACTGTACGCCGTTATAGTTGACGAGTTTTTCTGTGGAATATTAATGTGGCACAAGAGGGACCGTGGGAAAGGTCTTGATGAGACGCGTCGCGTCTGTGGCTGAGCGTGTCCGAGCGCACTCTCATCCCGACCGTATACTCACAGCAAACGGGGTGATGTTGTGAACTCAGAACTGTCTGCTATGGATGCACCTTCCTCGACACCGTTTCCCATCTCAACGTTTCAGAATGGTCCACCGGTAGACCTGCTCCAGTTTCTGCGAAACCTTCTATCTAGCGAGCTCTCGGACGACAACTCGGAGAACAGACAATTCGACAAGAAGACTTGGCTGGAAGTCATCGCAGGTCTCTCTGACCATCTTCTCACAGGTTTTCCGTCCTCTAGCAGAGGAGGATGGGAGGTTTTGCGCGAGGTCACGACCCTCACAGATACGACGCTCGAAGTCATCCGTCGCGTTCTCCACAATGTCGAGGGGCTATTCGCCGGGACGAACGGATTCGCAGAAAAACTCTTCACTCGACTCCTCAACTTGTGCTGTGCACTCGATGCCCGAGATGACCCGGAGGTCGTACCAGACGGCGATTCTCCTTCTGCGAAGCAACTTAGGGCCAAAGCGTTCCTTGTCACATTCCAACTCCTGCGTTACCTGGGCGGTATTGTTGGAGTCGGAAAGCAAAATGAAGATTCGGGTTGGATTCTTCTTCGGAAGATTATCGTAGAACTTCTCGCAGTCTCTGATGGTGCGTACACCCCATTCGCAGATAGACGCTTTCCTCTGACCTCTCTCTAGACTTGTCCTCTGCCCAAGCGTTGGCATTTCCCATGTCGGTATGCCTCTTCCGGACCCCTCGTATCCGGGATTTGGACGTGAAAGATGCAGAAGTGGTGAGGGTCACGCAAACTTCAACTCCGCTGGTGAGTGATGTACGATGTCTCCCGATACCAGCGATGTCTGACGCTCTACCACAGGCTCCGTCCGAAGGGCCCATCAACATCTCCCTAGCAAGGCCCTGCAATGCCTACGACTTCCAATTCATCGTCGTAGACCTTTTGATAAACGCAATATCACCCCCTGTACATTCTCAATTGTTCCTTCAGGACTTGGTCCCTCGAATTGGCACATCGTTGTCGTCAGCATTCTATGCATGCTGTCTTGGTCAATGGAGTGTCTTGCCCTTCAAACGTGCTCAATATCTATCGCGATCTCTCACACTAGCCAAGCGGCTCCATACAGTACACCCAACCAATTCACTAAATGACACGTACGGTGATATGGCATCTCGTCTTCTCCTTTGCAGACTCAAAGAGACTTCCCCCGTCTGCCGGCTCGCTATGGACGATACACTGGTGCAATGCCTTCGTTCAGATACATCTCTGATTTTATCGAAGGCGAACTCTCTTCTCGTGTTGGCGGCGGTTTCAGCACTTGATCCAGAAGATTTGAAGGGACTGGTAAGTCATGCTTACTTGTGACATTCGTGGTGCGACACCTGGTGTTAATTGTTTGTTGTTAGCAACTCGCCCTTCTTTATTTGTCGAAGGCGCTTCCTTGGCTCGATACTGCGACACTGCGCACGATCAAAACTGCATTCTCACATGTGGATATTGGAGAGACTGCCTTGGATCTTGTAGAAGCTATCGACACTCAACTGGCAATCCTTGCAGTAGAGCATGACCAAAACGAAGATCGTATGGACGTCGACGCTCCGGTCTCGACAGCACACACCTGGCGAGATCGTGCGTGCATCACATTGCAAAGTATCCCGATACTTGACCAGGATCGGGCTGCGTTGGAGAATGCTACTAGTGACGACCAGTTTGTGCAGCATGCATTTATTTCCCTCGCACCTGTCCTGAACGAGTGAGTAGCCAACTCTATGTTCAATACGCTTTGTCAACTAACACGAGATACCAAGGTCTCTGCAAGACCTGCAGGCAGAACAAAGAGTCATCATAGCAGACCATCTTCGTGACCTGCTGTGTTTGCTTGTTCATCGCGACGACTCTCCTTGTGTCAGGTCTACTCATCGCGACACGCCATTCTTGCCCGTGTATCTTGCCATCATAGACCAGCTATTAATGGGCACGGATGCACAAGTCCCAAATGCTGTTCGCAAAGCTTGCTTTGATGTCCTTGCTAGTGTTATGCGCCATCAGCCGATCGAAGAGAACGATACCGATCTGGATAACATAGCGGGAATGCTTTGCCGAACTATGTCGGATAGACAGAGGAGTATACGCCTCAGTGCAGGGTCAGTGTAACTTTTGCCTAGTCACTTGACTTGTACTGACTTCTTTTTTCTTCAGTCGAGCACTGGTAGAGCTGATACGTTTCTATCATTTCATCGGCAAACCAGCATGGCCCAAGGTTGATCCCATATTCGATGTATTCTACGGCCTCTTGGACGTTGGTAAAGATCCAGTCAAGGAGACTGTCTTGATTACGGTCGGTGAAGTTGGCAGGTGCGTTGCGGCATCTTTCCCACCGGAAACTCAGACTCATTCGCAACGTTTGTAGAGCAACTAATGCAGATGTGCTGGGAGTCGCCTTGAGCTGTCTCATATCTCAGCTTGGCAAATCTAGCCCAGTCGTCAAAGGTGTGGCGTACATGCAGGTGTGTGACTTTCAACTACGGGCGAACTCGTTCTTAAGTACGTCTGTAGCTCCTTTCTTTGGCGAAACATCACAAGAAGACTTCATATGGGCTTGTTCTCCCGTACATGGACAAAGTTGCGCCATACCTGCTTTCTCGGTGGCATTCTCAACCCATGCTTCTACTGGAATGCTGTCGCTTCATCTCCATGCCGCCAACGGACTACATCTCTTCCACTTTGCCGCGCACCCTACCTCAGTTATTCGCCAATTGTGAACAGAAAGCACTGGAGAAAATCTCTAAGGAGCTGCAGGTCAAATTGTCCACACTCTTCCTTAATCGGTCGCACGACATTTTGGCCTATGTCTTTCTACTCGATAACGACGTCTCGACCAACAAGGCCATCTCCTTCACTCTTCGCATTCTTAGTCAAGCAGCCGACAACGCCGAAATCCGTATACACAGCGTGATCAAGAGTTGTGTTGTTCCTCTCCTCGCCAAACTGGTAAACGCGCTCGGCGATGAAGATGAGAATAAGGTTACAGCCGTGCGTACTCAAACTACGACCACGACGAAGTTTCGACTGACCATTCTACTCCATAGGCCCGAAATGCTCTTCGCAAAGTCGAAATGTATGCCCATGATCCGGAAGAAATTGCGCAGAACGCGTTAGACCTTGGGTCTTTCCTCAAAGTGCACATGTTGGGAATCATTTCTTACATGAGCGAGATGCTGCAAGAGATTAAGGCCAAAGCGACTCTCAGCTTCAAGAAGCAGATACTTCGGAGTCTGGGTGCGCTCGTCAGCATAATTGGTCCTTCCATCAACGCAGTCTCTCCACAGGTACAGTACGAATTATTTGCTCCGAATCGTCACAGGTATCTAACATTGTGCTCAACAGATTCTTGCCATTCTTCAAGTAACTCTGACCATTCCAGAGTTGGCAGACGTTACGCTGGACACCTGGCACAAATTCTTGACGACCCTCAGTCATGCCGACATCGGACCTCACGCAGGTGTGACAAGTGCCTGCATCATCTCCTCATGGCCAAATCTCTCCGAGTACAGCCAGCTGCTTGCTCGACGGTCGTTACTGCATATACTCGGAAAAGGTTCGAAACCGTCACAATATCTGGACCAGATCGCCGACCCCTTCTCCATACCGGAACTTCATGACATACGGAAAAGGCTCTGGGACTTGCGTGTGACTTGGAAGGAGCCAGATCGACTTCGTACGATATTGGACCGGGCGTCTAATGACAATTCCACAGTTGCAGTCCAAGCACTACGAGAGTTGAAGTTACTGATGACAGAATCTCCTCATCACTTCCAAAATTTGGCGAGCGGTGATAACTTCAATCCCGTTGTGGGCCACATCCTCGTCGTTCTCTTCGCTTGCGCCCGCCGCGAGAGTGACCACATCGACTCGCTACGACTTCTCGCATTTGAATGCATAGGCGCTTTAGGAGCCGTGGATCCTGACAGATTCGACTTCAAACCTCCTGACTCGCAGATGATTGTCATGCAGAACTTCACGGACGAGGACGAGTCCATCAACTTCGCCCTGCACCTCATTTGCGATGTCCTCGTCGGCGCTTTCCGATCTGCGCGCGACACGGCGTACCAGACCACCTTGGCGTACACCATCCAAGAGATGATGCGTTTTTGCGGGTTTAACTCCGCCCTCATATCGCCCAGAGGATCCATACCCATCAAAGTCCGCAGTCGCTGGGGCAACTTGAAGAAGGAGGTTCATGAGACGATCACACCTCTACTCGACGCACGGTATAAGGTTCTCGACGGCCAGCTGCCTCTTTGGACGTTCCCTCTTTATCCAACGCAGTCGACATATCGCGAATGGATACAACTCTGGGCCACGTACCTCATCACTCGAGCGTCCGACGAGGGCATGGCACGGTCTATATTCTACGTATTCCGCACTATCGTAAGGAACAAAGATGTCGGCGTCGCTCGCCATCTGCTACCCCATCTCGTTCTTCACGTCCTGATTTCTGGAGACGAAAACGACGCCGGCCAAATTCGTATGGAGCTCCTCGCTGTGTTGGAAGACCAAGTCGACCCGGAGAGTACCTCTACCGTAGATAAGAGATTGCTAAGTACACAAGTGAGCCGTAATTCGAACCATCTTATACGGCTGTTACTCATGAGCATTCTTTATTCAGGCGACTTTTGTTCTTATGGACCATCTTAACAAGTGGGTACGTCTGATGCGGCGCGACCTCGCACGCAGAGGAGGGAGGGGGAACAAACGACATCCTTCAGCCGAGGAAGAAGCGCTTCTACGTGTCGACTCGGTATTGTCTAACATTGACCAAGAGTTGATGGCGAAGGCCGCTTTTCAGAGCAATGCCTACGCTCGCTCCCTTATGGGCTTTGAACGCCATATCGGTTCGCTGCGGGAAAGGAATGCTAAGCCGGCAGAAGTTCAACGGTGCTACGAGCGATTGCACGAGATCTACGCCAATCTGGACGAGCCGGATAGCATGGAGGGCGTATCAACACTGATTCTGTCCCCGACGTTAGAGCATCAAATTCGCCAGCACGAGAGCACTGGGCGATGGACCTCCGCTCAGAGTTGTTGGGAATTACGGCTGCAACAGAATCCGGACAACCTAGATCACCATATTGGGCTTCTGCGATGTTTGCGGAATCTGGGTCACTACGGTGAGCACTGCTCCTGAATTATTTTCTTTCATGCATCCTGACATCTGGCCGTTAGATACTCTACGCACCCATGTTAAGGGTGTCCTTACTCGAAATCCCGAATGGAGATCGGCTCTCGCTGACTTCCAAGTGGAAAGTGCGTGGATCATCGGTGATTGGAATGAAGTCGACACCCTGGCTATAGACTCGAGCGTGCCAACTGCGTCGATGGTCATGGCCCGCCTTCTACTCGCCTTCCGATCAGGCGACGCGGCTGCTATCCAAGACGCTCAGCGTGAGGCACGTATGACTTTGGGCAGTCCCATATCCGCTGCAGGCGCTCGAGAGTACCGACATGCCTACAATGCGGTTTTGAATCTACATCTTGTACACGAGGTAGAAATGATTCACCAGGCCGTCCAAACCCTTCCTCCTTCTGCTCGGCAACGCAACAATATTCTATCCTCCCTAGCGCACAACTTGACCGCGCGATTGGAGCTGTCGTTACCCACATTCCGGATTCGTGAGCCCATACTAAGTATGCGCCGGACGGCGTTTAGTTTGCGGTGAGTCTGCGGAGCTGTTGTGAAGCTCTACCTGCGGTTGTTGACTGATTGTTCTCCAGCAACCGTCCTCTTACTGGAGAAATCGGCCGCTCTTGGCTCCTCAGCGCGAAGATTGCTCGAAAGGCTGGTCACTGGCAAACCGCATATAGCGCCATGCTCCATGCTCAAGAGAGCCACACCGCACTTTCCTTCGTTCAAACTGCGAAATTGATCAAGGCGAACGGAGAGCCACTCCGTGCACTCCAAGAGCTCGACAATTCGATGCGCGCCAAGGGATACGGAGATGATGCACAAGCGGATGTGATTGACCTGACGGAGGATAGTGATGAGACGAAGATCATCAAGGCGAAGGTTAGTCTCTTCTTCATGATATCCTCCGAAGCAGCTGCTCAATAATCCCGAAGGCTCAAGTTGTCCGTGCACGTTGGATGGACGATTCTGAACGGTACTCAGAGGGAGAAGTGCTGAAGGAGTTTGTGAAGGCGACGGAGATCTGGCCCAAGTAAGTCCCATGTCTGGGCCATTTTTGTCAAGTTTGAACTCACATAAAAACACAGGTGGGAGACTGGTCCTTTCTATTACGGTCGCTTCCAGGATGATTGCTACAAGAAACTGTCCGCCCGTGAGAAATCCCAGCGGTGAGTGCGACAATACGACCTGAGCCCATGTCGAAGCTGATTGTCTTTCACAGAGGCATCAAGATGTGTTTACAAACCGTTCGGTCGTACACGAAAGCCATGAAATATGGCTCGAAGTACATCTACCAGACCGTTCCTCGCCTTCTGACACTCTGGTTGGATCTCGGGGAAGACGATCTCGTTGCCAAGACTGAGACCTACACCAAAATCAACCTTGAGGTCAAGCGTGTTTGTGACTCAGTACCAGCGTACAAAGTAAGCCTTTCTCTGTACCGCCATCAGTTGCGTGCTAATATTTTATGATCCATAGTGGTACACGGCGTTTCCCCAGTTAGCCTCCCGAGTGGGACACGAGAACCGCGAAGTGTATCCCATCCTAGCGAAGATCATCAATTTCGTTCTCAAGGAGTATCCCAGTCAAGCGCTTTGGCTGTTTGCGTCCGTCATGAAGTCCACGAAATCAGTTCGTGAGAAACGGGCCAAAGATATTCTAAATAACCTTAGGGTCTGCTCCTTCTCTGGCTTCATCCTGTCAGTAATACTAACGCAGATATATTGTCATTTAACAGAGAGAATCACATGGCCTGGTTACACTGATCGATCAATGTATGTGTATGGCCAACGCTCTGCTTTCGCTTTGTGATTTCCCAGTCGGAGACACGAAGAAGACATTGAGCATGAAGAAGGATTTCCCGGGCCTGTTGAGTTTGGCACCATCCAAACTCATCATTCCACTGCAAGAATCCCTCATCGCCAGTCTCCCTCCGACCTCCTCCGCGTCTGATTCGGAACACCAGCCTTTCCCTCTCGACGCCCCTACCATTGCCAGTATGTCGTAACTTGTGTCTGGAGGTTTTTGGCATACCATCGCTGATTTTATATTTGTGTTCAGGATTCTTCGACGAGATCGAGATCATGCGCTCATTGGCCAAACCCCGCAAGATCAAGATCGCAGGGAGCAACGGCTTGGATTACTCCTTCCTCGGAAAACCGAAAGACGACTTGCGGAAAGACGCACGTCTGATGGACTTCAACTCGATCATCAACAAGCTGTTGAAAGCGAACTCCGACTCTCGTAGACGACAACTGCGTGCGTACATTCTCTCAGTCTGCTTGCCCCCATCGAAGCTTATTATCCGAAATGTGTGGCGCAGATATCCGAACGTACGGTGTCGTCACGCTGAACGAGGAATGTGGCTTCATCCAGTGGGTGCCACATACGGTGCCCATCCGGCCGGTTCTCTTGAAGTTGTATGATGCGAGATGTGTGAGAGGCTGGGTATATCTTCTGCCTCTTACTCAGTAACGGATTCGGCTCACGCGTACTTGATTTTGAATGCGCGGACAGGATAACTCGATGCTTGCGGTGTTCAACAGGCTGAAGGAAGCCTCGGAAAAGGAGACAGCCATCATATTCGAGACTGAGATCCTGCCACAGTGCGTTCCCTCATTCTTGCTCCTTCGTCTTCCGATGCATTTGCTGACCAAAGGGCCTATGGCGTAGATTCCCGTCCGTCTTCCATGATTGGTTCACGGAGACGTTCCCGGAACCATCTGTGTGGTTGGCAAGTCGTCTCACGTACAGTCGGACGGTCGCCGTCATGTCCATGGTCGGCTTCATTCTCGGGTTAGTCCTTCACCGGTTCCGTATGTGATTGTATAGTGGGTCTGACACGTTTATTGGGCCTCAGTTTGGGAGATCGTCATCTGGAGAATATACTGCTTGACGAGAATACAGGTGATGCCATCCACGTCGATTTCAATTGCCTGTTCGAGAAGGTTAGCAGTCCCTGAAGTATCCTACAGACTCCACCTGATTCAGGCCCCATTCGTCTACAGGGTAAAACACTGGACATACCTGAGCGAGTACCCTTCCGCCTCACGCACAACATGGTCGATGGTCTCGGAGTAGCCGGAGTTGAAGGTATATTTTACCAGATCCTCTCAAAAGTACAAACCTCACACTAAAATCTACTGTCTAGGTGTCTTCCGACTTGCTTGCGAGAACACATTACAGCTTCTGCGGGACAATAGGGACACCTTGATGAGCGTTTTGGACGCTTTCATCCACGATCCCTTGGTAGAATGGGAAGATGAGAAGCGAAAGCTGGTACGTCACCGCTACCACATGCCTCACATTGGAAGGGAAGTTCCCAACTGAACACTGGGATGCTCTTCCTTTCACCCTTCATCGTGTTTAGGATCGTCAAGCCGAACGCCGCCAACCACGCAACGCGAAAACTCGAGCCGCAGACGCGAACAGCAATGCGGTAAAGGACTCCACCGACTTGCGCAGTCTGGCAAAGAATGCGCTGCATCCGATCGAGAAGAAGTTGAAGGGACTGTATTCGACGAGCAAGGAGAGGGCGGAGAAGGAGATCTCGACGAGCAATTTGGTGCAGATGCTCATTCAGGAGGCGACCAGTCCTGCGAACCTGGTACGGGCTTTTTTCCCCCTTTGTGATGACTTTTATTGAGACTGACGCTGACGCTGACGATGATGCAGGGGAAAATGTACGCTGGTTGGGCGCCGTATCATTGATCGGCTCATATTTTTCACCTTTTTTTCTGTCCTGGCGAGTGTGCAAGATGAACTGTATTCACGATGTACTGCTGCTGCTACAATGTAAACTATTTTCAATACATATATAGTCTGAGTTTCTCCCTCCAAAACAATAAGAGAAACTTACGTTACTCTGAATCGCTCCGCCTCTGCCTACTCCCCCAATTCCTTCTTTAGCCTCGCCAACTCCTTCTCCTTCTCAATCAGCTTATTCCTCCACTTCACCTGCTCAGCAACCACAAACCTCTTCGCCGTATCCAATCTCTCCAACTCCTCCTTCTCCAACTGCTGACTAAACTCCGGCACACCCGCCGTCCTCGACTCCTCCAGGCTCGCAGGATTGGCCGTATGAAACGGGTACGGTCTCCTTTTTTCCTTCGGCAGGGGGGTAGGCGGGTGCGAGGTGAGGATATTGAGGAAGTTCTGGAAGGGATCGAAGAAGATGACTTCGTCGTATTGCCAGGAGTGGACGGGCGAGTAGTTCGTGATGGGCGATTCGGAGGGCGCGGTCGGGGGCGCGGGGTCGGTGCCGGTGGGGGCCCATGGATGGAGTTTGAGGTGGTGGTAGAAGAGGATGGCTTTTTCGGCGGATTCGGGGATAAAGTGAAGGCGGATTTGGACCTCGAATTCGCCCCAGCTGCTCGACGGAGGAAGATAAGAGGAGACGAATGAGTGAAAGGGTCTTGGAAGGATGAAGCAGCGCGCCACACAACGTACCCAGTCTCAGTGACCTCGAATGGCGGCCTGTCTACGTCTTCACTTGCGAGGGACATTCAGTTCGTCAGTACATTAGAAATATAGGACCATGACCTTGGGTCTGAGACGACGTGAGAGTAGCTCACTGCGTGTGGCGTTGGGGAAGGACTCATGCAGCTTGAAAGTGACACGCTTCAGAAAGTAGCTCAGATCGTCCGCTCCGCCTACGATATCAGAATTTGCTTCAGAAGCCGCACTTCGTACAGCAACAGTCCAGCGATGTGTGTGCTCTGGTGGCGCAAGTTCTTTCTCCTCTGGCCGGAGAGGAATCGCGGTATTTCCATAAATGATTGGACGGTGGATTTGAATGCCCTGCAGGAACAATTCCGACACGCAGTTAGGTTAGTTTACTGTGTAGCAATATTCGAGAATAAAATAAACGCACTCTGACGCGAACACGGTCAGGATTTGAAGACATTTGTGAGGAGGTGCAGGTGACGGTGATGGTGAATGTTCGAGACAAGATCGAGAGCGCGTCGGAGGGCGGCTGTCATATATGATCGCCCGCTGGGCATACCCTGGTCCCTCTATTTATTTTTTGCAGTTCGGAATTCACCGAAGGGACGCCACTTTAATCTTCAAGTAGCGTGGCGCTACAATGGTTGAGCTGCACAATTTAATACGTATATTCTGTGTCACGTATGGTCAAAACGATAGATATTAGTGACACTCCGAGAGAGCACAAAAGACAACAAGCGAAGGGAAGTATAGTACAGGTATGCAGAATGCAAAAGTGATAGGACAGATAAGGGGTAGAGCGAGTAGCGAATGACGGAAAGTCGCACTATGCTTCAGATTCCGAAACCATTTGGTCGATAATGGATTTATCTAATCTGCCGGGAAATCTTATCTGTTGCTTATAAATCGCTCACTATACCGAGAGTGTGCATAGTGTGCGTTAGACTGAGCAG